TAGGTATTATATATCTATTATAAATATGCTATAGTTATAGTTAGGTAGCTAGCTCGCTTATCCGGCCAGCTCGCTTATCAACCACGTTATAAGCAAAGCGTATTTATACGCTATATAACTAATATTCTAACCTAATTTAGCAATAAGATTAATATTATTCCTAGTATTATATATAGGTAGGGAGTATTGCCTAGCTCTAAGGGAGCTTTATAGTAGTTTATTAATATAAGTTTCTTAATTCTTTAATATAATTCTAGTACTTTAGCTTATACTATCTCTTAATATAATAAATAGATATAAATAATAGTTAAACTAATATTAACTAATAAGTTTAGCTTAGTTAAGGTCTTTAGGTATATATAAGTTTATAAGAGCTATAGGAAAAAGGGGGTAATAAGCTTTATTACTAATAAGTAGTAATAGTAGCTTAAATCTATTATAATAGTATTAAACCTTTTAGTTATAAATCCCTCTTTATAATACCTTTATAGTCCTTTAGCTAGAAGGGTAGCTAATAGAGTATCTCTATTATATTATTAAGTAGGTATAAAAAGCTAGCTATTTTAAGCTAAAAGCCTATTCCTTATCTTTTTATAATCCTTTTTTCTTAATATATTTAAATCTTCTAATATATCTTCTCTATCTTTTAATATTCTTATAATACTTTAATATAATATCTAAAAGCTATAGTAATATAAGCTTAATAATATAAAGCTTAAGATAAATATTTATAAGATTAAGGGCTCTAAATATAAAGAGCTAAACTATATTAATTAACTTATTATTATCTATTTTACTTTAATATATTTAAAGTAGGCTATTAGTTTTAACCTTATTATAAAGGGCTATATTATATATACTTAAGATCTCTATAGCTATACTAAAGATAGTAATAGTAATAGTAATAATAACTTAGAAAGAAAAGATATAGTAATAGATATTAATCCTACTACTTATAAGCCCTTTATAGGCTTTCTAAAGTTAGCTAAGTAGCTTAAGGTCCTCTAGAAGTATTAGTTAAGCTAACTCTTAGTATATAGTAATATTAACTTATAAAAATCTATAAGTTCTATAAATCTAGATTAATATTAATAATATTACTAATAGTAAGTAATAGAACTATAATAGTCTTAAGTGCTAGGGGTAAGCTAATAGTCTTCTAAAAAGTTTAATTAGTAAATAGTAGAAAGGAGTAATATTAAGGAAGAGATCTAAAGTATTAAAGATATCTTCTAAAGTATTAGAGATATTTTAGTAAAAAAGTCTATTATTATTATTATAATAGGGGAAGTTAAAGCATAAAGTAATAAAATAGTAGCTAAGATAGAAAGCTAGGGCTTATATATAGTTATATAACTAGATAGCTATTAATTAGTTAAGTTAGCTAGGCTAAACTTAAAGTTAGTTAAATATATAGTTTCTAAACGCAATATAATAGCTAAAGGCCCTAGTATTATATATAAAAATAGAATTACTCTATTTAACTTATAAAGTAAATTTAGAGTAATATAAACTTTAAGTATAAAGTTTACTTAAAAGATAGTTATAAATAGCTTTAACTATTAAGGTTTTTATACTCTATTTAATAGAGTTACTAAATAGTAAAAATAAATTAAACTCTTTCTCTTTTATTCTTTTTTCTCTTTAATTTTTACTTTAAGATAATATTTATTATTATTATAATAGAAATAATTTATACCCTCTATAAAAACTTTAAAAATAGCTATAACCCCTTAATAATAGCTAAGTAATATATATATTAATTTAAGCTCTTTTTTAAAAATAAGGGTATTAAGATCTAAAAGTCTTATTATTTTAAAAGTAAGTTAATATAACTTTTCTTCTATAATATATAGCTCTAAAAGATTATTATTACTATTTATTATACTATTAACTAATTAATTTATAATATCTTATTAGCTATATATTATTACTTTTAAGCTAGTAATAAGTAGTATAACTATTACTTTACTAATTATACCTATATATAAACCTATATTAAGTATAGAAATATTATTCTTAATATCCTATTATTTATTAACTCCTTAAGAAAAAATTAATAGAAAAAGGGGGAAAAATACTAAAGATTATAATAAAATATAGAGAGGATATAGTTATATTATAATAATAAAGGAGTAAATAAATAAGTAGAAGTTTAATACTAATTTATAATTAATATAAGAGTTAAATAACTACTAGGCCTTTTTATAAGAGCTACCCTAGGCTTTTTTATAGGAGCCACCCTAGTGTAAAGACATAACCTGTGAGTGAACCTCCTCCAACCCTAGGTTTTAGGGCTCTACCTTAAATACGCCCCCTGCAATGAATATGAAGGGAGCTACAGTATCATTAAAGAACCAGGTAAAATGCCATTCAGTGAACCCTACGTAGGACTCGGTCAAACTAGAATTCGCCATCCTTCACTCCTCTGCTGGCGGAATATGCGAGGGAGCATCCCGGAGCTCTTGGCAGCCCACGAAACCCGACGCGCCTCGTTGGCGGGGTACGTCCTCTTTTGCTACCGCTCACCAGCAGAACCTCTCACATCTGTCTAATCCATCATACCCTCCCTCATACACGGTCTCGAGGGCCTCAATTGACAACACCTCACAAATCAAGGTTCAGCCAGTCCCTGGAATTGGCACAGATCACCCATCCTCCTGCTTCTTTGGACATCATGCTTTTGCTGAGCCGGGCAGCTCGGACGTTCTGGGAGCGGGGTCCCCTTGCAGTCCCGCAGTCCGTCCCCCATGTTCCATTGTCATTTCCAACGCCATCGACTATGAATGTGACAACCAACTTCGAAGATGGTGCTCTTGGCCCGAACTCCGAGGAGAACCGCCACCAGAGTTTGAAAACATGATTTTATCCGTTCCTTATTGACTGTTGATTGTTCGAATTCTGGCTAATCAGAAGTGTTACCGCCCAGTCCTTCTGGACCGGCCTAATGGCAGCCACCATTTCCGTTCTCCTGGGGCTGTGACCGTTGGGTTGGCGCGAACTGTCATCGTCGTCAGCCCTCTTCTTGTCTGCCCCCGTGACGACAACGGCGCTTGGCGGAGGTCGGAGCCTTCAGAGCCACGCAAAGTCCGAGTGACTCGGTTCCAGTTGCATTGGTCTACACTGTATACGAACTGACGAATCACAGCACGAGTATTGGGAAACAAGTCGAGTCAAGAAGCTCAAGCAGCTTTGGCCTTTACCTATTCCTTCCTCGTACACATTTCTGACGAGATCACCGAGACCAGACGATTCTGGGCACCTTTGTGTTGGCATTACTATGTTAAGGAAACGAAGCACGCGTGCGATCTGACTCGAGAGAGCCTCTGCGTCGTGCAACGCAGGCAAGGCTATGCTGAGAACTCTCATGTATCATGTCGGTGCTATGAGATGCTAGGCTTACCTAGTCTCCTCCGCAACGTGGAAACTTGTTCCCAAGGCCCAGACTAACAAAAGAGCTTGGACTCGTCCTAGGTAGGTAATCCGTCCTGGTCGACGTTATCCGCGGCTTTGTCTGGCCCTCCCGCGGTCCCCGGGTTCACGGGCTAACGACCGGACACCAGGCCGGTCTCAGCGGCTGGTCCTGCGATGCTCCCGCCAACGCCTTCCCGTCGGCATCGTCCTCGTCTCGGTCTGTGTCGCGCGGCTCTTGTTTCCTCTTTCACCAACCCGCTCCACTCTGGTTTCCGACCTGTCAGTGAATTATTCCCAGAAATCCGTGCTTCTTGCCAACGTGCGGGAGGCCCCGTTCGTCCTCATCGTTTCCGGATAGTTTCCGATCTGCCTTGCCTTGTCTCCCGTGAGAAGGTCCCCGCGAATCTCCGCAAATGTCCGCCACGTGCGGGCGTACAGAGTATTGAGGCTCGGTAGTTGGGAACATGCGGAGTCGAGGTGTTACTGCACGGTAATATCGACTTCTGCCCTCATGACGATGGCGCAATTTGAGTCCGTCCCAAAGTTCACGATAAGTCGGGGATGGCTCAACATCTGCACAGCAAAGTACGAAAGCGAACCCACAATCCGAAGAACGAAGGGTACGGCCCGTTGTCGGGTGAGTTTAAGGCCTTGACGGGCGTTCTGATGATGAGAGTTGCCGCATGCTTTCAGTTTTGCCTACCCGCCATCTTGGATCCCGTCTGATAGGTAACTTCGGGGTATTACAAGAGCCGACAAAACTCCGTACTTGGTAGATGAAACCGAAAATCTAATCAAAATTAAGGTCGACATATACCCACGTCCGTCGAGGCGGGAATACTGTCATGTGATGCTCTTGTTACCATACTCATTACTCTTAATACCGGGCTTCACCTTTCATAACTCTTGCGCATGTTGCCTTCACTGTGTCAGCCGTCAACTTTCAAACCAAGACCATATACTTATACCTTCCATTGACATTACGTACCAGATTCAATTCTGCCTGAATATCGTTCTCGCAACAGTTGCAGATTCGACGGCTTAGGTAAGTCGATCGATCTCATGCTGACATGCGATCCTCCGTCCCCAGGATGGCCCGGTGACGAAACCTCTCCGCATCGCCGCCCTCCCCGCATCACCATCTTCAGCCGTCGCCATGGCCTTTGGAGTCCTTCGGCAGTTATTTTATTGGCCATTAAGCTTTTCGGATGCCAGTTGTGGCGCCGAACCAGCTGCGCCGGACTTATCTTCCAGTATGCCGTTTGCTTATTCCGAAATCCTGAGCCGGTGATGTCAATAGCCTTTCGATGGTCTCTGAACTGATACGAGTTACGGCTATGGGAGTCGCATATATGTGTTGGGTCTCTGGTTCCTGTATTTGAAGCAGATCCAAGGGATCGCAAATAGTCCATGGACAAAGAAATATCTATCTCGCGCCGTCCTCAACAGCCCGCGGTTTGTGACCTCGTCTCTGTAGCACTGATTCGTGACGTCGCCTTTCAGACGTTCTCTTTGTCAAAGTTTATGCTCTCGAGATCTGTTGGAAGCCCATCCTAGAAGATTGCTAGTCAGCCTGAGACTCGACCATGGACTCTCCGCTCCAAGCCTTGGACCCGGACGACCACAGCCACACCTACACCGAAACGGCCGGCCTCTTTCTTCGGACCTACTGGCCGATCATCGTCCCTTTGGTCCTGATCGGAAACATCCTCCGCACCCGCTACCTCTCCCCGCTCCGCCGCTACCCGGGCCCGTTCGTCGCATCGACGACCCGCCTTTGGAAAGTGATCACCACCGCCTCCGGCCGCTCGCACCTCAAGCACATCACCCTTCACCGCAAGTATGGCCCCGTCGTGCGCATCGCGCCGAACGAGGTCTCGGTGGCTTCGCCCGAGGCCGCGAGGCATGTTCTGAGCGCCGGGAAGCGGTTCTACAAGACGGCGTTCTACGGCGTGTTCCCGCCGCCGGAGAACCCGGACATCTTCACCGAAGTCGACGAAGAGGCTCACGCCCGGAAGAAAAAGGTTGCGAATGTGCCCTACAGCATGGCCGCGATGCAGCACCTGAGCCCCTTTATCGATGACACTATTGATCTGTTGGTGACGAAGCTGAGTGAATTCACCGGCCAGCAGCATACGGACTATAAAGTGAACAAGTCCGTTGATCTCGGCGCTTGGCTGCACTACTTCGCTTTTGATGTGCTTGGGGAAGTAGCTTTCTCTCGGAGTTTTGGGTTCTTGGCTGAAGGGAAGGATGTGGAGGACGCCATCGCAACGATAGACCGCTCGCAGGCGTATAACGGCATCGTGGGACAGATCCCGTGGGTGGACTTTCTGCTGCGGAGGAATCCTCTGTGGAAACTGGTTCCGAGTTTGGACACGAAGAATGCGCCGATCACGAGAATTGCGTTGAGCGAGATGGAAAGGAGACGACCGTTTGACAAGGAGAGCGAAGGGAAGCTGAGAAATGACGACGGGAGACAAGATTTGTTGGCGAGTCTGATAAAGGGGCATCTGAAGGACCCTGAGAGGTTTACTGAGGGGGATGTGTTTGCGGTTGCTCATGGAGCCATGTGAGCGCCTGAATTCCGCTCGCGATTGTGGCAATGGCTTACGTCGAACAGTTTCGCCGGCTCGGATTCAACAGCCTCGACTATGCAGTCGCTCTTTTGGCACGTCCTGTCCTCGCCACACGTTCACTCCGCGCTCGTCAAGGAGATTACGGATGCCGTCGACTCAGGGGCTATCCCGCCTACGAGCAATATCTCGTGGGCAGAAGCCCAGGGGCTGCATAACTTTCAAGCTTGTTTGAAGGAGGCCATGCGCGTGAGACCTGCCGTAGGCTTGAACATCACTCGCGTGGTCCCGCCTGAAGGTGCGGAGCTTGACGGGCAGTTCTACCCTGGGGGAACGGAGATCGCGGTGAACGGATGGGTGCTGCACCGTGATAGGCGAACCTTTGGAGAAGACGCCGATGAGTACCGACCAGAGCGGTGGCTCGTGGACGTTGATGAGGCAAAGAGAATGGAAAGATACATGTTCCAGGTATGTTCGTACACGCTGTAGTTGAAGGCACTTGACTAACAAGACGATAGTTTGGAGGAGGTAGCCATGTGTGCATCGGACGAAACCTGGCGCTGCTGGAGATTAACAAGGTAGTACCGCGACTCTTTAGGGACTTCAAATTTGAGCTTGCCTATCCTGGGAGGCCACTAAGAGCGAATGCCACGTTTTTTGTGGTTCAAGAAGGCTTGGAGGTCTTGATTGAGAGACGGGAGTCTAAGTAATATTGTGTACAATAAGAAATGCGCTGAATTACGTTTAGAGCAGCAACGTGTATCACAGGATGTCATGAAAAGAAGTCATTAAAGACCACCGCAAGTGCTCACAATATTCAACAACATGCACAACAGAAGAGACGGAAATGAAGTGGCTTCCACGCGATTCGCTGAGATGCCGAACGTCGAGAATTGAGACCTTGAGAGCTAGACTGGAGAGAGCTCGGGACTTGAGAACTTCGAGAACCTGGGAATTGGACGGGCTCAAAACCCTCGCCAACCTGAGGACCGCACCGACTCAAAAACCACGCCGGCCCGAAAACTCACGATGCCTCAACACGCGCGCCGGCAAGCTCGCCTCTCTCTTGGCTACTCGGGCCGAAAACAACTCAGGATCTGCATCAAGAAGCGCCGATGGTTTAGTGGTAAAATTCTCCGTTGCCATCCAGCAGCGTCGGGGAGCCGGGGGTTCGATTCCCCCTCGGCGCATCTTTTTTGATTCTTCAGCCCTTACTTTGAGTTTTCTTACTTTCTCTCTACACGTTCCTTTTGCTCGACTACTTGACCATTAGAACCACACAATACGACATCGTAGACTTGAAGATATTTACAGCTGTTTATAGATCTGGTGGTTGTAGAAACGAACAAGTCCGCCAGTTCATCCCAATAACTCAAACGCCCAACACCTTGCTTGCTTGCTCCTAATGCGAGTATGCCGACCCATTGCTTAACAAACAGCAGCCCATCCTCCGTTTACCGAGTCTGGCTGCGTCCCATATGTTGTGCGCCCCCCTCCGACCTGTTCAAAAACATTGAAAAAGACCTCCCCTTCCCGTTCGAGCTTCCCTCGCCGGTGCTGTCACTCTCGGCCGTGTTGTAACCCTCTTCCACCGTCTTGGGAGAGACCTGTCGCAATAACTCGCGCGAATAAGAAGGCAGCTGCCACCACGAAACCTCGCCGCGTGGTCGGGGAGCCGGGGTAGTCGGCTGGTCATCCAAGGGGATATCATGCCACCTGCCCAGATCCAAACCGTGTCTCTGCGTCGGCGGCGGCGGTCGCACTCGCTCTTCGTCATAGCCGTTGTCTCGTGTGGCGAAGCGCCGGCAGCAGCTGAACGCGAACCGGCTCGCCAGGTACGGCGGCAGGACGAGCGGCCAGAAGCACAGGATCCCCGCGTACCACAGTCCCAGGAGTATCTTGTCTGTCTTGCCGCGGTCGGTGTCCTTGTACCAGGCGGGCAGGCCCGCGAGGCGGCCGTTGTTGAGGATGAAGTAGGTGATCACGCCAAGCATGACGTATCCGACGACGCAGGCTGTGATGAGGCCGTCTTCGAGGTTGTATTTGGAAGGCGTATGTGAGAAGGCGGGGCCTGCCAGTACTCGGGGCAGTAAGATCGACGCCATGATGGTAGTGTTTTGGTTGATATAGGTGGTTGTGAGATGTGTGAGAAATTTGATGCTGAGAGAGGGGGGAAGAGAGGTATGGAGATGGGGTCGTCTTCTTTTCCATCCTTTTATCGTTGATCGCACAGGCAGGTTTGGATGAAGAAGAAAATTTATCTTGGACACTATGAATCGGAGATGCGGTGGTTCCTCATGTGCTCCCACGACCTTGGGAGCCTGGTGAATATCAGAGTTATGCCCCAGCCTCGCGAGGAACCTTACATACAGCAAAGCCTCTTCGCCAGCTCGGCGTCGCCGATGGTGGTAAGATTTCTTGCGCGATAGAGGTTCTAAAGTTTAACGCGTTGCGTAGGAACGATGAAGTAATCAAATCGATCACTCGCACCAGCTCAGAAGGGCTACTGACAGGAAATGGGTCACGATATCCGTCTATACTTGTCTGTTCGTAGTATTACTCAACTATAAAGATATTGATACTCGATTTAACGCTGAAAGCTTCTAAGTAAAAGGGCAGCCTCGGTCATCTATGTAGACCGTTCTACTACCGCCATCACTCGCCTCCTCGCCCAATGCCATGTAAGCAAATGGTGTTCGGGGTTCACCGTCCACATCACCAGCCTAATGTTCATCCTTAGTGACGCAAGCATCGGCATGTTTCGTCTCCGTAGTGACATGGAAAGGCCCCTCGTCCCTTTCGTTCACTCTCTCATCCCTCCTCACCAACTCCTCCATAAGCTCCAGATCAACGTAGTCCTCCAGCTTCAGCTTTCCGCCGATACAGGCAAACCCGTTCCGGCACCCGTTCCGTACATCGTAAACCGAGAAAGCCGGCCAAAACGCGAGTCTCATCACGAAGACGATGCCTGAGATGGTGACATCGCTAGCCGACGAGGACCCGTAGCAGTACCTCCGCACCCGCCGCCTCACGCTCGCGTCCCGCTCCCCGCCCGTGCAGATCCGCTCGGCGGCGTCGATGAACCACGTGCTCAACGCGATTAAATCCAACAGGCAGACGATGCCGTTGAGGAAGTACGTCGCCGCGGCGACCTTGACGAGATGGTCGGAGCGTACGAAGTAGAGGCCGCCGAGGACGAAGGCTTCGCAGATGATGAAGACGACGAGTATGGCGCTGGTAAGGGGGTGGAAGAAGAGGGGGTATAGGCGTCTCTGTGCCGAAGTTTTGACCAGAAGAGGACTCGTGCCACTTGGGCTGGGGTCTTTTGAAGTAACAGGAGCCATGGTGTCCGTGAAAGTTGTGGCTTTGTCGAGAGGAATAGGTAGAAGTGAGATAGTTGCTTGCAGGAGGTGTCTTTTGTAATGTTTCGCCTTGTGTGGAAAGGTTTTAAACGAGATTTTGGATGCAGAATGCAGAGAAGGGAGGCAGTTCATGTTCGCAAGGAGCCGGTCTTATCTTGTCGAGAGCTGGAACCGGAGAAAGGATACGACTACCTTTGCGTTCGCGGTTTTGGGTACCTTCGAGACAACCAAGAACCGTGGATGCGAACAACTTAGTATCCGCAGCTTTAGGCATCTTTGCGAGAAAACTTTGGGAATGAGAACCCTGGTTGTGAATACCTTTGCATCCACGGCTTCAAAGTTAGACCAGTACTTGTTTGGCTCCGGCTAATTTCGAGCAATGGCCACTGAATTTTTATGTAACCCTTGAGACCCCTTCTCTTTCGATATTATTGGTATTATACAGCAATGGTACAGGATATCAGGCGACTGATAGCAAAGATTCCTCAACTCCGATGGCTCAAAGCACAATGTGGTATCTGGACGCGTCCACAAGTGGTAATAACAAATATGTGCAAGAAGAGGAATGAAAAAGCCCCGAACCCCAAAAGCAATAATCTAATAACCCGCCCCATCCATTCTTCCTTAGTCAACATCAGCCAAGCTGGTGTCAGAGCTGTTGCCGTCGCCTTGCCCCTCCTTCCATGATGCCATCTCTGCCACGGGCACTCGTCCCCTGAGCCAACGCAACGTGGCCTCCGTACCGCGTTCAAGGACGCTATACCTAGGAACTCTGAAGCGATTGCCGGAAACTTCTAGGCGCTTGAGACCACCGGCACCAGCGAGAAGACCAATCCTGGGGTTGAGATGAGCGATGTCGTTGTTGCCAGCGTCAACCACTTCCAGACCCTTGATGGCTTCGGGATCAAGTTCGATCAAGTGGTTGTTCGCGGCAAGTAGGACCATTAACCGGGGAAATACAGCTCGCAAGTCAAGTGGCAAAGCGGTGATACGGTTGAGAGACACGTCCACCTTCTCGAGCTGAGGAGCCCGCAAGTGCAGCGTCAGTGGAGCAAGGCTCGTAATGTGGTTGCTGACCAGGTTTAGCTCGCGCAGAACTGGCAACTCGAGTTCCTCCGTCAGATAGGTCTCCCCAACGAGCTGGTTGTGGGCAAGAGACAGTGCGCCAAGGCTCTCGGCAAAGAAAGACAGCGAATTCGGGAAGCAAGTGAACAGATTGTGGTGGATCTGAATTTCGCGAACCTTGTTATCGGCAGCGACTCTTGAGCAAACGACGGGGTGAAGCGACGATGATTTGGTATTAGAGCGATCCAGGATGCCGCCCGGCTTGACGGGCCACGTTTCTTTTGAGAGTGTTTGGGAACGCGCGCGTGCAGGTGAAGTGGGCGACGACGTTGGTGGCGTAGCAAAGTCTTCGCCATCAGAGCGGTTGTCCTCATCCGCAGGCACCGGGGGCATCGGAGGGGCCTCCTTGATGGTCAATTTACCAAAGCCATTGGCAATCTCATCAACGTCGACCACCTCAGGTGCAGCAGTCTCAGCCTCAGGGGTAGGATCCCGGTACGGCGGAGGTGGTTCGAGTCGTCCAGCCAGGACTTCTTTCAGCTCTTCCGTGGTAGCGGAGACGAACTTCTTGTCGCGCAATGGGTTGCCGCTCAGACGAATCATGCTCAGGTTGTCCATCCTGCTAATCTCAGGCGGTACAACGCGGATGTCGTTGGCAGAGAAGTCGACATTCCTCAGCTTCTCGAGTTTTGTGAAGCCAGGAGGAAATTCGGGAATTGCGTTCTCATTGGCTGTCAAAGTAAGAAGACTGATCCAAGAGCTGACGTCTGGCAGTTCCCTCAGGCGGTTCATAGACAGAACAAGCTGGTGAACCGAAGGCAGGCTGATACTGGCGCCCGGGGATACCAGATAGGAAATCTGGTTGGAAGACAGATCCAGCATTTGCAGGTTCGACAGCGCTCCAACGCCGTCCTCGATAAGCGTACCCGACAGCTTGTTCTTCTGGGCGAGCAGCTCGGTGAGGGGAAGTTTAGAAAGATTGGTGAACGGAAGAGATTCGAAGCTGTTGCTGCTCAGGTTGAGGATACGCAATCTTGAAAGGTTTTCGATGCCGGCAGGGAGGGATGACACGTTGTTGCCGTGGAGGTCAAAGATCTCGAGGTTCTCGAGCTTGGAGAAGCTTGGGTCCAGGGGTCCGTACAAAAGGTTGTTGGCAAGCTTCAAATCACGAAGAGCGGTGACCTCAGTGATCACGTCGAGGCAATTGTTGGCAAGACGGTTCTGGGACTGCAAATATTTAGCCAATGTTGTGTCCAGCAGATGATCTTCAGCTTACCAAGTTCAGAGATGTGAGAAGGCGCAATTGTCTCAATCCCATCGGCAATGAAATCAGACAGTTGCCATGCAGGTCCATTGCCTCAAGGCCACCAAAAATGTTGCCGTTTGAGTCCTCATCCTGTGCCATCTCCTCGGGTGCAACATCCGGGAAGATGGAGTCGTCAATAGTCTCGAGCTCGTTGTCGGCTGCCACAAATCTGGTGAGGTCGACACTCTCGGCCCATGAGCCATCGTACGTTCCCATGGACTCCATGTCGTACATCTTGAGAACTTCCGCGGGAATCTCCTTCAAACCCAATGCTGCAACGTTGAGTCTTCCGGTGCTCCGGCCGGCTCCAATTCGCTGCTGAATGACCTTGCCAGTGGCATTCTCGTCCCGCTTAGTATTGAATGGGTCGTTTGTTTTGAACGGATCGGTGGACATGGCGACCCCAATGCCGAAATCAAAACCTTCGTCTGCCGGAACAAGAGGAGACTTATTGCCCACAGCCGGAGCTTCCTCAAGTACTGCAGCTGGTTCCAAGGCAGGAGCGGGAGTCAGAGCAGAGGTCTGAGCTTCGGCCTCCACGGCCTCTACAGCTTCCGCAGCCTCGGCAGCTTGACGGTCTGCCTCGCGCTTAGCTGCTTTGGCTTTGGCAATCTGATCTCGCAAGGAAGCAGACGCTTTACGGAACTCGTTTGGCGCCGACTCAGTGGGCGCAGGAGCAGGAAGATTCAGCTTGGTCGGAGTAGGTCTTCGCAGCGAACCATAGGACTTGGTCGACTTCAACTTGGAGGCAGGTTTCGGGGAGGGAGAAGCCATTGATGTCGGTGCTGGCTGGTTCAGCGTTGGAAGGGACGGCTTCTTGTACAGGCCATTGACGGATGCTCTGGGCTTCAAGGAACGGCCAGGTGCGGTGCCAGCTCCCGTCTTGGGTGGAGGAGGCATGACACTGGCCGGTCTGGTCGGACTGGGACTCTGGTGTACTGGTATGCCCGAGGAAGAGGGGCGGCCTGAGGGCGAAGATTGAGGAGTCGCCCTCACGGCCGGTGCCTTCAAAGCCCTAACACCAGACACACGTCTCGATGGCGTGCCCTCGATGGTGCCCAACGGCCTATATGTAGTCGCGGGGCTTCGGACACCCGCAAAGGGGTTCTCGTCAGCACCAGAGCTCGATCCTGGTCGGCTGTGACGCGAGGCCGGGCGCAAAGAGCCATCGGAAGTGTAGCTAGAGCCAGGTCTGGAATTACCACTGCCAGAGCGTGAACGGGGTCGGTTCGCGCCCTCAGGATCGAAGAAGGATGATGGTTTCTTGCTGAGGGCTGGCGAGGAGGGCAATTGGGAGAGCGTCTCCATTGTACGTTCGGCGAGTGATGGTCGAGGTTTGAGTTTGTCTCTCGGGGTATCGAAGCTCGGGATGTTGGATTCAGCGTCGTTCACGGTTGGCGGGCTTGCCTCTTGGGGTAGAGGCGGCACTTCAGGTGTTGGGCCCGACACGGGCGTGGCAATCCTGGCTTCAGAAACGTGTCGAGTCGAGCTCGATGCTTGCGAAGTGGTGACATTATCGGTGTCTTCCGGGGGCGTCGGGGGGTTGTTGTAGGTCGGCTCGTTCGCATTGAGTCTCGGGATACTGCGGGCGCTCCTGAGGTTGCTAGTGGAAGCTCTGGGTTGAAGCTTCCTGGTAGTAGTTGTCGGTGGTGGTATTTGCCTCGTTTTCGGAGCAGGACGAGGCTCGGGCTTCTTAAGAGAGGGGGCCGGTGCCAATTGGTCTCGAGAGGCGGCTGGTCGAAGACGAGGGTTTCGAAGGCCCGAGTTCAGGCCTTCTCGCGAAGGAGCAGGTCGAACTGCAGGCGTGGGAGCTGGGGTCGGTTTGGTAACAGGAGCTGGTTTGGGCATGGGCAGGCGGGAAAATCGAGGGATCCCGCTAGGCCTCCCAGGCGCCTGCTTCTCGTCCATGACGGCGGGTTGAGGATGCTTCACTGCGAAGAAAGCATGCAGAGAAGAGAACTTCCGGTCGCTCGAGTCGATCGAAAGCTGGAAATAAGGGGAGGCAACTTTCTATATTATTGAACGCACGGATTTCTTGTCGAAGTCGTTAGCGCGTGTGGCCGTCGCGACGGGAGGCGTTCCGTTTGCTCCTAGTCGAGTCGGGAGCTAGTGAAGGCAATTTAGAGTGATGTAATCTTCGCGTTTGCGCCGGCAATGCAAACAGAAACAAAAGCTGTCGAGTCGTGATGTCGAACGAATGTCGTCCTACTCGAGGCAAGCTGCAGCTGCATGAGAAAGCCGTCAGTTCATGCCGTGTTTGCATGCACGACGTTGGGCCAGCTCACCAAGATGTCCTCTTTTCCCCCCCAGAGAGAAGGGAAACGAGAGATGGACCCTTCGCCTGAAGTGCTGGGGGGTCTTGTCGGGCGGCAGCGAACAGACGGTGGTGAACAGGGAAGAGAGATGAAGATGTGACAAGGATGAGCGACGTTTTGCAATCTCCCGGCCCAACTGCCAGGTCCAATATTCGCGGTACGTATCTATCTACTGTCCAATGAGAACCCAGAGAAGCTTCCCACCCGTTCTTCTTTAATCTTTATGACCAACCGGATCACGTATCCTCCTCGCTTAGCTGCTCGTGTCCCGATTGGGCCAAACGTCTGAATCCTAGCGCCAACAGTCAGAAATCGGTTCCTGCATATCTTTCCTTTTCCAACATTCCATTCCCTGTCCACTGCAGAAAAAGGAGACAGGGAACTCCAAACAAGTCAACGCCTTCTTGCTGTTGGTCGATGCTTGCTGGTGTCTGTTTGACAATCAAACAATGACGGCGAGGGGAGCCGGCCTGACTGGAATGCAACGAGACGGAAGCGCCAACTTACCATTGTGTTTCTTCTCCTTTTCTCGTGAGCAAATCGAACCCTTGAGTTTGACTCTTCTCTTCTTGTTTTCTGCGTTATTTTCTCGTCTCTCGTACTCTGTCTCGTCTCGGCTTCGCATGATATTGCCGTCTTCCGAGGGATATCTGCCGTACTCTTTAGTCAGTATTCATTCTCTAAACTGATTCGATCTCATCAAACGTTTCAACCCCATACTCTGCACATCCAACAGCCGGGGAAGTCCCTGAGCCGGCCCGAGAGACCGAGGCCACTGGCCACACGATCTGGGAACCGTCGTCCCGTCCCAGAGCTGCCAGGGGTTGGTCCCAACGCATGGTCATAGCAGCAGACCCATATGGACTGTTTGTGTCACCAAGCCGGAGCTTGTATCAAGCTCCTCAAAGCGTTATGCTTAATGATGCCCACTATTCACTCGTCGTGATGTGTTGTCGAGTTCCGAAGGATCGAAGTCGACCCGGGGGTGGATTAGAGACCTTGAGAAAAGAGTAAACTCACTGTTATCCTCTCCTGTTGCCCATGAGTTTCTAACCAGGCCTCCTTCGCTTGGTAGGCTTCTCCTCGCGGATATGACCCGGGTCACTCTGCTTTCCATTGACCACAAGCGGCTGCCACTCAATCAGCCAGTTCAGGGCATCGAAGTTGGCCTGTTGCCTCCGCTTGGCGCTCTTGGCGGTCCTCCGTTCGCAGTGATTGCAGGCGGTTCCAGAGAACGGAGGCGATCCGCGCACAAAGCAGACGTCCCACACCCAAGATGAACAAAAGGCGCAGTACTTCCAGCCGGCGTGGGCTTCTCGCGAGGCCTTGGTATCTCTGTTCGTTGTCTTGTTCTTACGAGGAGGAGGGTTGACCGGCCGATTAGAGGGCCAGCCGGGCCCCAAGGTCCAGTTACCAGCGTATCGGAAACCCGGGGGCAGCGGAGGTCGACCCGAGTCCGGGGGAGGGACTGGGGCTGTTGCCGGTGCGGGTTGGTCAGGACGTACGGCGGCCCGATTCGGAGCCGGAGCTGGAGTCGAAGTGGGAACCGGAGATGGAGTTGGAGTCGGGGCCGGAGAGACCGAGTTCGAGGCCGGGGCTGCGATGACAGACGACGCGGACGTAGCTTGAGAGAACGTCATATCAATCCCGCCCCTAGGGTAGTAACCGTCTGATGTCAGCCGGAGAATCAAACTCGCAGAGATTCATCATACCACGTATCGCCCTCATCCTCGCCGTCGGCGTCGACGTCGTTCACATCGTAATATATACCGCTATCAGCGACAGCATCAGTGGCATCGCAGCCTTGCTGATATTCCTGAGGAATACTTGGGGCCTGATTCGCGTTTTGGGTGGTGTGCTCGGTATCGCCGTACGTATAACGAGCGATGAGGTCAAGTTCGTGGTTTATTTCGTCGTACGCGTAGAAGCTCTGTTTGGCGCTGGTATCCTGCTGGTATTCCTGGGGGATAATCTCAGGAGGCTGAGGGACGTGGGCATTATCGATCTTGAAAGCCTTAAGGATATGCAGAGCGGCGGGTGGGAGATTGTTGATATCGCCGCGATGGTCGTTATCGGGATCGTTCGCTACCCAATTGCCACTGTCGGAAAACACGTAACCATGCCGTTGCAGCTCCTCTCGGACCTTGGGTAAGCTCAGCTATGGTGATTTAGTAATGAGACGTATATAAAAAGGGCTTATGGGACCATGTGTCTTTGTACATACCAAATAGCGGACTCGATTGGCATCCATTTCTTTCGATGTGCTTCTTTCTTGTTTCAAGGGAAGAAAGAAAGAAGAGAGGCTTTCTCAATCTGAGGGCTGGATAAATACTTTCTCTGTCGTGTGATCCCTTGATCGTGGCACGAACGGAGTTCATTGCCCGGGATCGTGGTGGTCGTGTAGTCCATCACAGCTAGTATTCCTCATCGTTGTCGTCGTTGTATCCCGAGTATTCAGGTCCCAAGGACACATGCCCAGTACATAACTCATGTTTAGAAAACATATCTCCAGCAAACCGTGCGATATGAGTGCTGGGATACTGCTGTCAAATCGTGACAGAGACTATAGAATGCTGACACTGGCTGCTCTCCTAAATCAAACACATCATCTACAAGACAAAGCTCTTATAAACAATATCACAAAAAGAATTAGAGTGACTTTTGAGGGTCATTGAGTCAATACATGAATTAGACCGACTTCATCTGAGAGGCTGGCATGAATGACATCAATAGATGCAGCTATACTGACAACACATTAGCTACAATTTTCAATTAGATGTGATATTGAAACAATGCCATTTGTCACAGAAACAACGGATCAATTGAATATACAACCTTGATAAAAACCATCTAGACATCAAATTGAGCGCACCTCAGGTATGTCTGTAGACGCGCATGTTCTATAGCTGACACGCCTTGATGCCATGTTGATTCATCCTTCTTCGCCACTAGAAGAAACCGCCTTTCGCTTCAAATATCGACAAAATCGCAATTAATGCTATCAGTCGTGTTGCTCCGCAATCGCAACCCCCCTGAATGACATGCAGAGCCGCCGTTCCCCGGCATCGCATCCACGTGGATTCGTAACTCCGTACACGCTGACATATCGCTGACGACGAACGGTCAACACCGAAGTGGACTCGCCCGAACCGCCTCTTCCTCCCCACGGCCCTCATCCGAAGTGAGGCCTTTTGAAGACATCCGATTGCTGATCGACAGGCACCTCCGGTGGATGCCACTCCCAGGGGGTTTGACTCGTCCGGCCTCCATCGAGACGGGCTCGCCACCCAATGGCACGCGCCCGAGGGCTGGAGAACTGCCGATGTCAGTGGTGAAGAGTGTGGGGGTCGTACCCAGTCAATTTCCGATGAGGCGATCCGTGCAACTCGTGGATTTCCCGAATAGGCACCGCAGAGTCGCGGTGACGGTGGAGCATCGATCCATCCCGATGGATTGCTATTCAGGGGACGACCAGGCTCCTCGCGAACATCGTCAACCCCCCCGAGTTCCGGCACGGAACCGCATGCCGTCGAGAAGAATTTAACGTGCCCACGCCCGCGCGGCAGACGGGAAGCCAAGACCTCGGACTCTTCTTCTCACCACCACCACCACCTTCAAGCTTCCAACGGTCCAGGTCCAGGTCCCAAGTCCGCCATGATGTGCAACGCCAAGTTCGTGGCCACCTTCGCCGGCCTCCTCGCCTCCGCGAGCGCCGGCCCCAGCGTCCGCCTCGACAACGGCCTCACCGTCCAGGGCCGCATCGCCCCGGACGCCTCCAACGTCGCCGAATTCCTGGGCATCCCGTACGCCGCGCCGCCCCTCGACGACCTCCGCTGGGAGCCGCCCCAGCCCTACGTCGTCCCGGACTCGGGCAACCCCTTCGCCAACGGCACCGTCGTCAACGCCACCGCCCTGCCCCCCTCGTGCTGGCAGTACATCTCCGTCCACCCGGCCATCCAGCGCGTCGACGTCCCCGAGTTCATGATCGGCGCCGCCGGCATGGACGAGGACTGCCTCACGGCCAGCGTCTGGGCCCCCGCCGGCGCCGTCCCGGCCTCCGGCAGCGAGGCCGCGGAGGGCGGTCTCCCCGTCATCATCTGGTTCTACGGCGGCGGCTTCGAGACGGGCGGCACCGACGTGCCGTACCAGATGCCGCAGAAGTGGATCGAGCGCTCCCAGGGCCACATCTTCGTGACCTTCAACTACCGCATGAAGCTCTTCGGCTTCCCCAACTCGGCCGCGCTCGAGGAGCAGAACCTGGGCCTGATGGACCAGCGCTTCGCCGTCGAGTGGGTCCGCGACAACATCGCCAAGTTCGGCGGTGACGCCTCGCGCATGACCCTCTGGGGCCACTCGGCCGGCTCCATCGCCGTCGACTACTACAGCTTCGCGTACCCCGAGGACCCCATCGTCCGCGGCCTGGTCATGGACTCGGGCACCTCGCACCTGAACCAGCTGATGAGCAACGACGTCATCCAGTCCAACTTCACCTTTGTCGCGCAGCAGCTCGGCTGCGGCAACCAGACCGACGCAAAGGCCGAGCTGGCTTGCATGCGCAAGATCCCCGCCGAGAAGCTCGAGAACTTTGTGGCCACCTACAAGGACTCCGGCGTCACGCCCAGCATTGGCTTCTCCCCCGTCATTGACAACAAGATTGTCTTTGGCAACTACTCCGAGAAGGCCGCCGCCGGCGAGTTCTCCGACCTGGTGAGTTTAGCGGTGTCGTCAGAAATCATGAGACATCAATACTGACCCAAGACAGCCCGCCATCATCGGCTTCAACCACGACGAGGGTCTCTTCCTCGCCCCCTACAGCGTCGACGGCCCCGATCCGAGCGTCGCCGACAGCCTCTCCTACCAGTACTTCTGGTGCCCCGCGACCAAGACCACCAAGTGAGTATCGCCGTGGAACCGCTCCCTCCAAAGACCACCAGAAACTAACACACCTCTCCAGCGAGCGTCTTGCCGCCGGAAGAACCACCTACCGCTTCTTCTACGCCGCCGTCTTCAACAACACCTCTCCTCGTCCCTGGATGGGTGCCTACCACGGCAGCGAGCTCCCCATGATCTTCGGCACCCACGCCGACTTCCGCGGCAACTCGACTCCCTTCGAGTACGAGCTCAGCTACGTCATGGAGGATGCCCTCACCACCTTCATCAAGGACTCCACCGCCGGTCTTGACGCCATCGGCTGGCCTGTCTACACCGCCGAGGGCCGCGAGGTCCGCACCTACGGCGAGAACAACGTTACCGTTGGCAAGCGTACTCTGTCGTCCATCGAGCAGGGTTGCGCCGACCTGGGACTTTTGTAATTCGATGTAAATATTCCATCACAATAGAACATATCATTTGAGAAAGCTGTATTCGTGTTTGCGGCCGTCGTGAAAGTATTTGAGGGACTCTTGGTCCCAGTGAGCTGATCAGCCTCATTCTTGTCTAGTGACAGAGTCAGTCTCCCTGCACCCGAAGAACCAGCCAGAATATCGATAGTATGAGGAGGAACCCACGAATTTCGTCTTCGGCTGCGATCTTTCCAGAAGAGGCCCGAATAACAGTCGCGTTGGTTCAGGCTTTTAGTCTTTGAGAGAAGTCGGCTATCAAAAACATATATGGTCCTTGAAACCTACCCGTCTCAAAGCAACGCATTTTGTCTTTTTCGTCTTGATGCGGATGTAGAAAGAACTAGACTTAGGAGATGGAAATGTATCTAGCTGTGGTGACAGTCGCATAAAGCCGCTTGCTGGAGGTAGGTTTGCGGGTGACGATGCAAAAAAAAAAAAGCACACTCACACGTTGGATCATACTTAGTCGTCAAGGAGCCTCACCTTTTTGGGACCGGATTTGTTTACATTTTCTTACCCACCCATCATCCCTCAAACCACCATTTTGTGCGTAAGTCTTGATCATTATCCTTGTTCATGATTCCTTCGAGATACTGATTTAGACAGCATATAGGAAGCAACGACTCGAAACGGGATGGACGAAAAGAATCAAGAGACCACCATCGACGCCGCCAAGAAGGCCATTGCCGGTACCGAAGAGGACGAGGCCGAGTCTCCTCCCCGCACCGAGGCCGGCCGCCGCTGGCTAGCCAACCGCCCAGGACCCAACTCTGCAATGGAGCTGCATTACTGTAGTCGTTGCCGAGCGTGGCGCACCAAGGTCTGGTTCTACCGGTTCCCGGCAAGGGACCCCCGAAACCTTCAGGGCAAAGGCATGCGAGTCTAGGCATCTTGCAACCGATGCATGTGGCAGAAGGCCGGAGGAGACCCGGCGGACTGGATCTGGGAGCACTGCCACTGGCTGTATGACGACGGCTTCTGTCCCTGCCACTGGGGCGAGTGGGCTCACCACGACTATGGTTTCTGTCCGACATCCGGACGCAAGCCTTACGTACACCGTTATTCCGGCGACGACCAAGAAAGCAACGGAGATTCCCGAATCGAGAACGATACCAGAGCTGCCACCAATGGTGGCCAGACGCAGGCCGAGGATTCCGCGCAGGACGCTACCGAGGCCGACAAGGAGACGGAGGCAGCTGTGGGCACCGCGGAGGCAGTCAGCGGCATGTAAGCCGACGAAAGAATGCGCAGGTACTGTCTACCCTCCCTGCTTCGTATGTGTGTTTGCAGCTTGTCCTGACCAACATCTTGGGCATCAGTCCATCAAGTTGACCTGGAAGTCTCAGCGACCCTCGCCCTGGCTCTGCAGCACGCCCCGAAAACTCAAGGCGAAGGAGGAAATTTGGTTGTGCAGATCGGGTGAACGATTGGATCGGGCGGCCCGGCGAGGGGCTAGAAGCTGCAAGTTTCTGGGCGATCCCGCTTTGGAACATGTTGAACAGATCGATGGACTCTCTGGCATGGCTGGTCGCCTCCTGTAGCTTCGTCTGCTTCAATGCAAACCAACGAGTTGCTACTCCTATGATCCCCCATTTTCGTTCAAGGTAAGCTGAGCTGGAATAATCAGATGGAGGAGACGAATACGGAGGACTAAACCGCCGAGATAGCCTGTCATGTTGGTGGTGGGAAATGGCCATCAACAATTTCGAGCTTGAGGCAATGGTCCGTACTAGACAAGCCTTGCGTGCGCACTTGTTCATGCTTCCGCCAGGCGGACCAACATGCCAGTTCCAAAGTCAAAGGGCCGTTGGAGCTGTTGGTTCATCGAGTACGGATGTTTTGTCTGGCGCGTGACCAATATCTAGGCGCGTGGAACCACCGACCCTGTACACCCTCCTTGGGAAGTGTCAATGGAGTGTGACCTGATCGTCTTCTATCACCAAGTGATTGGCCTGCGGGATGTCTGCCGGCCGAGGACAATACCAATGATGGCACCGGGACCTAGCGCGACGTGCCGTTGTACCGAAAAAGATGCTGGAGTTCCATCCAGAACCCGGGGCCATGGTTCGTGAAAGAATAGTGTACGCGGTAGACGTGAGACGCGCCATTGACAGGTCTTGGGCTAAGCTTAGCTAGCCATGGTGAATCCTGACAAGAATCATCAGCAGCTTTTCCCGTAGTCGAGTTGCTTGGCTCATTGGCGAAATGAATGAATGGTCAGCTTACAATGTGAAGCGTCTCGAAAAGCCAAAACATTGGACGAGCACCGGTTCGGCCGAAGGTGGCCGAGGCCGTTGGAGAAGACAGGGAGGTGATTCGCGCGGAACTCCACAGCCAGGAGGACCACTCTGAGTACCGGGGCAAACGGCAAGAGGGCAGGTCTGGAGCCGAAGGTCAGGGCCTATTCCCTGCCGGGGCGGATTCGTGCATGGAGATGGTGCTTCTTTGCTGGGGCGATCGGGTGGTGGGAGGGGTTGGGCCACTTGAACGGCTTGGCTGAGATGTATGTTGCCAAAAGAAGAGCCTTTGGAAGTCATGAGACGGGACCTGGAGGCTGATGATGGCCATTGTGATGGTATTGATTTACTGAAAGCCAAGGGAAAGATGTCAAAAAGAAATGACCATGAATAGCCTTACTGCAGTGGCAGGGCATGGCGAGGCGATGGATCGATGGTTGAATGTGGATGAATGTTGCAGTTTGTGTCGATGTTTGTCAGTCGATGGCCGCAGGAAAAGCATGGAAGAGGCCGGGAGCCCAGAATTCGAGGTAAGCGGGGACTGGATTTCATTACATAAGACAGGAGGTACGTATCTTTCAATATCATGAACCTCTGATATTTGGCACTTTGAAGTCTTTGATACCTCGCCATTGATCTTCAGTTCTACATATTTCCAATCAACATCTTTTAGAGCCAACATCAAATTGTAGAATAGCACCCTCCGCACTGCAAATGGAAAATGAGGGGAAGTTGGAGGGTAGCAGTGCTGGTCTAGATGCCGTCTGGTGTTTGGTGATGGTGTTGGTGGTGTGCAGAAGTTGGAGAACCCAGCAGGGCCATTGGACAATGCTTCAGCGCCTCTCCCTCGCTGAAGTCCAGCCCAGGCGGCATCTCCAGCGACTCCTCAGCGGCTCCAGGCTCCATTGCGGCCCATCACGCCACTAAATCCCCAGACTTACCCCACATCATCCCCCGAGCTTCGCTTAGTAGGCGCTAGTCCGTGTCTGGACTCGCTAGACCCACCTTGGTAGAGCTAGGCACCTCGTCTCTTCCGATCAATTTCAACTCGACCAGAAGTTCCACCAATCGACCTCTCCTCCCGCCAAACAACATGTTTCTGGCAAGCCGATTTCAGTCAAGCTTCAAGCTTCAAGCTTCCAAGTCGCGCTTTCCCTCGAACCAAAGTACCGCGTAGGGCCCAGAGTCGACGGTCCGACGTCCCTATCCCGCCGCCTCTGTCCGTCCGTCTCCTCATCCTGGCCCTCACCAACGCCTCCAAGCTGCTTCTGCTCCATCCCAGACGACATTGAATCCCTCGGTCTCGTACCGTTGCCGTTCTCTCCACGCCCCCCGGTTGGTCCTCCGCCATTACCTGTCCACTCAGATCCCGTCAACCCCTTCAATGTCCTCCGCAGTTTTCTCCCTCCGGCCTCCTCAGCCAGTCATGGCCTTCCAAGACCGTCAATCCCGCCGCTAGACCAATGTGTCCCCGATCGCATTTCCACTTGAATGCGGGTTGCGGTTCGCACATGGTCTGCCTTTCTATTGCCGGCACAGTCTCCAGTCCCGTGAGTATGGCCAGTCTGGGCACAAACGGCATGGTCTGGCGATGGATTTCCCACCTGGTCTGATTTGGAAATGGCCAGGCAGGGACCAAGCTGGGGAAGGAATGGGGTGGTTGCAATTCTGTCCCATGCGTTCTGCAACCATGGTATGGGACGCGAGAAGCCGACTGTCTGGCACGGTGTTGATCTCGCCTTGACGCGACGTTAAAATACCCCAACTGCCCCCCATCGCACACTCTCTTCTCTTTCTCGATACGACTCTGCTCCAGGAGCTTGACAACCGCCAACTACCTCAAGCAATCGGGAAAACTAGCAGCCATGTCTCGCGATATCAACACGGCCTCTCAGCACGAGGACGTCCGCCTCGAGAAGGGTGCCCCCCACATCAGCCAGTACAACGATGTCGCCCTCGATGACAAGGTCCTCAACTCGGAAGCCGCCCAGGCTACCAACACCGAACACAGCTTCGGCGTGTGGGAGGGTCTGAAGACTTACAAGCGAGCTGCTTTCTGGTCCATCCGTCAGTATTCTCATTGTCATTAACGTTGCCAAACTGGTAAACTAATGAGCCGCTTCCAGTCATCTCAACCACCGTCATCATGGAAGGGTACGATGTGACCTTGATAGGATCCTTCTACGGCTACCCGGCCTTCCGAAAGAAGTACGGCGAATGGCTGAACCCGAAGGATGAGTGGCAAATTTCCTCCATGTGGCAGCAACGATTCAACTGCCTCGGTGCCCTGGCCAACATCGTCGGCGCTCTCCTAAACGGATACCTCACACCCAAGATCGGCCACCGCTGGATCCTCATCGGATCACTTTTCTGGTTGGCCGCCTTCATCTTCGTCGTCTTCTTCGCCCACAACATCGAGATCCAGCTGCTCGGCCAGGTCCTATGCAACGTTCCCTGGGGTGTCTTTGCCACTACCGGTCCCGCCTACGCCGCCGAAGTCACCCCCCTCGCTATCCGTGGCTACTTGACCTCGTATGTCAACCTTTGCTGGTGCATTGGCCAGTTCATCTCTGCTGGTGTTCTCAAGGGCCTGGTCGACCGAGAGGATGAGTGGAGCTACAAGATCCCATTCGCTGTTCAATGGGTGTGGCCAATTCCCCTCGCCATCGCGGCCTACCTGGCACCCGAGTCTCCCTGGCATCTGGTGCGCGCTGGTAAGCTCGATGAGGCTAAGAGGTCGTTGGAACGGCTCTCGGAGCCCGAGCACAACTTGAACCACGACAACACCATTGCCATGATGGTCCACACCAACAAGCTTGAGCTCCAAGAGCAGGAGGGCGCCAGCTTGTTGGACTGCTTCAAGGGCACGAACCTGCGCCGTACCGAGATTGCTTGCATGGCCTTCCTGTCTCAAATCACAAACGGTGGTGCTCTCTGCTACTCCGGCTCCTTCTTTTTCCAACAGACAGGTATTTCTGCCTCGGCCTCATACGCTATCAGCTTAGGAGGCACTGGAATCGCATTCGTCGGCACCATCATCTCGTGGTTTTATATCTACAAGTTTGGTCGCCGCACCATCTGGCTCTGCGGTTTCGCTTTTATCACCGTCATTCTCTGGATCATTGGCTTCTTGTCTGTTGCCCCCAACCAGACCGAACCGATCATCTGGGCGCAGTCGTTGCTCTGTATTGTCTGGCTCGGTGCCTACTCAATGTCTTTCGGCCCCATCGTCTACACGCTCATCGCCGAAGTTGGATCTACCCGTCTCCGCACTCAGACTGTCGTGTTGGCTCGTAGCACGTACTACGTTGGTAACATCATCTGCGGTGGTTTGATTCAGCCAAAGATGTTGGCTCCTGGTGACTGGAACATCAAGGGCAAGACTGTAAGTGATCCAATCCCTAGAAAGATTGTCTACATCATATGCTAATACGGTATTAGGCTTTCTTTTGGTCGGTACTCGCTACGCTCACCTTCGTTTGGGGATACTTCCGCATTTTCGAGACAAAGGGCCGCACTTTTGGCGAGTTGGACGTCATGTTCCAGAAGGGCGTGTCCGCCCGCAACTCGGCCAAGTACCAGCTTACCCAGGAGGAAGTTTTCTTGGCCGAGCAGACACACGATGTTCCCGGCCAGAGGGAGGAGAAGCGATGATCTACATACTATGCGAGATACCCCAACCGCCCTGACCTAGGGTGTCTGTCATTTATTGCCATCTATGCCTGGCGGCGTGTCGTTGCCATAATGACCGCCTCTGGCTTCAAGTTGAAATCTAATATCCAACACGCGAAACCGCTGTTTCGTCATGCTTGATGCTCCAAATTGCTTTCTGGTGACAACATTCTTTAGAAACGTCGCATCTACTTACCCGGTCTCACGAAGTCACGCGTGGACCTTTTTTTACGACGCATCTAAACGGTCACTACGTGCATCTCGTCACTGATCGCGACAGGGTCTGTTACTCATGAGAGCTTGCGCTGATGCTTCAAAGCTATTCTTGATTATTGATTACGATTGACACATTACAGGGCCCTCTCATCTCTACGATGTCAACCCTCCAAAGGCAGAACCTCGAAAGCGGGCGTCTCGAAAACATCCCAATTATCCGAAGCCTCAGGGTTGCCAAAGGGGAAAAGAGCCGCAAACCGCATCTTGTACTTTCCTGGGGCAATCTGGGTGCCGTTCGCCAGCTGTCCCAACCACCAGAGCTCGACGCCATACAAGCCCACGATATCTCTCGGCACATCACGCATGGGCAGTGAGATGACGTCCTTGGGATCATCAACACTAGAGTCAATGAAGGTCTTGCCAGACGCCTTGGACCAGCTCGTGGCTGCCCCGATGAACCCCGCCTCGCCAACAACCGGGGGATACTTCCAGTCTCGCTCCGTCCATGACTCCTCGAATATGTCCCAGCGCAGCTCACGCGTCGCGTACTGAATGCGCGCATAGAGGTTGGGGAAATCCTGAATCTGGGGATCAAGGTTGAATGTGAAGTTCGACTTCTCGGCGATGGGAATGTCACTGCGGGTGGACGTAATCTTCGGCCAGCCGACCGGGTACTGGAACATGATGCCAACGTCCTTGTGGAGGTCGGCAGCCAGGCCCAGGTACGGTACACCGAGAGTCTCGCCGTTGCTACCCTTGATTAGGACCTTGCCGCTGTACAAAGGCAGCTTGGCTGGGTCAAGGTCCTGGTTCTCGGGATATTTGAAGTTGAACTGGGCCGTTTTGGTCTCGCCCGGCTGGACAGTAACAGCACCTGGGAACGAAATCTGAGCAGTCATCTTCTGTGGCGCGACCATGACTTCCTCGAACCACGCAATCTTGGGTGTTCCCCAGACATTGGGGTCCAGGTTGACGGTGTTCATGCCGCCAAACTCCTGCTGCTCGAAGGTGTACGTTACCGGCTCGGAGCCCGAGTTGGTGATGTCGACGGTGTGGTACCGGCTAAAGTGGTGCGTGTCGTTAAGTGCGAACTTGGCGAAGGACAAGGTGGTCTCGTACTCCAGAACCTTGCTGGCGTTGATGAGGCCAGTACCAACTTGGGCAACAGGTGCAAGGAACGGATACTCATTGTTCTCGAGCTGGCCGTCGTCCCACTTAATGGCCTCGCCGGATGCGATGAGTCGCATGGCAAGACTCTTAGCCCACTCAGGCCCATGAGTGCTTCGACCGCCGAATTTGCTGACGTACAGGGCGGCGATTCCTGCAACATATGGACACGACATTGATGTTCCGCTGAGAATCGAGTAGCCGCCGCCAATGTAAGAGCTTAGGATCTGACCACCCGGAGCCGCGACGTCGGACTTGATGAAGAGGTCATTGGTGGCACCGATGGATGTGAACTGGCTGGCAACGCCGCCGTTCTCCTCGTTCTTGACCCCGACGATATGGAAGATGGGCCTCTCGGTGAAGTCGGCAGTAACGTTTCCGCCGGCTCTGATGGTTCCGATGATGGCCGCTCCTACACCAGCCTCGATCATGGCAATGCGACTGCTGGTATCTTCAGTGGTGGGTCTCACCAATGGCATCTCATTGCTGTAAAAAAGGATATGAGAGGCATTGAACGGGGCAAGGTTGCGCTGCTTCTGATCAAAATTGCAGCCTCCACGGCGGACAAGAGCAACAACGCCGGTCAGATCCGGAGTGCCAGCGGGCAAAGGATTGCAAGCCTCGTCAGCCGTGCTCGTGTTGAGGCTGAGGGGGACGATGGGCCAATCCTGGACCTCAGACGGGTACCAGTCCTCGATGGCTCTGTACGCCACACGAGTCTCGTTAGACTGCCCATCCAAGTTGAGCACGCCCCTGAACGATGATGACGCGAGCACGTCGGCCTCGACAGACGCCACAGCAACAACGTGTTCACCGGACGAACCGCTGCTGGCAGCAAAGGAACCCGCCTGACCGTCGTTGCCCGCAGAAATTGTGACAACGACACCCTGATCAACCAGTCGACTGCTCAAAACAGCCCAAGCTCCATCTGGAAATCCAGAAATACCACCGATTGACGAAGTTATGATGTCGACCTTGAAGTCTGTCAGCAAAAGCCGACCGCCGAAACTCTGCGGTACTCACACCAGCATCATACGCCGCGAGGAAAGCCTCGATGAGGGTGTCCTCATCGGTGCCGTCGACGGACCCAAAGACCTTGTACGCATACAGCGTGGCTTCGGGAGCAACTCCGGTGATACTTCGCGGGTCGAGTGTCAGATATCGGGCCCAAGACAAAGTTGGTAGGGCGCTTCTCGCGTCAACTTACATGCTGCTGTTGCCGGCTATGATACCAGCGACGTGGGTTCCGTGGCCTTGCTGGTCCAACGGATCGGCGTCTGGATTCTTGACCTCACCCTCATTCGGCCACGCTACGATTCTCGTCAATCTCGCGATCGGAAAGCAACTTCTCGATCAGGGGACTCACATCCATCACCGACAAAGTCATACCCTCCCGCAACCTTGAAGCCATCGCCGAAGCCACCACCAAGCTGCAATCTTGTCAGAGAGTTTCCCTTCCTGAGATGTATGATCGACACTCACAGCCTCATGGGTGTACCAAATGCCGGTATCGACGACTGCAACCTTGGCGCCTTTGCCCAAAACACCAGCAGCATGCAGCTTGTCGACGCCGGTCATGTGGTGGATGTCGTAGTCAATAGCCGTCGCGTTTTCACTGAACGAAGCCAGAGGCGTGCTCGGCGCAAGCTTATACTTTCGTCCCTGCCAGGCTTGCTTAATAGGCTCGAGCGCTTGGAGCGAGTCGATGTTTTCGACATCGGTCTCAACAGCCGCGCCAGAGAAGATGTCGCTCTTGAATACCCGGACCACCTTGGCACCGCGCTGATTGGCGATCTCCTCGGCAATAGCAGAGGCATCGGTTCCCTGGACCATATGAGCGGCTGTTTGAATAAGCTTGCGCCAGCAAAACATACCTCGTTGAATTCGACGATGAAGCGCTTCGGCTCAACCGCCGTCTTGTTCGCGGCGGTCTCCGGTGCATTGTCGTCCGCCCGGCGCATCAGGGGATGATCACGGAGGGCAACGGCCCCGGTCACGCCGGAGACCGCGAGGAGGAAACGAGTGAGTTGCATCTTGACCAATCTACCCAACGAATGAACGAGGGAATGCAGGAAAACCTGATGACGAAACAGGCACCTGTGATATCCCTTAGTCGAGGCATCGTGTTATATACAACGCAACGACGAGCTAGAGACAGCGACTCATATCGCGGTTGTCAAATTTTGATGCTCAGCGCGACCGGCGTGTTGTTGCATTGGAAATGCAGGGCGATGCACTTCGTTGTTCGTATTTCGGTGTTGCGACCCTATTGAAGCATGGGTGGCCGACAAGGGCATTCATTAAGCATCTTGGCGTGCTGTTCCTGCGCCTATCTACATCGTGCTAGTCGCTCGAGATGGAAAGATAGCACGTCACATCACAGGATCATGTCGACAGTCCCAGGAGTAGAGTCGCGCCTATCTGCAGCTCATTTAACAACCCTTTCACCACCAAGCCGACGTCGGCTCCACGGTGCCCGTTTCTCGTGTCGGCATGGCCCGATTCACAACCAACTTCGCTATCAGGCCTAGCATGATTCTTGGTCAATGTAACCTTATCACGACCTTCTTCTTTCTCACTCCTGCAGGAACGAGGATCCCGTGCTCCTCCGCAATGGTGGTAGTGCAGCAGCGACCCACATCCGGAAGACACCAATTGGCAGCCGGTCGAGCTTCCGGACGGGCTCCCGGGGACGTCCGAACGGCCGTCGATGATGGACGAACATGCAGTTTGCACACTGCTGCTATTTCGGTGGTTGTCAATATCGCTTTCTGCGAACCAGCCAACTACTGCCATCGGATATTCCCAGTTTCGATGCACATCTATTGCCTCCCAGACTATATCGACTCGGAATATCCGTTTCGCAGGCTGGTCTTTCGTCTCTGGGACATGGGACAGACGTGCACACGGACACGGACAGATGACAGACAGCATCCGTCAATGGCGACATTGCCGTGCTTGCGGCGCTTAGTTCGGCTGAGACTACGTTCCCCGCAACCCGTGACATGAACTCGAAGTTTGGTCCGAAACGGTCGACAAATCGGCTTATCTTGCCGTCGGGCCAGTCTCATCAGACGTCACCCTCGGAATCGGTCTTTGGGACGAGAGCCGAAAGGCCCCCTCTCGCCCGTCGGCAACGTCCCCAGCTTCCTCGTTGGCGGCGTATTCTTAGCAATTGTGGCATCGCCCCTCGAAGGCAATTTCTCAAAAAGCGTTGCCATTGCTTCCCCTAACCCATCGATATCGTTTCCCTCTTACGTTTTCTCAATGTTAATCTTGAGACGGCTCCATGATCGTGAATTATCCGGTTGGCCAAGAAGCGACACCGCCAATCACACCACCTGCACGAGGGGAAGTCAACTTTGAAGCTCAGCTCCTCCGCCCCTTCTCGCCAGCCTCTACGGCACAGCTAGGCCTTGGGGAGAAGGGGGAGGTGGACGGCAGCTAACTGGAATTGGCTGGCTCACCTGATTTCACGGCCGAAGTTAAGTTAAGCTTCGGGGTGATGTGCACCAGATCCGGGATGATTGCTCAACGACCCGTCTCAGAAATCTTCCGTAGGAGGACCATCGAGTCGATTCACTTCACCACGGCTGTGAAACATGATCGGCCACGTTTCTATCCTGAGGGCTCGACAGGGTCCCTCTCTGCAGCCACAGCTTGGTAACTCGCCGGCGGGAGTTTATTCTCTGGCCATCCCACCTCCCGAGCACACCAGAACCAGACAACGTGCCGGCGGCAGCTTCACATCCTATCGCAGTCAACCCGTCCGCGGCAAACTTAGATGGCTAGCGCGGCCATCGACTACCGTCTCTGTTCTCTGCGCCGTGTTTTACACTTTCGAAACAAACATTGCCCGCCGCACCATCTCCCAACGCGGCTCGTCGCCTCCTCCGTACTAGCTTCCGGACAGGGTCTCTTCGAGAACACCCTCCGACGCGTCGGTACAGCCAAGAGCTCAAGCTTAATCCAACCAAGCACTTGGCGAGGCGGAAGATCTTCAGGGCCATCTAGGCACAGGAACACCAGATCCAGGAACCGTGGCAAGATGCCGACTTAGACGCCTGCCGGCACCCGACAGCTCGTCCACCTCGCGAGAGATGCTCGACTGCCGAAGCCAACAACCCCTGGTTCAATCTTGATAAGCTTCCAAGTCTGAAGCGACGATTGGTAGCATTTGCCGATGAGAAACGTGCCTAGCAGGCGATGTCGGTTCGAACCAGTCAGTGCGGCTTCACAACCATGACTGTTTCAAGAGCTCCTACGGGCTTCCGTGACGCCAGGGGGAGAGATGCAAAGCCGAAGACGCGATTCAGGATTGCTAAATATCCCCACGCACCTTTCAGATCCTTCGATCTGCACGTCAACCCATTCTAACAGTAGACAAACCCGTCGCCTTCCTTCAACACCAAACCGGTTCATCATGACAAGTGAGCAATGAGCGAAGACCAGTTCATCAGCGCCGCGCCGCCACCGCCGGGAGTGACTTCCAACTTCGAAAACCCCTCTGAGTCCCTCGTCCCTCAGGTCCTTGTGGTCACCATCCTGCTCAACCTGCTGGCCATCATCTTCTGCGGTATTCGCCTCTACACCGTCCGGGTCGTCATCCACCGCCACCAGCTCGACGACGACCTCATCTTCATCGCGCTCATCTTCGCCACCGCGTACTCCGTTATCCAAGTTTACGAGACCCGAAATGGCGCGGGACACCATATCTGGGACGTGTCCAGGGCGGACGCCATTGCCTTCCACAAGCTGAGCATGACGGACCTTGCCGCCTACAGCTTATCGATCCTCTTTACGAAAGCCTCGATCCTCGTCTTCTACCTGCGGTTCCCTCTCAAAAAAGCCGTGCGGATCGTCGTGTACGTCGTCATGTTCGCAACGGTGGCGTACTCCGCTGCCGGCGCTCTGGGATGGGTGTATCTCTGCACGCCAATGGCCAAGATTTGGGAGCCCGATACCCCTGGGTCATGTGTCGACCGGGCAATGTGGTGGTTGATGCTCTCCGTCTGCAACGTGGCTACGGACCTCGCCATCCTACTTCTTCCCATCTGGATTCTTTCTCCTCTGTCCCTGCGACTCGTCAAGAAAATCGAGATGACGATATTTCTGATGGCCGGTGGATTGTAAGTCCGACCCTTCTTGGGATGTGATGGGAACTTGATGCTGACTGGTGCGTCTAATTAGTGTTCTGGGACCCAGCATCGTCCGAATGGTCATGATCCCGATAGGCTTCAACAACACAGACTTTACCTGGACCGCATCGATCAGCATCATTTGGTGGTACGTACCCAATTGCCGCGCCCGTCTTTGGAGTGGTAACTAATTGTCAACAGCGTGGTTGAGGCCAATGTTGGTATCATCTGCACTTGCCTACCATTCCTCAAGGCATTCATGAGGCACGTTGCTCCGGGCATTTCCAAGAAGTTCGCCATGAACGAGGAGCCGAATTCGCCAACCGTGTTCGACAGGGCCGCGGCCATGGCAAGCTTGCCACCTGTGCCCAAGTCCGCACGGAGAAAGAGTCTTGGCAGGCAGGCCGTTAAGGAAGTGCCCGACGATGACATTCACGCGTCGAGAAACTGGCCTTTGAAGAACGAGGAGGCATATGACTTCACCGACGACGACCGGATATCGCTGGATCGTGTATCGTCGGAGCGGAAAACGCCGCAGAAGCCCGTTGACGCGGCGGAGATGGTGTGAGCATGTATGCAAGCGAGGAACTTTTGCGTTCCGCATTATACCCATCAAATTTGACAACTTTTCTGGATGACATCCGGCGTGTGAGAGGCCGGGCTGAGTCTGCTGCGACGTGCTCCCTGTCAGGGGTCAGTTGGCGTTGATGTTTACCTGTGGCGGAGGACTGGTATTAGCCGGTAAGTTGACGAAACCTCTGCGAATGCGAGATCCACGGCGCTGACCATCCACCAGGCCTTTTCAGAAAGAAGACCATTGTGTCGTTGGACAAACAGCGGGCTGAGACGATGTGTCAGACCAGCCCATCAGGTCCATGGTGTCGGCGGTCCATGTGGCTCCGCTATCTCCGGTATGGCCGTCCCGTGTGTCACGGCGCCGTTGCATCGGTGGACGGCCGCGCTAGTTCGACGCCGTCATCAACAAGCTTCATGCCTCGAGGTCGTTGGATCTAATCAGATGCTCGGCGCTATCGGTCGAAGAGCTTAGCAATGCTCGGAGCATCGTGATTGATGGATGATGCAAGCACAGCTGCAGACGAACCAACCTCAAACCGACGGATCGAGTCAGGTTGTCAGGCGAGAGCGTGTGGTAGTAGCTAGCGCGTGGCCCAAGAGGCACACTGATTAATAAGAAAACCACTTCATGGAAAATCAAGCTCATTAAGAATCCCACCGGCGTGCGTGATGGATCACTGATCACTTTAGCTCGATAAGGCCAACCAATCTCGGCGCAAGGAGATGTCGCCCACGGCCCTCGAGTTTGTCGCCGCGGTGGATCTCATCGGCGCCGAAGTTTTCTGACGGCGTTGGTCGCATGTACCTCACACGCAGACGTTGGCTGGTGAAGTACTTCATTCTCGGCCTCGGCGGTTATGAGAGCGCCGCCCGCCGAGAGGACTCACGTTCCGGACCCCCTTCCGCCAACAAACAATCACGCCGGGACCCGCGCAACTTCGCTACGCGAGACGAGATCTGGCTGAGAGCCGCACACGCGGTGTGACTCGATTCGCTCGTTGGCTCTGTTCAGTGCTCATAATGCACCCTGGTCGGTGGTAATCGGATTCCGTCTGACGGGTTCGTCGTCGTCGCCATGGGAAAGGGGGTGTAGCGACGGAGCCCACTTGGGCCTGGTCCGATGGAGATCACGGCGCGGGCTTGAGGACGTGGGGACCGCTGACGCCTTTGATTCTTCTTTTCGATCTCTGTTTTTCTTCTTGTCGTCTACATTGTTCTGAGGGAGGGTGTGTTTGGAATACTTAATCGCGTCGTCCGTCCCGTTTTGGATCGAGATATTGTTGCATCAGACGATCCATCATCAACATCGAGAAGCTTTCACTTCTACATAGGACTCTTCTAATATCAGACGACTCATCTCTTCTTCACCGTCAAGATCCTGGAGGAATCAGGCTTTAGTCACAACAGCAAGATGTCGAACCGAGAACACCTCTCGTCCCCAGCGGACTCCCAGATGACCGTCGCAGACCCGCAACCCTTCAACCCGGAACGCAAGACCGAGAAGGACCAGGACAGAACCGATTACTCCTCCGACGATCAGCACCCTTCCACCTTCCAGCCGTCCGCCGACCCGGAGAAGGCCGCGAAGCCGTCGTATCCGGGAAGCGACGCCCCGGACGGCGGTCTGACGGCATGGCTCGTCGTCCTCGGCGCCTGGTGTACCAGTTTCTGCAGTTTCGGCTGGGTCAACAGTACGTCGCATCGCGTGTAACCCTGCTTAGAGCCTCATCGTACTAACACAAAGAAACCCAGGTGTCGGCGCTTTCCAGGAGTACTACCAGAATGACCTGCTCAGAAACTACTCGGCCAGCACCATCTCCTGGATCCCCTCGCTGCAGATCTTCTTCATGATGGCCATGGGCCCCATCATCGGCACGCTCTACGACAACTACGGCCCCCGCTGGCTCATCCTCGGCGGCACGATCCTCCACGTCTTCGGCCTCATGATGACCTCCCTCTCGACGCAGTACTACCAGATCCTCCTCGCCCAGGGCATCTGCTCCGCCATCGGCGTCTCCGCCATCATGCAGCCCGCCCTCAACACCATCATCGGCTGGTTCAACCTCAAGCGCGGCGCCGCCTTCGGCATCCTCTCCACCGGCTCCTCCATCGGCGGCATCGTCTTCCCCATCATGGTCACCCGCCTCATCAAGTCCGTCGGCTACGCCTGGGCCATGCGCACCTGCGCCTTCATGATCCTCGGCCTCCTCATCATCGCCAACCTCACCGTCAAGGCCTACCACCCGCCGCGCCCGCAGAAGGTCACGCGCGAGATGCTGCTCCGCCCCTTCAAGGAGTCCGAGTTCGTCATGGTCGTCGTCGGCTTCTTCCTCTTCACCTACGGCATCTTCGTGCCCATCAACTACATCCAGGTCCAGGCCCTCGAGGCCGGCATGTCGCCGGACCTGGCGCAGTACCTCGTCGCGATCCTCAACGCCGGCTCGCTCTTCGGCCGCATCTTCTCCGGCGTCATGGGCGACAAGATCGGCAAGTACAACATCTTCGTCGTCGTGTGCTACCTGTCGGCCGTCTGGATCCTGGCGCTGTGGATCCCGGCCCAGAGCGACGCCGCGCTGATCGCCTTCGCCGTGCTCTTCGGCTTCTGCTCCGGCGCGTACGTCTCGCTCATCGCGCCGCTCGTGGCCGCCATCTCGCCCTTCCAGGAGATCGGGTTCCGCACCGGCATCACGTTCCTGACCAACTCCATCGGCGGTCTGACGACGAACCCCATCAACGGCGCGATCCTGGCCGGGCCGAGCGGCTGGGTCGGGATCAAGGTGTTTTCCGGCGTGTTTTGTGTTGCGGGGACGACTTTTATCTTGCTTGCTAGGATGAAGAGGACCAACTGGAAGGTCTTCGTTGCCTTCTAAGCGCAACGGGGGAAGAATGAATACTTACGGCCTATGATAGAAGGCATTGGCATCGGCATTGGCATTATAGACATCTCCTATCCTGTATCTATACCCTCTCTACACGTTCTAATAATGATATGAAACTGTACCTTGTTTTAATGCATAAGTGTCGATTGGCATCTCACTGTGATCCAATGTTCACACCGGACCACTTCAGAGACTAAGAGTTTGACCTTAGCAATCTAAGCTCAATGTAAGTTAAAGACAACAGACGCAGAATCCTTCAATATAGAATTGCTTCAAACTACCGACAACTTGCAAACCTTCTCAGCTTAATAGCTAGGCTGTTATCTAAAGAGATATTTGTTACTGCATGTCATCGCGCCGTAGGGCAGGCTGGCGATCCTGGTCCGACCCGAATGAGCGCCTAGATCAGGCTAAGATAGTTTTGTCTCCGACAACTTGCTGGCGAGGATGACTGCATAATCCGCTGTCTTGGCTGACAGAAAACGAGATTCCCATTCGCTCAAAACCGCCCACTTGCAGTGGTAAGACGTGGCTGCACGATTGCGGGTATTGTCAGGTGAGGTTAAAGCTACGTGTTTTCCCTTCACCAAAACTGCAATTCAGCTTGACTCTTTTCTATTGAAACGTTAAGCACGAAAGACCTCTGGTAATTACTTCAGCATGTCGGATGACACTGCAGATTTCTTCCAGTTTGCGGGCGCTCGTGAATACTGGACGGGCTATGACATCGACAGAAAGCTCGAGCTCGCGATCATCGACGACCATGAGTGGATTCCAGAAGAAACAAGAGAACAAATTCGGGACTGGGCCAAGACGAAAACGCCTCCAAGTGAACAGAAGAACGATACCCAGGTAACACCGTACAAGCCGATCACCGATAAATATGAAATTCGCGTGCTTGAGGTCAAGCCCGGGAAGAGAGGCGATAAGCTCCGCGGATCTCTTCACCACTGTTCTCTCGAGTACATCGATCCCATACCCTCCAACAGGACGTACTTCAGGATGCGCTATGCGCTCTCCATGAACGACCTCACCACGCCGGTATCGTACACAGCGCTCAGCTACACTTGGGGCCCGCCCGTCTTCGATGCGGACTTCGAGTGTGACGGGCATCAGAAGAAAATCACCAAGTCGCTTGAATCGGCATTGTTGCACTTCCGCCGGGAAGATCGATCGGTGGTGATGTGGATCGACCAAATTTGTATAGACCAAAGCAACAATGAGGAGAAGAGTCAGCAGATTCCACTCATGTCAAGGATTTACGAGCGAGCTTTGAACACGGCGATCTGGATGGGGGATACGAGCGACGGGTCGGACGCTGCGGTGAAGTTGTTGGACGACATCAACATTCGTCTACAATTCACAACCGAGGATGACATTGATACAGAGGAGTTCGAGAGATTGAGGCTCCCAAAACCCGAGTCCGAGGAGTGGAAAGCCCTCTGGGACTTTCTCTCGCGGCCGTGGTTCACCAGAGTCTGGATCATACAGGAGGTCATCCTCTCAAGAGATCCATGGGTGGTCTGTGGCGATTCGATCATGGTGTGGGAGAACCTGGCAGGTGCCTGCATGCAACTCAGGACGACGGGCATATCGGAGTGGATGCAGCAGAACTTCCCCAAAGAGAAGAAGGACGAGGACCGAGACGTCTGCCAGCTGGCCTGGGAACTCGACCAGCTCAAACAGCACGCGCAGGACAACAACAGCACGCTCTTCTCGCTACTCGTTCAGTCGAGAGGCGCCCAGTGCTATGATCTGAGAGACAAGGTCTACGGGCTCCTCGGAGTGTGCAACGCGGAACACCAAGAGGCGCTGAAGGTCAGCTACGACGAAGACTTTACGGCTTCCCGGCTGTACCACGATGTTGTGGTGCATCACCTGTCTCTGGATGCTCGCTCGTGGTCACTGCATGAGCTTCTGTCCTGCGTCGACCACGAATCGCCTCATCTGCCGTCTTGGGTGCCGGACTGGAGCAAGCCTCGTCGGACTGTTGCTCTCGGATACACGACCGCTTCGCAAGGCATCTATCGCGCTCATGGCAGATTTGTACCCTTGATGCTGAAGATAGACGCAGAGGTTGACGATAAAAACCACGGCGAATTGCACGTGCGTGGGGTTCTCGTCGATAGCATTGCCAAACTTAGCGATGTTTTCGAGGATCCCGATCTCACGTATGAATATCCAAGTACCAACAAGACTCTCCTGGATTTTCTGGATTTCGTATCTCAGATGACGGAATACCCCGCACCTCACAGCGTATTCTCTGCGTTCTGGCATACTCTCGTGGCTGGCAAGGATGGTGCAGGAAGATTGAAATGTCCAGATTCTGTCGAGGAGATTGTCAGCCTGCTTCTTGACGCGTCAACCGGCCAATCACCCTCCATTGCAGGACAAACGTACACCACACGGCAGAAACGACCCAAGGGCAAGGGAAGATTGGAGTTAGAAAGACTCAAAGTGCGCAAGTCGGGATCCGCTGGCGAGGCCTTCCAGGAGACCCGCACTGCCATGATTAATGCGGTGAAGAACCGCAGGTTAGGCATCACGACGAAGGGGTACTTGGGACTCTTTCCTCAGCACGCCGAGGCTGGTGATAATTTGTACGTTCTGGACGGAGGCCATGTGCCGTTTGTGATGAGGGATGCTGAGGGTGGAAAGTTCAGGCTCGTTGGAGAATGCTATGTGTATGGCATAATGGATGGAGAGGCTATTAGGGAGGATACAAGACTTGAGGAGATGACACTTGTATGAGAGTGTTGTGCGCTGAATCGCACCCAACTGGATGAAACTGGCACCTCATTATGGTTATTGTTGTAATCGCCGCCCTATTGTTGTCATTGTAGTATTTCTCCTGATCTTAGATCTGGCGGCCCTTCTCCCAGCCTGCTTCCCTAGCGCGAACATGTGGCTTTCCTGGGAATAGATATGATTCAGTCTGCCACATGCAATTATAAAAAGATCTTGACGCGTATGCCTCTTTAAGTATACGAAGGTCTCTACGTACCTCTAGGGAGGCCTTTACATATAGAAAATTTGGGGGAAAATCAGTTCATCAGCTACCCCTAAATAGTCCCTTGACTCGCAGCCTTACCCTCCCAGCCCTCTTCAATAAGTGCCCAGACTTTTTCCCGCGAAAGAAGCCAATGCAGACGGGAAAAGTTTTCAACAAGAACATTCCTCTGCTATTATTAGACGTGACTGCTCCATGTCTTACCACTTTGCGTGCCCGTTGATGGGTGTCTCGAGGTTGTCAACTAACCAAGGCTTCGTTCCGCCACAACCTTTCAGCTCAGTGCCCGCAATCCTTCAAAACGAAAAAGAATAGAATATTACGCAGTCTATATGCAGCTAGCACTTGATGACCACCCCCAAGTACGTGCTGCTATTGAAGCAGCCTCAGCGTCTCCGCCTCCTCAACGTCTTCGCCTCCACAAATCGGTGTGCATGAGACATCCGGGAAGTGGCTTCCTCGTAACACTCGGCCCGATAATGTAAAGCATTTACAATTGGACGGAGAGGTAACACAAAGCTAGCTTGTGCTTCTGGGAACATGCGATTCAGAGGGAGGGATGTAGTCTATATAATGCCAGCGTCGTGCCTCTTGGCCAGTTTCCCAATTAAAAATTCGCGACTGCATGCAGAACTACTTCTCTCCTTTTTCATTCCTTCCACCATGTCGCGACAATGGATTTGTTGCTTAACTGCCCTCATGTTTGCCACGCAAACAGTTTCTCAGAGCTGCTACTTCCCAAACGGCGAGGAAGACTACTCAAGGAAGCCCTGCTACACTCCGGAGCCAGGTAAAGCTTCCGCCTGCTGCAACGAAGACGATTTCTGCTTGACCAGCGGGTTATGTCTTGAGCCCAATGCCTGGACGACGTACAGGGCCTCATGTACCAGCAAGGACGTCTCTACGCCTGGATGTGCGAAAGCCTGCATAAGAGAATGTAAGCCAGAGTTTCCGAGGAGATCGTGATGCACACTCTCTTTCGAACGAGTTGAGCTGACTTGGTTACGTCCAGCGCGTGATACATATTCACTCCTGAGGTTTTGTGAATCATCGACATCGCGATCCGACCGATGGACTTGTGACTACAAGGAGCGGTGCGCCACTCAAAACTTTTCAATCAACGACTTTAGCGGTGCAGGCTTTAGGGGTATGGGAAAACTTATGATGAACGACGCTCTGAAGTCTGTACTCAATGTATCGACCGCGAGCAATGTATCGACCGCGAGCAGTGGGATATCTGTTGGTGCAGCAGCGGGAATCGGGGCGGGAATCGGCGTCCCGTTGTTGATCGCCGTGGGCATCCTTGCTTTCTTACTTTCGCGAGAGAAGAAGAAGAGAAGAGCGACAGGTGCTATTGCGGAAAACATGCCACAGGGGAAGGTGGACTATCGACACCAAGACCAAACAACAGAGATGCCCCTGGATTCGACTATCAGGCACGAGCTTCCTCATTGAGAACAACGAAGAAGTAGACTAATGAATATAGAAGAGGTCGCTTCGGTGTGAGGATAGAAGTGATGATGTAACTGCCAGTTGCTGCTAGCAAATTTCGGGTGGAATACGCATAAGTTATTGGGTTTGGGCTGTATACAGGGCTACTAATGAAGGCATTTTGATGCTGCTGTGATGCTTCAATCCTGCCGCTGTTTGATTGGAGTTATTGAAAAAGCTCGTCTTCATAGACTACTTCTTTAAATCGAGATACTGAATCTTCATTGCTTCTGGTGGTATTCAGCGTGGAGCGGTCGAGATCTGAACGTGCGCGTATATACGCCAATGGAATCAAGTTCGAAACGTCGATTTATCTGCTTTCTGTCAAGCATTGAGTCCTGGATTCCTGACAAACAATCGAGGACCACGCCTACTACCCCCCGCGAACCCGGCGTTCAGCTGCCAATTTGAACACCAACACCCAAGACAATAGTAGCGACTTGGCCTGCAGGTGCCACCAGCGAGTAATCATCGAAGACAGGCTGGGCAGGCAGATTCCAAGGTAGATCCGTAAGACCAGCCTCCCAAAGTGTCAGCCGTTGTGGTACATCGTCTGAGCACATTGCGTGAACAACGAAATACCCAATACTTCCTAATCGGGTAATTTGACAGTCGATGACGGGAACGCCCCCAAGGCCAAGACATTCCATCAGACACCCAGTCTGAAGAAAGCCCGCTCTACGTAGCTTCGTCGATTCTTCAATTCACGTATGTTCGTGTCTGCGTCAGTGGCTCACGGCCCGTCATTCTTTCTTCTACAAGACCTACCGAGCTTCCATCATGATGCATCACATCAGGCTGCAAACTCTCGCAGTCCTCTCCCTCGCCGCGGCGGCATACGGCGAAACGTGCTACTTCCCCGATGGCTCCGTCGACGTCGGCGGCATCCCGTGCCCCCGGGTCGGCGCCAACGAGGTGGTCGCGTGCTGCCGCCAGTCGAGCCACTACTGCCTCACCAACGGCCTCTGCATAGAACCCAACGCGTGGACGATGTACCGCAACTCCTGCACCGACAAGAACTTCCGCGCGAGCGGATGTCCCACCGTCTGCCACCAAACCGGTACGTATCAGTAGCCTGGTTGACTGCGAGGAGGCAAGAAAGCAAGCAATGAAGATGGGAAAACCGCTGACATGAGACCGCGCGCGTCCAGCGCTGGGCAGCCACACCGGCGTCAATTACTGCCTGGACGGCGCCACCTGGACGTGTCTAAGCCGGAAGAATTGCGAGCAGGGCAACTTCACGATGCCGAAACCGAGGGGCAAGATCATGATCAACGCTGCCGCGGAGTCCGACATGGGCATCGCGGCCGTGACTACGAATGTCGGGGCTAGCGGTACCTCGATCGCGGTGTGTTCGTCGGCCGCGGGGGACTCTTCTGACGGGAGCATCTCGGTGGGCGCGGCGGCTGGGATCGGAGTCGGGGTCGGGGTCCCGTTGGCGATCGCCGTGGGAGCGCTCACGATTCTGCTTCTGCGGGAGAAGAGGAAGACGCGGGCGGCGAGTGTTGCGCCTGATCGACGAAGCCAGGGTAATGGCGGATCGGTCGCTTCGCAGGCGTGGGCCAAGCAGGAATACACGGGAGGGTTTCTGCAAACGCCCCAGTCGACGGGGTATGGACATCAGGCCCCGGCGACGATGGAGTTGCCTCCGGATTCTACTGTGAGACATGAGCTTCCTCAGTGAGTCTGTCGGAGGTGGCTCCGCCTGGGAATGATAATGTGGGTGGATGAGTGATTTCCTTCGCATCATAGAAACAGTTCTGCCGAGGCATCTAGCTGTCCGGCTCGAAGAGGACATACCAAAGCTAGGTTTTTTTGACATAATTCTGGCGTGGCAGCATATGGCACTTGGAAGTTTGGCGCGTGAGCATTTGTACTTTGAACTTTTGAAATTGAGTTTGGTGAACATCTATGGTATTTTAGTTGTACAAGAATCTGGAAGGCTCGCTGTGTGGCTGCAACATGGAGATCGTGGAATGGATTTTATCCATTCGACTTCTACAGGAAGTTGATGCCAACGCCGACCTGGAAGCCCTTTGTGCCCTGCTCGCCCCGCCTCAGAACCAGAGGCAGACTGAAGTTCAACTCGAAGCGGGCGACGGGGTGCGCGTAGACCAGACCAACACCAGCGGCAGTCGTCGGCAAGCCGTTCGTCAGGTCGTTGAGTGCTCTCCACATGCCGTTGGCGACGTTGCTGGCGTCGAGGCCGGTGCTCTTCGACTCGCCGCCCTTGCTCTTGTTCTTCAGCGCAACGAGTCTTCCACCGTTGGCAAAGACTTGAAGACGCAGGGACGATTCGGGGCCCTTGTACGGCAGGGGGAAGAGCATGTTGACGCTACCAGCAGCGAAGACATCTCCTCCGACGGCGTCCTGTCCGTCGTGGGGGCCGAGGCCGCCGTAGTGGAAGCCGCGGACATCGGTGGGGCCGCCAAGTTGGAACCTGTCGTTGATGCGACTGGGTTGCGACTTGCCTTGTGAGGCGAAGCCAAGGGGAAGAGGGTAGAGCATGCCGAAGCGGAGACCTCCACCGATCGAAACGCCGGAGCGGCCCTTGACGCCGGGGATAGGGATGGGCACGGCACCACCGAACTCGCACTCGCTCTTGGAGAAGGCGACGTCGCCGCCGAGAGGACCGACACCAGCCAGTTCAAAGACGGACTTGAGCATGTAGCCGCTTTGAGGCAGTTGGGGGTTGTCTCTCTGGTCACGCTGATATGTGTGCTTGATCGAGCTCTTGACGGAGTCTCCAGCATCGGCGCGGACGGTGGGGCTGGCGCTGTCGCGGAGACCGGTGACCTGACGCCACACACCGGAGTACTCGACGGAGTGCATGTCCTTGGGGCCGGAGAGCCATGAGAAACGCAGGTTTCCGCCCTTGAGCGCCTCCTCGTGGGCGGCCCAGGACTTGTCCGTCGCGGAAGACAGAGCCTCGATCGCGATCCTCGTGTCCGGGTTGCTCTGGACGGGGGCGCTCAGGTTTGCGCTGTAGGCGGACCGTGTTCTCGTTCCGGCGCTGGCATTGACGGTAAGCTGCTCGGCACCGCCAAAGATGTTGCGCCAGAGCAGAGAGGTGTAAGCGGAGCCCTCGCTGTTGCCAACATCGGTGCCGGCGTTGAACTTGTATCGGGGGAGCTCTTTGACGACGATGTCGACATCGACGTCGGTGGGGGTGGAGGAGGGGTCGGCGGGGTCGGAACCGTTGATGTGAACCTTGGGATCGGGTTGGAAGATGCCTGTCTGTGGTTAGCACGCGAGCTCCTTCCAGGTTGCTGTACTCTCTCTTACCCAATCTCTCGAGCTTTCCTCTGGCGTCGCCCAGGCGAGCAGCCACCTCACCGAGAGTGGATGAGCTGTTGACCTCCTCCTTCAGGAGCGGCTCGAAGATGGGGTCGAGGAATCCTCGTCTGGTGTTCGTGGCGCCGTGGATCTGGAGACGGTTGATGGTCATGGGCTGTGAGTTTTGCTCGGCAAGCTAGAATTCCGTGTTAGCCCGAGTCACGGAAGTCGCATGATGGTCGTGGCTTGCCAATGCTTGCAGTCTCCGGATCTTGGCCTCCTCCTGCAGCTTCTCGTACTGTTCGGAGGACTCGGCCTCCTTTCGCAGCGCATCGGGGCCGGCCTTGAGCTTGTCGGTCGGGTTGGAAGCCTGTGAGGTGGGAAGGTACCGATTAGTTGATTGAGCTAGTGTTAATAGCAGTTAGTAGCAGAACTTACGGAGCTTCCGCTCAAGCCTGCTTTTGAAGCCATTGGAGCAGGCGACGTGGCGTCTGGCCGTAATGTTAGGTTGTGTAAAGGGAGCTTCGGAGCAGGATTTCGGCGATGAATATCGGCAGGCTTCGGGTGAATTTCGAGATGCAGCACGGAGCACGGGCGCCCAACCGGGACCTGATGTGGCTGGAGCGGGGTGTTAAATGCACAGCCACATTTCGAGTCTCCACCGATGGAAGCTGGAGTGGGTTCTGAATGGCACTTGGCACGGACCACTCTGAAGTCGCTGAGCCATCGACGCTCAGACCAGGCCCAGTGACATAATCAGTGGGGTATCCCCGTACCTGCTCATTTCCATTGGGTGGCCGAAGTTACCGTGCTGCCGCGTTTGCTGAGGAAGGTACGTTCCGCGGTCCCCGGGTCCGTCTGCGCTTGCGCCTACGCCTGTCACAGCCTCGCCGCATTCCCCAACCCAACTGTCCCGTCCACTGCTCGCTGTTCGTTTGGTACGTTGTTTCCGAACCATCCTTCCTCAACCACCAAACTTCTTTCTAACGGCGATCAGTTGCCAGCCGTCCATATATCACCCATCGCTCCAACTGCGGCTTCAAAGTCACTTGCAACTTCAGTCTGTGCATATTTTCTTCGCCTACATTGTTTTCGTTCTTCGGCATTTCGTCGCCCGTTCGTTACCTGGTACGGATCCTCAATTACGTCGTACTTCGTCATCCAGACACACCTCACCTCTATCGACCACCCCGCGATTTCCTTCAGTCTCTACAGCCATGTCAGCAAGTCGAGCGGCGCAGAAGCGGGTACGATGACCCTTCGACTTGTACTTTGGGATCGATACTAACATCTTCGCAGTTGACGCGCGAGTACAAGACCATCTCCGAGAACCCTCCACCATACATCGAAGCCCACCCCTCCGACTCCAATATCCTTGAGTATGCTCCTGTCGTTCCTTTGTACTGAGCCTCACTAACGATTCTCAGGTGGCACTACATCATCACCGGTCCCGAAAACACACCGTACCATGGCGGCCAGTACTGGGGAACCCTCGTCTTCCCTCCGAATTACCCCTTCGCTCCCCCGGCCATCCGCATGCACACCCCATCAGGTCGCTTCCAACCCTCAACACGACTCTGCCTCTCCATCTCCGATTTCCACCCCAAGTCTTTCAACCCGGCATGGGAGGTCTCGACTATCCTGATCGGCCTGCTGTCCTTCATGACTAGCGAGGAGATGACTACGGGTTCCGTTTCTAGCACCGAGGCCGAACGAAAGATGCTGGCAGGCCGGACAAAGTGGTGGAACTCTACCGGTGGCGGCTCTCACAACAAATGCAACACGCAAAAAGGCAACGTCAAGGCCGGCGACGGCGGCGCCAAGTTCCGAGGCGAATGGCCCGAAGTCGACAAGGCCAACTGGGAGTGGATGGAGAAGAACAAGATCGACATCGCGACAGGGCGCAAGATCGGCAGCGCAGCCGGGGCCTCATGCGGACCTCAGCTTGGCATCGCCGCCGGCAGTGGCCATCAGGCTCAGGCCGTCGTCGACGCCGTAGTGCAGCAGCGTGACGCCGGCACAGGGTGGCTGAACCAAAACAAGCTCCTCGTTGCCGGTGGTGTCGTCTTCTTCTACGTCCTTCTCGCCAGAATGCTCGGCAGCGACAGCTGAGTTCAATTTTGGAGAACAAAAACAAGAAAAGTGGCCTCACGTTTACCGACGATGGTAGCGGATAATATTGTGCGCATGGGAATGACGCGGTCGAGCATGGCGTTCATGGGTTTTTTTTTCCGGCGACGGGACCAGAGTGATACACACACATCGAGAGTCTTTGACTAATAGAGGACGGAGCAGTGGGTTCGGTTTGGCAAAACGCTTACGACGAATGTACGTTAGATTCGACAATGGGAACACGTTCCGGAAGCAATACTTGCAACCGACCCTGAGCACCCGCAGATCCCGTGAAAATCATGACATGATGTGAGATGCGGCTGGGTGGCGTTTTGAGGCTCAATAATCAGCATACCACCATACTAATCCACCAACGGCCAGACCGAAGCTGTCAAGGTGCGAGGCGCCGCTGATTAAGAGGGCAGCCGAACGTCGACACAGCAGGGGAATCGTCACGTCGTATTGAAGGTGGTAACAGTCCTGGTTTAGTATTCACGGTGAAGTCAAAGCTGGGTGCAACCGTACATGATACGTGCGTCGCTGATCAAGCCGCCGCTCTGCATGTATATGTAAGCAAGGCCGGTCACGCCGGCAATCAACGACGCATAACGACGTCGGCCGGAAAGTGGACGATGGACATTCACACAACGGATGAGCCGACGGCCAGGCATCATCCGAAAGAAACATCAGACTTGACACACTGGAGCGCCGGCCGACGACGATCACGAGTGGCTTCGGCCGGTTCTCTGGGCTTGGCAGAATAGTGACTGAGGAACGTGGAAAGACCTGCTTCATCGGTAAGTTGAAACACGATGGTCGCCAGCATGGAGACCCGACAAACACCAGACGGCAGTTGTGGGATGAAAGAAAAGACAGGTCGCGGCTTCAAGGTGAGCTGACTTGACGATCGTCGCTCGAAGACGCTATCAACATGACACCCTCCCATCCTCTTGGCGGGTTGGAATAACGCGGTTGTGATAAGGTCTTATGCATTCATACTTTTTTATTCGGACACAACTCAACCTGCAGGATATGAATCTTGAACACCCAGCAGGTCGTTGCACTGGCGTCTGTGCACAGGGGGCCAGAGACAAAAGGACGAATTCGCGGTCGAGAACACGGTGGACGTCTATTGATGGTGTTTGCGATGAGGCACTCGGACCGGGGTGGTCTGTAACAGGGTGGTGGTGCGACGTTCATGCGTCGAGTCAAGCACCGGGTCTTTTTCCAGCGAACGAGTGGCCACGTTTGAGCGTCGCTGTTTGGAGCATTCTTGCTTTTCGTCTCAACACTGGCAAATCTTCAAAAGACAAACGTGCTGATCTGAAGTTTTGGCGATGCTATACTGTCTGAAAGAGGTTGTTTGACAGTCTAGCGCGCGGTTGTTTACGACATGAGACTAAGGAGCTTAGACTCTGGCAAACTCATCCCGTCTTCCGTGAGAAGCGTGCCGATAACCACATCTTTCTCGGTGCTCGGTGAATATCTTCCAGCGACCGTTGGAAGAAGTCTCTATTAGGTTTTGCTTCTTTCTAAATACAGCTCGGCGCTCGGGGCCCTGGGTTATCCAGATCCTTCAGCGGGTCGATGCAAGGGACACAAACGTACACTACGTATGCATCGTGTATCCGTACATCACATTCGCCTACCCGTACGTAAGGCATAGTCTATCGACGAATCACACGAGGAAAGGGGTTCACTTCAAGACGCAGAATTGACGGCTAGCAAGGGTCTCTTGCGCGAGCGCCCGCCGATCAAACCAACAGCATTCCCACCCCAGACTTTCTCATATCCACCTCCACCAAGCGTGCCGAACCCTACAAGAACGGGCTCCAACATCGAACAGCAGCGCATCAGCAATCTTTGTCAAACGACACCGTTCTACCCTGTAACGAGTTACGGTTAAAGAAGATTGAATAGCCTTGCGTGGAGACGAGACCGTCCTAAGTCCCCGGCCCGCCCAGCCCTCTCGCAGGCTCAACTGCCGGAATGCAGCAACCACAGACCTTTCCCTGCCCTCCCCCCTTGCGCAGGAGAAGCTTAAACATCCCGGTTCCTGGTTCCGCGGCGATGAACGTTTGTTAGGCGGAAACATGACACGACCGTGCTGCTGGGGCATTTCTTCTTGGTCGTGAAGAAAATAGGAGTGACTTGGCCCTGGTCGTCGCGCGCGGGAAGTGGAGGGGAGGTCGCCGGGAAGAGGGACTTCGAAGATGGACGAATGAGTTGATTCGATACCGTAGTACACGGCCTCCCGGTGGCCGTTGATCGTCGTCGCGGATGTCGTGCGATGGACGACCTGATGGGACGGGTACATGGGATCACCAGGGGAAGTCTCCGATTCGAGAACATCTTCAGGGGCAGGAAAGATACGCACGGCTGTCCATCACCGACCATTCGCTTCTTCCCTTTCCTCCTCGTCCCTCCCCTCGTCCTTCCCGTCTGCCACCCCTAGGAAATCCCGGATCTGCTGCAAGGGACGGGTTGGTATAAGGCTGCGTTAGCGTCCGACCTTCCCCAAAGCTTGGTCTTTCTTGGGAGGTCTGGGATTGTGCGACTCCTGTTTTCCAGCCTCTCGACGGACATCGACAATGGCGACGAATTCGAACTGGACGCTCCAGGAAGAGCAGGCCGGCCGGAAGCGTGGGCCGACCGTGGGAGTGTCTGAGTTCGACGACGACGGGATGAGTGAAATGGAGAAGAGCGAGACGCTGGTCGTCGGTACAACGAATCTTTACGTAGATGGGCAGTTGAGGCTGATTCCTGTGAGTGTTGTGTTTCTGGTTGATGCTTGAGATGTTGCTGATGTCTGTCAAGATGCCCACGCCTGACCCGAAGGGTGAGATGGTCCAGCACGCCATGATGATAGACGGCGACTAACACGCACCAGATCCGTTGAATCTTCCCGCTTGGCGCAAATGGACGGCTATCGGCTGCCTTTGCTTTTGTAAGTTATCGACTTACAACTCAAAGACCGAATAACACACTGAACATGTCCAGTCGGCGCCCTCGCCCTCTCGGCAGAGGTCGTCATCGGCGGGCTCCTCCCCGTTTTCATCCTCGAGTACTCCGGCGTCGACCCGCACATCCTCAACACCATCGACTTCAAGACCCAGAGCGGGGGCAGCGGCCTCAACATCAACCCCATGTCCGTCGTCCCGCCCGGCGTCAAACCCGCGCCCCTCGAAGAGGTCTCCCTCCTGGCCACGATACCACTCCTGGCGAACGGTATCGCGAGCTACTTCCTCGTGCCGACCTCCATCTGGATCGGCCGTCGACCCGTCATGCTCTTCGCCGCGACCTGCGCCTGGGCCGGAGGTCTCTTCGCGGCGTTCAGCACGAGCCTGAATCAGCATCTGATGGCTAGGGCGCTGATGGGTCTGGGTGCCGGTGCCGTGGAGGCGTTGATTCCTTTGATTGTTCAGGACATGGTCTTCATCCACCAGAGAAACAAGGCCATGTCTGCTGTGGTTTCGAGCCAGGGTATCATCATCATCGGGCTGGGCGTCGCCGCGCCCTGGGTGTCGGCTAACTACACCTGGAGATGGATGTACTACATCACCTCCGGCCTCGGCATCCTGGCGTGGGCCCTGCTCATCGCTTTCCTCCCGGAGACGCGATGGACTCGATCGCAGGAAGAGCTGAGTATGACTTTCTTCATCATCTCATACATCGTGCTGCTCTCAGATGCTGACAATTCGCAGGCGGCCAGAAGATCTTCCCCATGCTCCCAGGAAAGAACCGCCCAGAGCTCGACTACACAGCCTTCACCCCCCGGACAACCTGGACCAACATCGGCGTCTTCCAGAACGGCTTCGAGTTCAAGCGCGCCGCCAAGTCCATGTTCGACGCCCTGCGCTCCACCTACTTCCCCGCCATCATCTGGGCCGTCCTCGCCAACAGCATCATGATCGTCAACAACCAGGCCGCGCAGCAGATCACCCCCTTCGCGCTGCTCGCGCAGGGCTGGCAGTTCCAGTGGACCGGCCTCACCGTGCTGCCCTTCTTCCTGGCCTCGGCGCTCGTGTACGTCTTCGGCGGGCCCGTGGCCGACAAGATCTCCAACGCGGTGACGAGGTGGAACGGGGGCAGCCGCGAGCCGGAGCACCACCTCGCCAACCTCATCCTGCCGCTCGTCTCCGGCGTGGCCGGGTGCTTCATCTTCGGGACGGCCGGGGAGAAGAACTTCCACTGGAGTGTGCTGCTGGTGGGCTCGTTCTTGATCGTGTTTGCGTTCTTGACGACCATGACCATTCTCAGCGTCTTCCTCGTGGAGAGTTACCCGCAGTGGGCAGGGTATGTCATTTCTTTAGACTTTTACCATGATGTTATTGTTGACTTGAATCCAGACCGGTACTTGTCAACGTCTCCTCCCTGCGCATCGTCATCGCCTTCTTCCTCGCCTCCAAAGCCACCGTCTGGATCGCCGAAAAGGGGCCGATTGCAACCTTCGCCCTGTACGCCGAGGCCATCATCGTCTTATCTCTTGGCCTGCCGATACTGTACTTCTGGGGCAAGAAGATGCGGCAGTGGACAGCTGGTAGCGTGAAAAGCAAGCAGACCGAAAAGGAAAAGGTGTTTGATGACGGCGCCTCCGTCTAAACCTCGGAGGGGTATAATGGTAATGACGAGACGACATGCACTACGAGCGCTTCTTCTTTCACGCCCTTGGGGGCATGTAGTCCGGATAATAGAGATCAACGTTTGAATAATCAATCCTGTCGCTACCGATTCCTACTACTTTTCTTCAGCCTTCGTTGTTGCGACAAGATTTATTCCGACCCCTACGGACATCCATCACCACTATCGGCCTTGCTTACCTTCCCTTCTACATCATACTCACCCAGTATCCGTTATCAACACAGAAGACAGATAGCAAAAGCCACAAGCCTGCAGCAAGAGCGTATAATTGTCATTTTCCTTCTCTTTATCTGTTTCTTTCCCGATCTGGGTTGGAGGTGTTCTGAGAATTAGTGTCGGTATCTGATCTGTCTTCAAAGGGCCCTGACACTCTACGTCTGCCAAGAATGTGCAAGTCCGTCAGCAAAGTTCGACAAATGCGTGGTGGGCCTCCTGCAGCATTACATGACTTATATCGAAAACCCAAGCCATTCAAACTTCATAATCTGAGCACATAATTGGTGCCCGCTACTACTCCTGTAAAATGGGCAGATTCGAGAGCAAGAACGAACTTATAAGAATATTCTACCCCGACAAAAGGCAGTCAATCGAATGACTGTTCCTGCATATTTGGGAACCAGGCAGGCATATGTGGTGATGCTTGCGAGCCTAGGCCTTGATCAGAAATGAGAAGCGAACGGTTGAGTTACCAATCCGCTGCAGGAAAAGTTATTTCCAGGTGACTTTGCATCCATCGGCAGCGTAGTTCATCATTGAGAAGCATTCAATGTCGATGGTCTGCATGAGTATTTAAATCCCGTAAGACCTCTCATGTTCTCTTCTTCCACGGGCTCCAGCCAGTTGAAATCTCAAGTCTTTTAAAAAAAAGACCTTCCTAGCATGGCAGCCAATCAACCTTTCGATTCAAAAGCGTGGGAAAATGTCCCGGTCGCACTCGTTATCGGGTTCATGCCAAAGTTACGACCCTATTGGTCCACAAGAGAACACAATCCGTGGTCTGCGAGGCTCCAGGTGAAGACGAGAGACCTCACCGGCCTCATGCACCACGGGTTTCATTGGTCCATGGAGAACATCCACAAAGAGGCATCCTACGTGTTCACCGAAAACACCCGTCATCCAGTAACCAGCCGAGTCTACTTTTTGTCGGATGATGTAGGCCTTGTTAACTCTTGGACCGCGAAGTTGGAGGTTTTCGTCGGAAAAATAGACGACCTCTCACTGTTCAAGATAGACGACCTCAATTTGAACCACATTCACAACGCACAGGCATGGAATTCTCGGAAACAGGCTGTTTATAATTACTCGTGGGATAATTCGAGGGCCAACTACAACACTATACTCGACGACACACCTTTGGAGGGTTGGTGGCCGTGGCCAAAGCGGGCGGAGACCCGACTTGTGAATGGCATATGACAATGAGATGGGACGACTTTTTGGTGTCCAAGCTAGGTACTGTGTATGTCATATGTCGTTTGTGATCAAGCAAGAAACAATAATACACTGAATTTCTTGCGTAGGAGATCATGTAGAAAGTCAGATGACCTCTTTGAGTCGTCACCTGGTGCTTGAGCCGGTTTGTGAAAGCTCGTGAGGTGCTCGCCTACTCATAGTTTAGATTGATCATAAGAGTCACTTGCTCTGCCTGAAAACAGCTTCATATCTTCTTTGGAATTCTGTGAAATTCGATGTGATTTTGGGAATGCGCGTGGGCTCCAGTTCGTAGGAGGCGGTGACGAGGGCTTCTGTTAGAGCGGGGAGTCTCGGAGCAGAATATTCACAAAGTACTACCCTAGCGTTAAGACGTTTCTAGATTAAAGAATACTATCACGATGGTGTGTATTCGCATCAACTGTAAAATCTGCGGAGACCGGGCGATATTAGACATTGAAAACGACTGCATGCTAGACGGCGAAGACCACGACAATCACGACATTAAAGAGAGTTAGAAAGTAGTCTTAGTTGAATGCCATTCTGAGGTCTGGAAGATGCCTTTCTATCACTATATGAATGCCGAGAAATTGAGTTAAACATACATACATGCATATGTGAAAGCACTGATTACAAGTAGTCCTTCGGGCTGTCAGCGGTGCTTCCTCCTCCCTCCGCATCACAGGATAAACAATGGGTTTTATAATGAGTATCTTTATAGTAAAGCATGTTAGTGATGCTTTCAGTGGTTTTCGGCGTGTGCTTGGCCCATTGATTGGTTATCGCTGGCAGCCCTCCTGGGCCACGGCCACCAACCATCCATCGGCATATCGTCATATATCGCGTTGAAGTTCTTGTCAGGATGGAATCTGTCGAACTTGTAGAGTTTACGGCCGGTGCAGCGAGGATCTATAGCAGTAACCAAAGCCACGTGGCCCAGCTGGAGATTGGGGAGTCGAAATCTCGACAGGGTGCCAACGTTCCGAGCGTATACACTCAGCTTCGCAGCCCATTGTGCGTTGTTGCCGTGGTCGATGTCCGATAGATAGTAGTTGCGGGTGCATGTGAAGCCGACGTTGGCGGGACCACCGCTGTCGATTTTCTCCTCGATGTAGGTAGACTCGAGGCAGAAGTTATCCAGGTTCCAATAAAAACCTTCTCGCATCAGTCGAGGAAGGTCTCTGGCCTTCACATGTAGCTGCGCTACCCACTCGATGTTTTGTCTCGCAGTGATGCTGCTCTCCGAAGGTGACGAGAGCAGCATGAAAATAAGATTTGGTTTACCACCCTGCCACTGAGCAGAGTCGAACTTTTGGATCCTAGGTCGACGGCGAGGCTGAATATCTTCGTAACGAGGCGGCTCATCAGGAGTAGGGATGTTATCTGCCGTATTCGGCTCGTCAGATGCGCCGGAGCTGTCCATGATGAATATCGTAGTTTCCAGTGCACTTCCGAGGTTGCTATGGATGCAAAGGAAGGAACAGAAAATTTCAAGGATTGGAAGCGGTCCTTCCCAAGTTAAGTCACAGGATCGACCTGACGGAGAAGGCGCGTTCGCCCCCTTAAATAGTGTCCTACGTGGAAGGTTAGTCCTCAAGGTGCTGCGTGATGCGAGCTTGTTTTTTTGTTCTTCTTAACACGCAACCAACACACAAATTTCTGTTATCAGCTAATTTACGTGGGGAGGGTTTCTTGAAGTTGGGTGGGAGAACTAGGGAAGGTTCCCGCTTCTAAAACGCACAGCCATACGTAACTGCGGTTATGAATGCTCTACGCGATCGGACTTTCTCCCACCAAATTATCATGGTGCATCTCGAATCCGAATCTGTAACTGCCCGTATTTTCATTCTCTCGCGTCATAAAAAGCTTATTCCTGGTCGATATCCTTCGTCTCCCATCTCCGATACCGCCTTCTCCTTCTCAAAAACACGCATCATCCCCAACGTCTCCCCATCTTCTGCATCTTTCTCCATCGTTCGGTCTTGTCAACCAGCATAGTCAAGACTACCCATACAAAGCCCAGCGTCTCCAAGACCCTATCTTCTCTGTTATCGCCGCGTCCACACCAACCACTCACAATTCCATGGCGGGACACGCTCAGGGCCCGGCATCCGCCGACCGTCAGGCACCTCTGCCCGAAGAAGATTTGTAAGCAGTCTCTGAACTTCGACAACATCTATTCCTGAGCATCACTGACCTGATTCTCCAAAGCAACATCAACCAGGCACAGAATATGGCGCTGGAGGAAGCGTCGGGTGGACAAGGGGAGTCGGGCTCTAGACTTGTCGGGTCGCGGTTTTGGGAGCGGCTATGGTGGATCGAGAAACGGTTTCACTACAGAGTGTGGGTTAATGAGGAGGCCGGATATCGTGATATCGACGTGGAGATAGGCTTTAATCCGGGGGCTGTTTTGCTCTGTTCTCTCTGGGGCGGTATCATCTGCAGCGCTTTATTCCTGGCATAGATCAACCAGTAGATCCATACCATCTCATCGACGCCTCAAGTAACATGGAACCGCAAACAAATGAAAATTCGTTACGACTTGGACTAACCTCGTCGCTTTGGTGCGCTCTTGCTATACCTTGTGGTCACGATTTCCGTGCCCAGAGAGAGCAATTGAACACGAAAAGCCTCGAATGAAAGCAGAACAATTGGAGCGACACGATTTAAATCATCATGTGGAAAGCAAACTCTCAAACTCAGCTGTTCGATTTTGAAGGTAACTCTTTGAAGGCAACTTCAACAGCCCGTCCCAATGGCGGACGTAGGCAAACTTTGAAGATGAACTGGTGCCCGGCTCTAAATGAGCTTTATGGCGGTTTCTCGATATAAGGTTCCACAATATATTTATCATAATAGGTATCAGCACTTTAGCCTGTGCTATCTCCCAATGAAAAAAATGGATATAATTGACAATTGAACTGATATTGACGTGCTCAGCCTGGCCAACGTAGGCAAACTGTATTGCTTGGAGACTGGAGTAATTGCATAAAAATCAGTCTTCCGACTGGAAGCATGGCCCCAAGTCACTACGAACTCTTTCATTAGTGGTGGACTCGACAGTTACATACAACACATTATGTTGAGTCATGAACCGCTCTTTGCCGTTGCGTTGAAAATGGTCAGAAGCTTGAGGTATTGTAGTTATTATACAGCCTCGTCAGCTTCCTCCATAGTTACTTCATCTTTGCTACCACATGATGGAACCAAAACTATAATAAGTAAAAGCATACCGATAGCAGAGACAAATGAGAACCAAATCCCCATACCTAAACGATCCTCTCCCAGAGAGAACCTCATTGGCACAGTACCGATTATGAGAAGAAACACAAGGTAAAGGTTGCGCCACCATGCAAGTGATTTTCCAGACTTTTCGTCATGTATGAACACAAGTATTCCCACAAAAGAAATTGTCGGCTGCGTCCCGAAGATGTTCAGGGCGAATATGCGAAGCGCTGCAAGTGCGGTTCGGGTGCTTGTGTGCGGCAGACTCCCAGATATATGAACAAAGAAAAACACAGATACCGGAAGAACCTGAAGACAAGCCAAAAGCATAACGCTTTTTGCCACCTCTGAGTTCTTATAATACTCATCTAGGCAGTTCTTGATGCTGTCTGGGTCAACTTCAGTGTTTTCTTGCGCCGGCAGTTGCGTCTGCAATTGCGTGAGACCAAATGTATTTCGAACATATTCCTCAAACTGAGCCAAAGAAACACCATATGTATTCCGGGACCTTGAAGTCTGGCTATGGGCTCCGGGTGTTGATGAAAAGCTGTTGCGTTGAGAAACTAGGGATGGGGTCAACTCTTCATCGCTATGCTCGAGGGGACTAGGAGGCTCAATTGAGCCCTGTACAACTGATCCTCGAGGGCTGCTGAGGGGGCTGGGCGTTGGTATTTGAGTCATCTCGAGGCTTTCATTGTGATGATCCCTGTCCTCAGGAGGAACGGAGTGAGTCGAGTGGCGACTCCCTGCCGCAATAGGCATTTCTCCCAGTGGGCCCATCGTGGGAGCTATACTTTTCAGTTTATGATGACTTGACTTCTCGTCTTTCAACTTACTCATTGACCTCGTCGTTTTACCCGTCTCAGTTAGCATAGGGATGATAGCTGCGAGAACGGGGCCTAAAAGAAGAAATGAAGGGAGAATTTGGCCAAATTGCCATTCCATTTCCGATTCTCGAGCGCTGGTTCCACGAGAGTGGCTGACGTTTAGAAGACGGATCGTCCCCCAAATAGCAGAAACTATGATCCAATAAACCTGCACGCAACATGTCATCAGCAACGAACTGGAAGGGCTTGATACCTTCCTTAAACACTGGGTCACAGAGCGGCCTCAATGACTCACATCTGATAGCTCAGAGGATAGCAGGTCTGCGTAGATCTTAACTACGATATAGAGTTTTGTTACCAAGAACGCCATGAACATGCTTCTTCTTCTTATGGACCAGCTGATAAATGGACGAGTCCTTTCGCTGCACCGGTCTCTAACGTGGAGTTTCGCGCCTACAGACCACGTTTTGACGAGCTTGATGGCACGCGATGGGAAGCTGAAAGCCGCAATAAGAAACGAGAGAAATGCGGATCCAAATGCTTGCGTGTCGTTTATACGCAAGCCCGCGCAAAGAGGATCGGCTCCGGGCTCCTGCCCTTTATCTCGAACCGTGGCGCGATATTCGTCTTGCATGTTGATGCAGCCTTGGGTATAAAACGCCTTTCGGGCTGTGCCGAGATCGTAAAAGCACCGCGCATTCGAAGCAGGTCGGCTGGCTGTTTCTTCTCCAGCAGTCCAGTTGAAGTAAAACGTAGGCACCATTGCCACGAGAAGCCCTAGCCACAGAATGCTCATGAGAAAAAGCCTCCAGCGCCGGTCGCTCTGATTTACGTGGAAATGCTGTCGCAAGGCCGTGAGACACGATAAGTGGGTGACGTTGGAGAACCATATGAAGTGGACGATGAGCTGCCAATGATACGCGGATATGGAGTTTTGCCCAAGGTTGATCCATCCGCTGAGCATGATACCAAGCCCGGTGAGAAGTTGAATATCACATATATTGAGAAGGGCCTAGGTAAGCGATGAGCTTGAAATTGTGAGGGAGGGACGGACCGTTGCTGCTCTTACCCGCGTCAAAACATCCGACCTGATTTCACCGTTACGGAACCCAGAGCGCTGGTGAAACCATCCGGAAATTTTCTTTTTCCACGTGTCCGGCTCAGACACTGGAGTGCAGTGCGAGGGCAACTTAGAATTTCGAGAAAAACGCCTGAGGAGAAACCGGAAAGGCTTTTTGAGCTTTTCGAGTGCTAGGACATCAATGTGGTTCGGCTTCCAATCGTCGGGCGCTGCAGATTGATCGGGACCCGTGTCAGCGAATGGATACTTCTCCGGATCGAAAACGAAGAAAAAGTGCAGAACGACGAGCAGCACAGAGAACCAAGCTGTGCCAACAAAGCCAACAGCAACCTGTGGGAGGTGTGAGTCTTTGAGCTTTGGACTGATCGCGGCCACTTACACCAGTGCCCCCTATGTCAGGATTTGGCTCCAAATCGCCGGGATCCTCGAAGCACCGTGATTTCCAGTCTGACGTCATTATGAATATGTGACAAGTAGATCCAGTATGACGAGCTCAAAGTAAGGACCTGTTGCCCGCGACGTAGGAAGTGGAGGATGACTGAGGTTGAGTTGACAACCTGGGGCGGATGTCCAGCGGGCTATATGCTTTCAGGCTCTGGAGGGCGGTTCTGAGACATCTTTTCAGCTTTTTGGGGCTGGGTGCGATTTCATGTCGTCGGGAGGCTCAGCAGCTGCAGAGGCTGTACGGGGTGGTGTGCTGCTTGTTCTTCTCCTGATGTTCACTGGTAGCCTTGTGCCAAGCCAAGACCACGACGACGTCATGGGCGCGGTATTCCTTGACCTCATGAATCTCTCAGTAGACAGAGAAAATTGAAAGATTTTACTATGTATTATGAAAGAAACGGTCTGAATTACGCCTACCATTAGGTAGGTTAACCCTATTATTAGTACTCCCGCTGTCGTTGTTGGTATCATTAGTATTACTTTCGTTGCTACCCATCTTGTTGTTGTCGTTATCGTTGTTATCCTTGCTGTCATTACTGTCGTTATTATTGTCGTTAGTATTGTCATCATTGTTGTCGTCGCCGTCGTCGTTGAAGTATTCCGCCTCATCTCATTATGGTTTACTCCGCTGAGTCCTCCAGGCCTCGACGCTGATGATCGGCCCCACATCGGTAGCGGGTGGATGCGGTTCGGTCCGAAAAGCCGGAGAGCACCGAAGAAGTCCGTAGAGTGAATTAGCTAAGCCGAGTCGAACAAAGCGGGCAGGCCTGTCTCGGACCAAAACCCCTGACGCCGGAGCTCCATCAAAAACAATGCTGATGTAATCCGGCAGTGGCTAGCGAGATCTTACACTATCCTTCGGTCCCTTGCCAACCAACGCGGCGTATCGGCGAACAATAAGACCAAAGACGAGCTTATTCGTAGCGTACCGGCTGCTCTGTGGCTTGGTTATTTTTACGCCGAGCGCAGTCTGTGATTGAAGGTGGAAAGTCCGCTAGAGGGAAGTTCAGCTGCAGCGCACCAGCAAATGCAGGGCCGGGATCAGAGTGATGATTTGTTTGCAGGTGATGATGAGTCGATGACAAACAGACAAACGGCAAGACCACCTTGATTTGCCATTGACATTAATTCTGAATTATCATCACCTGAGAGCAGCCCCAGAAATGCAGTTGCCCGTTGATGCCCAGAGCACCGGAGGAGGAGAAAAAGGAGAAAAAGAGCAGGTGCAGGGTCAACCTTTTGGTCCGCCGGCGCGGAAGGAGAAGCGAAGGGACGATACGTACCGATGCTTCGAGCAGGAAGCTTCCCCGTTTGCCCGTCTCTGCCCAACATGACCCAATGAGAAGCCGGGGGTCGCAAGCTTCGACGGGCACGTACCGGCGCATGGTAATCGCAGCGCACCGCGCACCGTCCTTTCTTTTTTTGCGGGGGTAAAATTTTGTGACGCAGCCCCGGTTTTTTGTCATCATCGGATTTTTTTTTAAATTCTTTTTATTTTTTCTTTTGAGGAGGAGCAGCAGCAGCAGCAGGAATAGGAGGAGGTGCAGCGTGCCGGGAAGGAAACAGCAAGAAGCACCTTCCCGTAATCTGCCTAATCTAATGGGAAGGAAGTCATTGGTAGTGGAGGAAAACAGAAAGAGCAAACGAACGGATGAAAGTCGCAACTGCTGCCTTGAACTGTGACATAATTCCATCATAACTCCCGTCTACTGCTTTCCATCGTCTTTTTCTTCTCCATCGTCATCTCTCCAACTCCGACTTCGACTTGGACCCCATCTCTCCTCTCCTCTCCTCTCCTTCACCGCGTCCAGTGTCGTCCTCGTGCCGGACCCTCTCTCCACTCCCTGCGCTTTCCCCCTCCTCTGGGCTCCTCCTTTGGGATTTGGACCTCCTCAGGACTCAACGAGTCACAGCTACCTCTCTCTTTTCCCTCCTCCACGTCGTCCATCACGTCCACGTCTTCGTCTGCCGCCCAGGCATAACTTGCATCGCCTTCCATCATATCTCCCTTTCTTCTCTCGTTCGTCCCTCCTTTCCCCCCTTTCCCCTGCCTGCATATCACCAGCATCTTTCTGGAGCCATCGGTGGCGCGCATTGGCATCCGCGGGTCTTCGTCTAACATGCGCACCCCCTGCCAACAAGAAGCTCACCTACTCCTGCACGAAAAGAGTCACCACTGAAATAGGTTGCCTATTACCTATCCGCACCTCACCTACCCTCCTTAGGCTCGTTGCCCCGACTGAGGCCCGGACCTGCAACATCAGGTGCTATCTTTCTCACCAAAAGAAGGTCCATCGACGACAAACCACGATCCTTCTTCTAGAAATATCCACTCACCACCTACCTACTGCACCTACACTTGCACCTTCGACTGTGCGGTGTTGTGTTGTTATCGCCGATAAACAACGCTCTTGGACCGACCACTGCCACTGAGACCCCCCCGGCTCCGCTCCTTCTGCTGGTCCCAACTCCCAGTCGCCCGACAGAAAAAAAAGAAGGGCCCCGGTCACGTCCAATTCAGTTTCTCTGCGACGTGGGTTCTCAACGCCGCCTCAACACCAACACCTCCCTCCCTCCGCCTTCTCGTCAACCATGGCTCCCAACGGCAACCCGAAGGCGAGGAACGGTGTCGGTGTCGCCCACGGAAAGTCTGCTCCCGCCAGGCGTGTCGTGCCTGCCATTCCCCTCACCTACGAGCGTCGACTCAAGGCCAATGCCGCCGCGAAGCACGCCGCTGCTCAAGCTCAAGCCCACGCCCAAGCCGCCCCCGTCGTGTCCCTTCCTCGGCCCGCCGCCACCATCAACGGTTCCTCTCTGAAAATCCAAAACGACGTCGACTCTACGCCTCCCACCCCCAAGCCTGTCGAGCTCGAAATTGCTCCCCGCGACGACGATACCGCCGACGACACCGCCGACGACAAAACTGCTGCTTCTGCACCTACCCCTGTCACAAACGGTGATGATGTAGACGGCACCGACGGTATGTGCAAAATTCTCTACAAGATTTCCACACCTGGCAAACGCATTTCGAATGCTAATTCCCGACTAGATTCCCACTCGCGAGACTCCTCTTTGGCCATACCTACCCCCTCCGAGACCGAGCAGTCCGAATCGACCGACAAAGCCACCGAGCAAGACGCGCCCCCGCCCGTCATGGAATCTGCGCGAGGTACGCTGCCCACTGGCCCTTGCACATACCAAGACTCTCCCTCCTCTTCTGCCGGCCACACAATCATTGTATCTTGGCCCGCAGTCTGGGTTCCTCAGATGAGCATGGAGTCTTGGGGTCGGCATCCGCTGCAACAGACAGTTCACTCACACAATGCAGAGAATCATCAGCTCCCTCCGACTTTCCGACCTCCTCCCGTTATTCCTCCCACGCGATACAATATGCCTCCCGGATCCAACAGCGGCCCTCGTCCCGCGCCTGTCGTTATCAATGGCACGTCTCACAGAGGCCCTCGATCAGTCCACAACGGCCCTCCCCACATGCATGTCCCGCGCCCAAGCAACGGAAGCCTTGTTCAGTTTGGCGGATTCGGCTCTAACTCGTCTTCGCCCGCCCCTCCTCACTCTGGCGGATTCATGCCTCCTCCCGGCCCGCCTTCCCACGACGGACGTCAGTTCCACAACCAAGTCCCGGTCGCTACCAACGGCTATCCCCCCCACCAGATGCCCTACGGCACCGAATTCGTTCCTGGCACAGCCGTCGACCAGTTTGGCAGACCGATTCCGGCCCCTCCCGGCATGGAGCAGTACCATCCGTACATGAACGGCTACGGACCTTCCACCCCTCATAGCTTCCAAGGATCACATTCTTCGGCCCAGGCGGACGACCTTGGTTACAACCCTTACCCCGCGCCCGGAATCCCCAACGGCAACGCCCCCGTCGATGACGCTCGCTCCCACCCTCCTCCGGCCGGAGCCTTCGGCGTGCCTCCCCAGCGAATGTTGTCTGGACCCATGCCGCCCCCGCACTTGATGCATCCCGGACTCGATGGCCAGGCACTGGATGATCTCTCCGCCTATCTGAGGTCCCAGTTCCGTGATACCTCTTTCGCTGACTGTACTCTGGAGCTTCGATACTCGGATGACCGCTACCCACCTGTCCGAATTCCCGGCCACCGCCTGGTGCTCGCCAGAAGCGCGGCGATCTCGAAGAAGCTAGAATCTGAAGGTTACGAATCAAGCTCGCCCGGCGCCAACCGCCTCATTCGCCTTGAGTCGGATGACAGATACCTACGCTCCGATGCTTTCTGGATGGCTGTTCAGCACATTTATGCCTTCCCTCTGCTTGTGCTGCCCGACCCCAATGCCAGCGCGAGCCTTGGCATGGCTGGCAGTGCTGATGATCGTTTCGACTTTGCTCTGGGCTATGCTGCGGCGGGTCACGTTCTGGAGTGGCACCCCATGGTTGTCCGGGGCATAGATATTGCTTCGCACACCCTCAGCTGGTCAACCATTGAGCGTGCCATTGGATTTGCTCTCGGCGATGTGCCTGGTCGGGCTTCCGCCGACCGACACACCCAGTTCATGTACGGTGACGCCGTCCAGATCCTGATCAACGGTATTATCAGCTTCCTCGTCAACAACTTCCCGGCCGACTTCACTCTCGATACATCTGTTGCCGATCCCGAGCTGTTCGCCCGTATTCCGTTCGCTTCCGCACTGCCGGCCCGAGAGGGCACTCCGACTATCGCACACGGAACGTCTGGCAAAGATCGTCGATCACGCCCCATGCACATTCAGTTCGGCGACCTGTCTGTGAACCAAGACGGGTCGAAAGGATCCGAGACAGCGCCCCAGTCACCCCAACAGCGGAGCATCCGGTCTACGTTGTCTGCGATTCTCATCAACCTCCCTTTTGCGTTCCTCAAGCCGACTCTCGAGTCTTCGGGCTACGGCAGCGTGAATGGATGGGCCAATGTGGAGGCGCGCCACCAAGTCATGCTTGACGTGGTCAAAGAGCGTGAGGCACGACGTGCCCGGGCTGTCGAGGCAGTCAGAGCTGGAGTGGTGCCGCACGCGGACTTGATCTTCAACGGCCTCCAGAGCGCGGAGCCGCGGGTCAGCGAGGAGTGGAACGGCCTTGGCTGGCGCGAAGAGGTGGTGTCGTACGTCAATGGCGACGCGCCGTCTCTCGGCCGGCAGTGGGTTCCACTGATGGTGCAGAATGGCGGTCACATGGAGAGCATGGGCCGACCGGCGTATCCTTGAGGCATTCAATGGAGGGCCGGGATTACGATGTTACGACACGGGAACTAAAAAGAATCAATGATTTAGGGCGGTCTGGGTTCAGCACTCGCATCATGACCAAAGAAAAAAAGCACTTCCTTTTCTCAAGGGTTTGGCGATGGTTTCGGCATTGCGTCTGGTGTTTTGGCGAGGTGTTTGCTTTTAGCGGATGGGCCAGAGAGACAAAAGGCAGGGAATGAGTGGGCATTTCGAATGGGGATTTTGCTGGGATTGGCATGGGCCGCGGTTTGTATGTTTTTTTGCGCATGTGTGTTTGTCGATAGTCGTGTCAGACTTTTAGCTGGCTGCCGGTTGACCTCTGGGGAGTGAGACGTAGCTGAGAAGATAATTGGCTCCGGCTTGGGCAGGTTCTCTTGGGCGAGTGTAGGTGTATGCGATGAGGACAAAAGTGGATGGACCGAAGGGTGTAAAAAGGCGCAAGGACGGTCCAATGGGCAGATTGTGAGGATGATGTATACCCGGTGATGTGAGGGGATTTGAAAGATGTGAGGCCTGTCGTAACTGGCGGTGATGGAACGAGGCGTAGTCAGTGTCTTGCAGGCGGATGCGATTGGAGGGGCCCAAAGTCGCGACAGAGAAGCCCAAGGTTGAGTAGGTTCGACTGCCATTACCACGGACGATATTTGGTTGCTGCTAGTAGTAATAGTATGTGCTGCACAAATCACGGTGTGCTTGCTGTGCGATGAAGATTTTGGAGGTCTTGGTGCCTACCTCAGGTGATGAGTGATAGTTGTGGATGCTGTGAGGATTGAGTTGATGAACGCGACAGACGCGCTCCAAAAGGCTCGATGTCCGAGAGGCGTGTTTACTTGTACATCACAGACCAACAACACCGGAAGAAAATCGCAAAACTGTTGGTCGTTCTCTTTTCAGATTCTATCCGTCAATAACAATCAGCAGGATGCATGAACATGTCATTAAACCTAACCTCGCCCGTCGCCAGGACTGGCATCTGCAGTGAGAGAGTGTGGGGAAGTCCCCTGCTGCGGGGGGAGCCTAGTTGAAGTGATGAGGTAACATGGGCCTATCAGCTGGGCTTTCGTGGACCGACGCAGCAGGGGTGATTTCATTTCCATTTGCCTGAGAGCCGAGGCATGTGCCTTTTCCTGATTTTAGGGAGCCAGGGCGGTTCAGGTTCAGGTTCACATTGCGGTCGCTGTCGCCGTCCTGTCCGACGACATTCCACCAACCTGACGCGACAACCACCACGTCTTCATTCCTTCCTTCTTTTTCACTTTCTAGCCGCTTGAACTCTTTGCTTTTTTCTTTACTCGCGATACCCAACTTAATCCACGCCTCAAATACTCCCACTGACGCGCCAAACCCAAACTCAAACCCCGGATTTTAGTACGTCTCTAGCTCCGTCATCGAGGTCATCCAGGAAAGCCGACTGGAGTTCCGGCATTGGCACGTGCTAACGGAGCTTGCTTGCTTCCTCTCAGTTCGGACCAAACCCTCCCGGTCCTGCTTCTTCTCCAACCTTCCAGCCCGAAAGCACACGACAAGTCACGACACCTCACACCCACACACACACACACACCGCTCTCTTCCGCCGCCGCCGCCGTCGTCGACGAACATTCCTTCGACACCCGACACACCCCGCGATAGTCAGCTGCTCCAATGGCCTCCGCCGCGACCTCATCGTCGCGGCCAGGCCCCGCCGGAGCCGCCGTCTCCCGATCGTCTCCCGCCCCCGCCGGCACCGGTCCCTCGCGAGCGCCGCCGTCGCGGAACAGCATCACCGACCCCGTCCTCCGGAACACCCTGCGATACACCATCTCCGCCAAGGAGTACGCGACCCTGCACAAGTACGTCCTGTCGCGATCGCGCATTCTCAAGAGGACGGCGCCGAGCGTGAGCGCCGTCGAGCGCATCGTCGAGGGCGACAAAGCGAAGCAGAATGCCGGACCCGGTGCTGGGGGGAGGGCTGTGGACGACTACAATGCGCGCGCTGTTAGGCATTCGATGCGTGTGTTCATTGGGACGGCCATGGCCATGAAGGGGTGGGCTTTGATTTGGACGAAGCTGCTGGGCGGGAAGCCGGAGTAAGTGGTCTCAACGGACGTTTCGAACGACGGAATGCTAATTCAAACAGTCCCAATGCCGCGACCCAGAAGCAGCCCCTCCACAAGTCGCCAACTCTTCGCCTCTCTCTATCCCTTTCGACCATCCTTCTTCTCTACCGCATCCTCTTCCGATTCCTCTCCCGCCTGCGAGCGCACCTTCTCGACCCTTCCGCTTCGCCCTTCCGCCAGCGAAACCCGAGGACAGCAGCGACGCTAACATCCCCGTACGCTCCGGCCATCGGCGCCTCGCTGGCGGGTATGTTCCTCGGCGTGTACCCATCGCAGCAGCTGCGCGTGACGATTGCCATCTACACGCTCTTCCGGGCGCTGGAATTCGGCTGGAATCTGTGTGAGGAGGAAGGCATGATTTGGGGCTTCAAGAACGGCGGCAAGGTCAAGCGGGAGAGGCCGTGGTGGTGGGGCAGTTGGCTCATCCAGCCGTTCGCGTTCGGACAGTTGTTGCACGCCGTCGTGTTTGACCGGGACTGCTTCCCCGAGACGTACGGCAACTTCATCTTCAAGAACTCGACGGCGTACATCCACCCCAGGCCGGCGGACTACCCGGCTCACCTCCAGTGGCCCAAGGCCTACGAGATCGTGGACAACCTGGCCCGCATGGCCAAGCTCAACTGGCCGTAAGTCCGCCCCTATCTCTACCTCGACCTTACTAACATGCGCAGGCCATACATCTCACCAACTCTCTTCCCCAACAAGGAGACCCTCCCACCAACCCTCACGGCCGTCGCTCCGCTGACATCAACCGCCCACCCGATCATCAACTCCCTCTCCTGCGCGACCCTGCACCCCTCCGACCCCTCCTGCCTCCGGACCTACCTCAACTTCTGGCTCGGCTCCTTCCCGGGCCTCACCCGCTTCTTCCTCATCATCTACTCCGCCGTCACCTTTCTCCCGCGCTTCCGCTCCCTCTACAACGCCCCCGTCACCACCCTCCAGCGCGTCCTCGCCAAGTCGCTGCGCATGAGCACCTTCGTCACCGGCTCCATCTCCACCGCCTGGGCCAGCATCTGCTTCTTCCAGCAGTGGTTCCCCGGCACCTTCCTCCCCACCCAGCGCTTCTTCCTCGGCGGCTTCCTCGCCGGCCTCTGGGCCTGGGTCGAGAAGCGCAACGGCCGTGGCGTATTCCTCTACTCGGCGCGCGTCAGCGTCGACTCGCTGTGGAAGGTCGGCGTCAAGAGGAGGTGGTGGCGGGCGATGAAGGGCGGCGACGTGTGGGTGTTCGTCATGGCGCTGATGGTCACCGGTGTCGTCTACGAGAGGGACGCGAGGGCTGTCAAGGAGGGCAACTGGAGGAAGGGCATCAGCTGGGTGCGCGGTGAGGGGTGGAGGGATTGGAGCGTTGAGGACGATGCTGAGGATGAGAACGTGGAGAAGCTGGAGTAGAGGTGCCGCGGTATCGAATGACACGATGAGCGTTTATTGGAGCTGCTGCTTGCATGCTTATTCTTCATGGCGGGGTGTTGGAGGTGCCATACTCGTTGTACAAAGCTGTTACGACTTTATGTTCGATATATGTTTAATGCAATGTACTAATTCATTGGGAAATCACGTCATCCTTCTCAGCGTGCTGTATGTGTCTCCTGAGCCAAGTCTGGTTAAGCAGTCTGAAGTTCTAAGAGATAGGTAAACTACGTCGCCGTTGTGATTTCTGAACCCTTGAGGTTAAGGTACTTGTAAGGTAGGTAGGTAGGTAGGTACTACACGCCGTATTTTAGCGGCCGTTATAGCGGATAGCTCGCTGTAGCTACTTGTTCCCGGGAGCTCCCTACCTCTAGAGGGAAGCACGAACCCTTCCAGGTTCTACTTCGCTTTATCTGAGCTTATCTATCCATTGGCTGCTTTTCTAACAAAAACATACTCCGTATAAACTATGTAATAAATGTCGGTGTGCACTGCCAACTTGGAATTCTGCCTTAGCCTGACTACTCGCCCAAAAAATCTGGATCTAAATGGAAATAAAACTTCATGCTTGCCTTCAATTTTTTTTTTAAGATACATCCTTTCCTGTAAGCTTTTCTCTTTATAAAGAAAATAAAAGAAAACAAAAAAGAACACGCTCCTTGTTGTTGCATTCCGTGTTCTAATGAGTCTATCCACGGAGGCAATCATTGCGCTTGTTGCGCTAGTAGCATCGCTGCCGCCAATAATACTAGTTCTCGCCAGTTTCTTCAAGCGTTGCCGTCAATCCCAGGAGCTAGCAATGCGGGTTCATAACGTATGTTACATCTCGTTTGTGACTTTCAATAACGCTTAAAGCTAAAAGGAAGCAGCCACGAGCTCGTTCGCGCTCAAATATCCCGGCTCTCGATGGTTGGCTAGGGGCCTACAGCTACGAGCAGTTCGTTTCAGTCCGTAATGTACACCATTCTCGATCAACGACATCTACATCTGATCACTCCCGCTATGAAGTCAGTATATTCCTTCCCCTCTCTCTCGGCACACCTTGGTTTCTCCATGGAGACAATTCACTAACTCTTACAAACACTAGCATTGCGATGAGAGACTCCACTCAATTTTATTAGCTGCTTATCAGTCTTCGAACTTGGTTGGCGCGCAGGACAGGCGATGTCCGGGTACCTGAACACAACTATTGAAAAGGGAAGGAATCTTCAAATTCATCATCAAGACACCACAAATGGCTGAGAGGGATGTTGATTGAGTCGGCTTGTTTTCTATTGCTTGTTTTTGCTGTACATCGTCCACTGGTGATGTTGCGGAACCTCCATCGACGCACAACGGGCAAGCCCCTTTTCGTGATATCCGTTTGATACGTCTGGGAGGAAGCTGAAATAATACATTCCCACATTCTCATTTATTTTGAAGGCGCTTACGGCATTGCAACTCTAGCCACATCTTTTGGCGAAGACAGTTTTAAAGGTCCTTTGCCGCTTAGATACATGGGCGTTGGAGTGAGACATCAGCGGGTGATTGATGCAGCGGCAACGATATTGACAGAGCCAACAACATCAAAAGTGCCCCAATGATTTACCAAGAAGAAGCCATTCATACCGAGGTCGGCCGGCGCCGGTGGCTATGTACAACAGTAAAGCAAGGCAACTCTCACAACTTGCGTCAGGTAAGCAGATTGCGCGTTGGTGGTTTCTTATTTGGTCGCCTTGCCCTGCCTCATGCTGATGCATGAGAACCACTATCAACGTCGGCCAGCAAGGACGATCCTGTGCCCGACCAGGAGGCTCGGCTCTTGCAAATGCGAACTCCGCACATCGACCCCGCACCTCGACGGTAGCTGTCGAGGAGATTCATAGTGTGAGGCGATGACCCCGCAAACCGTCGTGAGGAGTTTCGGTGTTTGTGGCACACGAGATGGATTTCAACCCAACCAACTACTGCCAGACACCAGTAAACACTTGTGCGGAGTAGCACACAACTTACAAAGAAGGAGCTGAAATCGGCACGATGTTGTCGGCTAATTTGGGAGTTGTAAACAAGTCTTTTTTGGAGAAATTGTGGGCGGTATGCGGGAATCCTACCTACCAGCATGCTGTAGGTGAGGCAGTTGATGAGACGAGAATTGGAGAGCCCTTGAACACCAAGAAATGAGCAGGTTTTCCGGCGAGGAGGCGATATTGGAGAAATCAGGTGCCCTTCACGAAACCCAATGTATAAAGTAGGCTTTCGTCATTCAGCTATCAAGAAGATCAGAAGCGTGTCATCAAGTCTAAGCCGAAGTGGCTATTGATAAACAACACTCAGTTCTCTCACTTATCAAACATCAACATCACGCGCCGACATGATAGCCTCGCCTGAGTTCATCGTTGCTCTCGTGACTTTACTGGCGTCACTTCCCACGACAATTCTCGTCCTCGTGAGTTGTATGAAGCATATCATCCACGGGGCTAGACTTTCTGAGAAGGCAACGAGTTCTGTATGTGAAGCGTTGCTCGGCCGATTTCCTAGCTCACATGTGCTACATAGGAATCACATCATCGTGCTCTGGGACCATTCCAAAACAACAATATCCTTCCCGCGTCTTCCAGTTCATATCACCATCGAAGGTACCAACATTCGATGTTTCATCGAAGTGCGAACTGGGAGGGCGGATCGTCCACCATCTTGGATATTCACTTCGAGGTTCGTCGAAAGCCATCTAATGCGCCGTATTTTCTTCAGGCACTGATTGATTAGAGCGCAAGCAATACAAGAGTCGGTTCTATATCAATGGAAAGCATGGTAGACTGGTCCTGATGTTTCTGATGTTAGCAGCAGTGATTGTCGAAAGAGTATGTTATTGTGGAACCGTAATTAGAAGCATGGAGCTTGTCTTGTCTGTGGGATCAGGTCGAGTGTGAAACTTTATACGTGTAGTAGACACGCCATGGCTGTTGAATCGAAGTTACTTAAGTAAAGTATTATATTGCCGAAGAAAAGCGGCTAAGCTAAAGCCGCGTAAACCCATCGCATTTGAACATTGACGTCAACTTCAGATGAGCGTAAAATGAGAAGAATCATCATGCATGTGCACCGCCCGAGAGGCCGGGGGCACGACGCGGGGCACCACCGCATCACGCGCCCACGGAGAAACTTGGAAGTGGATGCTTGTAAGTCCGCCAGGGATAACAACACGGGGTAACCTCATGGACAGGGTTAGCCTACGACAAGAACACACAGTAAAGACCGGACGAACTCCACAGATTAAGGTAACAACGGCCCCCGTCTCCCCACGGGCGCGTCTACCCCGCCAATTCATTCACGACCACCACCCATCGCGGCGGTGTCGTCGTTCTCGCGCACCAATCCGGTGTAACCTCGTCAAGCAGGTACCGGCAGTCGACGTCGACATCGGGTGTCCCTCGCCCGCTAGCCTGGTCTTGGCCTCTCCGCATCCAAATTGCTCTGTCTCTCCCGAATCAATTGCCAAAAACACATGATTGATGGAGTCCCATGCTGACGGAGTCGCTCCGGATCGTCCTTATTGTCCGTCTTGACTCGGTCCAAAGCGCTCCAGTTACATTGCGAGAATGGTCCATATCCACCGCGAAAACCACCCCAGCCATTTCCACATGCCACTTCAGTCCGCATCGGATCTGCTCAGGGGTAGCGATGGCTCGGGAGAATACTGATGATGTCGGTAGTCTTGTTGTTTGCCGGCGGCACGGCTATAAAGTCCCATGAGACTCCTTCTGCTGTGTCCCTTCAGTCCAGCACCAGCAGGCCAGTCTCTCTCGTCAAGCTCCTCTGGCACATCGCAGCCATGTACCTCTCCAAGATCATCTCCGCCACTTTGGGTGCCTTCAGCCTCTTCGGCTCGGCTGCCGCCTACACCAACCCCATCCGCAACCCCGGCGGCGGCGACCCTCAGATCTCTTGGTTCGACGGTTACTACTACTTCATCTCGACCGAGTGGACCAACCTCCAGCTCGCGCGCGCCACCACCATTGAGGGACTGAAGACAGCCACCCCCAAGGTCATCTACTCCGACTCGAACCCTTCGCGATGCTGCAGCGTCTGGGCCCCCGAGATCCACTACTTTGATGGACGGTGGTACCTCTACTACACCGCCGGAACCGCCGAGAATTTGGATGGTCAGAGAATGCATGCTCTGCGAGGTAAGCCCACACTCACGCCCAAAACCCAGAGACTCAATGCTAATATCGAGATCAAACAGGCGGCGCTTCTCCCTGGGACGACTGGTCCTACGCCGGCCAGGTCACCGACGACTGGTCCCTCGACGGCACCGTCGTCCGCTTTAACAACTGGGGCAACTACTTCGTCTACTCCTGCATGACCGGCGTGCCGAACCAGTCCACCTGCGTGCGCAAACTCGGCGACGACTACGTCTCGGCCGGCTCCAACATCACCATCATCTCGCAGCCGGACCAGCCGTGGGAGCGGAGCGAGGTGCCCGTGCAGGAGGGCTTCTACGGCCTCTACTTCGGCGGCAAGACCTACATCGCCTACTCGGCCAACTACTGCTGGACCCCGGACTACTGCGTCGCCCTGCTCGAGTGGGACGGCGTCACGGACCCGGCCTCGCCCTCGGCCTGGACCAAGAGCGACGGCTGCAAGCTGACCGCCGCCAACGGCAACTTCGGCACCGGCCACAACAGCTTCTTCCGCAGCCCCGACGAGACGGAGACGTACATCACGTTCCACGCCACCGCCAACGCCAACGGTGCCTGCGACGACAACCGTTACGTCATGGTCCAGCCCATCACTGCGAACGCGGACGGCACGCCTAACTTTGGCATCCCGCAGGCGTCCACCTACGAGTGGCCCGAGCCTAGTGCGTGAATGGAATGTTACTAGAATTATGACTGAACTGTACATAAACATACGAAAATAAAATACATAATGCCATTTTGCAAAGTTGACGGAAAACACGAGACACAATACAAGCGTGATGAGCTCGTGTGATTAGACCAGTCCTTCCTCCAAAAGCAAGCACGATGAGCGCTGCTCCTGCCAGTGAAACTGCAAGCTAGGTAAGCGGTAAGAGATAACTTTTGCACCTAAAACCCAGCAAATTAATCACCGTAATTGCAGTAAAGCTCTTTCTCTTTTTACATTACCTAAGTCAACACTGTGAGGAAGTCGCATTGCTTGGAAAAAACCTAAGCTACGTTCCTGCCCTATTCAAAAAAGTATTATCACAGATATATGGAAGTCGCTTGGTTTGGGCAAGCGCCACCGGTTCCGAGTGTTCAACGTGACATCTCAGTCAGAGGGCGAGACTCCTTCCTGATGGACTCTGTTCACGAGAATCTTCTGAGATATCCATCCTCCTCCAGTATGTCCCAGAGTGGCTCGTGTAATGACAAGGCAACCTCGATGTCACCCCCTCCGGCACCACCGTCGTTTTGAGTTCTCGTCGGTAGGAAATAAGCAAGACCATCCGCTAGCGAAGCCACGGTAAAAGGCGGCCACACCCTGTCTGGATACATGTGTCGTCCCTGCCCGTCAGTGTCGAAACAAACACCGTAAATCTCGAGTTTATTCCACTGGCTGACGATGAAGCTTTTGTCATTGAACCGGAACCGGAGACTAATTTTCCTCTTGTCCGGCTGGGCTGCGACCCATAGCAAAGTATCCTTTTGGTCTGCCAATATCCTTTCTCGCAAGCCATCATGTATGATCTGTGCAGTCCTCGGCAGCGATGCTTCAGAAAGGTTGTTGAGCGATGCGGTTACGTATGGCTCTGATACCGCGTTGGGGAAGTATCTTGGGGGAAGGCCAAGGCGCTCTGATGATCTCCAATCCAGTGAAGTGAGAAGATCTGCCGTCTCTTCAGATTGACGAGCAGTTCCGTTTGTCGTGTTTGACTCCTCATAACGCTTCCGTGCTCGTTGGACACTCAACCAGAGGTGTGCCGAGAGCGCCTCAAATGTCGACGCCCATCGGTGTTGATGGGAATCACTTGCCGCGGCCTTTATTGCGTCGAGTTCCTTCCTCGAAAACAGCAGCAACCTCCCAGTCACGGGCTTATCGGACGTAAAGGTCTCCAGTTTTGGCTGTTGATCAACTCCGTAATCGTCCGGACGAAAGTTCAACGCCTTCTTCCCCTCTTCTGTGCTCATCTTGACACCGGCCAAGTACGAGTTAATGCACGGGGGCTTCTGTAGAAAGACATCGCTCAGAGGTGTTTCCCACGGAGTAGCTGAAATCAGACCCCGGTAGATCTCAGCGAGGTCTTCCACGAGTTGCAAGAAGCCCCGCGCGTCGCACACGCTGTGGCTAACACGAACACCCAGGGAGACGGAGCCGCAGCCGAACCGTGTATGCTGAATTCTCAGAATCGGCTGTTTGGAGAACTCCTCCGGCGTGCCATCGTACTCTGGGAGAAGAGTACTTCCTTCCTCAGGCATATCCTCCAGGTTCAACTGCACCCTGTCTTGAGGCAGTCTCGAGTCGCAAACCGCGGAAAGCAACTCCGCGCCGGTGCCCAGCCGATTGATCTCGGTGCTGCCATCCTCCTCATTAAGACTTAGTCGGCCAGTCAGATGTGGATAGAAGTCCAATAGACGAGATAAAGCCGCGTGTAGACAGTCAAACGGGATGAGCTGGCCGTCCTCGGTCGTGCTTTCCCTTAGCGGTGCTTGCCTCCATACGAAGACGATGGCGATTGTAGCGAAGGGCGGTAGTAAATGATCAAAAGGTCCGAGTAAGAAGTGGCTTGCCACTTGTCCGAGACTATCTTTGTCGGCACATTGAACTGTGTGGGTTGTAAGGATCTTGATCGGAGAATTAGATGGCATTATTGACGGCCATGCAAAACGCCACAAGAGTATGGATTTGGATAGGTGTAATTGTCTAGTTTCAGCAGCAGGAGAAAACATCGGAAACACCAGCAGAATGGCCAGTTAAAGAATTTTGAGGAATTCTGCACTCTTGACCCTCGGCCAATGACCCCACGCCGCGGCCACCCGTCGGAATTAGTGTCCGACAGAGCTCGGGAGAGTGGGGCCGCACCGGCGGAATCCCGGAGCAGAGACGGGAGGTGCAATGACGGGGCCCGTTGATTGATCACTCTCTGCTGACTATTTTTCAAGATATAGACTGTGGATATAGTGCATGGTCGTAGGCTAGTGGCCTGTCTATGTGTTTTATCCGAACACTACGGAAAATCACGTGCATGCAGGGGCAGAGTGATGTTTAATACAGCATGGCTTTATGTACCTAGAGAATGCTTTAGAGGAGCCTTCAACTTTTGGTCTTGCTGAATTTAACTGGAGTCTTATATGCTTATACGAAGTAACCCCGTGATGGCCTCATGGTGAGCACCGCAAAGTCGTCGACCAACGCAACTCTCTGCCGTGAGAGATGTCTCTTCGTAGGAGTTTATGAGGTCTATTACTGTTACAAACATAATTCGACAGTAAGCAAAGGTAGATAGCAGTCAATGAACTCTCTTGTCGAAATAGTAACGCGTCGTCTAGATTTGGTTTACTAATTGAAGTTTAGACAACTCAATCATAAGTCGAGTACCGTCGGGAGATGTACCTCGGCTTAAGGAGAGATCGGCCGTCATCTGTCAGACTGTTGGGCGGTTATATCCCAGTGCTCTACTTGACATCTTTTCCGTATGTGGAAGTTTTTGACTGACGGTGAACTCAGTTGATCTACATGTGAAGACATAACTTAGAGGGTGACATATAACGGAGTACCTTGGCGAAGTGCGAAACCATGTGTCCCTCGCCGTCACTATGCCGGGAAGTCTCAATCAAGGCAAGATTACCGCCCGTCGACCGTTTTAAACTGCCATGTGTCACAAATCGCGCTAAAACAATCTTATTGTCAAGCGTTTCGAGTTCCGCCATCCCCTTGGAGAAGAAATTGGAGAAGCACGAAGCTCCATCTCTCGTCTCTGAAAATCCTCAAAAAAGACCGATACACAGCAATCCCGACACGGAGCGGTTCATCCTTGAGGATTCCCAGCGCAAGGACCGGATGACAGAAACTATGACGCCAACTCGAGCCGCCGAGAATAGTGATGCATCTGAAGATGATCGGAAGAAAAAACAACGTTTCGGTCACAGTTTCGGGAAGCGGGGGAAATGGCCGCATTTAGAACCACGGACGGCAACTCTATTCGGGCGCTCGCTCGAAACGAGAAACCGTGAATGGCTCACAGAGCCGCAAAGTTTCATGCTTAAAACGTCCACGTCACGCAGCGAAAAAAAGAGTTCCCATACTCTCTATCCAAGGAATCCTGATCGCACAGGCCCGTCCCGAACGCATGTGAAAACCATGAGGTCCTCTTTCCTCATTTTCCGCGCCTCTCCGCCGTCTTTTCGAACAACGTCCGGTTGATAGATAGAGGCAGAACGACCGTTGCGCTGATCTCACTGCCTCGCACTTAGAACAACTGCAAAGTCCCGCATTTGCGTTTACAGCTGCATAAGAACACTCGACTCAGAAAGAACATCCGGCGGTGGACGATCACACAAAGCTCCGATGGGCCGTCATGCGACATTCTTCTCGGCCGCCTTCCTGGCTACGGGAGGCTTTCTGTTCGGCTTCGACTCCGGGATCATCACATCGACCATTGCGCTTCAAACGTTCAAGGACTACTTTCACCCGTCCGATGCCATTGCCGGAGGAATCGTGTCGTCGTTCCAAGGCGGAGCGATCCTTGGGACGATGGTGAACATGTTGTTTTCTGACTGGCTGGGACGTCGAAACACGGTGTTCCTCGGATCGATCATCTCAGGATTGGGCTCAGCACTTCAAGCCGGGGCTCACAACCTCTTTACGCTCATACTGGGGCGGTTTATCGGCGGCGCCGCTGTTGGAATCCTGACCTCGACAATCCCGATGTATGCTTCGGAACTCTCGGAAGCCAAGCACCGGGGTAAACTTTCCGGGCTCCTGCAGTGGATGTTGAGTTGGGGCTTCTTGGTCGCGCAGTGGTTGGGCTATGGGTGTTCGTTCGTGAAAGATGACTTCTCATGTGAGACCGGTCGACCTTGTGATGTGAGAGGACCATGCTGACCAACTCACAGGGCGCTTTCCTTTGGCGTTCCAATGCATACCTGGAATAGTGCTGGCTCTGGGGATCTATTTCCTTCAAGAGTCACCTCGTTGGCTCATGGAGAAGGGACGACCAGACGAGGCGCGCCAAGGCCTGGATAAGTTGCGTATCGGCGTTGATGAGAAGGTTGTCGACGTCGAGTATAACGAGATACGCCTGGCCGTTCGCGAGCAATCCGCGTTGAACAAGAATTGGAATCTGTGGAAAGAGATTCTCACTAGACCGTCCTGGCGCAAGAGACTCCTTCTCGGCTGCGCTCTCCAAGCCTTTTCGCCCTTGTCGGGAATCAACGTCATCAACTATTTCGGGCCTCGCATTTACGAGCTCCTGGGTATCGGCACCCAGACCTCGCTCATGATCATCGGGATAAACGGCGCTCTTGGTATCATTTACAACTCGGTTGGTCTTTGGATGCTGGATCGGGTGGGCCGGATTAGACCGCTCATCGTTTCTGCTCTTGGCCTCGCGGCGGCTCTACTCGTCAACGCCATCCAGTTCCAGTATCTGGATAGAACAAATGCCGATCAGCTCCGAAGCATGGTCGCCATGAACTTTGTCTTTGGCTTTTTCTTTACGCCTCTTGGAATCATAAGCTGGGTCTACCCTGCAGAAATCTTCCCACTAGAGATTAGGGCCTTAGGAAACGCCCTCACAACGTTTACCAACTGGACCATCAACTTGATCTTGGTATCCTTCTCACCTCAGGCCCTTACAGCAGTTGGATTCAAGTTCTTCTACGTTTTCTTCGTTTTCAACCTGATTGCAGCGGCAAGCTATTATCTATTCTTTCCCGAGACGCAGGGAAGAACATTGGAGCAGATGGACGAACTTTTCGGCGACCGGGCTCCAGGATTCGATCCGGTGGCCATCGGAGATCTTTCTCAGTCCACCGATGAAGAGTCTCGGTCGACTGCTGTTACGAACCAACCATTGGCGTCAAACAAGCGTGCGTACACAAAATACAACACGTTCCAATTGGAGGAATAGAACTGGTGCTCGGCGTTTGGCATAATACGGGCTTCTGGGAACGGCTAGTGTAATGTACAGGATCATGTTTTCACGGAGAGCACCATGGCTCAAATCTAAGTCGTAAACAATAAAGTAAATCTATTAGATCACAACCAACCATCCACCAAAGCAAGCGAAGCCATACGAGAAGTTCGCGGCATGTGTGCATATATGCCTCAACATGTCTCGACTAGTCGATACAGAGTATGAACTCTTACAACAAATAGTAAAGTGTACTACACCAGCTCGGAGACTTCAGGGTTGAAATGAGAAGCATGAAGGCTGTGGGTTGACTTTAAATGACATCCCCATTCTCTAGCTCGCATTACATCTAAGACCTCAAAGATCTCTACCCCACAGCGAACAACTCGACAAGTCATAGCTTATTGAAGCCTTCGACTGAAGAGTTGAGTGATTCTAGCCCAAGACCAAAACGCAGAATCTACTTGCATCTGTATGCTAGAGAACAAATAGATCAAACTTTCTATGCATCTTCGACGTTTCCAGTGGCTTCAACGCAACTAGCGCTTCATTGGGCGACGTTGAATGTATTTGAGTAATCCTTAGCGATAAAGAAAGTTGGAAGAAATGAGTGAAAATAGCAGCAAAATCTAAACAATGCAGCAGAGAATTCAGTAGTCGCGCCTAGTTGCGAAATCAGCACTAGGAAGCTGACGCGAGATCAATGGCGCTTTTGGCGTTGTCGGCCTTGCCATCGGTGGCCAGTAAGCTAGCGAATCTTTCAGACAGTGTTTCAGCGTAACACACCTACAAGCCTAGTGTTGCTTAATTCATATCAAGCGGTGTAACTGGAGACTAGTGTATTGTATCTGATGTCTAGGCAGCGACCCAAGGTATTGTACGAACATAAGAACTTGACTGTTGCTGCGACCAAATACCTCAAACCTGGGTGATCTCCAACTCGCCACCCAACGCTCCAACAAGATGCAGAAACCTTCAAAGGCAATTCTTCTGGTCACGGGAGCATGGCATGTTCCACAGCATTACGACAAACTCGTCAAGCAACTTCAAGCCAACGGACTGAGAGTTATCTGCGAACGACTGCCGACGAACAATAACGCTGTGCCACCCGACACCACGATCGACGACGATGTCGCCTTCGTCAGAAACATCGTGGAACAGGAAGCGTCTGCCGGGACGCATCTTGTCGTTCTTGCCCACTCTTATGGCGGTGTCGTTACATCTGCAGCACTGGCCGATTTCGCGACTACGCCAGATTCCGTAAAAGGGGGCGTGACAGACATCATCATGATGACTGCATTCATACCAGCAGAGAACACCTCACTTGCAGGCATCTTCGGCGGAACGCTGCCTCCGTACCTGACATCACAACCCGACGGCACCATCACCTGGTCAGACCCAATTAGCTTGCTTTACAACGACATGCCCGAGGAAGAAGCCCAGTGGGCCGAGAAGCAGATGGTAGCCCACGGCCATGCCGCTCAGTACACACCGATCAGCTGCCCAGAGGTAGCATGGCGGGTTATCCCTCTGAATTATATCATCTGTGATAATGACAAGGCCTTGCCGAGTTTCGTTCAAGAGATGATGATCAAGAACGTCGAAGAGCAAGGCATTGATGTTAGCAAGTTCCGGCTGCCGGCTTCTCACAGCCCGTTCTTGAGCATGCCCGAGAGAGTAGCGGACATCGTGATGAGCGTTATGGGATGATAGGTCACAGAGAGAGAGATCAGGATGCCGCGAAGACTAGGGTCAACAGTGGGAGACGTATTCTTATTTGTAGTGCCTAACCATTAGAGACATTCTATGAATCTTATTCGTAATTGAAGTATAGTTTTGCCTAGCATGGCATGAATTAATGTAGCCCAAGAGTTCAACCCTGAGACCAACGAGGATTAATGTGTAGTAAGAGTTCACAACCACGAACAAATGAAAATTCTCTCAAGCCCCGACGTCAAGCATTCTGAGCTGTTGATTCATCATCTTTTTCCCAAGCCCGGAAACCATGTTTGGCACGAAGAAAATGCAAGCCTTCGCCCCCTTCTGCATGAACTGGACAAAACGCTCCGTGTCTTGTTCTTGTATAACGGCGGGTTGAGTCTGCCCTGATTTCAACATGGCGTTCTCCTTTTCGTTTGCCACAGCAACGTCTCTGTCGGCGGGAGGTGTCTTGCGTCTCGGCACACTAAGCGATCTCGCGCGTCTGACGGAACCCCTCAACTTGCTGAATGAAGCAGGAATCGGCGGAACCTCGGGGGCTGAAGACACCCGAGACGTTCTGGCAATACTGGCAGATCTTCTCCTCGAAGAACGCGTTCGTATCGGAAACCCAACGCTGTGTCTGCGGCTGCTGGTGGACACGGACGTCAGAGTTTCCTCGGCGACAGGCATGTCCTCGTATCGTAGGGACGGCAGTTCAGAACTGTTGAGAGTTGGCCTCATGTCGTTGATGTGGAAGCCAAAGTTGGAGACTGGACGCGACGGGTAGACGGAAATAGAGTAGTTGTCGTAGTTGTTGACGAACACGTCCCCCGTTTCGCTCCTGACATCGCAGGTGCTGGCCACCCCTATGTCTTGAGAAGGAAACAGTGATTGGTCGTCGAACTCGAACTGGTTGCGCAGCTTGTCAACAGAGGCTTTGTAAGCTGAAGCCGTGGCATGTCGTTCCCAGTCAACGTGGAAGCTTTGGAAGACTGGTTGGGGGATTTGACAAGAGCAACGTCGAGAGGCGGCGCTGCTGGAGGCAACATCCGGGGCAAGGCTCTCGGGAGGAGGTACAATGGAAAACTCGATAACGCTGAGACGACTGTCAATATCTGTGAAGTGTCTCTCGAGGCGTTGCAGCTTCGTTAAGATGAGTTTGAGAAGTTCGTCATTGACTCGTTGAGATTCCATATTGTCCAGCTTGAGGGTGTCACGATCAGATGATCAGATCTCTCAGCAGGAATGAATGGGTGCCTGCTTCAGTATATAAACCCGGAAGCAAGATCGCAGGACATATACGTCATCAGATATCACTGCAACGCTGAAGATAATAAGCATTAACGAATCTGAGCATCTCCACACCAAGCTCTAGTCGTTCAACTAAGGTTAAGCGAGGTTCACAGGTGACAAACTACAAAACACACGTAATAGATCTTCGAAAACGGTCAGTTCATCGGTTAGCCTGGCATTGACTTCTTTAGACGATCTTGGGACCACTGTGCCGAGCTTAGTGCCAGCCAAATGTCTCGGGAATGTGAATAAAGCTGGCCCGATCATACTAGCTGATTGCCACACCGCGGGCCGACGAAGACAGCGTCACGGGAACGAAATAGAACACTCCTCAAGCATGTTCGGTCCCGAGTTGTAATGTACTGTGGAGCAAAGAAGATGTCAAAAAGACAAAAAACATACAACACCAGGTATTCGCTGGTCGTCACCGACCCAACTACTAATCCGGCCCTCATTGGCTTATCTATGGGAGAGCGGACGGGATCCCGAGTTTTCCAATGGGTATGGTCGTATGTGGCAGTTTTGTGATGCAAAGTTATTCATAAGCCTCACGATCGTCCAGCGTGGGGTCGAACCAAAGACAACGCGACGGCATGACCACAACCGACGGCCCCCAAAGTTTCCCGACGTACAATGAATCCACTTTTCATGGGCTAACGAAAACATTACGGTATAGAAGAATTGGCTTGTCTCGCGAGTTCCTTATCTAAGACACACACGGCGGGCGTTTAGTTGCTGGGAAGGTGGTGCGCCCTGCCCGCCGGAGGGCTGGAAAATGCTGATCGCACAATATCCGCACTCACTCAAGTATTGTGTAGATCGATCTGTTGTTGGCACATTAAGTCCACGATGTCGCATTCCGTTGCGAAGATTTGTGGCCATTGGTGGTTGACAAACTAGGATGCGTTCAGTCGATCATCGCAGGGTTACTTGAACCGTCATTCCAAGACTCTTTCACGGACTTCCATTCGCTGATCAACTGCAACTGTAACTGCGACCGACATCACGCTAAGCCAACATTGAGATCTTGATCCGTTTGCATCACATCCCCTGGGCTTAACCTTTCGCGATTACAGCGTCATTAATCTCGAGCTATAGGTAGATGGTCAGCTGGTACTTAAAAGTTATAGATCTAGCTCTATGGACGGCGGGATCTTTCGAGTAGGAGAATCCCAGAGCCCCGAAGTGTTGCAAGGCTGTTGTCAATGACAGCGTTTTATTCCTGAGTTATCCTCACATGCTGACCAGGTGAGATGATAGAATCTGTGAGATGTAAGACCTTTTTGTTGCGTAGCAAGCTCTGATGTCATAAAAGAGCTGCTTATTGGCGAGTCCTCGATAGAGGAACCAATGATTCTCCAGACAATTCTGCCAACCTCAGGAAACCATGCATGCAATACTCGTGATCAATCTGCTACGGTAAATAATATTTCTCATACTTCGAACTTGATCTCCTCCCGCTTACCTCAGGCTAGCCCCGTCGTGCAGCGGAAACGGTCGTAATGGGCAAATTTCGAAAAAGGCTCTCGATGCTTTTGCACGAGAAGAGAGCAGTACAAGGGCAGTCGGAATCATCTGATCTTTCAGAGCAATCTGCATCAGGTGTTTCTGCAACACCAGTGAGTGCTTATGCCAGTATTTGGTGGCTGGACGAAAGGCATCAAGGTTGCAATAATTGACAAGAGTCAGAAACGGGAGAAGTATGGGCTGTTCCTTCTGTCGCCTGGATCAGGGTCGACAGCTTTCGATATTGAGTATTACTGCCTACTTATTCTTTATTTTGTTATCACCTGGTTTCTGTTGACACCTTGGCAGCATTGTTGCCGTTCACGGCCTGGGCGGAGACTGGGAAGAAACGTGGACGGATGGTGGGAAGCTGTGGCTCAGAGACTTCGTCCCCGCTCGATTCCCAAATGCCAGGGTTTGGTCATTTGGATATGATTCAACAATTCTGGGCCATTCCGTGGTAGATATCGACGACGCAGCAGTCTCCCTTGTTGACTCTCTACAAGGGCAACGTGTGGAAACCTCGTCGAACACCAAGCCGATCATTTTCATCGCTCATAGTCTTGGCGGAATCATCATCAAGCGCGTAAGTAAATTGTCTTAAATTGAATGAAAAGAAATCTCATCTGTAGCCAGGCTCTCATTCTGTCCAATGAGCGCTCTGATCACTGGATGGACATTCGAAACAGCATAAGTAGCGTCATGTTCTTCGGCGTGCCACATCGCGGAACAGACATGGCCTATTGGGCTGAGTTGAGCATAAGGATTGTGAAGAGCTTAAGCCTTGGAATAGTGGGTAACCTTGATTTCATTCAAGGGCTTAAGCGAAATTCAGAAGAGTTTTCGAAAATTTCGAATGCGTTCATTCAGCCTGGCTCAAGATTAAAGATAATCAGGACGTTTTATGAAACGGAAAAAATGGGGAACGGCATTGTAAGTCTGACTTGCAATGTCGGCGCAGCAGCTGTGTCGAAATTGGTAGACATGAGCTTGCTAATAATCGCGGAACAGGTTGTCGATAAAGACTCGGCTACTCTTCGTACGAACAACGAAATATCAGTGCCCATACAAGGTGCAAATCATCGTCAGATGTGTAGATTTGACTCGATGGAGAGTCAAAAGTATACAACTATTGGAGTAGCTCTTGGGGACATGATCACGCGAGCCATCACAGTGAACTCGGAGAGTATGTAATTATTGGACACATGTGCAATATCCAGACCCACGATGAGCAGTGGGCACCCTACTCGTCAGGCCGTTGGTTGAGCTAATAATCACACTGGCAGCTGTGACGAAACACGTGAACAAATACATTCGACTTTCGTCTGCCGAAAAACACACGAGAACCTCGACAGAGTCAAAAGCCGAGGATTGCCAATGGATAACGACGATGCCTCAAGCAGTCTCGTGGAAGTCATCCGCAAAGCTCTGCACATTGTACGTGGAATATGATGCCCCGATGGAGTGGCATATTGCAGTGTCAGAAAGCGTCTGTGAACATCTTCGGCCCGAACGCTCCGATGTACTATGTGCCTTCCCTCCTTCCGATAAGAAACAGCGACAAGACGGATCATGGAGATACCTTTTGCCACGAATGCTCATGGCACAGATATTTTCCCTCTCCCGAATGTGTATGGAGAGGATGGAGGACACTGTCCGAACATTGCATGCGGATGATTTTCTGGTTATGAATCGTCCAGGCCTTGAAACATCCTGGAAAGCCATGTATTGCTCTCCAGATCCATCTTGGCAGCAGCAGTGGGTTCTTCTTGCATGTGCATTAGTGTCTCATCGTCGCCCTGTTGTTCTCTCACTGGTTGGCTTCGATGACGAACTACGCGAACCGCTGCAAGAAGCACTTGATTACTTGGACCCGCAATGGTGGGGGATATCCTCCGCTCTCGAGGAGACGCAAAATATGCAGACTCATAAGGTCCTGGTCGTCGGAAAGCGTGAGTTGACCACATCTGGTCGTCGACTGTCCAACTCTGATATCACTTCGTTTCACATCAATGATGAAACGGAGAAACAAGGCATGGGTACCTGCGTAAACCAATCAAGAATGACTGAGCTAATGGTATCTAGTCTGTTTGTCAATTTTGTACTACCCGGAGCTTCATTCTCGACGCGAGCGTGTTGAAACGTCAGAGGTTGGCACCACCGATTGGATTCAAACTCACGATAATTACAAAAGCTGGGTGGCTGGCAGATCGAGTCTACTCTGGGTTTGTGGTAAGCCTGGAAGCGGGAAATCGACACTAGCGTTCTCGGTACAACGCTTACTTGACGTCAAGAAAGGCGCAGATGGAATCCTGCTGGCGGACTTTTTCTATAGTTCACGTGGTGGCCCGACCGAAAAGGATCATACTTCGATGCTGCGGTCTATCCTGCACCAGCTTCTGTCACAGGATCACTCACTATATCCTGCTTATCGAGCCTTCTTTCGAGAAAGACGAAAACGGCACGCTTCTATCTGGGAATCTGATGAGCTTGCAAGAATTTTGATGGCTCTAAAGGACCTCAGGAGTCGAAGTCAACGGACATTCTTCTTTATTCTCGACGGTCTCGACGAATCATCGGAAAACGAGACACGAATCTCCTCTGGGAACCAACATGAAATTTTCCAGGTTTTTTCCCGCCCGTGCAACACCAATGGTAACCACTCAGACTCTTTCAACGTCATCGCTTTCAGCCGGCCCGAAGTATCTATAAAAAGTGCGATAGCGCCAACATACATTATCAACATGAAGGACGAGAATAACAATGACGTCGATAAGATCATCGAAAATGGGCTACGGCGGCTTTTGAACTATTTGATGATCGATACGTCTACAGTCCGGATCTCGGACAGTAGTAACCCTGACCTTGGCTTCGTTCGAGTCTACCTTCAGAAACATGCAGACGGCGTCATCTTATGGGTAGTCATGGTCCTTCGAAGGCTTGAATACATCGCAAAATCTACCAGATGCACCATTGCCAACCTCAAAAAAGCGCTTTCCGACATTCCAACAAGCGTCGATGAGCTCTATTCGGACATTCTCCACAGGCTAAGGGCTCGCCCTCTAAGCGACATGCAGCAAGCCAGCTACGTCTTCTCATGGCTTCTCTTCGCTGGGAGACCTCTCAGAATCTGCGAAATCAGAGATGCACTAGCAATGTTCGACTGGGGAGACTCCGAAGATCATGGTGAGGATTATCTTCAAAATCATCGTTTGATTTTCCCCCAGGGCCAGTGGAACCGTATGGAGATAGTCCTCGCCGACCTCTGTGGTGATTTCGTGGAAGTCATACCGAAGGCGACTACATCAGTTGGTCGGCTTCTGATTTCCTCGAATATCGATGCAGCAGACTCTGTTCAGCTTATCCATCACACTGCAAGGGAGTTCCTCTTGTTTTACCCGACTGCGGATTCCCTACACATCAGCAGCGTGTGCAGTTTCGACGTCATTTGCTCAGCGTGTGTTAACTACCTCAAGGTAACATCTCATATGCCAGCTGAGGGAGATGCTGAGGAGAGCCTGAACACCTTTGTACGCCACTTGGAGAATGCCCCTCTGCTCGAATATGTTTTGAACAGCCTTCCAAGTATTCTAAACCAACCAATCGCTCAGCATAGCCCTGTCAGGGACCGTATCCTGCAGTCGATCATGAGCGACATGAAAGCAGCTTTTGAGCGTCGATGGTCATCTACATGCACGTCATGGTGGTTCTTCAAAACATGGTTGGCAAGAATTTTCGGCGACCGATCTCAGTTTTCTAAACACCACGAATACGAAACCATTGATATCTCCTCAATCCCAAACTCGGTTTCGAGTTTCTTCAGTCGCATCATCCGGAAATCTCACAAGGAGGCACAAGGTGGACCTGCTTGGGGTTCTTATCTGGACTGCGCACGTCTCCCGCATGCTCTTCTAATCCATGGTGTTTCTGCCGCGAAACGTCTCAACTGCCAGACGGCTTTGCGAGTGCTCCTAGCAGCGAGCGCAGATTCTACAGGCTCATCAAACGACTACTTACTTTCGCTGAGTAACATGAGTCATCAAGAGGAAACCCTAAACCGCAAACAAAAGCGAGTCCAAGAACGCGACAAAGAACGTGAAGAAGAACGTGCAAACGAACGCGCAAAAGAACGCTCGAGAGACAAGTCTTGGGATCTGTCTATTGACGACTCCGACATCGACCAACCTTCATGGGAGACGTGCTGGGATGATGCCTTGGTTGGGCAGTGGGTAGAGACCTCTATTCCAAGTTGGACTCGGAACAGTGTCCCATTGAGGGAGTACGGTCTCGAGCCCTCCCCTCTAAAGGAAGAGAGAGAAAGAAATGTCTCTAAGGAATTTTATGCGGCCTTTTTTGGAAACACAAAGGGTACATACTCTCTGTCACCTCAGCTACAGGAAGCCCTGGGCATACAACAACATGTGCGTGAAAGCTGCTACAATGAGCTGATAGAGGATACTTTGTATGATTCATAACGCTCAGAACTAAACATATCAATTAGTGCAATGTTGGTTTACCTATCAAGGCGAAGAACTGCAATACTCGCGCAACAAATGCAATATGCCGCGCAATACAATGAAGCCACCCTTATCTGTCTTCCCCACTCTACTTGACATCTCGCTATACCAGTGAGAACCTTTTGATATTCAATATTAATAAGTTCCTTGACAGGCTTCCAGACTGCCATGACTTTACAGCGAAGCTTTGCCCTTCAGCATAAGACTACATCAATGTCTAGACCCACTCGTAGTCAAGCTACATACCCTCAGTGTCATTGAGTCGATAATGATCCTTTGCTATTAGTGTTGAGTGATGTTTATTATCGCTGGGTATGGTGAGATTCTAACTTCATTGAGAGAAGAGGGGCTGCTGTCTTACATTGCGCAGCGAATTGCTTTTGTGTTGAGAAAGTAGGACGCGCTCAGTGGATGAACGCTAGGTTGAGGTTACCTAAAACGGTGTCTTATGAGTCTTTCACGGACTTTTATTTGCTAGTCAACTCAATCTGCAACTGAAGACAAGCTAAGCTTGAGATCTTCATCTGTGTGTACCACATTCCTAAGCTCGATTCCTCGAGAACGTGCACTATGTCGTCTTCATCTTTTGTATATAGCCTTCATGGGAAAGACCTTTAATTCAATTTTACTCTTCGCTACAAGACTGATATCTCCGGACCTGCAGCGTAACTGTGTCGCGCATTCCGGTGTTCTCATCATGCCAACTCAGAGGTTTGAGGGCATCCATATGATAACTGTAATTCTTGCTGGCCTACGGTGCTGGACTACTGGCCGTCTAAGAGATGAATCAATTCACATCCATCCCGGGACAAGTCAACACCGTGAATCGCTATTGCCATGACCGTGATGTGTGTTGGATCCGTTCCCAGCCATAGTATTATGGCATCGGAGTATGGACATCCTCGGGGATGGGTGTGATTTAGCGGACTTTGATCAAAAGATATACGAGGATTGCCATAAACTTCGTATTGTGAAGGGTCTGTGTACTGCTCGATGCTGAAGAAATAATTTGATCATGGTCCGAAGAGGTCGGGTAAGTCTCTTCTGAACCGAGACCACCGTATTTGTCGTTTTGAAACCAAAGTAGCAAGGATACCTGTCGTCAAAGTCCTCTGGCGAAGACTAATTCTCGTGTGCTAGTCTCTTACAAGCACCGGCCACATATGTCCGTCACGAATACCGTGGAAACCTTACTTTGATAGTCACTTCCGAGTCGCGCTTGAACGCTGAGATTTGGCTTAATGGACTTACTTTCTGGTTTCTAAGTGATGTAGCAATTCAAATCAACTTAAAGCCAGTTGTTCTGGGGCATACAGTAGGGTTCCCAGACTTGAGTTGCTAATGTTGAGGGATATGGTTGTAGAAATGAGTAGCAATTGTCGGTGAAAGCAAAGCAAGCTTCCGAATCGAAACCACTTCGTAGCTTAATGAACCTTTCAGGTGTCGGTAAAGAACTGTCTGACATCAGATTTTGGCAATCTTAGAAACAGTGCTTGATCGGAAAAGACGGCGACGACAGCTGTCCAAGCATGTCGAGTTAGTGCAGCATTTTTTGGTGTAGTACGCTGGAGCTTCCCGACAGTCTGACTCAACTGAGGTTATTCTGCAAACTTCAAATAAACCCGGGCCCGGATTCGGACAATGCAGAACAGGAAAGAGTCCGGCGAGAAGCCAGGTCACACGTTTGAGATGGTCGGAAAATTGGAAAATCATCCCGTTCCACCGGGTGCAGGCAGGCTTCTTCCCTGACAAGCGCGGCTAGCTGGCCACACCGATGAAACCACCGCGAACTCAAAGTTCCGCTCGGCATGAGAATACGTCGCTAGCCACCATCAATCACCTAACCCATGCTGCCTGGTAGCGCCAAGTTGGAGAAGCAGCCATCACGACGTTAAACTCCGCGTGGGTGGAAAGCTTATTTCATTCATTCTTTGGCTGACAGAAGTTTGTCTTGGACAACACACCTCCACTACAACAATGACACCAACCAGGCCTCTAGTCCAACGGACCATATCGAAGAGGAGCTCGGAAATCCGAGTGTACACGATCCTTCATGTCCGCGGGAATCTTCGCCATGCTCTCAACGCCCTCGAGCAGTACAACCTGTTGCCCGGCCTATTTGATGTCAGTAACGGCGAATCATGATGGGTCTCAAGAGGACTTACCGCAAAGTGATGAATCATGTGGCAGTGAAGCATGCTTGCCGCAGGGAAAGATATCTCGTATCGAATGACGGTCCAGTCACCGGTGCTGTTGCCCAGCCTGCAGCCATCACGGTTCGGCGGGTCGACCAAGTTGAAGTGGTCCGCCATTCCTCCTTCTCGAATGGCGTCCTCAACCGTGGGCCAGGGGAAGCTGCCGCTACCGGTGCCGATGATGAACGCCTTGTTGTTGTGCTTGTGGAAGGGATGTTGAGAGGTCACGTTGGCACCATTCTCGAAGATGATGTCCACAACAGTGCCGTTGTGCAACGAGCCACCGTGAACATCATCTCCATATGTGGTGACACCACGGGACTCCTCGTCCCAGAGTAGGGGTGGTAGTTGTTGACGGAATGCTTGGTGGGGACCAATGTTCAGAGCCCAGCTGCTGGGGCCGGTCATGTTGACGAAGAACTTGATGGTGTTATCGGCCTTAGCAGGCGGTGGGCGGGCCGGGTACGGAGCAAGTTTGGTCTCGTCCATGGCCACGGAGGACGGCGAGAGCAATGTGCCGTTGAGATGAACCCAAGGCTTGGTGTCGGGCACCTGTTGCTTGCCCTCGACCTTCTGGCCGGGGTACCGAAGGATGCCAAACCCCTGAATGATCTGCTCTCTGCGGAGGGATGTGACTCTGATGGCATAGTCCCTAGGCTTCTGGTTCAGACGAATCAGAATGCTGTCAAACGGTCAGCTATCTCGGTCACGTCAAACGTCTTTGTCATTGCGGTCTTTTACTTACCTGATTCGTTCACCGAGGTTGCAGTTGGCCGCGTGGACCTTCTGAGGGTGGACGAATTCTCCGTCTGCCGCGACGACGTAAAACTCATGTTCGTCAACGCTGATTTGCAATTCATGATGGGCGCCAGAGTGGATGAAGTTGATCCACATCCACTCCTCGCCGGCCTTCGCCTCGAAAACCTCGAGATCAGCGTAGGTCTCTTGGCAAGTCTGTAGGTTTGCGAACTCTGCTTGGCCGTCCTGTAGAACGCAGCCCAGTGAGTCTCTACCCGGACCGCCAACAGACTCAATCAACTCCTTTGAATGACAGAACGTTCTGCCCTTTCCATTGAGCACGATTGAGTTGCTGCACCACGGGACGATACCGGTATCGCGATACATGATGAGCAGAATGTCCATGGGCTCGGCGTTCCAATCGCTGATGACCACATGATGCGGGTTCTTCTCTGCTTGCTTCATGCCCTCAATGTCTGAAGGCAAAGATGAGATGAGCTCGTATGGCCTCGGTCGCCACGCTGCGGGGGCAATCCAGATCGGGCCTCGCATGCCATCTGCGAAAGCAGGCCCGAAATGGCCGTGATAGAAATAGCTTCCGTATTGTTGCTGGACCGTAAAGCGATATGTGTAGGTATCGCGTGGTTGAATGGAGTACTGGGTCACGCCTGGAACCCCGTCATTCCAGGGCTTGTCGACTTGGTAGACCCCATGCCTATTTCTTTCATGTTAGTCGCGAATCTTACAAAGAATAATTGGGCTCATACCAGTGCATAGTTGTCTCGAAAGCCAACTGGTTGTCGAGAAACACTTCAATCTCATCACCCTCATCTGCCACGATGAGAGGGCCGGGTGTCTCGTTGTTGATGGCAAAGACAGGCCTGCCATGACCATCCCCAGTGTCCCACTTGTTAGTGATGGTGAAATTGTATCTCCTCGTCTGAGCTGCCAGACTGGCGCTGGCGAGGAGAGAAAGAATCGCACATCGTGTGAAAGCAGCCATCTTGATGGTTTGTCCCGCTCGCCCACAGAGACAAGAGAATCAGACTGGAACCGGGGCCTTCCTCATAAAACAGAAAAGACCTCGGCCCCCAAAGGGCGGATTTATCATCGACTGCCTCTTCTTACAAGAGTCTCCACGGCACATTTACCGATATCTAGGACATCCCTACCGCCGTCCGATGCAACCGTTAGAGTTTACCGAGTTAGGGGGACCAACCCGCTTTCCCGCACTCTAGACCGCCTGTCATTTGTCTGGGTTTCTTCTAGCGGCCGTTTAACCTTTCTGCAACGCGCATTTCGCCTCAACTCGACGGTGGACGCGGACCCAGGACCCCTACGCGGCCGGGGAGCTGAAATCCCAATCACCGCAGACCTCCCGCCGGGTTTCGGAATGGATACGCACAACACAGCCGCCACCGAATCATGATCAACGGGCCATCATAACGAAACAGGGTAATGCTCCTGTTGCTGTGATACCTCCGGAAAGCTACAACGTCGCAGGCCCCGCGGTCCGAAGCAAAAATGGTGGCGGGCTAGTGTCTCTGACCAGTGATGATCGACTAGTCAGTGAAGGGCGAAGACCTGCGCGGCCGGTAGTTGTCTGTGAGAGAAAGACGATGGGGCCAGGGGACGCCCCTCCGCGGTCCCCGCGTTGTCATGCACTCTTTTACTTATTGTCTCCATGCCCAAGCTGCACCCGCCGGCTCTACCGAGTCTCTCGTAGTTGCTCCGGCGTCTCGACACAGCAGCGAAAATGGGGTCAAAATACCAACAGATTGAGTCAACGCAGCTCGGGTTGGCGAAGAGAAAGAACAGAAGAAAGTCGCCAGTGTTCTGGATCTCTGGTTTGGCCGCTCTATGTCTCTTCATCGTGGCAGGAACTTGGAGAGGCGATACCCTGCAGCGAGCAGTGCGTGGCTGTTGGGATCGCGTCTTTCCGGGCAAGTCAGACAGACTCATCCGCAAGTACAACCTTCAGACAGGAGTCCGATGGATGAACCAAGGTAAGCACAACAAAACTTTTCATGATCTTCTGGCGCACCTCTGACGCAGGATGAAGATGGCGGGCGTTGGAGGGTCATGTTCACCTGTAATGGCCAGTCGCCCTGCCCGACACTGTACGCCGAAGAGGGCGATCTCGTCGAGTTGACGGTCAAGAGCGACATCTATGCACAGTCGTCAATTCATTGGTAAGTTTGAATTGGATCGATTCCGCTTCGGACGATGGGATGCTGACGATCAACATTAGGTCTGGAATCGGTCACAAGGGGTAAGGAAGGTCATTCTATTCCTCCGAATTCTGCATTGGTCTCACAGCTTTTCTCAGAACTGGCAGCTGGAATGATGGCACGGCTGGAATCTCTCAGGTTTGTTTGAAAGAATTCTTCAGTGACTCAAACCGAAGCTAATCCTGCATCAAAGTTCCCAATTCTGCCCCGCGGTAACTTCACCAGCGTGATTGACACAGCTGGCTCCTGGGGTCTGAACTGGTACGCCGAACACACATCGGCCGCATCAGCAGATGTACTTTCCCACTCGCTCATTTTCCTCACAGAATTGACTCGCTGATCACACCCGCAGGGTTTATATGGCATGGTCTACGTAGCACCCAGTCCATCAAGACCTAGACCGTACAGGTTGATCACCAACGATGAGACTGAGTTGCGCAAGATTATGGAAGCCGAGAGGGAAGCCCGCCACTTGGCCATCAAGAACCACCAGCACCGCGATACCGGCTGGAAGATGTTGCGTATGAGGGCCGAGGGTTCCGAGTTCTACTGCTACAATTCCATCATCGTCAACGGTAAGGTTTGAGAAAGCCGAATTCGTAGCATCTCCGCTAACAACAACAGGCAAGGGTCGTGTGCATTGTCGCCAACCCGGCTTCGAGACGTTGAATGGCCAAAACATCGACGAGACCGGCTGCATTCAGCCAGCAGGTCTTCCGCAAGAAACTTGCACGCCTAGCAAGGCTGACTATGAGGTGAGAAGGATATCTCTCATCCCAGTGACGGCGACGATGCTTACTTTGTCGCCAGGTCATTGAAACTGAAGGTCGACCTTACATCATGCTTAACCTTATCAACATTGGTTTCGAGCACTCAGTCATGGCCTCCATCGACAATCACAAGATGATTGTGGTTGCGAACAATGGCGGCTTCGTCACTCCGGAGGAGACTGATGTGAGCGAAATCGCTCTTCTCATTTCATCTAGCCTTGAAGCTTATGACTATTGTTTTAGGTTGTATACGTCCCCAGTGCCGGTAGGGTTACCGTTCTGATGAAGTTGGATGCGAAGCCTGGTGACTATGCCCTGCGCATGTCGTCCACGAGTCAAATGCAGAACTTGCAGGGCTACTCGATCCTCAGATACCCGGTAAGCACCGATCACAGCAGCTCCATGAAACAGACATCACAGGGAACTAACAACGCAAACTTGTTCCTGTAGGCGAGTCGTCGTCCCATCTATGGCCAGCCGATGGAGTTGCCACAACCTTCGAATTCAGACGATATCTGCGTGCTACCCGACAGCTCCACCAAGAAAGGATGCAAGACTACCAACTCACATTTCCTTCCTCCTTACCCCGAGTTCCCGCCACCAAAGGCCAAGAAGTCCCGCCCAGCCTCCGCCGACTTCACCTTCCGTCTGGCAGCCGGATCTCAGCCTTCACTCACGGAGCCTCACGTCCCAGAGTACTTCCTCAACGAGAAGCCCTGGCAACTCTTCCGTTCTTCGTTGACCCCGCTACTCTTCCATGACTTCAATGCCAGCTCCGGGAAGTCGCTGGACAAGCCTGTCATCGAGGGGATTCCCATGGGAAGCGTCGTCGACCTGATCATCGAGAACCAACTGAATGACACCATCCCTCTCTACAAGCACGCAGATCCTGCGTGGCTTCTTGGTGTCAGTTCGAACGCGCGATTCCCTTATGCCAGCGTTGAAGAGGCAGTTGCTTCGGACAGAGACGTTGCATCCGCGCTAAACCTCCAAGATCCCGGACTTGTCACTATCCATGACTTGCCTCCTCTGGGATGGAGTGTCCTTCGCTTCAAGGTCACGACCAAGGCAGCTACAATGATTCACGCGGTAAAGCTCAGATACTTTGCGGTAAGTGATTGTCGTTCCCAGCACGAATTGTGCGAAACTGCTGCTGACACTGAACCCTCACCAGCTTGGCATGTCGGCACCCATTATGGAAGGCATACTTCCCAATGACCCGGCAAACTTCCCCCTGTCTGCTGCCAACAGACCTCACGTAGACTTTGAACCCAAGAATGATGGAGTCTTTGGCTAGGAGTTTGTAGGGATTAGAAGAGCTGGAACATAAGGATCGACGAAACTTGGTACCAAACGCGCTCCTTACATTAGTTCAACGTAGAGACTCCCATTTACTATTTTAAGTACACATTTGAGATCAGTAGCCATCAAACACTCCTCATCTTCGTCACCGCTTCAACTTATCCGCCAAAGAATGCTTTCCAACATGCCACAAAAAAAGGTAGACATGAAGACGCGCCATTCAGATCTGACATGGATGCAACTGATCTGGCTGGACGGTGGCTAGAGTCGCACGACATATCCCAGCCCAAGAAGTCTGCCTGGGTAGGTAGACAAGGCACTTTCCCCCTCAGCTCAACGATCAATCACAAGTCTCTGCGAACGCCTAGGAATGCAGTATCTCAAAAGTGGCAGGCTGCGCCGCTGTCCCCTCCCACCCCGCTTCGTTAATTGGTCGACTACATGCATGCAGTCAGCCCTGGTGTCTTGTATGGCAACAATAACTCGGGAATAGATGCGGGAGAAGTCAGCAGGACCTATCCTAGGTTCGTGATGGGCTTCCTCGTCATCACCCAGCCTTCTCCCAAAAACACATCCCGAAGCTTGAAGCGAGCTTTTGAGCGAATTTCCTTCGAAAGGTCGTTATCAGAATCAGCCCGCAAGACGCTGGACATCGAGCGTCTCACGATTGTGCGATCGCGCTGACGACCCCACGATCCTCGAACGAGGCTCCGCGAAAGCGCAATGGGAACCACGCAACTCCAAGACTTCAGGCTCTACACGATCGGATGGGTCGCCGCTCTCTCCAAAGAGCTTACCGCTGCGAAAGCGATGCTCGATGAGAACCATGACCAGCCTGCAAACTTCCGACAAACCCTCAGCGACACGAACAACTACACCTGGGGACGCATTGGCAAGCACAACATCGTCATCGCATCACTTCCGGAGGGAAAGTACGGCCTAGTTTCCGCTGCGGTAACTGCCAGTTTCATGATCAGCTCCCTTCCACATCTTCGATTCGGTCTGATGGTCGGCATTGGTGCCGGAATACCCAGACCGGGCAAGGATATCCGCCTCGGCGACGTAGTCGTTAGTACTCCTGCGGGCGAACATCCGGGAGTTGTGCAGTACGACTTGGGCAAGTTGGAGAGCGATGGTCGCTTCAAACGCGTCGGCTCGCTTGCTCCTCCGCCGCGGATTCTCCTTACGGCGTTGACGAACCTCAAAGCGACACAACCGTTGGAAGGTTCTCAGGTGCCGTCCATCCTAGACGCGATGCTCGAGCGTTATCCTCTCCTGAGATCACAACAACACGGATACTTTCACCAAGGTCCACAGAATGACCGGTTGTTCATAGCATCTTCGGTGCACGTCGAGGACAACGACGCAATCCAGCGCACTTTGGCACAAAATACCCAGTTCTACATGCGTCTACAGTTGATGCTGAGCTGGCTATGGTCTCTCTTGCTTTTTCTCTGCACAGCCCGGTGGAAGCCTACGCGAAGTCCACTCGGTACTGGCCCAGCTCTGTCGGATCAAACAAAAGCTGCTCCTCCTCAAGCTACTGCCACAGAGACTTGCACGCATTGCGATCCTACCAAGGAAATACAACGTTCTGCCAGACTAAACAGCCACCCAGTGGTCCATTATGGCGTCATTGCTTCCGGGAATATAGTTGTCAAGGATAGCTTATCGCGAGATGCCATATTGGATCGGCTGGGGCCTGAGTGTATTTGCTTTGAAATGGAGGCGGCGGGACTGATGGACAACTTTCCCTGCCTAGTCGTCAGGGGAATTTGCGACTACGCGAACAACCACAAGAGCGACCAGTGGCAGAACTACGCAGCAGCAACGGCCGCTGCGTATGCAAAGGAACTACTCGTGGGATACATCAGAGCTGAAGATGTCCAAAATGCTGACGGAATTGAGGAGCTCATGGGAAGAGGTCAGTAAATACACATGATAACGTTGATGAATGTGTCTTAATTGTTTTAGTGGCCAGAGACACATCCAAAATTGCCACGACGACAAGATTGACACAAGAAGCTATTCAAAAGCTATGCGATAGTGATCAATACCGGGAAATCATGAAGTGGCTTTCACCTCCGGATACATCGTCAAGCTACACAACTGCCTTAGAAGCCCGTCAAAACGGTACAGGGCAATGGCTTCTCGGAAATGAGATGTATACCAAGTGGAAGAGAACCCCAAACTCTTCGCTGTGGCTTCAGGGGATCCCTGGCTCTGGCAAAACTATCCTGAGCTCGACGGTGATCGAAAATTTGACCCACAGCATCGCCCACGATGAAGCCCTTCTTTATTTCTACTTCTCATTTGCAGACGCGTACAAGCAGTCGTTGGACGGGGCAATCCGATGCTTTATTGCACAACTGTTCTCAAAAAGCCAGGAGGCAGCAACCTACCTTGTTGCGCTTTTCGAACCGGCTTACAGCTATCAGAAGGACTCAAAAAGTCCTACCACCGCACAGCTTTGCGACATCTTTCAAAAGATGGCACAGAAGACTGGTAAGATATGGATGGTTCTCGACGCTCTTGATGAATGCCAGACAAGAGAGGATATGAATGACAATACGAATGGTCTGCTCACCTGGTTGGAGAACATGGCAGATTCTCATTCTATCGACACCCATATCTTCATGACCAGCCGCCCTGTCTATGACATTAAATCGAGTTTGGAAAGTTACATAAATTATCAAATTCCGCTGCAGAGCCATTTAGTGTCAGATGACATTCAAAACTATGTTCACTCAGAGGTCCGACAGAGTGCCGCCCTAGCCAGATGGAAAGGGAACGAAGAGGTGCAAAGAGAAATAGAGAGCCACCTTGTAGAAAAGGCTCAAGGAATGTGAGACTATGGCTACCAAGATTCATATCAAAGCAATCACTGACTCCTTGTGCACATAGGTTTCGCTGGGTCTCGTGCCAGCTGGACGTTCTCAAACACTGCCATAAATATTCCACACTCCGACAACAACTTAGGTCGCTGCCAAGGACACTAGACGAGACCTATGAGTCGATTCTGGACAGGATCCCACCAATGCATGAGCATGACTCCATAAAGCTTCTACAGTTTCTAGTGTTTTCGGAGAGTGCACTCCTCCTCGAAGAAGCCGTCGATATTGTTGCAGTCGAACCCAAACAACCAAGGCCAAGATTCGATCCCAAGAACAGGATGCCTATACCCGAAGAAATCACAACACATTTTCACAGTCTGGTGGTCGTTGTCGAACAGAAAGAGAAGTACACAAAAGGGACGGTAAAGCAGCTGCAGCTAGCGCATTTTTCTGTCAAGGAATACCTCCTGTCAGATCGACTACGGAAGCACAGCTACTCTCAAATCTTCCGAGAACCATCTGCCACAGCCTCCATGGCCGAAGTATGTCTTGCATACTTGTTGGAGGTCGAACCCAACGTTCCAGGCAGGCCGTTGAGACAATACCCATTCGCATCGTACGCCTCAAAATTCTGGACGCAGTATGTCATGCGAACTGGAAATAGCACAGATCAAAATCTCATTGAAGAGTTCATTGAATCAAAGGACGCTTACAACATCTGTTCTCAATTTCATACCATCCCTTACTGGCAGCTTGAGAACGAAACTTATCAGAGTCACCCCGCAATGCGCCGTCGTCCAGGTTCGAGTACCGAGATCCCTCACGTTCTGCATTATATGGCACGTGTCGGCTCGGCATTTGCAGTACTTCGGATTCTCAAGGAGGACCCAAGCGCTGCCCACGCCATCTATCAGACCTACGGCACTGCTCTCCATACTGCATCTTATCGAGGTCACACCGAAGTTGTCCGGATACTTCTTGATAACGGAGCAAACATCAACCTGGACAGTAACACACCATGTACGCCTCTACAGGCATCGATGCATGGCCACAACGACGCTACTACCAAACTCTTGCTCGAACGAGGAGCGGATATCCATGCTCAAGACACAATTTATGGAACCTTCCTTTTACGAGCCGCAATCTTTGGAAAAGAGGAGATAGTCAGAATACTGTTGGCGCAAGGCATGGACGCCAATTTCCAGCATCATGGGGATCATCGTACCGCACTCCAAGCTGCGTGTGAAGCGAACTCGAAGCCAGTTGTAGAGCTGCTTTTGCAACACGGAGCAGATGTTAATGCAGAAAGTGGCAGTCGGGGTACCTCGCTTCAGATTGCATGTCATCGGGGCTCTGATGCGCTCGTGGAACTACTATTGCAGAATGGAGCTGATGTTAATGCGCCAGGTCACTACCATGGCCGCGCACTTTGCGTCGCAGTTTCTGGAGGCTATGTCAGCATTGTCAAAAGGCTTCTGCAGCATGGTGCGGATATCGACGTGGCATGTGTGTGGGAGTATGTTCCACTGCAGATCGCCTCTCGATACGGTCATTATGACATTGTTCAGACACTACTTGAAGGGGAGAGACCCAAGCAAGTGTTGAATAAGTCTGTTGCGGCCGCAGTTGAAAAAGGCCACGAAATGATAGTCAAGCTGCTCCTCGACGCAGGTGCCGATCCCCACAGAGCAAGCAACAATTACGAATTCGGCAACGCTATCCTAGAAGCAGCCTGTCGACGGCACAAAGGTATTCTGGAGATGCTTCTGAAGAGCAAGCCAATTATAAATACAGGAGCTGAAGAGGACGACTACTGCAACGCTGTACACGTCGCATCTTTGCACAATCTTGATGAGGTTATGGCAATGCTTCTCAGTGCTGGCGCAAGAGCTGAAATTGGCGAGTGCACGCCTCGATGGCCACACCTGTGGTTTGACTTTCCTGAAAAATACGAACGACAGCAATTCGTCATTCAGACGTTGTTAAAAAATGGGGCCATGGACTTGGGATCCCTGAAAGCATTAGGTGGACTGTTACGAGAACGAGAATCTTAGCTCTCGAGAAGATGTATTGAGATGTGTTCATTTGGCTTGCGCGCCGATTCGATAAGACACAAATATCACTAGGCGTTGTTGGTCTTCTTGGGATGTGGGAAATTCATCAGAAGTGCCTGCCCTATTACAGTTGTTCACCTAGAATGAACAGTGCAACGGTAAATCCTCATGTCTGCGGCCATCCATGCTTGCAGATGCTACCTACCTACGAGGTTTCATGTCTTTCAGGTCACTTCACCTAAAACTATTAGCCGTTCCCGATCTTCGAATCAGAATAGTAGCGTAGAAAACACATTACACGTCAAATGCTTGTTACCAAAATATGGGTAGCCAATTGACGAGGGACTATGTCATTAAGAAAGACTTCATGGTCAGACTTAAATCATAAAAGAACTTGATATACTTCGTCGAGTTGCGAAAGTTATGAATAACTTGGGTGATATCAATGGAAGGCAATATCAAGTTCAGACGTCTTATAAATCATGCTCTATTGTCAGCCACAAGCGTGCGGTTTATGGTCTCAATCTTTCAAGTTTCAACCAAGGTATCTAGGCGGAATATCTAGAGAAACGAGGGCGTTTTGGATGATACAAGCCTCTCAAAAACGCCCTGCGAGTGCTGACTCTTTGGTTCAAATCCCGGAAACAGTTGAGAGACGGTGACTGTCGACCGTCTTCATCAATGGATGGTCTTGTTGGCCCATCTTCGTCTATGATCAGACGCATGTAAACTTCGACAGACAACCTTCAACCCTGCAGGCCATATCCAAGATCAGACCGACGCCGCGAGCGCCACACCGGACCAAACATCAAGGACGGCCAGATATCCTCGACTCGGCATGGCAAATATCCAATCAAGTCGCAGGTATAACATAATAGAGACGATTCACCTTATGAATCACAGAGAGCAAGTTGAAAAAAGTAAGAAAAGTTAGCAATACTGCTGTAGTAGAGGTAGTAGTAATAGTCCCCTCCCCCTTCGGGTGTCCAGAACGCCATGCCATGCGCATCCAGATATGTAATTCCCCATAAAACAAATCAAACATCCAAGTCTCCCGTCCCATTCCCCTCCTTCTCTTCCCGTTTACTCGCCAAAGCTCATCCATCCCCACGTACCCAGACCGCCCGCGAGCACCATGAACGTCAGGATACCCGCGCCGGCCTTGTCCGCCGTGGTGATCGGCTCCGGCTCGACGCGGTCCTTGGAATTGCTTCCGGCGTTCACGTCGCCGGCCGAGATGCCGCCGGTCGAGTTGGTGACGGGCGGGGCCGAGTCGTGGATGAGCAGGCTGGAGACGGCGGCGAGGACGTTCATGGCCTCGCCGGCGCCGGTGGTCTTGTCGGCGCCCGGGTCGGTGAAGACGCCCTCGTTCCAGTAGAAGCCGCAGACGCGGCCGGTGGCGCCGCCGGTGCACTGGTTGACGGCCTTGGTGGTGGAGGTCTTGAGGACCGAGTCGATGCGGTCGCGCATGAAGGGGGCGACCTGCATGACGACGGAGAGCCAGCGGTGGACGTAGCCCTTGAAGGAGAGCATGTCGGGGGTGCACTGGCCCTTGCGGCCCTCGCAGGCGAGCTCGTAGGCGGTGTCGTTGGGGAAGAAGTTGGTGAAGAGGGACTCGGTCATCTTCTCGACGCGGCCTTTCCAGACGTCGGAGCCGTTGGTCTGAGAGGGGTTGTTAGCGGGGTTGGTGGGTGAGTGAGACGGAGGGAAGGGACATACGTAGTTGTACATGAAGGCCGCGCCCTGGGTCAGGATGGCGGCGTTGTAGGAGAACTGCTGCTTGTTGATGTCGGTGCAGTTGTGTTCGACGTGGCCTCCGTCGTAGACGTTCCAGGTATCGTGATCGATGTACTGGACTCCCCACAGCCAGTCCCAGGTCTTCTCGGCGTGCTTCGCGTACGTCTCGTTGTTGGTGTATCTGGCGAGGCGGGCGCCGATGTTGAAGAAGCAACCGTTTGCGATGGCTGTGACATGTCAGCATCCTTGTTCCCCCAGCTTTAACACATGGGACTGAGCGCACTGTTCTTGTAGTTGTATCCGGCGTTGGAGAACGGCACCTGCCATCTCAGACCACCGTTGCAGGTGTCGTCGTGACGATCGGGGCTCGCCTGGGTGGTCCAGACGGCCTGGGCGAGGGCGAGCCACTGGGGCTTGTCCTCGGGCGGGTTGGGGAACTTGTTCTCGGCGGCGAGCATGGCGGACATGCCCCAGAAGCCCTGGTCGTCGTTTCCGAGGGACGCGGTGTGGTTCGGGGGCATGTAGTCGGCGTTGGGGCCGGTCTGGTGCAGCATGCCCTCCATGACGAGGTCGTTATAGGTCGAGTCGCCGGTCAGCTTCCAGTAGTCGATGTAGGTGCCCATCATGGCGCCTCCCTCCCACCAGTAGTAGTCGCCCTTGTGCTCGGTGGGCGGGCCGGGCAGGATACCGGGGATCTCGCCCGTCTGGTTGCCCTTGTAGAACTTGATCAGGTCGTAGGCCAGGTCTTTTGCGGCGGACTTGATGTTGTCTGGGGTGTCGTGTTAGTAGGGGTTGGTTTTGTTTGGTGTCGCGGGTTGTTCGTCGCATTTCGTGGTCGGCCTACCTTTTGTGTCGATCTTGTAGTACTGCGCGCTGGCGGCCGGTAGGCTTCCGACGAGGAGCAGGGCCGCCGAAGCGGCTTTAGCGAGTGATGTGACCATGGCGATGAGCCGGTCGGTGAATCGCGAGTTTAAAAATCAAGGCCGATTAATCCGGATCGAGGAGAAAGAGAAAAAAAATCGGCGATGCAATCGGTCGGTCGGGTGGCCGTCGGGTTGTCGTCGTTGGTTGAATTTAGCGAGTGTGTCGAATTGACGTTGATGGCGAAGGAATAGAGACAGCGAAGGTCGTCGAAGAAAATAATTCGTTACGTCAAGCGAGTGTTCATGACCGGCACCGCCAGATTAACTTTTTGGGTCGTCGTAAAAAATCAAACGCAGCCGCCACAAGGTGCTTGTGGTTGTCGTTTGGCGGTGGACGGTGTTGGCTTTCGTGAGGTGAGAGTGAGGTGGTGGTAGTGGATGAGCTGGGGATGGAGGCAAGGAAAAGCAGGAACAGGAATAGTAGCGCTGCGTCGGGAAGAAAAGGGGGGGCCCAGACTCTTTTTCTCGATTTTGCTCGAATACCAAGACTTTTAGGGAAAAAGAGGTACTGAATACATTTGTTTTCACAACACACTGGGCCTCGCAGGACAGGACAGGGAACAAGATGACGCGGTGAATTTGTGCTGGTGGCCGCCAGAGTCTTGGTATTCTTGGTAAAGTCTTGGCCTTCTGGGCATCGGGGCTGTGCAGCAAATGAGAGACGCCCGCGACGTTGAACAAGCACCCCTTCTTGTTACCAAAGGGAACAGGCGCGATGGATGTCACGGACTGATTGGGTTTTCCGGTATCCGTATTCTGTACGCAGCAAGGTTCCGATTGACAGATGGCGTTTACGGTAAGGTGGATGTAAGGCGAGGCATCGTGGGATGGGCCTGCTGCATTTCCATCCATAGACAAACTCCAATTGTCGCAGAGCCTCACTCACTCACTGACTTGAGTGACAGGTAAAGACAACGGATGAACTCATGAGACGAAGAGGGCTGGGACGCAAGGAGGCAACCACCACACACCATCGCCATGACAGGCGGCAAAGGGCCAGCCATCCCTACCCTCGCGTGAGAATTGCCAAGACTTTCATTCCAGGCCCAAATACAGAGTACACTACGCGGGGGCCTCCTCTTCTGTCACGCCTCACAGACCAGACAGGAGTCAAGGGAAGTGGGCGACATCTCAGCCTTTGCTTCAAAGAGAGAAGATGGGCTCCTGCATTGTGGATGCTGTGAGGGACGGACTTCAGGGGTTGCTCAGAGCTAAGACTCAGCAGCGGCTTGGCGATGCGATGGCTTGGGGATGAGATTGAATGATTGAGACTCATGGGAAGAATTGACGTCGATAATGAGTTGCGACGAGCTATTCAATAGCCCGAAAACCTAACAACCGTTGAAATCAGGGACGGAAAGGGTGTCAACAATGGACCGGCACAAACAAAGACGAAGCGAGGCAACACGTCTCAACAACCTTTTCAATTAAGTTTGGCGCCCGCGGCTCATCATCCCACCTTAGTCAGCCACATCTTACAAATTACAGCGGAAAAGGTTGGATGGCAGAGGCCGTGAGCATCCAATACGAATTATCAGATGGCGTACTGGCTGCAGATACGGCAGCCAAAAATACGCGCAAAAACGCGGGATGACTGCAGAAGGACAGAAGGGACGGGGGGAAAACATGGCAGAGGCAAAACAGAGGCACAGAGGCACTGAGGCATCCCTCTTGTGCAGATGAAGAAAAAGCCAAGGCATTGTGTTGTTTATGTACGCCAAGCAAACCGATCGGTTCGGCCAAGGCAGATCACACGACGGCAGACAGGCTACAGGCGGCGGGACGACCGGTTGCCGTGCGAGCTGGGCGATGGTGTTGGTCAAACGGCCGTCGAAGCGTTGATCGACTGCAATTATCCGTACCCCTTGGTGACAAGACGGGATCACGCAAGCCGGCCAAGAGGTTTTAGTGATGAGGCGACAAGGTGAGTGAGACTGAAACGAGAGGTGATGTGAGAGATGAGGCTTGAGGTGAGAGATGAGAGGTGAGTGTGAGTGTGAGTGTGATTGGGGAAGGCAACACAGAGGAAGGAACGACCCTGAAGACCCTTCTTTCGTTCCTTCTCCAAAAAGAATGAAAATCCGGAGGGAAAGTGCAACTCTCCAGATTTCCCAACTGCCAGAGACGGCAAGAGAGGGAAAGTCCCTGTGGTTCCTCCTTCGTTCCTGCCTGGTCGAGAACACCAATTAACCTTGAACCCCATCCGCACTGTACGAGACCCACCTTTCACCAAGCGAGACCAGTGGCCGCTGAGTGCCAAGACCACCGGGGATTTGGATGGAACGCCCAATTTCCAGCGCCTCGCCGCGAATCAGGGGCTGTCTGACCGTGTCGACGTCAGCATCGCCATGTCGCTTGCACTGTACCGCTCAGCCAATCACGATGATGCCCTCCAGTGGGCGGAGACCTGCAGCGCCAAGACTCCATAAAATTAGCGCACTGCGGAGGATCCCTTCACCTCCACTGTGACCCTCTCGGTCTTCCCCTTGACATTCATCCTTGACATTCATCAATTCCCTGTCAGCGGCGTCCGAGCTGTCCGGAACTTGCCTTTTGGGAATCATTACTGAAGTGGGTTGGCAGCTGCGTTTCTGGATTCTTCAGTCCTGGAAGCTGGGATGCTGCAGACGCACGAGATGTCGAGTTCTCTCTTTATCGCCAAGTACGGATACAAGGCAGCCAGTATCCTCGTGGATATTCAGCCCTAGGAGCACAAGAACCTGGACGACACCCATGAGAAACGTCGTATCATCACCGGCTGTCACGATACACGGTGTACGAATACACCACTCCGAACCATCCTTCCTACAGGAAGCTCGCCTATCCGTGCCTGATCCTCCCGACTGGAGTTCCTCCAATCCCTTGTCCAGCTGACCCTCTCGTCTTCCGAGATTGCATCAGCCGACAATCCCGCGGCCAAGAGATGCCCGGCTCTGTCTTCCGGTCACTTCTTATCCACCGAGAGCCCGGGTCTCCGCTAACTCGGCCAAGCCTCCGCACAGGTCCGGACGGCCGGTAGATACGACGCCGACGTTGAAACTTCATCGGTCCAAATGCCACCAGCGGCCACTCGGCACATTTTCACGGCCAACGTCTACTCTTCCAGGCTTCTGTTGGCTCCATGTCTCGGAACTCACTCCAGCTTGATCAAATCATACGATCCCATACGATAGCCTATACCATGCACTCACTCTCATGTTGCATAACACCATCGGATATCTGCCAATCTGGGTCTCTTCTTTATTTCAGATCCGTCTTACGTGAGGCCATACTCACGATACCGACAAGCTGAATGGCTTCGTTTATGACTGCGTCGCTGACATCCAAGACATATCACCGCCACCATCCTCAACGATGATTCCAACGGCGCCAAGTGGTTGTCCGAGACAAGTGCCAATGTCTTTATATCCCGAGGAATCCAACACCGATGAATTGGTTCTCGTGGCATGCCCAGGCCATCTACCGAAGCTCTGAGCGGCACTTTTCAAACCACTCTCCAAACATCATGGATCTCACTCTCCCTGTCCCGATTTACATCATGGTGGGCCTAGCAGCCTACCAATGCCTCAATCACCTCCTGCGCATGCTAGTCAGACATCTCAACCCGTCCTTCTATGCCAGTCTCGAACTCGACAAACCAAAGAAACTGCGTCCCTGCCTCGTCTTCCCACTCGGCACCCTCCTGACCCTCCTCATCTCGACCCCGGCCTGTCTATCCGCATACACCTCAACACCCCCAGAGACAGACACCTTCAGGACCCAGCGGTCCTACACAACCAGCGGCAGCATCTGCCTCGCCTCCCGTGGTATCCTCTGGATTTCAGAGATGCCTCCTCTCAGCTACTCCTCGGAATACCTCACGCACCACATCCTCGCCCTTGGTTCGATACTCATAGTCGTGTTCCGAGACATGCCTCGCCGGCCGATCTACCTCATCTACGCCGGCCTGGTCACAGAGATCTTCAAAAACACCGCCGCGACACTGAAGCTGCACGGTCGGAATGCGACGAACTCGGCCGTGTTCCGTGGAGCCTTGCTGGTCAACGTCGTGTTGATGGTGCTGTTGAGGATCTTTCCTATTGTGGTTTACCTGGCGAACATGGAGGAGACGAGCCTAGATCTGGTTGGAGGCGTTGCGATGTACTGCGCGTATCTCACACATTTGACGTTCCTGCAACTGAAGACACTTGGCTTCGTCGACATGACCATCGGAGAGCTGCTTCATGATCGGCTATTTGGGAGCTCGGTCAAGCATCCGGCCGCGAGATGGCTTCCTCGCCCGATGACTCTGGTTGCTTGCGGCGCCCTAGCTATCGCAACGTCTGCCATCAGCGAGTACATCACGGCGATTCCTCAAATCTCTGCGGTCACGATGGAACCGACAGCATAGTTAGCTGGCTTGGCCTCAGGTCTACACTGGACATGACCATCGTGAAGATCAAGCACAGGCTATCTGGATAGTGAATCATCGTCACAACATGGCTTTGGGAATGTTTCCAATACTTGGTATCTTGAAAATAATATGTACATGCCTACATCCAGCGGCTGACAGTATACAGAGAAAAAGAAGTATTTACTCAAAAAAGGTTCACACACACTCGCTCATATCTAAGCGGTGGCACCGGTGAGGGTGAAGGAGTAGTCCATGCCCTTGTTTGCCTCGCTGTTGGCGAGCTCGAAGCCGTTGTACTGGATGGGCGTCTTGGGGGTGTTGGCAATGACCAGGCTGACCTCCTCGCCCGAGGCGATCGTCGCGGAGCCGGAGCCGCCGGCCAGGGGAACGTAGCGGCCCTTCTTGGTGCTGGCGTCGAAGACGGACAGCGTCGCCGTGTACTCGCCGGAGGAGGTCACCTTGACGTCGACCTTGTCGCCGGTGACCTTGAGGGGGATGATGTTGGCGCCCATGTAGCGGGGGGCGCGCGCGGAGACGACCTTGTACTCGGACCCGGAGCCCTCGACGTTGGCGAAGTTGATGCGGCTCTGCTCGGCCAGGAAGATCTCCTGCGCCTGCTTGTGGCCGATGTCGACGTAGGCCATGCGCGCCCAGTAGTGACCCACGATGTCGCCGGCCGTCGAGTTGGACGCGACGCGGTCCAGCACGTGGAGGGGCGTCTCGTTGCTGCCGGCCTTGTACTGCTTCATCATCTGGTGCAGCGTGTCCTTGCCCAGCCCGCCGATGTTGTCCGGGTTGTTGGTGAGGTAGGTCAGGAACGGCCAGGCCTGGTAGTAGTTGCCCGAGTCGACGGTGCCGTCGACGATGACCTGGAACGAGTCGCCCAGCACCTTGTTCACCTCGAACTCGGTGCGGCCCTCGGGCTGGTTGTGCTTCTCGCGGGCGGCGGCGCAGAGGTCCGAGGTCTGGTAGGTGTCGGCGACCCAGTTGGCGACCGTCTCCCACCACGTGCCCGTCGCGCTCTGGTCGACCCAGGTCTTCTGGTGGTAGTGCAGGCCGTGGCCCCACTCGTGGACGGTGACGCCGGGCGTCTGGAGGTACGTGTCGACGACCTCGAGCCAGGCGGCGCCCGTGGAGAACTCGGAGTGCATGACGCCGGCGGCGCCCTCGAGCTTGGAGACGGAGTAGACGTTGGTCTTGTAGTAGGGGCCCGCGTCGCTCTCGTCGTTGAAGGACAGGCCCGAGCTGCGCCAGCCGAGGGTGTTGACGAAGCACTCGTAGGCGCCCTCGAGCATGCCGAGGGCGTCGTCGGCCGCGGTGCCGGAGGCGCCGTAGACGCGGAAGTGGGCCGAGTCCTTGAAGGAGCTGCCGCCGGGGCCGGCCGAGGGCTGGGCCTCGAACTCGGCGGGCGCGTCGGCGCGGGCGGCGAGGACGGGGGTGCCGAAGCGCGCCGGTTGGGGGGCGGCCTGGACGCCGGTGAGGGCGAGGAAGACGGCGAGAAGAACTTGGTTGGACCGGGCCATTTTGAAAAGAGAGTGTTGTACTTTTTTGGGGAAAAAGAATGGAAAGGTTGAGAGAGTCTGAGAAATGAATGGATTTTTGCAAGAAAAGAACTATGCTTTTCTTAATGAAAGGACGGACGATACCAAGAGACGATGAGATAGGACCTGCTGCTGATCAGAAAGAACCATCGACAAGGCGGCCATCGAGGCAAGGCCGTCTTTTTAATAGAACAGAGGCGCCTCCATCGCCAAGACCGTCTAGTAAGGGTCACTCCAAAAGTGCCGGAGGATTATGACATCCATCGTCGTTTCTGGCAAAATGAGAACGAGTTCGTTGATCAGTTGGCGCGGGTTGAGCGTTGGAGCACCCCCCCGGGGCCGTGGGGTCGCATCCAGTGTTTCCGAAAAAGTGAAGGCAATTTGCGATGAAACGGCGCGCAGAACGCTCCAATCATGTGGTTTTCGCATCACTTCGTATCCCCCCCCCTTCGCTTGCCCTATGCGTCTGCCTCCCTGCACCGATCTTCCTAAAAGAGTCGACAGGTTTCAACCCCCAGGCGGGAAGAAGGATGAAATGGGAGAGATCTGATGACGTCAAGCCTCAGCAACAAACACAGTGTCTCTTCTCGTGTATCTCTCTGTACGTTGGTGTCATCACTAGAGAAACCAGAAGCTCACCTCGAACTCAGAGACTCGGGTAACAAAGTCTCGACGACTGCAAATTGTGACAATCTACAGCACCCGCACAATCCCACAGTTCGAAATGACGATGACTTCGCCTAGCACACAACAGAATCCCCGTCCGCGTCCAGACCTGACGATGGCCTCATCCTCCCCCGTACCGTGCCACCCTCGCTAAGCGCTGACGGATGGTGTTAGTCAAAAGGATCCCACAGGGGTCCCACTACTCCCTGACACGCTTCCTTGCAGAGCACCCATGGCGATTGACGGTGTTATCCCCGTAAATAATTTAAACGCTCGGAAAGTTCCCCTGAGCTTAAAGCCTTATTGCGAAGTCGTCCGACTATGTTGGGGGGATTTAGTTTATCCAACACTCCCGAGTTCTTGGTAATATATTCTGTACTGAGGCGAAAATTCCCCGACCCCGGTGGCGGCGTATGTGCTGAGCCGGGGTCGCTGACGTGACACCGTAGTATCCGTATGCTACCAATGCTTTGCGCTATCGTCTCTGCCCGGCGCTATCGTTCGTATGGAAATGCTGCTAGTTTAGAATCGCTTTTGTACGCCGCGGCACTCCATGAATTGTTGTTAGATAGAAATTTGTTTCCAACTCTCTGTGATCAACTTCAGTGTTGGTCTCTCACAGCGATAATCTGGACCACAATACGTAAATAGCCTCAGCCGAACAGCTCCCTCGAGTCATGGTAACTCACCTCCATCAGCGCCTCATCTCGCAACTTACCCCTTCAATATCGACATACTCTGCCTATGGAGAGCAAGTGAAGTAACTTACTCGTGGCAAACCTTTTGATCTCCTGGAGATTCTGACGTTCTCACCCTGTGATCGTTGAGTTGTCTGACAAACATTTCCATGCGTATCTCGGTCTCGCATCTGCAAACACTTTATTTACAGCTGTTAATTAACCGATAGTGCCAAGACGGCAGCGGCAAAGCGTCAACCGCATCGTTCAGCCGCTGGTGTCTTTGCGGAACGTAGACAACAAGTCTGGTCTCGTCGAGAGATAGCTAGCGGTGAAAAGTCGATATTGCGAGTAGAGTTGCTCCATATTAGGTGGCCGAAGAAATAAAATAAAAGATAACTACGCCGAGAGCAATCATCACATAAGCCACATATGTGATGAAACTCGGGAAGCTACTCCTGTATCTCTATAGAGCGAAGAGGAAAACAAATTTTCTATTCTTGATACATATGCGCAGATGTCTTCGTGTTATTTGTTCCAGGAGCCCCGATCGTTTCATCAAATATGTAAATCACCTTGATAACATGAGCTCAGTATCCGAGTCCCGCAGCAAGATCTTGCTCGAACTTGGTTTCAAAGCGTACTTCCACTTCCTCATACCCCTCACTGCGATACTCAGTCTCGAAGTTTCCCACAAATAGCCTCCACACAAGGAAGTCTTCTGCGTAAATGCGCCAGGCATGTCCAAGACCAGCACCTGCGCCTGTAGCCAGACCAGGCGTCTTTGAATCTTGCAGAATGACAATTCCAATATCATCTGTGTAATGTTGCTTGATGACGACCTCGTGCTGACCCCTAACGTAATAATACTTTTCGAGCTCGGCCGGTTCCGTCTCGGGTTGGCGCCAAAGGATGCCCATACCGCACTTGCTTGTTCGATGGGCCATGATGCGGTAGACGAGGTCGTACATGGCGCCCATTCTCACACCGGCGACACTGCCGTCTTCTCGGGAGTAATCGAGAACCGCGCTCGCGAATTTCATATTCGAGAGGAAGTGCGTGGGATATTTCTGTATCAGCCCCAGTTTCGGACACGCGGGCTGCTGAACGAGCATCCTGCGCCAGCTTGCCCCTTTCCGAAGAAAGGCATCTCTCTTGGGCGTAAGGAGAAACTCGAAGGGGCTTTCTGTGCTGTAGTCCCGCCGTTCCTCGAACCACGCACTGAATATTGATTTGAGTAGTGGGTTCTTGACACGATTCTGAGTGACATCTTCGACTCTCCTCGCGACGATGGGCTTGAAGAAGAGTTTTTGTTGAATGCAGTTGGACTCTTCGATGACTGTTTTCCAAGTCCTATTGACGAGCTGGGCTCTGGTTAAGATAGTACGGATATCCAAGTGTAAAATGATGCGCTCCAGCAACTCCGGGATGGCGAAAACCTCATCGACGGGGGATCGAATCGTAAGCTCAGCGCATGCTAAAAGAAGGTCTTCCCCGAAATTTGGCATGGCCAAGAACGTGGTCATGATCGCGGCGTCAATGTCGTTGAAGACCAGCCCGATGGCTCATAGCTCATGACGTGGTGTTCTTGAGCTCTATTATGAAGACCTGGCTGACTGTATGAGACTGACAGCAACACGAGGGCTGCCTGGTCGTATTTCGGGCAGGAAGAAGCGTCAGCTGTCAGAACACGCAAGTGGAAAAGAGGCACAGCAGGATGCCTCGCCGCTCGTATGCACAGCCACAACGACGTCTTACGCTTGTGACTCTCCCGCATGTTTCCACGGTTTTCTTTCGCTGAAACTTCCTCTGCTCACACTGTCATTGAAAGCGTCCAGGATTTTCTACTTGGCTCTCATAACTCATCTCGAGAGTTGAGGTAAAGCGGTTTTGGACTTAACTTGATATTATGAGTTGGAAGGTGGGGGAGAAGAGCCGGGACTGGGATGGCGACGGTACATATCCGGTAGAGCAACCGAATGTCACTGCAACAAGGTCCAGCATTAAGGTATCTTAATAGAACTGGACTATCTTAAAAGACCCAAGAAACTGGTAAACTATTACAGCCAACTCGGGAGCAAACAGAATGAATCGTGGATTGATATGAGTCTCGAGAACAACAGACCTGTCCAAACTCACCTGCTTGTCATCCAAACCTGCGCCAATGGTATTAGTAAAGGGCAAAAATGAAGATGCAAAATCTTCCGCGTATTGCGACTGTTGCTCTTGAGATGTTCGAACGATCAGACCCGGCGTGGTGGAGGAGATTGGAAATTCAATCATCAAGCGAGTCGGGAGTTAACAATGTGGCCAGGGCATCCCGACAAATGATAACTCGGATCTTGACAGCTTCCAGTATTCGACTCGGTTGATTAGTGGAAAAGACGTGCCGTCTTTTCCATGATCCGCTCAGCCTTAGTCCTGGATACGACCCCTTGTCGAGTTGTCTCGTTTGTGTGCTGCAAAAACCCGCTTTAACCAGTGACACCCCTCTAATCTCTTGCCGGCGAGAATTGCCCAATAACAGCGGTCGTCGAAATGGGCAATCGCTACAATAGCGTTGAAGTATAAGAAAAATGAGTGCAACCGTCGTTTCTTGGCTCGTCTTCTAAGCATGCTTCTCTAAACCAACCAACTTCTATTCATTCTTTTGTCTGAAACTTGCCAAGATGCGTTCATCTTCTCTTGTCGCTGTTACTGTCCCGCTCGCTGCGCGAGCCGTTGCTGGTCAATATGACGACTGGAAGTTCGGCAACATGTTCAACCTCGGCCCGGCCAAGAGCGCCATCACCAAGGCGACTTACACTCTGATTCCCCCTTCCATCCCCTGCGGAACCGTCGTGTCGAACAAGAACAGCCAGCCGTGGATGTCCATCTGGGTTGGCATTTCTCAGTCTCTGAGCGACCAGGGCACGGATCTGTTCCAGCCTTTGCTGAACTGGGCTCCGAACAACGCTCAAGAGTGAGGATTCAGTGCTTGTTATTCTTTGCGCAACTCCAAAGTAGCTTACAATGCGAACTACAGGGGATGCCCAGCTGCCAATGACGCTTGGTGCGTCGCTGCGAGCACTTTCACTGGATGTGAGTTGCGAAACAGACCGTATGGCAGGAGATGAAGTGCTGACAATCGAGAAGCTGAGCAGGTGGCTCAGGAATATGTTGCTATTCCTAACAAGTCCAACGTCGACTTTGAACGTAAGAGAAGACTGCACGAGTTTCACTGAGGTACCGAAAGCACTGACATGCGCGTAGTCACCTACGATTCCTCGAAGGGTGTGACCCAGAAGGTCTACATCAACGGCGCTCTTGTCTCCCAACAAACCGATAGTATGCCCCATACCCTCATCCAATCTATCATTTTCATTGAATACAAGCTCATGACCGAATGCAGAGGACAAGAACAGCAAGCCTCCTACCTGGATCTACTCCAGCAACGAGTGTTACAGTGGCGCTTGCGGAACCCTTGACGCATACAGTAAGCTGACTTCTTCATTCATTTGGCTGAATCACTTCTGACTGACTTTCTACAGCCTGGAGCAACCTCACCGTTACCCTCAGCGAGGCCGACTCTGCTTTCGGCGAGACTCTCCAGCTTACCGGAGCCACCTCCAGCGGTGTGAAGACCACTGATAATGGCAAGACCTGGCATGCCGACTCTATCAAGATCAACGAGGACTACTTCTACACCGACGGCTCCAAGAAGCAGTGCTGAAGCGGATGAAAAACATTGATCTTCCTTCGTCGGATCGATCATGGAGGTTCCGGGAATCTTCAAGCTCCCAGGAGTTTTCATTATCTCCTGGATTTACATCAAATCTTACCCTGTAGATATATCTAAGCATCTTGTACATTCTAAGACTTCTTGGTCATAGTCGACAATCCATGTCGTCACATTAAACAGAATTGTTGTGATATGAAATTTAGATTCCTCAAACAGATCTCGTATGGCCTTGAGTTACCATAAGCATATTCCCGACAGTCTCCTCGTTGAGTGCGTTCTTGGCTTCACTGAGCGATTGTGCGACGGCCGTACATCCACGAGCAACGACATCAGCGCCGTACAGTGTCATCATTTCCTCCCTCATGGCGTTGTCTCCGGCATTTCTCAGCATGACGAGCGCATGAAGATATTTGTGGGCATCTATGATGGCATGTTGTAGACCTTGACCTCGAACTATCACAAAGTTAACGAAGCAACCGGCTGGGAATGAGCGATACTTACATGGAAGCATCGGATGCGCAGCGTCTCCTGCAAGTGTGATCTTTCCATCGTAGGTATTCCAAGCTGACGGGAGCCAGTACTTCATCTCATCAATGTAGCAGGGGCTTCCCTCGGGTGTCCATTCAACCGCGGATCGGAAAGGCTCGCAGAGCCCTTTCAGATCGCTCTTGATGTAGTCGACGGCTTTTTGACCGCTCAACGTTATAGACTCTCCCTTCCAGACTCTGACCCAGAATGTTTCCCATGATGCGATGTCTTTGGGGTCATCCACGGACATCACTGTGATCTAAGATTAGACAATTGTCGATGCTGTTAGCCGGGTCAACTCACCACCACATCCGGCCATCACCCCAGAGCCAAGCATCAAAGCACACACCGAATGCGCCTTTAGGATAGTTTTCACCTTGTCTTCATCGCCGTAGTTCACGTTGCAATTAGCAATCATGAATCCGGAGGGAACAGGCTTAGCAGCTTCTATTCCTAGGAGAAGTTCTCGAACTTTTGACGACACACCGTCGGTTCCGAAGACGTAGTTCGCATCAAATTTGCTCTCATCTGCAAACTCAAGTTGAATGGTATCATCGTCGATCTGATTTAGAGCGCTGAGAACCTTGCCCCACTGAACATCGAGTCCCTCCACGAGGACTTTCCGGAACCGACGACGGCTGACGCGCCGGGCGCCGGGAGTAGGATTCCGGAAAAGGATCTCGCCGCTGTTGCCATTGTATCCGGGAATGCTCTCGTCCCACTCGTTGAATTCCAGGTACGGGTTGCAGAAGGCCTGGGGGAAGCTTTTGAGGACGCGCTCGGGCAGCATCTCGGTGAGAGTTGACATGCCCCAGTGGATGAGGATCGTCCAGTCCCTCGGCCGCGCATCGATGCCTGCATCACGCTCGAAGACAGTAACATCGAATCCGTGCTACTGGAAGTCAGCCTGACATGTTGGCAGTGAGCGCATAGGCTGTACCTTCTTGAGTCCGTGTGCGGTGATAAGACCCGTCAACCCCGCTCCGATGATAGCAACTTTAGGTCCGGCGCCCGGGGCAGTGGCTGCGTGACCGTTGAGACCTGGGATACCCATTGAACCGGAGCTTGGAGAGGTTTATAGTGGATTAGACTGTCAAGCCTGATTCTGTTATACTGGAATCTTCGATGAACAAAAAGTTAATGAGGATGATGCTGTCAACTCAGAGAGGTGACGTATTTGGCGAACGAGGGGATGCTTCCACACGTGATAATACGCAGCTATTGTCGCGAGAGTTTACCGTCCTCGATTGTTCGGACGAAAACCGTGACTCCGCAGTAGTTAGTGTAACATCATCATCATCATCGACAGGGGACGTAGCCATTGGTTCCCCAGTTTCAAGTCCGAGCGAGCCTCTAGGATGTCATGGAATGTTGTTCTAGACATCCGTACTAGCCGGTAATGGGTCATATCAACCGGGTCTTTGCGGTCTAGTTTCTATGATAACTGGGCTCATGGCATGGATGCGGCTTGTGCATATCTTGATTATCAGATTAACCGAGCGCCTACGAGTCGCTAGTTCAAAGAATCGGCGATAATCTGAGGTTTCACAGTTGCTGCTCTTGCTTACCGGATGCATCTCAAGTTGACTTCGCCAGATGATTACACGGAGACCAATGAGATCTACTGTGTCTTAACGCACGCACGAGATGTCCATCACTTCGTCGGATGCCAAACAGAATCCTCATTGGCGAAGATGAATGGATAGAGCACATGCATGTACAACGGTAATACCTTCGAAACTGAGGCATCTACGACACACCTTACTTGGAAAATGAACACATAGTTGTATATTCTAACGGTGCGATATTTCTCATCTACAAGCCATTGCCTGTTGCCTGTTTCTTCTCTTCACGCGTGATCATGACTTCGCAGAACAGCAGAAAGGAAGCAAGTACAAACATCAGCGTCTGGAAGATTCCCTGAATAATCCAGCGCTTGTCCGAGCTACTTAGCTGATTCCAACTTTCGAAGTCCCGGAAAATGGGGACGGCGACGATAGTCCAACCAATTTGCAGGCCCGAGAGGACTGTAAAGAACCCGATGGTAAACCACCGCTCACGCCGTCGAGCACGCCTTTTCTTCTTCATATCGTCTTTCCGGAACTTAGAAAACATCGTCCGCATAGAACGGGGACTTTTTCACGTACTTTCTGTGATGTCTGAAGGCTTTGGTGTTGAGGATGTTTCGTCTTCGGTGTCGTTGAGTGAACCGTTGAGTTCAGCATGAGACGACGTTGGCTGGTGTTGTGACGGCATTTTTGGAGATCGAGGCTAGACGACCGTGTACTTGGGCCTAGTTGTATGTGAGAAAAGGTATGGAGATCGAGCCTGATTAACGAAAGGAATGCGTAAAGTTAAATAGAGGTGTGACAGCAGGCGACCATAGAAAGCCTTGAGCGGCACAGCATGTGCAAATACAGGATTGCGGGTGGCTGAGTTAAGGCACAATAACACTGCCACTATTGTTGGTAGCAATTTGTCCGAAGATCTGTGCTGGAAACGATTGGGAGCTCTGTGGCCTGATTCTACATTGAACGTGGTTAAAACTAATCTGAGTCTTCGTCACTGTCCGAATCTTCTGCTCCAGTCCTGGCCCCTCTCAGATACCCTCCTCGTGTAAACCCTGCACAATCCCTAGATCTCTTCAAATTCAACACCATCTCCCTGGCACTGTTTCTGAAGTCCTCGACCGGAGACTCAGCCCATGAGCGCAGCATCTTCTTTAAGTCCGAGATTTCAGTCTTGTCCTTAGGAGCCTGCGGATGACCCCTTTCCACCAAGAATTTCGCCAGATCAACACGAAGGTAGTCTGCCAGCGTAGGATTTTCGACGTCTATGTCATCGAGCGAGCCAAAGCGAATACCGAGGCGCATGAGGTGAATTCTGAGTTCTTGATTGACGTAGAAAGCCTTCTGCTTGACGTATTCCCAGTTCGCGTGGTAAGAAGCCCTGGTCTCGGCTAAGACGCTTATCAGACCCAAAACCTCTTTCACGAACACATCATCGTGACCAATCTCAACTGGGAAGTCGAAGATAGTCATGGTAGCCTTCAGTCGGAACGCGTCGGGCAGAACATGAGGCTTCCGCCTGGGATCTCGTTGCCATTGCGGCGTGCGCAGCTGCTCAACACGAACGATGACGTTCTCGAGAACAGGGAGAGCGGCCGCCTTCCACCTCGCCAGCACTTCTCTGTCGGTCTCCAGGTAATCTTTTGGTGTCATGGCTCTGAAGAGGGACTCGACTTGAGGCATTCCTCCCTGCAACAGCTTTTCGAAGATCTCATTGCCGAGATGCTGTAGCATTTCCATGGTGACGCGATCGGAAGAGTCGCACGCTTCCAGACCAATGGGGCGGTGCATCTGTCGCAAGGCTTGATCTATGCCGCAGTTGTTGATCGATTGTCCACTTGTGCCGTACAGTGAGAGCCAATGCTTTCCGGCGTCTGAGTCGGAGAGCCCCGGGCTTCGCCGGACTTGCTTCGTGATGGATGCGATGCCGGGTGGTGGTGAGATTTGCGTCAGGACGCTGTCTCTCATTATCTCGAACACGGAACCGGTCAAGAACTCTGGGTTTCGACCAAACAGTATGAGCATTCTCGCATCCACAGGCACGCGAGGTAGATCTTCCCCGAGATTCAAAGAGAATTCGTATCTCTTCAGGAAAAGCTCCGTCCACCGGCGGTTGTTTTCGGCAGATTGCTCGATGACTCGAGTAGTCATGGCTGCAAGCTTCTGGCGCAGATGTTTGTCTTTCGGGAACCTCGAGTCCCAGGTCATAAACATCTGACGGACTGGTGTCTCGGCCCCCATACTGCGATTGATCACTTGAGGCAAGTCTTCGCCAGCTTCTATTTGCTCCCAAGTGGCCCACGAAGGTCCTCGCTCGTTGAAGGCTGCTGCAAGTGGTACGGCGTGCTTCTCGAGCAGGAGAAGAATTTCGTCCTTGATGTCGGTAGAAGTAGACTCGGCGCCTAAGGTGCCGTACAAACTCTCAATGATTGCAATCCGGACGTCGATGTGCTTTGCCTTATCCAAGAGGTGGGAGAGAATTCCAAGAGAAGATCTGAAGTCAAGGAAAGGGGAATCGCTGAGGAGCTTGGCCAGCATCTTGACTGTCGAGACCTTTACCAGAGAAGGGGAGCCCGCAGAGTCGGCCGAGTCCTTTTCAGCTTCTGCTTTGTTGTTGGCATCCTGCATGTCGAGCTTCTCCTGGATACCGTCTGCAATAGTGCCCAGGAGTTTCTTCGTCTCACTGGGAGGAAGCTTGTTGAACAGACCCTTGTTCAAAAGCTGTCGATGCCAGGCGCTGTCGTTAGGCCGATCGAGAATGACATCTCGGATCAGCGGGAAAGCCAGCGATGGTTGATCGCTACCCGCAAGCAGCCGAATCAGTCGCATGGCTAGAGCTACAGGCGCCACGTCGTGAGAGCCGGATTTCTCGATCTTCTCGACTGTTCCCAGAACAGATCTCGCGACTCGGGCTACGAGTAAAGCAGGTCCCGATGCGATCATGTTGCTGGTCTGACGAGCAAAGCCATAGCCGAAGTAATCGGTGTCGACAGCATCCATGAACTCCTGATCCAGGTAGAGTGCCGGATAGCGCGTGTCGGTCTTTGAGGGAAAGGCTTCCTTCAATATCGAGGTATCACTGCCCTCCAAGGTGTTGAGGTACAGCACGATAGCCAGAAAGAAGCCATCCTTTGAGCCCCAAGAGACGGGCTTGCCAAGGCGCTCCATACTCCAGAAACTCGTGGGATGCTCAGGGGAGATCCAAACGGAGTCGGTCCAGCTGACTTCAACGTCCAACACGGTGGTGTTGGCCCAAGGATGTCCGTGGGTAATCATGCGATCGAGGACTGTGGCAGGAATGTCTCGCGAATCGGCGTCGACATCTTCAGAGCACGGCTCTGGCATCCATTCTATTGGTATATCTGGGTTGTCGGCAGAAGGGATTGTAGGTCCAGAAGGTCGAGGCAACTCGACTTGGATGTCTCGCAGCAGCTTAATACGACTCTGATCCACAAAGACCTCGTGCCAGAAGCGGAGAGACTCAGTCCTTGTCATCCGTTCTCCAGTAAGGTTGTCGACGGCGTGTCTCCACGCCTTCCGAATGCGATAGTCTCGATCCTCTTTATTGCTTGCACTGCCAGTGTAGATGCCGAGAGCATAGACGTAGTCGTCAACGAAAGGACCAATTGTAGCTCGGAATTCCTGGTCATTGGGCGATTCTTCAAGGAGCACATCGGGGTTGCCAAAGACAACGGCTTCAACTCTTGACCGAACAAAAGGCAGGAGACTTACGTCCTTCATCTCAGAAGGACACAAATACTGCACTGACAATCCTCTTGGCCAAGCCGGTCCCAGATCATGCACTGCTGGGAAGTGCTGAGGGCGGAGTTCGCGCCATAGTTCGTCCCGGGCCCGAGAAAGAGTGTCCAGAAACCTCGCGGAGTGCGGACGAAGAGACTTCTCGAAATCGAAATCGACGTTGTGGAACAGGCCTTTGATATCTCGGGGGTAGAGTCGCTGCATGCCTGGCTTGAGGAGATACTTTTCTGCTTCAACAAGAAGCTCCAGAGTTGGCTTCCAAAAGATCTCGTAGGTCTCGTCGTCGCTCAGTCGAAGATTGCTTTGGACGTCGTTCGCAGACACAAGTCGTCTCTCAACCACCTTGGAGGGAAAGTTGAGAATGTCGTTCCAATCGTATTGTTGAAAACTGGGCTCTCGGATGGCCATCGCGGCTGTCTCCAGTAACTGTAACAAGATCTTGCTCCCTAAATCGATATTCCTGCGGACGTCAGACTTGAGGCCGTCCTGACGACCAAAGGAAGGATTGCCACTGAGCAGGTCGATAATCTCGACTCTGTGCAAGGTGTCGGCAGAGTAGAGCTGCACCACGGTGTTGCGGTCTTTGTTGAAGCGCCTTGCCCATAGAAGGACCCCTTCAAATAGCTCAAGAGACCCAGCTGCAACGCTGAGATCGATCGCAATCCTCGTCCACCCTAAGCGGAAGATCCAGTCACGAGACATCGCAGCCTTTTCCTTACAGCTTTCTACCCTAGATTTGATACGATCCATCAAATCGGAGTCTAAAACTGGCGAGGTTGGCGATGCCCGTACCAGGAGCGCCTCAAGGATGTCCACGTTGCCCTTCTTGGTCTCTGGTTCTCGAGGGCATTCCACAATTGATTGTCTCTGCAGAGTCGAGGCTTGGAGGAATTGAGCATCGGGGAAAACGGCCATGAGTTTTCTGAAGAGCCTAAGCGACGCGTCGGGGTCATCATCGGAGAACATGGTGAAGACATCTGCGGGCCAAGGACCCTTGAGCTTTCGCAAGGAATCATTAGCTTCGCCCGAAGCGTCTTCGACATCAAAGCGGTAGTCCTTGGAGCTCTGGATAATGAGTCGGAACAGTCGGTAGGAGACTGAAGAGTTGACGATGCGAAGCAGCGTGACCAGGTCCTTTGCAGACTTGAAGTTGGAGACGGGAGCAAGTCCAATCAGCTCCGCCAGATGCTGCTGAACGTTTGGCCGTGTGGTGCGAGTGTGCTCCCAGAACTTGACGACGTAGAAGATCACACCGTTTAGAGAGGTATTGAGATACTCTGCCGCGTCGGTGTTCTTCTTGAACGCCTCAACGAGAAGCTCAAGGATCTCGAATGGGAGATTCTCGTCGCCCGCTGAGCGTCTGCGACGTAGACGCTTCGCGATCGCCTCAGCCAACTGTACGAAGTCATGAGACTTGAGAGGCAAAGGTCCCTTGGTCTCGTTGAGTCTTGACAGCAGCTTTTTAGCAAAGCTGAAGTCGTTGTTGATGAGATGCGTCCACGTGTTGAAGTCGATACCGTGGCTGTCCTGAGAGAAGATGGAGTCGAGGAACTTGGCTTCGTAGAAGGATGGATGAGTCCGGAAGAGGATGGACTGCTGCCGTTGCGACCATGTTGGACGCGTCTCTTCATGCTTGGCCACCTTGTCAGTCGTGCATGCTGGTAGAATACGCCTGTAGTAGACCCCGAGCGGCCTGGTATCTGGATTCTTCGCATGAGAATTGGCGTCGGCACAAAGAAGGTCGACTAGCTCGGTCAACATGACATGCCTTTCGGCTCGCTTGCCAGGCAGCGAGGCGGTCTTGGCCAGGCCATTGCAAAACAGCCTGATTTCGTTGACACTTAGGTCGCTCATGATTGCGGCGACTCCAGAAGCGCCGCCAGCGGCATCCCACATTTCGGCCATCGCATTGGGCGACCGCACAGCCTTGATGAAGGCCTTGATGGCAGTCTTCCTCTCGAGGAGGCTCTCCGATTGGCGAAGCCCGGCGATGGTGGATTCGGCATTGCGATGGAGAGGAGTCCAGATTGTGAAGACGGCATGAGGGATTGATCCTCGTGCGACTGCGTCGTGTAGATCAGAGGTGATGAGAGCCGGATCCGCGGTGCTGAACCGGAGGTCACGGAGGTATTTGGCAACCTCGGCCGGCGTGCCGGTGCGGATCACGGCGTGGTCCACGGAGACGGAGGCCATGATGAAGGCTCGGCGTGTGGGTGGATGTGCAGGGTTTGAACTTCACCGCAGGTTGGAATTGGGAGCAGTAAACGAGGACTCTGGGACAGAATTGAAAAAAGTAAGAGGCCTCAGCTGAGGAAAAGATTAGATAATACAAACAGAACAAGGAAAGTGCAAACAGACTGAAGGCCCAGCAAGTTTTATATACGCTTCTTGATGGGTTTGAGGCCAATTCGATACGAAAATCAATACGAAGTTGGAGCTGAGGCCGCTGAGCACTGCCCTGACGTGAAATGGGGATTCTGCCTGGCTGAAATGCCGTTGGCAGCGATTCCTGCTGCACAAAAACACTGGCGTCAATGTCGATCATCGGTAAATTCCAGGTAAATCATGGTCACCATCTGTATATGTCTTTGGGTCTTCTATCATCATCGGACTCTCGTGATTTGTTTGCTCGGTGACTTCACAGCTGGAATCGGAGGATACTCAGCCGGCACAACACTGCAACGCCAGCCCGAGTTCCTTCATGCTTCCCCATCTCAACCCTGGTTTAACCCCATCTCGACCCCATCAACCCCCTTGGAAAGAGAAAGCGAGACCTCCAAGAGACATTACCGAAGGAATTATGTAATCTCTCATCTGCCAAGAGAGTACCAAGGATGACTAAGATCCTTCTGCCGCTGAATGGAGCCATGTCTGAATGCTGATTCGTGCCCTCATTCATGTTCCCCAATCATTCCGGATTCACACGAGTCACACACATCAGACCTGCGCCGCGTCCGCGTCTCCTGCGTCTCTCTGGCTGGGTCCCCGGGTCCCTCAATTAAGTCGACATCTCGTCAATCGCAGGTCCCAATGTTCTAACACTTCCTTCAACAGCGGAGCTGTCTGCTCTAGTGTAGGGGCCAGTGTGTCTATATCGAATCGTCAAGTCTCTCTGACCGTTGATACCAAACGTCAAATATCTCGACCGAAACCACCAAACGCCTCACTTCAAGCGTGAATAGCGTGCTTCCAGTCTGCCCGTTTGCTGGTCCCTCACCGAGATCCGACTCGCCGTAGTGCAACCGGCTCCTCCAAAAGCCCCCTCACCTGGATGGAGGATCCTCAATCGCAACGTCCAAAGCAGGCCGCCTGTCTGGTCTGCCGCCGAAGCAAGATCAAGTGCGACTACTCACCGCATGAGAACAAATGCAAGAGGTGCATTCAGCTCGACTCTGAGTGCATTCGCCCTACATTCCATGCTGGAAGGCAGAAAGGCATCAAAAAGTAAGCCGGCCACCCAGTCTATCGTTCCAGTCGGTCATGTCTGCCCGGGTTGATGGACACCTGGCGACGCGACCGAGACATCCCGAAATAAACACCACGGCCCCCATCCATCCCCCACCTCACCTCACCTTACCTTACCCTCCTCCCCATAGCACCGCCTCCATACATATGTATGCGTGTTCCGCCTTATTGACTAGTGGACGCACGTAACAGCAAGCGAAAGGGTCTAGATAAAGCTCTCTACCAGATAGAGCAGGCCATCAAGAGAGCCCGAACCGGGGAACAGAACTCTGAAGATGACAAGGCCATCGGCAATCTCCAGGCGCTCCTGGAGGGTCCTCGAAATGCTCGGTCGACTACCGCCTCCGTTCACTTAGGACGGGGGTCGTCTCAGTTCAACAGTCCCGACCAACAACCCGACCTCTCATCTGACGATGATGATGAACTGGATAACACTCCAGACAGCAATGCTTACATGAGTCTGCACCATCACAACGAAGAGAGCCTAGCCATCGACGATGCCGAGAACCCGCTTCAATTGCTGGCGCGAGCCTCCAACTTGCAGCTCTCGCCCAAGCCCATCAGTGGCCTCTCGCCGAAGCATCCTCCTCCGCGCTCCGGTCGCAAGAAGCAGCCACTGCAGCAGCAGCAGGCCGAGCAGCTCAATGAGGATCTGGAGATGCAATCTTTCTTCACCTCCGTCCGCGTCAACTTCGACGTCGGCGACGACATCGACCCAATCACGATGGGTCTCGTCACCGAGGAAGAGGCGGAATCGCTGTTCGCATTGTAAGTCGACTTCATGACATCCAACTTGGATTCCACTCACCACCCGCGCAGCTTTCACAACAAGCTCGCCCATACCCGCTGGGGTCTTGATCCAAAGATCTACACTCCAGGATTCACCCGCGCAAGGTCTGCCTTCCTCTGCACTTCCATCATGGCAGCATCTGCGCTATTTCTCCCGTCCGCCGGAGCCTTGTCCAAGAGACTTCACAATCACTGCAAGACCCTTGCCCAGCGAGTCCTGACCAAGCGCCACAAGTCCGTCGAAATTGTTCTTGCCTTCATGGTCAACGTCCCCTGGATGTTCCCAGGCCAGCACAGCACTGACGACGAGACTTGTTGGTTCGTCAACATGGCAGCTACTATCGCCATAGACCTGTCTCTACACAAGCTCCTAGTTCCGATGGAAATCATCGGCTCTGGCTCAAACATGGCATTGACGCGCGGAGACTGCCTCGATCCGCGTACGGCCTTGGCCATGGACGGCTTCAGTCACATCGAGTATACATCCGACTTGGGCCAGCGACTTCTTCGACGACGCGAGCGATGCTGGATTGCTCTGTTTGTCCTTGAACGAGGCATGTCCCTTGCGCGCGGTCGACCATACACTGTCCCTGTCACCCGAGTCATCAAGGACTGCGATCAATGGCACAGATCCAGCATCGCAGATCCCATGGACGGCCACCTCGTATCGATGGCCGTCCTTCGCCGAGACCTCGACGGCTTGCTCGCCACAGTCCGCGCTCTGTGCGATGGATCACAGGGCATTTCTACTGACGGAGGACTCATTGCCCAGTCCATTCAGAGTGCCATCGAGAGATTCTTTGACCAGTGGCTCACGGAATGGGGGTTCTCTATCGGCACAGGACCTCAGCGTCGCCTTCCCGCTTACGTTGAGATTCTGGTCACACATACACGACTATCCACCTACGGCGGCGTCATTAACCATCCAACAGCCCCTATGGAGGTCCGGCAGTTCTTCCGTACCGCCGGCCTTTCATCCGCTGTTACGGTGATGCGCGCAGTCATTCAAGGAGAGGCCCAGCTACAATCGATCCCGAATAACACCACTATCATGGTCTCCTTCGCCGCCTGCTTCGCCTTGACTCTGAGCGCCTACGCCACAGGCAGCTCGAACCTGGCGCCAAGCATTCGGAACCTCATCGAAGAGACGGCAGATGTCTTGGAACGCATTGGGTCGGCAACGAAGCATAGAAATGGTCTGTCTACATTATATGGAAGATACCTTCGACACATCGTCAAGCAGGCTGCCACCGCAATGGATGGCCAGCCTCAGCCCCAGGTTCACGTGGAAACCCCTCTTCGCCGAAACAGCCAGCTTAGCACGCCATCTTCTGCTGTTGCTGCCTCGCCTCATATGAACTCGATGGGCCCGCCTGTCTCACAGCCACCTTACATGGAATCCCAGCTGTGGCCTGGGACTCTACAATTCTCCACCATGTCCGACGATCAGATTGCCGAGGTACTCAACCAACCCGGCAATGAATTTGATCCCTCTTTCGCAGGCTTGTCCTGGGAGGACATGAATAACTTCGACTGGCTCAGCTGGCCCAACCTGACGGAATTTGGCTTCTAAGTTTGAGAAACGCCGAATAACAAGCACCTCAAGCTTTCAAGGTCGTCTCCACGGGGGCCACGAATTGCCATTGCGCCAGCTTGCGCAGCTGCTCCATAAACACAAATGTCAATACGGTGTTCGGCCTGCCATACACGATTAGCCAACACTTTGACAGTTTCCTATCTTCCTTTCATTGAACTTACGTCAGTCTCAACCACGCCGGGGTCCATCCTTTCATGAGAAACCTGGGGCCCTCTTCTCGGAGTCCAGTCTTGACAATCTGGAGCAGGGACTACGGCGCCATTAGCAACACACTAGGGACGCATCATGAGGAAGTCTCACGTTTCCTCCCGGGCCACTGGCGGCGGCGCTTTGGATTCTGCTCTTGAGCACGTCTGCCGGGGCGCAAATTGTCGTCGCCGCGGTTCCAGCGAACAAGGACGCCACGGCGTGGGTTTTGATATCGTCCTTCATTTCGGTCTTGGCCAAGAGGTATCTTTTCGCTGTCGAATATCTGCTTTTTGCTTCAGTCGCGCTGTTTCCATAGTCCGCTCCATGCGGTCGTCCACTCGTTAGGCACTCACGTGGCAATCTGTCCCACGTCTACTCACTGTTAGCTCAAATCTACACACTCGTTTGGCTTATCTTGGTTTGACGACTTACTCATGAGAACGCTGCGTACTACGTTTGCTGAAATGCCTCTTCCAAAGGTGCTGATACCTTCCTCCCTGCCGATCCGATAGAGACCTTCCAGGGCGTTGGAGTAGGCAAATCTTTCGCTAACGTTCTTCGCGCCATCGGCGCACATGCGAACAAGAACGACCTGCGGTGTCGTCAATATAGTCGCATCATCTTCGGGGGCCCAACGTTGCTCACCTCGGCGGGATTCCCAACCAAACCAGCCATGCCACCCGCCAGGCCAGCGCATGTTATCGTAAGGGCTGTTGATAGCTTTTCTGTTCCGGTGTATTGTTTGGCTTGTTGCGCAAAGTAGTTATAGAGACCGAACCGAGCGGTGGAGTATGTTGTTTGTCGGAATATTGAAGCCGACAGTCCAGACCAGAGGGAAAAAAAGCCTGTCGTCGCTAATGTTAGCCACTTCGCCGTGCTTCCAAGCCAGCATGATGAGCCTACCATCGCGGGCCGCGAAGCGGTACATGGCCCGGAACATGGATTCTCTAGACTTTAAAACCTGCATGCGACTGAAACCATCAGTTATACTGGCCATTTTCTCGAGGCTAGTCATCGCTCTTACTATTTCGTTTGGTCCAGAGGGTGAGCTGTGGTCACGCGATCAGCTTGGTATGCCAAGGAAGTGTGTTCCGTCAGACTTACTGAAGCAAACAGCCATCGAGGCCGCAGCACCTCTGCATATTGCGTATTAGTTCTGCCCTCCTGTGACAATTCAAGAGGTGAAAGTAAAGCTCACCCAAGCCAGAAAGGCTCCTTCTGCTTGTTACCAGCCATTGTGAGAACGTATGCAAGCAGCAACAAGCCAAAGTGTTTCCACCAGATCCATTTTCAGAAATCCGATTCATGGATATGCTCTTTTGATAAAGGACTCAATGCAAGCTCTCTCTCAACCCCTGCCCAGGACCCCCAAGGCCATCCCGCGCGATAGGAAACACCAAAGACACGCGCCGCGGCCCCTCAATCAAGCTCCGGTCCTCATCGGGGCCCAAAAGTAGCCCCGGTCACCTCTCGGCAGCTCGGCGCAATGTTGGTCGCCCTGACCCACGGTCCGAACTCGCTGACATCACATGGAATTCGCGCCGTCGGCACTTCTTTTTGCCTCCGAAGCGCCGGGACATCTTCTGTCTTCCGACCGCGGAAAGCCTCCCCCCACCAACAATTCCGCCTTTGAACCGAAACAAAAGCACTTTAACGCCCGGCACCGCGAGCTTGTCGTGATCTACCCGATGGATGATGCGCATGCGAGTAAAACACAACAGTCCGATAATCGCAAAGAGGAAAACACCATGTCGAAGCTCTCTCCGTCTCTGAAAGCTCTCATCAACGCGCCATTCGCGCGGCCCGGTCAATCGGCTGCGCCGGCGCATATTCGTGAGGTGTATCAGACCATCGCTGGCGATGCTGCGAAGAAGAACCTTGGCCCGAAGCCATGGCTGGCTCTCTCGGTATGTTTATTCCACTTCAACTCAATTGAACTCGGCAATTGAGTTCACACATTGGGGAGGGAATCCCGGGCTAACTCAACATCTCAGGCCGCAGCTACATTCACGATGAACTCGCCCGACTCCCTCGAGTCCCTCTACCGCGTCGCATCCGACAGCGGCCGCCCCGACAAGCGCGAGACGGCCGAATTCATCCGCGAGATCGGCCTCAAGTGCATCAGCTTCAACGGCATCCCGCGCACCATCAACTGCCTCAACGCCTTCTACGCCGGCCTGCCGAAGGACGTGACCGCCCAGCTCGAGACGAAGCCGACGCGCGCGCCCACGGCGCAGAACCTTGGCGAGGTCACCGCCCGCGGCCAGGCCCTCTGGGACTCGGTATACGCGCCCTTCGAGGTGAAGCTGTACGAGAAGCTCGCGCAGTCGCACCCCGACCTGCCCGTGCACATCCTCAACAGCCACTACGCCGGCCTGCTGTCTGACCCGAAGGAGCGCGGGGGCCTGGCTACGACCGGCCGCGTGCTGACTTCCGTTGTCGCCATTTCTTGCTTGAGGGCGCAGACGGGTGTTGGCCCGCAGGTCTTGTCACACGTGTTTGGGCTGAGGAAGGCGTTCGAGGATGGGACTTTCAAGGCGGATAAGCAGGAGGATATTGAGGGCGCACAATGGCTGGCGAGCGACGAGGGTAGCGAGTGGATTCTGAAGTCGGTGGACAGCATCACGGAGGCGATTGGCGGTTCCAATTTTGCTCCGGCAAGGGAGTCCAAGTTATAGAGCAATCATGGGGTAACAATGTAAACTAATTAACAGGATCACAGGCCTGGATCCTTTCGGGTTATTTGCTTTTTGAGGCAGTTGCTTATTGTAAATATTGGCACCGTTTAGAATCACCAAAATCTATCCGTCAGTGTAGATCACCAAGCCGGGACACTTCTCAACCCCGAGATGAGCTCAACGGAACACACTCCTCCGCGTGTTCCCCTTTGTAATTGCTCTTGCTACTTCCACTACTTCCATTACCACTGCGATTACGATTGGCCTTTATCTGCAGTCATTATCCTGGTTTTCGACGAGGAACAATAACCGTTGAGTAGTGCGGGATCGTTTGCGGCATCCGAAGTCCGAGTAACCCTGAACCATGTGGAGGATGCGCAGGATCGCGGCCGATTGTTTGAATGGTCTATTACTCCGGAGCCGACGTATGATTGATCCAATCCTTCTATCTTTCTCGAACACACCTGACCAGAACTATATAAGGTGTTTGGGCAATCAGCTCGCGAATAGCTGTCACCTTAAGCTGCAAGCATCAGCGTGCTAACTTGACTACCACATATCATCACTAAACGCTGAAAACCAGGATGATACTGGTACTAGACCGCGTTCTCATTGCGGGCTACCAGACATCCAAGACCAATCTTCTCCAGGCCCCGGGTTGACCACAAGTTGACCGCAAGTTCTTGGGTCGTAGCATGGCAAGGATCCTCCGTATTTCTTGCATATTCCGTCGGAATAAAAATGCACGCAACCCCATCATCTTACCCTCCATGACATCTACGCAACTACTGCAAAAAAAACAGCTGCAGCCAAGACTTCCCCTTTGCCACATGGCGGCTTAGCACCAATCTCGCGACGAACTAAGCTTAAATGGACGGTCGTAACCCCACATTGTCAGAGTTGCCCAACTCGTATGCGGAGTATGGGTTGGGTGTTGGCCTCGAGCAATATGGCTTCCTTGGATGAGATTGAGATCAACAAATTTCACTGCTTTTACCCAAGCGATTGGTGCCCTCGGAGTTCGGGCAACGGCTGTGCAGTTTCTCGGCCTCGTGAGTCTTTGGAATCCGAGTCGAACGCCAGATCGGTTCGCTTTCTCTCGATTCGATTCTTTGAAGTGAGCGTCATGATATTTCGTACACCCATAACGCATGTCTTATGGTCCGAAGGAGGCTGAAGCTTCTTCGTGAAGTTCTGTCGACCACGATGTATAAGAAGCATAGAGTAAGCTCTTCAACTTGCGGAATGGTTTCTCTACAGCATCACATCACACTCTCAACAAGCCACCAACGTCTATCTCGGCACTCACCGCTAAACCTCCGCATCCTTCCACCATGCGTTCTCCACTCTGGTCCCTCGCGTTGATGGCGAGCTCTTGCCTAGCTCAGGGCGACATCGTCGGGCTTCTTTCCTCTCAGCCCGATCTCAGCACGCTCCTTGAGCTCGTCAGTCTCGTTGACGGTCTCGCGGAGACTCTCGCCTCATCCTCGAACATCACTATCATTGCGCCGACCAACGATGCCTTCGCGAAGGTGCCACGCAACATCCCCGAGGGGGAGGCCATCGAGTTCAAAAACGACACCATCGCGATCGGAGCTCTTCTCGCCAACCACGTCTTCAAGGGAGTGTACCCTTCGAACGTGATCACCAACACGCCCACGTATGCCCAGACCTTGGTGGACGATTCGTACATCATCGACAGGCAGCCTTTCTCCAACTTCACTGGCGGCGGTTACAACGGACTCGTCAAGAATGGAAACGATGTCTGCATCTTGTCCGGAGAGCTGACCATCTCTACCGTCATCCAACCTGTACGTGATTTCCGCACTCAACGATACTCTACACTGTATTAATCAAATAAACAGGACATTAAGCTGGGTGAAGGTATCACGATTCACAAAGTCGACACCGTCATGGCATTTGCGGCTCCGCTCCAGCTATTCACGTTCAGGGCGGGCTACCTCGCCTTTAACGCCGCGCTTGAAGCCGCTGAGCTCAACTTCTCGTTTGGCCTCACCGGAGCCGATACTCCGACCACCAATATCTCTGACTACACCATATTTGTGCCTACTGACGAAGCCTTCGAGGTCATCGGTTCCGTGGTCCAGACGGCGGATAAAGCGACGCTCCGGGAGGTGCTCAGCTACCACATCATCCCCAACAATGTCATCTTCTCCCCGTCCCTGGGAAACGTTACCGTCAAGTCTCTTCAAGGCAGCGACCTGACTTTCACCGTCTTGCCCGATGGTTCTGCCTGGGTCAACAACGCCAGAATCACGTTCCCCAACACGATTTTGTACAACGGCATTGCACATGTCATTGACAGGTTAGTCGATCGCGGGTCATCATAAACTAGTAATGCTAATATGGCGATGTTTCAGTGTACTCATGCCAGGAACCTTCGACCGAGCTTCTCTGACCCCGGCCGCGCCAGCATCTGATCGCGTTGCTTTCCCCGGTGCGTCATCGGTTTCCAGCTTGCCTCCGTCGACTGTCACTTTCCTTGGAGACCTGGATGTTTACACGACGACGCCCCTATTGCTGCAGACCTATGCTGCCGTCGTCACATCTCCCACGGCCGCCCCGACTCATTCTGGCAATGCCACCGCCACGACCTCGCGTCCGCCAGTTGCAGTTCCCACCGGAACAGCCACCGGCCTGTTTCCCGGCGCTCTCCTCGCTCTTTCTGTCGCAGCAGGTATTGCTGCCTTCATGATTTAGACTTCCGGCCTCAGGACGTATATAGACGACATCTCAATGCCGTTATGGAAATGGTAGCCGCTACGACGACACTGGGAAACTGGATCATTCGCATAAACGGGTATACACGACTAGAGTTGAGGTGATAGAGCAACTTGCTGCAATGGTTTTCATTCAAGTAGGATAATCTATCTAATAGTGAATTGAAGTTGTCTATGTCTCCGAGTTGAATTCGTGTGACTGGTGGGGTTGAAACTCCAGACAAGAGAATGAAAAACCTCAAGATCTACCCGAAATTGTAGAAAAGTAGTTGCAAGTTGAAAGTTCGGCCGTTATAACATCATAATCATTCTAACCTTGTGCCGTCTATCATTGAACGTCGCCGTTCTTATATCCCAAAACCTATAACATGTTGGCTAGCTCATAAAACCTTCTTACAAGACCATCTTGAACTCGGGCTCGCGATCATCGCCCGTACCGATGTATTCATCGTACTTGCCCGCAGCCTTGTCACGGTTGATCTTGGAGCACCAGAGAACATTCAAAAGTGTCCTGCAACGCCGTTAGTATGGGGACGATGAAAGATTGATGTCATTCAAGACTTACGCGACCCAGGCGTAGCAGAGCAGACCAAGGATAATGGAATGACCCTGGTGGTAGAATGGGCCTTGAGAGCTGGGGTATACGAAAGCTGTCGAGGAAGTTAGTCACATGAATCTTTCTCACGGGTATTGCTCAACTCACTTGCAACGAATCCTCCGCAGTTGGCAACAGCCAGCTGCACCGCTGATGTAGTCGCTCGCTTGTAATGGCCGGCGGAGTTGTTCGAGTTCCAGCTCAAAACGCACGGAACGGCACTGTACATGCCGATGGCCATGAGACATGTCATTGCGAACCTCGTCTGTGGTGCGGTGACGTTGGCGATGACGGCGTAGCCGATGATGGAAATTGGCAAGACGGCGAGCATGAGAGGGCCGCGCACCCGGAGACGATCTGACAAGAAGGCTACGAGAACTGGAACAACAAAGTTAGATGGATGTTTGGATGTATTGATCATATGATACCTAGACGGGCTTACCAGTGACAGGAGTGGCAACAGCGTAGGGAATGACGGACCAAAGCTGGGATTGGTTGGCGTTGGAAGCGATGTGAAGGTCATTGATGATTGTGGGGAGCTGTGTTATTCGACATCAGTTCATGTGACTTAGATTCACTCATACGGGAATAAGAACTCACAAAAAGACCGAATGAGTACAGGCCAGAAAGAATCGCAAAGTAGGCAGTCGAGCTCAACCACACTTGGACGTTGAGGACGCCGCGGCCAACTTCAGACCAGCGAAACTTCTCTTCTCGCTCGCTAGCAGTACTGAAAACGTTGTCAGTAAATGCTTCCAATAGTTGAGCCGCGGGTCTGTTTACTTGAACCTCTCCCCGCCTTGACTCTGGAGCCGCATCATAGCCCACTCCCGCTCTTCGGGAGTCAAGATCTTGGCTGTGGCCAAGTTGTTTGGCAGGCCGATCGCTGCGATGATTCCACAGGCCACCGTCTTGATCTGATGTTAGCAATGCCAAAACAAGTCATCGAAGATGGTGCCACTTACGATGAGACCCTCAATGATGAAGATCCATCTCCAACCCTCGAGATTGCCGCTGGGACCAATAGCAGACAAGCCTCTGGCAAGCAATCCGCCAAAGGCGCCGCTCAGAGACGCAGCCGTGTAGAAGATACCTATCCTCAACGCCAACTCGCCACGAGTGTAGAGCCCAGACAGATAGAGCACCATTCCTGGGAGTAGGCCTCCTTCAGTCATACCAAGTATCGCACGAACGGCGACAAAACTCCCGTAGCTACGGACGAAGCCGAGGCACATGGTGACAATCCCCCATGCGACCGTCAGGAACGGAAGCCAGATTCTGGGTGAGACCTTCTTCAGCACCAGATTGCTTGGCAGTTCGCTGGGCATGCATTAGTCGTTGGAACGTGGAGACTTGGCATCGGTTTGCAGATCTGGAGTAACCACGGATGACAGAAATAACATACCTGGCAATGTACGTCGCGTAAAAGACGGCCAAGCCTTGGTTGTATTGGCTGTTGGTGATGCCGAGATCCTCTTCCATACCGATAATCTTTGCGTTGCCGACGTTGGTTCGGTCGAGAAAGGAGCAGAGGAAGAGCAGCGCCAGGAGCGGCAGGACCCTGTTGATCGCGGATGAGTTAGTGACTGTTCATCTCGTCCTTACATGTCGTCCTCATCATCAAAGCCTCAAGAAGTTTCTTCTTACCTAGTGTCGACTTTGAAGAGCAGAGTCTTCGTCAGATGAGCTCTACGCTCCGCGTCAGCCGCCACCTGGCTCTCCGTATGTTCGACCTTGGGGTCCATCTCGTCGTAGTCTTTAGAAGCGCGAGCCATCTCGAAGTCAAGCGTATCAAACACAGAGAGAGATCGAAGTACGAAAGCACAACTCTAACAAGTCCGAAGAAAAACACAAGGTAAGAAGCAAGAACGACGAGACCCTCAACAAATCTGCCAAGCATAGGCAAAAGCTTGGGGTCCCTCCCCCGTTTTTGAAGCCCGTCTTCCCCAGACGGGAGACCCCCAAACCTGCGGGGGTGGACGAACTCTCCGGGAGCGGGAATCCCATGCTGACTATCCCCAGATAATCCATCTAGGAAGGTAGCGTTCAACAAGCCGTTAGCCGTATCGCGCCAATGACGGCTCTAGTGTTTGAGTCGCTGACCCGGAGTCTACTTCTGGCCGCCGAGAACCCCAACAAAGCCGGGAATAACCCCGCCCGCCGACGTCAGCGACACCCCGGTCCCTCCCCCTCATGCCGAACCCCCCGGTTCACGTCAAGTTGGAGTCAGGACGGCGTCGGGGTGCAGAAGAATGGCCGAACGGCTCCGCCCAGGAGTCTGTCAAAAGGATCAGGTCGCGCCCACCTAACCCGAGGCCAGGAATGATACCGACAATCGGACTTGCTTCTTTTCCCTATTCTTAGCTGTGTTTCGCAGATCTGACATTCTTGAGTCCGGTAGCGACAAGAGAAACGATCATAATGGCTTCAATCACTCGCCAATTGCGCCCCAGGGTGCTCGTCCGCGCTACCTTCACAGCTCTCCCGTCCATCTGCACACAGCCGCAGCGGTTTCCGCGCGCAAAGGCTCTGGGTGTCGTGAGCTGTCGCGCCCTCTCGACAACGCAGATCCGCAGGTCTGCGAAGGCGCCGAGTGTGAAGAGAGGGGGCTCTAAGCTGTACGCGTCTGCGGATGAGGCTGTCGCGGACATCAAGAGCGGATCGACAATTCTCAGCTCTGGCTTCGGCCTCTGCGGAGTTGCGGGTATGTAGACAGCCGTCCCGAGACTTAAGTGGATGTGATATGAAGACGACTGACTTGGATCTTAACAGACACACTAATTGGCGCGTTGAATCGACGGGGACCTGAGAATCTCCATTCGCTGACGGCAGTCTCAAACAACGCTGGTATCGAGGGGAAGGGCGGGCTGGCTATTCTCACAAAGTCTGGCCAAGTGAACAACCTCATTCTTTCATTCTTGGGAGCCAACAAGGGTCTCGAGAAGGCGTACCTCACGGGGGCGATCGGTATCGAGTTGTGCCCGCAAGGCACTCTTGCTGAGAGAATCCGCGCTGGTGGTGCTGGCATCCCCGCGTTCTTCACGCCCACCGGAGCTCGTAAGTCTACTCCGCAATAGCTTGGTTGAGTTTCGCTGACTCTCTCAGACTCTCTGGTTCAGTCTGGCGACATCCCTGTTAGGCTTGATGCTTCTGGCGCGGTCAAGGAGCGCGGTAGGACAAGGGAGACGAGAGAGTTTAATGGCAAGACCTATCTCATGGAGACTGCTCTGACTGGAGACGTCGCTATTCTGAGAGCTTGGAAGGTCGACACGGCAGGAAACTGCGTCTTTAGGTATATCAGAATGCCTGTGCAATATCGAGAAACCCGAATTAACTTGAATCCCTCACAGATACACTACCAAGGCATTCGGCCCCATCATGGCCAAGGCCGCGACCCTGACCATCGTCGAAGCCGAGAACATTGTTGAGGCAGGTGCCATCGACCCGAATGACGTCGACCTCCCCGGCATCTTTGTCGACCGAATCGTTCCCGCGACCGCCGAGAAGAACATTGAGATCCTCAAGCTGAGGGCGGAGGAGACTGAGGGCGAGAGCCTGGCCAAGGCGAAGAACGAGGCCCAGGAGCGACGCAACCGCATCGCAAGACGCTCCGCTCAGGAACTCAAGGAGGGCTTCTACGTCAACCTTGGTGTTGGTAAGTTCACACGCGTTCGCGAAAGAGGGAGTTTTACTCATGATTGTAGGCATCCCCACGCTGGCTCCGTCATTCCTGCCTGCCGGACGCAATGTCTGGATCCAATCTGAGAACGGTATCCTGGGCATGGGTCCGTACCCAACTAAGGATGAGGTCGACGCGTAAGTCATCACCAGACCCGTTCCAGTCGCACATACAGTCGTCTAACCGAGTATCTCTCAGCGACATCGTCAACGCCGGCAAGGAGACCGTCACCCTCGTTCCCGGCGCCTCGACCTTCGATAGCGCCGAATCTTTCGGCATGATCCGCGGTGGACACGTCGATGTCTCGATCCTCGGAGCGCTCCAAGTCAGCGCGACGGGCGACTTGGCCAACTACATGATTCCGGGCAAGGTCTTCAAGGGCATGGGTGGTGCCATGGACTTGGTCTCCAACCCGGACAACACCAAAATCGTCGTCGCGACAGAGCACGTGGCGAAGGATGGTTCTTCCAAGATCGTGCAGGACTGCAGTCTGCCTCTGACCGGCGCTCGCGTGGTCAGCACCATTATTACTGACTTGGTGAGTCGAACTGTCGTATCACATGAAGCCGATAACGACTGCTAACAGTAGAATAGTGTGTGTTCCAAGTCGATCGCAAGAACGGCGGCTTGACACTGACCGAGGTCGCACCGGGCGTCGACGTCGAGGAGGTGAGGTCTAAGACAGATGCTACCTTCGAAGTTGCGAAGGATCTGAAGACAATGGAGTAAGCGATGAAATGTAAAAAAATGAGATAAATCCAAGATACCAAGTAGAATAATGTAAAACAAGACCAGTTCAACGTGCACGTAGGGCCAAGGTGTGCGTGAGTATTCATGATTCAATTGAGCAATTGACCAATAATAATACATTAACGTCTATATGCACCACGTGAAATCCAAGCAGTCATCAATAATCATTCTCCCAGTGCGCTTGACGGTTTGAATCGGGGTATCGTCCAAATTGCGGCACCGGTAGTTTGGCGAAAACATCGCATGCCAATCAAGTCATTATCAAAGGAATTGAAGCGAAGATGAATCAGTCGCTGCTCGAGCTGGAGCTACCGCTCAGGCCACGCTTGTGGTGCTTGTCCTTCTTATGCTTCTTGTCCTTCTTGTCTTTCTTCCTGCCCATGGGTTAGCCTTCAGCCTGCGAGGTTATTGCTGTTGTAATGACTCACTTGTCAAATCTGTTCTCCAAAAGATTCGCGCCGATCGCGCCGGCGACCGCACCACCGAGGGTGCCGAGAAGACCACCGCCGGCCTTGTGCGCGGCCCATCCGGCCGCTCCGCCGCCAACTAGTGTCGCGCCGAGACCGCGCTCACCATCGGGGCCGACAGGGGCATTGGGGTCATAGGGACCCTGCTGGCCGTACCCCTGCTGTCCGTAACCTTGTTGACCATGCTGCTGCTGGCCGTATTGTTGTTGTTGAGGATAGGAAGATGTGCTGCGGTTGTCGTGACCCGAGGAGTAGCCCTGGTTATGGGATCCCTGGGCGTATGTGGGCTGTTGGGGTCCGCCGTATCCGTGCTGTTGGGGAGCGTTGTAGCCGCCGCCCTGCTGGTACGGGGAGTGTGACTGAGGAGGATAGTTGCCGTGCTGCTGGTGCTGCTATTGAGAAAGATGTTAGAATGAAGTGATCGGTGTTGGTAAATGACGATGGTCTCTTACCTCACCAGCGTAGGTTGGCTGCTGAGGGGCATAACCGCCCTGCTGACCGTAACCCTGCTGCTGCTGGTAGCCCTGGTTGTAGCCCTGCTGGCCACTGTTGCCGTAGTAGTCGTTTGATGACATGTTACTGTTCAGAGATGGCTGTTGAGATGTTGTTTTGGATTGTGGAATTCGAATTGGATCGATGGGTTCTGAAGACTCGAATGCGTGATGCTGTAGATGGGAGAAGTAGAAGAGGGGAAGACGGGAGCTTAAAAAGAGACTCGAATGTAAGACGACGTGATCCAACTCAAGCTAGAAACGGAGCTTACGGAAATTGCCAAGGAGGGACCCAAATGCGCCTGCAGAACGGGAATCTCACTCTCCGCTGCGCAGCGCTTAGTTCCCGCCGCCCCCTCTTCCTCCTCCTCCCGGGTCATTTTACTTCGTCATTTGCAGTGGCGCAGTGACTGCGCGGGGGAGCTGTGATCGTTTGTCCAGCCATGTTTGGAGACTTTGGGTGGTGTCAGCCACGGCCGCAGAGCTGATTTCGACCAGTCCAGTTCAGTCTGTTATTACTAAATACCAGTCTTAGCCACCTCACAATGACGCGACGGGCAAAGCCACTCGCTTTCGGCTCGTCGGGTCCGAAGGCGGCAAACATGAGTGCGAGTTGGCGAGGTCCGGATTGTGGGCTCAGGAATGGAAGGTCACGTTAGTCCTCATCTTTTCATTCTTCCAGGGTTCCAGCATTCCTCGTCTCTGTGTCTCTCGGAACTCTGCTCTGTGAAGATAATTCTCTTCGTGCAAGAATATTTGATGATAGCGACATTATGCCGGTTGCACAGCTAAAATGTTTCACTCAGTAACGGCTGGGCATATCCCCGGGTGACCAAACATTCAGACGAACCGCTGGCCTGTCACTGCCACTCAAGCTGTCGGTCGCATTGGCGAGCCCTTGCAGGCTTGCATGCCCCTCCGAGCCAAGATTGCTGAGCACATGGTGCCTGGAGTAACCCCAGAAACAGGGAATCGTCTACCAAAACCTGTGGAGCTGAGAGGCCAAGAGGCGACCAGAGATCGGCCTCTCCGACACGCACCGGCTGTGGGGCCGATTGGCCGTGTTCTCTCCGGATCGCTCTTATTCCTGGCCAACAAATACGCGGAAGGTCGGCGAAGCAAGGAGGCGATTGGCGGTAGGTTTGCTAGCTTTCTGATCATTCCCTGATGGATCAGAACGGTAAGCAGGCAAGGCGGGTAAGCTCATCTCACCTCCCAGCTAGAACAATTCTGGAAAGCCAAAGTCTCCAAGGGCTGATGTGAGCGAGAAGAGCTGAAGCCGAAGCCAAGGTTCAGCCAGAGTTTTATTTTTTCAGAATATTGAATGTTAAATGTGTACTCGTTGGGTATAGCGAGCCAGAACAATAAAGGTAGGTGGCTGTATTGTATTGCACGCCTTACCTAGAATACTGCATTAGTTAGTTCAGCTCAAGTTGTTTTTCAACTCACTCTGCCGGCAATCAAATATCGTATCCAAAGATTCGAACAAGACACGGTCTTTGAAGACATTTCTGAGGGTCTCATATCGTCGTTGTCTTCAATCACATCTCCGTCATGGCTTTGCGGGGTTGGTCTCTTCGCCGGACTGAGCGCCACAGCTGTTTAGCGCAAGCAAATGATTCATAGCGCCTGAATTAGCTCTCTTTCGCGCATTTCTGAGTGTTTAATTCTGATCGTAACGATGACAGCATCGTCTTTGAAGTCATTGAGATGCAAAGTGATTTAACGTCCAACATGGCCGCGGACTCAAACGAAGAAGAAGAAGAAGAAGAGTGAATAGAATCATAGGGCTTGACTGCATACCCACCATTTTATCTGCGCTAAGACCAACTTAAGCAACATGGCTTCACCAGAGGACCTGACCAAGCGCAACTACGTGCGATGGGATGCTGAAGGAGTCGAAAAGCCACCTGCGAATGAGGCGGAAGACATTCAAGCCGTTGCCGATCTGGTCAACGAGCTACAACGGCGCACTTGGAATCAGACACGACATGGCTACGGCGCGACTCATGCCAGAACGCAAGGTATTGTCAAGGGCAAGTTCATCGTTCGGGATGACCTGCCAAAACATCTCCAACAATCCGAGCTTTTCAGTCACGGAGGAGAGTACCCGGCTGCTTGCCGGTACAGCTCCGAGCCTGGCGACCCTGGTCTTGATGTAAGTTCTCATCCTCACGCGTCACTGAGCTGCGCACTAATACCTCTCAAGGACCGCATTCCGCAACCCCGCGGCTTCGCAATGAAGCTTTTCAACGTCAAGGGCGAGATGTTCGACGCAGGCAGAGACAGCCCGACCCAAGACATCGAGTTCAATAGCGCTCCTGCAATTGAGCTCGCCGATGCCAAGACGACCAAAGAAATCTTCCAGCTGCGCGCCAAATACGGGAACGACAAGGACGAGCTCTACAAGCAGCTTAAGTCGCGGCCTGATGCTGAGCTGCAAATGGCCCGTGACAAGCTACGCAACTGTCATCTCGAGTCGACTCGACAGTATTCGCAGACGGCGTATCGCTTCGGAGACTACGTGATGAAATACTCACTAGTCCCGTCGAGCGAAACGCAGCGCAAGCTGTACGAAGAAACGGTCAAGCCGGAGCACGACAAGGACATCCTGCACAAGTGGCTGCAGAACTTCCACGCGAACCACGACGCCGAGTACCTCTTCCAGGTGCAGCTGTTGGAGAACCGAGAAGAGCAGCCGGTCGAGTACGCGGGCACGGAGTGGGATGAGGAGAAGTACCCCTGGCAGACCGTCGCAAAGCTTGTCATCCCACGGCAAAACAGTTTTGACTTTGAGAGAAAGAGGTTCTGGGAGGATTACATGCGAGTTGATCCCTGGCACGGACTGAAGAGTCTGCAGCCGCTAGGGAGTCCGAATAGGCTCAGGCGCGTCGGTAGGTTCTCTGCCCTGACTTTTGTGTTCTCCTGACGGCTTTGAGTGCTGACTGACAGATGCAGTCTACCAAGCTAGTAGCAGTTTGCGCCGTGAGCTGAATGGCGTTAAGGAAGTCCATGTGGCAAGCATAGATGAGATTCCAAACTGACGCATGAGGAAGACAACAGATGAACTCATCATCGAATAATGTGCACCGGAAGTTCTGGTCGTATGCCCTTCAATCGCGTCCGGCATAGAAACAAGAAACATTCCCCACGTTCAATACCTAACGATCACATGCGATGCATCGTGCCATGTCCCAACTTGAGTTTGGGGCGCTTGGTGGAATTCTGCACAATGCTGTACGATGGGCTGCTCGGATGTCTGGACTAATTATGCAGACGTGATTGAGCACAGAGAGTCCGCCCGGGTGTCAAACAGATGTCGAGAATATCTCAAAACAAAACCTCCTGCCCAGTTCTATGTCTCGACCATTGAAGTGTTCCTGAAGGCCGATATTCTGCAGCTCTTACTCAGACCGAGGCTCGTGCTGGAGACTTCATTTGTTTGACCGGGGACAACAGACTGGATGCCCCTGCATGCTGCGGCGCTCAAAAGCTGGGGAGCGAATATTATGAAATTGATTGGTCGATTATCAGATGAGCGCAGCGACTCACTCTTTACTGATTGGTTTCACAGAACTCATTCAAACTCACAGTTCGACTGAATGTCGTCTGGGACGTTTGGCGGTGATGGGACGACGATCTGAGCGCAGCGCGAGACCGATAGAGAAAGCTTGGAGCTTGGATCACTTGGCAATGTTTCCGTGTGACACCGTCCAAGCGGATCGTGAGGACAAACCCCCTTCTGGTGCAAGTCGACGCTCATATACAGGATAATGAGTAGACGACGGGGAGTGTGTCCTCGTGTCTTAGTCAAATAAGATCGAGGGTATTTGCCTCGGCGTGAGCTTGAAGGTTCTCGTTTTTGCTGTTCAGCTTATACGCAAACGTTTTTGAGGTCAGCATTGGGTGCTGCGTTTCCCGTTGACGAGCAAAGTCATCATCATGGCTACCACGACCATTGCCGCCAAGGAGGGCCAAGATGCAGCGCAGCCTGCTCCTTACTACACGGTAGTTCGCAAGACAAGTAAGCTTAACAGACTGACCTCGTTGTTCACAAAAGCTTTTGCTAAAAGATTTCTAGCTCAGGTTGATCGCATGTTTTACATCTACCACCGTCTTGGAATCCAGGCAAATGTCCTTGTCGCAGCTCGTTATGGCTCAGCACAATCAGGCGACCTCGATCTCTCGGATGAGACGGTATATGCTGCGCTTCATGCCGTCGTCACCAAGTGCCCGGAACTCGGTCTCGTCGGTGTCACGGAACCCACCGAGGAGGGCAAGCATTTCCTGACCCTTGCGGCGCTGAACTCCATCAATCTGGAGTCCTGCGTGGAGTTCGTCGACGAGAACGTGCCGAGTATGGGCGCAGAGTACTTCGAACAGCTCCATAGCCAGTGGCTCTGGGCCGACGGAGAAGTGAGGCCTGGTCAGCCGTGGTGGAAGGTCATCATTCTCGGGCGCAAACATGTTGTCTTCTTGTTCCATCATCTCGTCTGCGACGGCTCATTCGGAATGACATTCCATCGCGAGTTTCTCGCTTCTCTCAACGCCGCGGCCGCTTCGAGCATGAGACAGCGGGCTCCTCGGGAAGTCCACGTGAACCCCGAGCGAGTGCGCCTGAATGAGAGAATCAAGATCGCAGTGCGCAGGAAGCCACCCGTGTTCGGCATCATCTACAACTTCCTCATGTTCGTCTTCTTCCGGTACTTCTACTCCAAGCGTCTCTTCTTCACCGATTTCGCAAAACCCCGACCTTACCTCAACGACGCAATGGGCTCAGCTCTGCCCCAGGAGCGTACCGTCACCAAGGTGTACAACTATCGCATCCCCGCTCAGAAGATGGACGCCATTCTGGCCGCCTGCCGCTCCAACGGGACAACTTTCACCCCGCTGCTCACGGTCTTGATCACCGCCACCCTGGCAGCGGACCAATACCCCAAGGCGAAGGTCGGCTTCACTCGCTACGCGGTAGACATGAGACCCGTTGGTAATTTCGAAGACTTGGCGGCGGGTCAAGGGAAGATGCTGAGCTTGGCGGCAAGCGTCCCGGAACCGCAAAAGCTGAAGAAGTACCGCAAGGCGATGCCAACAATGCTTTCCCGTGATGGTATTCAGCAAGCAAGAGCTTACCTCAACCCAAAGCTTACATGGGGTCTTGTCCGGGATTACGGCAGGCGCATGCAAAAGCTTCGCAAGGGAGGTGAGAAGTCGCCCGTGTACAAGTCTTGGCTCAGCGGCAACTCGATGGGACCAACACTTGAGGAGTTCACGGAGAAGTCTCTTCCCTCGCTCGGCACCATCATGCAAAACAGCTTTTCTATCTCGAACCTCGGAGCGTTGAAGACGACATCTGTTGCCTCTGGTGGAACGGAGCCGGCTGTGAGGATTGAGGACGTGCAGTTTTCTACTGCTTCTCCTCACGGCGGAGTTGGATATCATGGAATTGTGTTCAATGTCGCGGGTATGGCTGGAGGCGACACGGTGATCAACGCGTGCACCGAAGAGGCTATGGCTCCGGCTGGTTTGGCTCGTTCTGTTCTGGAAGGTGTCATGGCCAGAATCGATGCGCTTTTGTTGGTGCAGAGCACAGCATCTGAAAAGGAGAGGCGGGCTAGGAGTAATGTTTAGACATGAATGCGAACGGGTTCAGTAGCCATGGACAGACAAGACAGTATTTCAGGTTGAGGACCAGTAGCTAATGACTATTTCAATCTAAGTAAAGTAGACAGCAACGAAAAGCCAACTTACAAACGTCTAATTCGGATGCACAGGACAACATGTATGTAAGTGACTCGCTGTTATTAAACAGAACGCAGATGTACAGACCCAAGCGACAGACAATAAGAGCATGGAAGACAAAACCAACATGGAGCAACTCCTACTATACCTACGCTTAAAAGCGACAGGCCACGGTGACGTAAAGCGGCCAAGGCAATGGAAATTCTTTGGTCCAGTGGTGCTATAACGTGTCCTCATTCGGACTTAGTCGACTTCCAGATGATGTGGTTGATTGGTGATTCTGGCCAGCTCGATGACGGGAATTTCCACTTCCTCCTGGAAATGATCCTTGAGTCTCAACAACCTCTTAATTTCCTCGACATCTCCGGACTCCTTTTGATCCGGCATCAAGTTGTGACGAATCATGAAGTCGATCATGATCAAGGCGCAGTTGGGTTTCCAGTCCCCATTTCGGAGGGTGGCAACAATTTCTTCGATTGTCATCAATTCGAAGCGTTGCTGTCCCTCTTTGGGCTTAATTGCGATAGCTTCGTCCGGAGTGACTTCGAGATCATACGGCTTTCTGATGCCAGGCTCGGGCAAAGAAGCATGACCCTTTTCCCATCTGTCGTCACGGATGTCGAAGAACTGAATACAAGGGTAGCCCTTGATCCTTGCGTTTGAGTCTTTTGGCAGGCCTTTTGCTTCTTGCTTGCTTTCCTGTGAAATACAGTCCTTGATTGTTCCGTGACGATCTGGGGTAAAGCCACCAGCCACGATTTGGTCGAGAAGGCCCGGGAAATTGGGGTGTACTTCGGGGCGAGTTGACACGTAGACCTTGACGCCCTCCTCAGTGTTGGTGTAAACGTTGAGATGTGCACCAGACGTAGCCACGCCAAAGATCGGAACCAGGTCGACCAAGATACCATACTCGTAGCCTCTGCCGGCTCCAATCAACGTCCAAAGCTCTTTGTTCTCGGGGGTATGTTTTGTGTATGTGTACTTCGTCTTGAAGCTGACCCAATCGGGTACCTCTGCACCCTTGGCACGTTCATGTTCGCCAGCTTCGTCAAGCTTATGCAGGATCTCATTCCAAGCTTCTTCCAGGTTGTTTGTTCCGCTGTATATCGGCGGTAGAAGATGAATCCTCTTTTCGCGCTCGAAGAACTTGAGGTCTTTGATATCGGCCAGTTTCAACCAATTCACAACTTCGGGCAAGACGACGCCGAATGGTCTCCACCTTTGGGAGCCATATCTTCCATATGTATACAAGCAGAACGTCCAATTGTCTCTCTGTGGTCTGAATTTGTTGGCATCGTGGACCAGTTCAAGAAGAGTGGTGAACTTCGGGGGCTTTTCGGACGACTTTGTTGACAGTGACATGTTGACGAGCGTTTGATTGACGAAGACTAGGCTTTACAGCGACGAAAACGTGATACCAAAATTGAGTAGTTTCGTATTGGGCGAGTGATCTGAGTTGTAAATCTGACATTTTCCCCAAAGTCCCAGTAATGAACCTAGTTATATCGAATCTGCGTCAAAGAACAGCGAGCCCAGGTTGTTCTTTATCACCTTCTTTGGCGAATGTACTAAGTTTTTGAGCTTTAAACTTATTCTCGTCTAGTATGTTTATGCTTTGTTATGCACAGACAAATGCAATTCTCTGCGAAGTACAATACAACCACCCTCATTGTTTTGGCTCGCCATACCCAATGGGTACACAGTTGACATTCGATATTCGAAAGAATAAGACTCTGTCTTGTTCTGCACAAGGAAAACACTGTTCGCGACGTCGACGACCTCAAACTTACTTCACCAAGAAACATGATGTTTACATACGAATCATCAAAGAATTGCCGCATGTTGACACTACTCGACGTGTTGAATGGGACCATCCCTCTAGGGAGGTAATTTCTATTATCTATATCCTCATGTGTGTGTCAGTTTTGCTTGCGGATCTTCAGAACCGTTGGTGAAGTGTGTATCAGGGCGGTAAAACATACATCATAAGTTGATAATGTAGGATATTGGTGCAAAGTTATTATGGCATCAGACGATTTTATTGTCAACGGTTTGTTGCGTATGCTACTAAATGATGAGCATCAAAACAAGCAGCTACATCTAACCAAAAACATCCTGTCAAACCGTCGCACACTTTCTCAACTCGTCGTCCACCGAACGCAGAAAAGGGAGACCCATCTTGTCTTGTTCAGCAAGGCGACGGGAGAAGATGTCTTCCTTGTTGATGACAAACTCAGGGATGACGACCTCCTCCTTTCTCCACTCGTACCGCCACTCCTTTGTGTCCGGATCCTGCACTGGGCCGTTTGATCTCTTGAACCCAGCTAAAGCAGGCGGGTTGTACCCATCAACCTTGTCCCTTCGGAAGGTGACCGTTGGGTGAATCGTCTCGCAAGTTACTCCAGGTTTGTTTCCGGCCTTGTCGTATTTGTATTCTCCTGGGGTTCGGTTCAGGGACTTTCCGAGCTTCATCATTCCGGCGAAGCTGTCGACAATCACCCCCCTCGCCCAGCCATTTTCGACGACGTCAGAGACGGTTTTCATCGAGGCTGCGTAGGCACCGACCTTTTCCAGTCCCTTGTAGAGGGTCTTGCTGAACGCATTCTGGCCAAAATCCTTCTCGCTCGTTACGGCTCGAATAATGTTCGCCCTGTCTCTCATGGCGTCCGCTGCAAAACCCCCTAAGTCTCCGCCTTCGCTGTTCAGCAGGAGATGAGGTGCGATCCTCTCGCACATCCACGCAAAGGAGATGAGCGCGATTTCTAGTATTGTCAGAAGGGGCTCAGGCAAGCATTTTTGAACACTCACGCTCGTAGTCGCAGTCCTGTCCATTCAGGGGAGAGTTGTCGCCGCCCCCGACGTTGATGTGGACACCGGGAAACCAAACCTGCTGAAGCTCAGGTCTAGTTCCGTTCAACTGGAACTTCATGCTTCCTTTCAGCTGATCATACATCTCGGCTTTGACAAGAGCCTCCCAAGCCTTCATCAGATCTGATTTATGCTCCTCTTCGGTTCCGTCTGGATTTTCCTGTACGTATTCGTAGAATTGTTGGAGCTCGCTCGAAGGCTTTTCGGGTTGGGGTGGTGACAGCTCTTCCTCTGTTGGGTATTGCCAGAGTGAAGGTGTAAAGGGCTTTCGCCGCTCATCGAGAGCTAATGCGTGGTAAGCGTGCTTGATGACTGATTTTTTGTTGGCCGAGGATTAGCATCGAGTACGAGTCCGCTTGGGGAAAGATTAGTATGGCGCAGAACTTACATGGACTCAATCCAATATTGTGGAAATCACCATGATTCCATCCCATCTGCTTGCCGACCCATCTCAAAGCACTTTGAGTGTACGTAAGCTCCGGGATACCAAGGCTGCCCACCGTGTCGAAGACACCAATAACTTCAACTACTCTGGAGCTCTCTGGCGGAGCCTCTCGGGGAGGTTTGATCCAAGCTTTTCCGGGAGAATCTGAGCGAACTCCGGTGATCCACTCTCGATAGTGATGGGACTGACGGAATGCAAAGCTGTTGTCGTGCTTCTGGTACTCTTCAAAGAGATCAGGGAAGTCGTGGAGGTCCTGGGGGCGGATGATGCCGATATCCGTCACAAGCCCTGCCACGGCGCGGGCGGTATACGCACCTCGGGAGAATCCGAAGCAGTATATCTTGTCTCCCCATCGGTAGTTATTAACGATGAAGCTATAAGCCTCAACCACGTTTCCAACAAAACCGACACCGAATCCTCCCGCGCGAGCGCTTTCGAAAACACTGATCTCACCCGAGCCGATTCCGGCATCGTAGTATACAACTTGTTGCCAGATGTTACCATCCTCGTCTTCGGCCGATCGAGCAATAGATCGAGCCAATCGAGTGACGTTGGACGGAATATTCTTCAGCCCGGTGACTGATGATTGCCAGGTTCCATCGCAGCAAATGACAATCCGCTTGCGCTGAACTCTCTTATCAAACCGATTAACAGCGCTTTGCTTGGCAGAGATGGCAGCCTCGGTGGTGTACGTGTATCTTTCGAGGGAGGGTTGGATAATCTCGAGTGGCTCGAAATGCTTGAATTGAAATTTCGCCGTAGACTCATGTGGCTCGAAATTTAGAGTATTGAATTTCTTGGTCCAGCCAGTATTGTCCTGTTTGGGTGCGGGCGCCTTTTTCACATCGGCAAAGGTTCGATAAAGCGATGCAGGATCGAAATCGTCGTCGTCGTAAGACATTTTGTCAAGAAAAGTGTGGAAGAGATTTACAATAGGATGAGAAGTTGTAAAGGTAAGTCTTTCGTTTGAGGAAAATATCTCCAGCTCTCCGGCTTAATTAATAGCTTCGAGAGAGCTTATGATCGGCCTGATAGCATTTGAGACCCCAAGAACAACAATACTGTAGGTTTCAGATCAGCTCGGAAAAATTGAGAAGCTGAATCCCTATCCGTTACTTATTGGGATGGGATCTCCAAGCGTTCCCCCGAAAAACGCCGTTGACTCAGCCATGTCTGGAAATTGGGACGGCATTGGAAAGATCCGCATTTCAGTGACGAACGGAAGTCATCAATACCTCTTTGAACGGGACTCAAACTCGAAAGTTCTGTCCAAAAACAGACAGGAATGGTTCAAGCGAGAAATGAACACATACATGACCATTTTCTAGTCCACAAGTGTGTAAATTAGCAATCTCAAAACGTCCCCGAATTCGATACCAGCACATTAGCAGTGTTTTAATTCTCTAGTGCAGAGCCAAACTTGCACAAGGATTCTCAGCAGCCGAACACAGCGTTCCCAAGATGCTTCAGGATCAATAGTAAGTAGATCTCAGATAAGAGATTGCATGTGACGTTGACACGCACTCACCAACACCGCCCACAGTATAACCGTTTAAAAAACGGAAATTGGGGTATTTGTCGAAACCAATTTGTGAGAACTTGGCTCCTACCCAGCCGAGTTCATACCGGAGTGTGCTCCTCGTTCCATGGAAGTATTTTGACAACTCCATTATAAAACTATTGAGTACATGATATGCATTTACCTTGAGCCACACGGCCTTACAAAGATTTGCAGTTAACTCCAAAGCCATTGAATTGCGTAGATTCTTTAGCCTCAACTTAAGAAATTGTTGAAGACTTAGTTGATTATTATTCACCTTTTGTGTCAAAGCCAACATCTGTGGTGTTGTTGATACTTGATCCTCGCAATTAACTTCGCCATACCTGCTTGAGCTCTTCTCTTCTAATGTTACCATGAAATAAACCGTTGTGAACACCAATCTCCTTCACAGAACTTTCCTGTGATAATCCCTGCTACATTCTCTGTTTGCACGACAAATCTTTTTGTTTGTGGCTGGTACCTAAGTTATGTCAATTCATCTCTGCCTCTATCTGCTTGCCATGATCCTTTTACACGTAGGCATGTGATCACACAGACTTCTCATCTTCAAATTTATAACTGAATATAAACCATAAGTCTGATAGCTCTCTTCCCATATCAGTTTCCTATACAATTTGTTCCTTGAGATAATCATAATGTGACACCTGCCCCAGTGGCAGCTGGGCCATCTTCTCTCGCAGAACCTCAATGTTCTCATCTACTGACTCCATTGCTGCCTCCCACATGCTCTCCCGAACTTGAACTAGAACCGTCTGATAAGTACATAACAGATCCCAACTTTTCCAGACCTTCTTTTCTTTTATCAAAGACTCCAGGGCGGCGCTAGCTCCTCTTTGATCTTTGTCAACTAGATACCGACGAGTCCACTGCAGTCTATTGATATCAATCTCTATATTCCGATCCCTTGCTCTCTTATACAACGAAACGAACGCCTTTCTCTCATCTTTACCGGGTCTCCTTAAAGACCCAAGCTCCCACTCGGGAAGCTCCGTGACGTAGATGAAGCAGTCCCACGCGGTATCGCCTTCTGCGTCTAAGGCATCGGTATTCATCCGAAGATTCGTCATAGACTCTAAACACTCGAGGACCTTTAACCCAGCATACAAGGCTGCGTCGTGTAGTAAACTACTGCCTAGTTGCCGATAATTGTTTGTGTGCGCACCTTTCTCGATCAGGTGTCTCACAACATCTGGTTGATTCCGACGGACTGCTCGAAACAAAGCTGGGCTTCCATCGATATTACGTGCGTTGACTCCGGCACCTGCGTCTGCGAGCAGACGGACTTTGGTCTGTGTAGCGGCCTCGCCGTACTCCGAATCGTTCAACAGATGAAGAGCTGTGTTTCCGAGCATATCTCTCGCTCTTGCTGAGGCTCCAGCTGCAAGCAAAAGTCTAATCATGCCTACCGGGTCGTTATCTGGCTCTTGTATGGGGCACGCTGCTAAGTGTAACGCTGTTCGACCGTTGCTTCCTGTAGAATTCACTGCGCACCCAGCTTCAATCAAATGACGAGCAACATTGAGATGACCCATCTGCACCGCTCCCATGAGTGCAGTGCGTCCAGAAAAGGTGATTTGGTTAATGTTGCATCCCAGACGAATGAGCTCTGTGACAGCTTTGAGGTTACCGCAGTGGGCGGCCACATCTAGAGGTGTTCGACCTTCGTGGTTCCATTCACTGATCGCCCAAGAGTACCGATCGAAAGCCCGTTGGACGGCTTGTTGAACATCAGGGTTATCATTAGCAAGACATGCCGCTTGGTGCAATGGTGTCTGAACCGAGTTTGTGGTGTCCTCGCCAAATGAGATGATTTTGCGGTATATCTGCGAGTCCCCGGGGGACAAATTTGGTCTGTAGGCGAGTTCTCTTTGAGCTTGTACTGCGATAGCCCAACTGTGTGATGGAGCTTAGTTAGTCAAGTTCAATATCTTTGGGATAGACATACTGGTCATGCGTATCCTTGCCGAGGTCGTTTGTCCAAAACTGCACGAGAAATGCAAGTACATCAGGTGTTGCCGCGGCTATGGCGCACTGGAATAGTGTTGTATGATATTAGCATAATAAATCTCCCGGGCAACAGAAATAATGGTCAGAAAATCTTGATTTCTCACCTCAAGAAGGCTGTAGCCTCCACTATTGTGGTAGTCCTCGGGGAAGACGGTACCGTTGTGCAGCATGTATTGCTGTACCTCTATCCTCGATCTTTTCTGCACGATGTGCCATATTGCTGCTGAGTCTGACAAGACTCTTACAGGCCTCAGCGACGCGCTCAAACCGGAAAAGCTACTCATTGAAGCCTGAAAAGAGATGTATCGCGAACAAAGCCAAACCGGAAACTTGTAGATTAGGGTTGTCGTTGGTTTTCTATTGCCCTTGCACCCCTCGTTGCTGCATTCTGCTTGGCTTCCCAGCAATACATGTCGATTGTATGTTACGAATAGCGAACCTACTATCTTCCGTGCCCACATTGGTGGCTCGAAAGTAGACGGCCTAGACGCATGGCAACGGCACCAACAAGGACTAGGGCATGTCTCAGCTGTGGCGAGCTTGGCCTTGAAAACTAAGACGTCAGTTCCAAGCAATGGCTGTGAACCTGTTGCCTCATTTCCAGAGCCCGAGATCATGAGTTCAGCCATTTGCTGTGTAAGGTTCTGTGATGACCTGTCTCTGACATCTGAAAGTATTGCTAGAGGAGCATCGGTGGTACCGTGCTTCGAATCTGACATTCTTCGAGGCTTGGAGCTGTTGTCGGCAGCGGATTCGATTGTAAGTTTCTCAATTCGAAGGGTAATCTGGCTATAGTTACGATTATGCGTGAGCTAAGTCATCATGACAAGTTTCCGGAGAGAGGTCTGTGTACCTGGTTTGCTTCAGATGCAAGGCCGTCAAAGCAAGCTGAAGATTTGCCCCAGCATTGCGAGCTTTGCTCCGGCATTCTGCCAGGTCTTTCTGCAAGAGAAACCACTTTGCTCTTCTCGCCTTGACATTGCCATCCTTGTCAACGGCCCGAGTGCAGCGACCGCAGATATCTTCGAGGCCTTTCACAGTCTTCTCAAGTCGTCGCCTGGCAAGTTTGAGGTGTGGTGGTTCGGGTTCATCTTTGAATGAAGTCATTCCCTGCATCTCGGCGGCCTCTATCGTGGCTCGGAGGCTTTCGACCTGTGTAAGGTAGAAAATTAGTATGTGACAAACGCAGCCTAGGAAACCTGTGTTTTGGGAAATTTGCTCACCTCGTTGTTCAGTAGAGTAAGCTCTGTTCCCACTTTGGGGAGGCTTTGCAGTAAGTTGACAGCATTGCGGCCAGCAACTACTGCCTGGCCGATGGCAATAAAGCTTGCAGCGATGCCTACGGCCTCCATGAGATCTACTCTCAATGACAGAAGTGCTATGGTTCGAAAAGTAGGCAATGGGCCTGGAGTGCTGGCCTTTTGGAAAACAGGGCGAGTCTCGAGTGACTGAGAAGTTGCAGTTCTGGAACCCAGCCTGATAGAAACCTGCCAGTCAGCCTGGCGCTACTGTTGCGAGGTGCAACCTTACACCGTCTAGCCATCACAGTCCACGTAGCCATTCTAGCAAGCTACATACCAACAAAGGTTGCATGCAGATCCCCAAATGAATATGTGCTACAGAACCAGTAGGTTTATCTCGTGCTTTACTTCGGCGTGGGATGTCCCTGGGGAAACTTTTCACATCAGGTTCCGGATAGAAGCTTTTCATGAACATTACATTGAAGTACATATGCCGCGGCAGCTCTACTCCCTAACGAACAGGCCAGCCATGCCCATGCCAGTTCCCACACACATGCTGACAACGCCGACCTCACCTCCAGACCTGCCCAGACCGTGCAACAGGGTGCTCGTCATACGGGCGCCGGTGGCACCAAGAGGGTGACCCAGGGCGATCGCACCGCCATCGGGGTTCACCTTGCCGTCCTCGTATGCCTGCTCCAAGCCCAACTCCCTCAAGCAGTAAATGGCCTGACTGGCAAAGGCCTCGTTGATCTCCCAGCGGCTGACGTCCTTGTTCTCCAAGCCGAGTTGGTTCAGAAGCTTGGGGATGGCAAGGGCCGGACCGATACCCATCTCATCGGGTTTGCAGCCAACAGTGGTCGCTGACACAAACTTGCCGATGATGCTATCGGTGAGGCCGAGCTCGGTAGCAGTGCTTCTGCGCATCAACAGCGTCGCGGCGGCACCGTCGGAGACTTGTGATGAGTTGCCTGCCGTGCTAGCACCGTCGGGCTTGAAAGCCGGCTTCAGCTTGGCCAGCGCCTCGAGGTTCACAGTCGCGCGAATGCCGTCGTCCTGGGTGACGGTGATGGTCTTCTCCTCTCCAACCTTGTTGCCCTGCTTGTCCGTCTCTTGGAATCTTGTGGTGACCGGCACAATCTCCTTGGCAAACGAGCCGTCCTCTCTTGCGCGCGCGGCGTTCTTGTGGCTGCGTACAGCAAAGGCATCCTGGTCAGCCCTGGAAACGCCATAACGCTCAGCAACGTTCTCAGAAGTGGTTCCCATGGCCATGATGCAATCTCTCGCGTCCTTGACGGGGGAATCCTTCAGCGCAGGCCAGACGTCGACGGGAATGGCACGGCTGCCGTAGTTGCGCGTCATGCTCTCCATACCAGCGCCAATGCCCACGGATATCGTCTCGGTCCGGATCTGAGACGCAACGAGCGCAATTGATTGCAGCGACGAGGAACAGGCGCGGTTGACGGTGTAGAGGGAGGTTGTGTTGGGGTAGCCGACGTGGTTCATGGCCATGCGGGCAGCCTTAGAGCCACCGAGCTCGGAGAGAACGACACCGACGGCGACATCTTCGATCTTGGAGGGGTCGAGGTTCGGGTTGGCCTCGAGAGTGGCCTTGAGGACTGTCGAGAGCAACTCTTCGGGGTAAGCATCCTTCAACTGTCCTCGGTTCGATCGGCAGACAGGTGTTCGTAGTGAGGACAGAATAACGACATCGGAGGGAGCCTTCTTGAGCACATTCGAGATACCCTTGGGGAGCGACATGATGGGTAGGCTACTTTCAAGTACTTGGAGCTCAACCTCAATTGGATCGTAAGGAAGGGAGATAGATGGGTATCGGGTATCGTATGAACGCTTGGAAACAGTTGAAAGAGAAAAGAAGACGAGAAAACTTACGAAAAGAAGTCGGATAAACGTGAGCGATGTCGCTTGCCTCGGGGAGAGCTTCGAATGATGTACCGGGGCGGGGAGAATAGCTCTTCCCCCTTCTTTTCCCCAGCTTGATCCTCGAAGCCGAGTGGGGGACCCGCACCCCATGGCAATTGGGTTCGGCAACGAACCAGCTCGGTCTTCCGGGGCTGAATGTTTTCCCGGTCCCTCGTCTCGGTGAACTCCACACCGGTACTCACCGAGAACGACCGAGGATCATCGGAGCTCCGGCCGGCTCATCCCCGGTTAACCTTTGAATGGCAAAGTCCCATCGAGGTCCTTCACAGATTCTGACTAGTTCTCTACCCAAGCCCCTTGACCCCTGAATAGCCTAGGACTAGCTGCATGAGCACTTGACGTGCTGTAAAAGGCACCAAGGTGAGATGAGGCTCCTCTCTCGACACGATCAACGTCGACATCACCAGGGGATATCTGGTTGTTTAACAGCCAACGATCCAAAGCACCACGTGATCTGATATAGCACGTACATACTAAGGTACCAACGAATGACATGTCGACAAACGTCGGACGCCTCTCCGCATCGGGTGACATCAGAAACCCGTCTTTCTCGCGTGTTTGACTGGCCCGCGGCTGCAAGCCATACACATACCCTATCGTCCCTGGACACCAGGATTCACCAATTTTCAATCACCACCATCTCAGGTCCAGATGTCCGAACAGACACCAGCCGATAAGACGCGACAACTACGGCCCTTGTTACCGGCTCAGGGCGAATGGGTGCCGCCGGAGAATGGTCCGCCCAGGAGGCCAGCCAGACCACACCAGGTGTCTGCCGCTTGTGCTGCATGTCGCAAGCACAAGTACAAGGTATTTTGACGCTATCGCCGAGGCTAGATCTCCGCAGCGATCGCGGCGCTAATCGACTATATCTGCAGTGCCCTGGCGAAAGGCCTGCGTGCTCCCGTTGCGTACTGCGCCGTCTGACTTGCGAGTACACCACGCGACCGGGAGAGACCCGTCGGCAAGCTGTCAGTAGAAGTCATCGTGACTTACAGAAACGAGCCACAATTCACGAGGAGATCGTCGACCTCTTGAAAACGTTACCGGATCAAGATGCGCAAGATGTGTTGCGGAGACTCCGCTCGGGCACGGATGTTGACGCAGTCCTCAACCACGTGAAGGCCGGCGATGTCTTGCTGCAGATGGCAGTTGTGCCCGAAACCCGGCTCCGGTATGAGTTTCCTTATCGAATGGAGATGCCGGCGGCTTTTACGCACAACAATCCTTACATAGAGTCGATGGTCTACGAGATCGCGTCAGTTTATCCCCAAGGCCAGCAATCGAGCTCTTCCAGTAGCCCCGGGTCTGTTGGCGGACCAGGCTCAGAAGAGCAACAGAGTGTCTACATGAAGCCCTTCCATGCGGCACGGGTCATTGATCCTCGACTCTCAGACGCAAAGCCATCTGCGTGGACCACCGTATCCGACGATGATGGGCTCATGCGGGATCTGCTTGAGTTTCTATTCCGCTGCGAGTATCAATTTACTGCAGCTTTCCAGAAAGATCTCTTCTTGGAGGATATGGCAACGGGCAGGACGGACTTTTGCTCTTCACTTCTTGTCAATATCGTCCTTGCTTATTCCTGTGTAAGGCACTCCCGATGCATCCAACATAGGAAGTACAACTGATCCAATCCCAGGTTTGCTATCCACGCTTCGAGAACCGCGTTGAGTACTGGAACCCGCATACACTAGTTTACCGCTTTCTCGCCGAGGCGAAACGCATTTGGGAGCTGGAAGCCACCGAACCGCGGATCACAACCATCCAAGCCGGCATACTCTTCAGTGTCTTTCATAACCTGTGCGGTCTAGACGAGCTCGGGCAGCCCTACAGAATTCAAGCTGTGAGCCTGGCTAGTAAAATGCGGATCTTTGACATTACTCCGCCGGGACTGAGCAACAGAAATCGGAGGGGGAGGGATTACGCGGCATGGGCTCTGTTCAACTGGGAAACGTAAGCACTCTGACCTCGAAACTCAACTGTCGCTAAGTACTGTAGGCTGGTCGCTTTCTCTTTTATGATTCCTCCTTTACTCACAATTCCGCCGATATGGTCACTACCAGATCCTTCCAAGGACTCCGGATGGTATGGCGAAGTTTGGGTCAAATATCCGTTAAGCCATACCCTGTCGCCGACTTACTTCGGTCACATCTTTCGAGCGAGATCACGTTTCAGAATTGTCATGAACGAGTTTTGTTACGCAGCCTATTCCGCGGATTCAACGGTAACTCTAGGCAAGGCGAACGGGTTTCGTAAGCGGCTTGAAGCATGGTATCGGGGCTTGCCAGGACCATTATTGCCGCGAACAATTGTTCTTCCTGGGCATCTGCAACTACAGTAAGTAATCGGAACGTCGAATGTTTTCGTCATGCAAAGGATGTAAGCTAGCCAGACTTGCTGACTCCATCTTCAGTATCTACTACCACCACCTTCTACTTACGATGTTTGAACCGTTGCTTGATAACGAAAGAAGCCAAGAACCGTCTCCTGCACAAGTGGTAGCCGATTCCAAGAAGTACCTCCAAACTCTAGTCCGCCTCTACTACCTTCGACACGGATTCGATGCCATGGACCTCTTCATCGTCATCCCACTCATGCTCACCGGCTATGACTGCATTGACGCCATTCACGAGAGAACGCCCGAATCGGAACTAGAGACTTTGAGATCGACCCTCATTCTGATCGCCAAAGGCTTATACTGCCAACGTAGAAACCATTTCCTGGCGGAGGCGCTCTTCCGCGTCATTCGAGGTCGAATGCGTCCGCAAGAGCTCTCTTTGCTGAGAAGCACGATGACGATAGATGAGATTGAAGAAGATAGGAAACGAGATATGGTGCAGGATGTTAAAGTAAAGAGTCACTGGCCGGTCAGTGTCGTGAAGAAAAAGGAAGATGTGGAATCGCACGTTTTGGCACGCCTTGTCGAGAGTTACGGTCGTTTGAATGTAGACGACCGAGTGGCCGAGCAGGTCTAACACATATTTCCAGAGATTCTATCAGATTGCTTTGGGAAACTTTTAATGGTCACTTTAATGAACCTCGTATTTCCCTCCGCTTCAAACAATGGCGATGCCCTCGTGTGCTACGAAGACGAATGAATCTGGAACTTCGGGGAGCTCATCTGTCCTTTGGCGGCTGGCCCGGAATGTGGTCTTCGGCTCAACTTGTCAAATTTTTGGTTCTTCCGGGGAAGGAACAGACAATGCTAACCGACTCTCTATCATCAGCCATCTAGTGTTCGATCTGGGGAGGTCGTCGCAAGCACAATCGCTAATGTGACCAGTCTCTTACTTCCAGCATAGTATCGAAAGGTCCAAGAGAAGTTTACATGACCACCCAGAAGGTTGCATACCCATGTCTGCCAAATAAAACATTCAGTGACACGCGAAAAGCGATGGAGTGCCTCATGTTGCATCGCCCGTGAGGCTCTCTGCCTTGCCAACGGTTTCCTCCCCATATCCGTGCGTCGGATCGACATACGGAGATAACTCAAATCAAGAAACGCGTTCTACGAACCAATCAGAAGTAGAGACTTTTCAGATGTGAAGGGTTATTGGGGGTCACGGCGGGTCGCTCCAGGCCACCACATGGCGAAAGGTTGACCAGCAGGTCTAGACTTTACCAGGAAGCATAGTACGACGTCGATCAGAACCTCTGGGTGCTCTGAAAGATGGATTACATGGTTGTTATGGGAAATTTCGGCCGAGCCAAGGTCCTCATTGCTTTATGTTTGGAACTTCGGTGTCCCAACAGATATGACCGGCGTGGCTGAAGCGGCACTGTTGGTTGTATGGGCTGCGAGGGCTTTTTAACTACCGGTTACTGCCCAAACACAACTTGTCTTTTTTTAAAGTGGTCTCCAAGTCAGACATCATTTATGTGCAAGCGCAGCTTGGAATACTGTCACGGAAGCGAATATCATTAAATGCGTGGCTCCTCGTATGATCTCTCAGACTTTGTGAACATGATGCCTGGTCCGTTATTTGCGGATTCCGCAGTCAGCTGATGGGCAAGCATATGGTTCTAAAGTTCCTTCACCAACTGTGGGATGAATATGTTCGAAGCTATGTAGCGAGTAGCATCACGATTCCATTGGCCTTCGGTGCGAATGATCTTTCAGCCCCGAGCTTCCATGCATGTTTTCTGGCCAAGAGCGGGTAGATCCCACTCCCGAGCCGCAAATGTAAGCCTATTTCGAGGCCTGGCCCCCAAGGCCTCAGCCTCAATCTAGACGGCTCAAGACATTCCACACTTCGAGATCATTTTACCTACGTCATAATATGGTACTGACATACGGAAGACAGCTCGGGATTCGATACGCACCAAGGACTGAGCGAAATATGGACGTCTTGGAACGTCTTGAATCCACCGAGACTGTGACTCTGTTGGCTACTTTTGTACTTAGTTCTGGATGGCTTCCTCTTTTGAGCCCTGGTTGGATCGTGGATCACGACGGCAAGGTTGACAGCAAGTTCCATCATCAGCTTTGTTTAGCTTGAACACGCTCAACTTCCTCGTCATCTTCGAGGTATAAATATATGGTCTGTTCCCGCCATTCTACCCGACTCATCTCATCCTCATCCAGCATCATTCTTACAAGCAATCTTCTAAACCTCGTATTAAAACAACCGTCATCGTTCCAGCCTCTCCAGTCACTATCAACTCTCCAGACAATCTCACAATTCCCAACCACAAAATGCAGTTCTCTACCGCTCTTGTTGCTGCTTTCGCCGCCCTTGGCCAAGTCGCTATGGCTGATTTCCAGGTGTATACCATGCAGGAAGTCGTTACCGTGGACGGCTCGGTCTCGACGGGATGGTTCTTCCTAAACGGAGAGCCGGACTGCAAGGACGCAATGAGCAGGCTCTTCATCAACAACTCGGAAGACGTCAGTGGAAACAAGCGTGGCGTCCGTTGCAAGGGCGACGGATGTTTTGGCGGCGTTGTAAGTGACCCCCTTTCCACCCATATTTCTATCATGTTTTGGTGATCTGATTTGTTACTCCCTTTAGGACCCCTAAGAGATTAAGGCGATGGAGGTCCACACCGGCCTGGATCCCAAGATTCACTTCAGTAAGTTCTCATCTCCGTTGCATATATGATGCCTCAGATACTCGTGGCTAATCAGGGTAGCACGCATATGCATGCAGCTCATATGAGGAACAGTCATATCAGTAAGCCGCGTTATCTCAACAAGACTGCAGCCTGCTGATTGAGAAGTGTCTCTCAAATGGCGGAACTCACCCTTCGCCGCCGATCACCGGCTCATGTGGCTGCAACGGACCACGATGTCGCAAGTCAGAATGCCCACATTCCTACATCACAAACGACCCCCGAACCCCGAAGGATCCTGCAATTCACCCTCGCCATGGCATCAAACCTTTCCACCCCCGGCACAACTCCACTTCCCACCTTCCGCGCAGGCACTTCTGGTTGCCCAGTCCTCCCCCAAGACGCACCCACTCGGCCACGTTCTCGAGCGAACCAGGAAGCATGCTTTGAGACACCATCCTCTGCCCCGGTCCCAACGTAACAATCGCCTAGGGACTGACCCCAACATGACCCTAGTAGTATCCATTCCCTCGGGTCTTGGCACGCGGGGCTCCATTCCCCCATTTCCCCATCAGTAGGCTGACCAACTCCAACCTCCCCAATGGCACACGCCTCAGTCATTTCCCAGACCGCCGCCCGTCCTCGCACACTATCCGCTTACGATTTCCGTTATTATGCCCTTGCCCTCGCCTTTTGCCATCTACTGTATTGCTCGGATCCCAGATCTGTCCCCGAGAACCCCGCATCTTTGGCGAAAATACTGCTGCAATGTGAACCCTTCAGACCCGCGGAGCTCGTTTCCCCAGCTTTCGCAACGCTCCGGATGCCAGATATTGGCCCCGCAGATCCATTTACCCCGGATCCGTCTGCACGTTAATTATTTTGCTTAGAATTGCACGAGAGCTCATGAAATGTCATAAATACCCAGGCCTCTTTCCTGTGCGACTGATCGTTGAGTTCGGGTCCTGTGTTGCCACGAACCACTGTCTGATCTGCAGCTCCATCCAGTTTATGCTTATTTTTTAGGCTCACCTTGGTTTTTTTCTTATCTCCAGTCGTTCCGCTCGACATAACCAATCACCAACGAGAGACTAGCGGCCACACAAAAGTCAAAATGGGTACGAGCGAGAAGCGTTCGCCATCGGTTGAGCGCGAGGAGAACGTTATCAACCATGTCAACAGCATCGTTGACGATGAGAAGCATGTTCAACAAGATGAAGAGCGCGACTGGACCGGCACAGCGAAGAAGACGGACCCCGAAGAGATCAGGCTAGTTCGGAAGCTTGACTACCGTATCATGGTATGAGGCGACTCGCCAACCCATCTTAACTGCTTATTCAAAGTCGCTAACAGCTGTATCTAGCCCTGCCTTTGCGTCATGTACTTTCTGAGTAAACACTCCTCGATGCCCGACAAACCGACTCCATGCTGATCGTACCAGACTACGTCGACCGAAATGCCATTGCTCAGGCGCGACTCAATAACTTGGAGGAGGACTTGAACATGTCCGGAACACAGTTTAACACCACCGTATCTATGTAAGAGAAAGGCCTCAGCAAGAGCTTATGCAGCGGACTCAGCTAATCGTCGGGCAGTCTGTTCGTCGGCTACGTCCTGATGCAAATCCCTTCGAACATGTTGATCACAAGGATTCAACCCGGCTTGTACATGAGCGCGTGGATGTTGGTCTGGGCTGTGGTGTCAGGTGAGTCCGCTTTTTCGACTCTGTTGTTGTCGACAGCTTCTGACAGAATTACCTAGGCTGCACGGCGTTGGTCCAGAACTACGGTGGTCTCGTGGCGTGCAGATTCTTCCTGGGTATCACCGAGGCACCAGTAAGTCGCTTTGAATCTCAGTTCAAGGACAAGCAGCAGCTAATAGCATCAAGTTCTACCCTGGTGCCACCTACATGCTCTCCATCTTCTACACTCGCAAAGGTACGTCAAAGCAAGGAGCAAACCGTCTGACCGGCTCAACTAACCCTGTAATAGAGGTCGCCACTCGTATCGCTGGTCTTTACTGCGCTCAGATCCTGGCCACTGGTCTGTCGAGTCTGATTGCCGCGGGCATCTTCGCCGGAATGGACGGCCTCAACGGAATCGCAGGCTGGAGATGGCTCTTCATCGTTGAGGGCGCCATCACTGGCTTCGTCGCCCTCATTGGTTTCTGGCTGCTTCCCAACACGCCCCTGACGACTCGCTGGCTCAACGAGCGCGAGAAGCAGCTCGCTCACTCCCGCATGGAGAAGGACAGAGTCTCAGACGCGTCTGACGAGAAGGCGTCGGCTATGGAGGGTCTCAGACAGGCATGTCGCGATAAGCGTACTTGGCTGTTCTGTCTTATGCAGAACTTCCATCTGTCTGCGTGCTCTTTCAACTCCTTTTTCCCTACGTAAGTCTTCTCTTATGTTTCAACCACAATATCTCCGATAGCTAACCCCTCTGCAATAGAGTCATTAAGACTTTGGGCTTCAACACGACGATCACCCTTGTCATGACTTGCCCACCTTTCATCTTTGCTGGTGCTGCCGGAATCTTGTTTGGATGGAGCTCTGGTCGTCTTCATGAGCGCACTTGGCACATCACCGTCGGTCTTGCCGTTGCGATCGCTGGCTTTGTCATTGCCGCCTCAACTATGAATACCGCAGCACGCTACACGGCATCTTTCATTCTAGCTGCTGGTGCCTATTCCGTGAACTCGGGTAAGTCTATTATCAATATAACAGAGATGGTTTGATACGGGGATAAGCGTAGCTAACACCGGCCAGTTATCATCGGTTGGGCATCCTCGACTCTTTCACAAACCAAGGAGAAGAAGGCTGTCGTTCTCGCTATGACCAATGTTGGTGGTCAGGTAAGTCCATGTTCTGAACCCAAACTTCGGCTCAGCCGTGTCTAACTTCCTTCCTCAAGATCGGCTACATCTACGGCGCGTACCTTTGGCCCAGCACTGACTCACCCCGCTATGCCATTGGCTTCGGTGCATCGGCCGGTTTTGCTCTGCTCTCTATCGTCTGCGCTTGGTGGATTCGTATTTTGTTGGTTAGGGAGAACAGGAGGATCAGGGCGTCTACCTCCGAGCACGTCAACCTGTACGGGTACTAGGAGTTGTTATCCTAGAGGGAAACCAAAGGCAGTTTGACGATCATATCGAGCAGGGAAATCAAGCAAATAAACTTGGTATACTTCGAGAACTACAACTTTCTCCTGCACAGTTCGTGACAGCTGGAAGTCATGATGATATCGATGAAGTTTACGTTCGAACGTCGCTTATTACAATTGAAGATGCCATGAACTCCGATTGACATTACGCCAACAACAGGCAAACGGTTCAGAACTTGCGGAGCAGATCACTCGGGCCTGGCCCCACGGTTAACAACTCAGTCTTCAGGGAGGCCTGCAAAATCTGCCACCAACACATAACTTACGCCTCGAGTCGAAGATCGCAAGCGTTACCATCGCTTGCAGCACCGCAATGCTTCACCATTCCGTTCTTGAAATAAGCTGGTCATGAATGTCGTGATCCCCATGCCGAAGCAGCTGATCAAACACTTGGAGTCTCTTTAGGCATCACGCGATTGAACATTTGGCGGTGAGGGTTATCCTGGCGTCACTCATGAATCATAAGAACAGGACCATATCCAATCTACAAGCAACTCCATCATAATAGAATGAAAGGTTCTGAATGTTGCGGAATGCGATAGGGAGGAACAAACAAGACGCAAACTGATGTAAGCCATTGCGCACGGCCCGCGCGCAAAGCTCATGTAACACATGTACGCCAAAAGCAAGCCTGAGCTGCATGAAGTCATCGATCTTAAAAGCTTCGAGAATCCATGCGTTTTGTGTTTGAAAAGTATTCCATCCATCTCATTCATCTCATTTCTCATTCAATATCACCAAGCTTTCCTTCAGAAACTCTCACCATGTCTTCACCCATTCGTAACGTCGCCATCATCGGAGTAAGTTCTCAGTGGCAACCATGGACGCTTGCAATCGACACTAATGATTTTCACAGGCAACTGGCCTCCTGGGATCTCAGATCGCCGCGAATCTCACCAAGTCAGGCTTCAACGTCACGGCCATCCAGCGATCCGACTCCAAATCATCAGTGCCGTCGGGTATCAAGTCGGTTAAGCTGGACGTCACCGACACAGAGGCCCTCAGCTCTGCCTTCAAAGGACAAGACGCAGTCATCTCCGCCGCTCCGGATCCAATCGCCTTTTCTGCTCAAAAGCCCTGGATTGATGCCGCCATCGCCGCCGGCGTGAAGCGCATCTTCCCCTCAGAATACAGCACCAACCTCGACTCCCTCCTCGCTGAGACACTTCCCATCGTGACCGATAAGGTCCGGACCCGTCGGTACCTCGACGAAGAGGTGTCTAAAACCGGCGGGAAATCGAGTTGGTCGAGCATCAACAACGGCCCTTTCTTCGACCTCGTTCTCAGTTTCGGTGGTTTGGGACCCGACTTCCGCAAGAAGACCGCCAAATGGCACAACGGCGGTGGAAACCTGGTCGGCGTGACTCGGCTTCCTGATATCGCTGAGACGATCTCCAAGATTCTTAGGGATGAGAATGGGCTGTATAAAGAGGCGGAGAACAAGTCTGTGTACATCCATTCCGCGGCCGTGAGTGAGAAGCAGTTGACGCAGATCGCCGAAAAAGTCACCGATCAGAAGTTTGAAGTGAAAGAGTTGGATGTGGAGAAGATCTATCAAGAGGCCACGGCCAAGTTCGAGAAGGGTGATAAGTCTGTGATGATGCTGTTTTACTACCAGATGATGTATGGTAAGGGGTACGGCGGGAGCGAGAGTTTTCAGGAGATGAGTTGGAACGAGAAACTCGGGCTTAAGACTCTGACTGAGGAGGAGATTGAAGAGATTGTTAGGGAAACCGCCAAGAAAGCTGGTATGATTTGATCTGGAAGCTACATGTTGTAATTAATGTCACTCTAAGGTAAACTACCGCGGTACAAGAAGAAGAATGGCTGTTGAAGAGAGCCAACGCATAAATCCAAAGTTTCCAGATATTCGTGAAAAAATCAGTATGAAATTGAATTAACGTAGTCCGTGTTGTCTCTAAGCAGAAAATCAATCGGACGTCACGAAACGCACTTGATTTTGCTGCATTTGCATTGACTATTGAACTACCAAAATGCCAGCTACTCAACTAATATCTAGCAACTTGAACCTATAATGCCAAAGGCATGAAACTTGTAGATACCTCTACTTCTTCTTGCTGCCAGAGTGGTTGCCCCAACCGCCGCCGCCTTGGCGACCGCCGCGGTTGGAGGCATTGCCGGTGTTGTCATGATGGCCACCTCGCTGGCCTGAAGCCTGGGCACCGGTGTTCGTCGGACCGTTGGGACCCATGGGCTGGTCGGCGGTGTAGATAGGAGGGTCGAGAGGGTTGCTAGACATTTTGGTAGTAGGTGAAGTGGGCAGATCAGGGTAGGATATAATGAAGGTGAGAGGGGTTTAGAGGTTCTTTGGAGTTATTTCCTGATAGGCGTGGAATTGAAATTGTCGAAAACAAGAGGCATGGAGCTTACATGCTGCATGGTTATATATTACTCTGTTTCATAAAGAGTGAATCATTGCATGACAAGTGCATGCTGCTGGTTACACGCGATTATCGTGATGACATGTGGTGAATTTGAAGATGCATCCAGTGAACAGCCGAGAGATACCACGCAGTAAGTAACAGGGCCATTCAATCTCACAGCACAAAACAATTTCCTAGGAGATTCTCCACTTGGTATCCCCTAGAGATATTCTACTTACATGTTGCTTGCAAGGATCCATGCTTTTGTGTTCAGACTCACTTGTTTCAATACTATCCTTGGTGGTGACTCAATGTCAACGTAAACCTGAGCACAGAACGTTTTCTATCTCACACTATTTTCCAGCCAACACCTAACTTCCCAAGTCATATCTTCATTACTATGTCAAGAACCTGTAACGTTGATAACCTCAGCAGAAGCTTCATACTTCTGAGATTCACCAGCATCACCATCACACAGAGAAGAATGATGTACCTCTGCGATGAACGGGTGTATGCATGATAGGGTTCTCCGTTGACTTGGTTCAACTATGTCACTAGGATACTCTATCTAAACGTGGCCTAGTTCACAAGTCTACTGGATTAACAGACTAGTTGTGAAGCAATCTGGAGAACATGATGGAGCACCGCTACTCAGCCTTTTAGGTGCGGCTAGATCACCCGCCGCCGCAAGGTCGAGCGACCAGGGTGAGCCAGGCATCTCTACAGCTTGTAGATTCATAAAACATAGATCTTATTCACAGTAAGGTGTACCTCAGGGTTTCAAAGTATAAGTTATATCTAATAACAGAAATCTCAGTGCAGCTCAAGTGGGGTCTCGTTAAGAAGATATCACATCCGCTCAGTCATTCACTCACTTATCTATTTCCTCGTCCAATGTGATTCCACGGTGTTTGAACAAACAATGTAGCATATGAAAGTTGTAGTATTTGCCAGTTTGACCAAGAAATTATACTCTTTAGTGACGAAATCTTAGAGAATACTCGATAAGTCAGAGAATCTTATCCTCCCACCTTATGAGTTTCTTTGCGGCGGGAGCATTTGCTCAAGGCTGACATCATCGTGCTGCCTCCATCCCCTGCGCGAAAACTGCACCTTCACGTCTTCGGCACCATCCTCCATTTCTTTCGTTGTCATGAGTCGCTGCCAGGCTGCAAAATCATCTCCGGTGGTGCCCCTGAACCGGAACCGTTCCGTGTAGTACAACAGTGGAAGTATGTTACTTTTCCAGACGGCCTCGTCGTCCCTGCGCCACCAACCCCGAGCAATGATCCAACCAAGCAAGAAAACCTCCAGAACCACCATGAAGATGGGGAACACTAGCCACTGCTTCTCGATAGAGGTGAACGAAACCAGCTGGTATGCCTCCCCCGTCACCAAAACCGAAACGCCATTGTCCGCCGGCATAAGCCCCATCCGCAATTCGTTTGTGAACGTGTTGGTGAAGTCCGCAAAGCGATGCTCGATGCTCTCCGTGGTGGCATTGCCCGCCTCCCAGAAGCCCGATATCCAATCGTTGCCTTTGCATTCCGGGAAGAAGTCGGTCCCTCCCCCCAACTCCAGAATTCTGATGCCATGAGTGCACTCCCCGTTAAAGAGCTCTTGATGGATGAAAATCTTCAAGGCATTTGCCAAGATGTTGTCAAACTCGTAAACGCACTGTCTAGGCGCTCTGATCGAAGGGTAGTCCGGTGCTGCTGCTTTACGGATGTGCCTCATAGTGGTCAGGTTCGGGCCCTCTGACATGTTGTTCACATTGTAAATTTCGTTATTGATGAGACATGGTGATTACAGAGCGGTATAGTTCCAATAGGTGTCCGCTTCCCCCGGTATACTCGGCTTTAAAAACTCCACAGGGTCTTCTTTGCGCTCTTCAGGGTCTGCATACACCGGGTTCGTACTGATGACAGTCTCTGACAGCTCTCCTTGGAGCACGTTTCCCGAGTAGCTTCTCAGGCACGTGTATATGCTGCAGGAGACGGCGATAGAAGGTAGACGGTCTTGGTCGTCCTTTTTTGTTGTATCATTGATGCTGGTCAGAGAAAGAACAGTGACATTGGCCAATGCCATTTCTGACACGTCCAGGACTTCGGGTGACATGACAGCGGTTGCCCATGAAAGGTCCCCGTCACTGATCTTCATAGCGTCCTTTCTCTCGAGTCCCATCCCGTTGGACAGCTTGTATGATGTCTTATGCAAGGTACCGTTCGGATCGTCCTCTGACTGTATGAGCGAGGTGACATCCAGACAGATGTTGCAGATGCCTGCGGACGCGTGGGTGGCTTCCTTGCCGACAGTGAACTGCGGCGTCCCGGACTGGAACCCGGTAAAGCTGCAGTTTCCAGTCGTGCAACTGGGCACTATCTGCGCGTTACCTTTGTACGTCCCGAGCGTCGCTGCGTATGCGACACCTCGTACCTTAGGGTCAAGAGCGTAGTCCTCAGAGCCAAAAGGCTTGGCTGTTGAAACCCCATCACTGAAATCTTGAGTTGTGAAGAAGAAGGCCCCTCCATTTTTGCTGCTGAGTGCCGTTGAGACCGGGATCGATGCTCTCCCGTGGGGGTCGGCTTGGTTGACACCGACCGTTTTGATCGCCTGCTGTACAAACGGCCCCATGCCAAACGAGAAGACGATGATGAAGACCGACAGGAGTGTCGCAGGGCTGTGCCACAGGACGAGTTTCGCGAGTTTCACGGCTCCGACAAGACCCCGGCTGCCGCTATCGAAATGCTGGAGGTCTATCATCCGTCGACTGGCAGTTTTGTCGGACCAATACCACACCCACTTGGTCTGGCAGATGATCTCGGCGGCAATACTGACGAGAATACCGCGACAGATGGTGGAAAGGGTGTTTGCGGTGGAGTTGAGGGTGATGGGAAAGGGCCAGTCCTGGACGGGCCTTCCGTCTTGGCGCAGAAGAATGGCGACGATGGCTGCCATCGCCCCTATGGCGACACATAGCAGTAGGACTTCCCAGACCCAGAGCCTGCAATATTCCCATAGAGCACTTGTCCTTTTGCGGCTGTGCTGGGTGGAAGGAAGATGCGATTGGTGATCTTGGGGTCCTGTCTCTTGTATAGTGGACAAGCTTTGCTGGCTCGATGAGGGCTTGGGATGGTCGTGGGTCGAATCCATCTCGTGGAGTCTTCGTCTGAGAGGCCAGCCTTCCTCTACGGGCTGCCTACCTGACGGTGTTGCTTCCATACTCTTGGGCTTCGGAGATTCGACTTTTCGGTCATTCTGGTAGACCTCTTCAGAAAGCTTATAGAGGGGAAGTCGGTCAGAACCATATGTAAGGCGATTTTAGACTTGTTTGCCTAGTTTTATTTCTTGACGCAGGCAGCTTGGCTATCACTAACTGTATGTGTTGCAATGACCCAACCGAATTCAGTATGGCTCAGCCTGATGAGGTATAGAAGCCTATTCGTTGAACGCTATGGGGCTGATGCTGACGCTCTGCAGACGGTCTGTTACTGTAGCTCATGATAACACCGCTGGCCTATCCGAGTGATTGAAAGCACACCCTCTATATAAGATTTAGGCTCGATGGAGCACCTCATATCAGGCTGCGAGGCAGATTATGCGGCTGAAACAGCCTGGCCACGTCGTTTGAGATCACTCGACACTGCGTCCAGAGGATTTCAGCTGTTACTATAAATGTCCTGGGATGTAGTGATTGACTGATAGGGATAGGGGCAGGGCAAAGACGTACAATAGTCGGAAGCGGCATATTCTCATTTCTATTATCGAAAGAGGTCTCGAGATAGTGTGCGTAGTTTCAATATCAATATATCATCCATCGCCTCCTTCGCTTGTTAAGTATCTCAAAGGAATAAACAAGGTATGAAAATTAACGGGATGTAAATCCAGCTACTTGATATGTCTGGCTTAGACGCAATACGAATGCTACACGTTCAACGCTACCCCCACCAAAACGATCGATCTCGGACCCCGAGAAATGGTCTGGTCTGTCTGTTGTCCCGGGTAATGTCTGTCGCGACTTTATATACTGACGAATGCTTGCTAACGTTCTTAGACGACTGTCGATTCCCTTAGAATACGCACTTGTAGACATCAACAAATCCCCGACCCTTCCGATGACAACTTAGATAATAAGCTTAACACAAACTCACGACCCACCGCGGTAACTTCCAAACCGTACCTGAGCCACTCCCCAAACAGAACCCAACGGTTTTGCCCCCCGGGAGCGGCCCGTAGATGGATACCTCATGCCCATACTTTCTATTCTGACACTTACCTACCTACCAGCTAGCCCAGCCAACCTCAGATACCATATTCATGCACAGGTTCAAGACGTAAACCACTCTGAGTCCGACTTACCCAGAAAAACCACATCTCGAAGCGGCAAAGCCGGGTCATCCGGATAGACAACATAAGCCATCATCACCTGATTCGTGCTCACTCACTCCCTCCCGCACGCTCCCCCCCTCCCCACATCCCTCGTAATCCGTCTGAACCTCCCCTCCCAACTGGCTCTTGCCCGAATGAGCCCCGCCAGGGTCAATGTCTTCCTTGCGGGGTGAACTCCAAGCAGGCCATGAGCTAACCGTTCGGACGGCGGAAACAACAACCAAAGAAAATCGGGAGTGATGTCTACGTCCTACCTCCGTTGAGAGCGGCTTATGTCCGCAGAATCACGGAAGAGAGGTCGTCGTCAGTCTTAGCTCCGGACGGGGGGATATGTGGAGACGGGCCACGGGTCGCGATATTGCGCAACTGACAAAAGTCTTTTCCAGCATCTCGATGATGTCGATGTTAATTCATCAAATAATGGGCGGTCGTTTATAGAATCCCCGAGTTTGGTGGCTTCTGACTCTGAACCTCCGAGGAGGGAGGGCCAGCCGCATGTGAAGATACAGAGGTGTTTGCACTGGCATATGCACATTTGACCCGACTTCAAACACTGAGGAAACTTAGCACACCCGCAGCTAAGGCCGTGCCTGAGCCTGTCGCAATGCCAGTCAACGCGGAATTTGGGGGGATGGGAGAGCCCTGCATCCTCCGGTCTTGGTAGGTTTGGCATGGACCCGTATTGTGCTTGTCAGCCGGTACTCTTCGGCCGAAGGTTGGAGTTGAAGGTGGGTGGGTGGTGCGGACGGCATGTCCTGTAAGTAAGATGTCGGACGAAAGATTGGACTATTCCTAAGAGGGTAATGTGTCTGAAAAGAGCAGTATTTCTCTCGATTCGAGCGCCTTCGCGAAAAACGACCGGCTCATCGTCGGGTTCTGATGATGCTGACGCTCTCCGTAAAGGGGAAGATTTGGCCGATGGGTGAAGACCCGCGATCGGGGGTCGAAGGGGCTTCTAGACGCCGGGAGATCACGGGGCTCGGAGACATTTGATGGCGACTTTTGGTCGGAGCCAGCAACCAGTCTTGAGAGGCATATGATCGGGGGCGGCGGGGTCGGAGTCCGAAATACTACAAAATGACTGGCCAGAACCGGTATTTTCAGGACTGGCTGCCATTGGGAGTTCATTCAGAGGGACAGCACATGATGACAATGTCCTCCGAGGCTTTGCCTCTTGAGTTCCTGTTGGCCCCGGTGTGAGTGAGTACTATGTACAGTAAAGGAGCAGCACATAAGAATGAAAGTGAGCGGGTGCGGGTTCCAGGGCCGAGCTGCGGCGTTCTGGGCTCGGCTGGACCTGGATAGCGATTTACGAGCGGTGCGTGAGCTGGGACTGCGATTCGTCACTTGTTGCGCTTGGCTGCTCTGCCAGAATTTGCTTGGTGAGCAGTATTATTTTGGACAATTGCCCGATGGGGTAACGAAGGATCTTTTGGCGTTTCCCCACAAGACCGCGTTCGAGTTCGGGTTCGTATTGCGGGGGAAGCGTATTTTTGGGGGCGGGCACTCATATATTACGGGCAGCCCGTGCAATCTTATTGCCGGTCATGCTGGAGGAGAGCTTGTTGCGCCGCGGATGCGGGTGCAAGATGGAAGCTTCGGCGGATGTTATCGCGTCAGTTTGTGCTGTCAAGCAACTCTGAATCTGTAAAAAGCAACTGAGTTTTGCCTGCCCGGAAGGGTTGATGTTGAGGTGGGTGAAGATGTGAGACAGGATTTCGGGTGTATTCGGTCGGACTGCCAGCCAATGTAGGGTCGCAGCGGTAGCCGATCGAGTGAGAGAAGATAATTAACTGCGAATGGCGTGAAAAGCGATTGGAGCGGCCTGCCATCCCGTGCTTCTATCCCGTTCTAGAGCACACTGCGAGTGAGTGAGGTGGCAGTTCTTGGTGTTTGGATTGCACATGGACACAAGGTTTAGTGGCTACTGTGATGCAGTAAGTGGCGACGGATCCGTGGTCCCGGGTTGTCGAGTCGCATCACATATTGCGCGGTTCTCGATCAGAAGATCGAACGCGATGCCGCCGTGATAATGATCGAGAAACGCAATGCCTCGGTCGATCGTGATACACGAGTTGTAGCGTTCGATCTTTTCAGCTGCCGATATATAGCCGCCCTTCACAGGACATCGGCAGACCTGCCGCCGGAATGTTTCACGGAAAAAGAAGACAAGATACCCGGGATATTGAGGGATGGCGGCTTTTCCGCATGAGAATGCGCCTGCGATGATGTTGACGACTCGCTGCTGGCCGGCGGGTGGCGGGGTCGGGGTCGGCTCTTGTCCCCGATGGCGGGATGTTGGTTGCTTCTGGGCTTCTTTTGAGATCAGGCGGTTGACAGTGAACCAGCAGACATGCCGTGCATGTTTTCAGCGTGCAGAAAGCCAAACCCACGTCCTGAATTCCTCTTTGGTCCCCGTCCGATCTCCAGTAGTTAGTGACTGAGTTGCCTGTCTCTGTGTCATGCTAGGGCATGCTCGGCCGCCAGACGTCGCTTAAGATGAAGATTGTCGAGATGTTGGGACGAGTCAGAGGGCTGGACGCCACTGGACCAACATGACCCAACGTGAGAAGGGGGAAAGACACAAGACGCATGCCCGTTCAGTGGTGAGACCGAGACTCGCGCTAAGACGGGCTGTCTCTGTCTCGAGGGCAACAGAGTCTGGTGGTAAGTCATGCTTCGGCATGAAGGCTGTGTGACTGGACAACGTCAGCACTCATTTTTGTCCTCCTCAGAGACATTGTAAGGCGCCGGTGGGTTCTTCGGGACGTTGCGAACAACCCGCCCGATATCACATCGGCGTCGGGGTTCTCTGGAGTGGGCGGCCGAGGCCAGATTATCAAGATCTCGGAGGAGTTTTATTCGTAAGGGCGGCCTCAAGGGAGGAGATTGAGTAATCAACAGCGGTGTTTGACGCGACTTGAGTGATGTTCAGACCGGGTGGGAATCCTGTATGGAGTTGCAGGGCAGTAAAAGCAGACGACACGCAGCTCAGGGCCGCAGCATGCAAGCAGCAAGCAAAGACTAAAAGGGGGGTTTGTGCGCTTGCCGTAAATCGGGTCGTATATCGGGGCCCTGTGGTGATCGCCAAGTTGGAACGGGTGCAACATGGCCCAGGATTGGGGTCATTGCGGGAAATCCGAGATGGAATCCATAATCCGTGAGCAGCATACTTCTATGCTGTTTGGTACTCTGTACGCTGTTTCCTTGATGTCCTCATTGATGATATGAGATATCTATCTGTACCTCAACATTGCGTAAGATTTTGGTGCTCATGCCGTGATTTCGTGATGAGAATGACACTCCGCCAAGGAGCCGGCGCTCAGCAGCGCCGGTAGGCGAATGAGAATGAAGTGAGCATCGGCATTGCGGTCTGACGGTGACGGTGACGGTGACGGTGCTGGCTGACGCCTCCTGGGAGTTGGAACATCGAAGTTCGGTGACGGGAGACTGGATCCAGTAAGTGGGGCCCTCACGGAAGTGAGTTGCGGGTTGTCGGGGTGCTCGAAGAACCCGAGAACTGGCAGGCAGCTCGCTTGCGGCTGCTTAGCGTCCTCGGTAGAGGGTACGTACTGGATGTGCACCTACCCCTTTTCTGGGGCACGCGTGCTTTCTCCCTCTTGATTGGCCCGACTCTGGTGCCCTGTCAAATTTCCAATTGGACGCCCGGCGGGGCGACTGCTTCTTTAGTGGGGCGGGTGGTGGGGCCGCCCGAAGAAGCGGGAACTCGTTGAACGCTGGCACCTCCAAAAAACAGCAACGGAGGCGACCTCCTACGGATACAAGCAACCAGCATGAAGGAACACCAATTACTTTTTGAGATGAAGGTGCTCGACCTTGAATGGATCTTGTGCTCCGCCCGTATGAAAATCCGTAAATCGAGCAGCCGCATGGCCAAGAATTCCAAGGACAAGGTACAGAATAGGAGTTTTGATAGCTCCCGATAACAGGGCTCTGCTGGCGACATTCTGATGTCGTTCCATCACCATTTGACGTCGGAGGGATATCCATCCGTCGCCAATGTTTACTTGTTTCTTCACTTCTGTCGGGACAACCCCCGGCGGGACTCTTACAATTGGTCGACGATTACTGCGTTTGTTCATAAGGCGGATTGAGGGAGTAACCCGGTAGAGTACACCTGCGTAAGGCGTGATGGAGGGCGCGGGATAGACTCATAGCAACCAGTAGAAACCAGAAACTGTACAGAGTTTGAATACGGCTGGGTACCGCAGGGTTGCTCTTACATAGAATGTAGTAGGTAACGAATGTAAATGACACTGAACGACTAATCAATGCCCGTACTCTGTACCGGCAGTTCTAACACGTACGCGTAGTACCCGGCGCAGTGGATCTCACCCATGATGAGGTGAGATTGGAGATGTCCTGATTCTTACGACGAAGAGGCTGCGGCACAACGAGCCAGGATGATGGGACGTCGATGCAGGGTGCTTCGCAGCGTTGACAGTCCCCGCGGCCGGCTGGCGGCCTGGTCTGGAGCCTGGCTTCCTGAGAGTTGGAACTGATGATTCCTTCTTCCGCTGATCATTCGTCTCGGTTGAACCTCCAACCTGTCTGGGCTCGGGAAGTGTCAAGATGCCGATAGGATTGAGCCGCGCAGGGCTTTGTTCCGAGCCCCTGCGAAGCTGTTGGATCTGAGAGCCCTTATTTCCTTATTTCTCGGTTAGGTATCCGTAATACGGGCTGTACAGCCTGCATCTGAGGGCGTGATGTATACCTTGCGAGTGCTACATCCGGACTAGATCGAAGGATATTATTTATTCGCGGAGATGCTGTCTTACGCCCGTGTGCTGAATTCTTTCCAAGTTCACGAAGGAAAAAGGTTCAACGGTCTGAGAATATGGTTATTCGCAGCCCCCTTTTCGAGAAAGCCGCCCCTCATCAGGTGAACCGTGTGCAAGCGTTCGTCAGTATTAACCTTGGGACATCGCAGGCAGGTCCCTGGCTCGGACGACTCGAAGGAGGTCTCGTGTACCGAGTGGTGATGCTGATCAAGACTGGCCTCTTCGACCGTCTTCTTCGACCGAATCCACGTGGCAGAAATTAGAATCTGGCGGAATAACAACATCTTCAGCCGCCTGTATCACCACTAGCTTGCGGACTTTGGGGACTCACCCGAAGTCCAGGGGGGCCGCTCAAACGGTCAGAACTGCCTCTTGGCAATTTCCAAAGCTGCAATCATCACCAACAAAGTCCGCAGGTCATCGTGCCAACAGTGACAGTGACAGAATCCGCACCTGGTCGGCCCTGTTTATCGCAGGTTCTGGCGTAAATCGGCATCTTCTAGGTGGGTTCTTCCCGGTGGGCTTTCGCGCTTTTTCAGCGAGCTAGGGGTTCTGGAGACTTTGTGGGGCCCGTCGAGCGCGTCATTGGCGCTACTGCGGACCCCAGTGCAGTACGTACCTCGCTTGCTGCTGCAGGCTGCGTATCTTTTGATCTTTTAAGTGGGCCCGTATCTATCGGTACGTACCTCGCCTCCAAAAGTCGCCAAAGTCACACATGGCGGACATCCCAATCGGGACGCAACGACGTGCATTTTTCGAGATTGGGCCGTCCGTCTGGAGACTTTTTTGCTGAATATTTTATTCTATTTTGTTTTTCTCTGGGATTATTATTGTAATTATGTACCTTACCTCCCAGCTCCCGTCCCATCTTTTTTTCTGTGTGTTGCGAGCTCCGCCTGCTGCTGGTATCCTGGTCACCCCGAGCTGCTGGGATCTTTCTTTTTTATTCTCGCAGCCCTCCCACGTCTTCGACATCTGGCTTACTTCTACCTCTCCTTCCCACTTCGTCAACCGTCGACGGCGTCGTTGTTCACCTCCTTCTGCTCTCGGAGACTATTCCCTAATTCTTCTTCGCGACGGTCCTTAATACTTTAACAACTGCGTCGTCTTTAGCCAGACGCTTCGCTTTAGTACCTAATCACTCAAGAATAATTCGGAATACACGCCAGCGAGAAGCGACTACCTACCGCACGAACATCACGATCTCGGCGCCGAGCGGGTGGTACTTGTACACCTGCTATTCACATCGGCCCACCTGACAAGCGCAAATTCTCCTGACATCTGCCACGGAGATGGCCTTCGCCGGGATGGCGTCCATCCCCAATTGTGACAGCACGGCGCAGACGTCTGGAGTCCCCATCAGCTCTGCCCGCAGCGGCCACCACGAGGAGGAGGACATTGCCGCTGCAAACCAGAACACCATCGACACCGCAGCAACCTCCGTCACCGAGGTCGCCGCCTCCGATTCCGGGCCCAAGAAGCCCTCCACCCCGCCCGACAGCGACAAGATCTCCGCCGAGGACGATGAGGATTCCGAGATGGAGCGCCGCCAATCCCTGGTGCAATCCCTCGCCAAGCGCTACTCCCATGCCTCCGCCACGGGCAGCGTCGGAGGAAACCCCTTCTTCGCCGACGAGAACTCGCCTTTGAACCCCAACTCGCCAAACTTCCACGGCCGCGCCTGGGCCAGGGCCATGGTCGACCTTGTTCAGCAGAACGGTGCTTCTTTCCGCACTTCGGGAGTCGCCTTCCAGAACCTCAATGTCTACGGCTACGGTCAGGCGACGGATTACCAGAAGGATGTTGGCAACATCTGGCTGAGTGCCGCCGGCGTCGTGCGCAAGTTTACGGGCGGTGGACAGACCAGAATCGACATTTTGCGCAACTTCGATGGTCTTGTCCGCAAGGGCGAGATGTTGGTTGTGTTGGGCCCTCCCGGTTCCGGTTGCTCGACCTTCCTCAAGACCATTGCCGGTGAAACAAACGGACTCTACACCGACGACAGCTCCTACTTCAACTACCAGGGTAAGTCGCGGACTGTTTTACACACAGACGGCAAGCTTGCGGCGCCATTTTTGGCTTGCAGCAAGACACGAAGCCATGTTGTGTAGCGTGTAAGCCGGACTTTGCTGACAGCTCGCAGGAATGACCGCCAAGGAGATGCACACCAACCACCGTGGTGAGGCCATCTACACCGCCGAGGTTGACGTTCACTTTCCCCAATTGTCCGTTGGTGACACCCTCACCTTCGCTGCCCGCGCCCGCCAGCCGCGTCAGCTTCCCGAAGGTATCGACAAGAACACCTTCGCAGGCCACTTGAGAGATGTCGTTATGGCCATGTTCGGTATTGCCCACACCGTCAACACCCGCGTCGGTAACGAGTACATCCGCGGTGTTTCCGGTGGTGAGCGTAAGCGTGTCACCATTGCAGAGGCTGCTCTGTCTGGTGCCCCTCTTCAATGCTGGGACAACAGTACCCGTGGGCTGGATTCCGCCAACGCCATCGAGTTCTGCAAGACCCTGCGCTTGCAAACCGAGCTCTTCGACAGCACCGCCTGTGTTTCTATCTACCAGGCTCCCCAGAGCGCCTACGACTTGTTCGATAAGGTCGTCGTCTTGTACGAGGGACGCCAGATCTTCTACGGCAGAGCCACCGAGGCCAAGCAGTACTTTGTCGACCTTGGCTACGACTGCCCGCCCCGTGCCACTACCCCCGATTTCCTGACGTCCATGACCTCTCCCCAGGAGCGTCACGTCCGCAAGGGCTGGGAAGACCGCGCCCCCCGCACCCCTGACGAGTTCGCCACTTGCTGGAAGAACAGTGCCAACTACAAGGCCCTCCAGGCCGAGATCGAGGAGTACAAGCAGACGCACCCGCTCAACGGTCCCGACGCCGAGGCTTTCCGTGCTTCCAAGAAGGCTCAGCAAGCCAAGGGCCAGCGTGCCAAGTCTCCCTTCACTCTGTCCTACGTCCAGCAGATCCAGCTCTGCTTGTGGCGTGGGTGGAGGCGTTTGATCGGTGACCCCAGTATCACCGTTGGCTCTCTCATCGGAAACGTCGTCATGGGTCTCATCATTGGAAGTGTCTTCTACAACCTGCAACCCAACACCCAGAGTTTCTTCCAACGCGGTGCCCTCCTCTTCTTCGCCCTGCTCATGAACGCCTTCTCTAGTGCCCTCGAGGTTTGTACCCTCTCACCCCTGGCGTAACCCTATGCTAACTTCGCCAGATTCTTACGCTGTACGCTCAACGTCCCATTGTCGAAAAGCACGCCCGCTACGCTCTGTACCACCCTTCGGCTGAGGCCGTCGCATCAATGTTGTGCGACATGCCTTACAAAATCTCGAATACGATCGTCTTCAACCTGGTCCTCTATTTCATGACGAATTTGCGCCGGGAGGCGGGGAGCTTCTTCTTCTTCCTCCTGATCTCGTTCTTCACCGTCTTGACAATGTCCATGATTTTCCGGACCATCGCATCGTCATCCAGAACGCTATCTCAGGCAATGGTTCCGGCTGCCATTCTCATTTTGGACCTCGTCATCTTCACCGGTTTCGTCATTCCCATCGATTACATGCTGGATTGGTGCCGCTGGCTCAACTACCTCGATCCTTTGGCCTACTCCTTCGAGGCTCTTATCGTCAACGAGTTCCACGGCCGCAACTTCACCTGCTCGCCGGAAAGCTTCGTTCCCCGCCCCGACATCCCTGGCTACCAGAACGTCACTTCCACCCAGAGAGTGTGCAGTGCCATCGGTTCAATTGCCGGCCTTGATGTTGTCAGCGGCGACGACTATGTTGGCTCTGGTTTCCGCTACGAGTGGGGCAACCGCTGGCGCAACTTCGGTATCCTCATCGCCTTCATGCTGTTCTTCCTGATGACCTACATGGTTACCGCAGAGTTGGTCTCCGAGAAGAAGTCCAAGGGCGAGGTTCTGGTCTTCCGTCGCGGCCACAAGCCGGCGGCTCTCAAGGAGAAGCACTCCGACGACCCTGAGGATATTCGCGTTGGACCCGTCACCACCGCCGAGCGCCGACACATCTCTGAGAAGAACGACGGTCTCATTGAGGAGCAAAAGTCCACCTTCCACTGGGATGATGTCTGCTACGAGGTTCAAATCAAGAAGGAGACACGACGCATTCTGGACAACGTGAGCGGTTGGGTCAAGCCTGGAACTTTGACTGCCCTTATGGGTGTCTCTGGCGCCGGCAAGACTACGCTTTTGGACTGTTTGGCCGACCGTACCTCGATGGGTGTCATCACCGGCGAGATGTTGGTCGACGGTTACCACCGCGATACTTCTTTCCAACGCAAGACCGGTTATGTCCAGCAACAGGATCTGCACTTGCAAACTACTACCGTCCGCGAAGCCCTCAACTTCTCCGCCCTTCTGCGCCAGCCCGCTCATGTCCCTAAGCAAGAGAAGCTTGACTATGTTGAGGAAGTTATTAAGTTGCTGGATATGGAAGAGTACGCTGATGCCGTCGTCGGTGTTCCTGGCGAGGGTCTCAACGTCGAACAACGTAAACGTCTTACTATTGGTGTCGAACTGGTTGCTAAGCCTCCTTTGCTGCTGTTTGTTGATGAGCCTACCTCCGGTCTCGACTCGCAGACGTCATGGGCTATTCTCGACCTTTTGGAGAAGCTTACCAAGAGTGGCCAGGCTATTCTTTGCACTATTCACCAGCCTTCTGCCATGCTCTTCCAGCGCTTCGATCGTCTCCTCTTCCTTGCGAAGGGCGGCAAGACTGTCTACTTCGGCGATATCGGCGACAACTCCAAGGTCATGACATCTTATTTCGAGCGCAACGGCGGTTTCCCCTGCCCGGTTGATGCCAACCCCGCTGAGTGGATGTTGGAAGTTATCGGCGCCGCCCCCGGATCCCACACCGACATCGACTGGCACCAGGCCTGGAGGAACAGCCAAGAGTTCCGCGAGGTGAAGCAGGAGTTGCAGCGCCTCAAGGACGACCGCGGCACCCAGACCCCCGCCACCCAGGACAAGGCCAGCTACCGCGAGTTCGCTGCCCCATTCATGGGCCAGCTGAGGGAGGTTACCCATCGCGTCTTCCAGCAATACTGGAGAACCCCGTCATACATCTACGCCAAGGCCGCTCTTTGCACTCTGGTTGCCGCTTTCATCGGATTCGTCTTCTTCAAGGCTCCCAACACGCAACAGGGTCTCCAGAACCAGATGTTTGCCATTTTCAACCTGCTCACCGTCTTCGGCCAGCTCGTCCAGCAGACCATGCCCCACTTCGTCATCCAACGGTCTTTGTATGAAGTGCGCGAGCGTCCGTCCAAGGTGTACGGCTGGAAGGTTTTTATGCTCAGCCAGATTATTGTCGAACTGCCGTGGAACACTCTGATGGCTGCGATCATGTATTTCTGCTGGTACTACCCCGTTGGTCTCTACCAGAACGCCATCCCCGCCGACCAGGTTACGGAACGTGGCGCCCTGATGTTCCTGTACCTGCTCGTCTTCCTCCTCTTCACCTCGACCTTCACTGACTTCATCATCGCCGGATTTGAAACCGCCGAAGCCGGAGGTAACATTGCAAACTTGCTCTTTATGCTCTGCCTCATCTTCTGCGGTGTCCTCGCCAACCCCGACACCATCCCGCGCTTCTGGATCTTCATGTACCGCGTATCGCCGTTTACGTACATCGTGTCAGGCATGCTGTCGACGGCCGTCGCGAACACGGAAGTCGTATGTGCCGCCAACGAGTACCTGCACTTCGACCCTCCGTCTGGTGAGACCTGTATCCAGTACATGGGCCCCTACATCCAGGGCCTGGGCGGTTACCTCCTGAACGAGAACGCCACCAGCGACTGCCAGTTCTGCACCATCCAGGACACCAACTTCTTCTTGGCCGGCGTCAAGAGCGACTACGCGGACCGCTGGAGGAACTTCGGCATCGCCTGGGTCTACATCATCTTCAACGTCTTCGCCGCGCTCGGCCTCTACTGGCTGGCGAGAGTGCCCAAGAAGGGCGGCCTTTTCGGCAAGAAGAAGACGGAGTAGAGGACCCAAGCCCCAAAGTTTCTGAAAGAAAAAACCAAAGTGATGGAATATGAGAAGATATGATTATACCATGTACGAGCGAGCTGTTTAGAGAGGAGAGCTCCGGTGCAAACCTGGAGGAGGAGGACGAGGCGCGGAGGCCTGGCTAGATCGGTCCAAGCAAAATGGGCCTCTTCATTTGTGTATGATGCATGGCGGCTGTGAACACCTTTTTTCGTGTACTTACATCTCCTACCGGGATCTCATGGAGAAAGATGATATATCCCCCCTTTTTTATTTACTCGTGATAGATATCCTGAAGAAGTTCTAAAACAAATTTATGGCTGCCGATGCCTCCGGTGTGAAAATGTATGACCGTCTGACACAATGCGGTAGAGAATGATCGTCTTCTTGGAATGGGGTATGGCACATGGAATTGATGCCCTCGGGTGGGGAGTAAAATGCAGTGAAGCGCCGCTGCGGGTGGATGCCTGGCGAGGCCAAAGTTTCACTTTTCGGTGGCCAACGTAAGAACTAGATATCTCCACGTTTCCCGAGCTGCAGCTAAAAACGAGGGGGGAGGGTAATATTTCAGCGCTGTGGAACGGCGGAATCATGCCCACGGATGGAGAATAAACTGCTGCCCGTGAAGGTACATTTCGAGGTTTGGTTGGCCAACTACTGACGAAGGGTAGTCAGCATAGATCTTGGCTGCAGGTATCACCTGGTTTGCTGAGTTAGGTACAGCCTCGAGGAGGGTTAATATTGCAGTGAAAGCGAGCTAATTAGTAATGGAAGTTGGTTCCAATATCATTACGGTTCCTGCTGACGGCTCGGGAACTGCGGAGAGATGGCGGCGGATTGCTCATTTTTTGAACGGAGGGATTCGTGATGCCGCGTCCGCCAAGCGCTTTGCTGTGGTGATTCGCAGTGGATATACTCGGATTCCGTTGTCTTGCAGCTTCGTTGTGAGGTTTGGCAGGGCTGTGTGAGCTTGTCTCTCAAGCCTCAGACAGAGAGAGACATTGTAGTCGTCGAGACTGGGAGGGAGGCTGTGGCATGTCAGTTTCAAGAGCCTCTTCAAGGATGACCACCGCAAGCTCCGATTTGAAAGACCTGCCTTGAACTTGAATAAGTAGGAACGTGTCGAACTTGAATCCACATCCAAACGGTACAAATTGGGTAGTTGGCAAATGGGATCTCACGTTCATTGATGCGGAAAGTGAATCCCGACCATCATTAAATTTGCGGCGCCCTCGAAAGATAAACAACCGAACGTTTGGAAACTATGAATTGAATTTACTAGGAAATGCCGAGTTCTATACTGCTCGTGAAGTTTATACCGCGCTTGTAAAGGAATCCCCGATCCAGACCCCCCCAAAAAGGAAATGCTCGCCGTTCATTGCCCGCCAGATTTGTACGGCTTCAGAGGCCTGCAAGCTGTAGACCTCTTCGCCGCAACGCTCGAAAATGCTGATGCGATATGTATCGAATTGGAAAACGGATGCTGCCTGCGTTAAAGAAAACGTCCCTCGGGATGTTGCCTCAATCCTGAGACAAGCGCCATCTCATCAGCGCTTGACCGGAGTCAGGTGGACGTTGAGAGGTCCCTTCTCCCAGAGCAGGTAGATCTTTTGCCTGCCGACCCAGTCGAGGCTGTCGTCGGCGATCTTCATGTCGAAATTCCACAGCATGCGGGTGAGGATGATGCGCATCTCGACGTAGGCCAGGCTAAACGCGTATAGCCCGTATTAGTCACCGTATTCTGCGCGAATCGGATTGGGAGGACACTCACTTTCTGCCGATGCAGTTACGCGGACCCAGGTGGAAGGGCTGGAAGGCTTCTTTGTTGTCGTTGGCGAAGGCGGGGTCGCCGAGCCAGCGCTCGGGGTGGTAGTTCTTGGGGTCGGTGAAGTTCTTCTCGGAGTAGTACATGGCCCATTGCGTGATGGAGACGGTGGTCTGCGACGATGAGTTAGTCTGCCATGCTTGCAGATAGAAAGAAAGGACGTGGCTTGGGTGCTTACGCCTTCGGGAACGTAGGTGTCGACGATGCTGGCGCCGCCCTTGGGGACGATACGGGGAAGGCCGATGGGGACGGGAGGGTACATGCGGAGGGCCTCTTCCAGGCAGGCGAGGAGGTAGGGCAGGTTGCTGACGGACTGGAAGTCGATCTCGCTCTCGTCCTTGAAGGAAGATCGGACTTCGTCGGTGAGCTTCTGGAGCGCCTTGGGGTTGGTCAGGAGGAAGTAGGTCACGCCGGAGAGGAGGGTCGCGGTCGTCTCGGATCCGCCGATGATGAGGATGCTGCTGTTGGCCTTGAGCTTGTCGAAGGTCATGTTCTGGTCTAGGCGTTAGTCACTTTGAAAACTTCAGCAATACGAGTCCGACTTACCCAGTCATCCTTCTTCTTCAGCAGGCCCTCGATGAGATCGGGTCGCTCCTGGCCCAGCTCCATGCGGCGCTGCAACTTGGCCTTGGTGAAGTTCTCGTGGTTCTCCCTCTCCTCCATGACCTTCTTGGGAACCATGGCCATCATGATGGGCATAATCCAGGGGTAGTGAGTAGCGACTTGGAGGATGGTACCGACACGCGCCATCTGGAAGATCGATCGCACCCAGGGGTGGTAATCCGAGCCGTCAAGGCACCCGAAAGACTCGCCGAAAGCCAAGTCGCCAATGATGTCGAACGTGGTGTAGTTGTACCAGGCGCACAGGTCGAGGGGCTTGCCCTTGTCGCCGTGCTCGTGGAGGCGCTTCATGAGGAGGTCGATGTACTGCTTGATGATGGGCTGCTGGTCGCGCATGCTGCGCTCGCTGAAGCCGTGGGCGAGGGAGCGGCGGAGGGTCGAGTGCTCCTCGCGGCCCGAGTTGACGATGTCGGACGGGGCGCCGGGGACGGCGCGGTAGAACTTCTGCGACTTGTCCATCTCGGCGCCGCCGTTGGGGCGGTGGCCCATGATGTCCTTCCACGCGCGGGAGTCCTGGAACGCGAGCTCGTCGGGGCCGACGCGCACCACCATGCCGTACTTCCTGTGCAGCTCGAGGGTGTCGTAGGGGAGGGTGCCGGTGCACAGCTTGTAGCAGAAGGGGATCCATGTTGCGCGCATCCAGAAGGGGCCGGGGAACCTGCGGAGAGGGTGGATGTAGAGGTTGTAAAAGACATGGCCGAAGACGTAGGCGAAGAGCTGGAGTAAGGTTTGGTCAGATTGGGATGGCAGATTTGTCGGTGGAAGTGCGGACATGAAGGAAGGATGGATGTATGGATGGATGGATGGAAGGGAGAACTTACGAGGCCGGCCGCCAGGCCAAGGGTATTGACCAGACTGAATGTCAAAAGCGCCATGATGCGTATGTGTGTGTATTCCCCCTCTTGCGGCTGAGGTGCAACGGAATGAGTGAAAAGGAGGTGTTCGAAAGAGAGCTTGAGGGCCTCAGCTTTCCACTCGACTGGCAGGGCGTTCCATCGCGCTGGTTTTATTCCTGACTTCAGACGAGAGCGAGTACGACAGCCATCATCTGTCTAAGCCTTAAAGGCGGGGATGGTCCTTTCTGAGAGCTCCATGAGGTAAGGGGAGAGCGAGATCCTTGGCTTTCTCGGGTTCTGGAAAAGTCCCATTTCCCATATGCGCGTATTTGGGACTTGGACACCGCCATCCCATGTTTTCCTTTGTCGAACCAGTTGCCGCTAAGCTGACATTGCTTCTTCACCACCTCTTCTCTCACTCGTGTGAGATGGACTCCACCGTTGGCGTTTCACTAGAATTACCGACAGCCATCGTTCCTCATACGCTGTCGCGGCCCGCAGCCGGTGTGAAGTGAGCGTCAATGCTTTTCTCTTTAGCAATGCCACGCTGCCTAGTGGTGAACGGCGGCGGAGAGAGGGAGGAGGAATCGGTCTCGGGTTCGGTCTCGCACTAGGATGTGCCGTCGTAGCTGGTAGGCCGCCGCCCAGGGCGCCATGCGGATTGCTCCAGACGGGGTTCACTACCGCCGGCACTTGGAGTGACGAGTAGTCTAATGAGCGAGTCGCCATTGGAGGGTTGAAGATCTTCGCGGGGTTTATCGCCGTTTGAATGGAGGGAGGGGGGTTTGGGAAGCCGACGTATGGATACTGTAGGTAGGTATGCAGCTGTGCCACAATCCTGCCTTGACAGATCATTACTCGTGTCGTGGGGGTTTTCGGCTGGAGACGTGACGGGATATTAGACGGAAGCGAGCTTGTCATTGGCGACCCGGTGTCGGTTTGGCAGCGCTTCAGGAACTGGTCGCAGATCATTTCTCGCGTCCCATGAAGCTGGACGAACCGCTAAATTCGCGCCACACTTGGCGGGATATTGGATGACATCGACATCCCGAAAGCGACGCCGAGGTTGGAGAAACCAGGAGATTGTTCAGATTGGATGCTAACTCCGCTGCAACTCAACACCGGCGATAAGAAACCGAAGTGCATAGGGCATCGAATGTCTCTTGCACACGAATATTGTGATCGATTGACCAACTTTTCTGGTTTTTCTTCATTGACGAGCTATCTACTCACGCTAAGGTACTTATTACTACTCATGCCATCGACTGAAAGGGAGTTTGTGAAATGCGCTATTGAGGCCAAAGGTCTCGGGATCCAGCATAAAATCGCATTTCTTTCCTTCACACGTTCAATCTCCTGGCGGACTTTCACATTCTTCATCTCATCTGGGAACATTCCATCCTGTTGACTCAAGTCAACATCAGATGAGGAACTCCCAACTCCCGCAATTGCGTCATTTGTTGGATGAAGCTCGGTTTCGGCAACGTTCGAGGAAACGGTGTCCGTAATACTCAGGGTCGCAGCGGAACGTTGCGTGACATTCAACGAAATTACACAGCAACTCATGGCCGCTCATCAATTGTTGATACAAGACTGAAGAACCCGACGTATTCACCTTTCCTCCCTCTTTACGGGATAGCAGTCAATGTCACTGGCATCATGCATGAGATTCTTCGAAGCCGCTCAGTCATCATTGTCAGGACCCAAATTCTCTAGCATTCCAGCCGGCTCACTTGTTCGACACTAGTCACATTTGTTTTAGTCGACAACTTGAGCCATCGCAGCTAAATTCACCGAGTTTGTATAACGACCACAACAATAACCGTCCCAGGTCAAGTCGGGCCACGTGATGTTCCGCTTAAACGGGATTTCGGAGAATTTCCTGATTGAAACCAACAAACAGACCACACTACCGGGATCTCGGTCTTCCTGGCACCAACAACAAAGCCCTGTTGGCGGCGTGGTGAATTTTTTTTGACGGGGGCCGCTCAAGGGTCTTGTCAGGACTTCCCCACGATCGGTCCGGTCCGATGCAAGTCAGCTTGAACTACACCCAAGGCGCGGCTCGGCACCGTTGACTCGACCTAGCCAACATCAGAACAGAGCTGAATAGCTAAATAAGCCTTTTAGACGCCGTAGCACAGAATTCAAGCCTCTTCTAGAACACCGCCGGAGATTTCCATTGGAATCGCGCAGCTCATTGGATCGCGGCCGCCTTATGGATTTGCGTGGCTGCTGCTCTAGCGACATGGCTTCGATGGACTGGGAGCGCTCGGCCGCGAGACTATCACTCTGTTGCATCATAGTAAATCTAAGAAGAAAACATCAGACGCAGCAAAAGATGGCTTGAATCCTCTTGTTTAAAGTTGAGGGGTCCTCCATCACCCGCGCGTCTCCTCAAAAGGTTACTTTCACATCCGCCCACGATCACTATTCACCGCATTCGAAGCTGTCCGGATGCATCATCGTGCGACAACCACCTTCGGCGCCAACCAGTAATCCGCCCAAGAAGCCCTCGTCCTGCGACGCATCATGCTCGACGTCGCCATCGTGGGCGGCGGGATCGCCGGCCTCACGGCGGCAATCTCTCTCCGCCGCGCGGGACACCGCGTCACCATCTACGAGAAGTCGGCCCTGAACAACGAGATCGGCGCCGCCATCAACGTCCAGACCAACGCGTCCCGCCCGCTCGTCGCGCTCGGCATGGACCCCGCGCGGGCCAGGTTCGTCCCGGCCAGGGGCAGCAAACGGCTGCGGGGGGATACTTTGGAGCTGGTGCATGAGCTTGAGCTTGGGGCGATTGCCGACAAGTACGGGTCGCCGTGGTACTTTGCTCATCGTGTCGACTTGCATCAGGAGTTGAAGCGCATGGCGACGGAGGCGGATGGTGGGATGCCATTAGTCATTAAGTTGAGGAGCGAGGTTGTCAGCTACGTGAGTGCTGCAGCTGGAATCCCTACGGAGAAGGGCTGGACTGACTGGACAGGATACGGATTCTGCTTCGATAACGCTCAGTGACGGGACAGTCGTCACACCGGATCTGGTAGTTGTCGCGGACGGTATTCACAGCGCCGGAGTCGAAGCTGTCTTGGGGTCGCCGAATCCTGCTTTCCCGGCCGGGCAGGACAACTTTTGCTACCGCTTTCTGCTTCCCATGGAGGAAGTCCTGGCCGATCCTATCACGGCCGACCTGTTCGACAACGCAAGCGGGAGTGTCAGGATGTTCCTCGGGGACGGCAAGCGGATAGTGACATATCCCTGCCGAGAGTTTGTGTAGCCGCCCGCTCGCGTGGTGTTCCCTGACTGACGACGCATTAGCGGGGAGGTGCTCAACTGCATTGGCATCTTCCATAACGAGGTTGGAGCGTCTACGAAAGAAGGTACGTTCTCTGCATGATACTCGTAGATGGACCTCGTGTCGTCGAGGAGTAAATTGTTGACCTGTCCCTAGACTGGCATAACTCCGTCGACAAGTCACATTTACTGGAGAGATTTAGCGGCTTCCACCACAGCGTTCTTGCGCTTCTAGAGTCAGTCGCAGACTAACTTGCGGTCATAATGGTGTGTTAACACGAAGCAGGAAAGCAAGCGAGGTCAAGCAATGGCCGTTGCTTTACAGAGCCCCGATTCCAACATGGCGAAAGGGCAGGACCATTCTCATCGGAGACGCTGCTCATCCCATGCTTCCACGTAAGATGTGTTGCCTCAATATCATAGGATAACTCGTTGACCGTTTCTTTAGATCAAGGACAGGGAGGTGCGCAGGCCATCGAGGATGGCGTCGCACTTGGAATATGTCTCTTGAACGCCGAATCATCGGCAGCTGTGCCCGAAAGACTTGAGATTTTCGAGAATATTCGCAGGAACAGAGCTAGCGCCGTAACGATATTCAGTAACGCCGCGCAAGACGAGGCGGAGAAGATCAAGGAGGCAGCTTCAGAATTTGTTCAGCCTGTTGAGAAGATTCCTAGTAAGCTTTGCGACCTTCGGCTCTCATGAGTATGAGCTAACTCCCGCTTAGCCAAGCCGGAAGAGTTCTACGACTTCCACTTTGATTACGATATCATCGAGGACTCACTACGGCACATGCAGGATGTCTACCCAGGAACCCGATTGCCGGAGCACTTCACCGTACAGCCGACTACCAGTAAACCCTCCTTGTAGTCTGTGGCTGTTGGTTGTTCGCGTTCATCATGCGAGTTATTACTTCATCCAAGCGTGTTTTATTTATAAGAGATTAAGCTGCTGTCTTCATTGGACGGGACGAAACCTGCAACGAAAGCCCTGAAGGTTCCATACTATGTGAATTTGCTGCGTCGTGACTCTAAGACTCCGTCTAGTATCTAGGAAATTGAGGTGGCCGCTCGTTCTCCCAGATATCCTTAGTCCAAGACTGCGTCGTCGTCATCTTGTGCCTTTCCTCCCAAGTCTCCTTTTCTGCAAACAAGCTATAGTGCAGCCAATCATACACCCTAGGCAAAGGCACGGTGATATGACCCATGAAGCCACCTTCGATCTCAGCCGAGTCCTCGTCGTAGTCGGCGTACACGGCCGTGACATCCATCGAAGATGTGCCAACGAATTGCATAATGTACAAATCATCTGCCGCAAGTCCGTCCGGCACCTCCGCCAAGTCCACCACCAGAAAGCAGTCTGTCCGCAGACCCTCGGGAACCATGCCCATGTCCCGCATCATCCTGAACCCAAGCCGCATGGTGGGAAACGACGTATCCGGAAACGTCTGCGCCATGGGAAACATCATCTCGTACGTCTCCGAGAGCTTTCCCTCGTCCAGACCCGCCCACTGGTACCGCAGCCCTTTGTACGTGAACGTGTCAATGATATCCGCGAACCGGCCGATCGCAGCAAGATCCGCCTCCTTCTGGTCCCATTCCTCCGCGCCTGGAGGCTTCACCGCGTGTCCCGTCGCGAAACAAACGAACCCCCATCTCTTCGGCTCCGCGTCTATGACCTCCTGGATCCAGGCCGGCCGCGAGAGCTCCGGCGCAGCCTCGGCACGGGCCCGCAACAGATCCCACATCTCGTTTTCCTCGTTGAAAAGGCGCTCGTTGCGGAGCTGCGTGCTGCGCCAGTGTGCCACTATGACTGCAAGCCAGTCGTCGTAGTCCTTCGTCTCGTCCCCCATATGTTCTACTTTGACGCGGGCGTTTAGCTGTAGCTCGGCATGTTCGTCCGTCAACTCCGCCATGTCGGGATCGTGTTCGGTGCCCGCCAAGATGCAGTCGACCTCCTCTTGAGTGAGGTCGTTGGGGGTGGCGAGCGCTTTGTCGAGCGCTTCTCTGCGCGTGAGGCCGCAGCGTCTGAGGCAGGACTTGTCGTCTTCCTCCTTGGAGACGCCCCTCAAGACGAAGTACTTTTCGGCGGGACTCAGAGTGAAAGGGTTCTCAATGGCCCGGGTGTAGAGTGTCTGCATGTCAGGAGACAAAGACATGGTGGCATTTTGAGTGATTTCACACATGATGAACCAGGGATGGAGTGAGCGGAGGGTTGGGGGTTTGATCAGAGAGGCTGAGACGAGGGCAGGCCACACGGAAATGTTGCGGTTGAGAAGTCGAGAAAGCAAGAAATCAGTCTTTTCATCGGTGAAATGTCTTCAATTTAAAGTCCTGTCTGTCGAAGTAACCGATCAGTCGCAACTCGTGTTGATTAGGCAGCCGCGGGCTTGGCTGTTGGTTGTCCCATGGAAACAGCGCATCAACCTTGCCAACTCCATCCGTTCTAAACCCATTTGAGCCTTAAGAATTAGCCGGAATATCTGGTAAGGAAATTTTGTTCAGGATTAAGTAAGGATAACTGAGATTGATTACTTGTTCATTGCATCAACAAGGGCCCATGGCGAGGTTAGGTACAGGCGGTGTTCTTGCACCATCAAAATGTCTTCACATGTGCAGCCCTTCGATGTGTATGTATAATAGATGAAGTGGAATGGGTCTTCATGATTCACCATTCACAAACATTGAAACTGTTAGACTCTTTTCCTATGATCATGGTGGTTACTGTAGTGATCCAGGCTCCGTCTCACCGGCCGACTTTTCGGCCCCACTCCGGATCCGGCAATTACGAAGAGACCTCCGGCTTCCGAGCTAATCAACGGCAGGACCTATTTCAGCTAGGACGACGCCGAACAACTTGGAAGGTGACACCATTCTCTGCGCAAGTGTTCCTTCCGGAACTGCTTGGAGGAAGGAACGTGAAATGTTAAGAGTATTGACTTCCTTCCAGCCACGATAGGAACTGCTATCAAGGAGAAAGAATCACGAACCAAAGCAGCAGCACGCTCATTCCCAGGATGTTTCTCAATCAATCTCTTCCATCAGTATATAATGCTGCCTTGGTACGACGCAAGTCCCAACTTGACTCTTTCATCCTCGTCGAAACCCACAACCGCAAAAAATACGACCCGACATCACCAGAACAAGGCTAACTCTCCTCTCTACCTCGACACCATCCGAGTACCAGGGCACCCCGAGAAATCATGCAGTCTCCACCGTTACTGGCAGGCCCTCAAGCTTTTGAATTTTGGCTGGAATTTTGGGGATTGGCCCTCGGGTTCTTCATCGTACCCATCATTTTATGGCTTGTCTTCCTGCGCTACGCGAACACGACTCGTATGAAGAACCAAAGTGCGAGCGGCAAAGATCCGGAGTGTCGAAGCACGCATCTCAAAGCGTCAGACGTCTGGTTGCTCCTCGCATTCATCTTACTGGGCCCTTTGCTACTAGTCTGCGGCGTTCTTGCCCTGGCTGTCATTCTCCCGTGGAGAATGTTCAGAGGTTTGAATAGGCAGAATACCAAGTCGGATGCCAAATTGGTAAGACCTTACCTCGTTCTACACATCTTCACAATCGCTGGCTTTCCTTCCGCCGGACTCTCTTGGATCCGGACCACCTAGCTAACTTCTCAGCCCGTGCAGACACAGGTCGACGGCCATAAACAGGACAAACCGGACAAACCGCAAGCAGGACAAGAAATGAAATGTGGAGTAACGGTGCCAAAAAACATGGGGTTCAATGGAAATTTCTACAAATATCCAGACTCAACCAATTAAGCCCAACACGCACGAAGCGAAGCTCCGACGCATTGACGGACGACAAGGCCGGGACGGACGACGAAGTGGACGGTTGTCCACACAGGGCGGGAGAAAAAGTAGTCTCTTGAGTAACCCTACTAGTACACTCTATTCATACATCAATCAATTCAGGCATCAGGAGAATAAACCCTCTGCACAGCCCTCTCGTGTGCAGCCTGTAGAAGGTCCTTCTCCCTCTTGTGCCGCCTCCTCATATCTCTCGCCTCCAGAGGCAGATGCTCCTCGTAAAGCGCTTCCCTCGCCTCCTTCTGGTCAATGTAAAACCCAGCAAGCAGCAAGAAATAACACCCGATCGGTATCAAAATCCGCCAGAGCATCCACGACGTCGTCGGCTCCGTGACGTACCACAGCACCGTCGCTATCGGGATAAAGCAGAAACTCAAACTCGCGACGAGCGCCATGGCCGTCCCCGGTTCCGATCCCAGCATATTCCTCGAGCCCATGGCCACGTGGAAAGCCTTGAGCTCCGCGTGCCATTTGAACTCGCGGTCGTGCGAGGCCTCCATCTCAGACAGCTTGGCGAGATATGCCTCTACTGCGTACACGACGCGAGAGTGCCGCTCCTCGAAGGGAGTCTCGGCCTCGGCCGCCTTTACAAGCAGCGTTTCTAGCTCCTCCTTCGCTTGATCCACCAACTCGGCATGCCGGCGGTCGTCTAGGGGGTCTTTGGTCGGTGATGGCGGTGGGCGCATCAGGTCGGTCTCCATAGCCGGCCCGCGGGCGAAGAAGTCGGTGTCCACGAAATCCGGAAACGGTACCTTCTCGTCAATCTCGTCCTCGGCCTCGTCGTCCGCATAATCCTCCGCCTCGCTCTCCGTACTTTCAGTAACCTCGTCCAGAAAGCCAGACTCAAATCGATACGACCCGCCATCTGCGCCCTCGCTCGCAAACATTTCACAAATCCTCACCAAAGCGCCAACGCATTTCATCCCCAACCTCCTCCGCCTCCTCCCCCTCACCGGCTTCCTCTGATACACCCTCCCGATGGTGTCTATACACTTTTCCACGACCTCGAACCGCGCCCTCTCTTCCCTCCCGTTCGCGCCCACAATAGCCCTCTCCGCGTTCTCCTTCGCCATGACCCTCAACTCGTCAAGCGTACTCTCAACCCCTTCTCCCGTCTCCTCCTCCTCCTCCTCCTCCTCCTCCTCCTCCTCCTCCTCCTCCTCGACCTCAACCTCAACCTCAGCCTCAAAACCCGCCTCGCTCTCCGTCGTGCTCCCGGGCTCCTCCTCCAATCTCTCCGGCAACGTCCTCGGAAACGACGACGAGAAATTCACCGACGGCGAAAACCTCGGCCCGCCAGGCGCCGTATTCGGCCTCTTCATCCCCGGCGACGGCGCCCCCAACGAGGACGGCGACGGCGCCAGCGCGCTCACCGACGACCGCCGCTGGATCTCCCGCCACCCCTCCACCATGCGGCTCATGAACTCCGCCTGCTCCGGCATCATCCTCACGACCTCGTCCGCCGCGCTCGACAGGAAGTCGGGCGTCAGCACGGGACACGTCGAGGAGCGCCGGAACGGCGGCGGGGCGGGGTTGGCGGGGTGGTGGTTGGCGCGGAACGACGTCGGCGACGTCGCCGTCGTGGGCCTGCTGTAGCCGTAGCTGCTGCTGCTGCTGCTTCTCCTACTCCTGATCTCGGCGGACTCCTCATCGCTGGTGGCGTAGTCGATGCGCGCGAGCTTCCTCGTCGGCGGCGGCGGCGCCGCGAGGAACGGTTTCAGAGGCGGGAACTGCGAGGGGTGGTACTCCTCCTCCTCGTCGAAGAAGCTGTCGCTCTGCGACGACTTGCGCGAGGACATGGGCGTCTCGAGGCCGCCCTCGTGCTCGTCCTCTTCGCTGTCGTCCTCGTCATCGTAGTCGGCGTCCTCGTCCGTCGAGGACATGAAGTCGCCCAGCTCGTCGGAGAGGTTCCGCGGGGGCTGCTGTGGGCCGGGGGATCCCTGGCGGAGACTGCTTGGGTGATCCCTCATGATTTTTTCTTCACCGACCGTAGTTTCTCTGAGTTATTCGTTGCTGTCGTTGGTCGTTTCGTGAATGATGATAAAACAAATGAGAAAATGTGTCGTGAAAAGTCGTAATTGTACGTTAAGTCGTCGTTATGTGAGCGTGAGAGTGTGAGAATGAGTTTTGAACGTGAGAGTGAGAGTTCAAGGCGGGTTCGAGTTCGAATTGGAGGGATTGAGCATGATCCCTGCAAGGGGAAGCTTCTTCAGGAAGGGCTGGGTTGGGCGGTTCTCGGCGCGGCGCGGGGGAGCGGTGAGTGAGTTGTGAGTTGAGAAAAGTAGCAAGGTGAGTTTTTTGGAGAAAGAAAAAAAAGTGCCGCAAAAGTGTTGTTTCCCCCGGTTTGGTTGCCCCCTCACTCGCACTGACTCTCGAACGTCGTCAACGACTTGGACATATGAGAGGGATCCTTCGAGACGTCTGTTTGTTTGTTGGTATGCTATGCCTGATGATGTACACACCACACATACGCAACAGAGAAGGGACGCAACGGAAGAATGGGTGAATTGGAGATCCAGATATGCAGCGAATTCCTCAGACGAAACGCTTCTCTCTGCCCGACGGTATGCGAAGCATGCACGAAGAATATATATATATATAAAATAAGGAATAGCCACGGGGACCTTGCAGATCAGAGGCGTTTCCGATCGGCGGTCAAGTTAAACTTCGGTGTAGAAGAACAACAGCAGATGCGGCAGCAAAGGCGGCAAGAAAGAAGCAGTATTGAGTGAGAACCCTCGGGCACGGACGGAGGGGGGGGCCCTGGCCGGAGGAGGACTGGGATCATAATATCTCGCCCAGGGTCTAGATGGGGTTTGTTGGCTCCAAAGCGACGAACTACTCCGAACATGAGGGGGGGCAAACCTCGGAGACCTGCCCAGCGAGGATCCCAAGGGAGGGGAAGCGAGAGACAGAGACGATGAACAAGGCAAAAGGGGATAAGTGTGTAAGGCACGAGGATGGCGCGAAGAGGGCCATGAGAGGTCACGATTGTCTAGGCGTCGGGTGCGTGATTGACTGTGTGTGTGGGTTCGTTCTCGTTCTATTCTGCAGCGACATTTTAGTCTGCTTCTGCGTTCTGGATCTTTTTTTCCCAGCTGCTGTGAAATGTGACCCTGGAATTTTAATCCTTCGTTTAAGTCCCTACAGATGGTGGCAATCCGTGCCCCTGAGAATGAAATCGTCATAAGGAATTCTTCGTCCCGAGTCTCCTGTCGACTCTGAAGCTCACGGTGCTTCTTTCATGTCTCTGCTGCGCTGTACAGACTCTTCTGTTGCAGACAACAGCAACAGAGTGCGTACGTGCGCCGAGTTCTCTTCAATGCCAGTGGTATCATGTATGAATGCAATTTTTCTCTTCCTTCCCGTATCCATAAAATGTGCAGATTGCCACGTCAGTTATTCCCTGCAATTGCAGTCCAACGCCGCAGCCGCCGTGCTATCCCCACACACCGCTTCGCTCCAAAAACGGGGGCGCGCCCCATCTTCAAGCGTCTTTTCCCAGCCACCGGATGAACCATCCGCGCCCGCGCCTTTGCCTTTCCCGCGGTGACGGACAGACGCGGGAGGGAGAAACAGATGATGGATGGCGACAGACAGCCCGAGATCTCAGACACGAGCCGCGGTAGCCCCCTTAGCTGTAGCTGTACTGAATCCCGAGTCCGACTTTGGAGGGATTCTCCTCAACGGAACCGCTCATGCGCATCCGTTTCGACTGGCTGGCAAGAGTAGAGAGCGCCTCTTGCGCCGTAGACGCACCCCCGCTAAACTTGCGCTTATCTGATGTCGTGTGACCCTTGGTGATGCCGGGGAAAAGCTTCGCCTGGAGTCTAGCGCTCTTCTCCGCCGGGGCGGGAGTGCCGTCGCGTGAGCCCGCCGAAGAAGCCACCTCGAAACTCTCGCGGGGGTCGCGACGCAGCATCTCCGAGGCTGCCTGGCTGGCTTGGCTCTCATACACATCCTCGTCCCCGTCGCCGCCCGGAAGAGGCCGGCGAGACCCTCGTGACTCACCACGCGACATTTGTGACAGGAACGACGCCGATTTTGCGACCGACTCGAGGGCCTGGCGAGCCAGCTCCTCGTTGTCGTCAGCTGAAATCGTGCTCTCGCGGCTCTTGCGGGTAGACTCTCGTGCAGCGGGCGGCGGCGTGCCCGGGATGACTTGGGTGCTGTACCTGTGCCGAGGCTCGCTCTGGGGAACCAGGTTCACAGACGGCAGCAGACCAGACTGCTCGTGACGGGTAGGGCGGGAGAGCGGCGTCGTCGGCAGAGACGACAACGACTGCGCGTTTCGAGTGTGCTTGGGAGGCATGCGGGGCGCGGGTCTGACCGCCGTCGTCGGTGTCGACGGCGCGCTGTTGTTGTCCTGGCTGAGGGCCTGCAGAAGAGCCGCGATGGGCTCAGGGCCGTGGTCCCGATCGATGCGTGTATCGCGGTGTGCAGATCGCGGTGTCTGCTTTGGGGTGGCTCGGTGAGCCTGCTGGGGAGTTGAGACGGAGGTCTGGTGCAGCGGCTGCTGTTTGGGCGTCAGGGCGCCGTGAAAGATGCCGCCCGGGCTGCATAGCATGTGAAAGTGTTCCCGATTTTCCCGGATGCGGTTAAGCAGCATGTCCCGCTCCTCCGTCAAACTCGCGATATCCTCCTCTTTTTGTGAGATGACCTTCTTGGCCAATTTAACCCGCTTCGCCAAGGCCTCGTTCTCGTCGACGGCCTCCTCGTACCACATCTTCATCTGGAGATACTTCATCTGCGCCGATTCCGATGCTGCGCTCAGCTCGCGAACAGCCTGCCTCGAGTACTCGGCGGTCCTAAGGGCTTCGATCTCGCGGCGGGTCATTTCGTGCTCGACGGCAGCTCGCTTCGCATCCTCGTCGGCCTGAATGCTGAGCAAGTTGTACTGTAGCTTGTGGTGTGCAGCCTCCATCTTCAGCTTGGCGTGCTCTGCGATGCACGTCTGCATCATGGCTCGCAGCTCGTCGGCGGTGGCCTCGACGACCTGAGAAGGGGCTGGCGGAGCGTATTCTGAACCGAGCCCGCCGTCTCGGCGAATCGTCGTGTTAAGGCCCGTGGCAGGCGGCGAGAAGAGTGCAGAGCGCTGGGAGCCGCCATATGTAGGTTGCATAGCTGCGTTTGCGGCGTGTGCGATGACCTGGGACGAGGGAGGCGGGGTCAAAGAAGAGGGAATGACGGCGGAAGAGCTCATGCGGTCGTCGTTGACTTCGGTCTTGAATGATTGATTGGGATCGATCGGAGACGCGGGGACTTCAGTCGACGGCAGGGTGACTTGTGACGAGTTCAATGCCAGAACATGGCTTTCCTGGGGCGTCGTGGGTTCATCGGCGACGGACCTGGCGTCGGTCGGGGTGCCGTTGGGCAGCTGGGCAGCAGCGTCGGAAGCCATACTGGATCGTGACACAGCGGGCGACGAATGAGAGGAGCGGTGAAGTCGTGGACGTTGAGTGGACGTTAAGAATACCGCGATTGTATGGACAGTACGTAGGTAAAGCTGCGACTCTGTGGTATCGAATTGCGAGTTCCAACGTTGGCGTGGTCGGGTGCGGAGAAGCGTCGCGTTGAGCGCAACACCACGTCAGCGATGGAAACAAGGCGGAGAGGATTGATGGAGCGACCGGCGGATGATGTTGGAGTAGATATGAAGAGGGCCAGACGCGACGATAGGAGATGAAAGGTGGCGGGGGAAAGGGGGAGAAGAGAGCAAAGAGTCCTATCGCATTCTTGGTTCGCTTCTTTGTCGTCCGCACGGATGGGGTTTGTGTGTGAGCGAAATGCGTGTGGTGCGGTGGGAGGATGGAGAATGGAGGATAGAAAGTGGATGATGATGGTTGTCGGGCGGTTGCTGTGGGAGCAAATGAGCAGCAGCAGTGACTGTGACCTTTGACCAGCGCCTGCGACCGGGACCTCCACTGACGGCTGGGGAAAATCTGCGGGAAAAAGAGGTTGGTGACGCTAGTCCGAAAGGGGATTTCGGCGAGCCTCGGTGAGAAGCGGTAGGAGGTGGCAGAATACTGGGATCATCCCGATTGGCTTCCTCACCGACATACCAATTACAGTCCTTTGTTGACATTCTTTTGGTGGCATTTGCATTTATGCTAATAGCTGTGCTATTTCATCCACCAAAGCCTCAAAAGGCTGGGAACGGAAGCTGATTGCAGTCCATATTACCTCTAGGACCAGTATCTATGCAATCAATCAATCCTTCAGGTAGGCGAGGATGACCTCCTTGAACTGCTCAAACCCGTCAATGAAGCAAACGTGACCCGCGTTCTTGATCACCTTCAGCTCAATCTTCAGGTTCTTGCCCGCCGCCTTGAAGCCCTGCTCGACCTTCTCCCGCATCTCGCCCATGGCCTGCGGCAGGTTGGCGTCCTTCTCTCCCACAATCAGCAGCGCCTCGTCGACGCAGGCCCCGACCTTCTCGAACAGCGGCCGGATGTCGAACTTGTCGCTCTGCAGCGCGTGGATGCACGTCGCGAACCCCTCCACCGTCGTCTGGTTCATGATGGCGCGCACCCGCGCCGCCTCTTCGGGGTTAGCCTTGACCCAGTCCGCCCCGAACCAGCGCTCCATCGTGCCCTCGACCTGTTCCTGCATGTTGCCAGCCTCCCGCGCCGCCTTGGCCCGCGGCCCAAATGCGTCCTCCACCCCGGCCTTCTTGGGCGACGAAGAAATGGTGTCGCAAATGGCCACCTTGTGCACGACGCCGGGGTACTTGTTCACAAAGTAGAAGCTCGTCGCCGCGCCCATCGAGACGCCGATCCACGCGTAGAGCTTCGTGATCTTGAGGGACTGCAGCAGGTGGTGCACGTCGTCGGCTATCGACTCAAACTCCGTGTCGAGGTTCTTGGGCGCTGACGACTGGCCGTGGCCCGGCTGGTCAAAGCGAAGCGTGCGGAATCCGTTCTCGGTGAGGAACTTGACGACGTGGTCCCAGGCCGCGAATGGCGCCGACAGAGAGTTGGCGAGCAGCACGACCGGCTCCGAGCCCTCGCTGGACAGGTGATACGACAGCACTCGTCTGTCGGGGAGGTTAAGCTTCTGTGCCGTGGCCATCGTGATTGCTTCCTGTACGTCGGATGCCGGCTTCCGGGTGGTGGTGACGGTGGGCGGTGACGGTTTGATGATGACTTTGCGTTATAAAAGTGGTCGTATGAAGGATTTGATCAATTTCTGGTCTGCTCAGAAGTTGCGAGTGTCAATTGGGAGAGATTGTGTCGTCGATGCCTTTTAAGACCTTCACGTCATCGTCATGTGACGTCGCGGGGTCGAGCTCCCGATAGCTGAGGGAGGTGCTGCCGACGCAGTGTGGTGTTTTGGCGGGGTTCCGGCATTGTCTCCACTAGTACCTCTGTCCGCTTCCCGAGATTTTGAGACTGTCAACCGAAGGAAATACATTGCAAATTAGAATGCCTGGTAAGGGAGAGCGCAGTACCAACTATTGAAGGTCATGGACAAGGGAGAAGGTTTTTTCTTTGAATCATCAGGTTCAATGCTTGCCATCAGGATGAATGCGGCTGCCTTCCTGGCCGTCAAGCTTACAATACAAACGGCCACGACAGAACCACCAGCAGCAAACAGGAGTTTCTCTTGCCTCAATATACAAAAGAAAAAGATCGAATTATTCCGATTGACAAAATGAATTTTTTGGCCGACAGGAAGAATCACACGTTCGGAGCGTGGGAAGAGAACAGCAAGATTCGGACCCCGCTGACTACCTTAATGGTCATGATTGAGCAAACGACTGCCAACCGTGATTGGTCAAGGTGCCAGAGTGGTTAATGGGCTGCCCTGCTATCAGTTCTCTGATCTCAGTCAGGCAGTGGCTTCGGTCGCGCAGGTTCGAATCCTGTCCTTGACGGACTTCTTTTTGCTTTTTGACCACGCACTCACTCTATCTACATCAAGCTCGAATGACTGCGACAGACCTGTACTATCGTTTTTTTTATATCAATACTTTTGAAATTCTCTTAGCAGATTTAAGGCGCCGTTACTTACAACAAACAGATGCGTCTGTGCATCTCACCCGTCCATTATTGTTGTTAGCTGACAGCTGGCTCTCAAGTCACCAGCCCATTCAATCTTCTTCACTTGAGGTTCATGGTTGACTTCAACATTCCAATCGCATCAGCGTATGGCATAGAATTAACAATTCAATTGATGAACTGACTGAAGGAAGGGCCGACTCGTCATTACCCCTTCCTCTACTACAATGAATCGCAGACAACCACACCACCACTACCAAGGGTACTCGTTGGCCGTCGCAAGGTGAACCTCGTGGTTCTCAGAAATGACCTTCTTGATGCGGTCGATAGGCGCCTTGGACATGGGCCCGTCCTGGTACATCAGGATGCCACCGTAGATCAAGCCGTCAATCTTGTTAGTGATCAAGCTCTTGATCATGTCGTAGTCGTTGTCGTAGTTGACCGCCGTCCACCCGAACACGCGGCCGTACAGGTTCGACGCCTTGGCCTTCTTCAACTGGTCCAGGATCGTCTGCGGCTTCAGCGTCCACGCGAAGAGCCCGCGGGACATGACGCGCTGGGACACGGGCGTGTGGTTCTTGTCGCCGTACTTGCGGAACAGCGCCGCGACGCCGTCCGCGTCGCCGTCGATGTCGATCGCCTCGCCCGCGTGCAGCGCCCCGCGCGAGACGAGCTTGTCGTACGCGCCCTTGTTGATGTCGCTGTCGCTGTTGGTCCCGTACACGACGTGGATGCCGGCCGGGAGCAGGTACTGCCGCGCCATGTCCTGCAGGTAGTGGACGGAGCACTTGTACCACTTCTTGTCGGCCGGGTCGCACGAGTTGGGGTTCTTGATGTCGAGCCAGACGAAGATGAGGTTGGCGCCGCCCTGGCGCTTGGCGGCGAGGTACTTGAACATCACCTCCGCCATGTCGCCGTAGCTCGTCGCCGTGCCGTCGTGGTCCGCCCACCAGTTGGGCGAGTTCTTGCCCGTCCACCACGCCGTGAAGTCCATCTCGATGGCGTTGGCCCCGTGCTTGAGGGCCGCGTCGATGCCGGCCGTCACGATGACCCGGTGGGCGATGGCGTAGAAGGGGCGGCTGGCGCCGTTGCGCTCTGCGAGTTCCGTGCGCGTGTCCCGGACGGCGACCTCGGTCTTCGGGATGGAGGCGGCCGTCGAGATGGTGCTCAGGCCGAGGAGGGCCAGGCCGATGGTCTTGAAAGACTGAGAAAGCATGTTGAGTGTTGAGTGGTTGGGTGCTGGATGGTGCTGTTGTAAGCTGGAGATGGTGAGTGAGTTGGGAAGACAAGATCTCGTTAACTGGAAATTCATGAGGTTAAAATACTCAAAGTTGACATCGTGAATCCCCTCTCATAATCCTAATCCGGACCATCTAGACCGTCTTTCTCGTTGGCAGTATGGATAAGCATCTCTGTGGCTTTGGAGGCTTCCGATCAACTAAGCTTGTTTTCTTAGTGCAATGGAGGAAGCTGAGATCTCTCACAAAGACTTCGAATTCCCCGGATTACGCTAGTGAACGTGCGGGGTCTAGAATTACCGGAGAGGAAAATTCCAAGGCGCAGTGGTAGCTGGGGCTGAGGCTTCCAGGCTAGGTCGAGAACAGCTTCAATCTGTGGCGATCAAAGATGTCCCGGGGCTGTGGTTTCAAAACTGTTTCTTGGCATTGTTCAGCTTGGCATCGCGACAAACAGACATGGCTAACGGGCTGTGCCGTTCTCGTCGTGATTTTGGAGTAGACAACGGCAGCTTATGTGCCTGATATGGCCTCCCTCGGTTCTAGAAAGGCTGGAAGCTCTCACAGCCAGAAGATGGCTGGAATGTGGAAGTAACACAGGTCTCGTCCAGGTCTCGGTATATGCCGACAAGATCCATAACTGAGCAGAACCAGCGCGGTTGTTATTCTTTAGATTTCGGCGAACAACGAAAACAGGAAGGATCGCATCTCCATGAAAAAGTGTAAGTGAAGCGTGGCTTGATGTTATGAACCTTTTGCATACACTTAGTTCAGTCATCGTAGTAGACGAAGGCAGGTTTTCAGCTTGACGACCAAAGACTTCGAGTGAGACCAGAGAAGATTAAGTCTATGTTGCCAATAGCAGCATTGTCATGGCAAAGACGCATATGTCTGCTATCCGAAAACATCTGGACCGCAGTTCTGCCAAGCATCTCCAACTCTGGAAGGTTGAAGCCATCATGCTCCTTCCATTCATCAGTCAAAGCTATCAGCCTTATTAGCGCGTACCTCTTGACGAGAAGACAGCCAACAACACCCACCAGCTTCAGCTCCGACGACCATGGGGTTTTCGTCCCATTCAACAACGCCCTATTCTTCTTAGGCCGCCCTTGCAGCTGCTGAAAAGCAATCCTCACATGCTTCACATCAACCGGCCTCCTCACCCCCTCAGGCTCGGCAAACAGACCCCCGTGCCCATTCTCCACCGTCTCTTTCCCAGACCCCTCGACCAGCGCCAGCTCCCGCATCTGCACCTTCAAGGCCCCCGCCGTCAGGTTCTGCACCATCTCCGAGGTCAAGAAGCCCAAGATGTCCATCACGTCGTCGTTCGGCCTGTTCTCCGCGACGACACCCAGCCCGCACCACTCCCGGAACCTCTTCGCCTTGCGGTAGGTCAGCGAGGCGTGCCGGTACTCGGACCAGGTCGCGTACTCGGCGACGCTCATGTCCCTCGTCCTCTCGTCGTTGCGGCGCAGCTTCTCCAGCGCGGCCTCGCTGCTGACGACGTCGGCCATGTCCTCCTGCGTCTCGGGCACCTGCTCGGAGAAGTAGGACGAGACGTCCCAGGGCAGAGTGATGGTGGGGAACCTGGCCTTGACGGCGGCGGCGGCGGGTGCGTCGTAGGCTGGGCCGCCGCCGCCGCCCTCTTCCATGTCTGCGTCGTCGAGGAGGCCGCCTTCCTTGTCGTCCGAGTCCTTGACCGTCTTGCGGATCGCCTTCCAGGTGAGGAAGATGCGGAGGCGTTCGACGCGGGCGATGTCGTGGCGGAACTGGAAGATGAGGTCGTTGTTAGAGAAGACGCGGGAGCCGCGGCGGCTAGCCAGGTCGTTTGCCGTCTTCAACTACGCCATGGGCTTGTTACATAGGGGGTAAGGAGGGAGGGTGAGCTTGGAGGAAGTACCATGTGAACGACTTGGTCGCGGATGATGTCCTCGATGACCTTGAGGGTCTCAACTGAAACATCTTGTGTCTCTCCTGCGATGTACATCATCTGGAAGGTCCGCGGTTGTAAGCAGATGAGACCTGCAAGTATCCTTTGCTATGTGATTCCGTCCAGGCGTGTGAAGAGAGAGCAAGAGACTTCCACGTTCGTGGGTGAAAGAAGAAACGGACTAATAAGTAGTAAACGGGATGACCAACCTGCTGAATCTCTTGCTTGAACTTAGGCTCCATAATGTAGCATAAAAACACTAGATGATGACGGATATGCTGTTGCTGTAAGTCGCCAAGGTCAAGGAGCAGGCAGCATGTATCGTTGCCATGAATCACAAGTTAAAAGTCCCGCAAGCGCAAAACACAAAGAACAGTAAGAGCCAAGCTCTTCGTGGGAATAGTGATAATGCATTTCGTGTGTTGATGGCGTAGCAAAATCCATCTGCTGCGTTTTATAGAAGTCATATCTGCGTATAAGTGCGAGAATGCCACTTGGCACGGTGCTTGAGCAGACAGCTGTATGCTGGTGAGAAAGTGAGAGTTGGGGAGGAAATTTGGGGTCAAAAAGGCGCGGGGACGGTCGAACTTCGAACAAAACGTTCGGCAGAAATCCGGGTCAGCTACCCATGTTCCCCTTACCCATGAGTTCCGGCGATTGATTGGCTTCTTCTGACTTCTTGTCCCCATTGATGTTGGCTGGCACAGTGCTCACTCGTTGGTGCGATGCTTCAATTCATGTATGGATCCGTATAGAAATTCCGAAGGACCTGAACACTGCCGAACGCACAGCTTACTAGGATCAAGTACTTGGTTCTGATTTATCATGATTAAACCCAATTGATCAAAACAACGTAAGCGTGCTGGCCGGAGATTTCTGCCAGACCAATAGATCAGTTTTGAAGCTACGAAAACAGTGATCAAGAAGTCACTTCACACGCGAGTAGATCATAGTTGAAAGAAAGTTGTATTTCCACACTTCACTTGCAAGATAACTTGGTATTGGTTTTTTCAACCCCAGCCATCGCGAAAATTACATGACCTGTCTATCCACTTATTGAAGCAACTTCTTCACCAAATCCGCAACAGACTGAATCACGGGATATTTAGGGTAAGCAGGCTTGTAAACCTGTCGACATGTTAGCGTGTGATGCAGCAAAGTCTGAGGACTGAATTGACTTACAGCTTGGCAGCGAGCATTGAACTCATCCGTGGAGGCCTTGATCAAAGACAGCTCGTCGCCGGGAACTCCCAGCTTCACTAGGGGACCGGACTCGGGGGCAACCTTGTCCCATCCGGGCCCGGCCGCGGGGTCCTTGATCCACTCGACAAACCACTGGTGGATGGAGTCAGCGAGCGCTTGCTGCTCTTCGGTCACGCCCGAAAGCGCAGAGAAGCACTCGTTGCCGCCGTGGAAGAAGGGAACCTCGGTGCCGTGCGTGGGCGCCGTGTTGGGAGGGCCGACGACGTTGTCGTAGGCGCCGAAGAAGCGGTAGACCCAGGTATCCTGGGCAGCGCTGCGGAGGTCTTGGAGGTAGTCGACGGCGCAGTTGAAGCGGGCATCGCCATACTGGGCACCGCTGCGCAGAGACTCGGTCTCGAAGTCGGAGGCGTTGTAGGCCTCGATCAGGACGGAGTCCTCGATGTGGGCGCTGTCGGCGTCGAAGGTGTTGATCCAAGAGCTGAAGTTGGTGTTCTCGGCGCCGTAGACGATGCTGAAGATGGTGCCCTCGCCGTTTGAGGTGCCGGTCAGGAGGGGGACGTGGGAGGCGTACTTGCCGGCGGCGAAGCGGGAGGCGTAGTCGGAGTGGCGCGTGAGGTTGTCGATGATGGGAGTGAACCAGGTGTTGAAGGTCGAGTTGAAGTTGGCGGTCTGGAACGCGTAGAGGTCGACCTTGCGCAGGCAGTCGAGCTGGCCGTCGCCGCCAGCAGGGCATCCGACCTCGGTGGCGACGGCATCAAGGGCCTCGTTGATGGGTGCGTAGCCGGGGCCGGAGACGGCGTTGGCGCTCATCTGCACGGCGCCCTTGAGCCAAGTGTCCGGGTGGTTCCAGAGGTAGTGGTCGACCTGGACGGAACCCGAGGAATGACCACCGAAGACGATGTGGTCAGGGTTTCCTCCGAATGCTTAGTGTGATGTTAGCTTCACGTCACCTTGATCGACACTAAAATGAGATCTCAGATTTCTTACCCCGGATGTTCTCGTGGATCCAATCAAGGGCCTTCTCGACGTCCAGGATGCTGAAGTTCTGGGACTCTTCAGGATTGGCATCCTTCAACTCCGCAGAGTGCGGGGAGGCGAAGATGCTCTCGCGGGTGTTGAAGTTGACGTAGACGACTCCATTGCGAGCAAAGTTGTTGCCTTGCAGTTGAGGGTTGCTGTTGGATCCCGTGACCATAGCACCGCCGTACATGTATACAAAGACCTGGCGGTGAGATCGATTAGATCAGATCTCCAATAGTTATACGTCATAGTCAGTACTCACAGGCAGATCCTCTCCGGTCGAAGGAGACCAGATGTTGAGGTTCAGACAGTCCTCCCCCTGTTGGCTGAAGGTCGTCCCGGAGATGGCCTGAGGACATGTCGGCCCGTAGGAAGTCGCGTCAAATGTTGAGCTCGACGTCGGGACATCCTGAGGTGCCCGCCACCTTCCGAAGAGTTAGTCAAACTCTATTGAAAAAAACCTGCAGCGATCGACAAACCTGTTCTCTCCACCCGTCGTCGCGGCAAAGGGAATACCGAGGAAGACGGAGTTGTGAGATTCATCGCGGAAACCCGTGATTCTTCCTTGAGGAAGAACGACGCTTGTGGGCCTCGTGATGTTAGTGCATGCACCGGTCACCGCGAGAGGCAAGACGGCGGACACGGCCAGGACCAGGTTGGCACCGGTGGTGAAGACGTTGACAAGTCCCATGATGCACTGTTGATGCCGATCGGTGAGGTTGTGGAAAGGAGTGAAGGGCAGCTACCAGTCCAAGCTGCCGAGGGCGTTCATGGCTGATTCATATCAACAAAGACCGACACTCCTTTTTGCTCAGAATGAGATGAGATCCCCATCGAGCGCAGATGTGGGCAGACAGATGGCGATGGTTCGTCGGGGTGGAGAGGGAGCCACAGAACACCAGGGGTACGCATCCATGTCAACTCCGCCCATAGAGGGGAATCCTTAACTTCTCTTGGCTTCTTTTCGCGCTATCGAGAACGAAAGGGTGCATTCTCCGGAAATCTCATTTAATGTTGAGCTGGGCGGTCTCATCAACCGCGTGCAACCACAGCTTGCGTCGGAGCAGAACCCACGCTCCTCGGCCCTGTCCGGCTCCACTGCCGGAGGTCTCGGCCTTGTCCCCGGCGCCACGAGGTCTACGAGGTTGAAGAAATCGCCAGATCCTGATTCCCATCTGCAAGGCACTTTATCGACCTTGCCGGCTCCCACGTTGCAGAAATGCAGGCTCAGCCACCCCGGGGCAGTCTCAACCAGCCCTAGCAGCGTCCTTGGCAAAGAGACTCTCCACACGGAGGGGGACTTTGGGAATCAATAATGCCGCGACGCAGGCCGATTCCCTGCCGGTTCCCTGTCGCGTCCCCTGCCCCGGCGTCGGAAGATGCGGGACCGGCCAACGACTGCCTACACTACTGTTGGCACTAACACTGAACATCACGAGAATCCTGATAAAGTCACTCCACGTACTCGGCCATCATTGGGTCCGGACGACTAGCACCGCTGGGTCTAGCTGTTGCGAATTCCGGACCCGAATGCCAGTCCTAACCAAAGAGGCCAAGATGCTCGCGACTGTTGCCGTTCCCGAAGAACAGGGCCGGAGCTACCCCCAACTACCGCCAGATGCTCGGAGAAGACGTGACCACATGCAGTGTTTTCCACGAGGTGACGAGACTAAAACTCCTGGACTAGCGGTGCAGTGTGCCACATCCCTACATAATTGACATCTGCAGTTCTGCATGCAATGCACGAACCCTGCCTTCTCGAACCATCGCTAGACTGGATTGAAAACAAGTCTAATACACTAGGGGTATCCAGCTCAAAGTCGCGTGGCCCGGCTGTCTGGTCGCAGATCGACCAAGCAATTTGATAAGACCTGAGGGGGATCCACAGCCTCTTCCTCTTGTGTCTCGCCATGTGCAAAGAAGACACCGCTTGTTCAGTCTAACTCGTCTCGATGGCGGCGGAAGGTCTCGGCCAAGTTGTAAGTGTTGTGTCTCAACTGACCTCCAGGGCTCGGCGAGACGGCGAGGTCCGGCGAGCCGTTCGTTGATGGTGCTGACTGCCCTTCTAGGTTTCGTGGTACATATGTACCGTCGCTGCGGTCATCTTCTTGGTGTTGAGGCTGTGGATCCGCATCCGCAGGTTCAAGTCTTTGGGAATCGAAGATGGCCTCCTCATACTGTCAGCATGTTGTCTCACTGGGGACTTGATCATCCAGCAACACATGTGGAATCTGGGCATGGCCGAGATTCCCAAGGCTAGCAGAGAAGAGTTTGTTCAAATTATGCAGGTGAGTCTTTCTATGACAGTGATACCTCACAGGCCCAACTGACGAGACCCGATACATAGATGATTGTGCCTGGGTCGATCCTCTACGTGACGTCCCTTTGGGCCATCAAAGTCGCACTCGTACTTTTCTACAAGAAGATTGCCGCACCGGCATCGAAGCTGCAGATTGTCTACAACGTCGCGATCGGGCTCTTGCTGGCTTCCTGGGCGACGATCTTCTTCCACATCATCTTCCAATGCTACCCCCACGACAAGAGATGGTCTCAAGATCCAAGTTGTGAGTCAACGAGTGCATGATACATTCGAGTGCCATTGCGCTAACACCATCAAGACCAGTGCGATCCCCGGGATGGCGAGATCAACTACTGGTTGACTATTCTCCGTAAGAATATCCTCACTTAACAACACTTGCGCTTGGCTAACAATCGCAGTCAACATTGGATCTGACGTCGTCAGTAAGTTGAATGAATCACCCTGAACGTTGCTGTGTTTCTTTATTTCTAACACACAGAAGCCATCAGCTTGCCCATTGCGATGGTCCTCAAGCTCCAGATGAGGATGAAGCAAAAGCTCGGCGTTGCCGCGATCTTCGCACTCGGATTCTTCGTCATCGTTGCGAGCAGTATGTCCTTCCATTGCACATGATCGAAACGTCAAAGATACTAACAGCGACAGTCATCCGAGCCTACTACTCGAAGCGCAACGAGACGATGCTGACGTGCACTGTTTCGATGATCGAGACCGCTGTCGCAATCATCGCCGCATCCCTCCCAGGTTCGTGTACTCCAGTTCCTCACACCTCGTATCATCGTACTGACGACATGTTTCGCAGCGCTTCGGACGCTCCTCCTCGGTCATACTTCCAAGGTCGGAACCAACTCGAACTACGGACACTACGAACTCTCATCAGCCGGCATCGACCGTACCCGCAGAACGCAGCAAAGCCGAATCACCACCACGGTGGTAGGCGGAACGCGCAACCGGGATAACGACTCGGATGAAGAGTTGTTCAAGGAGAGCGGCGGCCGGTTGAGTGGCTCCGGACGAGGCCATCTGACGCCGACGGAAGATAATCCAGGGGTGATATCTGTGAGCACCACGTTCCAGATGCATCGCGCGGTGAATGATGATGGCGATGATCCCGTCTCCAAGGAAAGACTCAATCAGTATCCTTAAAACTGATCAGTCACCTGCCCATATCAATCACATGACTCCGGATTCACGAATATTATGTACTTAATTCTTTCGTCAGCGATAGTTCCGAATACCCCCTGCGGCTCTGCTGCATTCAGTCAAATCTTAATCAGTTCAACACTCGCGTTCTTTACCTTACCCTTCTTGTGATTCAGGCTATCCCTGCATCCCGTTTTGCTTGATGCGCCAACCAGCTTGCTTGTGCTGAGCTTCACGAACATAATCATGCCAGATGACTTGAAAGAGAGAATCAACTTTGAGTCAAACTAGTCGAGGGTTTCAAGAAACAAATGAGTGAAGGAAAACAAGACAAGAACAAGCAGAACCCATTGCGTAATATCATAATTCGTTATACCGTACACCAATATCCCATCGGAAGACAATAAACAAGACCTCAAATTCGACCTCCCTGACAACAACTAGCCCCAAGCCATTGCTGCATGGAAGTTTGGCAGCTCATCGCCCACTGACTTCGGCGTTTGGTTCTCAATGGCTTCAGTCGCCACCTGTAGCGGCACCGAGAGGGTCGTCTTCGCGCCCGCAATGCCCACGGACAGATGCAGGACATATGTCCGAGCAAGGAAGCAATTGTGAAAGGTTGGAAGAAACATCTTGTGAGCGGTGGGTAGATGGATTGGAACGCCAATAGCAGCAGTCCATGCGGATGAATCCCTCCCGGTTGTGTTGCTCTCTTGATGCCATGCGATGTCTTGGAGCTGTGTAGGCGGGAGCTTGACGGATGCGACGTACTTCAGCTCATGTCGCGTTCCACTAGAGTCTCTTGCCTCGCCAAGCTCAGGCAATGTCTTCATAGGAGTACCGCTGAACCATGTGATGGTCTCGAGTTTGACCTGAGTAACGTTGACTTCTGGAGGAGAAGAAAATGATGACGCAGACTTGTAGTGAAGATGCAACATGACAGTGGCAGGCGAGTCGGCGAAGGCTTGTCCCTGTGTGCTCAGATGGACAGCTCCAGGCTGTGCCGTGGTTAGTGTGACTTGGTCTTTCTGCGTCGATAGGAGGCTCTTGCGGATGAACCTAGTCTTGCTGAGAGAGTATCGTGTGTCTTGCTCGGTGATTCCTAGTGGAGGATCCTCGGAAAACTCGGGCATGACCCTGATCGGCTGGCTGGCCTCGATTGTTTGGCCGAGCTCCGATGTGTTTCTCTTAAGTAGACGAGCCACGACGTTATACTCGACTCTGGCCATAACAGGAGACATGTCATCTCTCTCCCATTGTCCCATCGTTGGAGGCAATCGCATGTGGAGTTCTTGGATGTGCCCCGACTCTGAGAGCTTGTCGCAGGCGTCTTTGGACAGCGCGTAGGGCAATGTGAAGTGAAATGGGATCTGATAGGTCTTCCCGGCCCTGAAGATTCGATCCGATGGGTAAAGTTCTTCGTTGATTGGCATGTCCAACGTCAGAAAATCGTTGTCTATGATCCTCGGCACGGGCAGCATGTCGATTCGGGCATGATAGGTGCCAATGAGGGCGATCTGAACGCAGCGGAAGCTGATATCTCTCTCTGGACAAACGGAAACGTTCCCCGAGATTGTGGATCGAGTTGTGTAGACTTTGGATGTGTAGTGGTGGTTGATGTTGATGTTGAAACCCATCTTGGGTACACCTGGCCACGAGTCGTGACCAAAGATTGGTAGGAAGAGGGATGAGATAGGGTGAGCACACCTGAATGTGTCTGCAGATGATGGAAGCCGTGCGGTCTTCTCTGACATTTTCAATGATATGAGGAGGCGATGATGGATCTGGAGTTGAGATGAATATGGAAGAAGCCCGGAGCGTGGAGGAGATGGGTGACAGCCTACTTTAAATACACCAAAACACCCCTTTCAAAGCCGGAAGTGTGTCGAAAGAATCAAGTAATGACTCAAATGATTGGGCTAACGAGAGTTTTGAAATCATTCGGTGCGCGGGCGGCATGGGAACTTTTTCATTGCATCTCGGCTATACTCAACGTACACGGAAGACGATGGAGCTCCGGGCGCGACTCGAGACCTCCGGGCCCCACTCTCTCGGGACCGCTTCCCGTACACGGTCGGGCCCCACTTCCGGTTGACTTTGGCGTCGCAAGTACGCCCTTGTCAGGATGCCCTGACCCCCGCACCAGCTGACATTAGCGAAAGAAAACGTAATTCGAAATCAAATAATCTTGGAAGATGGCGGTCTCGCTCTTTCAAATCCTCACGTGTGTCGCGGAGTCTCGTTTCCCCGGATTATCTGTGTGGCTGCAATCGAGCCACACTGCGCGATTCATGGAGAAGTGGTGTTCAAGTCAGAGTAATTTGAAGTGAAATAAACCCATTGCGGAGGTCTCTAATCAGCTAAAGATGTAGTATTCACAAGAAAAACAAACCCTATTATCAAGAAGAACCAACACGTTTCCTACACACCAAAGTCGCCTTCGATGAATGACCCATGAGGGCCAAGCCCATACACTTGCGGCATGTCCGCCCTCGCAACCTCTTCAAAGGTCTTGCCGTCGAGGGCCACGAGGATGCTGTGACTTCCCTCTCGGTTGATGACAATCGTCAAGACCACACCGTCATCCTCATCCCCCGCGTCCGACCTCTGGACGAACACGGGTTCGCAAGGACAACTCTCACCATTCTCAGGTTGCCATCGCTTAAACGTCCCAGTCTTCCAGTCGGATTTGGCCAAGCTATTGAACATCGCCGCTTGGACAATCTTCAGCCCATTCCCAAGTCGACCGATGGGCACTGACGTTCCCGGAGAGGGCCCGCCATTGCCGGCGGTGCAGTAAACATAGCGATATGCAGGATCCATGGAAGCGCTTTTACCAATCCGGGGAAGCTCACAAGGCATTCCCGGAATTGACGCTGCGACTGTCACACGACCAATCTTGGAGAGATCAGCGTGGTCTACAGCGGCCATCTCGTAGCGGATGAGCGTCCCGTTCTGGAACGGACGTGCTGGGTCGACGATGTTGCTCAGGCTGTATTCGCTATACGGCGGATAGTCCCCTCCATAGCTGCAGAGATCCACGTGAATGTTCACGGCGCCGGTGCTAGAGTCGACGTAATCGTAGGCGTTGACAGAGTGAAAGAACATGAACCCATCTTTTTGGGCGTAGGTTGCGATACTTAGACGTTGTTAGTCACAACGTACAGGAAGACTCTCAACGTATGCATAAGAGCGCTATATAGCTTACTGTTGGCCATCACTCTTGTTCAGAACGAAGAACTGTGTTGGAGTCCCTTCCTCGAACAGAAGCATGTCCACCAACGGTTTCGTAGTATCACTGACGTCCATATGGACGGGCTAAGATCATTGGTTAGTATACAAACCGGTCGGACATCATCGTGAAACAAAGAACTCACATTTCTGATAAAGATGACGTATTTATCAGTCATCGCAAGGGAATGTATGTAACATGGCTCGCATGGAAGTGGTGTCTTCCAGACGAGAGAGGCTGGATTTGCTGCAATGTTCAAAGCAAATACTGACATAACACCCGTAGCCGGGTCTATCAGGTAGTTGAAAGTTAGACCGCGCTTACGATCCTTCGGTGGATGAGAACAGATGCCAAAACCAGAGAGTTGAGGGTCGATTTGAGCGTAGGTTAACATTCTTTTCGGCTCGAGTGTGCGTGCATCGCACACTTGAAGCAAATTGAAGTCCGTTTGAACCAGGACCTACAGTAAGGTTAGAGTAGGTTATTAGTTTGAAGAACATGAAATACTTCAACATGCCTCTTCAGTTGCTGGATTTGCCGCTGCTGGTCCTTTAGAGAGGGGGTTGTCATCCGATGAAAGATGCATTCCACGCCGAGGGACTACGTTGACACTGATATCATCGGGTCCTATGTGTCCTTGGGGAAGATATAAGGATTGCTTGGTAAATATTTAGTGAGTGGCCGCAGCATCAAGTATTCGTCACGTACCTGAGCACCAAGAAGTGCAGAGCAGGGATCTTGGGCGTATTTTAGGGGCGTGTTTGGGTTCAGGCCGAAGACACTCGCAGAAAGATAGCCATCCTTCTTTGCCCTCCTCACAACGCCTTCGGAAGTGTATCGGCTTGTGTAGAAAACGAGTCCGTCCTGCATCCGGAATTTGTGTAGCATAGCCAGTCCGTCGAAAAAGTGCTGAATCACTGCCTTGGGCTTCGATCCGTCTTCAGAAAGGGGAATCGTCCACCGCCCCGGGCCAACTCTGAGATGACGATCAGCAAAGATGACAACAGAGAAGTATTTAGGCAACGTACCTTACGAAGGTACCTTTGAGCCATGAGGGCCACAATCCTGAAGTCTTGCACTCCGTCTCTTGGGGCGTCTCCGGGACGTCACGAAAGTATGGCGGTAGGTATTTCAGATCTTCCTCTGGAAGAAAGTACTGGTTGAACCCTACGCTGAGTTTCTGAGATGCGGTCATTGTTTACGGTTTGTGGGGAGAAGGCTTTGTAGATGTAAGGCTTCGAGTATGATTGGCAGGTTACAGGGAGACTCGCAATCAACTGCAAACAAACTCGTCGACCTTTGATGAAGATGGAACTACGTTGCAATGAACTCCTCCGGTCTTAAGACACAGCAACCGGTTGTATAAAGGGTCAAAACGCTGTGATGGTCTGCATAACGACCCCACGTCTCCGCAGTTCCCCAAGCCCCGAGCCCGATGACGAGCTGCCGGTTTGATGTGTGGGCACGGGCCGGCGCGGATGCGGGGTGACATCCGGGTTTTGGTATTTCTCCCCGACCACTACCCCAGATTTTATCTCCCCGAGTGACAGGGAAGGATACCCCAATGACTTGTGTCCCATTGCAAACTGCACGTTGAACAAGATGTCCGACTATGTTGAAATATTACAGCTCGATGATGTCGGTCGTGAGCTCAGAGATCATGAACCAACTGTTTTGTTTTTGAAGTTTGAGTAACTTATTTCTGGAAAGCCACTCTGAGATTTTGTTCATTGCATTCAACTAGAAACATCACCTTACAATGAGTTCTTCTGTGATGGTTTGTGATTCCCAAATAGACTGACTGCTCTTTAAGCTGAAACTGACTCGAACCCATCCATAGGACTGGCCATTGTCGTGGAGGATCTGGATCCTCCTGAATGTCAGCTTCTACAACCTACTTGGAAACGCGTTCGCTGCGGGAGCGCCTCCTCTGTTCTCTCTCATTATCAAAGAGCTTCATTGCACTTCAACAGAAGCATCGCAACTTTCGACATATGTTCTCCTTACCCTTGGTCTGTCGGTACGTGTCGAAGCTCTGCTATGATTCAAGACAGGAGCTTACAGTAATGGCAGAACCTGTTCGCTTTGCCAGCAGCCTCACTCATCGGAAAACGATACACGATCTTGATATCCCTTGTCTTCTTCCTCGCCTTCTGTTTGTGGGGCGCGGAAGCTTCGACATTCAACTCTCTTCGAACCTCGAGGATTCTTGGCGGACTGGCGGGTGGTCTCGTTGAGGCCCTGGGTCCCAGCATTGTTGCGGAAACCTTCCCAGAAAACCAACTTGCGAGTGCCATGGTTGTTTATGTTGGCCTCCTGGCAGCGGGCTCGAGTCTCGGACCCATCGTGGCCGGACTTGTGGCTGATGGTGTGGGTGATTGGAGGTGGTACTTCCGCATTCTATCAGTCCTCATCTTCATCACACTTCTGGGCTCTCTCATGATGCTTCCGGAGACACGACTCGACGCGATCCAAACGGAGAGTGAGCCCACAGAAAACGAAGACAACCTAAAACGGTCCGATTCCACCTCAAAGTGTACAGAGATTGAAGAAAATGGCCACCGAACCAGGTCAAAGTCCTCAATCAGCGAACAGTGGCGGCTGAGATCATTTTCCGGTGCTTACGTCGATATGAACTGGAGTCTTGGTGTTTCCAGTCTGTATCAGCCAGTCCAGCTCCTCGTCGCACCGCAAGTTCTCATAACGACACTCATATTCGGCTTGACGATCGGCTGGACCGTTCTCGTCTCGGTCGTGGTCGCAGTTGTTTACGCTCAGCCGCCAATGTTGTGGACTGCCCGACCTGTCGGCCTGCTAAGCATCGGTCCGTTGCTGGGTTTGGTGCTTGGATTGCCTATCGGTGGGGCTTTAGCGGACTTTCTCTACACGTCCGCAATCAAACGCAATGAAGGCAAACATGACCCTGCGTCCAGATTACCTGCCGTGGTAGTTGGTGGTCTGGTCAGCCCTGCTGGGTGTTTGCTCATCGGATATGGCTTGCAATCTCCTGAGCAGTGGATTCAAGTCAGTGTTGGCTGGGGCATGTTGTCAACGGGCTTGACATGCTCGGCGAATGTGCTGCTGACATACGCCGTGGACACTTTGCCCTGCCGAGCCAGTCAGATTGGGGTTTTGGTGAATTTGATCAAAAATTGCGTCGGTTTCGGTGTCTCTTACGCTGCGATTAGCTGGATGGAACAGATGGGCCCCATTAAGCAATTTGGCATCATGGCCGGCATCCTCTGGGCCCTCTACTTACTTGTCATCCCTTGTACTTCCTCAGCGGTAAGATAATCAGAGGAACATCCGGCTTGGCGTAAGGAATTTGGTTTGATTGGGATGTATTATGGCCAAGGGAACTGGCAGCAAACTTGCGATTCAGTTTGACTGCGTTCAAATCAACCAGTATGTTATTGCTCTGAAAGGCTGTTGAATAGTTTAGAAACGATACATTTCATTCAACATCAAAATCAAAATCATCAAGTGCAGATCAAATTCACAACAGCATAATATACGGGGAAAGCAGAACTACATAGATCTACCCGTCAATTTCATCGCGAAATACGAAAGATAAGCGGCAGCTAAACATATTCAGGATATTAAGTAACTCAGATTGTAGGATGCCGTACTATCATGGACGGTCTAGATTTCCAATGTGTAATTGTTTATATTTTCGCTCAGCACTGTATCTTACGCAGGGAACTGAAGCCTCATGATATGCTTCATGAGTAACTAAGCTTAGTTGGACACCAGACTTTCCACGTCCATATCAGCCGATCGATAGAATCCAAGACTTTTCAGCATGGGCGAGTCATCGAAACGATAGAGGTAGGCTGGCTCTGACAGCGTCTCATCGGCAAAATGCTCGTAAGAGTACCATGATGGGACGCAGAAAGTGTCTCCCTTCTTCCAGTTGAAGATTTGATCGCCAATGCGGCTTCGGCCAGTGCCCTCCACAACGTGATAAACTGAAGATGCCGTTTCCTGAACGACCGGCGACTTGGCACCCGGATTTATGCGGGCGGCCTTCCCACCAAGGATTCTGCTCACTGACGTGAGTTAGTTAGATTTCTGTTCTTCCCAAGGTCCCTGAGAGTTGTTTACCTTCAGAGCCATCCGCGTGAAGGTATCTTTCCATGACATAGTCACCGCTCTGGGAATCCAAGGCTGCCTTCATCCGGCTCCACGGAAAGACAATGGGTGACTGAGATGTGTCGACGTTCTCGGCTGGGTAACGAGGCTCCTTGAAATGTTCAACGAAATGAACAGGGAAATGAGTGAAGTTTGGTAAGTCGAGGCCATCCAGCCAGATCATCGGCCCAGAACCGTCTTTGCCGTGGTCATGCCAGTTCCAGGTTGGAGTCAAAATGACGTCCCCACGACTCATCTGGATGCGCCGACCATGAACAGCAGTGAAACCGCCTTGGCCTTCGATAATGAAGCGCATGGCAAACGCTGTGTGCCGATGAGCCTTTGCCGTTTCATTGGGCATGACCAGCTGCAATCCGGCGTAGATGGTATCGGTTGTGAAAGGGGCATCTGATGTTGGGTCAGGTCAGGTCAGGTCAGCGATGAATTCACGCTTGTCGTACCTCTAGCCGGGTTGACGAGCATCAATACCCTCCGCTCAGCTTGGTGTTCGTTCACGAGCTGTCCAGCTTGCAGAAGGGTCGGTCGGATGTCCGAATATTTCCAAAGAAAAGGCGTGCATTTAGGATTGGGTAAAGGAGGATTCAACCTGGACATCTGAAGCCATAGTGGTTTGGTATGGTTGGCTTCCGCGGCTTGGAGCATTCGAGAAGTCTCATCCTCCACCGCTCCGGTGAAGGTGTTGGTCGCAACAATTGTGGAAGACATGTTGTAGCTTGACACTGTGATTTGCTTCTTGATAAGAGTATGCCTTGAAGATAACCAGGATTCACGTAGTATATCACCGGAAATTCAGAGAATTCAACATACACATGGTGCTTCATATTTACGCCCCCTCAAGTTCTGTATTGAATGCATAACACTGAGATGGCGATCATCTGAGCTTTCTGCTAATGACAGGGGACACCAGGGCGAAATGTTCGTCAACTCGGGGACTTAGGCCTAACTCCGGGCTTTAACGTTCGCGGGTTTCGTAGCTCCGGCGCCTAAAAATACGCTACGCGTGTCAAGACACCTCATTCACAGTGGCTTTGCCGTACATTAACTTCTTTCAACTCCTAACTCCCCGCCGACAACTTCTCACGATCCTGGGGATATCGATTTCTTCCTGTCTAAATCCCCGCCTTCATCGCACTTGCTGCTCTACAGTGCTCCAGATCCCGCAAGCTGGACCGGCAGGAAGACAGTCCCGATGGAGAACAGCACTCCTCCAGCATCAACAACCCGGAAGCGGAAGCGTATTCCGATCGCCTGCAGCGCTTGTCGGGGCCGCAAATCACGAGTGAGTTGACTCCCATTGGGTCACCCGCCCTGGTCTCTGCTACCAAGCGAGAAAAGCTCTTGCTAAGGTAGTGCTCTTGCAGTGCGCTGGGACTGACCGGAGATTGTGCTGTAGTGTGATGGTGCGAGACCTTCATGTTCAGCTTGCGTTGAACAGGCCATTGACTGCGTCTACGCGGTGAACTCGGGAGCGAGCAATGCTTTAGTGCCCAAGCAGTATGCAAATTTTCTTGGTCCATTGATAGATAAGACCTCAATCTGACTCCTAGTTCAGATACCTCGAACAGGTGGAAAGCCGATTAGCAGATGTTGAAGAAGAGATATGCCGACTGAAGCGACTGATCCCCAGTACTAGTCTCAACAGCAAGCAACATGTGATCTACCCACGAAGTATCTCATCTCAACGAGAGCACCTTTCAGAAAGTCCTTGCGCAGAAAGTTCACTTCGTGTTGAAGAAGGAAGCGTGCCCGGCGTGTCACCAGACGCGACGGATGGCGTTGGCACTATCGAATTCGGCAATGAAGAGACATGGACCTACTTCGGTATGTCACGACTTGAATTAACATATCTTATTTTGAACACCAAAAAAATTGCTGACTTTGTCTATTCGCAGGACCGTCATCAAACATTGCTTTTACCAGAATCATTCGCCGAACGTTGAGCCACTTTCTCCGTAATTCCACTAAAGACCACTCTCAAGGAGAGGCTTCGTTGGATCGAGATGCGCACCAAAACATACTTGCCGTGTCTAGATCGCAATCACCGGTGGATGATTCATTCGATGCAAGAAAATTAGAAAGACCAGCCGAAGCATGTCGCCTGCCACCCGAACCTGAAGTTTCCCGTCTCGTTCGACAATTCTTCTCTGACACGGGACTTCTCTTCCCATACATCCACGAAGAAAGCTTTTGGAAACAGTATTCGCATTTCAAAGAGACTGGCTTGAAGAATGCGAGACACTCTTGGCTTGGATTGTTGAACATGATGCTTGCCATGGCAACGAGTACTGCCAACGCCGACGGTCTCGGGCTGAATGATAGACAAGCCATCTCCGAGGTTTACTACAAACGTGCTAAATCTCTTTCTATGGCTCAGCTGATGGTGGGAGCTAGTGTCGAAGCAGGTATTGTTGAAACTTCCAGTAGAACGGCGCGGAGATAGGACATGTCACGCATCTGACTATTTCCAGTACAGATAATGCTCTTAATGTCTCAGTACCTGCAAGGTAGCCAGAGATCTGTACAAACCTGGGCTATCCACGGGATCGCTGTCAAAGCTGCCTTGGAATTGGGCTTTCACTCCGAGCTTGCCCTTCGAAGGTTTGATCCTCTGGAGAGAGAAATCAGAATTCGAACGTGGTATGGATGTGTTGCTCTTGACAGGTACGCTTCTTTCATCGAAAACCTCAACCTTTCGCAATCGCTTATTCGGATACCTGGACAGGACATTGAGTATGACATTTGGACGACCGCCTATCATTCCACAGAACTACATTCGAACACCACTGCCAAATCATACAATCCCCCAGTTGCAGAGCTCGAGCGTCCTAAGATGGTCACACAATGAAGACAGCACCCTCTTTTGGAACGGATCGATGTATGTCAGGCCACATCCACCAACGCTGCAATGACTGCTGACAGTTCATCCCCTCAGAACCCTATACGGAGTTACCGCTACCGTGATTGATGATCTCTACGAAAGCAATATTGGATCCAGCGCAAAAACACCACTGGCAAATATCGTTTCAACCGTAATCCATGTTGGACAAAGACTGGTCACATGGGAGGCGTCCCTGCCGAGATCGATGAGGCTTGTTGATCCGACCGAAATATGTAACCCGGAGGAGAGCCCCGTATCACTCAAGTTCCGAGTCATCTTGACCCTTCGTTACCACAACATTCGCATTCTGTCTCATCGGCCCATCATAGACCGATGCCTTCAAGCTCTGGACGGGAGTCCTCATTCCGCCCAAGAGTCAGCTACCCTACAACAAGGCTGGTACTTGAGTAAGGAGGCGTGCCTACAATCCGCAAAAGAAATGATTCGGCTTGTGGAAGCCTGCAAGTTGGCCAGTGAAAATCGGCCGAACATCTCATTTCTGGGGGCATGGTGGTTTAGTCTTTACTTCAGTACGTATTGGTTACCCCCTTTTGCCACATCATGCTTCTCACCGAACATTGCTGAACACTGATATACAGCTTTCAATGCTGCTTTGACGATCGTTGCTGTCAAACTTATTGAAGAACGATCGGTTCCATCCCCTTTCGAGAGAGGATATGCAAGCACCACCGGAAGCTTGGATGACATTTTGAGGGACGCTGTGACTTGCATTGCTCGCCTGGATAAACAGAATCAAATGGTAGAGAAATGCGCAAAGTTCACTGCGACTTTGGTGTTCTTAGTACAGAGTCTTTCGCCTGGTGAGTGCTTTCAACACCTTAATGGGGAATGGTGACTCACATATAGGGACTTCGACTCGCAGACAACGAGAACAGGACTGTTTTGACAGCACCAGTCCATGTCATACCCGAAAATGGAGAAGCAAATCAACACTTGGTGCCTGGTAATCTGATGGATGACGCTTTCACAAACTTGGCCAACTTTCTTCCACCAAATTTCAACGACTTTTCTGGCAATGGAATTCCTTTTGCGATGTCCGAGCTGATGGATGATCTTTCTACCGGAGATCTTTTCTGGTGACCTGTTATCGGACTTGATACGTGTTATAGATAGACAATGTGACACATGTTGAATCTTTGCTTCAAAAAAACTAGTTCTCGACCAATGTATCTATGATCTAACTTTTCACTCTTCAGTCTTCGACGCCATTCTCTCCTGCCACCGCTGTTTCATGACATCTTCAGCATCATACCCGTACGCCCACGACTGAGTCAGAGGGTCAGACCACTGGTTGGGGCTGCTGCTAAACCTCCGTCCCTCGACTTCAGGGCGCATCGCCGCGTCTCGAGCTCTCTGTTCTGGGCCATCCTTGAAGTGCCACAGGAATGCGTTCACCATACTCGCTTCCTGCATCATCGACGTCCGCCGTTTCCTTTCCTGCTGAAACACGTCGAGCGCAAGACCAAGTTGCTCCTGGGTAGTAATGCTACTGAGGACAACGGCGAGTGCAGCGCCATCTTCCACTGCCATCGCAGCGCCCTGAGACATGTATGGCAGCATAGCATGTGCCGCATCGCCCAGAATCACCAACCTAGACGACTCAGCGACCCAATTTTCAAGGAGGTCGCCTGTCATCAATGGCCATTTGATTGTCTGATCGACGAGTTCGATAATCTTGGTGAGCCTGAAAGGTAAATGTCAGTTTCGACCGAGCAGGACAAGTCGAGACGATGTCCCGAATTCAAACTCACTGGCTATCCCAACCCTGAAACTCGGCTCTCATATCTTGAAGGATATCCATTTGGCTCTTCTGCGGCCAGGTCGAGGGATCTCGGTCATCCCTGTGAGAGAGCACCATATTAAAGGACTCACCAGCTGCAATGGTGTAAGTCATGACGTGGCGATCCTCGCCAATCCTGAGTTTCCCGACCGTCAGTATATGTACAACGGACGTCATAAGGTCAACGGAAGGGGATATACCAAACATGCAAGCCGGGTTTCTCTAACAGCCATGCAATCTCTGGAATCTGTCTCATCTTGCTGACGTTGACAGTCGCTCTGTAGACAGCAAAGCCCGTATACTTTGGGCCACTACTCCGACTGCCGGAAACAGAATCTCGAGCCACGGACTTTACTCCTGTTATGATGACATATTGTTAGAACGTCCCAATCAACGATTATCAACCTTGATCCGTGAGACTACTTACCATCAGCGGCGATGATCAGATCTGCCCCGACAACTTGCCCATTGACCAAGGTAGCAGTGGGTAAAAGAGAGTTGTAGCCAGACACTCTGCTATCTAGACGGATCGCGATCCCAAGATCTAGAGCGCGTCGATACAAAGCTGAATGGAGATGAGCTCGATGCGCTACGTAGTATGGCGCACCGCACGCTTCAACGAAAGTCTCCGAGAGGTCAGTATATCCGATCTTTTCACCATTCTTCCATCGCCGGAAGGAAATGCTGTCCGGTCGGACGGCTTGGTCGGCCATGACATCCATGACACCCCAGCGCTGGAGAAGCTTGCTGGAATTTGGAGGTATCTGAATTCCTGCTCCCACCTAAGCCGAATGGTTAGTATATCCATTGCAAATGATAGTGGAGTAGGTCAAATTCAGCAAAGCCACTCACCTCCGAAAGATGTGCGGCCTGTTCTAAGATCGTAACTTTGTGGCCTCTCCTGGCAAGTGCTACGGCCGTTGCGAGCCCACCTAAACCAGCACCGACGATGACAATGTCTAAGGTGACTTTTGCTTTCAATGGCTCTTCCATATGAGTGAGGGTCTCAGCTCTTGCAGCCTGAAGGAATTGGAGACAGTTGGAAGGATAGGACGTTGAGGTTATCGCCAGATTGCTGGAACCATTTGTGCCGATTTGAATTATGTCATGGCTGATGTGCGTGTCCGCGGCAGGAGTACCAGATTGCGTATTCAGTGACTTCAAAGTCGTAGCTTTTGAAGTCACTGGAGACAGTTCCGTGGCTGAAGGCATAGCAGAGTCCAGCACCCGAAATAGAATTCGGAGAGGTCTGAATGATCGTAGTAGGTAATACAGAGCACTGAGAGTAATCCTTTGTCGTAAGTATTATCTAGGCTTTGATGTGATTCCGAGTGTGTTGTTTCATATGGCGAGCTCACTGCCGCGGCTGATGCACCAAAAAGCTCTACATCATCGCCCCTAGCTTTAGATCAACTGCCGTTCCCGCAGGCTCTTAAGTCCCCGGTAGATATTGCCAGTATCTCTAGTCTACCCCGCGTGCTGAAGTGAAATTTCATTTGGCCCTGATTCCAGAGCCAAAGCTAGGCCTTGGTGCTCCCGCGCTTGAGACGAGGCGCTCGGGGACTTAGGTCTAACCCCGGAACCTCGGAGTGCCTCCAAATTCACCATTCATTGAAGTATCTCTAGAAACTAGAATTGGAAATGTCGCAACTGTGGCATCCCATCATTCTGATCATCCTAGAAGAAAGACTTCACTTTATTCAACATGCACGTGCCCTGGCAAAGGCTGATTCGGTTTGTTGCCGATGACGGTAGGATACTCCGAGGCGAGCCTATTTTGCCTCATGATGGCTTTGATCTTGGGGACACGACGGAAGAAACAAGATTACAGGCAAAAGTCATTCAAGGAAACGATATCTACGACACCTCAGGAAGTCTGCAGGTTACCGACGAGATCGCTTTTGTCAAGAAGCTGCTCGGGCCGTTGGCGCCGGAAGACGTCCCAATCTTAAGATGCGTAGGATTGAACTACGCCACTCACAGTGAGTCCAATTCCTTTAGAATGCGTCCCACGTAGACAGACCTCAACGCTGACTTGTGTTTCCGTACTAGTCAAGGAAGCTGGCCGCAAGCCGCCTCCTTTTCCTTCCATCTTTTTCAAACCGAACACCACAATTTTCGATCACGGGGCAGATGTCATCATCCCCAAGATCTGCCAGAATGACCAAGCGGACTACGAGGGCGAACTCTGCATAGTCATTGGAAAAGACGCCAAAGACGTGCCCGAGTCGGAGGCCTTCGATTACATCGCCGCTTACACTTGCGGCAATGACGTGTCATCGAGGAAACTTCAGCGTGATCCATCGTTTGCTGGCAATGTTCCTCAGTGGGGGTTTTCGAAGGGATTCGACACGTACGCGCCGCTGGGGCCCTGCCTGGTCAGGCCTGATATCGTGGGTGATCCCAAAGCTCTTCTACTTCGGACCACGGTGGGTGGTGAAGAGAGGCAGAAGGAGTTTGTATCAGACCTGTTGTTCGACTGCGCCTATCTGGTTTCATACTTGTCTTCAGGCACAACGTTACAGAAAGGCTCGATTATCATGACGGGAACTCCTGGAGGTAAGACTTATAACTTTTCGCTCCAAGCGCCGAGACTTGGTAACGATTCGCTGATGTGAGACTTTCAAACAGGCGTGGGAGGAAGCCTGAGCCCTCCCAGATGGTTGCTTCCAGGAACCAAGATGGAAGTCAGTATTACGAAAATTGGAACCCTGAAGAATGGAGTAACTTTCGCGTAGGCAAAAGCCAGAGCCGCACCTTGCATAACCAGGCACATGGTATGAAATGGAAACACGTAATACGAGAGGTAGATAACCAGGTATCGTATTTCTTGGGAATTATTTTGATATGGAAATCAAAATGTCTACTCGGCACTGCTGTCACCTCGTATCGTTTCGAAGAATCCACTCTTCACCGCGCCTCTCAAGGTTACCAACAATACCATGCGCCCTCAGATAGGGCACCTGAAGCTCTTTGTCTCTCTTCTCCACGTCAATCTCGCGATGCTCCCTCATCAGAGCCGTTTTGTCGTCCGGATGCATTGCAAGTAACGCCGGGAGGGGCGATCCCTTAACAATGTCAATGTCTAGTCCTGCAGTCTGGATCATGATGATCAGAAGCGTCAAGATCGAGAGTCCAACTTGCGCCACAAGCAAAGTCAACCATGGCCATCGAATAGAGACATATCTCTCATCTTGCCAGGCACTTCCGCTTTGGTTTGTACTGAGCAGCCTATTCAAACGAAGTTAGTCATGTCCCTTCTTCTCTGGGGTCAATTTCTTACGCATTGGTTAAGCCGTTGGCTACGTTTTGGGTGACGTTCTGCAGAGTTGTGAAATACGCATCGTCCAACTTCTGGGACTCGTTGAGCGTATTGATGCCAATGCTTGCTCGTGATAAAGCGGTGCCGTAGATCTCGGTGCCGTTGTTGAATGTATACTGCCCCAGATCGATATAGTACCCCACCATTGTTTGCTGAAGAATCTCAGCAATGTAGTCGGGGCCCATACCACTCGCGATGTACTGCTTGCCCGGGCTATCCGGAGACGTCAAGTAGGTACCATTAACAGTGGTATTGTATATTTGAGCGAACACTTCTCCCTCGCTGGGATGGGTGTACGATGCCACTTGCTGTGTGACGGGCACGTTGTTTTGAACCGTGACGTTGTACGTGTTGACGCACCAGTGCAGCATAATCTCTGTTGCTCGCAGCGGCGTGGGACCATAGATGACGAAGAAGTTGAACAGCTTTGCTTTCATGATATCGGTGTCGTTGTATGAGAGGCTTGAGCCTGTGGAAATATTCATGTTGTGGTAACCGTAAGCACTCCTCTGCATAGTAACACCGTTGGGAAGCGTGGCGTTTGTGCCGCCTTTGACAGGGTCGCCATCGGTTGCCAGCAGATTTGTGACGTCTGGAACTTCATCAGTCTTCATCACTAAGGGAGAGGGGGGCGGGCTTTTCCCAAGAATAAGACGTACTCTTCATGTCAACGCACACGGCGAGTGAGCTGAAAAGCGGCCACGTGCAGTTGTTGGTTTGACAGCTTGCCTGATGGTATGCCATGAGCTCATCTGGAGGGGTGTTGAGTGCTCTTGGGACGGCCTGGTTGATGGGAAACATAATATCACCTAGACGTGTCTTGTTAAGCATGTGTAACCAGTGATGCTTTTGACACAAATCGTAATGGATCACTTACGGACTGAGTTTTGGCTTGCAGTTGCCCAATAATACCCGTCGTTTCTGAGCGTAAGGGCAGTGTCGTTTCCTGGAAGAGCTCGTTGCAATGTTGGATAGGTAACGACAGACTGAGTCAAAGTCGAAGTCGCAATTCCAGACACCAGAATTATGGCTGACAGGATACCAACAACTCTGATGGCGAAGTTAGCAAATGAGAGGACTTATGAACAGAATGCGCTTCAGTTTACTTACCTCCCCTTGGTGGTGACCAGCAACTTCAAGCTACCCCATGGTCCTCGACTTGCCTCATCAAAGACACGGAAGTCTGCCAAAGGTCGTGGTGACTTTTTGTACCAGTTCCACTTGTATTGCGACAAGCTTTCCATGACAGGAAGAATGAATGCCGTGCGACATACTGTCGATATGAACGCAATCACCGTGTTGAGTGTGAGTCCGGACGGCCAATTCGGCAAGGGCTTGCCGTCGTACGCGTTCAGCAACACGACCAATACTATCACACAAATGAGACTAATGACGGACCACACGATCTCTTGCCACCATCCCTTGAGAATAGAGAATATTGGTCGTCGTCTCTTGGCGGTTGCGCGCTTTTTCTTGTCGTTGCTCGCAGTCTTGACTAATTCGTACTCACTTTCGCGTGTTCCGAAAGTAGTATTCGATTTGAGCTCGTTCGATTTGTTTCCCCGGTTCGCTTGGCGACGGTCTTCGGGAGATGTTGTCCTGTTGCCTTCCGGATCCCAGTCGTACGCATTCGGCTCGGCTGAAGCAAGCAGGAGTGCTTCATCGTAACCCAGCGGTGGGACGTATGAGGGTGTTGGCTTGCGCCCGCCATGCTCTCCCTGGTCCATCGCGGTGAAATCCAATACTACACTGCCGGCAAAGTCAGTGGTGTAGATGCAAGTTGATCGGCAAGTAAGATCGATCTCCTTCAACCTCCCTATCGAAGACCCAGTTGGGGGCAGTTCTCTCTATTTACGCTTCCTGAGCCCCGAAAAACTTCGGATGTCACTGCCACAATGAAAGCTTGACGGCCTCTTCCAGGGTCAGCACTACTCCAAATTGGGGTGAGCCATCAAAGCACCGTCTGATCACAAACATCTTTTCGTGGCTGCCTAGGTCTCACCCGTCGCTAGCACAGAAAAAAGGACCAAGTTAGTGCATATTCAGGGGCCAATTTCACCGCAGCCGCTCGTCTCAGAGAGACAGTAATTGCTTATTCTTAAACGCCATCGCGGGATGTCATCTTCCATCTTCCATTCAGGATCGCCTCCATCACTTATGACGATCCATGGCTGGCTCGTCTTCCTAGTTCCTGACTGTGCCGCCCTTCCGAGTTTAGCTCCCGACGTTTGTAAACGCCACGCTCCATCATTCGGTAATTGCACTACAGAGTTGTTCATGTCTTCTTCCCACAAAGCGACGATGTCTTCAAAAATAAAACAGAAAATAGACTCTGAACTCTTCTTTCCCCAGGCTCCTGCTCGAGCAAAACGACTTGTATTACAGACACCTCCGTACTGCACACTCACAGTTCGGGTTGCCCTCCGACCTGACTTGGCGAAGGACATCCAATGCTCGTTCGTAGAGAAGGATGTTTGATGGCTCTCCTGGTTTTCGCATAGTATTCTTGGTTTCGCCAAGTATGATGTCGACCGACAAAGCCCCCAGAACTAGCAATTCTTCGTTCTGGACGGCAAAGTTGCCTTGAAATCCTTTTGAGCTAGCAGACTCGCCCCAAGACAAGCAAGTGTATCGACAGGCCGCTGTCGACCAATAGCTTAGACGTCTGGTTCCTTATACAGCCTTATGAACTCGAAATTCAGCTACACCTTCATCGCACGAGTTTCTGCGTGCTGGTGGCTTCGAGGACTCCCACGAAGTTTGGAAGGAGGTTGGGATGATGGTTGCGTATTATGAACTGTGGCTCGGGCGTTAAATGGTAGCGAATGAAAAACCCCGTCTCTCATTTGTGCGTGTCGACACGAGGAAGCAGCGACAAGAGAGTATTGCTACAGAATCAAGAAACCAAAGCGAACGAAGTCTTGCGAGAGAAAACTTCTCCAGGACGACCGTTATGTCAACCATGAGAGACAATGTTATCAAGTGCCTGGATGCCTTCAGAGACCTATCCGGCTCTCTGGTCTCGCCTTCTGACGGAATCAGCGACTATGGTGATATTGATGACAACGAAAAGGTGAGAACCGTAGAGTCTCGCTTCAAGGAGTGGTCGGGGGTATTTATGGCGCACCGCTTCGTGAGAAACTCCCTCGAGTATCGGCTCCGAGTCAGAGATGCATCCCTCCTTCGCAAAGATGTGGTGCGCCTTTTAAAGGACCTGGCAGATTCGATTGCAGAAGGTACGTAAGCTCACCAGCTGCCTTCCACATCTTGTTGACTCATTCTAGCAATGTGCGTCACCAACGGTGTCATGCCGCCGTTGGATGATGAGGCCGGCGACGACTCGGACTCGGACGACCCGGATGATGATGGGAACGAAGGCGACGACCGAGAGATTTGTGATTCAGATCAAGGGGAGTTTGCCTATGATGCTGTTGAAATGTCCCGCGCCATCGCTGTCATCACGGAGAATGTTGAAAGCCTCTTCCGGCTTTTAACTACATTCGACAACCCGTCGTCGCATGACGAATCCGTTGAATCCGGGTCGACCGACAGCTCGCATTATGAACAATTCTTCATGCAGCACGTGCGGGAAAAATTCCCGCTGGCTAGCGACAGTGTCGTGGATCGGTTAGGCAAGGCACTCTCACAGCGCCGGCGATATTTCAAGTACCGCGAAAGCCATCAACAAACGTCCGCACAGTGTCTTGAAGGCCACGAGCCGGGCGTTGTGAGCACAGGGGTATCATCGTTTCCAGGGCATCTGAATTCGGTGGTTGCGCTGGAAGCACACGGCTTGATGGATGAGGAACTGGAGCAATCGGTTGCTGCAAGGACGGAGACCTCTTCCGCCACTTCTGCCGCAGGTTCGGGTCATCAACGAAAGATTCCGAAGCTACCCAGAAAGGCTCAGCATGGCCCGTTTAAGTGTGCATTCTGCTACAGAATGGTGGCTGTGAGCGATCAGAGAGCATGGAGGTATGTATGACAGGGGGGTTGCTACGAGAAAGTCTCCGGCATGACGCTGACGCGAGGTTCAAGGAAACACATCTACGCCGACCTTCGACCTTATGCCTGTTTGCAGCCGGACTGCGAGATACCTCACGAAGAGTACCGGAGACGACACCACTGAATCCTTCATATGCAGAGAAGCCATTGGCGAATCTGGACATGCAAGTTTGGTTGTCGACAGGACTTCCGCCGTCTAAGGGACTTTGAAGACCACGTCAAGTCGTCTCACCCTGACAATTACAGAGCACCGCATTTTGTGTATCTTCTTCAGGTCTGTGAAAGTGCAACAGCGCCAACCATGACCACAACGTCTTGTCCACTGTGCCAGGCCGAATTTCGCTCTAGGGAAGAGTACCAACAACACGTAGGGCGTCACCAGCGAGAGTTGTTCCTCTCTGCTCTTCCCAACGTGGATACCGATGGAGGCTATTGATCCGGAGAGGACCACATCAGCGGATGGAGAGGTTTCGACGTTGGACCGTCCCTCAGCCCCGTTGTTTCCAGGTAGACGCTCTGGTACGATTGCCGCAAGAGACCTGCATGAGGAGAAACCAGCCTTGACCGAAGAAGAAGAATTTGGTCAAGAGATGTTGAAGGATGTAGATGAACCAATTATACGAATGAAACTCATGGGGGCAGGACGCATATGTTCACGACTGTCCCACAACTCGCCAACTCGATAGTGCCGTGTCACGATGCGGTCAAAGACTCACGAAAAGCAGCCTAAAGAACCTTCACGTTCAATGCTACTCTACTACATTTCGCTCTATACAATAACCCGGCCTCCTCAATCAAATCTCCCGCCTGACGAACTCCCGCAGAAGAACTACCGCCATAGTCCACAAGCTCAGACGAACCACTTCTGTTCTAATGTATCGACGACACCCGCAAATCATCAACCGTACGAACATGAACCACGCAGGCAGCACTTCGGGATCGTCGGAAGCTTGTATTGAGCAGCCTAGGCGAAGCAGACGTGCTAATTACCTATGCCATCTGCTCCCGGTTGAGCATTGCATGGACGAGGCTGTCGTGCGTCCCAAGTCACTAAAGTAGTCGAACCGTCTGCCACGGGAGGGGGCAGGAGCGTTATGGATGAAGAACCAGGCGTTGTCTCTTTATTATGTGAAAGCTCGACACTTTTGAACTTTCAAAACTCCAGTACGTAGAGTAACGTAGTCCCGTAAAATTTCGGCAGCTGCTCATGTACGTTTGCTCCAGTAAAGAACTTCTAAACAGAATTCAAGAACACTGCCCCGTCCCCAATGTACACCAGGATAGTTTTCACGATAGAGAACATTCTAGGCAGACTCCGTCTTGGCGATGACCGAGAGGGTGTCAGGCCCGAGCTGCCTTGAAGAACATTGTGGTGAGGGGGTTCGTGAGTCCGCATGATAGAGTTGCCAACATAGCCTTTCATCTGATCCATGACGTGAATCCTAATTTTCACCGGCTGAACACCACCCACCTCACCTCACTCGATCCTCTACAGATAAAGAGTCTGGGGAAGCGCCGGTTCGCAGCTGTCCAGCTGCCCCTCCAAACTTGTGATATCCCCTCTTCAAATACACCAGAATAAGTGACAACATTCACCATGTACATCGCCAACACACTCCTGACAGCAATCCTAGCTACATCGGTAAATCCCCCCTTCTCCCAACCCTTTCTCTCCCAGCACTCATTCTAACATTCAACCCACCCCCAGGCCTACGCGTCCCTCGAGGCCCGCGCCGCCTTCGGCGACGGCGACGGCGTGCTCTGCCACAACTTCCGCGAGGGCAACCGGTCCGCCGTGGCGGTCGGCATCGAGGCCCTCCGCAAAGTCCCCATGAAACCCATGAACGGTGCGGGACCGGCGAACTGCGGGCGCGTGAGCTGTCAGAATAACACTGGTATGTGAACTCCCCTTGCCTGAAGTCTACGTGAGAGATGAGGTGCTGACGATGGCGTGAAATAGGAATCTGGTGGTGCAACGACGTACGTCCCCACACACATTCATTCCAAACCCTCATAATTCAACTTCATGAGAGAGAAAGAGAGAAGTGTGATTTGACTCGACTCGATGCTGATTGTCACGTTTCCACCACAGGCCACGACCCCCAGGGAACTCAACTCCTTCGCCGACATCGCCGACGGCGCGCAGCGCGTGGTGAGCAGCTGCAAGGACAAGCTCGACGCGAACCAGGGCGACGGGATGACCGTCAGCGGGCAGGCCTTCCACAAGGACGGCTGGAACGTGGTCGTCCGCGGCGGGGACGACTGCGCCAACGCGGGGGTCAACATCAACATGTGAGAGGGAAGTCAACGTGTGAGGGAAGGGAGATCAAGCTGTTCTCAGGAAAGGGGGGGGGCGAAGGTTGGTCTGTATCATGAGGATAGGCTTTGGAATATCTTGAGGTAGTTGGGGGGGTCCGAATGGGTGAATAGTTGTGTGAATTTCAGTTAATACTTCATTCTGATGGAATCGGCATTGTGAAAGATGGCCTACAAGCATGTCCGAAGTCTTATACTAGGTGGTCAAGCACCTAGGCATTTCAGCGATCGTCGTCGATGGCGATGGCCATCGACGCTACTTGAAGAGCTGCCTCCTTGTTTCGAGGTTTCACAGACGATATCTGATAAATTCCTTCACAAGGCTGACCCCCGGCGTGGGTCTCAACTACACACTAGCACACGCAGCAACGCCAGTCCGATATCCAATCTGATACTCGTACACGTTGTGTCATTACTCCAAATCATGGTTACCTACCCGAGCCCCGACATACTCTACAACCAGCAAAACGCCGCTAATGCCCCATCCATCCGTGTGTGATCCCTGAGTCCCGAAAGAAAGAGTAACAACCGTTTGCACCGGCCGCGATCGGATTCGCCCTTACTCCAAGCTCATCCTGGCCTCGTCGCCGATGCCCCACTGCCCGCCGTCCTTACCCTGCAGGGCCAGGTTGAGCTTCATCCCGAGCGCCGCGGCCTCCTCCTCGCTTTTGGCGTCGCTCGCCCTCCTGCTGCGTTCGTGATGATGATCCCGGTCGGCCTTGCTCGAGATGCTCTTGTCCGTAACTTTCCGCCGGAGCGAGGGCGTCTTGAAGAACGACCTGCTGCCGGAGCTCGTCGATAGCGTCGACGCCGCGTCGTCCTTTTCGCGTTCAAGATCCTTATCGGCAACCGTTAGATCTTGCGTCGACTGGGTGGGGGAAACCATTTTCTCCTGGAGAGTACTGTATCTTTGCGTCGTCAGGGCCGGTCCTGGTGGGTTGCCCAGAGGTGATCCCGGTCTTGGTGGTGCCTGCGCGGCGTCCAGTTCGTGTGCTATCTCGTCCTCGGATACCTCGACCAGTTCGGCGTCGCGGTACCACTTCCTCCGGCGCGTCCACCGACCCCAGCCGTCTACGCCGCGGCGCCCGTTTTGCCACTATTCCTGTCAGATCGAAACTTCCAGCAGACGTTCATGAAGCTCACCTTATTGTCGTAGTAGATCCAGCCGTTCCTACCAGCCTCCCCGTCGTAGTCAACAGGCTCAGCGCCGTCATCGGGCACCCCGTCAACCCGCCACTTACTCCCTTCTACCCACCGCCAACGCATGTTGCTACCATCCTCGACCTCGGGAAGTTCAAACGTGTCACGCGACGGCACGGGGTTGTTGTGCTCGTCGGTCCACGCTGATCGCTCGTACGCAAACATGCTTTGTGTCCAGCCGAGACCGACCCAGCGTCGCTGGTTTTCATAAATGATGAAGGTGAATTTCACTCCTGCATCCTTGCTCGTGGCGTTATTGCTGTGACGGTGAGATTGCTTGCGCAAGGCCTTGGTTAGCTCCGACGTTGCCGGCCGCTTGGCTACCACCTTGCCGCCCTCGCCGTCGGTACCCAGAGTCACAGGCACGGCCTTTACAGGCTTCTCAAACGTGAGGCCAGTCACGAGGGCGGCTGTCTTGCGAACCGTGGCGCTGCGCCAGAGCAGCGTTCGGGCTACGCGCATGACCCTGGCATGCCATGTCAGAACGAGCGTGCCAAACAGCAATGCTATCCTGCGCGTCGTGATGATTCGTAGTGGAGGCAGGGTCAAGGCCACCCAAAAGGGCGTACAGAACAATATTCTCACGAACAGAGTCGTCAGAGCCGGTCTTGTCGTAGCTGATGTCGGTGTTCGCTGCGTACTCAGGAAATCCGTCAACTCGAGGAGCGGCTCGAGTAGCACGTTACACCGCCCGGTAAACTCCTTGAGCGTCTCGACGATCTCGTCCAACGTCTTCTGATGTCTCGTATTTGTGACTTCGGACTCGCCCCGGTGGTGTCCCTTGGCGGCGTTGCCGGTCGCATTACTTTTGGGAGCGAGCTTCTGGGCTTTGCCACCGGCCGTACCTGCCGCATTCTGCGTGCCGACCTCTTTCGAAGCCGGCTCCGTCCACCCGCTGCTGCTTAGTGGACTGAAGCGCCGGCCGTACATGCCCATTATCAAAGTCAGGACGACAACGATGGGCCCGGCGACGCGGACGACGATGTCGCCATAAAGAACGACCGCCCAGAAGGACGCGAGCAGCAGGAAGCTCTCCCAGGGGTCATCGGTGGTCCATGTCAGCAGACCGGCGAGCTTGTTCAGCGGCAGCAAGAAGGGGTGCGAGTATGCGAGCGCTCGTGTTATTTGAGGCGGGGTGGCCAGCAGCAAGGGCGACTTTTGGTGGACGATGATGGTCGAGCGGCGGGAGGATCGGCTCGGGGTGTTTGCAGAGAGGGTGACGGGGGAGAAAGTCGCGTATGTGGGGGGAGCGCCGGAAGGGGTGCCGTCGAAGCCGGAGTCGGCATGGGAGGGATCGTTAATCGAGTCGGCATCGGGGCCGCGCTGGGCTTTCGGGGTCGACATGTGGACTAGCCAGGGCGTATCCTACGCGAAGGAGGGGAGGTTAGCCGGGCTGGGGTTGTGGATGGAGATGGAATGCGAGGCGACGAGACGCAGCGACAGCGACAGCGACAGCGAGAGCGACGGCCGGTGCAGCCGTCAGGTCAGTGACGCTGGGAGCAGGTGGGCAAGGCGAAGGCCATCGGATGAATGAAGACAGAGTGCAGAGTTATGTGAGGCGCAATGAGAATGAGGAGAAGGAGCAGTGGCGAGTTGATGTTATGACGTGGCTGATGCGTTGAAGAAGCCAGAGCGCAAAAGACAAGGTGGTAGGTAGCTATTTGGTCGTAGTGTTGAAGTAAGCTCCGTAGGTTTGGTGGTGTCTGCGCTTCTGTTTGCAATGCGTGCTCCACGATGACGGAGGGCCAGGTCAAGGCAGCCGAGCAAGGATGTGACGATGCAACGGTGTATTAGGACGGAGAGTGGAAGAGCCCGAGAGCGGGCAGGGCACGGCACGGCGGGGAATAGAAAATGGATATTGCGAAATATCCGTATTTTGAGAGAGAGAAGGGGACCTGGAACTCACAAAGGCAGCCATCAATCAATGGTCCGGGATTCCGCTGATCTTTCCTGGGGTTGCTCGCCGCTGCGGCTTGCTGCGGATGTCTTTTGGGGGTGCAGACCTCGGGGTCACGTCTTTCCAGTCTCCGGGAGCCTGATGAGAAGAAGAAAACACAACAACAAAAAGAAGACGACCGGAATGCCGGCTCAGTCTGTTGCCTCCGTCTCCGTCTCCGTCTCCGTCTCTGGCTCACCGTCGTTCGGCGCGCGTATGCGCTTTCGGTGTCGAGTCGCGCGTGGTGGATCGCAACGTCATCGGTTTCGGTCGGATCGATGGTCGAGAAGAATGTCGTCGTCGCATTCACCCAGCTCAGCTCGCGGGTGTCCGTGTCGTCGGCATTGGTGGTGTTTGTGTGTTTCGTTTCGGAGCGGCGACAAAGTCGCGATTATGAAATGGTTTTGGTAAAGTTTTAGAGTGGAAAAGAGAAAAAAAGCAAGAGTCGACAAGACAAGGAAGGAAGGAAGATTCAAAATGAAGAAAGTGCGACCCGACGGACTGTTCGGGGGTCAGAAGACACCTTGGACCTGACCTCACCTCACTGACTGACTGCAGCAGCACCAAGACTGGAACTAGAACTGCATGCGGTCCAGTGGCCGTCCTCATTCATCGTGGGGAAGCTCCAGGCCGCCTGTGCCCACGTGAGTCGATGTCCTCCCCGCTGAACAAAGTGCTATTTGCTGCCCGTCACCTTGTTATTCCCCGGCAATGCGATGGAGGCTAGCAATCACATGCAAAAATGACGGGCAGCTTCTAACCCCAGCTCACACAGCAGCATCAGCATCCACCGATACCAACTCCGACTCCGACCCTTGCTGGTCCTTGTCACGGACGAGAGAGCATGGATTCGAGCTTGAGTAAATGTGGCATCATGGGACTTGACAACTTCGCAGACGCAGTCTTCTTTACCATGATCTAAACACACCAGTGAAGATGAATGTATCAACTGATTGCTGCTTTTTGCTACCTCAATCCTCCAGCGGCTTGTTCTCTCAATGGAATCCTATACAGCAACCACATCGGCTACTCAAACCGACAAACTCAGCAAAAGTTTTCCTTCCGTCCATAACGCCGTCCTCTCAAAAAAACCTCATTGCCGCCCTGGACTTCGCAGTCGCGCCGTACTCCGTATTCGCCTCACAAATGAAATGCTGTGCCCATGCGAGTCCTTCGCTGCAACCCCATCTAAACTTCCTTGCATTTACCCTAAATGCTCAATCTCCATGTTCTTCCCAGTTACCCAACGATAAAACTTCGATGCTTGCGGCAATCCTCCCCGCATGCTTCCCGTCACCGAATTGGTTGCAAACTTGAAAAGCTGCTCACCACCCGTCTTCAGTACCAGCTTGACCATCGTCTTCTCTTGTTGCGCGGCCTTGACTTGCTGCGCATCTAGAATTGCCTCAACGCCGTCTGCCGCTCGAGAACGCGCAACTCCCCGGGCATCGTCTTCGATGTAGAAGTGAAGAAACTTGCTGCCCTGCTCGTCCCACTTCTTATCGCCTTCAGAGAAGCTTGCCACGTCAATCGAAAACGTTTCCGCGCTCTTGCTGACTCCGCCCACCGGAGATGCCGCCGCGCTACGGTCCAGAGGAGATCTGATCGTGGCTGGTGTGATCATGGGCGATTCTGAGTTCCTAACTGCCCGCCATCGGTCGTCGTTTGCCAGATTCAGGATCCTAGGCGTGTTGCTACCAGATGCAACCCCGTTGCCAGTCGTCGCCTTCTGATCGTCGAGAGCACTGCTAATGCTCATTCGCGGGTCAGATCGACGAGTTGCGCTCTCTACGCTTCCGCTGCGAGGGGTTTCCAATGGCGACGGTTGCTTGCTCGTGTCACCATTCTGGCCGTTGAGAGCTTCCAACGTACGAGACGCCACTTCAATGCTCAACTCCTTCGCCGCATCCGAGTTGACGGTGGCGTCGACAGTACCGGTCGACCTGCTTGCTTCGGGCTTCTGGGGCACATTTGTTGTCGTTGCTGGAGAGTTATGCTGTTGCTTCGGTTCGACCAGGACGGGCGGTTTTGCAGGCAAGGGATGTACGAGCGGCTTAGCCGGTAAAGGGTGCCTGAGAGGCGGTGGCTCTGTGGAAGCATGCCCTTGTGAGGGTGATGGCCGCCGTTGATCAACCGAGGATTCTTTCTCGCTAGATGACACCTGCTCCTTGGTCTTCTCCTTCTCAGGGCCGGCACTGTTCAGAAGGTTGGCCACTTGCAGCTTGGGGCTGATCTTGGGCACTTCTCTTTCCAAACTAGGTGACTTTGAAGCACTGCTTCCTTCTCCATTCCCGGTTGCCGCGACCGAGAGTGACTTCTCCCGTGGGATGGTGATCTGGCCACCGTTCTGAGAAGCGCCTGGGTTTCCTCCCTCCGCCGCCGTAGAACTGAAGTCTCCCTGGGCGCCCTGGGCTGTTTGCGTCCCGCCATTCTCGGGTCTTGGAGTGACAGGTGTACCAAGTGCGATCTTAGGGACCGCTACCTCGATTGCACCGTTGCCAGGTGTTGTCGTTTCCAGATTTTCGACATGACGCGTCTTTGAGGGCGTCTGCTGCGTATCGCCCATCTCCACGTCCTCGATGTCTCTGACGGGGGCGTCCTTCTTCGCAGACGACCGCGTCCTAGCACCCGCGGCAGATCTGCCAAACGCCGAACTGTCGCTCAGCCTTGAAGAAGGACGCACCTCTTGAGTGCTCCGTCTGAGAGGCTGCGGCGACTTGGAAGAGTTGGCGTCGGCCATCTCGTGATCAGAGTCCTTGCCGCGTCCCTTGTTCTCCACGTAATCCTCATCATCCGAATCATCGAGCTTGGGTGGATTGTCGCCGAAATCGTACATGTCGACGTCGTGCGCGGAAGACTCGGAATCCGATGCGGAAGACGGCAGTTGAGGTGCCGGTATCTCTCCCCTAGATGCCTGGCCTTCCTGATCCGCCGCCATCAACAAGTCCTCAAACGAGCTGTACCCGCGGACTTCCGCATAAAATTGCCGAGCCTTGTTCTGCGAAGCGTCGGGATTGGACGGTCGGGTCGGGTCGTCTAGCAGGAAAGGTTTCAGCTGTTGGACGCTCACCCACCCAAGACGGTTGGGTCCCTTAGGCTCGAACCACAGAACGGGGACTTCTCTCTTTAAGACGCCCGGTTCGCCATCGCGATACCCTTCAGCCCAGCCGGCAATGCCTTCTTCGTCGTACACGAAGCAGGCTGGTCTGTTCTTGTCCTTGTACAGCAGGAGGTCACAGAACTTCTCTCCCCACCCACAACATTGCAAATCCTTCCAGCCGACAGCGGCAACTACGTACATCTTGTGGTTGGCCCACCTGGCCTGATAAAGCTGTCCGGGTTCGGGATTCGTGATGTACTGCGTCGTGTCTGGCCTCACGAGCTCTGGGCTCTGTGTGAGCTTCGCTCCCGCGGTCGAGGGAGTTTCTGTTGACTCTTTGGAGGCTTCGCCGGCCGAGTAACGCTTGCCGCCGGATTTTGGGCCATGCAATTGGTTGAGGGGCTTATACCCATTTTCGAAAGCCTTCTTAACGACATCGTTGTTCAGCCTCATCAACTCGTCAGTGCAGTCAACGACGTGGAACCCGATAGTGCGGAGCGCTATGCGGTGTTCCTTCTTCTGGTGGTTATGCGAAGCCCCGTGCAGGTGCTTAGCTGCTGCTGGCAATGCGTTCTGCTTGAAATGAACGCCGTGTTCGTCGCATCTGTGAATTTGTGAGCAGCTTGCTTCTCTACATAGCGAGGGAGGTGATGGGTCAGGCTTACTTGAGGATATAGAAGATGTCCTCAAACTTGACAATAGTGTGCTTGAACTCGGCCTTTCCGTCCTGGTAGACCTCGTTGAATGTAATGGTGTACTGTGCAATAGACTGGGGAGTGCCTGTCCTCGCACGCTTCAAGTTAGGATCGTCTGGATTAGAACCCAGATCCTCGGATTTCCGCTTCAGCTGTCGATGAGGATCAGGCTGGAGCTGTCTCGCCAAGTCGTCTTGCCGACCCAAAAGAATATTGACACCGTTCCTAGTCATGTGCGTTCTATCGTCTCGAGCAGTCTGAATTGTCTGGGTCATCGGCGGGATGGCGACACGCGTTCCGCGGCCGGCTTCGACAGCACTGGCGAAATGAGGGCTTCCGCCGGGTTGGCCATAGCCCGACGTTGCGGTCGAGCCCTGGGAGGCTCCGGGTATCCCGTTGCCCAAGATTGGTGCGCGTCCGTTCGACGGCAACATGCGAGGAGGGGCCTCGACTGGTTGAACCATCGGCCTAGCCTGCTGATACATGCTGATGCTCGCATGCCTGTGTGGAGAAGCATGTTGAGGGTGTTGATTGTAGCCTTGCCATGAGTGGTTTTGCTGCGAAGGCATTGGCGCGGAGTTTGCGCTGTTGGCGGCCTGGATATTCGGTCTTTGAGGATGAGGCACCGCGGCTTGCGGATGCGTGGACGGCGTTTGAGCTCGGCTTGCTGACGCCGCAAGCGTTGTGGCAGAGGGTCCGTTGGCAGCATTCCGTGACGATGAGCCCCCCGGCACCGGGAAGATCAAGTGGTGTTGAAAGTACAGGTCCTTTTCCTGCTTTTCCAAGTCCTGTAGCTTCTGGTCATAAGCTTGCTTGCGCTCGGTGAGCCGGTGGGTCCGGATCTCAGTTTGGTTCCTCTGGAAAATTTCGTAAGCGTGCCGACTGAGACTTTGTGACTCGATATAACGGGCTTGATCGTCTAGATCGTGGCAGAGGTTCTGTTGGTCATGCAGCATTGACTTCTTTAGCGTCTCTTTCTGGGCCTCGAAGCGCCTCTTATACGCGTCAAGAGTTTTGAACCATTGTTCTTGTTCCTGGGCCAGGGTAGGCGGTTGGTGATGGCCCTGGGCCGCAGCTGCGGCAGAGACTTGACTGGCCATGTCGGCGGCGATGGAAAAGACCATGAGGAAGCCTAGTCGTTGGCCTGGATTCTTGAGATGAAGTTGATAGACCGACTCAGGCTTGTCGAGCCATGCCAACCGGTATACGCGTCAAGTTTCGCGTCTATCAGAATGTTAGTTGCCAAGCCTATGATTTGTGCTTCCTGCCAATGCTGAAAACGAGGTAGAAATTACTATTCAGTCGATGGTGGCGGTGATAAGCACTCGACCTATTCAGAATGCGCAGAATCGTGGAACTTGGCCAAAAATGGCAAAAAACAAAGAAGGGACGACGAGCTCCCCGAAAAAATCAATGCGTTGATGGTGGCTCGTCGGACGAAATATCCTTCCGGATTAATGATCTTGATGAGGTGGGATGGTCCGGGAACAGGCCGATTGTCGACGATGGATGTGGCTGGAGGCGATAACCAAAGTCGCATCCAAAGAATTACCCAAAGACGAGATCAACGGCCGATGATGGTGGTAAAAACCTGGCCGCAGGGCGATTGGTTAATCGACCTGATAAAAGAAGTTGTCGAGATGGAGTGGTGTATGAGAGACGAAAGTCGAATGGTACAGAAAAAATAGCGGCCGGGAGTAAGGCAGTAAGTGATGATGTGATGTTGATCTAGAAGGGACTTTTGGTCCGTCCGATGAGGGAAAGCGGCTAGCGATTGGTGCCTGCCTGGTATTGATGACTGGTAGGTTGGTCAATTGGGTGCTCGAACAGGCAGAAGTAGAAAGGAGTGGATGAAGTCGTCGTTGGTGCCGTTTGTCAAAAATAGAAGGTGCTGCCGTCTGACAAAGGGAGTTTGCAGAGTGGATGTTGCCTGGAAGAGGGAAGAAAGGGCTTGTTTGGCAACAACGGCAGATGATGGGTGAGTCTGGGGTTGTTGTGTTGGGTAAAGGTGAATGTGAAGGTGAATAAGGTATTAATGGCAATGGAAGTGGAAAGGAAAGGTGCAGGGGTGTCAGGGGTAATTAAACCATTGTTTCGGGAAAGACGAGTACAGTCCGAACCTCACGTAAGGAAAGCGAGGTAGGCGTAGGCGTAGGCGTAGGCGTAGATGTAGATGTAGTGTAGGTGCAGGTGGTTTGGAAAACGTGTTGGGAATCCAGTCAAAAGGGTTGTAACAAGCAATCAGAAAGCAAGACTCGTACGTACCTTTCTAAGCTGATTACGGCCGTGGCTTTGCCTTTGGTGAGGTTGAAGATGGATGGATTGTGCAGATGTAGGCAGTTGGAAGGGAAGGATGGAAAGGAGAGGAAGACAACACTGAAAAAAAGATAGTGGACGAGAGAAAAGACCAGTAGAGAATAAGAAATGGCAACGAAATTGTAATTGCAAGCCAATAAGGCGTGGCAGGACTCTGGAGTACGCAGTAAGGTACTTTACCCAACCAACCCAGCAATCAAATGACAGGCATGCGCAAGTATTCCATACAAGCAGTAGGGAAAATGCTCATTTGGTGGCTACTACGGAATAGACCAGAGACAAGACAAGCAAGACAAGACCGGGCTGGGTCATGTTGGTTTATCAGCGGCCTATTGATGCGTTTCTACCGCCCTACTACTGCTACTGCGGTACTAGAAAGGCAGAAGCGAGCCAAGACAAAGGAAGGCGTACCTACCGTACTAAAAGTAATAAAGTAAGAGCATGTACCTGCCCACGAGAGAGGTACTTCCTCGGCGGTACCTGCCCTTCTCTCACTTCAGGAAAGAGCAAGGAAGACAGCACCTGCCACTGGCTGACACCACCCAACTCAGCAATCCCGAGCCCGAGATCCTGAATGGATGGACACCTGGATGCCTGGCCATTGGATCTGGATATATCCACCGGGACATGCGCCTCAGGCATGAATGAGCTTAATGACGTACAGTCTTCAGCTGTGAATCTGGCACGGTACCTCAACGCCCAATTTAGCCTGTTCTGCACAGTTTGAATCCAAGGCGGCTGACTTATCGTGTAGAGTTCTCCGATTACCCGTGCCGGTCTCGTTGGTATGAAGACGGCATTTCATTCCGTCTTCCCTTGAATCTTCGCAATCGCATCTCTCTGCTCCTCGAATCGCAGGCCGAGCCCTTTTTAGCAAAACTTTCCATTCGCTGGAAATTACAATTCATCCTCGTGCCTCGTGCCTCATACTCCACCACGCCCTCGGGCTCAGAAATAGAGCCAGAGCCAGAAGCATCCAAGGTACCAAGGGATGATGGAGCTCTCCGCCATGTATGAGTGTGTGTGTCAATGCCAACGTCAATGTCGATTCGGCTTCGGATGCCGCGCCATGTTGGACGCCCTCTACTACGCCCTACCAAGGTACGTGGCCACATGTTGTCTTTCTTGGTCTGCGCCTCCGTGATAAATGAGATGCCACAAGTGACCAAACCGGTACCTTATCTTGATCTCACCATAGCTGCCAATACGCCATATCTGTGATGCCTCTTATGCATAGCTTACACCCAAATCACACGTACAATTCGTTAGTTCGGGCGTGGCACCGCAGGACAAATCATACACGTCAATACACGCATGTTTGTTTATTCGGGTGCGTATAGCATATGGCGCCGTGTATCCGTACGGGTACCTCCTTTTCCTCTTCTCAGACATTCCGGGTAGGCTATCATGCGTCGTGCTTCATCAACCAGCCAAGCAGACCATGCCATTGCGACGGAACCATAATAAGTGCGGCCTCGTCGTATCCCATCCGAGAGTCCACGCCCACCACGCCCACCGGTTCGTGTGGCCCTCGTCTGTAAGAAGAAAAAGATACATGCCTCTCTCGTACCGCGACAATGCTCAGGTACTTCGGTCTTATCCCCTTTGCGGCCCATGTCCTAATTCCAATCCCCGGGCACTTTAAAGGTAGGGCACGGGTATATCATACAGTCATACAGTCACCATCTTAACCCTGTGATTGGCCACTTGGAAACTGCCACTGTTTGCTGTTCTGGCAATTTTCGCCCGCGTCCCACGCGATTCATCAACACCCCTGCCAAACTATTTTCCCCCCTTCTTCCATAATGGCAACTGGAACTGCCCGCTGCGCCGTACTTGGACTTGGTAGCAGTAAGTAGCCTTTTTGATTTAGCAAGGGTCATTTCATTGGTCTCTCTCTCTTGTCAATCACGACGGATGAGTCCAGCAGATCGGCATCTTGTTGCTTACCGAGAAATAACACAGCAAGAAAATACGATCCATCTTGCCCATCCCTATTGCTTGCTGTACGGAGACTGGCCTGGCGGCGGCGGTTTCTCATTCCGCGTACTCGGTTCGTGCTCTCTTAGCGCTAGACTTTGCTACCGGCCAATAATTACAGACCACCCTCCTCCATCCATGTCACAGATTGACATCAGAGATGCCGTCGCCATCTCCAGTCAGTCTGCTGCGGACTACAATTCCGACACGGGCCCAACTTTCACTTAGTCTTTTGTTGATTCATGTTGGACCCCCAACACACACACCTTCGGGTTCGCTCTCTCATCACTCACTCTCCCACAGTCCACCGGCAGTCGCAGCCTTGGTCACGCCTGTTGATGCGCTCTGCTCCAACTTCCAAGGGGCACCCGAAAAAGACCAGACGACGGAGATGTCCTGGCACGGCATCGGACTCTTGCTGGCCCCAAGCTAGACTGGGATCCAAATTGTACCTTATTTCACGGCCGTCAGTGTCCCGCCGTCTTATTCCCACCACCACACTCACTCTTCAACCCAAACCATGCCATGCCACCATGCCTGGACCCTCTGCTCGCATCTGCCCCAGTGCGTCGTCGTCGACTCGTAGATGCCGTCGTCAACTGAAATGTCGTCGAACCCAGGCGGCCTGGGGGCGGAGCAACTGATACATTTCCTCCTCTTGGCGTCGCACCCATATCCCGACGGGACGCTCCATACCTAGGTATCGTACTCTGTACACCATAACGCAAACAAAAGTACAGAGTACCAACGGCCAACCAGGAAACAAAACGCTATGCTTGATTGTATTCCGGAAAAAGGAAAGAAATCCCACGACCAGGCTATCCCCTTTTTAGTCACTGTACGCACCACTCTAGACAGCCTACAGTCACCACCACTCACCGGCGGCACAGCGGTACAGCCAGCCAGAACCTTTTTTTCCTTCTTTCTATTGATAATGATCAGACTGATCAGAGTCACCTTCATCTCATCCCGCTGATCACTCACGTCTCGAACCCAACGTCCAAACACCAAACCCGCCTCAGAAAGTCTCTTGCTGCAACAGGCAACGGTTCGCTAGCATAGAGTCTAAAAACCGTCCGCGCAATACGCGTACCTTCTCTTTTGCCCAAAACCCACCCTGTCCTTCACGGCTGCAACTATAATCTTCAGCCTTGGGGCGGCGGCTTGTCCGACAGAGATCCATACACAGTGAAAATGTATCCTCGTGTTGCCTCCATTACTCGTGTGTGTGTTACGGTCATCATGTGCAAGCCGCAAAGGATACCGTTCCACTAAACACGACTAACACGAACGAAGCTGAAGGAATTTGACTCTAACTGATACTGTACGAGGTCGAAATACAAGCATTCCTCGCCCACGTACCTTGGGTAAAGGATGGGAAACGTGAAGCTTGGCCGCGAAAAAAAATGACGCCATCCAGATTTGTCGATTATCTAAACACTCCGTCGTCCGACCTGCAGTTCTGCCCGGGGTCATGGAAAAGAAGACACTTTATTTAAAAAAGAATACAACTCAAAAACGTCGAACCCGCCGAACCCGCCCACCGGGCCACCCGGGCGCCGTACCAGGACCGCGCGCAAGAAAAAAAATAAGAGCACCCACCCACCCCAAGGATTTTTAGCCGACGGATACTCCAATGTCAATTGTTAGTGTGGTGGTGTTTCCGTCCCCTTCAAATGTCGGTATCCCACAATACGGAGTCCAATCAGGGGTTCATCATTGCGAAACCGAACAATCTGTAACTGATCCAATGTCAAGGCCAAATGTCACCCGCGGCCAGTCAAGTCGAATGCACGGCGAGCATGGCCCTTCTGAGCGGACTTGGGTAATGCCGCCGCTCGCTCGCCAGCTCGTGGCTGCTTCTTTCCAAATCATCATCCATCGCTGTGTTTGGGTTCTTCTTGTCGTCTTATCGTTCCCGGTCGACGATCCTCCCACTTCCCTTCATGGCTCCTCTGACTTCCTCTCAACCTGTATCTCAGTCTCACTCTGCTATCGCATGATAGCCAACTCGCACTCCATGCAAGCCCGGTCTTACGAGCACTATTCCCTTTCCCGCCCAATCCCCGCCTGCCACGCATGTGACGAAAGCCGCGCCACACACTGTTGTGCTTGCGCGCATCTACTCGATCTCATCTCATCTGGCCCTTTACTATTAGCTTCTTGCCGCGCGAGCGTGTAATCGATACCGCCTATTACTAGCTTGGGGTAAGAGACGTCCAGGATTCGCCACTTGGTATCAAGGTGGCATCGCGCCATCAACCCCAATATGCGCACTATCCGAATTGTCTGGGTAAACAATGAGTCACTAGCCTGGTTATCACATCGACGAGATATTTTGCCGTTTTAGGTGTTGTTGCAGCTATCGACATCTTACGAAGGTTTGCTGGGAAAGAGACGACTCTTCGCATCTCGCCTCGGCGATGTCGTCTTCCATGCTATTGCAGCTTCAGGTGAAGTAAGAGCAGTAGCCCACGTTGCACTGTGCCATCGGAGAGCATTCCCGGCACACCATAAAGACCTCCTGGAATCCTCCTCAAACCTCTTCAAACCTCCGTCCAGTACCACCGGACTTTGACGGCGATGGCGGCGATGGCGGCGATGCTGACGATGCGGAGCCCTCCGCGCGCAACTTAGCCGACATGGAATTTTCCCAAATCACCGTGATCCCTGTTCCTCGTTCGTAGATCACTAATCCCTATCCTATTTGCCCGTTCACCTCATCCAACCGAGCTACAGTGTCCATAACGCCAAGTTTCTCCAGGGCAGGCAGGACTGGGGGCGCCATCAAGAAGACCCTCATTATTGTCCTTCGCCGATGGTTGTCGTGTAATGGCTGAGTCAGAAAGTGATCCTCCTACTGACCAACACTGGCAAGCTCTGGAGATTAACTGTACGGTATATGCGATGATCTCGGACCGATACCGAAACGTCTTTACAGGAAAACTCAGCCTCGCTATATTGCAAGGGGCTTTCGTACCAACCGTACCGTATACCGGTACGCGCTCCTCTACGATGCCGACGGGATGAAAGATAGCTTTTTACACACTTTCCCAACTTGGGCATTATTCCCCATGAAGCAAGTTACCTGATTCGTGCAGTTGAGACCCGTCTCGAAACCTTGGTCATGGATAGCTCCGGGGGGAGTTAAGGAATATGTCAACAGTAGTCAGCGGGCAGATACCACAGGACTCGGCAGAAAATTGCCTACTACGATACGTCGCAACGAACTCATCCCCGAGGAGGTCCCCGGCCGAGCGGGATGGGGCGGTATGGATTTACACACTGTCAGCAACGGCCTTCGTCCCATGTTGCGTGCGCTTCATTGCGCGCGGCTCTACAACTACCGGATAGGAAGAAAAGGTCGTGTTTGGGCTGTCATCGACGTGCGGCGAACCTTATTGTAGTTGAAGGTTATTTCTATTCGAGTCGGCCATACCCGTACACTACCTACAGCTCTGCCGTGCCGTTTTTGCCTATTATTACTTGGCTTGGCCTGGGCTCGTCACGAGTTCCGTCGGGAGGGGGCGGGGATGAAGCGGCATGAGTTGTTCGTTTTCCGCGGATCGCATGGCAAACAGCACCCGAGCGCCGATATTTCGAGCGGAAGCTGAGCCGCCAGTTTGCCCGACCTCCGTGGTCCAGTGTACTGCAATACTACCACCCCGGACCAGATCAATAATCGCGAGAGATGTTCCTTACTTTGACTCCAGTCCAGGGCGGGTGTTTCCATTCGGCAACGAGTCCCGAAAGCTTTTTATTTTTCTAGTTTGTTGATCAAACGCGGGTCTAGAACACATGCCGTGACAAGATAGATGGTCTACTTCTTCTGACAGGTGATGCGGACGCCGCCGACTTGGCCACCGGTAAAGACTTCGTCGACAGCGTCGTAGAATGCCGTGAGGTCGGCGTCCACAGAGGGGTCCTTCTTGTACTCCGCGGCGCGCTGGTGTACGAAATCGGTCCAAACGTCCGACATGTCCACCCAGTTCACGACCTCGAATCCGGCCCTTTCCAGTTCCGACACGTACTCCTGTTTGTCCGGCAAACCGGGACAGGAAACCGATTCCCGTAGCACCTTCAGAGTCTTCTCGTCCAGCGCCGCCGTCCGCGCGAAGAAGTCCTCGATGTACACCCTCCCACCGGCCCTGGTCACGTCATGCGCCTTCTCGAAAAGCTGCTGTCGCGCGGGGATGTGCAGGATGCACAGGAACGAGACGACGTGGTCCACCGGCGCGCCGCCCATGGTCTCCGCGTCGAGCTCGAGGAAATCCCCGTTGACCGAGACGGCGCCCCCGCCGGCGCCAGACTTGGCGTTGATGGTCTGCGCGATCTCGTGGATGTCCCCCTGCAGCTCGATGCCGGTGGTGCGCGCGCCGTAGCGCCGGTGGAGATACCTCCCCGTGCCGCCGAACCCGGACCCGATGTCGAGCACCCTGTCGCCGGCCCTCAGCCCGAGCTCCTTGGCGGCGTTCTCGATGGCAGCATCGCCGAGGTAGTGCATGCAGTCAAAACCCTTGGTGTCCTCCGCGTCCCAGACGTCTTTGTCCTTGAGGCCCTCGAGCGTGCGATGGACACGGTTCAGCTTGTAGAGGTTCATGTCCGGGACGTCGGACGCGAGGTGCTCGGAGGGCGGCATTGTGGGAGGAAGCTTCCGCCTGGCTAGCAGCGAATGAGCTCGCTCTCGGTTTTTCTTCGTTTTCGGGAAGTTTAAACAAATCTGTAAAGACGGTCCTATGGAAGAAACCTTGACGGGTCTGGCGTGTGTACCTATCCACGGGACGGCGGCCCTTTCTTGGCAAGTATAGACACGATCAGACTGTTTGGAACGTGTTACTTTGGAGGCTTTTCCGTAGAGAAAAGCCTTTGTGGAACGAGTGTAGGTGTTGCTTCTTGGTAGCGTTTTACCCCTCGCGTACAAACACCGCCGACGTCACTGTACTTGTGTTCGGGATACCGCAGGTTGCACGTTCCTCCCCAACGATTAGAGTTTCATACTAGGGGAAAGGTGTTCAACTAAAGGGAAAATGTGAGACGGGTGAGACGCAACTTCTGAGTGCTGACGTAGTGAGACCTTATCGTAAGACAAGTTGCTTTTATTGGTTGCAAGGCTCGGTATCGCATTGCATATGTGTTATCGCCAGTTTGCGCCCATGATTGATGGTGGTGATGTTGAGGTCCACTGAGATGCAGGATCAGGACGCATGATAGACGATCATGGGCTTCTTTGGACATGATCATGTACATGGTCTCTAGGCTGAGTCCGGAGTTACTCCGAACAGTCGAAATGAACTAGGTAACGAGCTTGGACATGTTGTCTAGTCTCAGCTCGTTTTCGGATACAGCTTCACGCCCTATGCCGTGCCAAGTCGGTCGCTTTACACTTGGAGGATATTAACAGCTCAGTTTTGGGTCTTGCCGTGGAGTATGAAAGATTTAATGGCAAGAGGCGCCTGTGGATGTTATCAATGACCAAGGCTGATTTGTGAAATTGTTTGGAAATAATGATCTGAGCTATTTTGAGGGTATCCTCATTCCTAGCAATAGAGGAATGCAAGCGCGGACTTGCGGGTTACGAGCGATGTGGTGGAATCTTACTTGCAATGTTTGGTATTCCAAATGTGTGGCAATAATTTACAAACTCATGTCGGGTTTCCCTCACCCAGTGCAACTTTACGATATGATACTAGAACCAACCCGCCCACCACCGCGCAATACTGATGTCAGCCATTATCGGCCCTGTCGAGACTCCTGAATCGACTGGGCATTGCTCTTATGAACTTCCTCATACTGGGCAAAGTAAATCAGGTCACCCTTTGCTACGTCCTCTGCAACGACTTGTGATAACGGCATAGTCCATGCTGCTGGTTGCGGCACATCCTCCGTCATGACACTGATATACCTCAAAGTCGCGTTGATGAAAGTTGAGTTGTAGCCGCCCGCGGCAATTCGATTCGGCTCCCCGTGAGCCGGTAGGATCTTGGATATTTGAAAGGTTGCCATCCTCTGAAGTTCCTTCTGGTGCGTGGGCAAATCCCTTGGCTGGGCGATGAACGTCGCCGTGTCCTCGAGCGTATCGCCGGCAAACAGAAGCTGTTTAGACGGGATATACAGGACTGTTCCATCGGGCGTGTGGACCTGGAAGTTGTGAAGTTCGACGGTGAGGTTGCCGACCTTCATCTCCTTCTTGTCGGCGTAGAGCTCCGTCGGGGCCACGGCCGTGATGGGCGGGTCATCCGCTGCGAGACGCTGGGAGTTGCGGTCGACGGTGCGCTTCGTCTTTTCGTTTCCGACGATTGTCGCGCCGCCCTTGGCGAACACGTCTGTCCCGGCGATGTGGTCGTTGTGGAAGTGGCTGATGACCACGGACATCTTGGTGACGCCCTGGCTCTGGACGTGGCGCATCACTGCTCCCGCATGGTCCGGAGTGATGTGCGCGTCGAAGATGATGGCTTCGTTGCCGTCGATTATGGAGTATGTCGACACCCCGAGAGTGAACGCTCCATCGTCTAACCAGTTGGGCTGATCTGAGTGGAAGCGCTCCCCAGTGCGTCCATCGTAGTACGCAAAGATGCCGGGGTAGGGGTTGAGGATTCGGAGAGACTGTAAAGGATCTCCTGTCCTTGCCCTTTGGGCCCTTCACGATTGTTAGGATACGTCCGCTAGCCACGATCTTTGCCAACTCACAGAACTGCCGAATCTCGCTGGCTTAACACATGCCGCCCAGTAAGGCCACAAGCACTCGCGAGGGCAGAGTAACAGACAATGATTCCCTGTTACAGATTAGTATTCATTCCGTGAAAAGTGGTAGTTTAAGTTTTCAAATACTCACAGTTCTCATCGTAAAAATGTTCACAAGCGGTACAAACCAAACTTTACTTCAATGGCGGTTTCGTTGAGCAGAATGTTCGCCGACACTTAGAATTCTGTCGTGATATTTGACTAAACGACCGACACTGCACCTAATTCCACCGTGAATGAGGATTGATGCTGCGGCTTTGCTTTAATTCTCGATTACTGTTCCCGCCTTTATGTACGGGAAGTGGACGGTATGAAACAGCTTGAAACGTTGACCAGAGTTCCCGGCTGATGTTTCATCTGATGATTCTATTCGCAGACTGACGCGTAGTTTAAGCTTATTCCATTGATTGGCTACCGTTACGCATTGATTTTTTCTGACTTCTGGACGAACTGCCGTAATTTCGCCGAATGTGACTTGGAGACTGATGGTTGCGATAACATCATTGCCTAAGTTAGGACTGGACGCGGGCGTATGCTTTACGATGATGAGGACTTAGTGTTTTGACACTAAGGCTTTCGTGTCTGTTCGAGAGCATCATGGTCGAACTGAGATTAAGAACATTCTGCGTAGTAAATTTGTACACGTAGACGCTGTCATGCGTACCCTGGATATCAACATTTATTTCTGGATAAACAGTAGGCTATGAAGTTGATCTTCTGCCAATGCGCGCGCAGCGAGTCGGAAAATAAAGGTTGTCATCCAGAACTTCTGTAGAAAGCGCGTTGAAAATTGAAAGTGATATCGCCATTTCTTGCGATGCTCGCCTCACCGCCACAAGGACAATCTCACCCAGACCTGCTGCGAAATCTTCAATGACCTGATTTCCGACTTCACCCTGGCCCCCATCCTGTCGCTGACAGCATTAGTAGACTCCACATATCCCACAGTTGAGGCAGGTCAGAGCATGTCGAATCCTTCATAGCTAAGCCCCAGCAGGTTTGAACAGGCTGCTACACACGAGAGGCCTGCTGACTTCAGCTCTGATGCATCATCCACCAACATACATGGGATTATAAGGTCAGAGTTGCATTCTTCCTTCTGGAATCACATTTGTCTGTAGTTTGTACGTAAGCTACACCGGCCTTCCGAACCAGTGGTTCTGTTGTGCCGATGGTTTCGCTGCCTGGGTCGCGTTATCTTCTCGCAGGAGGCCCCTGACGCGCTAGTAGTCCAGGGATGGAATTGTTTTCTTCGTTGAAGGATATAAAACGCATGAGTTTGACTCCATCTTCGAGGAGGCCTTTTGTTGAAGTAATCTATCAAATATTCTCTTGTCACCCTCCAGGAGCACGATGGGCCAACACGTTTCTACTTTGCAGAACCAGCTCAGTGCTCTACAGCACTCGAAATGGAGCCTACAATCTCCCAACTACCGGCCGGCCAATCTTCTATGTCCTCCGACGTCTCTCAAAGAACATGAGGGTCCAGAAGAAGATCTGGGAGCAGTTCTTCGCCCGATGATAAGTTCCTTCGCCTCTAATATTGGTTATACATCATCTCCACCAGAGCCCAGCGCCGAGCTATGGATCGCCATGCGCGCATTTGCAGATCAACTAGGAGTCAACTACGACGAAGGGACCCATTCGTGGAAATGCTTCAGAGTGGGAATATCATATGCGGCAGTGAGTTTTTAGAGTTAACCGATTTCGACTGTTCTTCGTAAACCATGTCAGAAATACTGAGATAAGCCAGGTCTGCTTGCCCAAGCATCCTCTGGAGGTTCAAGTCTACGTCGGCACGTACTCCTGGCTGGGACTTCTCCTGGACGACGAAACTGCAAAATCGCCCGACGACTTCTCGAGATTTGTCCAGTGTTTTGCGCTCGGAGAAAGGCAGCCCACGCCACTTCTCGAAGGATGGGCAGAACTCATGCGTTTGTCGTTCAAGTATTGGGACCCCGTCGTTGCAAACTTCATCGTGTCATCCTCGATGAACTTTGTGAACGCAAATGTTCTTGAGACCCGAGACGAATTCAAGAAGCTTGAGCCGACTCGCGGCGGCAAGAGCTGGCCCTGGTTTCTCCGCGACAAAGACGGCGTTGCGGAAGCTTATGCTTGGTTCACGTTTCCCAAGATTCCGTATGATGACATGTCGAACTACTTGGAAATGATCCCGGACTTGTCTTCATACATTGCTCTAACGAATGACATCCTATCGTGAGCCCCCAAGCTTCCTTTTCCCCGGTTCATATCACTAATGGAGATGTTCAACAGCTTTTACAAGGAGGAGAAAAATGGTGACAAAGACAACTATGTACATAGTCGTGGCTGGTACGAAGACAAGGACGCAGTCTCGGTTCTTCAGGACATCATAGTCGACGTTCAGGACATAGTTCGACGGATTCGTGTTGTCCTTGGTGGCAGAGACCCGTATTTACAGGCTGCAAATGATCACATACTGGGTTATGTAGCTTTTCATAAGTTAAATGACCGGTATCGGTTGTGGGAGGTGGGCTTGGGTGAGCCCCGGGAATGAAGTTGAAGTTTTACACAACTGACGAGAGAATGCGAGCCATATTTTCTCGCAAAGCATATCCATTCGCTCAACCCGTACCCCTTATTCTATATCGTAATCTTGCACATTGTCATTCTATGCCGACATACTACATTTAGGTAAATTTGGTCCAAGTCCAACCTCCTTGATCTTATTGTCAGTCATTGAATTGTGTACCTTTCTCTATTCCCTCCCTTTCTTTTCCAACTAACAAGCAGAAACACAAACGTAAAAATACAAAACTTTTGGACTGAATCAGGTGAAGTCGTGCGGTTTATAACTAATAACGACGCAAAACCCTACCCACATCCATCATTTGGCGTCAGATTTGCTTCTGGCTATTGCCCAGCGTTATGCTGCTGTTCAGGCTGTTCGAACTGCACCGGAGATCTCAGTATGTTAGAAATGTCAGTCATTTGAAAAGACGGGGCAGCGGGGTTCAAAGCTTCGTTGGAGGTCGGAATCCGCAGAGTCGGGAATTGTAAATGCACGTTTGTGTCCAAAGCTGCAGAGTTTCTAGTATTCGCAGCGACCGACGTGTCGTCCTCAGCGAAACCCTCGGGGAGGTCAGGATACGGGCTGAAGAAGTCCTCCAAAAGAGCGCTGCTGATCTCAGCCGTGACTGGGCCATAGTTTGAAGAGGCGTCAAACATCTCCTGCGGCCCGTACATTCGTTGCTCCAACTCCTCGATGGTCAATGGCTCCTCGTCCAGGTCAGGTAATTCGAAAATGACGTTTTCGCAGGGGCACAGATCCCAAGGACCGGCTGGCCGAGAACCGTGGCACATCTCCCAGTGGAGATAATCCATCTTGCCGTGGTCGCCTGAATGTTCCATGGCGAAACCAGAGACTTGGGCGAGTTCGCGGGAGTAGGCAGCGTATTGCGGAAGAGGTTGCTTGGAGACTTCTTCAACGAGGTCATCAAGGCTCAGGTTTGGGATGTCAATGGTGCGCTTGAACTCTGCATCGAATCGAATTTCCTGGGGGATACGGACGTTAAGAGATGGCCCGCGTTTGCAAGGAGCAGTGGCGGGAACGTAAGTCTTCGGGTCGGGAAAAGACATTGCTACTTACCTCCAAATGTGCAGTAATAAGTGGCCGATCGAGCTTCAGTGCTTGAAGTGATGAGATGTGGTTGGGTTTTCGTAATCGAAATCTTGTTGTCGAGGGCTTTGCTAAAGATGAGTGAATACAGTTGTGAGGTCTGAAATTTCTTTGTAAGTCTGTATTTCTTTAGTATGAGGAGGAAATATCTGGAATGACGAAGGACTTGAGGTTTTAAATACTCAGCTCCATCAAGAGTGTTACCATCTCTCTGTCCAGTACACAACCAGCAAAGGGCGTTTGTTGCGTGGCGTATGTGATTTGAGAACAACGATGATGTGAATCACTTTGTTACTAGTCTTTGTCAGAAGCAGTCAATCAGAAATAGCTGGTAGTCTTTGGAAAGTTTATTGTGGAAGGTATTTCGCAAAAGAAACCGGGCCTTTGTTGAATCAATGCATGATTCTAGTCTGACAAGCTGACATGTTTGTTCAAAGTTGTAGATAGCTACGTGTAGTTCGCACATATCTTCAGCCTAATCCATCAACAGCCACATAATCTGAGAAGGAATTATCCGGATTAAAACCAAATATTGACACTGACATAGTATTAGGCTCTGAAGCAAATTAATGACCTAATTTAGGCCATGAAGCCATGAGACAGTTTGTGTTCATCCCACAACAGCCTTCTGTGGCGCTCGATGGGATCAACAAGATATTGAGTGAACAATCTTTTGGAGATTACAAACGGATTAAATTGACGTGTCAGTACATGTAAGATCGCGAGAGCTACCAGATAGCGTATATCGAAATAGCCTCGGGGAAAGCCTCTATACTAAGATTTGGCAAGTAAACTTACACTTGTAATCCTGTTTCCCCTGGGTCTTCTTCCATCTCAAACGATTGAAGAACCTCTTTATGGAAGCAGAAAAGTAGGGATACCGTTGTGTGTCCCAGATGCTGAAAAGATTGCAGAGTAGAGTAGATCGTGTTCTCCGGTGTTCTGCAGGTCAATCGTTGGCAGCATTCATCGGTCAATGTCGTTCATAGAGACAGTCGCTGAACAAAATTCGGGGCTAGAAGTGGCCTCCGAGACGATTCGTCCCACGGCGTTTCATTGACCAATGACACAAAGTGTTACTAATTGGGTTTGCGTGATCGGTCATGGGGCATGTCATTCATCTACGCCCTTTGGATTTCGAATAAGACCAACCTTCCGTTTCGAAGGACCTCAAGAAATTACAAAATTAACAAAGTTCGAATTCCAAGTTTTTATGCGATCAATATTTGCGATGGCTTGCCCAATTCGCACTTACCCTCTGCGACAGCCCAAGAACCATAAGCCTCCGATCCCACGATGGCAACTGGTCCTGCCAAAAGGCGTCAACCGACTCTTCACGGCGTACATTGGCGTTCAACCACACTCTACTAAGTTGGTTGGTAGCAATGGTGTTGACGAGGCAGTCAATGCCATCCGAACTTGGATTGATGGCGATGCCGAACGTCCACTGGCTCATGAACGTTTCAATCACCTTGATGGGGACGACACGCAGGATACCAACATCTGGGTTTGTTACTGGGATGATGAAACCAAAGGCAAGCGCAGTCTGCAACGGCTTGGGCTTTCTTCCATCCACTCCCGACTACCTGTTGATGACAAACACCAAATCGGGTTGTGGACCGAGAGCTTCCTGACGCCGATCTCCCGGCTGGAAACAAACTACTCTGGCCTCGATTATCTCCCCGGTCTGGCAAAACTTCCGGAAACGAGCACGGCAGAGCACGAACTGTCCGCATATTGGGGAGCTGCGAGAGACCGTATACCCGACTCGGCCCACGACCTCTTCGAGAAAGACGACGCAGCCCAGAGCACTCGCCCTAAGATCGCACCAAAGGGACTCGGCCAGCATTTGGTCGGTCAAAACTACAATAACATGGTTCATATCCGCTCAGGACAATTTTGGGAAAACTGCGGCCCCGAAGAGACAGAGTCTTACGAAGAGAACCTCGAACCAACACTGCGGAACGGCTTGGCCTACCTCTGGGAGAACCGGGAGGAAGGCGGGGCTATGGGACTGAGATACATTGGCAACCGAGACGATTCCGGGAAAACGAAGAAAGAAACATGCGGCGCTGGGTTTTTCACGGACCTACATACCTTGGAGGAGTGGGCTAAGAGACACCGGTCTCATCTCGCGATCTATCTTGGAGCCATCAAGCATGCAAAGAGATTCGGGAACGACAGGAAGTTCCGAACGTGGCATGAGGTATCGGTGCTCAAGGCAGGCGAGGCATCTTTCGAGTATATCAACTGTTTGCCCAAGACTGGTGTTATTCGATTCGTTCCCTTGGAAGTTGGGCAATCTTGAGGCACTTTCGATAGAAGCCTAGTCAAAAACGGACAAACAACAGTGGCAGCAGTTTCAGTAACAGCAAGTCGATGAATCATAAAACTATGTTTGGGCGACGCAGCCATGTCACCGTGAACATCGTAGCACTTCTAGATTCTAGATTCTACGCCGGGGCTTCCTCTCGCCCACAGAATTTCCTCAGGTACTGCTTCGACCCGGCGACCCGATACCCCGAAGGCGGTCCCTCCCGCCACATCCGCCAGGGGTTCCCGTCGTTGTAGACACACCGGCGGAAATGCCGCCCTCTCCCGCATAACTTGGCACACCCACTTGACGAGTCAACTAGCCACTACAGCGGAATCTTTGCTTGACGAAGTGGATCTGACGCGCAGACAGATCGAGTCTTGACTAGCCGCATGTAGTTCTAACCAGAAGAAATATCCTTCAACATTGCATATCGTCGGAGACGTTGGGTGCCGGTTTCTATGTTGTCATTCTTGGCAGACATGTCGAACGGAAGAAGCACACATCGCAGTAAAAGGGTCATTAGAGAAAGCTTCCACTACATGTATTCGTATGTAAGCATGAAAAAAATAAGATTAGATATTAAGATGGCCTAGTATCAAGCGACCTTGTGTGAAAGGACGACTGCCCAGTATGGTGTTGGGCCGCTATTGAGTGAGTACTTTAGAGAACCTGTACCACCCCTCAATGTTGCCGCAAACCAAACCATCCACAGTCAGAGTCCAACATCGCATCAAAGCCTTCGTAGAACATCCTGCCAGTGTTGATAAAAGGTCCGGTGGTTGAGGTAGGCGCAGGTGGTTTCTCCATGACGTATCCCGGAGGTTCCATGCCCTGGGGGTTACTAGTGACAGTAACCGTGTAGTTGGCGATAGGGTTCTTTTCATCAGGAATAAGGACTTCCACAACACTTCCGGGCACCAAAACCTGAGGTCCGTTCTTGAGTGACTGAGAAGCCTCAGTTTTCACATGAGACTGGATATCGTCATATACGGCGACGTAGGATTGGGGGATGCCGGTATCGAACAACGCCTTGCCGTGGTTGTAGGGAGAGTCGTTGATGCGGATGCTCATGTCAGCCATCGCCCAATCTGGCGCTGTCGAGCCGGTCCTGACGCTCAACTTGGTCTTCTTGAAGTCGGCAACCTTGTCCTGTGTGAGACCGACCTGAACACCTGTCTGGCTAAGGATATAGCCCTGGTGGATGTCTTCGACTTCTTCGCCCTTGATGTGGCCGACATTTACAAAAGCAACCTTGTTAGGCAATGCCTGCGGTTGCTCGTCGCTGCCTCTTCCAAAGCCGACACCAATATAGTGAATATCACTTGGCCACATGGTGATGTTTTGCTTTTGGTCGTCAGGGCAGTTGCCATGTTCTTTGAAGTAGAAGCAGATGCACGACTCCTGGACAGCCAAGATTGGAATGTGGGAAACGACCCTTTTGCGTTTGCCCTTATCGTCCTTCTCTTTCATGTAGAATGTGACGTCGGCGTCAATCCAGTAGCCAGACCATAGTCGACCGCTGGAAGACAGGTACTCATTACCCGGGCGAGACTTGTCCAGTGGAGTGGCGTCTGAAAAGCCAAGTAGGCCACCGCCTATCATCACACCTGTCGAACCGGTGTCCATTCCGGCGGATCGGATGTACTTCGGCTTCTTGTTGACATTCCATTCTGTGGTGATGGAGATGCTGAAAGATGGTGTGGACTTGATAGAAGGGAATGGAGGGTTGGCAAAGGGGATGAAGGCGGTGTTGTAGTCAGTCGCTTCTGGGTATGTTGGAGGGGCAGAGTCCGAACAATCGTGGTCAGCAGATGCCAAAGAAACGATGGCGGCGAGCGCCAGACTAGCAGTAAGGTGCATGTTTGGTTCGAATGAAGTGACTGAAGCTTTCGATGATGAATAGATGAGGTCGGTAACCACAGCATGGAGGATTACTTCAAAGTTTATGTACTGCCCAACCTTACTATTAGCCTCCACAGACGAGCTGGTCGCAACATCAACTTCATACCAATCAGTTCAAGCCTTTCCAGAAAACAGAATCAACACTAACATTTCACTGAACATCGTGGACGAATGCATACAGAGTTAGACTATTGGTTAAATTCCAGACCCCAAAGGCGTTCCGCCCACGTGTTAGTCATGAGGCATGCGAATCCTCGATGTTCGAATTTCAAAGTGTTTCTCTGACTGATCATACCATATTTTGCCATGGCAATGCGCTAAAACATTTTCTCCATGAACGGAAACGAGATAGCTCAAATCCCATGGGGCAAAATGTCTCGGCCGTCCACGATGTGGAGGGGACTAGACCATTTTCACTCAACGGCAAGTTTCCCAAAGACCTCAAGCTTTGCGGATGTGGCTTCACATACATCTTGCCGGTTTGAAGTTTAAAAACCATTTCAAACTCCTGATGCTTTAGTTGGAATTTGGAGGATTGATTTGGGGAAGTTGTCTTTAGAGCACCGTGGTTACCACATGCCGATGATCCGGCTTTGGCTAAGCCTGCGGCTTGTGGCGTGATCTGGATTTCGGGATGCAGAAAATCCATCATATGGTAAACAAACAACTAATCGAGAATAGAGAGAGTTGATTCACGTTATCCAGTATTCACAGGACGCAAAACCTATCTACCTAGAAAACCGATGCATTGAACGGAAGCGGCGAAGACAGAAAACTTGCTCAGCCACAAGCAATAGGCTCAAACAACAGCCAGGACGTATCCTCCCGCACTGACATCGCAAAGTTCGACTGCATCAGTAAGCGATGGTAGTAAACAAAGCCTGCTAGTTGAAGACAGAGAAAACGCTGTTCAGTCAAGTCGACAGCGGAGTACGGCCATGTACACGGTTCGTTTCCTTCAACGATGTAATGATCGCTGGAATAAGAGGTCTGGAACGATCGAGTCTTCAGCTTTTTTTGATTTGCTCTTTTTGTGTAGCACAACCATTGTTGCATTCAATGGTGATGTGTCTTGCGGTTTTGTGAAGCATGTTCAACATCAAAGCGCAAGTTGCAGCTACTGAATGCAGATCTCAAATATTGGACGATCTGACTGCCGATGTCGAATCGTTCAGCAAGCCATCATGTAAGCTTCCGGTCCCCAGCTTTGCCAAGATGATCCGGCACCATTTCGCCGGTAATCCTGGTAAAAAGGCCCAGAACAGAGCCGTCAATGGCGAAAACTACGCTCCCTAAGGCCCAAGGCATTCCGGATCCCACATCGGGTGAACAGTTGAAGTTGTTTCGTTCAGACGAGCTGTAGAATCTCACGTTCTCTGAGGCATTAAGCTGAGATCAAGCGGCTGAAGGCTCTTAACCTTACTACCCCGTTGTTGTAAGCTGGCAGCTGAGCACTAGGCTTACTCACTGCTACCATACTGACGTGGCTTGTGGATGTCTTCGCGCTTTCTTCACTGCCGTGCATTGGTAGACAAGGTCACCACTATTCGGGAGCCAGCCAACCTGAGCCTCACGTTCAGGAGGCCTTCAGGAGCCGAGATCCCCCACAGAAAGCCACGGCATCGCAGACCGCGATGTCACCGGTCGGAGCCGAAGAAACGTAATCGCTTTCACCGCATGCCAGGTGCACGGCTAGAAAATGGGAGTTCTCCCTATAAGAAGGATATACGTTACGTGTATCTGTGGAGAGTTTTGTTTCTATTCTGGCTCTTAGTCAGGGGCACTTTTAAGCATGGAAGCCTCATCCCACATGGTTCTGTGGTGGTGACTCCGCTTGGAAGGGGGAACGAGACGGGAAGTGGGTTACAAACGCAGGTTCGTCCGAATCTAACTGGGGTGACGCGGTTTGCCAAGCGAGGCGCATTGGCCGATTGCGCAGCTGCAGCAGTAATCTCCTATGTTGAACATCGTGATTTGGGCAATGAGAGACTTCGTGCAGTAGCCTGGTCTAAGTCAGCGAAAATTTTATAAGTTGAGTCTGATCGCCATGGAGTTTAGACACTTCTTCTCAGCATCAGCGGCAGCAGCTTCCTGGTTTCAACTTGAGCAACTCAATTCTCTCTTCTCTTTTGGTTAGTTTCTCAGTCTTTTCAGTCTTTTTCATTCTTTAGAACTCAGCCAGAATGACCGTCACTCTTCGTTCTTTACTCACCGTCCTTGCGACGTCTGGCCTCGCGGCCGCGGCGGCATCGTGGAATACGACCTGTACGACCAAGACGCAACGCAAAGCATGGAACAACATGACAGACACCGAGAAGCAGTCTTACATCAACGCTGAGCTCTGCCTGATGAACACTACTGCGAAGACGGACATCGAGGGTGCTGTCAACCGGTGGGATGAGCTCGACTGGGCCCACATTGTTCAATCCAACGTTATCCACAACACTGTAAGACTCTCCGCCAAATGTCCAACAGCAATTATCGAGGAACATGATCTAATCCGATAATCAACGCAGGGATCCTTCCTCCCCTGGCACCGCTACTTCATGCGCGTCCACGAATATCTCCTTCAGTCTGAGTGTGGCTACGAGGGTGGCCAGCCGTACTGGAACGAGGTCCTCGACATGGACGCCCTCAACCAATCCGTCGTCTTTGATCCTGATACCGGCTTCGGTGGCGAGGGAGGCGACTGCGTCACTGACGGTCCCTTCGTCAACTTGACTCTCCACATCAACTCCACCTCCAACTACGCCAACGACTGCCTAACCCGCTCTTTCAACTCCAACGGCTTCCAGACCGGCCAGCAGCAATACATCGACGAGTGCTTCGCTTCCGAGAACTACACTGCGGCCTTCGAGTGTTACCAGGTCAACCCCCACACCGCTGGCCACTCTGCTGTTGGTGGCACTGTAAGTTAACGCTCTCATCATGTCGCAAGTTTTTCACAGCTGACGTTTCTCTTTTAGATGCTCGACGTCGTCGGCAGCCCCGGTGATCCTCTCTTCTTCCTCCACCACACCAACCTCGACCGTCTCTGGTGGGAGTGGCAGCAGGCCAACCTTACTACCCGTCTCACTGACATGGGCGGCCGTAATATTCCTCTGGACAGTTACCTCGAGCAAAACGGCATGGATTACCCGAGCGATGCTATTCTCGACTACGATGGTGACTCTGGAAACGAGACCACCCTCAACCACAACTTGTGGATGGTTGGCATCATGCCCAACGCCACCATTGCCGAGGTAATGGACCTTGGTAGCGACGTGATGTGCGCCGAGTACGTCTGAGTCGCCAGCTTGGATGATGAATGACAAGCGTTTCTCTTGAATGTAAATAGTATAGGCAGCTGTACTTGGTGTATCTGCCACACCATTGCAAAGCATTTTTGGTTTTTACTTTTCGAGGCATTGTGCATTTGTAAGGTCCTATTTCGAGCACGATATCTCGGGTGGCATTATCAAGCATTATCATTAACATTACCATCGTAAAGAGCGTATATGTAGTAGTTGGTGTCCACATGTTATCCTGAGTTCTTCCGTCTTTCTGAAACCGGTTTAAATGTCTTCATACTTGGACATTTTCAGAAGCCCACCATCGCCTTCATCCAACTGCACCTTCACCAACTTGGCCTCCTTCTGCTGTTGGCGGAGGTCGCCCAGATCTTCTAGCCTTTCTCGTGCATCTCTGTCTAGCCCGTGTACCAAGGTTGCAAGGATGCTGCTCTTCCACAAACTGGTCTTCCAGCGCCAAGTCTGGTAAATCGCAGCGCTCAGGAACACGGCCGTGAGGAGGACGGTCAGCAGAGGTAATGTAAGGAAGCTCCACTCAACATGGATGTAGCTTTCGATAGTATGTGCTAGCCCGATGACGTTAGTGCCCTTGAACGAACGGAAGCTGACAGTGACGCTGGTTGCTAGGTCGTTCATAAGCATCTCAATGCCACCGGGGTACTCGTAGTAGTTCCAGTAGAACGCTTGAACGATATCGGTATCGAAAAACGTCTCACCACTGGAAATTCCGACCGTGAGATTCACGATGACGTTGTCGGGCGTGGAGATTGTGTTGTTGATAAACTCCTCGTTGCGAGAGGCCGAGCCGTTGCGGAAGAGGTCCGAAAACCACGATCGCATACCCATCATGACCTTCATGTCAATGGGATACGTCTCGTTACCGCTCTCGCCGGTGATCACGATAGGCTGCAGATCGTTCTGGGTCGCGGTCGCAACCGAGTCGTTCGTCTTGACATGAATAATGGACTCGTTGAGCTCGCCATTCTTGATCGAGGATTGGAGAGTTTGGACACATGCCTGGAGGGTGCATTGCCGTGCCCAAGGAGCCAAAACACCAGGCTTGCCGCCCTGCTTCTCAGTTCCCATGAAGACGAGTTTCATGATGGTTGAGTATGACATGTCGCCGAGACCGTCGGGGAATAACGGCGTCATGCTGAAGACGTCGGCATGCGTCCTCAGTCTGGCGCCAACCGGAAGAGACCAACCGCAGCTAGTCATGTTTTCTGATGACCCATCTTCACAATATCTGGTCATGAACTCTGACATGTCGATACAAGTATTGCACACACCCAACGTCTCAAAGGGCTCCCAGGTGCAGTTGCCAGTCTGGCAGTTGACTGGAAGGCTGAGCCACGGTTTACCATTCTCGGCGAAGAGGCCATTATAGACTGCAGCCTTGAAAGGAAGGATCGGGATGAAGCCCTCGGAGGCAGTTTGACTGCTCAAGGCAATCAAGTACTGCTGAGATCGCAAGTTTGTGGCACCTTCGGTGGAATCGGTGGTGTGAGCATGGAAGGTAGCGATTTGTTGCGCGAAGGGGCTGAAAGCCAGGGTAAGAATGGCAACGAATGCTCCAAAGGACCCAAGAAAACTGTGAAAGAAGAAGTCAGTGTCAGTCTTGAGATTCAAGTAGAATTCCCAATCGCAACTCACCCTCCTCTGAGCTTGAAGAGCATCATCAAAGCCCCCCACGTCCCGCGGCTTGCGTCGTCGAATACCTCCATATCGGACAGGGGCTCGCGGCGAGTCTTGAAGTGAATCCATTTCAACTGGCTAAGGCCACTCGAAAGAACAACAGCAATAGTTGCAGTTGCGACGGTAGCGAGCAAGGCGATGACTGCGTTGATGGTGATCTGGAACCTCCATGATGCCAAGGGGCGACCGTCGTATGCTGCAAGAACACCGATGATGGCAGCGACGGCGAGGACGGTGACGCAGAGGCTGGCAATCTCAAACGTCCATGTCCCAGAATTGGAAAACTTCTCCGGCTTAATGTGCGTCTTGTCCGAGATCCTGCTCCAACGAGTGGATCGCCTCGACTCGTTCGTGCTGCTCAAGGCAGGCTCGCTGCCAGGCACGTCGTCGGCTTGGACAGAAACATAGGGAGACTGGTAGGCCTTGTAAGACCCTAGACTTTGTCGCTTGTCGGGACCTTGGATAAAGGGACTGTTTGGCTGGCTGACAAAAATAGTGTCTTCGGAGCTTGTGCTCGCATTGTGGGAGTGTTGGCGGTACTGATGTGCCATTTCGCTTGTTGGCCTCGATCCTGGTCGCAGATGTCAAACGGCTTCAAGCATGAAAAGCAAACAACAGATGGCCCGAGCGAACGGCCAGTTGCATGGTGGCTAGGATCCGGGGAGCCTCAAATAATACCGAAAATGCCCAGCAAAGCTTGTCTTACTCTTGGAGCCTGGGCGTTCACGGCATCCCTCCGAGACGGAAAAGGATGCCTGCAGACAGTTCACTATCAAAATGCAACATGCTTGTCACATATCGGAGCCTGCAGAGAATTCAACGAATACTGTTCGACCGTTGTATTTGATTCATGGCTAACGTCAGCCGAAGTCCTGTGTCATTGGCTTATCCTCCCTTCCAGACTGATGCGAGCTACCAAAGATGGCAGTGATCTGAAGCTTTGGGGGCTAAAGTGAACCAACTCTGCACATGGACGACGGTGGTTGGGTATCTTTTGCGTTCTTTTGTCTTTCCAGCCCACCCAAATCGTGATTCTTGTTTCTCTTCCCGTCCCCTCTTGAACCCCCCTCTGGCCATACAGAAACCTTCCCGGAGAGCCAGATCCGTGCCGGGCCACGTTGTGCATATGGCTGGCTTATTTTTGGAATTCATGCCGTGCTGCAATAGGGCAATAAGACGCAGCTGCGGGCAGAATCAAGGTTGTATTCTGTGATGCAACCCGAGACATCGAAGCCGACAGCGGCGCAGCGCAGCCTGATGATAAGGAGCTGTGAATGCGATCTGCATATGTCGTCTTTGCTCCGCCACTCGACACCTCCCCCGAAGTAGTAAGTGCAAGTGTCTGTAGGGCTGCGAACCGGGCAGCTCGTGATGTCTGATGCATCCAGCTGGAGGCGAGTCATCGCGTGGTTGGCGCGCCTCTCAAGTATGCGCGATAACGTCGCTTGTGGCGTCTATGCCAAGATGGCGACAGTGGCGAAAAGACCGGTCATCCACGCAATTGAGGCAGAAGGCATCTTCGAGTCAGCGGCACCCTTGGAAGATCCGGTCGCTGCGGCATAACCGAGCTCGCTGTAGACACTGGTGGCCTGCTCGTTGCTGAGAGTAGCCTTGCAGGGTTCCGAGTCGAAGGTTGCCGTCGCGGTGACACCGCAGACGCTGGTGGCTTCGGAGTTGTAAGTGGTCGTGGAGGCGTAGCTCATGCTTCCGATGGCTTCCGGGCAGGTCTTGGTGAATGTCGGCTCGGAGCCGCTGCTCTCGACACTGAACTCGAAGCTGCCATTGGCAATTCTGGGGTTCAGGTTGAATTCGCTGTAAGTAGGCTGCTCGGTGAACTCGCATTGAGCTCCCAATCCATAGACCCAGGCGAAGGTGTAGTCGCCGGCGGCAAGGTGACCGGTGTAGCCAACCTCGAGGTGCGTGGTTTCGCTGAATTCGGTGTTGTTCAGGATGACTGTACCAAGTGCGCCGTGGGCCGCGGTGCGAAGGTAGGAGTTCTTGTTTCTTGAGTAGATGTCCCAGACGAAGTTGTAACCGTAGTGGTAGGCAACGGTAGGGTTCTGAATGTTGAGAAGGACGGGGTATCCCTTGGAGGTCTCGCCATATTTGCCGCCATCGCGAGGGAAGACGAGATCGAGTTCGACGGCGTTCTCGGGCAGGTCAGCGCTGACAAGCTGGGCGCAGGATGCCAAAAGAGTGGCGCCGAGGCACCAGAATCGTTGAGAAATCATAGTTGATCGGTGCTGGTATGTTGGTCGGCTGATCGTTGCTTTATTCGCAATGTGTCTTGAAAATCAGATGCGGATGGTCGATTCTGCCCCCAAAAAAGTGCAGATCCGGACGAACGCCTCATCGTGGAGCGCGGCGACTTAAAAGAAAACTGTGGACGACTCTTGACAACATCAGTCTGTTCCGTGAGGGCATCAGGATCACACTAATTTCCGATCATGACCCCGGCCCACTGCGTTGTTTATTTAATGTAAAACGTCGCTAATCATTGTCACTGCATTAGTCCCTTGTCAATTTCCGCGCGAAACTGCCAACCGAAATGTGCAAATGGGGGCCGTCAACCAATGGATGCCAACATTATCATGTGTTCATTAACTTTGGTTGCTTTTTGCTCATTTAAGCTTCTTATCACAAGAGCCCTATGGCCTCCAGGTTTTGCGAAAACTCATTAAAGACTACCTCATCTTGCCGCCGTCCCCCCACCGGCTGCCCCTTCATGCCTCATCCTGCAGCTTCTTCTCCTCTTGGCCCCCGGCGCTGACTTCGCACACGTAAGTCTTGAACTTACGGGCCGGCACGTTGTTGCTGAACATTTCCTGAATTTCGGCATAGTTGCGTCCCTTCATCTCGGGGAAGTACAAGTAGAGCCAGGCGCACATTGGTAGAGAGAGGCCAGCGAAGATGAAGCACACCTTACCGCCCAAATTGGCCTGATCCGTGTTGATGAGATAGGGCATCACCTGCTGAACAAGGCAAGACGCTGCGGTCGAGGACATAATGTTGATGCTGTAGGTCTTTTGCCGGAGTTGCACACTTTTTTCCTCATTTCGTTAGCAAGCCAGTCCTTGTCACAGAATTTGCGGCGGGTCTACACGTTTCTCGCGGCCCACAACCCGGTCTCCCGGCATCACCATCTCACCCAACACCGGGGCTTCAGGGTCAAACCGTTCGACCGGTTCTAGGTTCAAGTTTCAACTTAGGGGGAACATGTTGTCTGTGCAACTTACCTGGCAGTTTCTCCACCGACGGAGTACGCAACGGCACCAAGAGTTGCCTGGTACAAATATCCCCAGATAACCATGAAAGCGACAGTTGCTGAGAGAGAAGTCTGGGTGCCAATGGTACTGATACCACCAATAAGGAACAGAAGAGCAGTCATGACGAAGACACCGCCGACGATCAAGGGGCGTCGTCCGTATCGATCAACGAGCGGCCATGATGTCATGTTGCCTGCGAACTGGATAGCATACGCCGCTTGTCCGATGGCCAGAGGGTTGTTGACACCAGCAAGGCGGAAGTAGTAACTGCAAGATGTTAGCTGGCCTGAATCTCGGGCAAGACAGAAGCAGTACTAACGTGAGATATCCCGAAACGAAGTTTACGCCTGCGGTTTCAGTGTTAGCCACGTTAATACTAAACTTGACAACAACGATGCTTACCGATGGCCTGCTGAGACAGGTAGACCATCACGATGATGAGAGTGCGGCGCCCGTTCGTGCCCCTGAAGCAATCAAGCCAGCGGCTAGACTCCTGTTCCTTCTTGGCCTCCTGCTCTTTAGCAATGGCAATCGTCGCAACAGCCATGGCACCATCGACATCGAATTTGGGTCCGTTAAATCGTCGGTAAGACTTGGCAGCCTCTTCGCGTCGGCCCTTGATAAGAAGCCAACTCGGAGACTCGGGCAGGAAGGGAAGGCCAAGCAGGAGGAGACCAGGAGGAATCAGTTGGGTGATGAGGGGAATTCTCCAAGACAAGTCGTTGTGGTAGTGATCGCTTCCCAAGACCGTGACGGAGTTGAGCCACTGGCCGATGGTGATCATGGTGTTGACCAACACAAGACAAACACCGCGCATCTTGACAGGTGCCAGCTCAGCCACAAAGACAGGGCCTAGCGAATGCCCCAAACCGAAGCCGAAAGTTGCTACGGCCTTGCCGCCAAAGAGCATGAGGACTGTCGTGCTGAAGTATTGGAGGATGATACCACCGCAGCAGATGAAGCAGGCGATGATGATGGTTCGCTTTCGGCCGATGAAGTCGCTGATGATTCCTGTTGCGAATGCTGAGACGAAGATACCGATCGTACCGCCGGCATTGAGGATCTGTTGGTCGCGGGCTGCGACAACCCATTTCCCGTCGATCTCGTGACCAAAACGCTGAGCAAACGGTGTGACGGCGAGGAGCTTTCCGATGGTTGTGACCTCATAACCGAAGTTTATGGGTAAGAGATAAATCAAAAGGCCTGATGGTTCTCAGAGTTAGCATGATAACACAAAGCAAAACGATCGGATGAACTGACAGAAACCCAAAACTCGTTTGTTGTCCCAGAAGTCGCGGAAGGTAAGCTTGTCATTCACCTCCGTCGTTGGCAATGCCGCCACGGCCGCGACCTTTGCATCCTCGAGTTGCTCGGAACGCTGCTTGTCGTCATGCTGAACCGTCGCTTCGGCCTTGGAGTCCGCCATATTGGGCTACTGGATGATGGCAACGAACGAGACCTTGTTGATCCGAGATAAGTCACAGTATCTCCCCGCTGGCAGTCTCCTCTCTCTAAGCTTCCGTCATCGGGTGGGATCCGAGAGTCTTATAGTCTGGAGAAGCTGCGTCGCGTCTGGAACGGTTCCAGGGGCAACTGCACATCCAACTTTTCCCCGTGGGTGAACGCTCCCCGCTCTCTCCGCAGTTTCCACGTGGAGAAGAGCAGCCCCCGGCCTTCAGAATGCTAAAGACTGCCTTCTTTGGTATGATCGGAGCGGTCACGACCTGGAGGAAACATGACTCAGGGCGGGGAGCACGCCTGTCCTTGGGGGCTAGTGCCGTTGAAACGACCTCTTTCAGGCTCTTTTGCGGAGGTCACAGTGGACGCGAACACCTGCAGTGCAATTCCGGAGACACACATTGGCTGCGAAGTCCCCGGGGGTGGGCCGGGCCCGGATATCATGCGGCTTCGCTCTTGAAGGCCTACAAGATGCCAGACCCAATTGACCAACAACATAACCCGGATTTGCTCAGTTATCATCTGAATTCAATTTTTCGGCAGTAGAGACATGCAGGGAATCATTTCGAGTAATTATTAGCCCTCTTGGTCCACAGGTTGGTAGACCGACTGGACAAATTGGGCAGTGTTTGCCCTCCCGAGCTCCGTGTTCCGTGTTCCGGTTCCACTTTTACCCCGGATCCCTCCGCAAATTACCTCGGGGCCGGCAGTGTCCCAGGTTTTCGGGATCACAAGACTTAGTGGAAACTCGGCGATGCCTGCACAGGCTTCTCGTCAAGGCGTTATAGGACAATAACATGGTTGGGCATCGGTTAAGTGTTTATGTGCGAACGAATTCCTTCCTCTCAAGATTCTTCTTGGCGAAATACTAGCAAAAATCAAGCACGAGGTCAGGCGAGTCGAATGCGAAGTTCTTAGTTGCTGGCAAAGAGCCATCGACTCCGACTGTCAAGTTTTGTCAGTGCGAATTCCACACGGACATAATCGACAAGCTTTGGTAGGGTGGCTCTTGAAGCCATCAGAGACTCAAAGCCATGCGACATGTCCGGAGATCTACCGCGTCCCTGTATCATTTCGGGCGTCCTAGAGCCGGTCAAGCTTTGCAGAATATCTGCCAGCGTCAGCACATCTCGCGGGGCTTCATGCACAGATTTCGTCATTGGAAGCTTGTCGCCACGTCCACGGGTCGCCCCACGAAGAGTATGCGGAAAGACAGACCCTGCAAGCTGACGGCGTCATGGATAATGGCCCCCAGCGTGATTTTGACCTCTGCCAATATCTCGATCATGCACGACGTGCGACTATGAGGCGTTTCACTGCGTAGACATTGCTCATTAGAGAATGATATTGACAACACCAATAAACCTGCTAGATCGTCGTGCTAACCGACATTACACATCTGAAATTTCGTGTTGCTACCAACAATTTGGTAAACCACAAGAATAAACGAGTCTTGTCACGAACGGACTTTGGATCGAAGCTCTAAGAGTCTCTCGTCTTCCAGTTGGAATTGATGTACGAATATCATACTGCATGTCATTTCTGTCCTGGCATTTCTTCCATTTGTCATCTATTAAATATCTAGAAAACCGTTCAACCTTCCTGAATACACCTCAAGCGTCATCAATCATGAGAGACGCTGCAAGCGTATTCGTATCTCTAAACTGGGACTAGAATACCAGACCCTTGGTCTGCTGCTTGTCACTAAGACGGTGGTTCTTCAACAAGGAAACCCAAATGATCGAGCCAACCAGAGCCACCAACGACGCGATGATCATGATCTTTTGGGTCTCGCCGTAGGCACGAATGATGGCGTCTCTCTCGGGAGTTCCCACCGGGTAACTCAGCTGAGTCGTAAGATCTCCATAGATGGCGAGGGCTTGGCTCTTCAGTTCCTCCGGCAAGTATTTCTCCATCTTGCTGGGCATCATGTTGGTCCAAATGGCGCCGCTAATAGACTGTCCGATTGCGCCACCGACGCTGGTCACCATTGCCAGAAGAGCAAGACCAACAGCGACGTCACGATGGGGAACAGACGCCATGATGGCAATCTGCTCAACCATGACAATGGTGCCGCCTGCAAAGCTGCCGAGAACTTCGCACATAATGACAAGGCCGACAGGGGTGTCGGGCATGCGGAATTTGATCATCAGACCAGTTGAAAGCATTTGGAGGGGAATCGAGGCAAGGCCGAGCCACTTGTATCGGTCGCTGTACCGCATAAGACTGTAAGTCACAAACGTTAGTGGCTAGTGTTCTAGGGTTGAAAACCGGTATCAAGAAGTGTCACTCACAGGCCGACCGGGACAGCCCAGGCGCAAGAAACAATGTTGTAGATGTTCGTGATGAAGCCGGCCCTTGAAACGCTGAGATCGTAAACAACCTGCAGATAAGACGAAAATTGGACCTTGTAGCAACTTGGAATAGTTAGACACTGCGAATAACAGCTTAGGAGGCAGAGGGACTTACTAGAAGCTAATCCACATGTTTCCGCCCAGAAGGCATGCAGCAAGAACCGTTCTGTTTGAGAACAGCTCCCAGGGAATAAAGGTCTTAGGAGCAAGGTGCTTCTCGTAAAAGGGGAAGGCAATCAGCAAAAGGCCGCCCAAAATGATCATGACGATGATTCTGGGCTCGGACCACTTGTGAGCTTGATAGCCTGCGATGCTGAATGGCAGAAGAAGCAGGGAGAATCCTGCGACCAGAATGAGGATTCCGGCAACGTCGAACTCGATAACCCAGTATTTAGCGGATTCCCAGAACGTGCGGTTGCTCTGAGGCTTCACGTAAAGACCCAACTTCTTCGCTCGGTTCAATTGGAGCGTGAAGATGATAATGAGGGGCGCACAAATGACCGGGATGATGATGGTGAAGGCGCCGTATCCCCATCTCCAGTTGCTGCCGTCGAGGAACGCCTGGGCGGCGGCGGGTCCGGCGAAGGTGTTCGAGACGTAGGGAGTCGAGGTGAAGCCGAAAAGAATCATTCGGTTCTTGAGCGTCGAGGTGTCGGCCATGAAGATGTTGAGCACGTAGCCGATTCCGTTCATACCGGTCCAGAAGAAAGTCTGGCCCGCGGCGTATGTTTCGACATTGTTGCAGGTAGCCATAAGAACCAGGGCTGGAAGAAGTCATTAGTTCTGGAGCAATAAAACCACAATTCATGAAACGCACAAATAACGACACATCCCAACATGATGCAGAGGCCTTGCGTTCTACCGATCACGTCGATGACGCGCGCGAGCGGCAGCTTGCTGACTCCTGCCACAATGTTGGAGATGATTCCGGTTGCCGCCATCAACCCGTGAAGACCGAAGTTGCTGACGGCATATGGCAGCAGGGAGCTGGCAATTTGTTGCTGGAGGGAGTCTGTGAAGAAGACAAGCCAGATGCTGTGCTGATGTTAGTTACTCGATGCGATTTTCGTCTATGATGCTGCATACAAGACGTAGGCCACAATAAGCCATGGCTTGGTCCATGTCTGGGTCAACGCCTCAATCTTCTCGATACCGGCGAGACCACCGGTGTTGGGGTCGATATCGGAGCCGGAGTCGGGCTTCTCGTCGACGATTTCGGGGTCCTTGTCGTCGACCTGGCGGGGGGCGGGATCCTCCGAGGCAATCTCTGGGGTGCCAGCGGCTTGGTTCGAAGTCGGGAGCCCCATGATGGCGAGCGTGTCAACACAACACGACTAGGCGAATCAAGGAGGCCGATCGGATCGATGAGTTGTGTCGGTCGCAACGACGAATTCGAGATGGATGCGACAGCAAGATGGGTTCTTGTAGTCTCCAAGGAATCCTGAATCGCCAAGAGGCAGCCTGCATGGCGGGTGGGAACACCACATGGTAGTGCGCAGTTTACCGGACGCTCATCCCGCGTTGAGGAGTTCAAACGACGGTCTTGGCCATGGAAAGTAACGTCGACCGACGGCAGGCGACATGGTTCTCGGGCGGCTTCGGCCAATCTGCGCATGAAGGCAGACAGGAGACTGGTTGAGTGGCTCGCTAGAGCCCCGAAGGATCGCGATGTGGATTCGGGGGCCTAGATTGATAAGATCAAAATTTTCACGACTCACGGGGGTGGTGCCATTGGAGGATCGAAATCCATGGCACTGGGCGACGTTTGCTCTAATATGGGTATCTATTGGACGCGAATCCATTTCCGTCTTTGATGCCGATAACTCAAAGGGTACGTGGCCCGGCTCATCAGATGACAACCCAATGAAGGATGAGATGTGATATGGGTCGAGTGCATCGGGTCGTGACCTTTGGAGGCATCCAGAATGTCCATCGCGAAAGTTAGGAACAGAGAAGCGGAGAGCGCCGCGGCATATGCTCCGATACGGCGTAGAGCCTTGTGAAGCACCCAAATCCTCTCTGTCAACAGGGAATAGCATGTCTTGTCAAGATCCCTGACGGCTTGGCAAAGCTGTGTGGCCAAATACGAGCGAATTCTGAACTGTTAGACTACCCGACGCTGGCGTGAAGATTTCGTTCTGATCTTATCAGATTATCGAGGTAGAAGGTTCACCGTTGTAAGTCTCGCATCGCAGCTGGTAAATGATCAATTGATAAAGGCTCCTAGGAATACTCCTCTGACTATCTATGGAGACCGCAAGCAAAAGCGCTTGAAAACGCCGACGGACAAATGGTCGAGTCGCAGAGGCTGCAGCGCCCACCACACCACCTTGGCGGGAACACCGTCGCAGCGGCACTGGAGAACTCGTCCCAACTGTGAACTCTCCCCGCCCGGTCAATTGATGCCTGCCAGTTCGTTCTCGGCCGAAGTCTTGAGTGATTGGCTTGTCAACGAGTCCGCCCACAAGCCGTGCTGCCGGGGATGCCGTACATGATTGAAGTGCTTCTGCGATCATGTGGGGGTTAGGATAGACAAACTCACCATCGCCGGGCATGTAATTGTGGCAGACACGTTCCTAACACCAACTGATTCAGACATCACTGAGATAAGAATATTCTCTCGTCTGCGGCAGAGCAACACCAGAAGAAACATTGCGTGCGCTCCAAATCTCAGGTAGCTTCTAATCCTGAGTAGCAAGAAAAACATCCATCTGCCTGTGGATTTTAATGGCGGAAAGTTGTTCGACTTCATTGGCCAGGATGTAGACATTCGAAATCGCTGATTGGCGTATCGTAAAACCATTCCGTAGATATCTGAGCCGCGTTGGGCTTAGACTTGAGCATGGCGAGATCTGATCATGTTCCAGAATCGCAAATATACCGGTGAAGGCCGCGTCTTGCGGGGCCGGTGGGATAGCCGGCGGCGGGCATCCTTCGGCGCCGGACGTTTCGGAGGGCCCGCCGACCGGGCTCACAAGAATCATTCATATTTGACTCTGTTGACCTGCAATCCTTCTCGTGCAAAGCTTCCACTGCTTTGGGATCCCGCAAACCTATAATCACGGCGTCTTTTATAAGTTTTGCCATGTGCGTTCTTCGTAACAATCGGCCCCGTACTAGCTGAAAACCTTGGCAGACTCATCAGCGGGTAAGTGACTAACGGCAAGATTATTTACTTACACATAGGATCTTCTCCTCCGAAAACCAACACAATGGTCTCATGATTGAGTGGGATTCGACTTTGTGGTCCAATTCATCATTGTCCGCCCTTGTCCTTACTGTCCATCACCATGGCTGAATGTTGATGCCGGCCCTTATTTTCAGCGAAATCTCCTCATCCAGTCGTCGTCACACCATGACATTCACAGGAGTCACTTTTCCAAGCCGAGAAAGAGATCATTGTTAGTAGAAGAGTACTGAGCGGCCTCCACAAAATTTGAGAAGACAGAGGTCCAGCTCTGAGTCTCTGCCAACTCATTTCCTTGTTTTGGAAGAGCACGGTCGGTACACGCGAGCCGCGGGCTGCGCGGAAATCTGGGGCTCTCGATCTTGTTTCCAAAGTTGGCGCCGCGGATCTCCCGGCGTGCAGGCAATATCAGGGGCCGTGCTTCGGTGTGTAACGCTGTCGTTGTAATGCCAAGATCATACGAACTTATCACGGAAACATTCTTGATCTTCATCTCCTCTCCTTCGCATTTTACGTTGCATGCGTAATCTCCAGATGCATCGTATTCCAGAAAGGTGCAGCGTAAAGCTACGAGCTTACACTTCGAGCAGAGTGCATTGAAACCCTAAATTGCAAGTGCTATTGGGCGGTGTACTTTGCCTTGGAGAACCTGGCTCTCATCGCTGGTCTGTTGTTCAAGATGTGATTAAATACCGTTTCTCCCCTCGTGTTGAGATCTTGAGAATGAGTTGTAGATTCCCAAGCATCGGACCAGACTCAACAAGTTCCTCACACTCTTTTGCCAAAATGAAGCCTGTTCTTAGTTTCGTTTTACCTTTCCTTCCAGGGCTACTTGCCCAAGATCCTGGGTTGCCAGTCTCTAACCCCAGCATATCGTACTGGCAACTTCCTCCTCTTGACGGTATTGCCGATCATCAGTCCCAGCAACTTCCTGCCGAAGCTGATGTCGTTATCATCGGATCCGGAATGTCGGGCACCAGCATCGCGTGGCACCTCCTCAAGGACAACACCACGAGCCCTCTCAGGATCGCAATGATAGAGGCTCGACAGGCTTGTTCGGGTGCTACTGGGAGAAACGGCGGTCATATCAGGCCTTCGTCTTACTCCGAGTACGCTGGTGCTAAGGAGTCAGTATCGCAGACCGAAGCCGCCAAGATTACGAGACTCCGATCCGCTCATGTCGACGCCCTGATATCAGCGGCCAACTCCCTGCCTGAAGAGGGACGTCAGGCGGCCGAAGCTCGTGCTGTGGATAGCATTGATGCATTCTTTGACGAGAACGAATGGAAAAATGTTATGCAGCAGTTGGAGGTGTTGAAGAGAGAGGTTCCTGATGTTGGCAAAGAATGGACTATGTTTGGCAAAGAGGAGGCTCGTAACGTGAGTTCCATGGCTCAATGGTCCGCCGAAAACGACACTAACGCAGACAGATCTCTCTGCTTACAGAGACGGTGGGAATCTTGACCGGAACGCCAAAGGTTGCGGGTGCCATTTGGCCGTATCGTTTCATCACACATGCCCTGAAGGCTCTCCTGGACGACTATCCCAGCTTTTCTCTTGACACCAGCACGGCCGCCTTGAATGTTTCCTCCATTGTTGATACTTCTTCAAAGTTCAACTTTGAGGTCACCACTAGTCGAGGCAAGATCCTGGCCAAGAATGTCGTCTATGCGACGAACGCCTGGACACCCCATTTTGTCCCTGGTTTGCGGGGAGTTATTCAAGGAGGCCGGTTGCACATGAGCGCTCAACTTGGCGGAAGCGGCCTTCCGAAAGCTGGAAGTTGGCCATCTTACACTGGAAACGGCAGTCTTTCCGGAGGCCGCGCATGGTCGCTGTTCCGTAACGGCCTGGACTACATCGTCCAGATGCCCCGTAACGGAGAATACATGTTCGGAGGCGGCATCGAGGGTGACGAGCCTGGCACGGCTTTCCCTAGCGACAGCGGCCCTCCTAACCACGCTGCTGTTTCCTACCTCAACGGTGCTTTGCCGAACTACTTCGGATATGACACCTACGGAGCTGAGAGAACGGACTTTCCAGAAACCTCTGATGCCAACGTATGGCCTGGTCGAACCAAACGCGTCTGGGTGGGTATTGAAGGAAGCTCGTCTGATTCCCGGCCATACGTGGGACGCCTGCCAGAGACTGCCACAAACAGGGCCATCAGAAATACGACATCGGGAGGAGAATGGGTGTCGGCTGCTTTTGATGTCGAGGGGATGTGCTTCGCATGGCTATGTGGACGTGCCCTCAGTCAGATGATCAAGACCGGTAGCTCGGGCACGAACTCAACTGCTGGTCTCCCTGACTGGTTTCCCCAGTCATTCCTTGTTACGGAGGAACGTCTGTCCAAGGGGAATATCACCCGGCGTGGCAAGAACAACTGGATGTATCCTCGCATGGCAAATGCTCTTCGATGGTACTGAGAGTTTAACGACTAGGAGCAACTGTCATTAATATTATCTGATTCCCTGCGGCGTTTGGGATCATCTCGGACAATACCCTCGCGGTGAAAGCTTTTAGGCTTTGGAGGCGCAATGTAGAATCCCGACCCGGAAGGTTGCCGTGTTCCACGGAACCGTCGCCACCATTGGGTGGCGTTAGAAAATGAGAACCTTGCTACTAGAGGTTTCTCCGATATTTAATTCTAAGACAGATATATGAAGAAATGTTCCCCTCTGCCAGTACACTTTTCATATCAGCTGTATAATTGTATCACCATCACCCGTCGATAAGACCTACACGCAACCCCTTTGTGACTATGGATCCGTTTCAAAACCTACCGGCAGAAATTCGACTACAAGTTGTGGAAAGCATAGATACGCGAGAGGACGTCGCTGCGCTTAGCCTAGCGTCTCCGGCTGTATTCCAACAATGTCAGGTCGACAGGGCTTCTATCAAGCGTACTTTTGTCGCCAAGGACCTTGATAACGGGCTCATCGATGACGCCATGGCTATTATCACCTTCCCAAGGTGGAATCTCGGTACTGAAGATCGAAAGCCATTCGTTCATGCTCACTTAACAAGATGGGCATCCGGCGAACTATCGATCGAGCCACACAAGGCAGACATACTGCTTCTCCTGAAGCTCGACGCCCTCTGTCAGTATATCTGGCTTTACATTGACGACTACCTTTCTAAATCCACTGCTTGTTCACTACCGAAGGCCTACAAGTCAATGCCGCGAATACCACGCAAGTCAACAGTCGCAGGTTTCACAAGGAGAGGTCTCATATGGCCATGGCAACGCAGAAAATTCGATATTACAAAGCTCACTGAAGGAGAGAAGACAAGAGTTTTCCGAGCCTTTCTTCACTATGAGATCTTATGCAAAGTATACGGACCCCAGAGGGATGAGCGGATCAACTTTCTTCAGAAACCTTCACCGTCCAACGCAAATACCCTTCAGGGGTTTCATGGTCTATCTGGGCCCTTAACCTATTGGAAATGGGACATACTCTTCAGTTACAGCTTAGCTCAGGCTTCAGAGGCAGATCTGGATCTTTTGGCATGCGTCCGCGAGTATCTTCTCACTCTTTACTATGGCCTTATCTCCAGCGACCTGACGGTTCGCAAAGCGAAAATCAAGCATCCGGAGTTTGAGAATTCGCCCTTTCTCAACCCCAATAATTTTGCGAAATGTTACAGCACTGATCATCTCATCTCTATGATGGCCAGCGGTGGCTTTGATCTCGTCACCAGCATGCTTCGACTTGATCGTAGCAAGCTGAAACCTTTCTTGAAAAGGTTCTCTAATAGTCTTGCGGCAAGAAACACAGAGCAGGTGGATGTTTCCCACCCAGTCTTCCAACTCCCTAGAGCACCCACAGGAGGACATACGTCGGATTGGTGGAACTGTGATGGCTTCACACGGCTGATGAGACAAAGAGCATATGCATTGTTTGAAGACAATCGCTTTTACCCGGGTATAGGCAGATTGCCAACATTTGACGAATATAAGGAGTGTTGCCGGCTCCGAGGATTCTGTCCACCTCCCAATCGTACTTTTCCAGCTGGTACTCAACTGATAGCATACGGAGCAACAAAGCACAACTGCCTTGGCAACAAATTGAACCCCTTCTGGGATAAAGATTCTTGCTAGAGTAGTTGGTATAAAGGGAGATATCCGCACGCTGTAGAGAGTGAGGTTCCGGACGTCAATCAGATGGTGAAAGTTGGGCTTTTTGGAGGGCTGAGGCCCACGCTGGGGAAATCAGATATAGATCTGGAGGTTTGCGGCCTTGATGCCCTCTTTTTTACATACAATACATCCATAATTTCAACAGTATTTTAGAGCCCTTACAAGGACTACAAAACCCACGGATAAACGGCCTATGGCCTTCCCCTGTGTTTATCCACATCCTCAAAGCTGGAATTCATTCCAAACGATCAGACAAGGAAGGTGCTTCATTCGAAAGAGTGCCTGCAGCCTGCTATTCAATGCAGAAGCGAGGGAAGCGGTCTGGTGGCATGGGTTTGGGACTTTGGTTTAAGGGTGGTAAGATCAGGCTGGCGGTTGTCACGTTCAAAGCGGGCACTTTACGTGTGAAGGCCATTTTGCTAGCGATTCTTGCGGTCATTTATCTTCCTGCGCCCACCTATTAGCCCTTTTCGATTGCTCCAGCGTCATCAGCCGCCCGTATGGTACCGATTGTTGAGTATTTGAGATGACACGTTGGTTGGGAATCTATTTAAGTAGGTACCCCAAGTGAGGCAGACTCACAACTGCGCCTCCATCAGTTCCTTCAATTGGTGGATCAAATTAGAATCATTCCAGGGTCTAGAATAAACTTATCAGTTGATTACTAGCGTGTTGTGCCGGCAATCGGCCTAAAGGCAACCGTCCCTTTCTGCCATTATGATTATGTTCCATTAACATAATCTCTTTCTTCCCGTTGCGCCAACATCATGGAGCCTTCCCGTGGGCATCGCGCACATGCGCCCGAGGATTTCGGGATCGAGTTTGATGAGCTTCCAGCTCTATCCCTGAGCTTTCCCAGCCAGTCAACGCAATACTCAAACCGTAACAGCGAAGAAGGATCAATAACCAATTCTCAAGATCCACCGGAGCGCACCAACAGTACGAAGTCAACAGCCTTTTTTTCAAAGTTCAAGGACTAATCTCTTTTGCAACGCAGAATATGTGAGCTCTAAGGCTGATCCGGTCCTCGAAACATTGTTGGACAAAACTGCCTCGAGCGCTGAGGAGGGAAATGAAGCCCCGCGAACGGCGCGTGAGCACCAAACCCCGAACTGGACGCCGAAGTGGCTTCGAACCACGACTCTGGGCCTTTTCGCCGGGCTCTTTCTTCTTTTCGCCCTTTGTCTTGCTGCATTACTGGGATACTCCCTCCACCGCGACGGCCTGTTCAACATCGGTGACGGCACAACTCAGCTGTACGTGTGGAGATTTGGCCCTACCGCTAGTAAGATGTCCCTAACCATCCCATGATGCAGGTTACATCTTTGATGGCAAGGTTACTAACATTACTTCCGCTCAGCTCTCACTTTGACGGCAATTTTCTGGACCAGAGTCGAGTTTCAGGCTATGCTGTATTTGCCATGGATATCACTCGGCGGCAGCAAGCCTCTCACGAAGGAAACCTTGACACTTGACTACACAACCATGCTATCGCCCATGGTTCTTCGGCGGTCGTGGCGCGAGAAACACTATTTTGTCTTCTTCACCGTCCTTGTTTCTTTTCTACTCAAGGCCCAAGTCCTGTTTGCTCCCAGCTTGTTCAGCATTTCCATTCAAAGGGCTGATCATGACGTCGACATCAGCCTCCGCGACATATTTGACCTGGACATTGACAATGAGGGTCTGGAAGAAAGCACCGCCTACTACATGTCGAAAGCACTTCGAAATTTCGATGTACGTCCGCCCTATGGTGTCACCAACAACCTTGCCTATCAGACATTCACCAGATCCGATGGTTCACGTGGAACAGTCAACGAACCATTGACGGCGATTGTGGATGGTCTCTTTACGGGCGTGGAGTGTCTGAAGCTTCAAAACCACCTTATTGCGGACCAACATCGCAAGGAGCCTGGCTTGAGCGGGGAAGACGTGCAACAGTTAATAGTCAGCCTCGCCCTTCAGTTTGAAGGCTGTGAAGATTATATGCGATTCGGCGACTTGGAAATTCTTTTTACGAAGACGAACGATTACGACGCGACCTGGGTGCTGAACTCCAATCTGGCGCCTGATCGGCCTTGTTCCAACTTACCGCAGCAGAGCCCCCAGTTTGTATACTTCGCCGGCGTCTTGCGGCAATCGCCCGACGACAAATTCAAGGTGGAGGTTGTGAACCAAGCCGCTGTGCTCTGTGCGTCGAATGCATCGATAGCCAAGGTTCAAGTCATCGACGATGGGATCGACCCGAAGGTCACGCTGCTCCCGGACCAACCTCGTACCCCGGTGGCGGCCAACTTTTGGAAAATGATTGCCAGCGCAGTGCCGCCAATGTATAACGATGTGGACGATGGCCATACGAACAAAGCGCCAGTTGAGGCCCTGGCCAACGTACTCCTCGACATGGAGCTTCCAGTGGAGAGCTATGACAGCGAGTTGATGCATCAATCCGTATCAAAGCTCTTTGAAGCCTTGGGTCCTCTTGTCGGTCACTATCGACTTCGTCAGCCCATCAACGACACCATAACCGGATCCGCAACAATGGCTAGACCTCGGTTACTCGTCACTCCTTGGATTTGTGCATCGATGCTGACCATTTTCTGCATCGTGTCGTACATAGCAGGATTCGCGGCGTGGAGGCACTCAGGCAACGCCCAAAGGTGGGCCAAAAACCCCACGACAATTTTGGGGACTTTACATTATTTCTACCAGAATCCAGAGGTCATGGCCCAGGTTGAATCCCTACTCCCGCTGGAAACTCTGATGACTTTATGGAGTCATAACAAATTCACACCTTTGGTTTTGCGATCATGGGTGCGACTAGCGTTTCTCATCGTCAACACGGTCGTCGTTGGATGTCTCGTCACGCTGCTCCTGCTATCAAACTCCAACCATGGACTCACAGATGTGAACGTCGAAGGGTACTCGCACTTCGTTTGGGCGTCTCTCCCAGCCTTTGTGGCCCTTGGCATCGCTTTATACATCAGCTCGCTTGATCGGATCCTCAGAGAACTTTCCATACTTTACAGAGCTTCTGCAAAACCCAGTGGCATCCGGGATCTTAACTACTCTCTCCTGGAAATGACAGGGATCCGAGCACTGTTCTTTTCCCTGCGCCGGCGTATATGGAGCACGAGTCTCTCTCAAGTGCTTGTGATAGTCTGCAGCCTGCTGACGTCACTGGCATCGGTTCTCTTCACAGCGACCATGACCCCGATGTCAAGCACTACTAATCTCCGGCAGGACACATCGTTCAGCCCCCGGAGATCGAATTTCGCTTACGGCGCGGACAAGAACTATCTTGCAACGCAAAGAGCCGTTGCAAGTGTTTTGCTGAGCCAAGGCGACGGAAACTTGACTTTTTCGAGGAATACGTATGATGACATGATTTTCAACGTCTATTCAACAGAAGACGCCTTAGACGATTCCACGGACTTGTCGGTCAGCGCCACCATCCCAGCAACAAGGCTTGAGGGAAGGTGTTCAAGGATTCCACGCGATACGTACGACATTGGAGTTGCCGAAAGCCCTAACGGCAATCCAGCCCCTTACTTCGCCCAATCGCTCGTCTGCAATGGCACCGAACACCCTTCTATCCGCGGTAGGGAATTCATATATGTGCTGAGAACGGACGATGACCCGGCCGGCTCGACTTACTTCGCCGACGTGGTTAACCCACCTGTCGAGCTGAACCTCCTATCGAAGCATCACTGTAAGAAAGAGTTCAATGAGACAGCAATGTTCTATCTTTACCCGGCAACGTCACGGGTCTACAAGCTCGTCTGGGGTGAGTTTTCTCAAGACGCGGGCGAGCTGAAATTTTTCTCCGCCTGGGAATGCGATTACTCCTGGTACGACGTGGCGACCGAGGTCAACCTGGTAATCGTCGATGGCGCGCTTAGCATCGACCCCCAAAGACCTCCCCGGCCGAACTTGGAAACTTCCAGGCCGCGCGATGTGCCTCTGGATGTGCCGTACACCGGAGAGGTCTACGATCTATTCCAGGACAACCTGTTCCCGACAATCGTTAGAAACGGGACGAGTGAGAAAGCAACGCGATTCGCATCCCTAGTGCAGCCGAACGGTCCGCTGCCAAAGGAGATTTTTGGCGACCCGGAACGGGAGATGGAAGTGCTGGAGCACGCGAATCACATTTTCGCCTTTGCCGCCGCGAACATTGCTAGCCGACACAACAGAGCGGGCAATGGTCTGAACTCAACCGCGTTGTCTGATGTGCCCGACCCCGAAAGTCTGCCTTCCGTGGAGGCGCGGCTCTGGCAAAACGACCGGCACCGACTCGTGCAAAGTCCAGGAGTTACGTATGCTTTGGTGGCAATACTAGGACTAGTCATCTTCGTCCTTGTTTGGAGCTCGCTCTCCGACATGGTTGCGCGGCATCGCAGAGAGACGCACAGGTGGCTGCTGGAAATGGATATCAGGGACCTGGCACCCGAAGGGTTCCGAAGCATTGCAGCGATGGTTGTTTTGTTACGCGACTCCAACGTTTTGGGCTTCTTTTCTCCAGATTCTGGGGCCATGTCATCCAAAGAGCTTGCTGCTAGTTTAGGTGATCTCCACTTCCGCTTGGGATGGTTCAGAGATGAAAAGAAGGAGGAAATGGTATTCACCATAGGTATTGATGATGGTGACGGGTTCAGGTTCATGGGCGGTAAGAACGATTTGGGGAAGGAGTAACTCTTACATTGATACAAGTTGAATTAGTCTTGCCCAGATTTAACGTTCATGGGTCGCCCTATCTAGTAGACTGAGCAAATCGCACATGATTTTCTATCTGTGTCGTCTCCAGCGATTTCGTTCATCACTGCTCGCCCCCCTGCGTCTCAGCTGGTCCTTCGGTTCAGTCTATCTCAGTCTGCTCAGTATCTTCAGAATTCCCACTGCTGGTGCTATTGTAGAAGGTCTTCCATCCCTCAAAGTGACTCAAAAGATGCTCTATTGCAGTAAGTACCTCCCAAAGCCTACTGTAGGAGCCGTCTTCTACAAGATCCTGCGTTTGAACTGTTATCTTCCACATAGGCCTCAAGATCGCCATGATCTCTGCCAACTGCAGCCAGTCATTAGCAGCCAAGGCATCTTGGAATGGTACAGGATCTTTAACATTCTGAGAAGAACAGAAACCCTCTACTTCATCTTTGAGGCGAATATCAGGCTCAATCACAAGGTATGTGGAGTTTCATCTCGCGGCATTGTCTTGGATTGATTCAACTTCTGTAGATATCTGCTGAGAGAACAGAATATCACCAGACTGATCAGAAGCTTCTGATATCTTGTGAGATAGGATTTTGAACCTCTGCATATTTTGCAGCGAAGGTCTAATGAACTTCACAACATTATGAAGCTTGCCAATAAGAGAGTAAAACATACATTTATGATCAGGCGAAATCTGCCCCTGCCCTTGACTACGAATTCGAGAACCAACGGGATCTTCGTTTCTACGTGCTAAACCACTTAAGATTGTCCTGAGACTTTCTTGGATCAGCGCAGGTACTCAGTTAGCTGCAGCGAACAGACCTCGTAATTATACCTACTTCAACACCACTATTGAATAAGCGCAGATTCTGTCAGAAACAACAGCCATGATCTATTCGAGCAACCCCGGCAAGGTGCTCGTCTGTCCTCGGCAGACGAGATCTCCGTATGGGCCGTGAAATAACGCAGGACCGTCCCCCTTGTTCTAAGCTCTGCTGTTTACTGGACTTTTTCCGCATGTGTAATTCACCTGATAAGCTCATGAGTATCCGTTCTTGATGTTCCTCGACATGGTATCGTCCTCGTGGCCGGATGCAGGCTCATCCGAACGGTCTCTCCACAAACCACCCTGTGCGTTGTTCTCATCTAGCAAAGCCACATGCAAGTGGTATATATCGGAGACGTCGTGATCCGGACTCGACTTTGATTAGCGTCACGTCAATTGACCACGTCTCTGGGTTATGTTCGTCAGATCTTTGCCTTTGTCGTGCTGGCGCGTGATGGTACCGCGAGCTTGGGTATCAGTCAAACCGTACCCCAGGATTCGGACCGCTGACTTAGCATCCGGATATCTCGAAGCCGGCACTCCATCGGCTTCTGCCCACCAATGAGAAAGTTCGTAATTCACATGGTCTAAGCTATTGTCTTGAACTGGACAATGATTTCCCCGGGTTGGGGCGTTCCCGGCGCTAGTGCCTGTGGATTGCTAGCTTCAGAATAGTCAGTAAACACAGTTGGTGTCAAAGCTTGACGTGACGATCATTCCAGTTCTCACGTACGCTAGGCGACATCAAGTCAGGTTCTTACGTTTTTGGCTTCGCTAGGCAAACAAACAATTACGGGAGAATGATGATGAGGGCGGTATGATGAGAGCGGTAATCTGTTTGCATTGTATTGGGTGAAGCATTTAAGGTGAACATGTTTCCCCCAGAGCTGAGGGTGACAATCCGACCAACGAGCAGCTTCATAGTTCGGATTATCTGCTTTGTACATTCGCAGAAGAATATCATTAACCGTTCATAATGCATTACAGAAGCATCACGGTAGCGTTGGCCGCAGTGTGCGGTGTTGCCGCTCAGCGTCCCGCCGATACCCCGATTTGCGACTACTACACCACAGCGCTGCTGAAGAACAACACTGCTCAGAATCAGTACACTCTGCTTACCCTTCTCGTCAACACTGTTGTCATTGGAAACTGTGAGAAACCAGACCCAGAAATCACCAGAAGAGATGACATACTGACCCAAAGCGACAGACACAACACCCAATGTCGGAGTCAAGGTTCCTGGTATCTTGGCCGCCGGCAACTACAACGGCGCGGATGTGAACCTGTTGCCTTACTTCAACGGCGGCCTGGCTTCCTCGAACCGCGGAGGCAGCTCCGGAGTGTCGGTCAACTTCCTCGATGGCGGTGGCGCTGCGCCTCTGATGAAGAACATGCCCGCCAACGATGACAAGTCCAACCAATAGTAAGCAGCTGAACTATCCACTCTCTCCTCGCAATCAATATCCTGACATGGAGTCTACCAGCTTCCTCTTGACTCATCTCTACCAATTCTTCGGCGCTCTGCTTGGTTGCACCCAATACGGAATGGTTGGATTTCCTTCTTACGATGGCCATGCGTCCATGTACCAGGTCCACAAGTTCATGGACTTGGACGTGAACGAAGTCGGATACTTCATCCAGCAAGTTGCCATGGCCGGCGCTTCTTTCGGAGTCGCCCAAGATGACCTCAAGGCCGTCGGCATGGCACTCAACCAGCTCTTCGGAATGCGCTGCAGCCCGCCGGCTGTGGCCATTCCCGCTCAAGGCCCGCAGCTCCAGGCCATCTGCATCGAGAACTCCTGCCCCGTTTCGCCGAATGCCACATGTGCCAGCTATGAGCCAGCCATGGCGCCCAGCAACTCGACAGGAGGAGGTATGAATGCGACGGGCACAATGACCGGCACTGCTTCGACATCAATGGCGACTGCGACGGGAACAATGGTGCCGAGCACTGTTCCAACGGCTGGTGCTGCTATTCAGGGCGTCAGCTTGGCTGCTGTTGCCGGAATCTTTGCCCTGCTGCTTTGAGACTTGTGCAAAGCACAGTAGGCTTGTGGCTCTTTTAGGCCTCATGTACATGTATTGGTCAAAGACTGCGACCCAGTTTCATCTCATATATAACTAGGCACTCGTACCATAATATTCATCATCATGTTGTTGAAGTGCAGTAGTATTCATCTGTGCAACTATGAGAGTAAAGCTGCTAGACCGCCTTGTCTGCGCATTTTGACGCACGGAAATTCCTTGCTGTTGAGCTCTTAGAAAGGAAACCGCTACTTATTATCCAGTTTCAATGGTACACCGAAAAATCTCCAAGATCACACCAATAATGTCAATGTTTCAATGGATAGATAGGTATGATATTTACAGAAATTTCAACTGCTTCCAGCATTTGAAGTGAGAATAGGATTTCTTGGTGTAGGGATGTCCATCCTCATTTATAACTCCGGTGACGTCTGATTGGATGGGACCATGCCCGGCATTCTCTTCCTACGACAAGCTCTTATTAGACCTCAACATACAAGAGAACAAGAACGAACAGAAACGAACAAAAACACAAGTCGCCCTGTTCTCGCTTGGACTAGTTGAATTTTACGACACATTTTAGGAGTCTCATGAAGTACGCGTCGCTGTGCCACACTTAGTAACCCGGTCGGCTTAACTCTCGCCTGAAGGCCGACCGTCGACGGCGATTTCAAGGCCGAGCCGTAGATGGCTGCTGACGCCGAAGTGTTTCACTGATTTCCTTTTCCCCAACGCACACCGGTCCTTGACTCAGAGCGGTCAATGCAGCTACCAGCCAAATTAGTGGCTGCGGAATCCGGCTCCGACTATTTGACGTCACATATGGTACAGCTCCCTTTGTAAAGCCCGAAATGGACTCGGTGTGCGGGCTTGAGGCATCGCCGAGGTCCTCTCGTGCGACGGCGCCGTCGCGCCAATGCCATCACCACTCGTCCGTACCTTGTGACGCGAATCGTGTCTTGACAGCTTGTCGTCTGGTGATATCTGTTAACATAAGTGGTATATTAAGCGACATGCCCAGTTGGTTTGGTCAAGAGTATTTACTTCGTCTGTAAGCAATCTCAAACCCCACACCAAACTTTCTCCATCTTATTACATCACGACTATTCTACCTCATGTCTTCACAATCTTCTTTGAAAGTCCTCATCGTTGGCGGTGGCATCGGCGGCCCGGCGCTGGCTTTTTGGCTGGCGCAGCTGGGTCACGATGTGACCATCGTTGAAAGAAACCCGGACTTGCGCGCGAGTGGTCAACAGATCGACATTCGCGGCCAGGGGGTCTCGGTCATTCGCCTCATGGGTATTGAGCCCGACATTCGCGCCAAGGTCGTCAACGAGGCAGGCATCCGGTTCGTCAATAGGGCTGGCAAGACGCAAGCCGTCTTTGAAGCGAACAAGACCGGGGTGGGAAGACAAAGCTTTACCTCGGAATTCGAGATCATGCGCGGCGACCTTGTGAGGCTTCTCTTCGATAGGACGCAGCCGCTCGGTGTCAAGTACATCTTCGGCAACACCATCGAGTCCCTTGAACAAGACACCGACTCTGTCACCGTACGCTTGACTGATGGCACTACTGGCACGTATGATCTCGTTGTTGGTGCCGACGGCCAGGGTTCCAGAACACGGCGGCTCATGCTTGGCCCTGGAGAGAAAGACCCTTTCGTCCCGTTCAACCTGCACACAGCACTCTTCACTGTGCCAAGGGAGAAGACCGATGACAACTACGCGACTGTATGCCTGCTTCCCAAGCAGAGGATGATGATGACCAGGACCGACAATCCCCACACCAGTCAGGTGTACATGGGTATGGTGCCACAAGACAAGGAAAGCGACAGGCTTCTACTGGAGGCGCAGAAGAACCGGGACCTCGAGGCTCAAAAGCGCATCTGGATCGAGATGTTCAAAGACGCCGGCTGGCAGGCCCCTCGCTTCCTGGAAGCCCTGGAGGAAGGCGGTGTCTCGGACGACTTCTACAACTTCCAGATCGGACAAGTCCGGATGGACAAGTGGTACAAGAACCGTGTTGTTCTTCTCGGTGACGCTGGCTACGGGCCGAGTCCCATGAGTGGAAAGGGCACGACGTCTGCGTTCGTGGGCGCATACGTTATCGCCGGTGAGATCACCAAGCACTGCACTGGACCTTCGGCGAAAGACGGCATTCCTGCTGCGCTCGAGGCGTATGACAAGGCTATGAGACCCTTCATGAAGACGGTGCAGGACATCAGCTTCAGACCAAATCTGCTTTACCCAAAGTCGGCGTGGGGGATTACCGTCATCAACACCATCCTGTGGCTCGTCTCATCGCTCAAGATTGACAAGCTCTTTCAAAAGTTGCAGTCCGATGATGTTGAAGGTTGGCAACTGCCTGATTACCCTGCGTTGCCAGTCAAGGGCACGAAGAAAGCTGCTTGAAGGAGGGATCAAATGTAATTTAATGACGTTAGGCGTTTATCGTGTGCTGGGATGACTGCACCGCTCAATTTTTACTGTTCTTGGAAATTGCAATTGCATATTTTCACATCCGCGCACAGTGACAACAACTTCGCTCAATTTTTACTGTTTCTGGAAGTTGCGATTGCACACTCTCGCATCCGCGTAAGGCACTGGTACAACTTCAACGCTCATTTTTTACTGTTTTTGGAAGTAGCAATTGCATGTTCTCACATCGCTGTCCTAGGAACCCGAATTGCGGCCTGGATTCGCGACCGCAGGCCTGGCCTCGGCCGCCGGCTAATCGTGATGGCTTAGGCGATCGTCACTTGGCGGGAACCTTAGATAGTGAAGTAGAGCCACAAACACCAGCGGAAATCAGAACGGCAATTAGGGAAACAGAAACAGCAATAATAATAGCGATAGCTACAAGCAAGCAGTGAGAATTTTATCTCGCGGGATTACTGACTTTTGTGATGGTTACTCTCAATTCACCAGGGAATGGGATCTTGGCTCTTTACTGCGTAGTACATGTAGTATTCATCTTGATAATGGATGGTGTAACAGTCTATTGGTGAAGGGTCGGCCAATGATAAGGTATTGGTTTGATGAGTTTCTAGGTCATACGTGAGTAGACTGTGCTGGATCATCAAAAGGCGAAGAGAATAACCAATAGAGATGGACTCTAGATAGATGCAATGGAGGTTCTACGACCTGTTCAGTCTTGGCACGCGGGCTTTCGGACGTTCGACTACGTTGTGAGACCCCGCCTAAGGCCCAGATATGCACAGCGTCAAGGTTGTCAACGCAACGCCAAGGATGGCCTGTTCAACACAAACCCTACGGCACTTTGGTTTTAGCTACCACATGCCGGGAAGATTAAACATCCAGAAACAGTTCCTGCAGTATGCCGTCCACTAATCTGCCGCCCTCATCATTCTCAATCGTGTCTTTGAGACATTGTCTGCCTATATGGGTCTTTCAGACCACAATGTTGACTAGCAATCTCGGCGTCTGCCGAAAGTCCGCTCCGCGCCGTGCTCGTCGACCCGTAACACCATCAGCAATATCCACCATCCGCATTATGAACTTCATCGCGTGAATCGACGTATCACGGCGGCGACCCTTACTTAAGGTCTGTTAAGCCCTTAAAGTTTTAGAGTTTTGCCATCATTCTGTACGTCAACCATCGGCATACAGACGAACCACTTCGACTTGAAAGCCCCTTCTAAGTTCTGATTTTCGTTCCTTCTTTCCCGCCACGGGGAGGCAGCATTTCGTCCGAAATTGACAATAGGCAACTCTTGGATGCGCCAGAACATGGCATCAATACTGCCCACAACTATACGCATGGATGCGTCTCTGTTGAGATGGTCGCATGTGACTTCGACGGCAAGTCTTGTACTTCTAACGACACTTCTTCTGGGAGTGCTGTACAAGGCCACTTCCCGAGCGGTCAAAATCCCGAAGCCTCTTGATGAGGAAGTACCCAATCTCTGGAGCAGAAAGCAGGCATTCTTCACAGATGCAAGGAGACTGTTGGAGAAGTACCACCACCGGGTATGTCAAGAATCAGCATAAAGAAACTTACGATATCACATACATGATTCAGCTAACGCCTCTGTTAGTTCAAAAGCCAACCTTTCGGCATCGACGCCATGGATGGTATTGTTAGACATTCTAGCTAAGAAGAGGCTCCGGTTAACATCCAGCAGGGCTAAACATCGTGCTTCCACTGGAAACCATGGATGAGCTGAAAAGCAATCCGGCCGTAGAATTTAGAGCAACCATCGAGCGTGTGAGTTGCTTTGAGCCTTTGCCCAGTGAAGTGATGCTTACCATTATGAAAGGAGTTCTTGACACCATACACCGGCGTCGGACAGATCTATGACTGGGGCGTACACGAGATTCGGGCGAGGATGAATCCGACTTTGGGTACGTGGTGTACGATATCACTATTTGGTGCAATAAGTCAAACTTACTCTAAAGCCAGGTGCTTATGTCCCGATATTCCACAATCTCATTCAGGGCCATCTCGAGAAGTCGTTTGGAAGCCCGGCAGGTATGTTCCGACAGCCGACCCTTTCGAGTCTCTCTTCATGACCGCGCTGACACCGCGCTTTCAGAATGGACAACGTTCAAACCTCACGAGCACATCGTTGAGCTGGTGGCGATTCTGTCAGCCAGGATCATGCAGGGCGAGGACGCTGCTCGAAACCCCGCCTGGATCAAATTTGCGCTATCCTTTGTCAACACCGCGGTCGAATACGGCACCGCTCTCAAGCCGTGGCCCAAGTTCTTACGCCCAGTTGTCAAGAACTTCCTCCCCGAACGTGTCGAGATGGAGAAGCGTAAAGCGGAGGGTCGCGAAATCGTCGCCAAAGCCATGGCGAACCGGAGGGCGGCGGGGCCGGAGAACCCTCCAACGATGATGGATCACCTTTCGACTGGAGACCACGCCAACAAGGCTGATGACCTGGAGTTGCAGCTTTGGCTTCAGATGGCTCTAGCTGCGGTGAGTATTCATACTACGTCGTCCACAATGACCCAGGTCCTGTACGATCTTGCCGCCAACCCGGAGTACACCAAAGAGCTTCGCGCAGAAGTAGAGGAGGTTCTGGCGCAGTCTGGGGGCGTCTTTACCAAGCAATCGCTCGGGGAGTTGAAGAAACTCGACAGCTGGATCAAGGAGAGCTTCAGAATGGGGGGTCCAGATCTTGGTAAGTCGCTGGCCTGCTTCAGAACTGAATGAACTCTAACAATCCGAAGCCACGTTCCAGCGTTTGACTTTGGAGCCGTTGACGCTCAAGGACGGGACCTACATCCCCGTCGGTACGAAACTGGAAGTCCCTACTGCCGCCGTCAATTACAACCCGGCCATCTACCCCAATCCGGATACGTTTGATGGCCTGCGGTCGTACCGAATGCGTCAAGAGGAGGGCATGGCGCACAAGCACTCATTTGTGAGCGTCTCGCGTAATGAACTTGGTTGGGGTTTCGGGAAGCATGCTTGTCCAGGCAGATTTTTTTCCGACATCGTGATCAAGTTGACCTTTGCGGAGCTGCTCTTGAACTACGATATCAAGAACTTGGATGGACAACCGAGGCCTAAGAACACCGACTTTGGGTTGGTTGTGATGCCTGATTCGGAACACCAGGTGTTGGTCAGAGCGAGGACGACATAAGGTAACACATGTGACCCTGGATCAGGCCTTTTCCGTCAAAGTCTCCGGAATGTTTCGTAATGTCTGGTCTGCGGGTTGTAACTAAAAGATGGACAGATTTTAAAGTAATTGACTATCAATGGCACCCTCAACTTCTTTGCTTAATGATGTCGTGTTTCGAATTGCTAGCAACTTTCGGCCGAGCGGGCGGTAAGGAACATTTGATGTCGTTGAACTTAGCTTTCAAGAACATTCGTCTTGTGAAATAAGGACACCAGTGTCATGGAATTGAATTCGAACATGCGTGTTTATGGTTCCATCGTTGCCGTCGTTGCCGTTAGTGGGGTCCGTTGCTTCCGTGGTTCATCTCATGCTCATGGTATGATGTGTGAACGATTGACACGGCTAACCACCCGAATGTCGTGGATAGTGACATTCGTATGAATGTTTTGTGTTCAAATGCATCAATGAAGACCTCTATCAATCATCATTCTCGCCGTGAATGTTCAGGCTCTTCTTCGCGCGTAAGCTCATGGGGTTCAGGTTGAACAATCACTTTGTGTAAGACACACAGCCCGTCGCTGCCAACCGTGAAAAAGATGTGACAGCTGGCACCTTCTCCAAAGTCAGAGATCCACTTTAATTTCACTCCCAGCGTTGGAGACACTCTGGCGCCAAAATGAGATTTCGAGTTGCGCACACATCTCACGACACCTCAACACCAACAACACATCGTCAACAAGACGAAATGAGCAAAAAGACAAGCTGTGGGACTTGAACCCAACCCGATTTGAACGGATAACATCTTGAGAGCGGTTATCCGTATGCCGCGCAATTTCGTGAATCGCTGGAGTCGAACGCGCTGCCGTTGCGCCATAGGTCCTTGGTGACCGGCGAGGCCGAATTTGGACACATGAACCTTGCGTGCGGGGGAGAAGGGACGACAGCGGAGACATCTCGGCGAACGGGCACCGGTGTGACCCGTCATCGCGTCGAGAATCGAGAAGTTGGGTGTTCCTTGTTGTCCGTTGAGATCGGCCGAGGCTCTCATGTGTGTTTGGGCTTGACTGTAACTACTGGTCAGCCATTTCAAGCCGTAGCAATTTGCCGCTTGGGATGTAGACGCGGGAGACCAGACTCCGACCGAATGTGCAATAAAAAGCCAAACACTTTGTTGTGGGAGTGAATTGAATGAGATGCGCGGTTGAGAAATGAATTCACTAGGTGAGTGAGTCCCGACGTTGGTCGAAATGGAAGCACCAGGTAAATCCTACTTCCTTCCGTTCTCAACATCACTTCTCCGGAAGGTACCCCTTAGCCCGGAATGCCCTTTCCAGAATCTCTTGAATGACATTATCCTTCCGCTGGGTGTACTGCATGATCGTCTCGCCCAAACCCTTACTCGCCCCGGCCGCCTCGATCTTTGCCCGCGCATACAGCTCCCGATCATCCTCATGCGCCGTGAGCCACTCCTTCATGATCAGATGCCTCGCCATCTCCGCCGTGCCGACCTTGAACACGTGCAGGTTGACAAAGTACGGCTCGCTCAAGACGAAGAAGCGGTGCTCGTGCCACTCGGGCTCGCGCAGGAGGAACTGGAAACCGAGCGCCTCCAGCGCCGGCACGTACTCGTCCTCGGCCGTCGGGTTGGCGACCGCGAGATCGATGTCGATGACGTTCTTGGCGGGGAGATTCGGGACGGAGGTCGAGCCGACGTGGGAGATGCTCACGGCCGTGGGGCCGAGGGCGTCGGAGATGCGGGAGCGGAGGAGTTCGAAGTGTTCCGGCCACGCGGGGTTTGGAGGCTCGATTGTGAGGGGGATGGGGACCTTGCGGGATGCGATGCGTTGGCATTTTGAAGGATCGTCGTCGATGGGGTTGACGATGTCTTCGATTGAGCACGACATAATTGTAGTAGATCTAGGTGAAGATGATGAAATTATAGCACTTCATTCACTGAAAACGGTCTAGAAGGGGTGGAAATGTCATTAACAACATGAGTCTAGGTCTATCTCTATATGCATGCTCATGTTCGTGAATTCAAAGTTCATGTACGCTCAGACGCCAGAGTGAGTCATCCGGCGTCTTATCTCGTCTGCAGGGACCTGCATCCGTCCGATCTCAATGATGCGATCGACACCTTTGCATTTAAGGGTCCTCCAAGTCGACAAACTTGTAAGCCCAATACGCGCACCATATGAAAGTGAGTCCACAGAAGAAGAAACTAGTGAGGTAAAACACCGCCGCCTAAAGTCGTCAACACCTTTTCATCTCATGACCAGACTGGGCAACTCACCTTGCTGAGATCATTCCATCCCTGACCAACATACAACGGCGTGCACACATACACCGTCAACCCGGCCAGGAAGCACAACGCCGAATACGCCATCAGCATCATCGGCGCCTGCCACGTGAAGATCATATTCCACCGGACCTCGACGAGCGGCATCTCCTTGGGGAACCAGCCGCCCTCCTCCGCAAGCTTGATGGCGCGGATCTGGGGGATCGGCGGGACCTCCTCGAGAGGCGAGTGCACCGGGTCGACGCTCCTGCTGCGGCGGATGTAGAGGATCATGGCGAGTTCCTTGTCGATGTTGCGCTCTTTCGGTGACCGGTCGATCGTCTGGAAGATGAACTGCTCCGACGAGGCGAGGAGGATGGAGAAGAGCGAGAGGGAGATGCTGGCGTACCAGAAGGCCGGGCTGAGCCAGTGGAGGTCGTCGGGGGCCGGCCAGGAGAAGGTGCCGATGACGGCGGCCGAGACGAGAGTACTCTATCGGATGTTAGCTGGGAGGTCGACGAGAGGTGGTGGTGAGGACGCACAGCAACCTGGACGAGCTGGAACTCGCTCAGCTTGCGATCGCGCCATCGCTGGAGTTCGGCTGAGATGTCCTCATCGCTTTCGCATTCTTCGACGCTCTTGGCGATGGATAGGATGGGGAGGAGGGTGTTTTGCTGGTAGAAGCGGTAGTACGGGAGAGTGAGGATATTTGTGGCGATGGATGCGAGCTTGCCGCTGAGTGTCACGGCGGCGATCTTAGGACATCATTTGTCAGTAATTGTGAGGTGCTGGACGTGGAGAGCATTGCCATACTGCGATCTGGAGTTTCCTGCCTCCCGACGGGACTCCACGGGGGAGCTGTCCCGTCTCACCCTTTCCGATCTGATCGTCAATCTGAGCGACCTGGTGTTCCTCGGCCATGTTTGCTTCTGACCGAATGTGCTATTTTTTACAGCCATGGCTGCCCCTTGACTTTATATACATATGTGCTTCCAATGTCTCCCCAAGGCAGCAACTGGATAAACCATGCGTGCGCTGGGCAGCAGATGACTTTTTGCCTGCCCGTGACCGCGACGTCCCCCGCACCGACAGCTGATGTGCCCTCCCACACAATGTCTCAGTTACCCCAGCCTCACGACTACCAATACGAGTAGCGTCAGATGACGAATGAGGGCCTCGATTTCGGTCATGGCAAAGAAAAAGTAGCTTGGAGCTTGTTTCGACGGCCAGCGTCTGCAGACCGGTCTGCAAGTCGCAGCCGCGTGCTTGTGGCGGATGTGTGAGCCAGGTTGCTTTAGCTCCCGCGTGAATCTACAGATCAACCCGCGCTCGCGCACAGGCGGCCCCAGGCACTCAGCCCTTCTTGACCTCCGTCTGGAATTTGACGACCCAATCAAAAAATTCATCCTTGTCACCACTCCATGGTGCCTTGAGCTGCTCCGACAGCGCAACGATCTCATCGAAACACAGATTCATGACGCGATCGATCTCGTCGGGTGACAGCTCGTAAAATGCGCCTGCAAGCTCATCGAACATGTGCGGCAGCTTTCTCAGTATGCGCATTGCCTCGTCCAACCGTTTCGGAACGTCTGAGTTCTCGGCAGGCAGCGAAGGCAGGGTCTTGAGGCGTCGCTTGACGATGGCTTGGTAGAGTAGGGTGGTCAGCCTCAGGCGCTTCAGACAGGATTCGAGACGGTCGCGGATCTTGTCGGGGTCATCGCGGGGAATCGCCTGCTGGCCGCCCATTATGTCGTCGATCAACTCCTGGGTGGAGGGCATCATGGAGCCGAGGGCAGAATCGTGGTCGAGGTCGTTGGCGTCGCTATCATCGTCATCATCATCGGGCTCCTCCTCACCCCAATCCTTGAGCTCCTCCATCACATCCTTCAGCGTAGCCCTGAACTCCTCAACCTTTTTAACAAAGCAAGCACCGATCCCTCCCTTTGAGAAATTCATGACATCGTCACAAGCGGACCAGATGACACCAGTGGCAGCCATGCTTCCCTTGCCCGTTGTAGCGGCAGAACCAATCTTCTGGGCGTCGGAAAGAATCTTGCCGTCCCTCGGGATCTTCTCAACGAGACCCCTTAGCTCCTTCAAAACGGTGTAGCATTTCCATGACAGATCTTTCCGAACCGTTGCGGTGTAGCGCTCGATGTCGCAGGACTGGGCGGCCGTTGCGATGCCTGGGATGGGCCCGGCGACGAGTTCGCGGAGGACTTTGATGATGGCGGACGGCGTGAAGGGCTCGTTGATGATCAGAACAGAGATCTTGGTCGAGTGTGCTTTGATCAGGGAAGCAGAGTCGTGTGCGAGTGAGAGGGCGTCGACGGAGGAAGTCGAAGAAGAAGCAGCCTGCTGAGGATCGTCTTTACCACCGTTGATAGCGAGCAGAACGACCTCCAGCTGCTTCATAAGGGCAACGGCCGTATCGGAGAGCGTATTAAGCGCTGCGGCCGTGTTCGAGCTTGTGGACGCCATTTTGAGATCAAGATCGGCTCTCTCTCGGATGAGCAAATAGGGATGACTCAAAAATGTTGCTGGGAATAGTGACGAATCGTTAAAGGAAAGAAAATGTATCGAAAAACATTTTGCCCCGCGATTTGGAGGGGTAAGGTACGTACCTCACTGCACTGTGTTTCCTCACCGTCCCTTCCTTCCTTCCCATCTGCCAGCGCCCGGTGCTCCTTCCCTGCAGCGTCGCCCAATGACGCCGGTAGGGACCCACATCTCCACCCACAAATCACGTGATTCTGCCGTCCCTGCAGCGGCTGGCGCTGGTGGCAGCTCCGACTCCCCTGTCAGCCACTGGAACCTTGAACCCACACTGGCGTTTTGGGTGAGCTGGAAGTTCCACGACAACAGCACCTTCCGTCCTTTACCTGACCGACCTCAACCTCCAGAATTCCACCTGGTTTGGATCTGGCCAGCTTCACCACCGTCACTTCCTCACCACTTTCAATCAGACTCTGCTTTCTGCATTGATGACGGCTTTGAGGCCATAAACACCCAAACATGCGTCAAAGCTACAGCATGGTGCTTATTAGCACCCTCCTGTCTGCCGCCGCCCCGGTGTCTGCCAGCAACCTTCCCAGAGGAGTTGGTCCTGAATGTGAGTCTATTTACCTCAAGGTCAAAGGGAACCTCAGTTCTTTTGGATTGCTGCAGCTTCCATTGAACTTGAAAAGATGTTTCATTCTTTTATGCAGCGGCCCAAAGCTCCTACCTTGCCCCAATCCGATAGTGGCTCCCACTAACATGCTTCCTCTCAGTCGTCAAGTTCTTCGAGTCCAAGGAGTCCTTCACCTGCATCAGCCACCCCGAGATCAAGCTCAGCGCCAAGCAGATCAACGACAACACCTGCGACTGCCCAGATGGCTCCGACGAACCTGGCACCGCTGCCTGCTCCCACCTCGACCCCCTCTCCCCTATCCAGCCATTCGTCGGTTCCAAGACGGGCACGACTAACACCACCACTGCCCTCCCCGGCTTCTGGTGCGCCAATGAAGGCCACATCGGTGCCTATGTTCCGTTCATGTATGTCAATGACGGTCACTGCGACTACGACATCTGCTGCGACGGCACCGAGGAGTACAGCAACGTCGGAGGCGTAAAGTGCCCGAACAAGTGCGGCGAGATTGGCAAGGAATTCCGTCGTGTCGAGGCCGCACGCAAGGCCGCCATTGAGAAGGCTGCTAAGAGACGCAAGACGATGGCCAAGGAGTCTAGAGAGCTTCGCCGCCGTGTCGAGACCAAGGTCAACACTCTCAAAGCCGAGGTCAAGGGCCTCGAGGCTAAGAAGGAGGAGCTCGAACAGAAGCTCCACGAGACTGAGCGCTCCGAGCGGGGCAAGGTCGTCAAGGGCGAGGGCTCTGGTGGAAAGCTCGGCAACTTGGTGAACCTGGCTAAGAGCCGTGTTGCTGAGCTTCGCGAGACCCTCGAGGATGTCGTTGCTCAGCGCGACGAGCTCCGCACCAAGGTCTCCGAGCTCGAGGGCATTCTCAGCAGATTCAAGGAGGAGTACAACCCCAATTTCAATGACGAGGGAGTTAAGCGCGCCGTCAAAGCTTTTGAAGATTACGCCGCCGATGCTGGTAGTGAACCCAAGTCGGAAGACCTCGAGGCCGACATCAAGGAGGTTCTCACTGAGGACAATGAGAGCTCTGGCATCAACTGGAAGGAGTTCGAGGAGGAAGAGACCACCGACACTGACATGAGTAGGTGAAGCTTGACCTAGTTCATGGTTCTCTACTGACAAATCACAGTCTATAACTTCGAGGCCTACCTGCCCGAGCCCGTCCGCCAATTCATCCATGACAAGATCCTCACCGTCCGTGTTTGGCTCATCGAGAATGGCATGATGGCTGATAACGCCAAGCCCGGTGTCGAGTCTCACTTGGTCACGGCTGCCCGCGACGCCTTTAACGCCGCCAACAACGACCTCAACGAGAAGCGTCGCCAGCTTGAGAGCGAGGAGAAGGACCTCGAGAAGGACTACGGCATCGACGACATCTTCCGTGTTCTCAGCCACAAGTGCGTCAGCACCGAGGCTGGCGAGTACGAATACGAGCTTTGCTGGATGGATAAGACCAATCAGAAGTCCAAGAAGGGTCACGGAAACACCAACATGGGCAACTTTGTCCGTATCGACAGGGAGATGGCCGACGACGAGGAGCGCACCGACGGAAAGAGTCTGGGCAAGGGTCTTCGCATGGTGATGCGTTACGAGAACGGCCAGGGCTGCTGGAACGGTCCGCAGAGACGCACCGATGTCTGGCTGGCTTGCAGCGAGACTGAGGAGCTGTGGAAGGTTTCCGAGTCGGAGAAGTGCGTCTACAAGATGGAGGTCGGCACTCCTGCCGCCTGTGACGAGCTGCTCGAGCCGCCCGAGCCTAAGTCCAAGGATGAGTTGTAGACTGAGGCGCTCGCATTGTACAAAGAATAGCATCGGGATTCCTTAGCTTGGCGTCGGGGTCGTCTGCTTTAGATCCAGTAGAGACAGTAGAAGGCTGCATTAGGATTGATCAAAACGTTTTTGCTTTCAACAAGAAAGAGATGTGGATTTGGGTCCATATGATTCATGATCGTCGGTGAACAGCTGTGTGCATGGATCCTAATTCCCATAGGTCTGGCTGGGCCGAAGCTGGAGATGTCGATGGAGAGAATGAGATACGTACCGAATCTGTCTCCATGTCCGTGCTGAGGGCCCTGCTGGCTGATAAGATAAGGATTTGGTCGTGGCGACGCGACCGGAGGAAAGCCGTTGCTTGCTGGTCGCATTGCCTCTCCGATCACATCTCGCAACCATTCCTAAATAACGCCTTCTCGACACCGCAAACCAACCGCGATCCAAGAATCATGGGTAACGATGGAGGTTCCATTCCCAAGCGCCGCGAACTTGTCAAGGAGGCCGCTCGCGCGCTGACCGTCAGCGAACTCAAAGCCAACGCCCTCGAATCGCTCGGCCATGCGTGGACGCACGACACTGTCACAAACGAGCCTCTCGACGACAACGTTGTGTCAGACTGGCGCGGTCGCCTCTACAATTACGAGACTATTCTCAACGGTCTGATGCCCTCCGACGACACCACACCGCCGAGCGCCGATTCCAAAGAAGTCACATTCGCCTCGACAGGCATCAAGTCACTACGCGACATCGTCAAGCTGAAGTTCCACTCGCCGGCCGGAGCGAAGAAAGCTACATGGACATGCCCAATCTCTCTCAAGGAGCTGGGGCCGTCGGTTAAGGCGGTCTACATCGTGCCCTGCGGCCACGTCTTCGCCGAGGTGGCCATCAAGGAGATCCAGGATCAGGAGTCGACATGTCCGGAGTGCAGCGAGCCGTTCAAGAGCCGAGATGTGGTGCCGATACTGCCGACGGACGAGGGCGACTTGAAGAAGATGACGGAGCGGATGGACGACCTCATTACCTCCGGCTTGACGCACAGTCTGAAGAAGGAGAAGAAGGCCAAGGGCAAGAATAAGCGCAAGGCGGACGGAGACGCCAAGGAGGAGGGCGACGGCGAAGGAGAGAAGCAAAAGGCGGCAGAAAACATTTCGAAGAGGAAGAAGGACGACAGGACGAGCAACATCAACAACCCAATGGCTGCATCATTAACCGCGAAGGTCATGGCGGAGCAAGCTGAGCTTAGCAAACGGAGGAAGGTGCAGGTCGGCTGAGAGCGCCTGCCGTCAAAATGTCAATTATTAGGATTCCATTGGACTTCACCTTACCCACAGGGGTGTTTAGGTGCTAAAAGTCCACTGGCGAGCAGGGTGAGGTCAGCAAGCCGGTGGACCTGAAAGTGAGGCGCCTGCCTTCAAGAGCTCCTCGGTTTAGGAATTGGTGGGGCTACAGTGTACACAAGTGTGGGGAGGTCGGAATGGACTGAAGGATCCAGCCAAACATACCGTTTATGAATATTATTGAAACAGTGTACAAAGTACATGTCTCGTCCCACCTCAAGTTACTCCCACGGGTGACCCTCCATTCCAGTGTCGCACTTTCCGTCACTGCAGACTGGCCTGGCTTCTGCTCTGGTTCAATACCTCAACCACCTACCTATCTCCATCTTTCAGCCTCGTCTCCCATTCAAGGCCTTGCCATCCTGCCTTTTTTTATTGTTGCGGTGTGCGCAGTTGGGCCACACCTTTTTCTCTTTCATTCCTCAATCACAGCAGCAAGCAGTGAATTACTGTAGCTGCACTAGCTGCTACCCACTTCTCCCGCGTTCAAGATCGCGCCTGCTCCTCCCACAACCACCACCCGATCCCTCACCTGCGATATCCTTCCCAAAGAAGCCCGACCTATTTCCCTGTCGCCAGTCGATGTTTCTCCCATTCTGATCCTCGAACGCTCGGGTGCGCCAGCCAGTGAGCCATGGCGACCCAACAGCAGATCGCTCTTGAGCGACTTGACAATATTGTCAGGGACCTAAGATCTCGGTTTGTTCCCCCTCATACCTGCTCTTGCCTCCTCCAACATGGCCGAGGGCTGCTTGCCTCTAGATCGCCCATTTGCTGACCACTCCTAGGACCTCCGACGATGTTCGAAAGCGAGCAGCTCTCCAGCTTAGAGATCTGGTGCTGGTCTGCCACAGAGGTGAGCTAACTTTCCCCTCAACACCGTTCCTACTCCCCTCCAGTGCCATGACGCGACAAGATGGCTGACTCTCCACCCTCTCCAGATCTTCCCCTCGACCAATTCAATACGATATACGGTCAAGTCAACAACAAAATTACCCAACTCATCTCCCACGGAAATGATTCCTCCGAGCGCCTGGGCGGCGTCTACGCCCTCGATGCCCTCGTCGACGTCGAAGTATCCGAGCAGTCGACAAAGATGTTCGCCCGCTTCAACCAGAACCTCAAAACCATTCTGCGCGGCAAGGACATCAACCCCATGCAGGCCGCTGCCATCGCCCTGGGAAAGATGTGCCGACCAGGCGGTTCTATGATAAGCGAACTGGTCGAATCCGAAACCCAGATGGCCCTCGAGTGGCTGCAGAGCGAACGAGTCGAGGAGCGTCGGTACAGCGCTGCGCTTGTCTTGCGCGAGCTGGCGAGACAGGCGCCCACCTTGATGTACAACTACGTCGGCCTCGTGCTTGATCTCATCTGGAACAGCTTGAGAGACAACCGCCACCTCATCCGCGCCACCTCCGCAGAGACCGTCGCTGCTTGTTTCCGCATCATTCGCGAGCGAGACCAGGAGCTGAAACAAACATGGATGGAAAAGGCTTACGCCGAGCTCATGCGCGGACTGCAGCACGGCTCTGTCGAGTACATCCACGCCTCGCTCCTCATGCTCAAGGAGCTCCTCGAACAGGGCGGCATGTTCATGCAGGACCACTACCCCGAAGCCTGCGAGATCGTCCTTCGCTACAAGGACCACCGCGACGTCACCATCCGCAAAACTGTCGTGCTCCTCATTCCCGATCTGGCGAGCTACTCTCCTGCCGAGTTCGACCGCAGCTATCTGCACAAGTTTATGGTCTATCTATCCGGCATGCTGAAGAAGGACAAGGAGAGGAACGACGCCTTCCTGGCTATCGGTAACATCGCAAATTCAGTGAAGAGCGCCATCGCCCCGTACCTTGATGGAGTCATGACACATGTCAGAGAAGGCCTCAGTCTGGCCGCGCGCAAACGAGGCTCGGTCGACGCAGTGTTCGAGTGCATAAGTCGCCTCGCCGTTGCAGTTGGCCAAACGCTGAGCAAGTACATGGAAGCGTTGCTCGACCCCATCTTCGAATGCGACCTCACGCCCAAGTTGACCCAAGCCCTCGTTGATATGGCCTTCTACATCCCACCCGCCAAGGATACCATTCAGAACAGGTTACTTGATATGCTCAGTATGGTTTTGTGTGGGGAGCCCTTCAAGCCGCTGGGTGCTCCCCACCCCAACACTCTCACATCTGTGCCCGCCGTTCCCAAGGACTCCAAGGATCCTTTGGCGTACGAGCACCGCAAGGCCGAAGTCAAGCTTGCCCTCAATACCCTCGGCAGCTTCGACTTCACCGGCCACGTCCTCAACGAGTTCGTTCGAGATGTTGCTGTCAAGTATGTGGAGGATGAGGACCCAGAGACCAGAGAGGCCGCGGCTCTCACCTGCTGCCAGCTCTACGTGCGAGACCCGATCGTCAACCAAACCAGTTACCATGCTCTTCAGGTTGTTGGCGATGTCATCGAACGACTTCTTACCGTGGGCGTATCGGATCCTGAGCCGAATATCAGACGGACTGTCCTTGCCGCCCTCGACGAGCGTTTCGACAGGCACCTGGCCAAGGCGGAGAATATTCGCACCCTCTTCTTCGCGCTCAACGACGAAGTCTTTGCCATCCGGGAGGTTGCGATCTCTATCATCGGTCGCCTTGCTAGATACAATCCGGCCTACGTCATCCCCTCTCTCCGCAAGACTCTCATTCAGCTCCTTACTGAACTTGAATTCTCTGATGTATCGAGGAACAAGGAGGAGAGCGCCAAGCTTCTCAGTCTGCTTGTGCAGAACGCACAAGGACTCGTCAAGCCTTACGTCGATCCCATGATGTCCGTCCTTCTTCCGAAAGCCAACGACCCCAGCGCGTCTGTGGCCGCGACAATTCTCAGAGCTATCGGAGAGCTGGCGACTGTAGGCGGCGAGGAAGTTCTCCCTTACAAAGATCGCCTCATGCCTCTCATCATCGAGGCCCTGCAAGATCAGAGCTCAAACAACAAGCGAGAGGCGGCACTTCACGCGCTTGGTCAGCTGGCGAGCAACTCTGGATACGTCATCGAGCCATACTTGGAGTATCCCCAGTTGCTGGAACTTCTTCAGAGCATCATTCGTACGGAAGGCCAGCGGGGTCCGTTGCGGCAAGAAACCATCAAGTTAATGGGCATCTTGGGTGCTTTGGACCCCTACAAGTACCAGCAGGTTGAGCAACGACGGCCCGATGCCCAGCGCCGCGTCGAGAGCACCCAGATGACGGATATTTCTCTCATGATGACGGGGCTCACGCCTTCCAGCAAAGAGTACTTCCCGACCGTCGTCATCAACGCTCTTCTGCAAATCCTCAAGGATAACTCTCTTTCGAGCCACCACGCGTCCGTCATCGAAGCCATCATGAACATCTTCCGTACCCTCGGCTTGGAGTGTGTCTCGTTCCTCGACCGAATCATCCCAGCTTTCCTCGGTGTCATTCGCGCCGCAGATAAGACACGTCTCGACTCCTATTTCAGCCAGCTGGCCACTCTTGTGTCCATCGTTCGGCAGCACATCCGTAACTTCCTACCCGAGATCGTGGAGATCTGCCAAGAATTCTGGCACACGACCAGCACTCTTCAATCGACCATCATGAGCCTGGTCGAGGCCATCTCCCGGTCTCTCGAGGGCGAGTTCAAGATCTACCTCGCTGGATTGCTGCCTCTCATGCTGGGTGTGCTTGAGAAGGATACAACCACACGACGCTTGCCTTCTGAAAAGGTTCTTCACGCTTTCCTCGTCTTCGGATCCAGCGCCGAAGAGTACATGCACTTGATCATCCCTGTTATTGTCAGGACGTTCGAGAAGCAAGGGCAGCCGCCTCCACTGAGAAAGCAAGCGATCGAGACGATTGGCAAGATTACGTATCAGGTAAATCTGAACGACTACGCTGCGAAAATCATCCACCCCCTCACACGCATCCTGGCCAGCGGCGACATTTCTCTCCGAGTTGCTGCGCTCGACACCTTATGCTGCCTCATCCAGCAGCTGGGTAAGGACTATCTGCATTTCATGGGCACGGTCAACAAGGTTCTCGCCCTGCACCAGATCCAGCATCAGAACTACGATCTTTTAGTCACCAAGCTCCAGAAGGGGGAAGTATTGCCTCAAGACCTCGGCGCTGGCGATCGTTTCGTCGACCGAATCGACGACCAAGCAACATTCGGCGATCTTAACGCGAAGAAGCTCGAGATGAACGCCATCCATCTCAAGCAAGCGTGGGATACGAAGGGCAAGTCGACCAAGGAGGACTGGCAAGAATGGCTTCGTAGGTTTTCCACGACGCTACTTACCGAGTCGCCCAACCACGCACTCCGTGCTTGCGCCGCCCTCGCCAGCTCTTATCTTCCCCTCGCTCGCGAGCTGTTCAACTCGGCATTCGTGTCATGCTGGGGCGAACTCTTCGAGGGGTTCCAAGATGAGCTGATTCAGAACATCGAAAGCGCCATCAAGTCCGAGAATGTGCCCCCCGATTTGCTCGGTCTGCTGCTCAACCTCGCCGAGTTTATGGAACACGACGACAAGGCGCTGCCTATCGACATCAGAGTGCTAGGTAGGGAAGCTGCTCGATGTCACGCGTACGCCAAGGCCCTCCACTACAAGGAGCTCGAGTTCCTGCAAGACCAGAGCAGTGGTGCGGTTGAGGCTCTTATTGTGATCAACAACCAACTTCAGCAATCTGATGCAGCCATTGGTATTCTCCGCAAAGCGCAGCTTTACAAAGAGGGAATTCAACTTAGAGAGACGTGGTTCGAGAAGCTGGAGAGATGGGATGAGGCGCTTGAGTTTTACGACAGGAGAGAGGCAGAAATACCAGAAGACAAGCCTGTGCCCGTTGATATCATCATGGGCAAGATGCGTTGCTTGCACGCCTTGGGCGAGTGGGAGTCTCTGGCCAGCCTTGCCAGCACTACCTGGTCCAATTCTTCTCCCGATGTCCAGCGGCTCATCGCCCCTCTCGCTACTGCCGCAGCTTGGGGCCTGGGCAAGTGGGATTCAATGGACAGCTACTTACAGTCTATGAAGCGCTACTCGACAGACAGGTCCTTTTTCGGAGCCATTCTTGCTCTGCATCGCAACCAGTTTAGGGAAGCTTTGAACTGCGTGCAGCAAGCTCGAGAAGGCCTAGACACGGAACTGAGCGCCCTCGTCAGCGAGTCATACAACCGGGCTTACCAGGTCGTCGTCAGAGTCCAGATGCTTGCAGAACTCGAGGAGCTTATCGTGTACAAGCAAACTGACGACAAGAAGAAGGCAACGATGCGCCGCACCTGGGAGACGCGACTGAAGGGATGTCAGCGTAACGTCGAGGTTTGGCAAAGGATGCTTAGGCTGCGTGCACTGGTCATCACTCCGGCGGAGAACATGCACATGTGGATCAAGTTTGCCAACCTTTGCCGCAAGTCAGGTCGCATGGGACTCGCTGAAAAGTCCCTGAAGCAACTTATTGGGGTCGAGGCTCCCCTGGATACGATGATTCCTTACTGGAACGAGCGGCCGCAACAGCCGAACGTCGGACTGCCTAGGAACATTCCTTCGCAAATCATCTACGCTATGCTCAAGTTCCAGTGGGAGGTTGGTCAGCAACCTATCTACCGAAATGCCGGGGTTTCCGAAAGAACTCTCTACTGTCTGCGGAAGTTCACGAATGACTCAGCGCATCGGTACGAGGCCACCAAGGCTCACCTCACGGCCCAGGCTCCCAACGGCATGGATTTGACAAGCGACTATGGCTTCCCGCACCAGATCGACCCTAGTCTTATGAACCCGCAGACGCAAAAGGCACTGTACGATCAGACTGTTCTTCTGGCCAAGTGTTATCTGCGCCAGGGCGAGTGGCTTATTGCCTTGAACAGAGAGAACTGGCAGTACGAACATGTTCAGGACATTCTCACCTCGTACTCGCAGGCTACCAAGTACAACCCGCGGTGGTACAAGGCATGGCATGCCTGGGCTTTGGCCAACTTCGAGATTGTCCAGGCTTTGTCTGCTAGAGGTGAACGAACTGACCACATGGTCATTGAGCATGTTGTCCCAGCGGTTCGTGGCTTCTTCAAGTCGATCGCGCTTTCGGCCGGCAGCTCACTTCAAGACACTCTTCGCCTCTTGACACTTTGGTTCACGCATGGCGCCAGTGCCGACGTTAATGCCGCCGTCACCGAAGGCTTCACCAACGTCAGTGTCGATACATGGCTCGAAGTCATCCCGCAGCTCATCGCTCGCATCAACCAGCCGACGCGTCGCGTACAACAGTCCATTCACAGCCTCCTGGCGGATGTCGGTAGAGCCCATCCGCAGGCTCTTGTCTACCCCTTGACTGTGGCCATGAAGTCTTCTCAAAACACCCGCAGGTCGCGATCCGCTGCTCAGATTATGGATAGTATGCGTCAACACAGCGCCAACCTCGTCTCTCAAGCCGACGTTGTCAGCCACGAACTTATCAGGGTCGCGGTTCTTTGGCACGAGCAATGGCACGAGGGACTCGAGGAAGCATCGCGACTCTACTTCGGCGACCACAACATTGAGGGCATGTTTGCCACCCTGGAGCCTCTTCACGACCAGCTTGAGAGGGGCCCGGAGACGTTGCGTGAGATTTCCTTCACTCAGGCTTTCGGCAGAGACCTCACCGAAGCTCGCGAGTGGTGCAGACAATACGAAGCCAGTCGGGACGTCAACGACCTCAATCAAGCCTGGGACCTGTACTACCAGGTGTTCCGGCGCATTTCGCGACAGCTACCCCAGCTTACTACGCTCGAGTTGCCTTACTGTTCGCCGAAGTTGCTCGCCGCCAAGGATCTTGACCTTGCCGTTCCTGGAACATACAAGAGCGGCCAGCCGATCGTCCGCATCATGGAGTTTGAGGGTACCTTCACGGTTATTAACAGTAAACAGCGGCCCCGAAAACTCAACATCAGCGGCAGCGACGGTGTGTCCTACGCCTTCTTGCTCAAGGGCCACGAGGATATCCGCCAGGACGAACGAGTTATGCAGTTGTTCGGTCTGTGCAACACCTTGTTGGCAAACGATTCCGAGTGTTACAAGCGCCATCTTAACATCCAGCGCTACCCGGCAATCCCCTTGTCGCAGAACTCCGGTCTTTTGGGATGGGTTCCCAATAGCGATACGCTTCACGTGCTGATTAGGGAATACCGTGAGAGCAGAAAGATTCTCCTTAATATTGAGCATCGCATCATGCTTCAAATGGCTCCCGACTACGATAATCTCACTCTCATGCAGAAGGTGGAGGTCTTTGGATACGCGCTTGATAACACCACCGGCCAAGATCTCTACCGTGTTCTGTGGCTCAAGAGCAAGAGTTCCGAGGCCTGGCTGGAACGTCGCACAAACTACACACGCTCCCTTGGTGTCATGTCGATGGTTGGATACATTCTGGGTCTCGGCGATCGTCACCCTTCCAACCTTATGCTCGACCGCGTGACTGGCAAGATCATTCACATCGACTTTGGTGACTGTTTCGAGGTGGCAATGAAGCGCGAGAAGTACCCCGAACGGGTACCCTTCCGACTCACCCGCATGCTCACCTACGCCATGGAAGTGAGCAACATTGAGGGCAGCTTCCGCATCACATGCGAGCAAGTCATGAGGGTGTTGCGCGACAACAAAGACAGCGTCATGGCTGTCCTGGAAGCAGTATGTATCATCACAATAGATTTAAAGCGCTTTGCTAACATGGCATACAGTTTATCCACGATCCTCTCCTGACTTGGCGCCTTACGAATGCTGCCAGCCCGGCAGGACCGAACTTCCGCTCCGAACGAGAGCAGTCCCTCGCTGGCCCTCAAGGCACCCGCGCCCGCAGGCCTTCGGTTCTCGACGCAGATATTGCGCCATCCGAGCTTCTTGCTGCCGATCCTGGCATCCCTGGCGGACCAGCCGCGCGCTCTCGTTCAAGAACAAACTCGTCGATGGCTCACGAAGGCAGTGTCGTTAACGGTAACAACGGTCAAGACCCCGCCGAGATCCAGAACGCGAGAGCCGTTGAAGTGCTGGATCGTGTGTCTCAGAAATTGTCAGGCAAGGATTTCAAGCCAGACGAGGAGCTTGATGTCATCAACCAGGTCAACAAGCTCATCACAGAGGCGACGAAGTTGGAGAACCTGTGCCAGCACTACATAGGATGGTGCAGCTTCTGGTAAACCAGCAAGACGAGGAGATGGTGGGGTATGGTGAATGGCCAGTGGGATGCAATGGTTGACCGAGGTTCTGGAAAGGATTTCCAGCGGGCCCCGTCGGCATTAGCAGACGTTGGCAAACGTTGGCGGTATCTTCTGCAGCATGTGTAAGTACTTCTCCTGGCATGTATGCTGGGCTTTTTCTGCTTTTGTCAAAATGTATACCAGATCAGGGTTTGGAAGGCAAGTGGTTTTCAAGTGGTTCTTTGGTCGTACGCGGCCTCTCCTGTTTACTTCAGGCATGGCGAGGCGTCATGGTAGACAGAAATCGAGATTTATAATGGTTTAACGTTGTTCTCCATTGATGATAGGGATCTTTATCCCGATGCCGGTGTAGTTCTGCTTTGCCTGTATTCTCCGTTATCGTTGGGTAACCTTGTAGCTGGCTGTTACTCGGCGCGACAAATGCAAGAAGCTTTTCAACCAACTGGAAGAGAGGCAGATGCTGAGGCGCAACGGCAGATCCGGCAGAGAGAGGGAGGGAGCGAGATCGTGACAGCCGCCGCCGCCGACGACGACGATGACGGACGAAGAGGGGGAAAGATGGAGGAGGACAAGCCTGCCTGCACCCCGCGAAGACGTAGCCCCTTCAAAACATGACCTAATATAGCATGACGAAAAATCGACTGTAGCAACCATCCACCACTGAACCTGACGCATACCATGCCACCCTTCCCTTCTTGAATGCCGGTTCATCACGTCCTATCTATAAAAAGGATAGATCTTTGTCGAGAGTTTCAGTTCCTGACCGTCCCGCATCGCTGCAAAGAACTCTGGGCAAGCGACCTCAACGACACAGGATGTGTGGCCTTGGTAATACGACTGATCCGTCCGCGGCTGATTGACTCCCCGGTCTCTTCCCCGGGGCGAGTGAATGACTCCAGCCGGATGACCCCTCAGCGAGCGGGATCTGGCTGATCGAGGAGATAGAGTCTACCGTCGGAGCTTCTTTATGTAAGCGGGATGTTGCGTTGCGGTGCAAGAGTGACATGTTCCAATCGCAGAGCGGACTCGGCGCCGTCGTCTTCGGGCGTCGATCTCGCCGCTATGCTCATTCAACAACCTGAGGGGACCGCGCTGGTGAGCTCGCAGATGATGTCGCGTATCTCGCAGGGGAGACGGAAGAAGGGGGCCGTCTCCTCGCGGTCCGGGCGAGGCTGGGTTCGTACGTGGACCGGCGCGGTCGGCGACGTTTCTCTGGGGGTTGGTGATGGGCTCATGTTTGCAGAGTCGGGTGTTTGGGAAGGGCGTCGGGTACTTTATTGGGAAGAGTTGGATATTCTGTAAGGAATTTGCAACGGGATAAGGTTTGGACCAAAAGGTTGGACGGCGGAAAGCCATACATGTTCTGGAGAAGACCGACGACCTAGAGCCTCCACTTCCATCTTTTCTGTGGTTATAAGTTTTCTTTCTGTCGATTACCATTTCCGTAATTCTATCCTAGTGATCGACATAAACGTCCAAAAGAATATTGAAATCCACCATCGTCCACCATCGACATCTACCATCGACACCTACCATCAACTAACGTCAAACTGGCAAAGCCTCAAAGCGCCCGTGAGGAGGGGGTACATCTTGAATAACCTGGAAACCACCAGACCCGAACATATGATGCCAAGAGTTCAGCAAAATCGCAGGCCGTTACGGACCGAACAGAGAGCTGGAAGCCCGATGAGCTACAGCCCCTTCCTCTGGCTTCCCCGCGAGCTGCGCGATGATATCTACGAACACGTCATCCCGTGCGGACAACAACTGTTACTGTCAATGATTCGTTCCAGGTTGTCACGTCTCAGTATGAGAAGAGACTCGAACCAGAATCTCGGTTCGAGAATGTCGCCGCTGTTCGTGCTTTGTCGACAGATCCGAGCCGAGGTACTTGACTTTGTCACACGCCAAAACTCTTTCAGGCTCAGCCTCGGCTTCGACGAAACGAACGGCCTGGAGCTCTTTTTCTTTTACTCATACCAATCGACGGACGTACTCACGTTCCTTCTGTCCTCCGTTCTGTCAAATGTTAGGTCCCTGACGATCAACCTGACCGACCACGGCCGCATCTTTGGGTTTGGGGACGTTGACTTGACAGAAGGCCTCTTTGGTCCGTCCAGTCAAATTAGACAAGTGACTTTGATTCTGGCTTATCATACTGGCAAAGCTCGCGATCCAGGCGTAGTGGCGAGACTCGCTGCCGTCTTCGACACGCTTCCGTCTCTTAGGGTCATTCGACTGGACCCCGGCTTGCATCGAGATGAACGGGGACGTTGGATCTGGGGTCACTGGAAACCGGGGCACGCAAAGACGGAGGACCCGCAGATGTACATGGACGATATGGCTCAAGCGGTTGCCGACGTGACATCTGCCCGCGTTGAGATGCTCTGCTCCTGCGGCCGGTGGGGGCACATGTATTCTGTCGGCTCGCTATTTTGCGGAGGTCGACCGGAGTCATCTGAATGCGTGCGACTGCAAGAGCGTTGGCAAACCGACGACGGCCTCAGCATAGCATTTCTGACAGCCGATTGGGATCCAATAAACTCATATCGCCATCCTTACCACGTTTGCCGTACGATTGAAGGGACTCGGTCTTGAGCTGAATTGGATGTTGGACTGTGAGTCGGCGTCAAGTTCTCTTTAATGGTGGATTCGCTGTCCGTCAACAAGCGCTGTTTGGTCTGAGCATGGAATCATAGACAAAACGTTGTAGACCAGACGGAATACATGTACGGTAACGATCTTTTTGGCTTCATACAACGAACACATCGCTACGTGGTGTGTGATGCGGTCATCCAGAGCACTGTGTGCTTTGGCGAAGCAACAAATCAATAAGAATGGTATCTCACAACGTTCTCACTTTACCCTCACAAACTCCTTCGTCACCTTCCAATGCTGCGCCCCTGCCTCTTCGGGGTCCATAAATACGGTGACCCAGCTTCCGTGCAGTGACTCGTTATCTATCTGGGCATTCTTGACTCTTGCGTACTCGGGTAAGTTGAACGGTGTCTCCAGATGCCCTGAGCCCCAGCTGGTGTTGCTGCCGCTCGACGACGACCCTGTCGATGCTTTCGTAGAGACTGATCCGGGTGACGTTTGCCTGCTTCCTCCAAGCCCGTTCACTACCTGATATTGCTCGCTGTAATGATGATACGCATCTCTAGTGAGTCCCGGGTACTGCATATACGGAACCGCAATCTCGTAAACGAAGCCTGGTGCTCGAGCTGCCTGGTCGGCGCACTCGTCTGAGCCAGCACATGAACGTGCGTCCCAATTCGTGGTTCCGAGGTCGGACGTGTCGCGACGTACGGAGTTTTCTTCGATGGTCATGATCCGTCTGCCAATCTCCGCCATCATCCGCGCGTCCCAAAGGTTTTCTCTGCGGTTTGTGACGGCGTCTTGTGTCAGCAGATCAGCAGCAGCTCTCCTGAGCATCGGGTGTCGGCACTTGGCGACGGTGTAGTAGAGAGGCGGGATGATCTCAGTGTCGAAGACGAACTTTGGCGTCGACATAGCTGCCTTGGACGGATCTCGGGCGGACTTTTTAGAAGCGTGGATGAGCTCCGAGCATAGGCTGATGATGGCGGCGAATGAGGCGATATGGTCGTCGTATGCCGTCTCAAAAGGCGACATGGCGGTGCCGACCCAAATCTTGCCCGTGTGGTAATACACCGAGCAAAGCTTTCCGGCTTTTTTGGCATCTTCTAAGGCAGCAACAACAGTGAAGGCGATGTGCCAGCGGTTGAATCTTGCCAGGATGTCTTCCTGCTCCCGCTGCAGGGTTTGGAGGTCTGGATCTATTGACACACGCATGTATACAGTCCTCCTGGCCTTATTGCTGAATCTTAGGCCATCGTCTACTAGCTCGTAAAGTGCGACTTCGGCCTCGTCGACTGATGCGAAGAACTTGTTTGTCGCGGAGCTGGAGCGCAGGTTGGATGGTATCTCGGCAGGCCTAGTACCAAATAAAAACGAGGCAAGGCTCAAGCGGCTGTATATCGGCACAAAGTGCTTCTTGATGACGTCGACGTCGCTCCCGGCCGTTGTAGTGTCGAGCTGTGCAAGGATCAAGCGACCTTGGTTGATATGGACTTGTGATGCCTTCTCATCGCCGAGCATGAACTCAATGCAGATGAAGAGCAGGCACGCTAACAACGGCACCGTCACAGTGGCCGACTCGGAAGGCTTCCATTCCTGCAAACACTTGAGAGCTTTGCCGTATTGTTCTGCGGCAAAGGTATTGGAGACCACGCCCCTTCGTCTCACGGGAGCAAGGAAGTCGCCAGAGGCAGAATCTGCGGACGTCTCTTGCGAGAGAGACTCGTGCAGGCTGCTGATTGCTAGCACCGCGTGACGGATGGCGGGCTCGGCATGACAGAAGTGTGGGACGAGCTTCTTCCATAACGTCAGGCCGCCGCCTCCGTCGCTAAATATGGCCGGGGCCGAGAAATTACGGTAGAAGTCAAAGGCGCGTTGCTCTCGCGTGCCACCAACCCAGTCGGCATACGGAGACACGGATGGGCTCAGGCGGGCGACGATGTCAGAGCCAGGACTACCCTCGCCATGAGCCGGCTTCCGGGGGAGGTACCCGTCGCATATCCTACCCGTCTTTGTGCAGCGCAGGCATGCGGGTTTGGCCTCGTCGCATTTGACCTTGCGGACTCTGTCGAACGCGTCAGTGCATATGCAAGACGATCAACGCAGAAGTGACACCGAGATGAAGGGGCTGGACGGGAGAGAGGTCGGACTCAACTTGCACGTGACGCATCCAGTCCGAACCTTCTTGGACCCTTTGCGACCGGAAGAGGCAACTGGAGGTTGCAGATATGGCTGGGGAGCACCGCTGGGGTCCGTCATTTGTTGATCAGTCGATGTGGAAGCGGGATCATGCTCGCTAATTGTATGTCTTGCCAACGAAGCGCGGTGCCCGTCGTTGGACGCTAGCCGGGGTAAGTGGCGTGGACTGGGGGCGCTCATGAGGCTGCGGCAGCGGCTGTGATGTTTTGGCTGTCTTGAGAAGTCCGAGATGTTGTCCGAGGCAAGCAATCAATGCCTTATGCTCAACGGCTGACGCTAGAGATTACCCCAGGGGCTCAGCAGACAACTGCCGTGTACGGATACCTCTGTCTTGCTGACGTCGTGGGCTGTTCGCTAAGATTGGATCTTCTCGCCTTGGAATGATTCACAGGGCCCCTTGCTGTCGACTTGATGATGAGACGAACCGAACGTGAAGTTACCGGACGAATCGAATGGGGATTGACTACTTCAACAGAGTGTTTCTGTCAGGAACATACAGTCCGGACGGCCTTAGACAGTCATATGTATGGTTTCTGCGCAGACCGGGGCTGATGAGCGAACATGTTGGGATAAGTTCCCCCTCCGAGAATACGCTCCAGGGTACGGGAAAAGCCCTCGCATCGTCCAACGGTCAAACGAGAGAGAAGAGAATGTCTCTGCCTGGCGTTCGTGGACAGGGATGGGCAAGACAGCTTTGGCCCATCTTCAGCCCTGCAAGCTGCGCCCGATGAATGCCATGAAAGCTGCATGTCAGCGGCGTCAAATTGGCCAATCTGAAGAGATTCCGGCTGCAACAAGCTGCAGAGACGCAATTGTTTGTGCAGGAAAGGTGCCCGAGAATCACCCCCGAATGCGACGGAAAACCTGCCTTCAACGCGGCGTTATCCCTCCCATTCGTGAAAATTACTAGAGATTGCCCTTTTCCATTGGTCAAAAATCACCTCGGACTTTTTGCGAGCGAGCCAATTAAAATAATGGCCGCGTAGGTGGATCATCCCCGCATCAGCTGGCCCAAGCTCCAGCTGCAGGCGGTACGTACCTCATGATTCCATTTCGATTCCATCCTTCGACAGGGAAATCTCACCAACTTCGAACTTCACCACCCTGTCCCACCTATTCGACCAAGACCATCTTCAAATCTCCCCGACTGGACAGTCAAGCTTACGTTGTACCATACTCTCATCACTCGAATTCGGCTGCCTTGTGCTAACCCCATCCTAGACAAACCCGACGCTGCGGCTCAGCTCCATCAGTCCCGCGCCGGTAGATAGGTAGCCTGAATAGACTAACATTTGCTTGAAGGCTGTGCAACTCGGTATTTTGGGACTGACAGAATCAACCTTATTATGCCCCAAGACACAACGCTGAGTCTGTTCGCCATGGCGTCCGCTAGGTGGCTCCTTCGTCAGCAGAGATGGGTGTGGATCGTCATCTTCATACTTTGCTGTCTTCGAAGTAAATGCGATTGGTGATGTCGGATTTTCAGGGTCTTGGACAGCTCAATCGCGCTATTTTGCTTGTGGCTCGGCTTCGTAGAGAGCTGTCAAAGCCCACATCGGCCGGGCTAAGGGGCTTGCTATTCTAGACTTCCAAAGACGTTGAGAGCCTGGAATGTTGATGCCAGGCGGGCATCGTCGTTTCGTGGATCGTATTTAAATCCCACACTTCCGCGTGAAATTTCTGATATGAAACCTCATTCAAGCTGATATCTTAAGCCATCTCATTCTCACAGATCATCTCCGAGAGCAGGTTAAAAACTTCATCGCTAGTTGCTTTGCCCAGGTGTTTCCTTCGGCTTCCCACATACTTCGTCCTCAGATTCAATCTTGTTATTTGCGAATTTTAAAACCATGCTCCCGAGAAGCCTTCTGGCTATCACAGCTCTTCTGGCTGGCACGCGGGCCAACCCTTGCCCGCCAACGGGACATACTCTCCCAACGGCAAAGTCCCCTAGCAATTCCACGCTTGTGAGGGACACCCTCCTCAAGATCCAGGACAGCCTTGCCAACCTTACTTCCTCCGACGATCTTAACGGCACCGGAATTGCCATAGGCATCAAGTCGATTCACGAAGACGCGCCTCTGTTTGAGCTCTACCACACCCCTGCCATTGCTGAAATTAGTAGCACGAAAGAGGTGAACATCGACACCGTTTTCCGTGGCGGCAGCATTACGAAACTGTTCACAGTGCTCACCGCTCTCCAAAACTCGCATATCAAGGGCAGCGACCCCGTCACCAAATATCTTCCTCGGCTCAAGGAGGATGCCCTCAAGGCTCAGGATGGCTCTGCTTTCAATGTCGTTCCCTGGGACAATATCACTGTGGAGGATTTGGTAACTCATTTGTCTGGAATTGGTGGTGATAGTAAGCAAAATCCCTTCCTCGGCGGTTCTGTTGACGAGATTCCTCCTTATTAGTTCTCTGTAGTCTTTTGGGCGTTTGCTAACATTTTCAGCTGCAACGGACCTCGCCAACTTCGAAAGCTACCCCTGGAAGGCTATGGGCCTGCCCGCCATCGCAAACGAGACTCGACCCAGATGCTCTGGTCTCGGAGGCACTAAACCTTGCACAGCTGATGGTATGGGAACTCTCCAAGCACTTACACAAATATCCTTATCTGACATCTCAACATCGCAGACCTCTTCTCCGCCCTCAACAAGAAACCACTCGTGTTCAAGCCACATACAACCCCCATCTACTCCAACCTCGGCATTTCTCTTCTTAGTCTTGTCGTTGAAGCCGCCACGAATAAGACCTACGACTCGGTTTTAACCGAGACTATCCTGAAGCCTCTCGGCCTTACCAACACATCCTCCACTGGCCCAGACCAAGACTCTTGGGGTTTCATCCCAAAGGATGAGCCAACCTGGCGTGGCGATGCCGGTATATACACGGCGTAAGTTACCCGGCCTCTTCTAAAAGTGCTTTGGTTTCTAACTAACTGACACAGTGCCGGCGGCATCTACACGAACACTCGCGACATGCTCACCTTCGGCACCGCAATTCTTTCCAATAACCTTACCATCGATACTAGTTCCTGGCTGAAGCCCCGTGCCTTTACCACCTCGTCAGGATACTCCGTCGGCGCCCCTTGGGAAATTCTGACCTCCACGACCCTCCTCCCATCCGGGGTTCCGATCAGTATCTACACTAAATCCGGCGACCTCGGCTTATACTCGAATCTTCTCCTCCTCGTCCCCGACTACGACCTCACAATCTCCATTCTGACTGCTGGCCCGGCCTCTACACAGTTCATGTTCCCAGCAAGAGTCATCTCTCCCGTCATTTCCGCCCTGATCCCAGCACTAGAGCAAGCCAACAAAGACGCCGCCAAGACCGCATTCGCCGGTACATATACTGACCCTGAGACAAACTCGACCGTCACCCTTTCTATCGATGACGGGCCTGGTCTGTCGCTCACCGATCTGAAGATCCGCGGGGTTCCGGTTCTTCCCAATATCCCCAACTACAGCACCTCTATCACCCCGGGAAAGACCTACAATGTCAGCGCCAGGCTCTACCCTACCAACATCAAGGAGGGTGAGAAATGGTCTTGGCGCGCCGTCTACAAGAACCACAACGAGACGGATATTGATGATGATCTTTTCTACCCCCAGGGCGGATGCCTCACGTGGGGTTTGATTGATCGTAACACGTATAACTACTTGGCTTTTGATGACTTTGTTGTTACTGTAGGAGAGGATGAAGTGGCGAAGAGCATCTCGCCTCGGGCCTTTAGTGTTATCTTGAAGAAGGTTGTGACGTGATTACGACATTTCGACGGGAAACCTCTGCGGAACCCCTGAGCCCTCATTGCTCGTTCCCATTCATGGTATTCTTCCACATGCTTGCCTACAAGAACAGACAGATAATAAATGGTTCTAATAGCATAACGAACATTTGCCACCTGGGAAAGTTATACATCGGTCAAAGTGATTCAATTAATTAGAGATTAGAAGTCTTATGAACGCCCTCAAAACAAGCAATAAACCAAACCATCTTATGTGTTTTTCCCTCCCTCCCTCTCCCTCTTATGGTTCCTCCTGAGAACGTGTACTTCTACTCATTTGTCGTCGACTCTCCTCCAAGATCCCTCAGCTCGTACACATACGGCTCAACTACAGTCGTGTAAAAGTTAGGAGGCTCCCTGTCTCCCCAACTTCGTGTGATATATCTCTTCCACAGATAGGGCAAATACTTCGTAAGCTGATACGTCATGAACTTCGTCTTTGGAACAGCGTAGATGAGGCTCAATTCCTCCAGACTGATCTGCTTTGTCTCTTCAACGATGAGGAAAACCAAAATGAAGGCCACAACGTTGAGACCGGAGAACAGGGCAAGCGCCCCCGCAGGTCCCAACTCGCTGTTGATCGACGGGAACACGATTGTAAAAACTCCAGCGAAGAAGAGATTCACCGAAATGGCAACCGAACAGCCCTTTCCGCAGTGTCAGCTCGGGTCCTGGGCACATGTCCATCACAGAACGAGCTGAAAAGCTTAGTACTTACAGATTCACGCTGGGACAGAGGAAAACTAGGAAGAGGTCAGCTTGGAACAGGGCCTTAGACTTTCGTAACGTACCTCTCAGATGCAAGTGTGAAAGGAATTGGCCCTGAGATTTTCTATCAGTCGGAGTCGATCACATCTCGATCATTTCTTCCTTACCTAAGCCTGGCGAGTACACGGCAGCGAATACTGGATAAGTGTCAACATGACGAAGTCCTGACCGAGGAAGAAATACCACTGACAAAATATGAAAAGAGCCACAATTCCGATTTGCAGGCTTTTATTCTCATCGGGAATCCGAAAGGATATGGCGGCTGCCCCGAGGAATAAAAACATCAACGGAAATGTTACAAGTAGCCATCGACGCCGGCCAAAACTGTCAATTGACCTGTGGATCCATTAACTATGCAGACAAAATTGAGCATTGATAATTCCAAACCTGATTGCAAGGAGGCCGAACAAGAAGTTCACGGCGCCTGGTCGAATTTCAGATTACGAACTGTTTCGAAGAATGGCTATAACAGACGACGTACCGAATCCAATGCTGTAGAGCAAAGCAATCCTGGGAGTGCTTTCCTTCCGGATGAAGAAGTCGTCTATCAATACTGTCAACGCCACATTCTATGTTTCAAGACTTGGAATATTGTCTCTCTTACTTGAATAAAAGGCAAAGACATTGACTTGATTTACTTATTAGCATAGTCACAGGTTGTAAATATCAAGAAAGGCAACATACTACCGCACAGCTGTTGTGCCAAAGCAACAGTGCAAGTACTCCATACAGCGTTGCGCAACCGTGGAGTCTTCAAGAGGTGGCTGTATTGTCGGAAGGTATCAGACAAGGCAAATGACAGATGACTTGCGAACGTGAGTCCTCGCTTTCGGTTGTGCGCTGGAGCCTTTGACTGTTCGAGATCGTCATCGTCGTCTTCAAGCTCGATGTTTTTGTGGATGAGGTAAATGTCCCTGAGGGCTTGGAGCTACCCAACGCAAGAGTCAGCTTTTACTCCAGAATGTTTACGTCTCATTCCGACGAATTGGAAGGCAGGTTCTTACCTGAGTGTTGCGAACTTTGCTCAATATTTCATAAGCTCGCTGGGGACGGTAGTTTGGCGTATTCTTCTGCATGTAGAACCGTGGACTTTCCATGCAGTATGACAGAGCAACTAGTGTAAGTAGAGCCGGCACCATCGGAGCAGCTAGGATTAGTTGGAGAGCTAATTTTCCTTTGGGCCCTTGATCTAACTGAGGGTTTTGCCCCTCACTTAGCCGAACTGGGAAATCCAGAGCTCCAGCCGCGGCGACGAGAATGAGATTAACGACATTTCCCATCATGATACCGAAAGCAACCCTGGTCAAGACGTCATCAGCTACAGAAAAGGCCGAAGCGCATGCAGGAAACAGAAATACTCACCATAACTGCCACATGAGAACAGAAGACCCTCTCCACTGGTCCACGGCAGTCTCAGAAGCGAGAATCGGAGTGCTGATGGCCTTGATTCCCATACCTACTAGACGTTAGAACTGACTTTGCTCTAAATAGGGCATCTGCTCACCAACGCCGTTGACAATCCTGATGCCTAACAGCTGATACCACGTTTTCGCAAAAGCAGAAGCCAGAGAACTCGCGAATATCAAACAAGCTGCCACTGCGATCGCGCCGCGCCTTCCCATCCAGTAGTTCAGAGGAAGTGACAATGGAGCGCCCAAGACCGCAGCAGCCAGGTAAGGGGCCGCATTCATACCACCAAGCCTCCATTCCTGGGTTGAGGGCGGGAGGTCCAACACAGTGGCAAATATGCTCCCAGCATTGATGGAAGCTTGAACGCTGCCCTGGAGAAGGGCGGCAAGAGCGACGCTGGTGACCACGACTTTCAGACCGCTTTGGGAAAAGGTTTTCTCCTTCTCTTCCTTGAGTGCCTTTCTCTCCTCTTCAGTAAGGTGAATTGGAAGGCCTGCTTGGAGACTTTCATCAGTGTATGCCCTTATTTCCCTCGCTACAAGAGCAGCTCTCAATATGTCTCTCGGGTTGACTCCTGGTAGACTGGGAGCAAAGTTTCGGATATCCTCTTCCAGTTCGGCATCGTCGAGATGAACTTATCATGCCCGTTAGTATGGCAAAGCGTCAAAGGAGGGAGAGAGAGACATCGTTTCGAGTCTGGGATTCAACTCACCTAGAGGTCCTTCAATCAGAGCGTCAATGTTGACGTGTCTCCGAGTTATCTGAGACCGGAGTCTGCTGCTGATTGAGGTCGCATATGCCTCATGATCCGCCATCTTCACGAAATGAAATGCGTTGTAGCTGGAAACGGCGATCTTGTTCCTCCGCTGTTTGAAAGAGGCCGTCCCATCGGAAGCTATTCACCTGGTAATATAAGATGACCACGGCCATGTTTGGATCAGGCTGGACAGTTTGCCTCAGTGTCTCAGCCAAGTCCTGCAGACAGAAGGGAGCCCAACGCCGAGCAAGGGTACAGGGCAGGCAGCGGCGAGGCAACGATAAGGCATACATGATATTCAGGACTTTGGGAGTGACTACTTCTTTTCTCAAAAACAGGGCTTGGAATTACGCGTAACACGGTGGTGAGAAAAGCTACATCTTACCGTCATCAACTCCGAACAGGCAAATCGCATTTCACTTTCAAATTAATTATATGCAGATACCCCGCAGACAGCAGAACAGATGTGCAACAAAGACACTCGGTCAAGGACGCGGTGAGATCCCTTGAGCAAACACAAGCCGCCTTGTGCGAACCACGAAGTCACTTTTTGCGTTTTACTATGCTTCCCGCGCGGATATGAGTTGAAAACAAGTACTTCCGTCCATGGAGAGGCCTCCCATAACTTTTGCACATTTCTGCTTGGCATGTGCCGTGATGTGCTCTATTCAGCTGAGGAATTCCATTTTGTTTGCCAAACGCAGGCTTCGCCGGTTCTTAGAACCATCACCAGATCGTTGCTGCCTAAGATAGGTTTGCAAGTGGCTTGCAGCTATATTGGCCTGGTGTCTGGTTGTAAGTAGTAAGGAGTCCCTCGAAGAACGAATAGATGACCAATAAGAGCTTTCGTGATGTCATGCCTGACTAAAAAGTGCACTTTCATCACAACTAGCTGGCATCACATTGGTCTGACTGAAGGGTGAGGCTTGGTCGCCCTTTTCTGTCATCCTTGCTTAGAGGCAGTGTCAATCGTTTGTACATGCTTGGGTCACGGTCTGGGCGAGGCGGCAGCACTTCTTGCAGTCCTGCGCATTAAACATAATTCATCCCCACTTCTGGGACTTGGGATCCGGAACCCCACGATTCTCTTATCTCTTTAGCGTTGTTTGTGGGTGCACCGTATCGTCAAGATGGAAGCCTTGTTGGCCGTGATCCAGATTGCTGAGCCACTCTGTGCAGCAGCTTCAAACATTGTGGACATAGTTGCCGCGATCAGAAACTCCACAACCAATATCCAAAGTCTCCATGACCGAATTAAGCTTCTGCTTACGGCCCTAGAGGGCGTACGAGACACATGCAGCCTGCGTCGCAAAGGTCGTCTGCTTCCCTCGGAGAAGCCCCATTACCAGAATATCTCAACGATTTTGGAAGGCTGTAAACAATCGCTAGAAGTCTTGAGAGAACAGTTACCCGCTTCTGTTCCGGAGAATCCAGGACTTGGTCGACAGATCAGCCTCGCCATCGGACAGAGGCTGAATCAAGATGACGTGAATCGTGCCATGGAAGAGATCAGCAACTACACCGCTGTCTTGAATATCACCTTATCAACACTGTTACTGTTAGTATTTCATCGATGAAAACTCGAAAGGCACAATGCTAATAGAAATTCAGGGCTCAAAATGTGGACACGAAGAACTCACAGGGCGAAATTCTCCGGGAGGTACAGAACGTCGCTCGCAAGCTTCGCAACAACATTGAAATTTCCCCTCAAGCCCAGGCAACCACCAACAACTATGTCGCGATCGAAGGTCGCGAGGTACGCAACTTAAACGTCGCGATGAATGTCCAGCGGTGGACTAGTTCGGCGAGCAGCCTTGCTGAAGCAGTACTTCTCGAAAGAAACGAAGATCTTGCTCCATCCGATTCCGAAGCGATCAAGACCGGCAGAACATCAAGTGCGTCTGATATCTCGCAGAGAAATTCGTTGGTCGTCCCATTCAACTCGAGGCTCGAATTCTTCAAGTATCAGAAGAACTTGGAAGTAGCAAGACTTTTGAAGGAGGGCGAGCTGTTCCAAAGCGCCTCACACCACTTTCAAAAGGCGATAGATCTTCGTGCAACTTTGATGGAGCGTGGGGTGGATGGTTTTGAAGGTGCCGAGCACTACGATTTGCTTGAAGAGCTCGCAGAACTCTACCGATTCTGGGGTACTGTGGATGGCAACAATATGGCGCGGGAATCACTTGAAAAGCTCACTGCCGAATGCGACGGTTCCACGTCAGTGGACAGGATTCGACTATCTCGACTTCGACACAAACTTGGAAGGCTCTGCGCAAGTCTTGAGGATTTACCTGGCGCCAGCAAGAATCTTGAAATTGCACTTCAAATACGTCTGGAAGAAGAGCCGAGAAACCAGGGCCACATCACGGAGACTTGCCAAGCTCTTCTCGCTATTCATCATCTCGCAGGCGACCGTGCCAGCTACCTGGCGATAAAAGATTGGGTTAAGAAAGAGACGGGTTCAGTCGAAGAACCACCCCAGGTGAAGCTGGAATCTGCTCTCCGATGGGCGCAACAACACGGTTTCGAGGATGCCAACATAGACGACACAGGTTTGCCAAGGTTCGAGGCCATGGACTCCGAAGGAAGAACGCTTCTGCACGTCGCCGTGGTCGACTCTGACATCGAACCAAGCGTCCTGGAGCAAATCATCCAGAATGTTGGCAACCTTGACATCGGAGATCGCAATGGGGATACACCCTTGCTTGCATCTGTGTCAACTTCCAAAGCCTCAGCTGTGCAGCTTTTACTTCATTACGGTGCCAATATCGACGCTCGAGATCTTCAAGGACACGGCGTTCTGCACAAATGCCAGAGCGGCAAAATGGCAGATCTCATCTACAACCATATCGAGTCATCAGCCCGAAAATCCAGTGTCGTATCAACTACGTCTGCTGCGGTGCGACGATCAATATCAAGTCGGTCAACGAATCAGGTTCCACTGGAAGCCACGAGCTATCTTGATGTCAATAGCCAAGACATTTACGGGAAGACCGCGTTGTTCGAAGCTTGTGAAAAGGGGCGAAGTGACTTGGTATCGGTCTTACTCAAGTCATTCAACGCAAAGACCGATGTAATCGGCCCTAAGGGTTGCAGTCCTCTTGTTGCAGCAATCCAAATGAAGCCGAACGTGAGAAAAGGGGGAATGGCAGCAAGAATCGCTGACACAAACCGGAAAAAGATTGACATTGTTCAGCAACTAGTTGCCTATGGGGCAAAGCGCGATGTGGACCCAGACATTATCAGGAGTGCTGGTGTGTTGGTGGCTGACACGATTAAGAAGATTCTCAAAGATACTCCCGCTGTGCAGCAGAGAAGTACGAGTACTTTAGTTAGTGTTGCCCCGTCAGTGAGTTTGCATCTCGATGAAGAGGACTGGACAAAGATCAACTGGGGCAATTAGTGAGAACGTACACATAGGATTGAGACGTGGAGTAGTTCATCGTTCTGTTTGTTGGGAGCTGGGGAGTAATGGCTCAACGTTTTGTTATTTTACTAGCGAGTTCATACCCAGGCTTACGGAAGTCGTGTTTGTTGATAGATGAGATAAACCACCGATGTTATGTCATCACAAATTTCGTACATAATTCATTCAGGATGGGACTTGAAATTTTGAATTGGATGTGAATTTGTTTCCGAAAAATATCTCTTCATTCGCCCTGGCATTAGGTGCATTGAGAAGGGTATCCAGTCGCGTCATCAACAGCCCCCTGAGCGAAACAAAAGTGGTATGTGTCCTTGGCCTTGTCATAGGCGAATCCAACGTTTGCTTTACTAGCAGCACCGACCTGTGTAAAACAAAGACATATTAGCATGCCGAATCAATGATGAATTGTTGGTCGGATGGAAGATAGGAGCAAAGTAATGCCCGTCTAACCACATCCTCTAGGCGGTTTCATATTGCCACTTACCGTGTAGAGCGGAATTCCAGAAAGGCTTGAGCATTTCCCAGAGGCGACGTTGGCGGCAGAGTTGTCTTCCAAGTTTCCCTTAGGGCCAACAATGGCCGACTTCATCTCGGCTTTGGAGACGCTGGCGTTGCCACCAGAGCTTTGCTTGCAAGAAATGCTCTCGGGGAAGCCCTCAAGAGTCTGAGCCGAGGCAAGGGCACCAAGGGTGAGCAGGATGAAAGTACGAGCGAACATCGTGATATTGTCGTTAGATAAGAAGATGAAGTGGGTATCGATGTTGAGGCTATAGGCTGTAAAGAAGGTACTTGTTCGAATGAAGCGCAAGTAGTGCAACGATGGGAAAGTCGGAAACTTGAAACGAAGGCGTGCTGTGATTGAAGAGACTGGTGATGATGAGTTACAAGAGAGGTTCTGGAGGTGAACAGCCGATGACTTTATACTATTTGATATCCAATCTATTTGTCTTTTACCCCGTCACTCGGCAGCTTCACGGACATCTCAATTTGACAAATTCCGCCTATGACGTGCCCTGGTATGGCTGCCTGGGTATTTTAAGCCATGCATTGAGTTAGTTGAGCATACACAAGTTTATGTGAGGCAACTAATAGCATGGTCACAACTCAAGTGCGTGCCAAGTCAGCCGTATATCGGCAAAGACATCCGAAGACATCCAGCTGTCTGCTGCGAGGGCTGGAGATGCGAAGTTCCTCTGAATGCCCCTGGGGAAGTGGAGAGACCCTGTCAGGTGCGGGAGTTGAGACAGAAGCACGGTTGCTATTAGCAGAAAAAGCTTAAAATAATTGCGCAGTCCGCGGTGACATAAGTCTTGATATATGCCGTCTCCACTTCCAACGACCGCAAGCACTCTATTGGAAACTCTTGGTTGAAAGGTTGTTCTAAATCGATACTACCCCGCCACAGCGTCTTCAAGCATGTCTGATTCATATGATACCAGTGGCTCTATTTCAACATGCGTCCTCGCTGGATATTGCGAATTGATCATAGCCAGAGGGACAAGGTTGAGAACGGCAAAAGCGCTCCCCCAACCATCTCAAAAGCCCCGAAACTCGTGAACCTTCCATGTCCTCCTCTTCATCGTTCGGTGCTTCCTTCGCTTTTAAAGTTGCGAAATATCCCGCAAACTTTTGTTAGAGTTAATGATAGCTGGCTCCGTTGTGATGGCTGGGGCCGATATGGTGTCGTCTGGGTGAAGTTGATTTCTCAAAGCAATACGATAGTCAGTTTGTGATGTAGTAATTGCCGTACGGCTCGCACTGGAGCAGGAATAAATAGAATCTCTCTCTTCAGCCGCTGAGCGCCCGTACAGCTGCTCGCACCCAAATTGAATAATCGATAAGATTGACTCTTTGTTGACTTCAAGGAGTTGCCATAGACTTCGTAGCTAGACAGGTAGTATCTATGATTTATCTCCGTTAATCGCCTATTGGTAATGTGGGTATAATGTTTGGCTTGTGTGTGCCAGTTTGGTATGTCATAGACTGGTTGATATGGTTAGATCAGATCTACTTGATGAAAAGAATAGCATGCTGCGTGGCTTCCCCCCCGCAGAAATGAGATGTTGAACATGGTGTCCTATTACCACGGCCTTCGTTCGACACGCTCTTTCCTTCGCTTATCGTGCCGCTGAAAAGTTCAGTCTTTGCCAACATGCGCCGCTTCCGTCTGGGAACCAGTCTCTGAATCCTCCCTTCCCTTGGTAGCACCAAGATGTTTGATAACCACCAATGCAGGAAGGATCGATGCGCCCCATAGTCCGAAGTTGATGTAAGGCCCACCAGCCACAGCAAAAATTGGAAGTGCATTAAGGCCGTAACTGAGGGCTTGCCATGCTGATTCCGTGCCACGAAGGAGCGCCGAGAGCCGGATGGTCTCCTGTGGGCTTTCAGAGATCTGGCCAATAATGAAGAAGGCAAAGTTGTAGTTCAGCTGAAAGCCCGAAACAAGGAAGATAAAGACACCGAAGCCTCTTCCAAATCCAGGATCGCTCCAATCGAACGTCGGCTGCGTGACGCGGTATTCCGTCACATTGATGGTCAGCCAGATCCACCACGCGCCTTGCGTTACCATGATAACAGCAAAAGCCCAGCGGGCTCGCTTCTTCAACGCGATTTGGTTTTGGTCCAGCCACAATCCAAGGAGGTTGCCAGAGATGACTGCAACGACGCCGGACAACAGCGATCCAAGGGCTCTGGCCCGTACCGAAAACCAAAGGGCGATGTAAGTGAAGAAGATGGACTCCGAATACACTCCTTGTCCTATCCAAAGGACAAGAAGGAGAAATTTCGGGTTGAGGAATGTTCGTGTGGTGGCCTTGATCTCTTCCCAAGGGTGGTCGAAGATCTTCAGGTCAACCGGCTTTCCGTCGCTTCTCTGGACCTTAGACGGGTTATTCAACAGCAGCGCCACAAACGGTCCGCAGGCCTGAAGTGCAATGAAGATAAGGTAAACCTTGTATGAGACTTTACCGGCTCCACTGCGGTCAGCGTTCAGCCCAAGGTTGATCGCGCCGCCCAGAATCTGGCCAACTCTGGTCCACGTCAACCAATACGCGACCATGCGCCCTCTGTTTCGTGGCTCTGGATACGCAATGGCAATAGCAGCCTCGGAAGCCCAGAATATTCCAGCCGAGACGCCACAGAAAGCTGCTCCAAGGATAACGAGCCACTCGACGCCGTATCGGTTGTTGAGGTACAGGCCCGCGCTGTACGGGGCAAAGCCGATGGTCCCGATGACCAGAGCGCCTTTAATTCCGATGTACTTTACGATCGAGGAGGTGAGCCAACAGGACACGATCATGAGACAAAACGTGAGGGCGTTCCCTGTGTTGACTAGATATGGCTCTTGGGCGCCGCCTAGTGGAAACCGTCAGCCCTGAGATCATTGATCCTCGATATCATGGTCCGTACCGGCACCGAGGGAGTTCATAGCACCCCATAGCCCCGGCGCAGCAAAGCTGCACATGCCCAGAATCGTCGCATTGTAGAATGATGAACGATACCACTTCACTGGTAACTGATTAGCATCAGTCACAGAGCATTGATAGAGTGTAACCCATACCGTCGACCTTCTCTGACTCTGTGATGGTCCGCGCTTCATCAGAAGATGAGGGCTCTTTGGTAGCCATGTCGACGGAAGTAATAATGGCTCCAATCTGATGCAACGGGAGCGGCTTGAGACAACGCCTCAATGACAGCGAATAACGGTGACAATACCTCTAAATTGAAATCCCGAAAAGAGAAGGTGATTCAAAGCGTCATGCAGAAAGTTGCGCTGCAGATTTTATGAGAACCGGCACACACATGGTCGATCTTTGGGTGACGCTGGACGCGGAGCACGCCATACAGACCCTGATTGGAAGCATCGTCCTCATTTCCGCGTCGGTCACACCAAGGAGATCCAGACCGCTGGGGTTCAAGATGAAGAGCCGAGGTGTTTGCCGCCCGGTCCCGGCCCCCTCGCTCTAAAAGATAAGATTGTCAAGGAGGAAGATAAGAGAGTGTGATGAGGAGTGTCGATGAGCAGTACCTTGGCATTAATGGCGTGCTTGGCTGATAGCTTAGTCAGCCCGACTTTCTTTCATTGGTGTATGTTACTCGAAGTGCTTAAATCAGTTCTTCAACAGCAACTGCAATTTGGCTAGGGTTGACATTGTCGCTTCTTGCTGCGTATGCTACGACGATAAGTGTTCGCCTCAGCCGGAGTCGAGCTGTGTTCTATGATAGGGCATCTTGGTAAAGAGGCTTGATGCGACAGCTTGACCACGGATTTGCCTGACGGATCCTGATTAGGACCTCAATTTAGCCTTTAAAAATGCCTGTGAATAGGATGTTATTGCTAGGTTGGTGAGATAGCTTCGACCAGTAATGCTCCACGGTCTTGGAAATTGGAACGTTGCGTCTGATATGCAAGAAACGGAAAGCTAGAAAAGGCAAATGAATCTCTCCAGTAACTCTCATATTTCCTTACCAAATCAAGTCTTCTTTCCTGGTGAATTCGGACTGCTGCCCAATCAGAGCCTATTTCATGTCAGCAAGAAGGGTATGTAAGCGATCAACATGCTATCAGTGGCTTTTATTTTGCCGTAGCGGTAAGCGTAGACGCGAAGTCTCTTGAGACACGCAGCGAAAAATGCGTCATTCCGACTAGAGGCGTTACACAACTGGCGGCACATTCGTCGTTGACACGGAACGACCAGCTTCTGATTGGCCGGGTCGCTCTTCGTGGGACTCCGTGGGCCGGTGGCCGGTGACTCTGCTGCCGTCCGGGCGCCGCCGCTTACGCCGAGTGGGGCCGGGAGATGGCATAAAAGAGGCCCAAACTGACCTCAATCAGAGTGAACCAGACGAGTCACAGCAGGCTCCCACTTCTAATCATCACTGCCTTCAACCATGGAACAAACTGTCAAAAACCGGGTGAGCCCGCTGGTACTGGTACTTTGCTCACCAGCTGTGGGACACATGAACCCGATGCTTCAGATCACAGAAGATCTCGTTCGCAGGGGCTACGATGTCTCGTTCCTCGCCTCCGATGGCTACCGGGAGCAAGTTGAGAGCACCGGCGCTGCATTCCTCCCTCACAAAGGCTTCATCAACTACCGAAGCGAGACTGATCTTCATCGACTGTTCTCAGAGTTCGTCCATGTGCCCAGAGGCGTGTCTCAGCTCCTATGGATTCACGAGAAGCTCTGGGTAAACTCTATTCCATCAGGGCTCGAGTCGATTCGATCAGCTTTGGAGACACTTCGCGAACGCGATGCGGATCGCCAAGTTGTTATCCTCTGCGAATCCACGTACAGCGGCATCGTGCCACTCAAGCTAGGTGCGGAGTTGCCCAAGGGCTACATGGAGCTACCGCCCACGCTGGGTGTCAGCATCATGCCGGCGATGTGGACCAGCGTGGACACGGGGCCCTTCGGGCTCGGCCTGCCGGCTGACGACTCAGATGCGGGGCGGATGCGAAACATCGTCATTGCCAAGCTGTTTGCCGAAGGCGCATGCAAGAACTCGTTCGAGAAGTTGGCCGATGTGCTTCAATATGTCTGCGGAACGACGAGGCCTGTGGACTCGCTCTACGGAGATCATGCTCAAGCGATTCCTCACGGGCTGTGGGACGCAGGCTGGGCGTGTCACGACATGACCTTGCAGATGTGCATTCCCGCCCTAGAGCTGCCGCGGTCTGACTGGCCACGCAACTTCAAATTCGGCGGAACGCTGCCTCGCAAGGAGATTCCCGCGGGATACAAGTACCCGTCATGGTGGCATGAGATCGTGAACAACAGCAAGAAACCAGACACTGAGAGGAAGAGGGTGGTTTTCGTTGCACAGGGCACCGTCGTCCAGGACTACGACGACATGATTCTCCCCACCATTCGGGGACTAGCCGGTCGCGATGACCTGATCGTCATGGCCGTACTTGGCGCCAAGGGCGCCGAGCTGAGGCTCAACAACGATGAAACCCTCCCTTCGAATACTCGAGTTGTCGATTACTTCCTCTACGACGCGGCTCTTGAGTACGCGGATGTGTTTGCTGTAACGGGTGGATACGGCGCCCTTTCCCATGGAGTCACGAACGGCGTACCCATGGTCTTAGCGGGAGACTCAGAGGACAAGGTCGAAGTCTCATTGCGAGGTGAGAAGGCGGGATGCGCCATCAGTATCCGGACCGGGAGGCCTAGTCAGGAGGATATCGTGAAGGCGATTGATACGATTTTGGCAGACGGCAGGTACCGAAGCAGAGCCCTAGAGTTAAGGCGGGAAGCGGAGGAGTTCAGACCCCTCGATGTTGTGGAACGCGAAATGCTGGCGCTGTTGAGATGACAATGATGAGAGAGGGCCTTATCAACCGCCTGGCGAGACTGCTTAGACGGTAGAAGACTGAACATCAACGATGATTTGTCTCGACATTCTACGACGTTAATAAATGCTGTAACGGTCGAAGGACGGTTTGTGGGTTGCGGAACCGACGTCTTGTGACATTCCATCGGGTTTTGGCCGACAGACGGAAGATCGAGTCCGTGGCTGGTGGACCACGTGGTTCCGGATTTGAAGGGCTAGGCTTTCTTAGGAAACGAGATCATGAATTAAAGTGGCTTTCATGATGCGATTTCCGATGCTGTGGATCTGATAGGAGCGGTAAACGTGGACAATCATGAGACGAATTAAGCTTAGCGGTCATCCCTGCGGAGCATGTAACACTGAAAAGGAAAGACCCATGTCGTCGAGACGATGTGGATGTTGATTGAACACGGTCGGCATGTTGTCCCATCATCAGCTACGTCTACTGTGTGTAAATGTTAAGATATCAAACGCTGTCTGAGATGACAGACCTCCATCACAGCTTCGAAGGAAACATTTGTTTATATCACCGTTGACAGTTATCCGGAATTGACTGCGGTGGGTTCGGGGCAATAGAGCGCATGCTACGAAGAGTCATGGAAGGTTAAGAGAACCACCATTACGCCCTCGCCAGCAGACAAAGAACTCAGACATTGGCTGAACGAGCGCTGCTACTTGAAAAGTCATATAACTTTTTGAACTCGAACTGATGACAGAAATACCATGCTCCTTTCACAGCCATTAACTGAATTGTTGAACAGGTAATTATCTCTTATTTGCTCTAAGAGCGCTATCCTCAAGCGCATCCATCCCTGTTCGACCCAGCAAACGAACCCCCCAACATTCCGGTCTCCAACATCTTGGCAGCGGGGGCATTCTCCCTGCAGGTCTCCTGAGGTAATTCCCTTCAGGCTCATTTTCCCTCACTGTGCTGGTTTTCCCCCAATCTCGACGGAGTTTCTCACGCAATATGCCTCCAATTTCAAAAGCATTTGTAGTCTCCTACCTGGCCTAGCGCCTTGAGTTCGTAGGGAAAAGCGCCCAGGCTGAAGTGTGCCGACTTGGCCATTGGAAGCTGTTGTTAGCTACTTTACACCAGACAGCAACTACCTTGGGTCCAGTCCTCGCCCCTTAAAGCCCTGGATAACGACCGGACATTTGAATACTTCTTATGGACTTTTAAAGTGAGAGGGTGCTTGGTATTGGAACAAGGCTGATGTACACGAGTCCAGGGGCTTAAAGGAGTATTCTGCTCCTGATTTCCCTGGCTTCGGCTCACCTTATTTTCATCGATCGGCTGTTATTCCGTCGGAACTTTGCGAATCCTCACATTACCATGAAATAGTAAATGTCTTCAACGAGAGAAAGCCCGTCAACATGGATTACGCGTCTTCATTTACGTACATGTCTGCCCCGTGCTTGCCGCACTCTTTTAAGCTTCAAGCTTACCCGAGCTCTGAATTTCCCATCTTTTGATGTAATAATAACCCGAAGTATGGGCTCCGCCTTTCATCTGCCGCCTGTGCAGCAGCGAGTCGCCGACTGCGTGGTCATCTGCACAGCTGCCGGTCTGAATCTGGGGTAGAATCCCCCGAAATGCCGGCCATTGCTACGAGATGGCACTTCCTCTTGACTTCTTCACTTCCCATCTTCGGGTCAAACGGCACTACACATCCTTGACATTTCTCCTTTCGTCCAACGGACTAATTTCACCGCGGTCTCCTCATGTATGTGCTCTATGCGGTCGACGAGCATGCCCGCCATTGCGACATCTCGGGCGAATGTTTCCTCGTTCGTCACTCCTCATCACCATGAGTGCTTGTATTGCCGGTCTTGAAGAGGGCATGGTCTATGAGCCCTCACATTCGGCCCTCAGCCCGCTCCATCATTATCACGAACGCTGAGTAGACTTCCAGTGAAGGATGCAACTGCAACTTCAAATGCTTATTTCCATCATAGACACCACGCGGATGCAGACGGTTCCTGCCAAGTCGTCCGAAATCCCATCAATCATGCCCGTTCCCTGTCCGACCTCCACCCGCCCGGAGCGGGACAACGCCCCTTGTCCCTTGAGCCCTGTCCCTTTCTTTTTCTTTCCCTCTTCGTGATCTATCTCGGGCAGACAGGACTCGAAAGCCCCTGTCAACGGCCCATGAAACAATGATTCCGCCAATCACCAGGCTGTCGCAATCTATGAAGGGTCTTGCTAAAGGTAACCTCTCCGGCGGGCGGGCGCCTCCATCACTGAATGATTGTTGGATCCCGCGAACGAGAACCCTTCAAGACGAACTCGGAACTCCTGGCCGCCAAGTTGCCAATGTGCCAAGTGCCAAGTGCCAGCCCACGTTTACTTGACTTATAATAAGTCGATCACTCTCGTTCTGGAAGGCTTGTCGAGGAGGCTCTCTTGCTCTTTCTTTGCCTGTGCTGCTGTTTGACCTTATTCCGACTTCTATCTTTTCGTCGCCAGGCCAAGGCATCCCCTGCAGCCAAAATGGCGTTCAACAACCTTCTTCACGTTCTTTTCTTCGCCGTCCTCTCCTTCACCTCTTCTGCTCTGGCCGCCTTTGGCGTCACCACCTCGGGCAACAACCTCATTGTCGATGCCGGATCATCCAACTCTCTCGTCTTCTCTGTCTCCAAGTCCAGCTGTGACATCAACTCCATCAAGTACCGCGGCAATGAGCTTCAGTATGGCAGCAAGGGCAGCCACATCAGCTCCGGTCTTGGAACTGCCACTGTCGCTTCTACCACCATCAAGGCCAGCACTGGCAATGTGATCAAGGTCACCTGCACCACCTCGACGTTGACTCACTACCTCATCGTCAAGGAGGGTGAGGCCAACATTTACATGGCTACCTACATCACTGCTGAGCCCTCTATCGGTGAGCTGCGCTTCATCGCTCGTCTCAACAAGGACATCCTGCCCAGCGAATACCCCTTCGGTGCCGTTTCCACCACCGCCGGTTCTTCTTCCACCGTCGAGGGCTCCGATGTCTTCGTCGTTAGCGGCCAGACCCGGTCCAAGTTCTACTCCTCCGAGCGCTTCATCGACGACAAGGTCCGCTGCGTCTACGGCACCAGCCCCGAGGAGATCCACGTCTGCATCTCCGTCAACCCGGCCACCGGTTTCGAGCTCTCCTCTGGAGGTCCCTTCTTCCGCGACATCAACACCAACAACGCCGGCGACTCCACCAACCTGTACAACTACATGAACAGCGGTCACGTCCAGACCGAGGCCTTCCGCATGGGTCTCCACGGCCCCTACGTGATGAGCTTCTCCCGCTCCGGTATCCCCAAGGCTACCGACTTCAACTACGACTTCTACAAGGACCTCAGCCTCTCGGGCTACGTCGCCGCCTCCGGCCGTGGTACCGTCACCGGCACCGCCTCCGGCATCTCCGGCAGCTTCCAGCGTGTTGTTCACTGGTACAACGCCAACGCCCAGTACTGGGCCTATGCTTCCTCCAGCGGCGCCTTCACCTCGCCCGCCATGAAGCCCGGCACCTACACCATGGTCCTCTACCAGACCGAGTTCAAGGTTGCCACTTCGTCCGTCACCGTCACCGCCGGCAAGGCCACCACCGCCAACATCGCCAGCACCTTGACCTCCCACACCAGCCTCTTCAAGATCGGCGAGTACGACGGCCAGCCCACTGGTTTCCGCAACGCCGACAAGCAGCTCCGCATGCACCCCTCCGACAGCCGCATGAGCAGCTGGGGCCCTCTGACCTACACCGTCGGCTCCTCCTCCGCCTCCGACTTCCCCATGGCCGTCTTCACCGCCGTCAACAACCCCGTCACCATCAAGTTCAACCTCAACTCCGCCCCGGGTGCTGCCACCCTCCGCATCGCCACCACTCTCAGCTTCGCCAGCGGTCGTCCCCAGGCCAAGGTCAACAGCTGGAGCGGCGCCACCCCTGCTGCGCCCACCAAGATCGACTCCCGTGGTGTTACCCGTGGTGCCTACCGTGGCTACGGCGAGATCTACGACGTCGCTATCCCTGCTGGCACTCTCGTTGCTGGAGCCAACACCATCACCATTACTATTGCCTCCGGCAGCAGTGGCGACACTTACCTGAGCCCCAATGTCGTAAGTTTTCCGTATACCAACCGTACACATACTGGCAAATGCTAATCTCGCACATGTAGATCTTTGACTGCGTTGAGCTCTTTAAGTAAATGATGAGAGGTTCCCTTGCGGTGATTGCTACGCTGGCAGTCTCGAAGGAAAGGAGGTGGTGTTTTATTTGAGTCTTCACGGTACATATTCGGCCTTTGGTCAACAGCACATATGCTTCATCGTACATATATATCTGCTACATACAGTAGCCTTACTTACATACCCATGTGGGATGGCCAGCCATCTCACAGCCAAAAAGACAACTTTTCAAGTCTTCCACACCACGTTAGCCGTGATCTACCATCGTCGACGACGACCCGCCGAGGTGCGAATAGAAACGGAATGCCCCATCGACGATATCTCGCTTCGCTAATAACTCCCCGAAATCATTACTCGTGGTTGTCGATCCACCCCCGGATCGTCATGTCCACTCTGTTCCAAAACCCTCCGATGCCTCGCTCTGATCAAAATGAGAGATCACATTCGCCACGCCTCCACGTCATCATAGTTGTACAGTATTTGCTTCGGTCTAATGTGCCTTCGGTGATGTGTCACCTCTTGCTCGGCCTCGACCGGTGCTGAGCTTGTCGCAGTAGCCCTTCCAATTCTGAGTGTAAAGGGTCCTCGTAATTCGCGTCTGAGGGTTTCCTTTTTGGATCGTAGGTAGTCCAGGAGGATGACTCGCTCACGTAGCGATCGACGCTGTATGTGCTGTTCTGGGAAGGCCTGTTGGCTATGTCAGTGCGGTCAATTGACAAGGAGTTCGTGATGTAAATCGCGACTCACAGACTTGAGTGATCATAGGCGCTCTGGCCAGAAGTGCCTTTCGTGTGTGACATGGCGACTATGCGCAGTTGTTGTACTCAGATGTGGAGTCTTCGACAAGCCCGGATAATGCTGCAATTGCAATGGATGGTATTGATTTCCACGATGTTGTGACTGTTTTTGTGGCCACCTAGAATGCTTGTTTCTTGTCGTTGGTGATCCCTCAAAGTCCTGAAAGTCCTGGAAGCCCTGACAATGTCTGATAAATGCCCGTATGTATCGCTTCATATCCCGGCTCAACTCGTCTTCGGCCCCTTTATGTTCAATCAACTCTTCGAATAACCGTCCACACCATTTCTATTATGGGCCCAGAATAGCCCAAAGAGAGCCTCAGCCAACTCGCAAAATCCACTGTGGTTGAATCGCCACATCTTCCTGACGTCAATTGAGTTGACGACGATGCGCTCGTCTTGTTCAACAGACTGACCGTTGCCATTATCCAATGACGGGGCGTGCCCGAATGACCGGCGGCTGGCCTGCGACAGGGCAACTGCAAGGCCCTTGTCAACCCATTACAACTGAAGCTGTGACATTTCTGGTCCAGAAGAGCATCGTCTTACCCCAAGGCGCGATGGCGTGCATTAATGGAATCGCAATCTTGCACACATGCCACCCGCGTAGGGCTGAAGGTTCGATTTTAGGGACTTTGGAGCTGTTGGTCTCCAGCATGTCGCGTGTAACGGTGGAACGCCTTGATCCCCCCCTGAGACCATGTTTTGTTGTTCTGTTATGTCGGGACTTCGTACGAGTCAGACATCCACACCAAACCGCGCCGATAAGGAGTCGTTTCTTAACAATACCAAGCAATAGAAACATGTTTCTGCCTAAGAAGATTGTCGTAGAGCCTGAGAGGCACCCACCACAAGCAAATCAAGTTTCGACAGATGCTGTAGGGGTCATGCCCGCCTGCTGCAGGCGGCGCGCCAGAAATAGGGGAGGCATCCCGTCCTCCGTTGAGGGATTGTCCAATGACGAAGACTTGTGTTTCTTGTGCAAACGACGGTCGTCGTCATGATCCAATCACAGGCATCACTCAGCCCCCCTTGTCATGCTGAGATGGTTCGCAATTTACTCCGCATAGAAGCCATTTTGGGGGCTGAGCCGTGAAGGCAACAGTCACGACCGAGGAGCACACCCTTTCCTCGACTCGACGTTTGTTCAAGACTCCGAATCATTTTTCTGCCTTCTTGTTCATTCATGATCACTTTGTTCTCATTGCGATAATTGCGACGAATAACGGACGGGACCTGATATCGGGTCCTCGCGACGAGGCACGACAGACAAGGACAACCCAGCACCGGCTAGAAGTGTCATCTGGCCCTCCATTGAAACATCCTGGCTTTTCAACGATTGAATTGGTGTTTTGAACCGCGAAAACGAAGGCCACGATGAGTGAAGAGCGCTCGTTCTCTATGGAGATTCCCATCCGGCCTCGAGAGCCGCGTCACCGCGATGACTCCGTTGCGCCGCAGACAAAAGTCGAAGAGGCCATTCACTCGCCATTCGAACACCACTTTCGCTTTTCTCAACCCCAACCGCATCACGCAAAATGTCCCGAAGGCTTGAAGATCATCTCGAGCGCGTTCAACAAGGTCAACCGCGACCGGTCCCCGACCTCGTCGACGATGAGCTCAACCCATGTCCCGGACTCTGCGACTACGTGCTCCATGCCCATGTCGCCCACATCGTCAACGTTTACGCGAGCGACCACCCCGGATCTCGACGGGCCCGAGCGCTTGCCGACCCCGTTCCTCGCGACGAGGTCCCGGACGAGCGGGCACCGGTACCGGGAGTCGTGCGATTCCGGGTCGACCTTCGTGAATTCCATCAACGAGGAGAGGTTTCCGGCGTATCCGGACTCGTATGATGTGCGCTTCAAGGAGGAGATGTTGCCGCGCATGGATATCCAGGAGCCAGAAGACGATGACACCAACGACGCCCCCAATGATTTGCGACATTCAGCGGGAACCCCCAGGTAGGTTGCCATGATCTTCCAAAGGCCCGCGCTTATCTTTGTGCAAGACCTCCGAGCATCGATGAAGCGCCCGAGTCTCCTCGAGTGAGTGCGGTACCGGCTCGCCCATTGAATGGAAGAATGAGTTTCGACTCCGGCTCCGACCGTCTTTCGCGGGCTTGGGAACCGGTAACCCCGACGCCGATTGATTGCTCCAACGAGGAGGCCGACGCCGTTCTCAACTACGTCTTGCAGGTCGCCTACGGCGTGGAGCTCGACGAGGTCACCATGCCCCCGGTCTTCCTCCGTCAATTCGTCTTTCGATTCATTCAAGACATTGGCAGGCTTGCCTTCAGCGGCTTCCCCGTTACCCAGCTTACGCACACAACATCTACCTCTTCCAACGGGTCGGTGCCTCTTGCGAGAAGATCTGGGTCCGGCCGGGGGTCCCAAAACGGTAAACGCAAGAAGGGCGATGCCGGCCGGGCAGACGGTGAAGAAGACGGCGACGACTTGACCGAAGACGAGGGTGACTCCAATGTTCCTTACAAGAGGGCGAGGCCCTCGCCCAGGGAAGCGGAGGAGAACCTGAGACTGAGCTGCCCGTTCCGCAAGAGGAACCCTCATCGATTCAACGTCAGGGAACACCACTCGTGTGCGATGACTTACTTTCCCAAATTCGCTGAGTTGAGACAACACATTGTCAAGCAACATAAGCGGCACGACCCCTCGGCATTCATGTGCGATCGGTGCAACCGAGATTTCCCTAGTAAAAAGGACCTCCGAGATCACCAACGGCTGCCCAGAGAGCAGATGTGCGAGGTCTCTGACCACGATCCCGAGTCTGGTATCGACGGTCCCACCATGACGAAGTTGCTTTCCAGGAAGCGGGCGAGCGGCATGACTCCCGAAGTGCAATGGAAGGAGATCTGGAATCTTCTCTTCCCTGACGATGCCGACTATCACGTCAAGCCGTTTGGTAGGCCACGCCTGACCCTCACATGTCTATGTACGACCAAGCTAACTTGCATCAGACTTCTGTCCCGTCATTGAGCACTTCGAGTTGCAGACCCAGTTCATGAACAGTCTCAAGGCCGTTGAGGGTAACCTCCGAAACAAGGGTCTGAATGAGCAGGCGCTTGAGACTATTGGCAACATCTACCGCAACCAGTTCATGCAGGTGATCGACCAGTGTATCGCCAACGCGCAGAACATGCCTTATTCCAACAGGAGTAACCGCAAGAACGAGCCGTCACCGTCGCGGTCCCTGGTCCCTCGCCACGTAACCCGCACCATCCCCCGACCGGACTCTGGTGTCGATGTCGACGAGGGTTCAGAGGACAGTCAATCGGTAGCCGTCTTCTCTGGAGTCTTTGATGGCCAGGGCATGCTGGGCCATTCGGATAGCGTGCGAACTGTCCGAAGAGTGTCTTCCACCTCTTCCGAAGCCATGGGCTCGGTGCCGCCCCATACACTGCAGCCCTTGATGGAGCAAGTGCCGGCCCCAGACCTGGGCCTTGGAGGAGACTCTTTCGCGCAGATGCTGCAGCAGCAACAGCAGCACACCCCTGAACAGCGACAACGGGGACTGGAGCAGATGGCCCCTTTCATGCCCATGGCGGGAATGACGCCCGAGATGGCAGCACATATTTGGGGTTACCAAGGCAGCAATGTTGCACCAACACCACCACCAGGCCAGATGGACATGTTCGTTCCAACAACCGATGGGGGTGAGCAGAGCCAATTCCTGGAATGGAGCTCGATGCAGGGAAACAACGGGCTGTACGATTTTACCGGGTACACCATGCCCCGATAATGGTCCAAGTGTGGTCGGATTGTATAAGTAATGTACGATGTTGATGTTGTAATGACCAGAAGTACTATAATAATTACACGAGATTTGTGAACGTTCTCTAGTGTCATTTCAGTTCCGCATAGTGGCAATTGCTAAATAGAAGCCCTTCCCTCCCTTAAAGACCTCGTGTCCCAGTCTTCATAAGCCGAAATACAGTCACCAACCGAATCAAATCCCAGCATAGCCTGCTTGTAATTTTCGTCGGCCATCTTGAACTCGGTCTGTACAGCATACCGACTGGCTGCCGCCAGAGTCGCGTCCCTCCACACTTGCTTGGGGCCATCGGGGAGGTGGTATGCGATACGGTTTGACAACGCTCCTTGGACGTTTGTCGTAGTACGGGACTTGCGAAGTGATTCATACAGTTTGAGAAGTTCTGGGATCTGTGATAAATACTCGGATTCATGCGGCTTGGACTTATGGAGGAGGCCAAGAAGCTTCCCCAGAACGGCCCCATCTTCTGTAGCCATGGCGGCACCTTGAGCTTGGTACGGAAGGCTTGGGTGGCAGGCATCGCCAAGGAGGGCAACCGAACCCTGGACATCCAGTCAGTTCAAATCGTGATGCATTCAAGTTGACTCGCCTGCTGCCACTTACCTTTGTCCATACTGGTAACTCCCGATGATGGAATAGCTTCCATTTCAGCACGTGCGAAATACAAGATATCATAGTTGTCAACCTGGGAACGGATGAGTCTGATATCGGGAGGTATCAACCAAACTTATGACTCACCTATCGTCCCATCCCTCAAAAGACTGGGTCATATCTCTCGTACTCCCCTGTTCTTCATGCACTCCTTCGTCCATGTCGTCTGGGCTCCCCAAAACGAGATTGTAAACCTCCCCATTAGCAATAGGATAGAACACAGCATGTTTACCGGGACCTAGCCAGCAAGTCACGGCGTTTCTCTCAATGAGCTTTTTGATTCCCATATCCTCGAGACTAAGCAAGTCGTTGCGACCAAACGTTGCCCGGTATGCCATGTCTCCCGTTTCGATGGGAGGTGAATGCCTATCAAGCACGAAGTCCTGGTGAGAGACCATAGTCCTGCTCCTATCATAAGCAAATATCGGGCTAACAGACGCTCAACCACGCTGTAGTTCAAATACGCTTTGGTTACGTCAGTCTCACTTACCATCTGCGCCGACTATAACATCGGCCGCCACGACATCGCCCCCGACCAAAGTGACGCTAGGGGGGGTAGAAGCCAAGCTTTCGACGCGGGCGCCTAAGCGCAACGCAGCCCCGGCTTTCTCGGCGGTCTCCCAAAGGACTCGGTGGTAATCCGCACGATGGATGGTTCTAGTATATCACAATTGGTGTCTCAGAAACCAAGTTGTGCACTCAGTCAAAATGGCTGGTGGGTGGGGGCATAGCTTACAACCACATGCCGCCAAGTTTCTGGGTGTGCTTTTCGTCCATCCTAATATCGTATAAGAGTTTTCCATCGGCGTATCTTCGATAGTCAATGTTTGAGAGAACGACGCCTCTCTCAATGAGCTGTGGTAGATACCCGAGCTGGCGGGCAACGCGAGATGAATTCGGGGGTATTTGAATTCCGGCTCCCACCTATCGATATTAGAACGGTCCTCAACTGAATTCGATCCGAGTCGAATTAAGCCAAAAGTGCAGTTATCAGGCAATTTTTGACTCACATGTAAGAGACTTTCTGCCTGCTCCAGTACGGTAACATCGAGAACTTCCTGACGACAAGCAATTGCACAGACCAAGCCGCCGATTCCTCCGCCGATGATAACAATCTTCATCGTTGATAGCTTAGGAAGAACTGGAATTCGTATTTTCCAGGTTCATTGGAAAGCTTGGAAGAACTTGAACAACTTGTGAGCACGCAATTGCATACTTATGTCGGGGAGAGACTAAATGCTTGACGGAGCTATCAGTGCCAGTCCCGATGTGACCGCATGTGGGGCCGGTCGGCCGGCACGGCCTATGGCAATACCCGCTTGTAGAGACGGGGCCCACGGCACGGCCGTATCGGAAATGCCGAGATCAGCCGGGTCCGGAGTCCAGCGAACGCAGCTTCTTTTCTCGAACCGTATCTTCGGCATAGCGTCACAAGGCTGGCTGGCCATACGAGTACATATCCCGTCAGCTCATGCGTTACGAACTTGAAGATATCGCGGTGAACCAGAGCTGTTTCCCCGAAACCCAAAGAGTTAACGGGCAACTATGATCGTAAGTTTGTCAGAAGTCGACTTCTATCAAATCCACAGCTAGACTTTGACGTTGATTATATCAGTTTCACAGTCTGAAAGTTGGATGAAAGTTGGTTTGCGATGCATATCATCGACTGTATTCTGCTCATAGACAATACCAATCAACACACCGGTAGCTAAAACCCACACCTTGTTGCCTGTTCGAAGCTGCTTATACTAAAAGGTGGGCCCGACCCCTTCTAAATCAAGGTGGCAGTTAGGAGGTAACATCCAGGAGCTTTCATGCTGGCCAGAACTGCAAGGCTGAATATCTGGAAATGGGAATTCGTTTGCGAATTGTTCATTTGGTGCCAGACCAAGAAGCCTGTCGAAATCAGAGTCTTGGAACGATGGGACGTCATTCAACTCAAGTCTAATCTCGTTAGAACCGGATGCCGCTGGGGAAATAGGCGTGGCTTCGGACCGTCCACGCCCTGTTTTATTTTGGATCGGAAAGAAAACTGCAAATCGTTTGGTAATAAACTCTTTCGTCCTAGGGTCTCCACCTGGCTTGTTCAACTTGTCTTCTAATTCTGCTGAATATTAACGACGTCATCGTCTTTGAGGATTTGACTTGACAGTCACATGCATGTCTTACTTACCTAATAAGACAGATCCCAGTCCCCAGACAGCCGCATATCGAGCCATAAGGAGTTTTCTCATGTCCGCGTATAGATGACAGCTCGAAGAATCGGAAAGAGAGTCACCTACCGGTATGAGAGGGGTCATCAGGCTACAGGCTAGAAATGGGTGGCTCAACGCAATGTACTCTGGGTGCCAGTGTTGAATGATTCGGGCTCTTTCTCGTGCATATGTAAATGTGCGAGTCTCTAGAAACTCTTCTCCATCCGCGAGGCCAATACGAGCGGCAACAACCATGAGATGAATGCCGATGATCCAGTTGCACTTTGCGAAACTCTTCTCATCAAAAAAGGGCAGGTGTGCCTCAAGACTAAAACGTTGGGAAGTGAGAAGGGAAAAGCACGTGATAGAGCTGGCGAGTTCTTCACGCTTTCGTTGTTGAGAAGGTGATTTAGATAGGTGAGGATCGTACGTCTGAGCCATAAGGTAGTTGGCAAGGAGAAACCACGCACGTTCGTCTTGGTTGTCGGACTTTTCGAGAGCTTTCCAAGCCTCTGCCGGCCTTGGATCAAGCTTCACAGATCGAACGGGCTGCTGTGAAAACCAGGCTTCATCACTGGCAGGAAGGAAAACCCCAATGCCGTGTCGATTGATTGCGCAGGGCCGTCTGGACAGCGTCGACCCAAAGGTGTCCAGCTCCCAAACCAGCCAGAATGCACGCCTGCTTTCTTCCATACTGACCCAGTTATCTGAACTGTTCCAAGGCTCTTCGTCATCGTCCATATCGCATAGGTCAAGCTCGTAGGCTAGCCGGACACAAACTCCTGTCAAAACCCAGGCGTGATGGGAAGGACCAGCGGTGTAGAGGTAGCAAGCCAGAAGAATACAGCCTTGAAGATATGGCAGCGAGGCTCCTTCTGCAGTCTCTCGAAGGTGTTTATAGCTCTGTTCGGCAAGCTTCATGAAGTTGTCCCCGCGTTCCGTAGCTCGAACATTCTTGAACTCAGGGGCTTCTAAGTGGCGTGCAGCCAAAGCGAACATGGAGTACAGTATGAGAGAATCTTCGAAAGATCGTTTAACAGAGCAACGAAAGCTTTGATCCTCATCTGTCATGTGCTTGGCAAAGAATCGTGGCTTATGGAGCAACGGTAGCCATGGCTGAATTTTGTCGAAGAAGATTTTGACAAGTGAGGTCGCCATCGCCTGAGGGACTGCAATAGTGCAAGCCCTTTCGGTCACGTCTTCCTGATCGTTTGTTGCGGAAGATTTAGAGGAGATGCTGAGTGGCGTGCCGCCCGTTGAGTTGTTGTCGTGCGCAACTTGCTGGAAATTGGAGGGGGTAGAAACGTGACCGCTCGAGGGTGTTTTGTCTTGGTTTTCGTCACCAATCGAATGGGTGGATCCTCTTCTTGAAGAAGACTCTTTTGGGGAGCTTGTTAGATCTTTTGTTTGTCCCCCAGCAAGTCTAGATTCAAGAAGGTCGACAATACGTTCTTTAGTATTCCTCGGATTAGTGAATGTCACATTCAATAGCTAGCGCAACCATGCACCCTTACCCAGTCTTTCGCCGCTGAGGCTCGCCTTACGTTTCGCATCTCGGGGTTTCGCTACGCGTTCTGGTGTTTTCCTCTTTGTAGGAAAGGTGCAAGAACCTCCGACCCTTTCGCAGAGCCCACAAACAGGCAGGCGCATGTCACCTGTGGCCTAATGAGTACTGGTCTTTCATCGCTAGAGGATTATTTACATCGTGTCTTTTTTCTGTGCGGGATACTGTGGTTAGCAAAGAATCTGGGCTGGGCAATCATGATTTTTCCGCGCTGGAAAGGCGTACCTCCGGCATTCAACGCACGCACGATGTCCTTTGGCAGGGAAACAGTTCAGGTAATCTACTATTACGAAGTCCGAAGTTTCATTGGTGTCTTGGCTATCGCATGAGGGGATAACCGTGTGGAGGGAGGCTCTCGAGTTCATTGCGTGGAATTGATTTGCCCGTATTTGACCACGATGAAGCATTTGCTGTGTAACAGATAAATAGTACTGTGATCCAGTCGGCACAGTCCTTCGATCAGTTTTCAGGGTCGTTGGTAAGCTTACGACGCATGCCTTGCCGCTGGCGATCCACGTTCCGAAAGGATGGAAGATCAAGTGCGGGGGTCGTAGAGAGAGGCAAATAGCGGTCTACTCCGTGCAGAACTTGTTGTAGTAGTAGGCAAATTGGGGGGATGTGATGTCACTTGGGCATGAAGTTTCGTGGTTCAGATGGACATCCAGCCCGGTACCCGACTAGAAGTCTGGAAGAACCCAAGATGTTCCATATCACGCACTAGCGTCTATCTAATTCAAGCCCAATGTTCCTTTTGCTTGCATTGAAAACATTATGGTGACGCAAACATATCCCATATTCTCAGTATGACTTTGGCTTCGTGAAAGTTGCACTGCAGCATGTAAAAGCGATTTGGAACCCGCCTCTGGGACTGGTATGGAAGCACATAATACTTCTAATGGCGGCTGGAAAACAACTTAAGTCATCTGATATTTGTATCACATGCTAACTGAGGCATATGCATTGATCCCGAAAGACCGTTCCCGGTCAATCGCGGCGTTGCCGTGCACCGTCTCCACTTTGCTCGGAGTCGACGGCGTCCGCTCCCGGCTCTTAGAACCGGCACCCGATTGCGGCTCCGATGCCCAAAGCTTCATGCTGTAATCGTCAACCTGAATAGAAACCGACTCCTCCTTGATCACATAATTTGACAACAGCTAGACACGAAACAAACTCGGAACTGGTTCCTCGTCGCGACCCGCTGCCTACAACAGCTGGTCTCCTCAAGATGAAGTCGATACGTGGACAGTACGTCTTCCAATCACGCTCTATGCAGATTGGAAGAGGCTTGATCCAGTTGAGTCCATACGCAAGGCTCTCAGCGGTATCAACACACCGTTTCCAGTCAAGTTAGACGAGTCCTTGGTATGCAGTTCCTGGCGACCGAGAGTTTGTATTGCGGGTCGATACACGTCTGACAGTCTTTGCATATTCTTGTGTGGCGATGCCGCGCATCAGAACATTCCAATTGATGGTTACGGCATGAATACGGCGGTCGGAGATAGCTACGACCTCGGATGGAAACTCACAGCTGTTCTCTAAGATTGGGGTGGGGACATCCTCTTAAAGTCATATGAAATCGAGGGGAAACTAGTTGCTAAGCGCAATACTAAATGCTTAAGGGACCATCATAATGTTCACCAAATATATATGACTTACGTCACTTAAGCAAATGCAACATGCCGCGCAATACAATGCAGCCACCCTTATAATCTGGTTTAAGCTATAGAGTGTGGCAGTTTAAGTTCTGCATCAGGACAATTGCTATATGCAAGTCCTTCCATCCCTTGAAGACTTTGTGTTGACGGAGTGTACGTCCGCTGGCTGAAGAACGTCAAGGGCTTCGTCAGCGCCTGAAAAGGACTGACTGCCCACACGGAAAAGCGAAGAAAAAGAAAAGAGAGAATGATATGTAGAGCAATTTCTTGACGACGCGTAACGACGGGGGATTGTGAGTTGAAACGTAACTTCCTGAAAAAGGGCTTTTCTTGGCTTGTCTTATAGCGGTTCCACTCGCTATGGTGGTGGTGGTGGTAATATTCAATCGCCGGTGCGTCCTTGTATAAGGCAAAAGTCGTCCGCGTCGAGCTACCTGATATTGTAGCATCAAGTGTGAAACTTACCATACCACGGCCTGTCTGGCACCCCAGATGCCCAACACGAGGAACTGTAATACAAACAGACAAACATTCTCTCTTAGCTATTCTAGGTCTGGCGTGATTACAGCATTTGTCTGGTATCGATCTGGAAGACCACCCTGGAAATGGTTTTCAGCCCCGCTCGCACACTCCATCATGTTTGTTGCCTAATCTTCATTACTTCCACTCTATCCGTTCGTAAATGCTCTATTGGGTGCACTGCACATCGTCGCAGCATGTGATTCGGCCGACATTGATATCGTTGCATTGGACAGAACCACAGAAGCTCTTCTTAGCACCGCCTGAGCCGCAGGTCTTGTCGCACCTGATCTGTTGGCAAGACGCGCTGACACCGGCGGCGTATGTCATAGCGGCGACGAGAGCAATAGTGATCTTGGAGAACTGCATGTTGACGAAGGGTTTCTGTAGAGTTGTTTGTGTTTTGAGAACTTCTAGTAGCCCTAGCGCGGTGGTCAGTTCAAGAATCTGGCGATGCTCACGGCACAAAGATCGACTCACAATGAATCAATAGCGCCGACTAGTTTCGGGAAACAATGATAGGTGGATGTGTACGAATGATTTTCAATCTGAACTGTCATACTGAGCAATGGAAGTCGTCTTTTATAATAATTTGACCATTCAGAATAAGTAGGTCCGGAGACATTCTAAAGTTTAATACAAGTCAGTCCCTTGAGCTGCACAGGATGTCCAGATGAGACGATTAACTTGAGTCATGTTGTAGCTGACACGTCTCGCGCTTGACGCATGCCGCGCGTCTCTCTGCATACTGCAGTTCAAATTGAGCTGGCCACAACCTCTTGAAGTCACGCGAGATTGAGCGGAAACCGGTTGTAAAGCAGAATATTGAATAGTCAAGATTCCATCAAAATATACACCCAGCCTACGTCGGTTAGCTCACTCAAGCTTTGGAGCGTGGCAGCGTCTCCGATTTGGGGCGTGGAGGAGCACTGCGTCAACGGGTCAACCAACACCTCATCTTCCACGATGGTGAAAAGAAAGAGCACTGCATTGAGATAGACTAGTGATATACTGACTTTCCTGTGATTGTGAAGGATGAATCAGACGATTTCGAACCCCAGTGGTCCGCTCGTCACTATACGCCGTCGACGTGGCCGGAGGCGCGTGCACCGCAGTTATATATTTCAGATGGCAGGTCAAGCAAATTCAATCTCTTCAGGCCTTCCTTCACCTATTTCGACTTCACCATTTCTGGCAGGTATGCGGCTGGATTTGTTTCTACAGCTGCAAGTTCCTCTGAAGGTTGTTTCTTTGCCATAAGAAGCGCATATTCAAAGCGTTCGGCAACGAAATGCGGTCTTAATTCGGCCAGAGGATCATGTGGCTTGGAGAAGTCCAAAAGACGAAGACGACTTAGACTTTGGAAGGACTTTGAGAGTTGTGTCTGGCCACATATAAAGTGCACGATTAGGACGTGTGAAGCCTAAGGTAGAACTTTTACCAGTTCCATTCTAACTTCTGTTTTTATCCAACCTTGTTCCTACTTTCAATTACAAAATATCATCTTCACACCTGGATCTCGAGATCATCTGTATCGCAATTAGCAGGATTTATCTCGGTGATTTGCATAAAATGATTTGTCTCATGTTCCTTCTGCATAAGTGTTACATAAGCGCCGAGCCCGTATCACGCTGCAGCAACCCCGCCCCATTGGCGCCGGGCACAACTCGCCATCTTCAACACTGGTATCGTTCGACATACTTGCTGCCGAACTTCCCCAAAAGACGTCGTCTGATGCAACGGGAGAATAACAGAAACTTCAGACTATTTCCTTAGGTTTCTGCGGGCCTTGATCGTCTGATATTCGTCTCTTGCGGAGTAACAGAGCCGCTGTCGCAGCCGCCCCGTTGCTGCGTTGCGAGTCATGTTTAACGTCAATATACAGTTGACGCCCGGCGTCAAGCGACTATATTTCTTATGCTTCTACTTTGGGATTGGGGCTTCAGTATGGGGGTAAGTCCGCAACCTGATTTGACGATGAAGCTGGAGCCAACTCTACTCTCAGATACAATATCGGTATTCTTTCCTCAGTCTTCGCTCATCCCGGCTGGAGTGAAGCTCTCGGCCGCCCAGGAGTACCTTTCAGGGGCTGGGTCGCCAGCATTTATTATCTGGGTACCTTGATCAGCTATTCCGTCATTTCGCATCCTCTGAGTGACTGGCTCGGACGTAGATATGCTGCTCTATCCGGAACTGGAGTAGTATGTCTCGGGGCTCTCTTACAGGCTCTCAGTGCCGGGTCCACGGCCAGAAGCACAATGCTTTTTGGTAGACTGTTGAGTGGCCTCGGCGTCGCAGTTGTGTCGACATCAGTGCCACTCTACCAAGCGTAAATCTTTCAAATGAGTGTTGACTTCATGCGGGTGCTGACCAGCATGGGTAGCGAGATTTCGCCAGCCAAAAGAAGAGGCCATTTTGTTACGATGAACCACGTAGGCTTTATTGCCGGAATGGCCATTGGTCTATGGTTGGTGTAGCTCATGAGCACCTCACGACTCGTTGCTGACCTTTCTGTAGGGTTGGATATGGTATGGCCTTCTGGAAAACAGAAGCTGGTGTGTATTACGGCTGGAGAGTGACGATTCTTCTCGAGATCATTCCGGCTCTGGTCTTTGGCTTGGGACTACCGTGGATTCCTGAAACGTCAGTACACAGCTTCCTTGCTCATGATACACTGCTGAACTCACACCTAGGCCCCGATGGCTGGTCGAGAACGGCCAGAAAGACCGCGCCCGCTCAACCCTTCGCTGGCTTCGTGAAGGAGCTTACTCCGAGGACCACTTCGAGCAGGAATTCGGCGCCATTGTCAAAAACATTGACGAATATCATCAATCAGGCAGGAACTGGCTCTCCTTGTTCAAGGAAAAGGCTCTGTTTTCTCGTCTTTGGCGAGCTACCTTGCTGCAGTTTATGTCGCAGGCTTGTGGCGCCACGGCGATCAAGTACTACCTGCCTTTGTTGCTTGAGAGCCTTGGTATCTTCGTTCGTACTGCTCTATTGATTGGAGCTATTGAGATGACGGTCAAGATTGGATTTACCGTCTTGGAAATGTTCATCATCGACAAATTTGGGAGAAGAAACTGTCTCGTCTTCGGATGCGTTGTTATGGCCTTCTCAATGCTAGTAAGTTGTAGCCAATGTGTTGTATCAGATAACGACCTATCACTAAGCATCTCGCTTCAAGATCAACGGCGCCGTGCCGCTTGCGTATCACGACAATGAAGCAGCAAATATTGTGTGCATCGTCTTCATCTTCATCTACGCCATCGGCTTCAGTCTTGGTTTTGGGCCGGCCGTTTGGGTGTACAACACTGAGGTAGGTTGCCAAGATGTCCGCGTCAAAGACACGACTGACGCTGTACTCTCTAGATATTCCCAACGTCTGTCAGAGCTCGCGGTTTGAACTTTGCCTCCGTCGGCGGCTCTGTCGCTTCCATGATCGTTACTGTTGTTTGGCCTTATGGTTTGGCTGCGATTGGTAGCAACATCTACTTCTTTTTCATGATTGTCAACATTGTTTTCATCCCAGTGAGTACATCGATCTAACCTTGCAAGAACCTACGCTGACATTGAACTTGTGAAGCTCCTTTTCGCCTTCATCCCGGAGACCAAGGGCCGTGAACTCGAAGACATGGATGCGCTATTTGGCAGCGTGGGTCGCCAGCTGCCAAGTGATGGTGAAGGTGAGTCCATGAGGCACTTGCGTTTTTGTTTGCTGCTAACGTATTTGTCCAGATTCGTCACAGCATTTGCTTCGAGATGATACACAGGATGAAGACCCAGAAGATACACCCCCTGCGTACACACGAGACGGTGATCGCGATCTTAGCCTCATCCAGTAGATCAAAGAAGCAAGTCTTTCCGTCGAAACTTCAAGTGAGGTTACCTTCCGATTGGAAGACGTGGATTGTGGGGTCCATGGGCTGTCCCAACCACAATAGAATTGCACCAACATAGATAGGTTGGTGGACGGTGAATTCCTGAGGCTGATGGAGCAAAGCCAGTTCAGGTATCTGTTGCTTTCGATTCAAACTTCAGTTTGGCTAAATGATACATCAAAATATTGCTTCCTCATAATGTCTTATTGATGTTTCCCACATTTGATTAAGAAGTTACCAAGGAAAGCCCGTCGTTTTCCCCGACAACCCTTTCGATCGCGGACCGATGTTGGTGGGTATTCTCCGCCGGGTCTTCTCCAAACTCGCCCTGCAAGGTGTACTCCGAACACCGCGGATAAAACCCATTCCCCCGGATATGCAAACCCGGCGTTAAGAACCCACCCCGTACATACACCGCCGTGCCAAGTTCTCCAGCAACTTGACCGAGCTATCGGTTATTCGGTCTGTCCCACTTCGTCCCACTTTCAAGAGGATGCGTTTGGAGAATAGCAGGGGATTTGGTGACGGAGTCGTGGCGGAGACCGCTCCCCGCATTTGCAATTGACTTCAGCAACAGCTATATATATATTGGGCTTGCGGCGCTATTGAACTACCTTTCTTGAATCGATTCTCTTAGAGCAAGCACACGGATCATGGCCCAATACGAAAGCAAAGAACAAATTCTTGCGTTGGGTGAGACTGAGTAAGTGCTTCAACTGACTTGCGTGAATATACGTGACAGAGCATGAGCTAACAGCGAGACTTTAGCCCGCAACTGGCCGCGGTAAGTCAACTTTCAACGCTATGCAGCTCTTCACTGATTCTTGTGTAAAGCTTCTTAGCCAGCCCGGCGGAGACGATGTCGTGGCCATGATGAACTCAATCCACCTGTCCATGGTTGCGCACGCCGAAGCCGCACGGCAACCACTGCCGGGAACCAAAGACACCGACCATGAATACGACATCAAGATTCCGATGAGAGGCGGCTTCGAAAATCCCGCAAGAATCTTCAAGCCGGACGTACCTGTGCCGGGAAGGGCTACGGTTGTCATGATCCACGGCGGAGGTTTCACCATCGGGCATCCTACCCACGTAGGCCACTACGCTCGAGGAGTGGCGAAGCTGTTCGGGACGACGGTGATTAGCATCACTCACAGGCTTACTCCGGAGTTCAAGTTCCCGATACCCTCAAACGATATCTGGGACTCGCTGGAATGGATCTTTTCAGCGGACGACTCAACGACCGCGGCGTTGGGCGGATACAACAAGGCCAGCTTCATCATCGGTGGCGTCTCGGCTGGTGGTAACCTCTCGGCTGTCACGGCCCAGAAATGGGTCTCTGCGAAGAAGACGCCGAACTTGGTTGGGATTTGGTTGAATATCCCCTGGATTCTGGAAGCCGAGGTCCTCCCGGAGAAGTACGCCCACTTGTGGCTCGCGCGAGAGCAGAACACAAATTCGTTGGTCATCAACGGTGAGACTCTGCGAGTCACCAAAGCCACGTACCAGCCCGACTTTTCGTCGCCCGACTTCTCTCCCTTTAATGACGAGAACGCTCACAAAGGCCTGCCGCCGGTCTATTTCCAGGTCTGCGGGCAGGATCCTCTACGGGACGACGCAATTATCTACGAGAAGGTTCTTAAGGATCACGGTGTGTCGACGAAGATTGATGTTTATGCTGGGGTGCCTCATGGATTTGCGGATCTTTTGCCGACGTTTGGTCTAGCTCAGAAGTTCCTCGCGGACTCGATGAAGGGTTTTGCGTGGCTGTTTGGGGAGTCTGCGCCTTCAGACGCGGAGATCGTGAAGGCTTTGACAGTGGCCTAAGTGAATGAGGATCTTTCAACGGTAGTCCAGAAAGATAGGTAATTTGAGCATTTTCTTCATTTCGTCTAAGGAATTTATCAATGATCGTGTGTGTATTCTGTTTGGGTATCTTTGTAACTCTATCCGGAAGCTTTTCCGGACGACCATTTTCTTTGCTTCAACTTGCGCCATCTCGTTGAATCTAACACCAACCGGGATCCTCAGCGCATCATGGCAATTCCGCCACCTCGGGAACGTAGTTGATAGAAGACAATTCCGGTGGCTCAGGGGTTGATGTTTTGTTCTGAGACGTCAAGTCTGAGTGAGAACTCGCGCTTCTCATGTGTTTGCCCCTGTAAGTGGGCATAAGCCCTGCTGTTCCGTGAAGGCCTGCTTCCGTTCGGCCAAGATTCCCTTCTCCATCTGTGTGCGACCTCTTCAGCGAGGGGTCCGAGTCCTTGGAAGCATGCATGATTTCCGAGCTCCAGAACGGAGACCCGAAAATGATGGTGGGATTCGTCGACTCTCTCTGTGATCTCGATGTCACCGACTTCGGTATGCCAGGACGCTCTGCCGGTTTCCATATGCTGGACGGCTCAGTAAAGGCGTGTCGAGGCTGCATGGGAGGACATGGAGGCTCGTGGTGAACATTCTGAGTGGGTGGATCTCCAGCTGTGTATGTTTTAAAGCCAACGTCGACGTTAAGTGATGTTTCGCTTGGTCTTGTGCTGAGCGACAACGCCGACACGGATGGAAAGGATGTGAATGACGGAGACGGCGGTATCAAGGTTGAGGCTTCGCTATTCACTGTTGCTGTTGAGGAGTTCCGGCCCGAGAATACGTGGACAGAGTCTGGGGAGAACCATCGACCGGTCCTTGTCTCTGAAGACGAGGTCGTACCAGATCGGGCAGGCTTTGGCGGTATCAAGTCTTCGCTGGATATGGTGTGCCTCAAATCGACCGAGGATCCTCCATACTTGAGCCCCAAAGAGTTCGACTTTGCGTCTTTGTTTCGTCGTAAATATCCGGCTAGTCGCGAGTATTTCGTTGGTCCGCCCTTTTCCAACTCGCCTGGCTCGCTCGGCTGCTCCGGGAGTGCATCTGGGGTGGTCGTCCTTGGTGCATCGTGAGCAATGCGTATTGCCGGAGTCGCAGACAACGATGGAACGGCTTGGTGCGAGGGAGTGAAGTCAGGAAACCTTGGCGACGCGTGAAGATTGAGGGTAGATGCAGTCGAGGAGTAATCGAGGAGGCTGTCTCTTGTCTGGTTGCTATGCTGCAATGAGAGAAGACCAAGACCAGATGTTAACGGCCGCGAAAGGTTGTCATCTTCGGCAAGTGGGAGACCGAGTATCGGGTGCTGAACGGTCGGCTGGCCGACAGCTTTCGGGCGCGGAGTTGTCGATCGAAACGACGGGTCAATAGGCGCCTCGAGCTCACAGAACGATTCGTAGTCTGTGGTATGGTGCTTGGATGGATTCGAGGCCGGCGGGTATGTAGGATACCGAGGTGGATGCTGTAGATGGTGTTGAGGAAAAGGCCCAATTGACTTCGGCTCGGTTGACGTTGGAGGTGTTCGAGCAGCTGCCTCGGTCGAGCTGGAAGACGTATGGTATGGAGTTGTCCCTGAGACGCATGTCAGTTTCCGCACAACCGAAGGTGTCTGGTCATTCTGGAGGAACTGGCATGAAGTACCTGAGAGTGCCATCTCACCCATCAGGCCACCCAAAAGAGCAACATTGTCGAAAATCTCAGTCTGTTTCTTGATTTGGCTAGTCACCACGACCTGCGGCTGTTGAAACTGTAGAAGATGGGGAGCAAGAAGCGCCGTCTGCCTCAAAAAATTCAGCTCCGACAGCACGGCGGCGTGATGGCGACTGATGACGGGCTCCTGCGCCCTGAACTCCCTCGAATCGAACATGACCCATGCGACTCGGTTCTTGAACGGCACCCTGCCGTTATTGGCGTCGGGGCGGCATTTCTCGACGATCTGACAGACTTCGAGGAGGCCCTGGTTCGCGGCGGCGATGATCTCGTTGACGCGGTTCAGGACAATGGGCGTCTTGTCGAGGAGAGGGAGGCACTCGTTGCGGATCTCGATGAGGTGCTGTAGGTCCCGGTGACACGTCTGGACCAACTCGAGACTGCGCCGTACTTGGGACGGGACTTGGTCGACGTCGACGCTGAAGAGGATGAGTTGGTATGTTGCGTGGAGTGCCGATACGGAACCGGTGATGGGATCCATGACCACCTGTTGTCTTGGTCAGTTGGTGGTTGAAGGTGATAAAGGTAGCAGGAGCCATGCGGGGCATCTCACTGTGCTGAGGTAGAAGTTGAAGGTAGCTAGGCGTCCGGATTACGTATTACGACGACCCGATTGAGGAGTGTAAGAGAAGAACTCAGTTTAGATAGAACGAGAGCTGAAATGAAGCGTTTAGCCGAGGAGCGAGGCGTCGACGGTATGGCCGATGATCTCAGGCACCGCTGTTGCAACTCAGCGACGAACAGCCACCCGATCAGCCCGAACTAAAGATGAGCTGGCGGATAAGACCAAGATGCTTGCGAGAAGAACAGCTAGAGCACTCACAGCACGTCAGAAATCTTCTTCAGTCACTAATATTGGCGCAGCCTGTCCAAATCAGTCCTGAGTGGAAGTCCGAGAGGTGTGCAGGTTGAGGCTGGGTGGTTGCATGCCACCTTCAACCTAAGTTCCCGTGGTCACCTACATACTCCATGCTGCAGTGAGTCTCGGACGTCCCTTGACCGGCCTAAGACCTCAACGGCTCTAAGATTCCGTCAGAGGTGCACTAACCAACACAAGCATCATCGGCGTCGTAGCCAAGTTTGTTAGGATGCCTAGCCGGAGACTAGGATTTGTGGCAGTGAAGCTGGCTTCCGGTCCACTCAGCCGCAGACGGAGGTGGAAGGATTGTGCATCACATTAGCTTACGGCGTAGCGAGAGACAACGGCCGTGCCAATCATTTCTTAAGGAACTCGGCCTTTCGCTGTCTTCACTGTCTCAGTGAAGCCACAAAAGACAACAGACAACGACAGCGGCGACGAGTTCGGCTCGACGGCCAAGGGCGTCAATGGCGTTTGTTACACCAAAAGTCTGATTGAGTAGAGCCTGATATGGCAGGGAGTGTAAAGTATTGATGGCGGGTCAACGGGCCAGCTGAGTCCACTGTAGGCAGCAACTGTAAATCCCAGCTTGAGCGGGACATTAACTCGGTTACCTTGGCTAAAGTCCAACGGCCGACGACGGAGGTTTGTTGCCTACATGTTTGGAAAGAAATTCGAAGATGCGGCTCCATTTCTCAAAGTCCGACGGAGAATTCGGGGAAGCAAACGGTTCGATTGTGACGACCAGAGTGAGAAGTAATTACTCAGATAGATCCCTGTCATGCAGTGAGATTCCCTAGCCTCCGTGGTTCCCCCTTATTTAATTCGACTCAACTTCACCCCAGGGGTCGGCGAAAATCAGGCTGAACACCAAAATTCCTCAACGGAGGCGAAGATCATAAATTGAAACTTGGATGTGTGTGATTCTTGTGAATGCGAGGTACGTCTGGTTCGTCTACAAATCGTGGCCTCGGTGCGACTCAACACAATCTACAGTATTACTTCGAGAGCTAGGTATCCGGTCTTCATTCTGATACTCCATTACACCAACATCTCAACGCAAATGATAAAAGCGTCACTCATCGGTTTCTACTGGGAACCTGTGCTGTAACGGCTTCCACCACCCGACGGGGAGAGCTGTACGTCTTGCCGTCTTTGCTGCTGACCTTGCGCAAACCGGGGCAGACCACCACGCCCGCCGCTGTACCATCTGTCCTGTAGGTGAAGCGCCAATCGCCAGGCTGAGACAGGACCTCGTAGCCGAGCCTTGCGCATTCGAGGATGACGGCCTGCAGGTGGTCCAGCTGCTGACGCTGGCTCCCCTGATCCGCCGGGACAAAGTGGTGAAGGTACGTGTTGAGCGCGGTGGCGAGGCTCTGCGCCTTGGGAGTGACTTCTGATTCATTCGGGGAGAGGGGCATTCTCTGGCTTCGGCTCGGGTGTAACAGAAAGGCTGACAGGCTGCGCCATTGAGAGAGTGCGAGTGAGGTTGCTGGGGAAGGTCAATAAGGTGAACAGTATGTTTGAGACTTGGAAAGAAGAGATCTTACCCTCTTTATCACCCCCGCGAGACTCGACTGGGGGGACTGATTGTAAGAACGAAGAGATTGGCGCCGGGAGCATGGAGTAGCGACCTCGCGCGTTGAAGTCGATGCTACCGAATATCGCGAGCGAGATGACATGCTGGAGACCTGCCTGCCGCGTCTTGGGATCGATACAGAGCGCGGCGATCTCCTCCGTGCTGAGCCCCGAGAGCTCGCCAATCCCCAAGTTGGAAAGGCTGGGGGCGAGCGACTGAGGGCTCGCTTGCACCGGCCGCATGTGGTAGTTGTTCTCGACGTGTTGCTGGATGAGCTCCCCGCGAGCCTGGAGTTCGCTGGCGATCTCCTTGTCCGGGGTCGCGTCGAGGAGGAACTGGCTCATCTGGATGCCGCTGCTCCCATGACTGACCGGTACCGGGGCCGAAGAGGAGAACGCTTTGGGCTCGGGGCCGACGGCGATGTGGCCGGTGTCAGAGCTCGCGGGCGAGTATCTGCGGTTCTTGTTGTTCTTGCGTCGGAGGAAGAAGAAGGCGATGAGGGCGCCTATGGCGAGACCGGCAATGAGACATCCTACTGAGGCGCCGGCGATGGCACCTGTCGACACCCCGGAGGAAGAAGTCGAAGATTGTGTCGAGTTTGAGCTCGCGCTTTCAGTGGGAGACACGATTGTTGAAGTCTCGCCGTCAGCAAGGACTATCAGTCGGGTTGAGGCTACCGCAGATGAATTTCCTGCTGCCGGCGGTTGGGCTGGAGAAGCTGATGGGACCGGAGGGTCTGTTAAGGCAGGAGAGACCGCGGGAACACTCGTAGCTGACGATGCCATCTTTTCAACGCGTAAGGAACGCCGTGGTCAGATTCGAAAGAACGACGAGAAAGTTCAAAGATGAAAGATGCCCAGGATGGTATGAAGAGGAGAAGTCTGGGCGGTTCAAACTCAAGTAACGCGTAGCAACGGGAGGATCTTCAGACCCAGGGGTGTGAAGGATTCGAGCTGATGTAGACTCTAACTTACACGCCCCATCAGTAGTTCAACCATGAGGACGTAGCTGCATTCCAAGAATCCCGGTGCTTGCTTGCCGCCTTGCAACGTCGTGCTGACGGGCAGGGTTCGCAGATATGGGGCGAACGGGTCCACTAGACGCCACCGTTGACGGGCTGTGTTACCAACGAGAAAGAAACGGCTAGCCGGAGCCTGATCTAACGTGATGGCGCAGGGTGGTGGTTTCTTTTCGGCGGATGGATTTGGTGTAGTCTCAACGCCCGTGGCGCCAAGCTGAACATGGAGACCATCTCTTTATCAGCTTTGGCGTCTGGGGTGAGAGAATGGTGCCTAGCAGAGCCTTGTCTGCCGTCGAGCCGGTCACAGGGGTGACAATATTCATCTCAGCTCTGCCGTACGGAGTAGATGATTGGGAGGAATTCCACCCCCCGCGTCTTTCCTCTTGCATTTCGCAAGTCAGAACTAGCCACAAGGCTGGCCGGTGGGGGTGGGCATCCGTCATGACATGAAGTGTGACCTGCCAGCCTTCTCTTCTCGACACACTCTCTCGGGAAACATCAGACAATTGAAAGCCGAGACTACAGCTTCTCGTCGCAAGAACATCATCATCTTGAAGGCGGTGCGGTCTCTCATCTCATTGACCGTGACAAGAAAAGCCACTTGTGTTCAATTGACACCCCCGTCCTTCATCATGAGCGACAAGCCGGATGTGCTGGTGTCGATTGATCTGGGCACCACCTTCACAGGTAACGCATACACTCGTACACGACTCTCATCCCAACCGAACACACTAACAACCACGACCCAGGTGTCGCTTGGATGACCCCGAAGACCCCGATCCAAGTCATCAACGACTGGCCCGGCAGCGGCGACCGAGGCGAGCGCAAAGTCCCGACCGTCCTCACCTACAACGCGGACGGCAGCCTCTCGAAATGGGGCTTCATGTGCGGCGACGAGGAGGAGAGCATGGCGGGCAAGCTGCGGCGCGAGTTCTTCAAGATCTTCATCGACGAGGACACGCTCGAGGCGTGGCAGCAGCGGGGGCTCCCCAACGCGCCGCGCAACGTCGCGGAGGCGGAGAGGCTGGTCACCGATTTCCTCAGGGAGGTGTTCGACCACGTCAAGGAGTCGATCGAGACGCAGCTCGGCAGGCGGCACACGGGCGGGTGGACGGACATGGCCGTGACGTTCCTCTTCAGCGTGCCGACGACGTGGACCAAGATGGAGACGATCAACTCGTTCAAGCGGATCATCCACGACGCCGGGTTCGGCGCCGAGGGGGCCCGGCACTTTGCGCAGGTCGATCTGACGGAGGCGGAGGCTGCTGCTGTCGCCACGCTGAAGACGAGCGCGGTGAATTTCCAGATGGGGTCTCTCTTCCTTACCGTCGATGCCGGCGGCGGCACGACCGATCTCGCCGTGATGCAGATTACGTCGACGGACACGCAGTACCCGCAGATGTCGCAGATATCGGAGGTCAAGGGCGTGGGGATCGGGGCGTCGTTGATCGACGTGGCCTTCATCCACCTGGTGAACAAGCGCCTGGCGGACCATCCCGAGGTTGGACACCTGCTTCCCCGCGACTTTGCGTTCAGGATGTCGAGGAGTCATCACTTCAAGACGGTGAAGCATAAGTTTGGGGAGCGAGCTTACATGCAGCCCGTCTTCAAGATGCAGTTGGAGGGTGTTTCGCATGATTTCAACCACGAGGGGCTTAGGATCGTGGACGGGCGGATGCTTTTTACCATGTAGGTTGACTTACTGTGGTCGCTTGCCAGGCAACGGTTTGCTGACAACTCATAGGCAGGAGATTCAAGTGCTCTTCGACGTCCAGATCGACGGAATCATGCGGTGTATCGAGGAACAGCTGGATAGGCTCATCCAGAAGCAACAACCACAAGCCATCGTACGTCGTGCGGACAACCACTGATCTTATATGACGTTGACTAATACCATCACGTTAGGAATACATGGTGTTATCGGGAGGATTGGGAGGTTCAGCATACGTTCGAGATAGTCTGCAGGCCCAGTTCCAGAACTATGCCCACCAGAACGCGGAAAAGGTCGCGGTGATCCCCTGCCAAGACCCCCAACTCGTCGTCGTGCGCGGCTTGCTGCTGGACCACCAGCAAAAGATGGAGACGGGGCGACTTTCGGTGTTGGCGACGCGCATAGCTCGGGCCAGCTACGGCGTGGTGATCAAGGAGGTGTACTCGCCGCAGCAGCACTTTAACGAGGATATCCAGGACGACGCTTTTGATCCGAAGAAGAAATGGGCCGTCAACCAGATCCGGTGGCTCATCAAGAAGGTGTGTGTGGGGATTCAGGGCTTGGGAAAACATGTGCTGACGAGGTGGCAGGGAGACACGGTCAACCCGAACTCGCCGTTGGTGCATTCTCTTGCGATATCTCTCGGGGCTGGAGATACGAGGAGATCATGGGATGCCAACATTGTCATTTCTCACAACGAGGCATCGTTCCTCCCCAAGAGCTTGAAGCACGGTAAGTCGGCCAACGAGCCGAGGAGCTTGGCAAGGGAGGGGAGTCGTGGCTAACACGGTTTAGCTGGGGCAACGAAGCTTTGCGACGTCAAGAGCAACCTTACCGGAGTGCAGCAGGACCAGCTGGTGCTCAAGCACAAGCGAGGAAGTTGCTTCTCCAAGGGCACGACGTACTACATCCTGAACTTCGATGTGCGGGTGATTATCGCGCCCGCCGACATCAGGTTTGAACTGTGGTTCGGCGGGCAGAAGTTTTCTGGCAACCACGAGCCGATTGCCGTGATGTGGGATGAGAAGGGCGTGAAAGCTAACGGCAGTTCATGACGGGCCAAGTACGATGTCGGATCCGATAATGTTGGCAAGTTGGTTGGCGGGAGAAGTGACCCATGACGGAGGCATTCAGGACGCGAATGTCACCGACTTGGGCCTGGGGTGAACCACTGCGAGACTTGAGGGCGAGGCCGCGCGAGCCGTTGATCACGCATATTGTCAAACGTGGGGTGCAGACGGCGTTTTGATATTCAACGCTGTGAACATGGTGGGATGAGTGTCTCAGAAGATCACGCGACAGCGTCATGGCCGCTGTCGCAGAGATAAGTCGACAGGCGGCTAGGGCTTGACAGAAGGCGGAGGGTGTGTGGCTGAGGGCATGAGGTATTGCGGAAGTTGAGCATTTCTCAAACTTCATTCATTAGCGTAAGCATTAGACATTGTAGAATACTGGACAATGTACGTTTGATATCTTATCATTAAAGACGACGCAGGTCCAATACAAGATCCTGTACGAATACGATGCTTCATGTTCGGGATTGAAGTTGATAGGGCTGAGAACGAATGAGTAAGCAGACACGGCCTCAGCAATACGGCTCACAGATGAGACCGTGACGGTGAAGTGAAGGATGTGTGCGAGCATGCGCGACTGAGACTGACCGGTCGGTGTTGCTGGGCTGGGCCTGTTGAGATGAGGATGCCAAGCGCAATGCTTAAGCCGGCAGCGATTGACACGTGGATGGGCGCAGATCAAATGGCGGCGGGTTCGATTCTGGAACTTTGGCGCAGCGCACCGGGTAAGACGCTCAAGCCCGTGAGGCATCATAGCTCTGGAGCGCGCGGGCTGTCGTGGTGGGCGTGCATGAAGGCGTCGGGGGGCCAATTCATGGTTGATGGATGAACAGAGCCGCGGCCGCGAGACTTTTTGGGGGCGATTGCGGTGTTGAGGGGCGGCAGAGGATGGGAGTCATGGATGGTGAGATGAGAGTGAGACAGGAGGACGTGCTTCTGGTGTTGTGGGTGTCAAGGAGATGGGCATCCATGTGGTTGGAGTGAGATAATAGGGGTTCAAGACATAGGTGAGAGACACCGAAGGCTTGTTGAATGAGGTTATTGGTTCCCCTGGTGCCGTGGTGCTCTCATCGATGAGAGGCGGTGATGGGCAGGTCGGTCATTATTCCCGCAGACGGTTGCGGGTAGGCCGGAAGCAGGATTTTCAAGATGAAGTTGATGAGCGGGCGGGCTTTGGTTGAGGTAGTATTCGTACGCGGTCTTTGAAAATCATCTTAGCTGAAGCTAGAGGTGACTTGGGATGAGGTACATTATCTTAGTTGACTACCTTACGGAGTACCGAGATGCCCCTCTCGGGTGGCCATTTGACGCCATCTCAAGCTGGCTCTAGCCATGGCTGAAGTTGCGATTCACGACTCAGGCTGATGCCAGCCGAAGTTGTATGCTTTGTCGACAGAGTTGCAGGCAGCCCGGGTTGCAATAATGCCTCATCAGACACTTCCGCAACTGCGTCTCGTCCATAGCAGGAGATGGAAAAGAAGAGGAATAGAGAGGCAGCATTGACAACGGCATTGACAACGCCCGTCCGACCCAAGGCAGCTTAAGATGCTGTGGCCATGTATCTTTCCGCGGGGAAATGCATGGAAGGATACCTCCGCACACGGTGAGCATGCTGCATGCACGTCTTAAGTGTTGCGTCTTGGTCTTGGGGAAGGAGGGGTTCCGCCAGGCCCACCTTCCACGCCAGCCTCTTGCCCCTCAGTGTCCACCTCACTTACCTCACGAAGGTACGTACCGCAACGCAAGCACCATTGAATTGTCTGAGAAGAGCATCTCCTACCTCTACACCTGCTGCCTGAGATAGTTATTAAAGTAATAATAAGGAAGGCAGCGATGGTTAAGATTGTGCTTCTTTTCTGAATAAACACTGAAGAGAGGCATGCACTCTTGCTCCTTCTCGTGGATACTTTTCTCTAATGAAGAAGGTGCACCTCGTGGCCCCTCTTCTGCCCAGACCACCCGGGCCGGTCCTGCCAGGCCAGCGATTTCGGTCCAGACTGATGTCCTGTCATCGAGCGTCGCCGGCGGCCACATCCCCATTCTTTCCGCATCCACAGTGCTCCATGTACCTTTTCCTGAGACCAAGTATCACATTCCGCTGAGCCTGCCCTGTAGCCTGCTGTATACGGCTAGAAATACATTTCAATTCCAAAGAAGGACTTTGACGGTGCCGCACCTTCCCTTCCATCCCACCTTACCTCATCGCACCCGACCGTCCCTTCCTCACCGGCAGGGCAGCACCAGCATCAGCATCAGCAGCAGCAGGAGCGTTGGGCGAGGAAGCTGCAAATCCGGAACTTCCTCTTGGACCCTTCCTGCCTTGATTCTTGATTTTGCGCCTGCTTCGCATGCTCCGTCATCCCGTGTCCCTTCCCCAAAATATTCCACATTTATTTTTTCTCATTGACCTTTTTTTCGTTATTTTAATTTTTTCCCAGTCTCGCGTGGACATCCATCGCGACGTCACATCGACTTGGCGAAAGCATCATACTGACTTGGCTTGACTTGACAGTGATAGTGACACTGAGAAATGCGCCAGTCTCTCTCTTAGGCGCCAGCACGCACTTCTCAAGTTCACCCACTGATAGTTAACCAACCACACAATTCCCCGGCCTTCCGTGCGACCTGGCTCGGCCCTCTTTTCTTTTCGACGACATCTTGTTGTGGTGACAGCGCCGTCAACAGCTCCTAGAGTTGTCGCTATCCCCGATCCGTCCATCGACCAGGGCCTCTACGGATTCCTTGTCTATCTCTGTCTCTCTCTCTCTCTCTCTGTCTCTCCGCCAATTCTCTTATCCTCCCGCCTGTCTGGTCAACCCAACCGTCAAGTCAACCACCTCATCAATCTCCAACCGCCAACCGCCGACCGAGCTCTCCGTCCCTCCGTCTGGGCATATCTCTACTTCTACTGACCGCCGTCGTCAGAAGAAGAAGTTGTCAAGACTCCAAACTTTGCTTGGCTGCCCAGCACCCAGCCACGCAGACGCACGTACTCCTCCGACAACAAGAACAAGCACGTCTGTGGAGACATCCCGTCCAGTCCACTCAGGTCCTTTCGTCACAAGCTTCGCCGACCCGACACGCCCGACCGGTGCCCATCCCAAAACACGCTGTTTCGCTCTGTGTACCCGTACCGTATTACGGAGTACCACCACTACCCAAACATAACGCCTGCGTACTACCGTACCTTACCGACCTTACAAACCCCTGGCCTGTCAATCATTAACACTGCACCGCCAACTTAGCATCATCCATCATCCATCAACAATATTCTTACCATCGCTGCCGCCGCCCGCCCTCACCACCACCAGGCCATTGCCAGCGGCCCAACCCAACGCCCGGTTCAGACGAGACACATCACATCCACTTGCCACTTCATACGCACTGGACAATGCTCGCACTTCTTTTCACCCTCGTCTAAAGGATGCATTGTTGACTCGACCCATCGAACCCCCATTCACAACTGCGGCGGTCATTCCCATCACGTCCACGGTACCACCCGACGACCCAATAACGGTTTACTATCGTCCGACCGATCGAAGAGCATTGTTACGGCCTCCCGACACCCTTTCGCGCTGATTCACTGCTCATCGCCGCGACTTTCGTTGCCTCGCATCCAGGGCCAGGTATTGCATTTCACTTGGGCTCAATAGCGCCCAAACATCACCTCGATTCGACAGCTTTGCATATTCCACGTCATCAAGAGTCACCATGGGAAATTCCAACACGAAAGAGTCTCGTCCGTCCGATCCGGCGACCGACTATCGCCAGACCCAGGCGGCGTACCTCAACCCCTCCCATTCTCGCGAGGGGCACAGCGACCGCCCTAGCTCAAGGAGGCAAAGCCGCTTCAGTAGAGCCGACCTCAACCTGCTGGGTCTCGGAGCAGCCGGATCTTCCAGTGTTGGAGGACGAGAAGACGCTCCGTACGAGCGCAGAGAGACCAGACAAGAGAGAGAAGCCCGCCGTCTCGAGAGGGAGCGCGTAGCCAGAGAAAAGGAACGAGAGCGGAGTCTCAAGGAAGAGCACGTCGACGGCGGCTACCTCGTCACCTTGGGCACATACACCGGCCCCGAGGATTTCAGCAAGCCCACTGTTCGCCAGCTGCAGGTGAGGAGTCTCACAGCCACTTGATTTGTTCGACGATTTTATTAACATGTGTATTCACAGCTTGAGCGACGCCTCGCCCCGTTCTGGAGGGGATTGAACGACTATTCCGAAAGCTGGACCGAATACCAGCTCATATGTGCCGGCCGCGGCCTCCCCATCCCGGCCGCTGACGAACAGCCTCGGCCCGAGTTCATCCCCAAGGCGAACTCACCCGCCTCTCCTACCGAGTCTTCTCAAAACCTCGCAAACCTTACCGTACCGATGGGCCCTCGATCGCTGTCAGTTGGCTCGGACCGCAGCGCCTCTGCGCCAGGTTCTGGCATCTCGTCCCCTACAAATCAGCAACAACGTAGCAACTCGCCGTTCAAACCCCGCGCAAAAGCTATCGCCGCCGCCCTCAGCGGAAGCAGCTCGCGGAACAACTCTGCGGCAGATGTCTCCCCTCGTGAGATACAGCTGCCCAACGACCCTTGCGTCAACGGACAGCCTCTGGAGGTTTTCCTCTACAAGGACGCCACCGAGTGTCCTATCTGCTTCTTGACTTATCCTCCCTACCTGAACCGAACTCGGTGTTGCGATCAGCCAATCTGCAGCGAGTGTTTCGTGCAGATCAAGCGCGCGGACCCCCACTACCCTGAGCACCACGGAGAACCCAACGAGCAGCCGAGCCCCGAAGAGTCTCCCGAGATGTTGATCTCCGAGCCCGCGACGTGTCCCTACTGCCAGCAAACCGAGTTTGGTGTCACATACGACGCTCCTCCCTTCCGCCGCGGCCTTACTTACGCCATCTCTGGGTACCCCGCCCAGGGCACCGCCATGTCGTCACAGAGCTCTCTGAACTCTACGCTTTCCCCCACATCTCCGACATCTGGTAGACGCAGAGCCCAGAGTTTGTCGGCCAACGCCCCGAACGTAGTTACCACCGACCGCGTGCGCCCGGATTGGTCGACAAAGCTGGCAGCTCAACGCGCCCATCAGGCTCGCAGAGCTGCGGCGGCGACGGCACTACACACCGCCGCGTTTTTGATGGGCAACAATGAACAGCAGCGCGGCTTCGCATTCACTAGGCCCGGGCGCTTTAGTCGACGCAACACTGGAAATCACACGCCGTCGGGACCGTCCAACGCGCAGGCGGAGTCGAGTCCTAGTCGCAACACAGAAGGCGAGGGTGGAGGCGGCCAGAACGGACCCGAACCCGGCCCGCGCGGATCTTCAGGACGTGGAGCACTCAACAATAGGCGTAACAGGATGGAGGAGTTGGAGGACATGATGTTCATGGAAGCTATTCGTCTGTCTCTCGCCGCCGAGGACGAGAGGAAGCGAAAGCAAGAGAAGGCCGACCGCAAGGAGGCCAAAAAGAAGGAAAAGGAGGAGCGCAAAGCTCAGAAGAAGCAGGATCGCCAAAGCGTTTACGGCCCCGGGCAAAGCTCTGCCAGCGGCAGCAGCCTATCGCTTGGCCTTGGCCGCCGTCGGGGCAACAGCACAACCAGCAACCTTCGTGTCGAGGCGACGGTCCAGGGAGCCCAGTCAACTTCTGCGACCGGCAGCGCCGAGACATCTCCTGTTGCAGCGTCAAGCAACCCGGGACCCACATCGGCGCCGGACACCAAAGGCAAGGCCGTTGAGCGCCCGCACGTTGAGACGCAGTCCTCCGAGAGCAGTTTCCAAAGCGCCTCGTCGACCCCGTCTCTACCTATCCCAGCACCGAGCCGCGGCCCTTCTCATCTTAGGCAGATGAGCAATGCGTCCTCAATATCATCCTCATTGGCTGACAGTCACAACGGGAGCTACACCAACCCTGCGTACCTTGATCCACGGGCAAGCGAGCTGAGTGTCGGGGGCAAAAGCGAGGAGGGCGACCGCGACAACACCGAACCACTGTACAATTTCAGGAGCCTGGCAGAAATGGTTGGAGTCGATATCGAGAATGGCGAGGCGAATCAGACAGAGGAGGGTGCGGCCAGTGATGCGCAAGGCGCCCCGTCCAAGAAGAAGGCGGACGAGGATGAGCCGGAAGCTGAACAGATCGAAGACGCCCACGTCGAGCAGCCGGTGCAAACCAATGCCGGGACTCTGAAGCCCCCGCCCACGATTCCTGAGGAGCCGAGGGAATCTCTCAGCAGAGACGAGGTCTCTTCAGGAAACGAGGCAGCGACCCCGGAGGTCATGATCACGCCAGTGACTCCAGCACCCGATACGGGTGACAGTGAGTTTAAGCGATTGGGTCATGACAACGTTGTGGAGAGGTCATCTGAGATAACGCAATGAGTGGACGAACATGACGAGGGGACTACGCGGCATACGCTGCTCTGCAGGAGCATTATAGAAGACGGGGGAGGAGCTATTTTGCATACATCGGAAGGTGGGGAAACTGGTAACACTCAAGGCGTTCAGCGTGTTTCTTGACAAGGCGGATTAGACGTGGTTATTTTTGTTGCCATGTGAATGGCCATTATTGTACTTTACCTCGCGAGAGGCACACGGCGAGGATCACGAACATCCCAGCGACTACAATTCTACGTGTCTATGAAAAACTGCTGTAACATTCCCAGTGACGCACACACTGATTTTTGAATCCAATATTTTGTGACACAATTACCTCCAACGCCAGCGAAATAAACTACAAATGCGGCTCGGCAGCCGGAAGAGCAGCTTCGACGGAGGACTGTGTTGTTTGAGGCACAAAGTCTTCGCCAGGGCTTGCCCAGCTGTAGTTACGCCACTCGCCCAGGGCAGGTCGCATTTGGTCCTCGACTAAGCGTTGGATCTTTTCGTGGCGACTTACCATGGTGCCTCTGTACTCTGTCTTGTCACTCTCGGTCTGCGTGCCAGACAGCTCGCGGAGGACGCCCTGGAAGGCGGACCACGTCTCCTCCAGCTCGGCGACGGACGTCACTCCCATGACACTGACACCGACCTTGGCTGGGCCGGTGAAGGTGGGTGGCAGCAGCTCGGTGCCGAACGCGCCGCCGACACGAGCCCAATTCGCCATGGCCCAGTACAGAGCGACATCCTCCATCTTCTCCCCCGCGCCCTCGGCGAAGGCCACGAGGCTCTTGCAGAGCTTGCGCAGCGGGCTCGGGGCGGGATGCCAGCTCGCCATCGGCCCGTCGTCGACGCCGCGCGTGGTCAGGAGACCCATACTCAACATGCTCGCGTTCGTGACCACGCCCACCCCGGCGTCCCGCAGCCGCGCGAGCACGGCGTCGGAGCCGAGGGTGTCGTTCTGCACGCAAAAGTGCGAGAAGGACTGGACGGCGTCGACGGGCTCGCCGGTCTCGCGCAGGATCTTCTCGGCCAGCTCGCAGAGGACGGGGACGGGGTAGCCGCAGATGCCGACGTAGCGGAGGAGGCCGTCCTCGTCGCGCAGGCGGCGCAGCTCGCGGACGGCGGCGACGACGTCGTCGGGGGAGACGAACTCGGCGTCGTGGGTGTAGACGAGGTCGAGACGGTCGGTGGCCAAGCGCTCGAGGCTGCGGTGGACGGAGGCGCGGATGTGGGCGGGGGAGTAGTCGAACTCGGCGGGCCCGAGGCGGCCGGCCTTTGTGACGAGGAAGTAGGAGTCCCGGGGCGGGGCGAGGGCGCGCAGGGCGGCGCCGAGGATGGACTCGGAGGGGCCGTAGTAGGGGGATGTGTCGAAGGCGGTGATGCCGAGGGAGAGGGCGCGGGAGACGATGTCGACGGAGGGCATGCGGGAGGGGTCGGAGACGTATTGGTAGTTGAAGGTCGCGGTGCCGAGGATCAGAGGCGGGAGGACGGCGGAGAGGGGGGTTCGCGGGGTGGCCATTGTGCGGGTTTTGCTGGGAGAAAATTGCGTCTGGAGAAGTTTGTTGTAGCAGAGAAACCTGCGTCCAATATGATCTAGAGAAGGAAATAGAGAGAGTGACGGTGGGTGTTGTTGGTGTTGCTGTGGACGGTTGTGGGAGACCGGGGCCGCGGCGCAAAATAAGGATCGAGCACGTCAATGATACTCTCCTGGGTCCGAGATAAGTTTAGGGGACCACCCCGCGGCGCGCGTCCGGGTGCCCCGAATGCGATTTGCGACAGTGCCCCGCCGGAAAGGTGGGGGAGGGACTTTCATCTGTTTTTTTCTGGTGTAAGTGATTCTTCTACTTTCCTTCTTGTCTTGATCTGGAAAGGCTCGGTTCGGGGCTGGCATTCTTGGTGTTTGGCAAGCCGGACGGGGGAAGCGATTTACTTCCGAAGGCCGAGCGGCGCCTGTAGCTGCCTTCCGTTTGGGGACGTGTTTCCTTCATTGGACTGCGCTGTCTTCTTTTGGTTGACCAGTCCATGTTTGATATCCAAGGTTGGTTTGTGAATGAGAGCCCCGTCTTTAGGCGTCGTGGAGCGCTGCTGGCGGCGTGATTCGGCTAGACCTGAGAGGGACTTTCTGGCACCGATTCAGCAGGGACACCCGTGGTTATCAGGGGAGATGGTGGGTGAGGGCGCCATTTGAAGCTATGGAGGCTGAGGAGGTCTGATTGATTAGCATCGTGGTGAATAGGGTTGAAGCAAGATGGTGAGATGATGAAAGCTGATGGAATCGTTCTGGAAAAGGTGAGTCGAGAAAACACAAGTGACGTTGGAATTACTTGCCAGCCAGTCAAATGGCCAAGTTCGCTTGTTCTTCCACATCCCTCTGAAGGATGTGATTATGTAAGGCAAATTCTGCATCGTGGGCCGATCCTCTTATCCTTCCTTATCTCGATCATTCTTATCGATAAGAACTCGCTATCAGTTCCAAGCTTCCGCAAATAACGCCGCCGCTTTCCCATCTACATCGCCTGAACTTCATTTTTCCTTGAGAAGTCGTATCGGCAGAGATCTTGTTCTTTTCGTTGTTAGACGTTTGTCTCTTCAATATCCCAGAATCGATTGGCGAACGAGCCCAGAGACAGCAGGTCGTGGGCTTAAACGTGTCTCTTCATGAAATGAACATTATGAGCAGTTGCTGCATGTTTCGTAGCCTCTTCACCCCTCATCACGTCAGAGCCTCTATACAGAATTGTGTGGTTGTCATATCTTTCGATATGGCAGGTTATTAGCCTAAACACCACCCACCGCACACCGATTTCTTTCTACCGAACCTGCTTGTTGGTCGGTTCCGGACCAAACTCACGGACTGCCCATCATGTTCACTCCCCCGCATCGCCTAGTGGCCGAACCATTCTTTGAGTCACTTTTCCCTATTTAGCCTCCCAATCACGCTGTTGCCGTAAGAAGAATCATGCCAAACTCATGACTTCGCAATTTGAGAAACCCTCTTTCTGCGGTTCAGTATCCTCTTGTTGTGAGATGTCGTCCCGTCATGACCATATTTGGACAGAAATTCTCGGGCTTTGGCCTCTCTGACTTCTTTCAGGCAAGTGTCTGCCGAAGCTGCACATCGTTATCTATGTCACCAACGTCCCGGCAGTTCTCGCGGCCTGCAGGACAGCTGGTTCAAGACTCTTTTAAATCACCACGACATCGGCGCAATATGTCAGACACATTCTGCCGCCTTGGCAACCTGTTTACCTCTGAGTGTCATGTCAAGTTATTGCCTCGAGTAGTTCCTGTCCTATGAGGTTCTGGTCAACTCGTTGCTGACCTTTATCACAACGAAGAGTCGTTAGCACTACCGGTCACAACTCATGTTTGTCACTATGGATCGCACAGCTGCCTCCAGACCGGCCTGTCACTTCCTCCTGTGGTATCCCGGAACGTCTGGCGGAGGGACAGCTTACGAGTACCTCGATGTTTCTATTTTAATCATTTTAGGCGTCTCAAAATGCTCGGCTCTTCATGATCAAGAATGTGTTCACACCATCACCGACCCCCCGATGCATCTCAAGGAGCTATATTCCGAGAAATTGCTGGATACGCCGGATACCAAACGTTTAAAGGCTTCTAGACCCCAGATACTTCACGGCACCTGGGAGAAACTTCAACATCCTCTGCACCTCGTAGGTCAAGGTCAACTTTATGTGTACCATGCGCTGGCTACTTCGTGCTCTCGGGACCACAGCCCTCGTCGGCTTTGGTAAGGATAGATATCCACTGACTATTCATGAGCCCTTCGCTAAAGTATCCCTCAGCCGCTGCGCAAGAGCAACAATCAACCTATTGTGATCGCCTGGGCAGGTGTTTTGCTTCTTTCACCAATGAAGCAGGTATCACCTTTGGCATTGCCATTCCCGAGGGGGCCTCTTCCGGCGAGTCATACGATGCCATCGTTCAGATCACTGCTCCCATTGAGGTGGGATGGGCCGGTCTAGCCTGGGGCGGTGCCATGACATATAATCCTCTGACCATCGTCTGGGTGAACGGGGAAGATGTCACTGTCTCTTCCCGCATGGCCTTGTAAGTAGAATCCTTCTCGTGGGCAATCAGAAGACTGAGGGCAAGCAGCGGCTACTTTACACCCCCGCCATATGAGGACGCCACCTATACTGTCCTTCCCGGGACTGTCGTGAACGCAACACACTACTCTGTCACGGCTCTTTGCACAGGCTGCACTTACTTCGCACCGTTTGGCAACGACCCGACTGCTTTGAATCCCGACGGGGAAAACTACTTGGCGTTCGCCTACTCAGGGGTTCCGGTCGACGACCCGGCATCCAACGAGACGACCTTCGGAATCCATGAGCGCGTAGGACACTGGAATCACGACTTCGAGCCAGCGCAGTCATCCAATTTCGATGTGTGGGCCAGAGGAGAAAGTGGCGGAAGCGAGCCCCCGGCGAGCACCGCGACCGTGACCACGTTGATGACAGCCACCTCGACCGCCACGGTGCGTACAACCACCACTCTCCAGACCACAGTCACCCGGACCGGCGTCCCTCCAAGCAGCTCGGTTACGACTGTCTCAGTCCCGAGTTCCACCGCAACGTCGTCCATCGTGTCCAGGGACCCCGTGCTCCCCGTCCCCAACTCGTGCGCCGGCGTGAGCGCCTTCAGGTTCGGGTACCAGACCGCCACCGGCTGGAGGGCCGTAAAGCTCGCGGGTTCTCTGAGCGGTCCCCGTGGCGTGGCCGTCGACTCCCTGGGGAATCTCTTGGTGGTGCAGTCTGGCCGGGGCGTGACTGTGCACACCTTCGGGAGCGATGGTTGCATCTCGTCGTCCAAGACCCTGATTAACAACCCATCCCTCAATCACGGCATCGGCTTCACACCCGACGGAAAGACTTTATATGTCAGCTCGATGACCACGGCTTGGTCCTTCGCGTACGATGCCCAGTCGCAGAGCGTGAGTGGGCAGACGGTCGTCGTGAAGGGCATGCAACAGGGCGGCCATCCGACGAGGGCGCTGGTTATCCCGCCGGCTACGCCGCATCTGCTTGTCATTCAACAGGGTTCGTATAACAACTTTGACTATGAGTCGCTCAACAAGGGCGTAGGGCGCGCTGTGGTCAAGGTTTTCGATATGCGCAGCGTGCCTTCTGGAGGTTGGACTTATGCCTCTCAGGGATGGTTCCTTGGCTGGGGTTTGCGCAACGAGGTTGCTCTATCAGCAGATGGCAACAACATGTATGATCCATCCTCTTCTTCCCGACCCTTTGGTCAGTGCTAACGTGAGGAATTAGGATTTGGGGCGTTGAGAACAGCGGTGATGACTTCACCAGAACAGTCAACGGCCGCAGCTATGATATTCACAACGACAACCCCGCCGAAGAGCTCAACTTCCGTACGTCTCCATCAATTCCCACGAGCCAAAGATATTGAGCGAACTGACATTGTCTTAGTCGGCGACCCGTCCAAGCCCAACGAGAATTGGTACGGCTACCCAACCTGCTTCACAGTCTGGGAACCCTCCGTCATCACGGACAAGTCCTTCGCCGTCGGCCAGCAGTTCGTAGTCGCCCCGAACAGCACGTTCAACGACGACACCTGCGCCCAGCGCTCCGTCTCGCCCCGCTTGTCGCTGCAAGCCCACAGCGCGCCCATCGCGTCCGTCTTTGACCAGAATTTCCAGAACCTCTACGTGACGCTTCACGGGTCGTGGAACAGGTCGCCCGCGACGGGCTTCAAGGTCTCGGTCGTGCCGTTCACGAAACTCTCGAACGGCCAATATGACCCTGTCGCGGCGCCGACTTCGAAGACGGGATACAGTGACATCTTCTGGAGCACGAATGTGGGAAGCTGTACCGGTGCGACCTGCTTTAGGCCCTCGGGTATTGCCTGGGACCGCTCGTTTTCGAGGTTGTTTGTCGCCAGTGACAACACTCAGGAGGGAGAGCTTTTCATGCTTGTCAAGTCGTGAGTCTTTGAAGGGACTGGGGCTAGATCGTGTGAAGTTAGCAGACTACTGATTTTCCGTATCATTTACCTCTAAGCATGCTCGTTTCAACATTGAGAACGCTGCCTTTGCGTTCGTTGTCTCTACCAATCACGTCTCACTATTTGTCACATGAAGCCAACTCATTTGAGGTATCAGCCGGCAAATGATCCATCTCGGCACAATGCTAGTGTATCTATGGGATAAATGCCATGGAATTATAGCATGTATTCATAAAAAGCCATCATTCCCATCGGAGCTATATCGTCCGACTCTACTCAAATCTCCCGACCGGAAGAAAGGAGGCTCTATTCTAAGCATAGCAGTCTATCTCCGCATACTTGACGAGAACAACTCGGTCAACCGGTCCAAATTCTTAGTTCTTCCAGCTGTTCAACCTTCAGAAAGTACAGTCATGAAACCGTACCTCTCGGGCACATCCGACCTGCTGCCGTAGACGCTGGCCTTCTCCTTACTGAGTCTTCATAGATATCACCAAGAGTTTAGATGATGCATAAATGAAATAAGATCCAAAAACTACAAATGACCCAAAATCTGTCTTTGGGTTTGGACCCCTTTCCGTAGCTGGAAGGGTATGACCGATTGGTGTCCAAACCTCACCGAGACCTTACCTCGGTGAGCCGACCAACAGGACCCACCGAAGCTCTGAGGACCAAAGCTTCCGTCACAAGCCGAGCTCGATTTCTTTTTCTTTTTTTTCCTCCAACGTCACCAGCTTCACGACAGCTGCGCGAACTATGGCCGGCGGCCGCAAAAGCAAATCATCGGGCCCGGCGCCTCCGTCGAGGACACTCGTTCTCGACAATGGCGCATACACAATCAAAGCCGGCTTCGTGTCCGACCAGCTCACCGAAGAGCCACGAGTAATCCCAAACTGCATCGCCCGCGATCGCGCAAGGAAGGTCTACGTCGCGTCGGATCTCGACAAATGCCGCGATTTCGGAGAGATTCAATTTCGGAGACCCGTCGAGAAAGGTTTCATTGTCAACTGGGAGGCGCAGAAAGAGATTTGGGATCACGAGTTCTTCGACGACAAGGCGCCGCAGAAATGCGACCCGGCCGAAACGAGGCTGCTTCTGACAGAACAGCCAAACTCCCTGCCGATCCTGCAGTCCAACTGTGATCAGGTCGTGTTCGAGGAGTACCAGTTCGCGAGCTACTACAGAGGCATAGGTATGGTCGCTCAGCTCTCTGTCATGTTGCTGCCAACTGACTCGTCGTTTTTCTAGGCGCATCCTTCAACGCGTACCATGATATCCAAGGCATCCTCCAAACCCCCCGAGACCCGAATACCATACCGCAGCTCCCAGCCGAGGTGGTTCTTCTGATTGATTCGGGCTATTCCAACACAGTAGTCATGCCCCTCCTGAATGGACGACCGCTGCAGTCGGCCGTTCGCAGGCTCGACGTTGGAGGGAAGCTTCTGACGAACTACCTGACCCGCCTTCTTTCCCTTCGATACTACGACATGCGCAACGACACATACATTGTCAACGAGATCAAGGAGCAGGCCAGCTATGTTTCTCTCGACTTCAACGGCGACTTAGAGAAGACCTGGAAGGGAACACGAGGCGAAAAGCGAGAGCCGTACATGACTGGAGCTGGCATCGCCAAGGACTACGTTCTGCCAGACTTCCACACGCGTACCAAGGGCATCGTCAAGGACTACGACCCAGCTATGCATACGAAGGCCAGGAAGATGGCCGCGCGCGCGGCGGACAGCGACGAGGACGTCCTGACGCTGCGTAACGAGCGCTTCTCTGTGCCAGAACTCCTCTTCCAACCCTCGGACATAGGCCTGCGGCAGCCGGGCCTAGCAGATGTCATCATGCAATCGCTCTCCGAGCTGCCGATTGGACTGTGGCCAGGTCTGCTCGCCAACATCGTCGTCGTCGGCGGTAATGCCCTGTTCCCTGGCTTCATCCAACGCCTGGAGAAGGAGCTGGTAAAGAGAGTTCCAGACGCCTGCATCGTTAGGGTCGCTCACCCTGCTGATCCCATCACGAGCACCTGGCACGGCGGTGCAAACTTGGCCAAGCACCCGGACATTCTGAAATACTCGGTCACGAAACAGGAGTACGAAGAGTACGGTGCCGCTTGGGTAGCGCACAAGTTCGGCTCTGGAGGTGCAGGTGATTGAATTACTACTACGCTTATGCTGGATGAAGGCTCTTTCGCCGTCAAAAATTACCGCCCCGAAAATAACTGCCACCACACGAAACCACCCTATGTATGCTCCCAAGTATGCATAGTTCTATGGATCAGAAACAGCCACCCACATACGCTTTACAGAGACGAAAACCGGGTTTTCTTTTTCGAAATCAAACGCACCACCAGCCGAGAATTACCTCCCACAAAGACTTCTGGTATGGTGTGCCACCCCCAATTCTATGAGGCCGAGGAAAAGAACCATAAGATGAGATGACAGGTTGCCTGAAAGAAGTTAGCCCGAATTTATTCAAAGGGCAATGGTTGGGCATACTGTAGACTACCTACTTGGAGCCTTGAGCTTCGCAACGCTTCAGGCACTCCGCAGAGCCAACCGAAGCACCGGTGCCAACGGCCGGGATATCGCGTCTTAGCTGGGCGAATTTTGCGGAAAGAGGATTCCCGCCGAATGCCGCGGCAACCACGCTGGGAGGAAGATCGAACAAGCCGTTCGCAACATTGTGTGTACCGGCGTCTTCTGAGCTGAGAGCCGAGATGAGCGTAGCGTTTCCACAGCCTGAAAATGGTCAGTACATGCTATCTCTATGCCAGAGAGGGTCACTCACCAGTGTTTGCCATGGTGTGCAGGCTTCCCTGCGGAAACAGGGTCATCATCCCTGGTTCTAGCAGGGTCTTGACGACGCGAGCACCGTTTTCCAGCGTCATGTACGTCTCGGTGGTTCCCTCAATGGAAACGACGTAGTTGGAGGCTCGGTTGTGATAATGAGGCGGAAGCATGGCGCAGGGGCCGAGACTAATCCAGGCCATGGTCATGCCATTCCCAACGGTCGCCGGGAACGTGGCAGCGTTGGCGTTGACCACTCCGCCAGGGCTGTTGGTGTGGTATTTATGGGAGAAGTAGTTGAAGGTCCAGTCTTTGTCGTCCGCGAGGATGTCGAGCTTGTCGAGCTCCGTAGGGCTGGACTTGAGCGCCTTGACGATTTCCGGGTGCAGAACTGCGTCGGTGGCGTGTGTTGTTGTCGTCGCGAGTAGCAGACAGAAAATTGCAAGTTTAAGCGTTCTTGGCCACATCGTGATGGCGATCATGTTGAACGAGGTGAACAAGGTTAAGGCGACCGGCAAGGCGTCCGGTTCAAATCTGCGGTTGTGGTGATTCTAGATCTTTCGTCCTCTGGCGGACCAGGACGAGGCGACCTTTTATGAGCTCGTTCCAGAACTTCGTGGGCCGGGACGCCTGGTTCTCGTGGTTTTCGTAAGAGCCTCAAGCGTGGTCCTCGTGAGAGGTTGTCGTGTACAAGGCGGGGTAGCATCAGTCAGGTCGAGGCAGACTCGAGCTTGAACCCGGAGTCATTCCCGGGCGAAGCTTGCGGTGAGGTATCACAGGATGGATGATATCTGACATGTTCTATCCAACGGCAAAGAGCTCCCTGGCGGATCGCTTTTGCCACTGTTGCGGACCGAAATTCGGATGGGTTACCATGGAAATTATGCTCTTGTAGATGTACGATCACCGTCGCTCTCGCACACGGCTGAACGATCGGACCCTGCGTACAGGGCCCCTGGGAACTCGAGAGTGAGACTTGCCACGATCCCATTCGCACGCCTGTATGCACATGGGGACCATGGAAAACCGGTTTACCAAGTCATGTCACAGCATCAACGCAGATGTCTATAGAGCCACCGAGTTACTTGCCTCATATTTTGGTTCTTGCCGCCTTTGTCATGCCTTTTTTTCGTTCCCATGGAACCAGCTTTTCGTCTTCCCACAGTAACACTCCAGGAGTTCTCCAAATCAGTATTGGATTCCTTCAAGGTCACTTGAGAATGCTCAGTTGTTTTCGGTATGAAGATGAGGAGTGAACTGAATCCTGGTGACCGTTATAAGTGGACTCGTGCTACCACCCGCAGCTTTTCCCTCACGGGACTCGCGCTGTTTGGCAGTAGGAGTTTACTCCGCCGGCCTTCAAGCACCGCATGATGGCCCGTCACTATGTCACTCACGTATTTTGACTTGAGACTGTACACGCTGAGGCTGCGCTGTCTTTCTGCAGATACGTATGAGGGTTCATGCAGGCACCCAAGACTTGGTCTTTTGGTGCGTGGCAGTTGCGAAGTAGACCATGGGTTCTGTTTCGTCGACACCCTTTCTGCACGAAATCGTACATATTCCGGATTCGGTTTTGGGCATGTAGACTCATGGGTTTTCCGGTGCTCAGGGCTTTGTGCCTTGTTACGCGTGACAGTCGAAGCATGAGAACGTGTGGAGGGACAACATTTTCACCTTCACATTCTAGACCGAAAAGGCGGATGAGGCTACCCGCTGCGTCACATAGCCAAGAAAGAGGAGCTTTCCCCCGGCGTCCCCGAGACCGGTCTGCCATGCTGACCTGATATATCATTCATCCCCAGCCCTGACCGACACAGCTCCCGCGACTGTCAGCAGCAGCATGAGTCAAAGAGCGGCGAGAGAGTCCTCAGCATGACGCAGTCCGGTGACGATGATTCAAAGCCTCGTTTAGGCCAGCTTATCTCTGGTAAGATCTTCGGTCAGGCGAACCTCGTAATCTCGTTCAATAATCTTCGACCAGGACGATCTGGGGGGCGAAAAAAGACCGAGACAAGAGTCTGCGTGATGAAAGTTGAGTCAGGAGCCAACTGTCGCCAAACCGGGCGAAGCAGTTGGTCAAGAGACCAGGGCGTCTGATGTCAACCGAAAAGAGCGGCAGCAGAGGGGCACAGGCAGGAAACGGTGTCACGAGATTTGTCCATCGCGAGGGCTTGGTAACGGTTGATAGTACTGAATTGGAGTGTGGTCTATTGCGACGCTAGCTTTGACATTCAACGCCTCTCAGACCGCGTTGCGTTCGGGGTATCTCACGAGAAAGACACTATCGCTCGCATATGAGAACCTAAACATTTTACAAACACCGTCCGAAGGAAACCCCGCCGAGACGTAAAAGGTAACACCGTATACCTCGTAAGATCATAGAATAGAGCTGGGAAAAAGTGTCACGTTTCAGTGACTTTGTGCGGAGTGGAGAGTATGCGCGAAAATCAAGGGGGGAGTAGGGAAAGATTCAGAACCGCAAATCCATGAGAAGGTCTCTCATGGACAGCTCGTCTCTCTGAAACAGCGAGGAGATCGTTCCCCGGCCGAGAAAACGAAGGTTCTAGAGGTGTCGCAAGAAGCGTCCTCGGCTTGAGCACCCTATACACAAAGGTCAGCGGTCTGCGTGTCGTTTTGTGGTGGAAGAGAAGTCGTACAGTCACACTAGGAGGAACACGGTCAGCAGGGTCTAGATTGCGCACGACTAAGGGAGACTTACGAAGGTAGAGGTTGACCCCTCGTTGTGAACTAAGCAGTAGCCGCCGCAGCAGCCTCTGCAGAGCCTCTGGGTGCGTTCAATGCAATCGTGACACTGTTGCTGGGCATTAGCTTGGTTCCCAAAGTCGAGCAACAGTCTTGGGATCTAGGCCTTTGGTACTCACATTGCTCCCGCACTCCCAGCAGCTCTTGGTGATACGTGCCTACGCAGATCTCTGTTAGCATCTTCGGTCGTCGGGATCCGTGCCACACATGAGCTTGTCAAGGGGTCAAAGCCGGGTTACAGTCATGGGGTGGGAGAACAACGAGGAGCATAGACAGCATTATGGCATACACTTTGGGAGACAGGCTACGCCAGACGGTGGAGGAGACGACGTCGGACCTAGCCCAGCAACACTTCATTCTGCGCATCGATGACCTCGCTCGCGGTGCATTCCGGGAAGCATTTGCCGTTTCGTACCTTGATCTTGGGCTGGCTCTGTTGCTCCTGGTGCTGGACCCAGGAGCCGCCCTCGGGGTCGACGATGATGACGTCGGTTTCGGCCAGCTCGATCGCGGCGCTCGGGGTTTGGTAGCATTCCTCGCACCACCACTTGTTGCAGCCGGCGCAGTAGCGCTCGCGGAGGCAGTCGACGCATCGGGCGACGAAGGAGGACGTCGAGCCGGGACCGGTGCCGGGCTGCGGCGTTGTCGCGGCCTTGATCGAGGAGGTCAACATCGGCGGCGGAGACAAAAGCGGACGATGGCTCGCCGGGGTGTGTTCGTGGACGGTCATGCCCTCCGGAGCGGCGCCGCAACCGGCACAGCCCCCCAATGCGACGGTCGCCACGGCCCAATGCCGCGCCGAGGCCGGGATCTTGACCTTACCATACGCCGGAGAGTTGATGTGGTGAGGGCCGGAACACGGAACGGCATCGAAGGCGATGATGCCGTGGCAGTCGACCAGGGTGTTGGCCCACTCTTCGACGAGGTGTCTGGTGACGACGCGGCCTTTCTTCTGGTACCAGTCGTCTCCCTCGCTGCGCAGAGCGGAGCTCAAGGCCTGCTGGGACTTGGCGTTCCATCCTGCGCCGATCTGCGCGGCGTGCGAGACCGCAGCGGCGGCGGAGACGCCCGATGCCGTCATCGGGGACAGCTGGCTGTCTCGGGCGCCGAAGACGTACAGACCCTTCAGCCTGGGCGTGCCCTCCGGTCGCGAGGGTCTGCAGGCATACTGAAGGGAGCGGCAGAGGTTGCGCTCGTTGAGGTTCTTCGCGCCGCGGACGGAGAGAATGCGCACGCTGTAAGCCGGGTCGTTGATGACCTCGTGGCAGAGCTCGGCGGTGACGGACAGGCCGTCGAGGATCAGCGTCTGCACATCTTGGAGGATGTCTCGGCGGCGGAAAATGGAAAAGATGCCTCTCAACGGGCCGGAATAGAAGCTGTCGAGGATTCGCCTGGTCAGTTTGGGATCTCGTGGTTGCGACTTCTCCGCCGTCCCCACACGGCCGTTTTTGCGACCGAGAATGACGCCGTTGAGGCGCCGTTGAGTCGCCAGGTAAGAGGGAGAAACAACTTACTCATCTTCGGTCAAATTCTCGTCAAGCTGGACGTTGCGCCAAACTTCGCCACCGCGGTCAATGCCATCAATGTCAAACTGCGCACTCTTGACGTGGGTCAGTTCGAGGTGTCTGAATACACCTGGTGTGTGGTTTACAAGATCCCGGAAGCTTCGGCTGGTGGATGCGAGGCTCAGGCGATCATGGACGGAGAGGTGAGGAGCTGTGTGAGAGAGGATGAGAGGATTCCAGAGGAGATTGAGGAGATTTGTGGCCGGGTTCTCGTAAAGCGTGTTGGCGTCTTCGACGTCCTGGAGCATGTTACGGCGAACGCGCGCGATGGGGGAGAATCGGGGGAGCTGAGTCTAGGTATTACGCGACGGCCGGAAACCACGAGGGCTTGCGGCGATCAGACTGGAGGTGAAGGTATAGTTTGGTTGAAGTTGAGGAAGATGCAAGAGGAAGAGGGCGCGCGGCAGGAAAATTGTGGCCGTCGTCGAAGGTGATCGGGACGGGGATCGCTGGGGGGGTTGTCGCAATCTCTCGGTCGGCTTCTAGACGGGGTGACGTTGGCGGCGACGATTTACATGGGGCTGAATACTTGGAGAGCTCTGCTTGGTGGTGAGTGACATGTAGGACCGGTTCAAGAGGCGCTTCTCCGGAGGGAAGACGTGTCGGTCTAAATATCTACGCCGTCGAACCTTGCGAGGTACAGGATGCGCGGACGGCAGGCTAGCGTCCGGGCAAGACAAGACAAGACAGGACAAGACAGGAAACGTGGGAGTGTCCATCCATCCATCCACCCATCCAGTCTATTCTGGACCGCGATTGTGAGGGTAGCTTTGCGGTGAAGAGGTACTCCGTGACGTGAGGCGCGCAAGCAAAGCAAGGCAAGGCCAAGCCAGCAAAGGGATGTACATTCGAGCAAGGGACCTGGGACCTTGGACCTTGGACCTTGGGGTCGACGCGCACCGTCAACAAGATGCGCCGAGAGATGCAGCACGGGCGGGCTAGAGCCCAGCAGGCTAGACCAGTCCAAGATCCAAGTGGATGGACGTCCAAGTTGCCCACCCATTTGATACGGCTATGCTTGTCAATCATCGATGTACATGTTCCAATCTGTCCACTCGATGCTTCGCTTCTGTTTGCTGTTGTGTGTTGTGCTGTTTAAAGACCGAAGGAGACCTGAGACCCAGAGAGACGCATCATCGCTACATGCCCGACGTACCGGCGTACCCCCTCGCGTTCCCCATACCCAGCAGGGCAGGTGTTGTCGAGACTCGACTCGGCAGAAGTATCTGGGGTTGGTCCAGTTGGGTCGGACCCTGAAAGAAGGATCGGCCGTGTCCAGTCAATGGATCATGGAGCCATTGGAACAGAAGGGGTGGATAGTACGGTTGAAACGGAAGAGCTTCAACCTGCCGTCTGGTGCGGTCTTGGCAGATGCAGAGCAACGGAGGAGGTCCGCTGCGCTGGCACCTGGAATGTCGAAGCTGTCTCCGTGCCATGCATGCTCATAGTATGAGTTTTTCTGGGGGGCCGCGGCAGCGGTAACTGAGGCAGAAAAGAAAGTAAGGAACGGACCGAAAGGTGAGGCAATAGCAGGTTGACTGACATGGGAGGGATGGTTGGCGAGGATTGGGTGTGAATGGGACCCTTGAGTAGGAAAAGGGGAAAGGGAGATGGCGAGGTGGTGTTGAGATGAGGTGAGGCGATGCCCAGCTCCATCTGCTGGTCAGGCGGGCATGATGCTTCTCGTCAAAAACGACCATCTTGCATCTGCAGCAGAGTGCAGGCGGCGGATCTGGAGGTGAGCCCAGAGGCGCATATCCGCGAACTTTGACCCGAGATAATAAGCATAGGGTCTCCTCTTTAATTACACCATTCGCACGGCTAAAGAAGCATTCGCAAAGTTGGACAGGTCTTCCTGGCTCGGCTGGGCAGCCATCTCAACTAGCACCAACAGAGCAGGTTGAAGGCCACGGAGCTTCGATCAACCAGAACTCCCGCCCCATCCAATTCATCCCCCATCCCGCGGCGGGATCCAAGCTCCCATAAACGTGTCGTAGCTGGGCCCGTCTTGAAAGTGTTACAAGTCCAAATTAGCCGCTCCAACCGCTTAAACCTGCCTCGATTGTTTAGCTTCGTTGGAGCCCGCCTCCGCTCCACGGCTTCTAATGACTGCTTGCTATTTGTTTGTGTCGCTGGCAGACTTACAGCCAGCAGGTACTTTCACCATGAGTAGGTATGGTCACCTTGCAGCTCACAGGCTCATGCAGCTAGTGATGGGCGCTAGGTAGCTTATGCCGGAGATCCCATCTCCACGTCGGGGTAGCAGTCATACATGGTAGTTTCACAGACCCTACTTCTATCTCTCACTCGAGTCGAGGGAAAGGAGAAGACATTCGAATCGATGGCTTCCGCTCCGCTACGCTGCGCTGCGTGAGATGCACTTTGGGGCAGTCTCACCCCATATTCCACCCCATCCACCACACCAAACTTAACCGGGGTGCGGCACGCCACTGTGGGATGTCCCTTGCTCGGTTCTCGACTCGAGCTGCTCCAGTTGGCTCCCATCGCTGCCGGCGGCTGTAGCTTACCTGGCAACACTGATCACGTTGGCTCCTGGTGTGGGTGACGCTGCACTCCAGTGGTGATGTTTTCCCCTCTGTTGTTCAGCGATTGTCGGGCACGACGGCATTCTGCAGCTCCCAGCCATCAATATCGGTACTTGAACCATCCGTGACGGACAGCGACTGTGATGGCCTTGGCGAACTTTGAGGGTTCGCCATGCCTGTTTTGGGTGGTGTTTCGGCGCGCTGATCCGCGAGCTGACCCTGCTCCGGGGGTCACGGAGTTGCAGTCCGGAGTCGAGGAGTCGGGGGTTTTGACCAATTTTGTTTCGGTCTTTTGCATGTTTCTAATATTTCTGTTCTGGTCGACGGTGGAGGACGCAAATGCTGTTTTGGGGCATGAAGCTTCTTGGCAATTGCACATCATGATTCAGTTTATTTTAACCAGCAGAGTGTCATTTGTTTCGTTCTATTCTATTCTGGATGGCGGTGAGTACGTGCGCGCCCGGAGTTCTCGGAGTGTTGTGTTGCACTGCTGCCAATGCCATCCTGACTCTGACTGCATTGTAATCGTTAGAATGGCTTTTGACATTATCGCCGGACTCTGATTGGGTCGGGGTCATGCAGCGTGGCGTCGGTCAAATTTCCACAATCCTGCCGCCACCGGACTCGGCGTCCGGGCCCGGATCCGAGAATCCGAGAGTCGGCCGGGGTGGGTACCTGCTCCGCAATCGCAACGGAGATAAGATGTGGCGCTAGCTAGCCGATACGGGCTGAGTCCAAGTGTGGCTCGTGAATCTGACGTAATGAGGCTGGTGCGCGGAGCCGGGTCCCACCGCCGCCGCAATTCAATTGCACCGATTTTCTGGAAACCTGAAGAATCCCATCACCGTGCTGATTCATCGCGACCTCGACGTGGTGTTTTCCGCGTAAGCCAGCCTTGGAACGGCCACACAAGTAGATGGAACGATCATATTCTTTTCTTGCTTTCTGTTCTCTGTTTCCTTCTGCTCATGTCAAAGCGCGATAACGACATTTTTCACCTTCAAATCCTCGTTTTTACCCCTCCACCCCACCAAGCCGCCCGCCCTCGAACCGTCGACGCGATAGATACCGAGACAAACAAGTAGCAAATGGAGGATACGCAACCTGACCTGAAATGGTCAGAAGCCTTCGCGGTGCTGCCACCGTCCAAGTCGGCCCCGAAGAACCTCCGCGGCGACAAGATCCTCCTGCCGCAAACAGCCCTCGAACAACTCCTCGCCGCCTCACCGAGACCGCCCGCACCCTCGAACTCGAGTTTCACATCCTACGATCCGTTCAATCCGTATGCTCGCTCGCAGCAGGCAGCGCATAGAGACACGTCTCAACAGCTGCCCAATCCCTTGATGTTTCGGCTCGTGAACCAGAAGAACGGAAATGCCGTTTATGCTGGCATTCGAGAGTTCTCCGCCGAAGAAGGCGAGGTCGCGTTGGGGCCATACCTGATGGACGCCCTTGGAATTCTGCCTTCCGACTTTGGCAACGAAGGCACCGACGACGAACCGATCGACCTGGAATCCGACATGGTACACGACGCCAAGCCGACGGTGACAGTCCACGCCAAGCAGCTGCCCAAAGGCACCTACGTTAGACTGCGACCACTAGAGGCCGGGTACGATCCTGACGATTGGAAATCACTCCTCGAAAGACAACTGCGCGAAAGCTATACAACGTTGACGAAAGACTCGGTGTTGTCGGTTCGCGGTGTCAAGGGCGAGGAGTTCAAGTTTTTGGTGGACAAATTTCTTCCCGAAGGAGACGGCATATGTGTGGTCGATACGGATTTGGAGGTCGATATCGAGGCGTTGAACGAAGAACAAGCACGCGAAACGATGCGCCAGATCATGGCCAAGGCCCAGCCTGGCACGGCGAACGGCAGCTCAAAAGGAGGCGAGATTGACGTGTGGAAAGCTGTCGAAGGCCAGGTGTTGCCTGGCGAATACGTCGATTACGAGCTGCCGTCCTGGGACCGGAGCCGCCCATTAACGATCGAGTTGACGGGGTTGAGCGACGAAAGTTCTGTGGACTTGTTCATCAGTCCAAAGTCGACCAGACAACGAGCTCTCCCACGCGACACCGAACATGTTTTCGGTAACTTCAGTCCTCCGACAGACGGCACGAAGTCGATTATCATTCAACCGACGAACGTAGAGCTTGAGAATGCAGAGGAGCTTCTCATATCTGTGCATGGGTACCCATCAACAAACGCTTCTGGGACACCGGTGTCATTCTTCTTAAGGGCCAAGGCAGACACCGCCCAAGGTTCGAATGAGAAGCCAATTGACCTCACTGATGGTGACGCGAGATCCCCCGACGAAGAACAATGCACCAATTGTCAACAGTGGGTCCCGAAACGGACAATGGTGTTGCATCAGAACTTCTGTCTGCGGAACAACATTTCTTGTCCTAAATGCAAACACGTCTTCAAGAAGGGATCTCCAGAGTGGGATTCACACTGGCACTGCGAACACGACGACGCTTTCGGCGACTCCTCCTCCAGCAAGACCAAGCACGATGACGTTCGACACACAGAGCGGCGCTGTCCAGCCTGTGATTTCACGGCCCCTTCTTTGGTGGAACTGGCATTGCATCGCACAAGCGTGTGCCCAGGGAAGCTAATTCTTTGCCAATTCTGTCACCTGGAAGTACCTCAGGAGGGTGATCCTCTTAACCCCTCGGCCGAAGTCATCTTATCAGGTCTCACAGCGCATGAGCTCGCGGATGGCGCTCGAACTACCGACTGCCATCTATGCTCAAAGATTGTCCGCATGCGTGACATGGCTGCCCACATGAAGCACCATGAGCTAGACAAGGTGTCCAGGCCGAAGCCTGACATATGCAGAAACGCCAACTGCGGACGGACTCTTCACGGTGTCGGATCGACGGGCGCTGTCGGCGCGGGGACGGCGATGGGCCAGGGCCCCGGCAACGAACTCGGCCTCTGCTCCCTATGCTTCGGGCCTCTATACGTCAGCATGCATGACCCGGAGGGCAAGGCACTTACGCGTCGCATCGAGAGGAGGTATCTGAGCCAGTTGATGACCGGCTGCGGGAAGAAGTGGTGCGGGAACGAATGGTGTCGCTCAGGAAGGGCCAATCTCGGCCTCGAGTCGAAGGGAGCTAGCGCGCAGGCTGCACTTCCTCTTGTGAAGCCGCTCGTGTTGAGCATCCCCAACTTGCAGGAGCCAATGCACTTTTGCGTTGATGAAGGATCTCAGCGACGTAGGAAGTTGGCTGAGATGATCGCTGGGGAGGGAGTTTGGGACTTTGAGTGGTGCATTGCTGCGTGCGAGGCGGCATCTGGAGATTTGGATAAGGCGAGAGAATGGCTTGGCAATTGGGCGCCCACCAGGTAGAAGGACATGCATAGGTATAGAACAGGCGTTATGGAGGCACGGAACAGATGGGAGACGATGAATGATACCATATAGACGTTGCAGCACGTTGTACGCAGCAAAGAGAGATCAAGAAGCATGGAATAACAAGTGGTACTTGAAACAGCCTATGAATGGCGCCTGCCCAACCATTATTCCAACTGTCACCATATTCATACATCCTAGTTTACAGGCTTGATTGCAATTCATGACATCGCATTTTTCGACCTAACCATCAACTTTACAGCGGCTGATATCCAGGACTCTGGCTCACGTACGGCGACCTACATATTGTCAGCCCTGTCCGTTGTCTCCATAAAGAGTAACTTACCTCAAGAGATTCTTGGCTCCAACAAGAGCAGCAGCGCCGCCGGCATAGATACCCAGCAACCTACTCCAGCCAACGTTGCCATAAATGGACTGTCCGACACTGAGCGCAATCAAGTCATACACGAGACATCCGCCAAAGATCCAATCGCTGGCTGACGCGAGCAGTCCGAATCCCACACCCGTGAGTACCTTCACCGCGGTGGACGGCTGCTGCCCGACAAAATAGGCGACGGACCCGTTGTGCAGAAGATCTAACACGCCAATGCCAGCAAACGTCTTGGCCACAACATGTGTGAGAACAGAGTTGATAGACTTGGTGTTCATCTTTGGGAGACGGCTGGCGATGAAGTAGAGCTGGGCGAGACTGTTGATCACGACGAAGACATTGGAGGTCTTCAAGTCCGAGTTATTCCAGAAGATCATCCAGGCTACACGTAAACTCGGTTAACATCATGCGCAGTGGTGGTCTTTGTGCGAAATTTGAACTCACTCGCGATGCAGAAGTTTCCGAGCGCATAGAACGGCGCGAAGTCGACCATGGTCGCGACATCTGGTGCCATTTGCTCCGCCTTCGGGTCGGCCTTGTACAAGCGCCAGAGCCATGCCAATTGGAAAAGCTGCTGCGGGAAGAAGAAGGCGGCGATGAACATTGGCTGCGGGGAGAAGAAGGACAGGTTGGCGTCGTGCACATCCTTCATGTTTGGGGTGCTGAGCATGCCATAGTTCTGGGCCGCGAAGTCGACGGCGAATGACAGGGGCGCGAGCCACTTGGCAGTTGAGAGAGAGATGCCCATTTTCGATTTTGGTCTACGTGATATGATTACTGTAAGTTGGTTGTCGATTTGCTGTGGGATGCGGTCTTTGGTAACTTGTAATATGGGAGTTTGGGGTATTCGACCTTTTCAATGATCACAGAGACGCTTTGGCATGACGTTCGCATTCGTCGCCCAGGATGAGTAGGGTGGTGTGACGCCTACAGTCGGCGTTTGTAATGACCGGTTTCCGAAGCGCCGGCACACTTACAATGGCTCAGAAGTTCATCGGCTCGATCGCAGTATCGATGTGATGCACTTACGTCGACCATCGAGGTCTCATACGTCATTGACTTTCGGGGCCGAAACCAGGCGCCGGGTGCCTTCCGTGTCCTCCGGCTTGCTCGGCCCCACATCCGGTCAGTCCACTCCGATTTCATCCTCTTACGATACTGAGCCGCCGGCGCACCATACGCTCTCCCGGAATGAGGCCCCACAAAAGACTTTGTTATCAGAGAGCAGGCAGTTAGCGCGTCAAAAGCTGGCCTTTCGACGTCAGGACAGACAACCAAGATTGATGATGTGGGAATATTTGTGCGGGCAGCAGAATAAGCCGCCAGTTTCGCTGAATCAACTGGTCCAAGTCATCACTATGGAGAGTTTTCGGCCCTCTAGGCGTGCGAAGTATTGTGTGATTAACGTCTTATTACTTTCAAAACTGGTATAATTTTCATTCCTTGCCGCTCGTCGTCTCATTCCGTGGAACTTTAGGACGATACGGTTGTAAAGGCGTCATAATGACCTCGTCGTTTGCGCCGTTGTGTCTCTCAGGCTCGGGTACTGTAGATGAAGCGTCGGTGGTGGCCGAGGAAACTCGCAGAATTTCCTCCGCATCGTTATCGACAGTGACAGAGACTCTCGTCGGCCGGCTCAAAATGCTCCCTGGGTAAGTAAGGGTTGTTCCCGTCAATCCTGAATCCTGGCCGAAGCCCTCCTTTCCATATCCATCATCTTTGGCATCTGGGCGTCTTTTCCTCTGTATATGGCCAATTGTTGGAACCGCTGGTCCTTCTAGGTCGTCGGTAGAGCCCTCGAGCCTGTCTCGGAACCATGGCAGCTTCTGTACAATCTTGCGGAGAGATGGTACGCATGAGCAGATGATCAAAGTGCTGACCTCGGCTTCAGACCAAATGATAGGAACGGCAAGGCCATCTGGGGGTCGTCAGTCGCTTCCTCGTCGGGGCTATTGGTAGGATACTTACACGTATCATCGAGTCCCATTTTCGTCACGGAATGCATGCGAATGACGGATATTGCGCACACCCTTTGAACTGGTCAGAATAGAAGGCTTAATGACGTTTTTTTATGAAGGAGACTCACATGAGACCCAGAGAAAGCATGGCAATGAGACCTAGTCGTTTGATGAGGGGTAATTGTAATCTCCATAACGTGGGAATAGGCTGTATGAAGAGTATCAAGTCGGTGCAAAGGTTGAAGGCGAACTAAGCGACAGTCAGTTTACGTGTGGTCGACATCATGAGCGAGTTCAACTTACACCAACCCACCACAGCACGGGAAGATCAAGGCACCGCCCCGGCATGCTTGGCGCCCATGCCTTGGCGATTGGTTGGCATTGAAAGATTGGTATCATGCTTTCCTCAATCGCTTGACAACAAAGAAACACGATGACGGTTTTGTTCAGTATGATGAGTCGTTCGTCGGGAAGCATTCGGATGTAGAGAATGGCAAACGACATTTTAGCTAGTGCGAGGGCATAGCTGTATGTCGAGGACGTCGATATGCCTAGCTGTCTTCATGTCAGAGATATGTGTGAGGGCAATTGGTTGGTACGGTTATGTGTACTTTGAGGAAGCGTTCGTAGTCCTGGGGATTCACGTCACGGTGGTGATGACCCAAACCAGAATGGGCCGCTGCAGACCAATGTTATCATGGAGCTCGCACAGTCATTCAGATGATAGTGAGTGCATACAAACGAGGGTTTGAGCGAACATGGCCAATGATAGAAGCTTCGGAAGAGCGACGTTAGCCACATACTATTATCGACAGTGCTCAAGCAGATCAACGTACCCAGCTGACGGTGATAGTTACTAGGCCTAGGTCAGTTACAGTGTTCAACCCTCCCAACGCATCACGACAACATACCATCGTCAATACCGTATGTCCTCAACCTCAGTCTCATCGCAATCCGTGCCGACATTACGAAAGTGGTGAGGCATATCATAGCCGCCGTTGCACCTATGAGTTCCTTGACCAAGCCGTCTGCCATTGTGCTTGGCTCAATCAGCCGCCGCGCCGCTATGGTCGTTTCTTTCTCATAGGGATATTCGAGAATTGGCGAGCCATTTGCTCGGGACCAGAGTAGTTGCAATTAATCGCGAATGCGTTGTGGATGATACGTCGCGCCTCCACGTTCCAAGTCTGTTGGCAGTTCAGAGCATCATGCCGCGCACGTGAGGTAGTCATGGACACATATGACGAACGGGAGGTGAACGAGAAGAGCCTGGGTTTGCATACAAGAAACTTGTCAAGCAATGACATAAGGGGGCAATCTAGCTTTCAACGTTGGCGCTGGGCGGGCAAAACTCAGCCCGAGTAGATTTATCAACAGAGTTCTCGGATATGTTGTATACTAGTCAGTTATTCGAGCTGATCTAGAAGCAGTACCGAATTGGTTAGTAGGGAAGGTGCAAGCTCCCCGCGAAGTTTCGCTCCCTGGAGCTCCGTCAGAAGCAGAAGTTTCCTTTCTGGTACACACTTAACATCAGGCGATTCTGCCCAGCCTACCTCTTTCGAGAGGCACACTATTCGCTCGCCGGTCTTTGACTTCGGTGTTTGGACAATTGATGCAACTTCAGCGTTCAAAAGCAGGGAGGTGCTTGCTACCAACTCTTTTCCGAAGAACAGTGTTTCCGGAGGGATGATCAATAAGGCGTAGAGTCTGACCTCACGGCTTGGGCCATGCCGTGAGTGTTTCAAGACGTGTAGGAAATAAGCTTTAGTGGTTTCCTTGAGAAAGTCAGACAGGAACTAATCGGAGTTAATCCCATCATACAGTGAACGAGTGAAAGGTCTTGGCACCACGTGCGCTCGACAGCGGATCCCAGCGGCGACTACATTTTCATATTGTACGACCAACGGCGCCTAGACCTTTACAGTTCAAAAGAGGGGATAGCTTCAGCTCAGGTTGAGCGTGTTTAGTGATACAACTAGGGGTGGAAGACTTGCGCGAGTCGTTCACACACCCTCAACTCGTTCCGCGTAACTCAACGGGAGCGACTACCTACCGAAGACCTTCAGTATGAGCACCTAAAAACATGTTCGCAGATCTCGAATACTGCTGTGTAAGATGGTCGGTGATCTGTTATTCCTTATGATACAAAGCGACGGTAGCTTGAGTAGAACTTGGCATGGAAATAAGTTGTTCAGGTGGCAATACCCAAGCCAGTGTCGCATGAGATAGGCAAGACGTGCCTGCAACAACCCCTACGTAATTCTCATAGATAACGTCAGATGACGCCGGGATCGACCACCACGTTACTACATCAATCTATGGACCTTGGGACTTTCCAGGTGATACTTGGACGAGGTCTGATGAGTTCGTGACGCTCCAAATGAAACCAGGAAGGGGAAATATCTTCCTGCGAGACACGTGCCAAGCTGTCCCATGGCCCCAGATTGTACCTTCCATTCTCACTGTGACGGCCTAAGGCCTGCATGGGTTCTTACTCGGTTGCTGATCCAGGATCCTGTAAAGGTTACAGGCGGCAGCGTAAGTCATACCATAAATACGCTCAATGGATTCTGGTTGTAATGCTACATTGAAGGTTGATGTTAGTAAAAGCAAAGGTTCGGCGTGTATCTACTGAAGCGGGGGACGCAGCGATTCGTTTCCGTCCTTCATCTTTACAAATGTCATTTGGGTACACGCAGGGAATCGGTTACTTTTCTTGGAGCAGGCAGCTATCTGTTCCGGTTATCCGCGAGCGTGTAAGCCGCGACTACATTACCATTTCGAGAATCCGAAGGCACTTGTAAAAAGTTCGTGGTGCGGGGAAGGTTTTAGGGCATAGATTTGTCACTCTCTACTACGATTGAACTTATCAACAACTTCGAAATGCCAATAGGCTGTTGCCTTATTTGATCACATGTGCAACAATGTTCGTCTCGGTGATCGATTCTTCATCTTGCAGTATCAGGGAGAGATACATGCTGGGTTTTCAGAGCATAAATCCTCATAGGACATTGTGTTACGCAGGGTTTCTGCTGAATGTCAGCCATTCCTATGGTGGACATACAACAGCTGGGCAATAATAAGCCCAGAAACGCATCACATGATTGCTGGACTGCGAAGTTGAAGCCTGAAATCACGCGAGATACATCTCTGGTATCAATGAAAGCGTTGTGACTGTCCGCCGTGCGGTATATTACTAGACTAATATTATTCCGAAATTAAATCGCTTGAAATCAAACGTTTCTAAGGAGCTACGTGGCTCAACCAGGGGCTGCTCAAGTCAGTGTAAAAACTGGCGCCCTTCACGGTTGTTGGCGCCCCGGGCGTGGTGACATTGCAGTTTGTGATCCAGTTGCCCTGAGACTCCAGCTTGTCGGCAACATATTTCCGGTAGTCGTCAAGCAGACAAGAAGATCCAGGACCGCTCTTGCATGAGGGGACAGGATAAACGGCATCGTTCAAACGAATGCGGACGTATGTTGCGTTGTGGGACCCGGTCGTCGGCGCAGTCGAATTGGCCCTTCTGACAGATGGAGATGACCTGCGGCATGGACTTGTTGAGTTTCCAGAGTTGCCATTTCCAAGCACAATGCAGTTGAGGCGCTCGAATGCAATGGTTCCCCTCATCGTGGTGTAGCGAGAGCTCACGAAAAGACGGTTCTCGTCCTTTTCTGTGCTTGAGAGGGGCTCCTGCTCATCGAAAACGCCCGATGCCGTCACAAGTTGGTTCAGTTGTCCATCATTGAGGAATGACATGATGAGCTTGGGGAGCTTGAAAGAGCTTCCGTCCGCGCGCTTGCCGGTCACTGAAGGGCCTTCGCCAAACAGACCCATCAACGCGTTCAAGTACGGTGTCATCATGGTGGAAGGAATGTCAGTTCCAGGACCGACTCCGTAGTAGTAGCGGAGGTCCTGGAAGTATTCGTACTGAAGGAATTCCTCGTCGGAGAAAATGTCACACCAAGGAGACAGGCGACCAGTGATCTGACTCTCGTAACCGCAGAGATAGGGAATCTGCGAAACGTCGTTCTGAGTGAGAGTGAGATTTCCCTGAATCAACCCCTGAAGGCGCTCGAGGATGGGCGGGATGTAGACGTTGTTCCACTCAGAGACGTGGTCCCCGCCTTCCGTGTCATCGAATGCCGGGCACATGTCCGATGGCGCCAAAGAGTCGCCAATGCCGCCGGGAAATCCCTTCGCAGTGACAGAAACCACATCTCCAAACAGCGTCGCGTTGGTGCCCAGGTAGCCGCGAATGAACAGCTTAGCGGTTTGAAGAACTCGGGAATAGTTGTTGGCCCAGACCATGAAATCCTCGCCCTCATTGTAGAGATCGGGATACCTACCCGTGTTAGCAAAACTCTATTGTGTGTGTGTGCTTTGTCGGTTTGCGGCATTTACCTAGTTCTCAAAGTGTAGCCAAGATCGTGGGCTTCCTTATATCCAGTCGGGCTCAGGTTCGAAATTTGAGACGAAGGGTTCGTCAGCACAGTCCGCCAATTGGGCAGAAAGCTGAGACTACCTGAAGCCGTGTAGTTTCCGGCTTGGAACTGTAATCAAGTCCATGTTATTGAATTGGTCTCTGACGGTGGCCAAGCAAATTAACTGACTCGTTCTTGCATAGACACCCAGCCGTTGTACGCGCCCGGGTCCGGGTAGCGTGACCCGTGTCGAGACACGTAGGCTGCCTGGTCGACGAAACAATTGTCCGGAATGTCCGATGAAATGCCGTTGACATTCGGTCCTGGTGGATGATTAGATCAGGTTCACGCTGGATTCGAGGAAATGAGAGAACATACCTGCATACCATGGACCATTGGCGCCTAGATGCTCAATGGGATGCTCGGCGCTCTCACTCGCGGGGAGATTGATGTCTTGGACGGGCGCGAGGAATCGGGATTGAGCGTCCACCAAGCCGGCAGCAAGGCAGACGAGACCGAGCTTGGAGTTGACCATCTTGAACGACTGGCTTCTGATTTCGTGAGACAGATGGCTGGCACCACGATTCCCTACCAGAAACCATCCATTACAGGTTCCGTTGTATTTTATATATTCTCTACCAGACTCTGGTCATTACTTGTCGGACCGGCCTTCACCGGCCACGTGCTGTTATCATGCTGTTTATTTTCATTGACCTGCGCGGACAAGCGTGCCGATGCGGGCAGAGTAACATTGGCACTCTGCAGCACGTGAGAAACTCTTGTCTTTGATTTGAGGATCTAAACAAGGTTGTGGAGTCGCAACGGTTATTTGGTCCCAGAAGAGACGTTGTCCCCGCGATTGCTTCCACTAGCGCTACCGTTAATCATTGCCTCGGATCCGGCCCGCTGCCCGGAAGCTGAGATCGGCCAGGGGTTTCGTCAGTCCACACGTCATGACCGATAATGTCGAGCTGGTCAAGCTCACCGCATGCCTCAACACACACCTTAATAGTCGAATCCCAGTTCGTTCACCGAGGTGGTAGGTAAGCCGACTGGTCATGAAAGACTCGGCGTAACCAACCAGTTTCGAGGCCAGATCCAAGCACGTTTATTCAAGTTCATAATACCTTGAGTGATGCGTTCTTTTTTTCTTTAAGTCTAATTCGTTTGTTGAATGTGCCCTTCGACCCCGGCCATTTGTGATCCGCTTGCAAGACATTCTGCTCCATCCCTAGAGCAAGACTTGCCAAGTTGGCTTGAGAATACAACTTTCTCACTTCTCAAAACAGGGATCTGGGGAGAAATACCCAGAGACAACATTCTGATGCACAAGATTAGCATACAGGATCTGTGTATTTGCGCCTGCGCATGCTCGGTGCTGCCGATACGTCCTGTTCCGACATGAGACCAGCATGGCTATGGCACTGAAGCAGCTCAACTAGAAAGGTCATGACGATTTGGGGCACTTTGAGTAAAGTGGAGTGAAGATCAAGAAAAGAATTGTGCTGATAGCACCAGACAGTAGAACTGGGTTTCTTTATGACGCTTGGAATTGTGAGGGCGCTTTAAAGGAATGGCTGAAGTTAAGTGTTTCCAGCAACTTTCAGTATCTTCAGAGTCGAACAACCCGCGGCCGGCTTGAGTATGATGAGAAATGAAGTTAAGATACACAGAGCCTTACTGAGACCGAATTCTTAGTTTTAAAGCCCAGCATTAACGCCAGTTTTCCACCACCCCCACTAGCATTCCATCCCATGCAATGATAGCGTCCTTGCACACAGGTTTCTGAATACCTAAAAGCTTTGGAAAAGATAAGAGAAAGTGCCATCGGTTATGAAACGGTGTGACCGGGTTGTCTAAATAGCGACAAGACGCCCTCCAAGTTGAGAGCCGATCGGAAGAGTTACTTCATGATTTCTACAGCGGATCGATTTCAGCACCAATTGAAGCGACTTCAAATACGTTCCGAAGTCGTTAGTATGAAGATTCTCCGTCAGATTCGACAATCAACTTGCAGCCGTAATCAAGGCTCTGATCTGAAGGCTTACTCGTTCAACTCATCTGGAAATCATGGCCAAGTCCACAGGGAAAGTGAAGCCGTGAATCCAACATTGAACCAACATTGAAGCTAGCAACCAGAACGAATGGCAAAATCATTCAACGGCGTTTCTTCTTTTAGTCTGTTTGATATCCTAATTCAGGATTCTTCCGCTGGGCCTGCCAGGCAGTTATGAGTCGAGTGGTGACTGCATCTTCGTGACGATATATGCGTAGAAGAAGAGCTGCTCTAGTGTTCAAAAACGAACAGAATCCATCGCAGTTGCAGGCTTCAACGAGATTATTCCGCCTTAGGCCAGTTTCGTATAAAGAGACCGCAACTGGACAGCATATGGTGAAAAGCTTACTTTGCTCGCTGCTACGTGAGCCCTACCTTGATCTCACATTTTTCTTGAAGTCTATTAGTTACCTGAGACTGAGAAGAGACTTCGTTTTTCGACACTCTTCTCGGCTTTCTAGGTTTTGACACTAAGTAGAGCATTCCTGTTCTACCACGCCAAATCAATGTCAAGAAATGCATATGAGGTGATGTACGAAGTTGTAATTTAGAGCCTCTAGATAACATACTTAGGAAAGCCCATAACACGAACCCGAAATAACGCTTCGCTTCATTGAAACAGCCACTGGCCGTTATGTCGTGCGTCAGGCGCTATGGCCATATGCTCGCGACTGTTTTCCTGCCGATTCCGGCGACTCGGGCTGCTAGTTGGACCCGAGTGCCGCTCGGGTCTAGAAACCCGACCGAGCCAGACAATCGCACAGAAAAGTTCGGCCTGGTTGGGACGTGAGAGCCGTGGAAGCCATTGCAATGGGAGGAATGGCTGGCTGGTCTGACGCATATAAGTCCCAGTCTGCTGCCGCTGAGTTTTGACGTAGGAGGAGTCCATTATCTAGAAGTCTACTTTTCTTCGCAATGTCATACGACTTTGGGAACAAGCTGGTACGGCAATCGCAGCACGCAAAGGGCCTCCTTGTGCCGAGCAAAGTGTTTTCTGACAAGCTTAGTTGAGTCTTGGAGGTAAGAGCAATGTATTGTTTGTAGTCTTCTGTGGTATGCTACCAACCGGTCGGAGTTCTCATATCCAGCCCTTCCAGCGACGTCAGTTGCCGATTGATGAGGTCCGGGTCGGTCATTGCCAACGGATCCCACGAAGCTGCGGCATCTAGATACCTGGAGAACATATGGTCGATCGGCGGGTGTGCATCGTGGGATACCTCAGTTGCGCCATGGTTTGGGTGTTGAGAGGTATGCTCAGTTCCTACTCTGACCCGGCTCATATGTGGCACCAGGATCTCCCTTATTTTGGTCACATAGATCGGCTCATCTGGCTGAATGCCATGCTCGGAGCAGAGATAATCCTCTCTGACCTTCCAAGCTTTCAAGACAAACTTGGCAAGAGCCATGTTGTACTCTTGGGAGGGATCGAGGAACTCGGGATGATACTTGTAGACAGCGGGCAGCTGCTGCCAACCTCGTTCAACCAGACTTCCTGTGGTCCTCTGGCTAAGTTGTCCAACCATGTAAATGACCACGTCGTATTGGAAAATAAGCTTGATAAACCAGTGAAACCCGGGATGTTTGTTCGATTTGTACGCGTTGATGTTTTGTTCCGTCGTCATAACGGACCATTTGAAGAGATTATCCTTCGGCGTCAGGATTTCGCTCCCCCACTCGGGCTGCTCTTGCGGCGGGCATGTTGTCTCTTTCACCTTTTGGAGTATCAACGATTTTATGAGTGATGCAAACTCGTGGACCGGACCTGCCGAAGGGTCGGAGTTCTTGTCTATGACGCCATTGAGTCGGTCTTGGAGCGTCTTGATGAAGGATCCAATCTGAGCGGACTGAACTTTGCTCTTCCTCCCAGAACTGAGCGTACTGAGCTCGTTGTAAAGCATCAAAGCCTCGATATCGGGTTGCTGTCGCATGCAGTGTCCGATTTGATAGATGAGCAAGGGCATGACCATTTCCGTTGGGCCTTCGCGATCTTTGTATCTCTCGGTCGCGCCGGTGTGCAAGTCGGCGTCATTCAGGTTCTTCGGAAGCTTGCAGTCACTTGGCCGAGGGAGAAGTGATTGACTGAGGCCAGAGATCATGGAGAACTTGCAGTCGAGCATGAAGATTTGCCACCAAATTCGACGCCTCATCTCTGTCTCAAAAGGGGGTAGCCCGAGCAACTCCCCATCTCGGTGAAGACCCATCTTCTGGGCGATTCTAACGCAAATACCATTCAAGATCCAGGCGCCGTGAATGTTGCAACGACCCTGTATTGACATCTGTATAGCTCTTAGTAAGTCTAAACTCACTCGAGAGAGAAGGGAAGGCGTACCATGTGAAGTACTAATGCCTGGAGCGTCGTCAAGTCGTGTGACTTGAGAAACTCCGCCCGAAACAGACTTCTCCTTGTGCCACTCGCAAACCGGCGAAAGGCAGCATTGGTACTAGAACCAAGTACATTCCTGCACTCCTCTTCGGTCATCGCAACCACGGACATGCTGTAGACCGCAAAGAGAAGAGCCTCGACGTTATGCGGAAGAGTGCCGGGATTGCTGGCAGCTTCGACCACGCAAGGCTGCAGTGTTGGCGCATGAATGATCTTAGTTAGGGAGTTTACCCTCTCTAGGAAGATTTGCCATAACCTGAATATTTGACTCGCATCGGGGTATAAGTCTTCGGGGTGCTGCTCAACGGGAGAATCGCCGCCAACAAGCAGGTAGTCGCTGTAATCAGGCATCGAAGCCCCGGGATCCCATTCGGGCTGTTCTTTCCCTTGTACATCGTCTTCCTTGTCCACCAGTTCTCTCATACAGCGTAACTAAAGCACCAAGATCAGAGAATGCGCAGCCTTGTTTGAATTTCCAGGAACTTGCCTCTTCGTATACCGAGGCCCATAGAAAGTTGTCCATGAATCGAACCGAGCCATCTTCTACTACGAGCTTCCCAGCTGGCTTCCAATTCATCTGGTTGTTCTCGTAAAAGGGGATATTTGAAGATTGCGTCGGGGCTGCTGTGATTGTGTCGTCAAGAGGTTCTTTACTGGCAGCGGCGTACTTGGCCAGGAGCTCCTCGCACCGAGCGAGCCGGGCCTGAAGTTCTGCATTCGGTCGCCTTCTTTTCCGTATTGGTGCTGGAATACTGGGACTGCATGTTGCTTTGGACTATATCGTAAGGAGTGAGCCGAGGACCAAACTTCGTGCAATGAAAGGATGGGTTGGATGAACGACGCGTAGGAGCACGAGACGCGCAGGCTTCGAGATTTCTACACGGCTGGAATATTGATGAGGAACGACAGGGTCACATACCTTGATGCAATTTGCACACGGGTACTTACGGTCGCACTTGACTTTGCGGCGTTGACACAGCACACAGGCTAAGGGCCGTGATGCTTTTGACGTGGACTTGTCCGATGGAGATGCCGACATGGCGTGAGTTCCTGACGGCAGATGTGGGATGGACACCAGGGACCTGGAGCAGTTCAGACTGCCGACAGCGGGTACGGGTATATCAGGATTGAAGAGGGAGCACGTCAGTCGGTGTTCGGCCAGTGATTCGGCCGATAGGCGATATTTCCCTACTAAAACTACAGGGCAACCAATACTGTATTTACTGTCTGTAGAAAAGGGGTCCAGGGAGCTTAAATCCCAGTCCTTGTCATTTGCTTGCGGAACGCTCGGCTTCTAATCCCATTTTTAGTGTAGCACATCAGCCAGTACGACTCAATGACGCTTTGCCGTTGTTAGAGACTGAAGTGCCTAGTGCTAGAGGAAAGTGCTCTTTCACTGTTCTGAGAAGGGCACTTTCATTGGGGCTGCACGTCTACCGCCCAATCTAACATCATGTTGTTAGGCGAAATATTCCTAATACAGAGATATTCCATTGTGTCGTCTCGAAACTACCAAAAGCCGACCGCTGTACGATGCAAGGTAGGCATCAGTTGTATTTCAGCAAAGACTGTCAGATGGCGACATGAAGTCTCAATTACATTTCTATTTCCTTAGAAGTGTCCCATGAAGCTGAGCTTATCATCTCGACATGTTATCTTCTGCGCTTTATCAACTCAGGCTGCCCAGGGCCGTCGATCCTACTACCCTGCTGGACCTGCTTGGGTTTGATTGACAAAAAGCCCTCTTCTCGCGGATAGGGCAACCTTTACTCAAACTCTATTGAAGCAAGTCGATTGAGCATTCACCTCTCTAAGGCCGGTTCTCTCCAATCACAGGTTTTTCGTATAGCTCGTAAACGTATTTGAAAGCGTTGACACCTTCCGGCGGTAAGACGAAGGCTTCCATACAGTCGGTCCGTGATCAAAGTTTGGCCCACAAGGCCTACTACCTATGCCCTGCCATTCCTGCAGCAGGCAAAGTCAAATTCCAAGCTTGAGCTGATTCATTAAAGCAGGGAACAGGGGGCCAGTTCAGATGACGATGATTGCGGCTGAAGCTCTCCTGACTGGAGAGCTGTTGACAACAATATATTTATGGTGAATTCCTCCAGCTAATATTCTCATAATAACTACGAGTTCTTGGCTTGGGTAATGGTGGAGTCATATATACGGCCCAAGATCAATATGCCCATCTCCATCAAGGAGCTGGAAAAGATTGAGGTCGCCAAAGCCGTGGTCGCCATCGATCCTGCCGTCCAGCACCGACAAATCCGGCGTACGCGGCAGCGAGCTCGATAAACTCAAAAACGAGGCATCCATATCTGCGAACGAGGGCGACCCGAGACCCAAGAAGTTCGAAACCGAGTTCGTCGCTTTGACTGCCGCTTGCCTATCCGCGCCCAAGGCCGCTGGAGTCTGGTCGTGAGCGGCGGAATGGGGGGTCTGTTCGGACTCCGCGCTGTCACGGGGCATGAGCCCGAACAGTTGTGACGAGCTCTCGGTCCTCTGGAGTCTTTCTTGAAGTTCTTTCTTTTCGAGGTAGTCGAGGGCCGCGTTGAGGAGGGACTTTGCGATGAGAGAGTACTGCGAGGCATGCGCGTCTTTCTTCGCGAAGTGCTCCAAGACCATGATCGAGTTGCGGGTGTATTTTTCGAGTATGCGGCCGAATGATCCCAGTAGCCCGACACCCAAGATGAGAGAGGATGCAAACAGCCATGATCTGGAGCAAAGGTGGCAAGGTTAGCGTCATTTCTGTGATTCGGCGGAGCGTCTTGTTTCATCTGCTTACACGATGAGTGGCATCTGCGCTCTGAGAAATCCTCTTTCTGTCAAGCCCACCAGAATATCAACCATAAAGCTCGCGGCATCGATGCAGGCGTCAGCAAGCTTAGACTTGCCGGAGATAAGACCAGGCCGGCTCGAAGTATTTCCAGCTGGTCCTTCTGCCAGCCGCTTGTGAAGCTCGTACATGAGAAACGGCCTTGACACTAGTATGACAGCTGGGAATCATTAACTACACTGGGCTTGAACTGGTAGGATGGGCGAGAAGGAGTATATTACCATAGTAGTAGGAGCAGAGTACTTGACATGCCCCCGTTACCTTACTTGGGTCTTCCACTGCGGAGGGATTTGATACGACCTCTTTCAGCCTTTGGAGCCACCGGATAGACCAGTCCCGCAGCTGTCTCGAGATACCCTCCGTCAATTGGTAGGAGACTTTCTTTCTTGAGTAAACCTCAACGACTATGCCCTCTGTGATGAGGAAGATTTGGGCTGAAGCGTTGAGGATATCGAACGTTTCTTGTCCGTTAATGTCATCCACAGCTCGATAAGGTACACTGCAGTCCACGTCTGAGGTAGCAGGTGGTCGACCCATCGACGTGCTGAGGAATAGATCCAACACACGAAGGCTCTTCCATAACCGGTCTCTGTCGTCCGTCAGCTGTCAGAAAGATTGCACAATGGGGAAAGCGGTCCATCATCAAACTGCATACCGTTGCCTTTGAATCTCTGGGCCAAAGCGAGAATTTATCTCAGTGCGGTGTATACCGATAGAGTAGGCTGCCCGTACCGCAATACCTATTGCGTCGGATGAGTCCACGATTCTGAAGATGCAGGTTCGTGTAAGAAGGACATACCAAAAAACAGAAACGCCCCATTCATTTGACAAGAGCCCAACATATAAAGCGTCACCAGTATAAACGTCTGAATCGTAGGGACATTGATGTTGCCACTGAGATTCGTTAATGCCGTGTTTCGTGCGTATTCGAAGTACGCCGAAGAGAGATCCTCTTCTGCGGACTGATAGCCTATGGCGAGGACGAGATAGAAAGCGGCGGATACGACATCCTGTGATCGATGGCTCTGTTGGGCCCAGGCGCTGATCTCATCCACGAGGCGCACATGGTCAAAGAGATCAACGAGACCGCTGGTCTGTCATGGGAAAAATGAATTTGTCAACGGTTCTGAGAGTAGAAGAATGGTCTTGTCGAGTTATCTTACCACTGCATGGTACGTCGCAATTGCCTGGGGAACCGTAGCTGGGTGGAGGGCGGGCTCGCCAGTGCCGGAGAGATGTGCTGGCGGTCGGAAGGGCGGGTTCTCAGTCTGATGAGCGAAGACATGAGGGTCAACGCGAGAGTTGACCAGCTGTCGGACAGTTTGAAAGAAGGATAAAGGTGCACAGTCTCCTATGAAGACTGAAAAAGTGGCATTAGATGGAGCACGAGTTTAAGTGAAGTGTCATTGATGGAACATACTCAATTTGCCTTGGGCGTCACACAAGAGTCGCGCTTCACGTGGCACTTCCGTTTCTTCCTCGGCCAAGGGATCGTGACCAGAGTCGGCCGGAGCCTCATCTTGTCGATCGGGGCCGTTGTGCACAGACGGAGATGGAGTTCTCGGAGTCGGCGCCGGGGCTCGCCGTCTTTGCTGCGGAGAGTATCGACAGGTTGACGGACGTTGGCGTCTTATACAGTAGCTACATGGTAACTTGCCATCGCATTTGACTATCTCCGGTGTTAGACGATTTGCTACATTGACAGAAACGCCGGATGACGGCGGTGGTTGAAGGAACTTGAAAGCTTCATCATTCCGTGTGCCATCCGTACACCCCTTTCTTACCCACCGGATGCCTTGAATAGCTTTCAATAATACTGGGGAATGAATTTTGGTACCTTTTCTAGCTTTACAGCTATCACAAGCATTTGCGACTCTGGTGCGAACATAGGTGTGCGGCGATGACTGCCGCACCGAGACATCCTCCATTCTGCTTGGCCGCCGATATCACCTTCAAGGAGAGTTAAATCGCGGAAGAGAGGCGGGAAGATCGGACGCGGAGCGAGAAAGCCATGTGCCGAGGGGGGTTCAAAGTTTTCCGTACCGGAATCCATGCGACGCTAGACCTGGTCTAGCAACGCAAAGGGTTGACGAGGGAACTTTCGTGACGACAGCTTTTTCACAGTTGTTCCGAGAGTAAGCACGTTGACGGTTGCACTGTGCACCCGGCCCCAATTTCTATGACATGACACCCACCTCTCGAGGATCCTGGTCATGCACCGCCATCATTTCTGACCATTCCCGTACAACCGGGCCTTCCGATACCGATCCGTTCTTTTTCGGCCGCATATTGTGTGGCTCTCGTGACTCGAAACCGGAAACGTCAAGACGTTTTTGTTACGTGAGCTAAGCCGAAGCCGCCCGGAGGCGGAAGTAGAGTCATTATGGCGGGACATGTGTGAGTTCCACCCGGAAACAACCCGTAGACTTATTCCGCGACTTGCGGAAGTCTTGACTTGTTGAGCGTACGTCTGTTGCTAAATGACATTGCAGAAACATGATGGATGATGTCCTCATCTCCAACAGTATGCTCAAAATGCTTCGTGCTTATTTCCTTCATGTTTGTGCTGATGAGGATTCCAAGTGTCTGCTCCTTTGTTGCGATCGTCTCTTCGACTGCTCATTTCCCAAGGCCCGTTGATGCAAAAGTCTTTCGTGAACCATGTTCGAAGTCGACTGATCGAGAACCCCGTGTCTTTCCCAAACATTTATGGAATCTTGGGCAACGACGGTGGACTTTCTCAGCAATGCCTTGACTATCTCGCTTGGAATCGATGTCTGTTTTCTGCCAAACTAGCCAGAGAGTCTCTGCAAAAGTAGGCTCTCATGATTCGCACATGAGGTTTGAAACTTTTTATTAACTGTTGCAAGTTTGACTCAAATCATTCACGCAATGGCTTTGGTAAAAGATGAAAACCCGGGGTCGGCGGAAGTCCTCCAAGCCTCCTTCAGGGTAATCGACGGGGACATTGTTCAGGCCGTCCAGGCTCTGAAGGAAACAAAACCTGACCCAACTCCCGAACTCGAAGGCCTATTCAGCAATCTGATTCTGAACTTGGAAAGCTACAAGAAGGTCCACGATAGCTGGGACTCGGATAATACCGAACACCAGTTCTCCCGTGGTGAACGACAAGTCAAAGACGCGTTTGCTGCCCTCTTCCCACAGACTTCAGCAGCCGTTAACGGGAGATCGCGAGCCAAGACACTCATGTCTCTGAACATATCCGCGCAGCCAGATTTCGAAACCTTCAGATTGGGACCGTTTGAGTTTCCGAGACTCTTTAACGGGCTGTGGCAGTTGTCTTCTCCAGCGTGGGGTTGCGGGAGTGCTAAGAAACAGGAGGAAGAGCTAATTCATCTGGTACAGGCGGGCTTTACCGCCGCTGATATGGCGGATCACTATGTCTGTGTATCGTCTGGTATCTTTCTTGTCTGAAACAGCTAACCAATGAATTGTAGGGAGATGCTGAACTAGTGTATGGGGCTTTCAGAAATCGACTGTCCCCGAGTGTTCGTTCGCAAGTCCTCGCCGCAACGAAATGGTGCGTGTTCGCACCACCGACTCAAACTATCACGCCAGATTTCGTGCTCGAAAAGGTCAAAGAAAGATACCGACGCCTCGGTGGCCGAATCGAGTTGCTGCAATTCCACTGGCACGATGTGAGTCCAAATTTCACTTTTTCACACAAGTGCAACATATTGATGGAACCTGGCTTATTCGTATCACTAACATTACTCGTCAAAATTAGTACTCAGCCAAAGAGTACCTCAATCTCTTGGTTGAGTTGGTGCGACTGACTGCAGTCCACCCGAACCTTGTGTCGACGATCGGACTATGCAATTTCGACGCGGAGCACACTGTAGAAGCTTGCGAGTATCTGATAGCCAAGACAGGGTCAGTCGGGATTGTTTCAAATCAAGTCCAGGTACGTGAATTCCATCGTCTGCACTATGAGGGTGAGATTTAACTGCTGTACAGTTCTCAGTACTAGACTCCCGGCCCCTTCATCTCATGGCTGGTGTCTGCGCGAGATACGGACTCAAGCTCTTGACGTATGGCTCATTTGTATGCAGCTCCCGCAAAACTATTGATCAAGGTTGTTCGTTGGTTGACATTTCTAGTGCGGTGGTTTCTTATCAAATCAGTGGCTCGGTCAGCCTCAACCTGACGTCTACGCCGAGTCTACAAACTTGACGCCATCACAGAGAAAGGTGCGTTTACGAAATCTTCCCCCTCCTGGTATATCTAGGCTGATCTGATGTAGTATTACGACATGATCACGAATTGGGGAACTTGGAAAGACTTTCAACAATTACTCGACATTCTTTCGACGGTCGGCCAAGAACACGGAGTAAGCGTTTCGAACGTCGCAACTCGTTGGGTTCTTCAGCAACCATCCGTCGGCGCAGTGATCGTTGGAACCCGGCTGGGAGTATCAAGTCACGCAGATGACAACCTGGCAACCTTTGGCTTTATCTTGACCGATTGGGATCTTGACAGGATCAACGGTCTGGCGCTGGGCCCGAACCGCGGCAGGATGAAGCGCTTATTCCATAGACTGGGAGACTGCGGGGCCGAGTACCGTACTGGCTATCAGCACTCAAGTTGAGACTGGTGACTTCGATCGCTAGGGGCAAAGGTGCTCTAGTCTTATGTTTGGTCAATTTAGTGGCATATCAACCCGTCTTGTGACTGAATCAATTGGTACTAAGAGTCTCGATGCAGACCCTGGACTTGAAATCAGGTGATTGAATCCTCTCCCATGTGTTATCTCACAGAGAGACGTCGCCATTTAAAGAAGTTCGACTACTCATTCACATGAAGTCCCTCGACGGATCGGCGATGAGCGTTGAAACTGAGAGAGTGGTTCCTGAAGTACCCGATGCCCCAGCCACATCCTCACGGATGGAAGCTGACCACGCACAGACACACACATCCGAGATCCGATTCCGAACGCCCCTCAGAACCCGAACGCGGAACTCATACTTTCCCCATTTGTGGATCAGTCGGCACATGAATGGGCGCAGCGATGTTGCACACGGAAATAGGGTCTCATTCCCCTTGCATTAGTTTGGTATTTTGCTAAACATGCAGCGCCGATGTCGTCAAACTGCTCTATGGATATCATGAAAAAACAATGTCTCGTCAAACTCTCAAATCACCTTTTCGGCCCCTGCTCCAACTGTCCCGCTTGGAGCGTCTCGTCTCTTGTCTGCTTCAAGAACGGCATCAGTGCCGTCCCGCCGGTACCCGTGAGCTGCTCGTCCTTGACGGAGGAGGCACTCGCCAAGTCAACCTTGGCGCCGTTGTACGCTCGCTTGGACGGCAACACGATGTAGCGGGTGACGATCTGCAAGTGCTTGTTCCTGAACTCCGTCATGTTCTTGGTCGCCATTTGGTACGCCTCGCGGAACCTCTCCTGCTCGGGTGTCGACGCCGGGAGCTTCGCGAACTCGCGGATGCTGCCCATCCGGGAGACGTGCTCCAGGAAGCGCTTGTGGGGACCGGGCATGTAGTCGCGGACCTCCTCGTGGAACGCCGGCGCGCCCTTCTGGCTGGGAGCGGACTTGCTGGCGTGCGGGTTGCTGTTTCCTTCCGACTTGTGCTCCACGCCCATGACGATGTCGAGAAACTGGATGAGAGAGCTCTGGCCGTTGCTTCCTCCCCGCAGCTGCTGCCAGCTTCCGCGGCCGTCACCTTCGTCGTAGAAGACGCCGTTCGGCAGGCCCGCGGCGGCCATGTTCTTGCTGCCGGCCAAGAAGGGGCGGATCTCGTAGAAAAAGACCATCGGGTCGCAGTGCTCGTACATACGCTCTAAAAGTGCACCGATCTTACGAATGTTTGCAGACAGGCCCTCGAGAGCTTTGGTGATGGTTTCGTAATCCCTCGTCTTGATCGATTCCAACGCGTTCATCATGTCGGTCATGATGCGAGCACCTTGGGCTTCCATAGCCACCGAAACGAGATAGAACCAAGCTTCATCCTTGGTTCCAGTGAAAGTGTGAAGAGATTCTAGAGATTCGAGGTCGGCGAAGTCGTCTGTTCTTGACAAGAAGTTCCACAAGTTCAGGCCGGCGTAAGTGGCAACGGGCGGGACCTCGAGATGTTTTGATACTCGCAGGAGCGGCACTGAGACGGATGGGGGAAGAACCTGGATGGGATGTGAGAATAGACTTCTGATAGTTGACGAATGTGAGTCTTACCTCCTCGGCCTTTTCTCCGCCCCAGACATAGGCGTGGGTGAAGAAGGTCAAGATGACATAGGCTCGCCTCCACTGAGCCTCATCTTGTAGCTTGTCGGTGGACAAAACTGGCAGTGCATCGACTTCTCTCCTCAGCTTTCCAGCCTTGAGAAGTTCCGGGAGGTGCTGAATGATCTTCTCCCATGGTGCGTAGTAGGCATCCGGGAGAACCTTTAGTGGCGCCTCTGCCGGAAGAAAGCCGTTAGGGGTGATGGAGTATTTGTCGAAAGAAAAGACGTCGTCTTGAGACTGCTCAGCAGACAGTGGGAGAGCGTGGGGAGACATGCTGGTTGGCTGGTAAAACTTTTGAAACCGACAATACGAGTAGACTAAAAGCAACGCTTTCGAGGATGAATGCAAAGTCAGAGAAGGTTGGTTGAGATGAAGTAAAAGAGTCAACGTCAATGCGAGTCAGGGAACAACGAGGTAAAGAAGTAGTCTTTCAATTTCTGTCGTAAAACCTGCTGTCCCCCTTATCACTTGTCAAGTTCCATTGTCGCAGGTCTGCTGAGGGAATCTCTCGTCATCCCCATTGCGTGTGTAAGTGGGCCAGAACCCGACACCCGTCGCGTCGGTTACTTGCGGAAGCGCTAGGACGGAGACGGATGCGGATGGCGGAAGTATGTGGGGCCGTGCTTCGAGTTTGCGGAATGACGATGCCACGCTATCTCTCACTTCCTGGTGGCGGCCGGGTACAAAGACGAAGAAAACGCCCAGACTGGGTTGCAACTTGTGCCATAATTCGGATTTCTCGATTCATCAAGCAAGTTTCCAGTGATTTTATCATACGATTCCACAATGGAGTTCGCCGCCTTTGCAGAACAAATCCGCTCCGGCCGCCCGGCCAAGTTCCCCGCAAATGCAAAGACTACCGAGTACGCCCAGCAACTCGACGCCCAGGACAAGTTGAGCCACCTCCGTGACGAGTTCATCATCCCGACGAAGGGTTCTCTCAAGAAGAAGGCGTTGAACGGTGTTCTTCCCAGTAAGTCTCAACTGGTGCTTTCACGCCGGAACTCATAGACTAACCCTCCTTGGTAGACAAGCAAGCCGTCAACGGCCACGTCAATGGAGCCAACGGCGCTCACTCATCAGAGCAAGATGAGACTCCCTCAGTGTACTTCTGCGGAAACTCATTGGGTGTCCCGCCAAAGGCTGTGAAGGAGTACATCAACGCCCAGTTCGAGACATGGGCTTCAATCGGTGTCAACGGCCACTTCGGCGGTCTTGGTAACTCTCCGCTGGTCTGCTGGCAGGACATGGCCGAGGACGTCGCAAAGAAGAGCGCACCTATCGTCGGTGCCTTGCCCGAAGAGGTTGTCATGATGAACACTTTGACTGCCAACCTGCACTTCCTGATGGCAAGCTTCTACCGCCCGACAGAGAAGAAGCACAAGATCATTCTGGAATGGAGGCCGTTCCCCAGTGACCACGTACGTATACAATACTCAGTCCTTTTTCAACTCAAAAAAGCTAATGGTCATCAGTACGCAATTGAGTCTCAAATCCAATGGCACGGACTGGACCCCGCCAAGTCTATGGTGCAAATTCAACCGGACGAGAACTTCTACATCTCAACCGACTCGATTCTGAAGACGATTGACGAGCACGCGGAGGAGACGGCCCTGATTCTGCTGCCAGGTATCCAATACTACAGCGGTCAACTCTTCGATATCCCTCGCATCACCGAATACGCTCAGTCCAAGGGACTCGTCGTTGGCTGGGATCTCGCCCACGCGGCTGGTAACGTCGAGCTGCAGCTGCACGACTGGAACGTCGACTTCGCGGCCTGGTGCACATACAAGTACCAGAACGCCGGACCCGGCGCCATGGCCGGCGCCTTCGTCCACGAGAGACACGGAAAGGTCGACACGAGCGAGGGCAAGCCCAAGTTCCGCCACAGGCTCACGGGCTGGTACGGAGGCGACAAGTCCGTGAGATTCAACATGGACAACAACTTCCTGCCCACCGTCGGCGCCGGCGGTTTCCAGGTTTCGAACCCCTCGGCCCTCGACCTCGCCGCGCTGTCTGGAGCGCTTTCGGTGTTCGAGAAGACGTCGATGAAGGACTTGAGGACAAAGTCCCTCGTTCTCACGGCGTATGCTGAGCATCTTCTTGATGGTATTCTGGCGGATAATGCTGGAAGCGAACCGCCCTTCAGGGTACTCACACCAAGGAACGCCCACGAGCGTGGTGCTCAACTCAGTGTTTTGTTGAAGGATGGATTGTTGGACCGCGTGGTAGACTCGTTCGCCGAAGAGGGTGTTGTGTGCGACAAGAGGAAGCCGGGAGTCATCCGTGTCGCGCCGGTCCCCCTGTACTGCACATTCCAAGACGTGTGGAGGTTTATGGATGCTCTGAGGAAAGCTATCGCATAATTTCAGTTAATGTAAATAACCTCTAATACCAAGCGGTTTGATTTTCAGAACTCAATGAGGCTGTCGTGAAGGCTTTCAGGTCCCTCGACAAGTCGGTATTATCTGTGACAGGAACGTGCCTGTAATAAATTCATCCCATTACGATGTCTCGCATTAACATATAACTTCCAATACTAGGCCAGCTTGGTGGAAAGAAGAAGACCTAATTAGAAAGAGAAGACGCTCAGTTGAAACGAAATGCCACCCAAGTCTGCTATGGTTCTATGCCAAAAGAATCCATAGAGGTAAGAATTTCAACTGAGCCCATTTAGATTAGAATTAACGGCAAAGAACATCACAGATTCTAAGCTGGCACTCGAATGATTTTGACGGCCATATTGATAAGCTGTAACGAAAGCTCTAATCTCCATTCGTCGACAGAATCCGGCATCATCATTGTTATCGTCATCGATCATCCTAGCCTAGAACGCTTGTGACACGAGTAGGAGCCATCTCAAGATGTTTTTGGCATCAAAAGGATGTGCCGAAAGGCCGTAGGAAGTTGGCCAAAAAAACACATATCTGCATGCAGGATCGGCAGTACCGTGGCCCACAGCGACATCAATTCTTGCATAGAGTGAAAAGGATGAAGACGGCAGGCAGAAATCGTGGGCATCACCCAGCTGTTCGTCCGTCACAAAGCAATACTCGCCTTGAAAGCGGGTGACATCAAAGCCTGTTACGTGATGTGATGCCGAAGATGCGGATCCGAATTACAGCAGTGGCGGAAATGAATGGTCTAGCTGTGACAATGTCCGTAGCATAAGACATTAAACAATGATGCCGGGCCAAGCGGAGTTCTTCCTCTACGGGCCGAAGCCTCTCGATCTCGAGCTGAAATACGAAAACGGTCGACGCGGACCGCAACGACTAACAATCAACGGGGAGAAGGTGGCCCAGATTTTCGGAAGCCATCTGGGCAGCTCTAGACTCTTCCCAGCGCTAGTCGCAATTAAATCCCCGCAGCTCCAACGAGCTTTGTTTCTCGATGCATGCAGTTTCTCGCAGCCTTGGCCAGCACCCGAAAACGGTTATACCCACAGCAGTGTGATCTTTTCGCCCAGAGACCCAGACCGCTGGAGCACAGAGACGTCGCCCAAGATTTCGGAACCTAAGGGTCCAGGTAGCTAACGATGCTCTAGATCTCGAGAGAGTGAGACATGGAGAGACATTGCGAAGGAGGCGCCGGAGTGACAGTGAGGTCAAGAGTCGAGACTCAATGTCAAGACGGCGACGCCAACGTAGCTCGAGATGAAGAATAAATAGGTCAGTGTTTTCTCTCGAATAACGAAAAAGAATCATCAAGCACTCAGCAAGCTCAATCATCTCCCGAGTACAGCGGCCTTACAGCATCTCTTCCATCATTCTTTCTGCTTCTTCCGCTTCTTCTTTCTCTAATTTCTCTCTCGGCTTCGTCAGACTAATCACCGAATCGTCAAGATGCGCTTCTCCAACACCTTGGCCGCTCTCTGCTCGGCCGCTGCAGTTACCGCACTTGCTCTCCCCCAGCAAATGACCGTGGTCGTCCCAGTTTTCACAGTCATCAACTACCAGGGCGGCGGCGGCATCTTGCAATCTCTTGGTCTTGCCGATCTCGACAACGAGATCAACAAGTTGAACACCAGCCTCACCAACTTCAACGCGGCCAGCCTGCAGTCCCAGACGGGCGGTGTCGTCGGCAATGCTGTCGGCGGTGTCAAGGGTCTTCTTAGCTCCCTTGGACTCGGCAACACAGCTAACGTCGCGGCCACCAACTCACTCAACAATGTGCTCGCCCAAGTTCTCAACCCGATCCTCAACGGACTGAGCACCACCGGCGGCATCCAGAACGCTTACGCAAATGTCTTCAACCAGCTGAACAACTTCAACGCCAACGGCCTCGCGCTCAACCCCGAGCAGTTGCAGCTGGTCAACGCCTACCTGGCCCAGTACCAAGTGCGCCTCCAGCAGCTCATCGCTCTCATCCAGGCCAGACAGGCCGACTTCGCTGCCCTGCAAAGCGGCTCTTTCCCCCAGACTACCCAGGCCGCCATCACCAGCCTGCTCGGAGGCGCGAACGCCCCAACTTCCCTGGACAGAGTCAGGGCCTTCCTTTCTCAGTTGAACGTCAACAACGACCAGCTCCTCGGCGGTTCAACCAGCCTGCTCTCCCGCATCGCTCCCACCCTTCAGCAAGCTGTTGCGAGCGTCAACAACGCAATCCAGAACCTCATCCGCGTCACCATCCAGGTCTACATGGTCCCGGTCTAAGACCACTGGCCAGTCCGAGAGCGTTACGGCCGATCTCCTCAACCTTTTGACGAACTCGCAAAAAAAAGCACTATATGCACCTTAATGGAAAACAACAGGGGTCTTAATTGCTAGGAAGCTTGCTGTACTCGGAATGGGGTTCGATGCATTCTTTACACCCCAGGGATATGCCCTTCATTACAACTAATTATCTTTCACCTCTAATAATCTTAATAATAGTAATAATACAACTCTCATTTGCACCTCTGCAACACAGTTTCTCTACCTTTGACTTCAATTTTTTGCTCGGCCGAGATAAGAATAACTCCGGAGATCTCGATCATATGAAAGCGGTACGTCACTACGACATCTTTAACCGTTTGAGATTAAGCGGGATGCAGTCCAGACCAACGTGATTGCGTTGTCTAAGCCATCAGCTCTTACCAGCCTATCGCAAATGCTCCTACCGTTTGGAAGGATGTCCTGGTCGGGATTAGCGCACCGAGCGTCAAGGTCAGACGACACCAGACAACGCAGCACATGACGTCACCAAAACATCAGCGGCCGACCAGTATTAAATCCGTCTCTCTGCATCATTTGGCAACCTCCTTGCCTTTCACACACCCTCCGCCAGTTGCCTTTACCCCGCCATCAACCAGCCTCAAATCACGCTCAACATTTCCCGTAGTATCTCGATCTATCAAACCGAGTCAACCATCGCCATCATGTTGCAAAACACCTTCTTCACGAGCTTGTTCTTCCAGCTCTGCTTCGCGCTGCTCGCGGCTGCTGCCCCGGTCGACTCCAACCTCTCGGCCACTGCCCAGAACAGCTGGCAGTATGGAACCGGTGGTGGTATCATCGGTTTCATCGTTCTCGTCCTGGATATCATTGTCTTCAGTGCGTTGTCACCCTTAAATCTCTACCGACGTATCGGCCATTTTGCTGACCGTCCCGTGTTTCAGTCGAGGTTCTCAAGTCCGACCGCCCGGTGAGCCACAAGGTCCTCTGGTGTCTCGTCGTCTTCCTCTTCCCCATCATCGGCATGATCGTCTACTGGCTGTTCTCGAACCGCGCCGCCCATAACTCTCGCTCCGGATACGAGCCGGTGGCATAAGGAATAACGTGGGATTGAGCTCAAGCACTTGTCATCGTTGCAGCAAGGAAGGCGAAGGTGGCAAAGCGGTCAATGCCTCGAGGTATTTATCTAGGGTTACCTGTGTCTCTGGGTTGCGTTGTCACAAGATGTGCATGTTTGCCTGCGGATGAATAAATAACGACTGGAAGCGATGGCGTTCGGATGAGGATCATGGTCTTGCAGGCCTGTCATTAGTAGGAAGTTATTAGGTTTCGCGGACCGCGGCTGCCTAGCCTGTCATCCCAATAATAACCTTTTTCTTCTATATGTCAAGTTTTCGTGGCGTGCGACACATCAACACCTCGGTTTCAGCTCTACCCCATTTCTCTACCGAGATGCACCAGTGGCTCTATGTATGATTACAGTCGCCATTTTCACCTAACTGCAACACGCAAAAGTCACATATTCTGGCAGATGCCCTGGCGCTACCACATACGGATGGGTGACTTATCAAGTTTAGTTATGCGGCTTTTGTTAAGTACTGCTGCCTAGTAATTGACAACCCTTAATAACATCTGACTTCAGCTTTGCCGTCATCGTTCCATCAGACTGCTGCGTTAGAGTCACTCTCCATTATGAATCTCGTCCCAATGTACTTCAGGGAAGTCTTCTGTCGGAGCATCCAAAAGTGGCTGCTCAATGCCCAGCAAAGTCTCATCAAAGAAGGCCTTGAGAAACACTCTCGAGATGTTGACCATCCTGTTGCCGTCAATAGGACCCATTGGACGTGTCGTGCCGAATATCTTCCAAAACGTCAGGTCGGACCAGTCAGCATGCACGGTTCCATCTACAGAGAATAGACGCCACCATCCAGTCTGCCAGGCCCGGTAATTGTTCCAGGTGCGGTCGCTGTTTGCATTGTGGCCCTGGAAGCCGAGGATCATGGACGGCTTCTTCAGGTCCGAGTCGGAGGTCTTGTTCAGGCGACCCCAGTTTTGCCCGTCTATGTTGACGGCGGCCGCCACGGCATCGCTTTCCAGAGCCACAGTGAGAGCAGCGGCGCCTCCGAGGGACACGCCGAATGCTCCAAAGTTCTCAGTCTTGAAGGGCGCCTGGAGGTCTGCTACCAGCGAGGGAAAGTAGTCGATGAAATGTAGCTGGTGCTTAACCCTGATGGCGTGCAACTTCTCGATCCATTCGTTTGTGTTGCTGTAGACTGGTCCAAGGCCGTAGACACCGGTGCCGTTGGGGTATCGCACAAACGGCTGCTCATAGACGTGGTCGAATGCAGCCACGACGTAACCTTCACGCAAAGTTAGCCCTCGTAAGGGATATCTACATCAAAGTCGCAGGCTCACCGTGCGAGGCGAGGTTAGAGATGGCAATGTAGTTGCCATCAGTCGGTACACCCCAGCCGCCGGGTCCAAAGAGCAGCGTCGGGCCCGTTCCTTCATCTAGATATGAGGCATTCCACCGCAATGTCGACGTAAGGTGGGAGATATTGTAGTCCCAGATATCAGTGTAGAGCTCAACAAGCTCGGGCTCGAGGTAAGTTTTCGGGCATGGCTTATCCTCCAAGGTGGGATAGTATAATGTGACGAGATATTCAGTCGAGACATTGTTCGGCCAGACGAGGTCGTCTTCGTTCAAGAAAGGGACGACGAATCGTTGGGCACCGACATTGTATTTGCCCGTAGGAGGAGGTAGTGGCTCTCCAAGAACTGACTGTACAAGCGAAATCCAGAGACAAAGCGTTGGGGCCCAGGAGATCTGAATCTTCATAGTGATGGTCGTGAACGGAGGGCAATGGCTGGCTGAGCCTGACGAGACGAGAGTCTCACGGGCGTTGACGTATTTAAACAAGCATCGTGGTAAGCTTCTCCTCGTCTCCTTGGCAAGGCGTTTTCTGACCTCGAACTCCTCTCGTCAGAGTTGCAGAAAGCCACTACCGAAGCGGATCGGCGGCACAGTCGAATCAGAACAATGTGCGTGAACCGTCTTAGTTCGGCCTTACCTGAATTAGGCAGCTCGAACTTCTCTTGCAGGATCTTTACCCCAGCCGACAGGGCTCTCGCTACTGGACGTAAGCTCGTGGACCGAATGTGCAGATGTAAGCTCTGAAAACGGTAAGAAACCTCGGCAAGGTCCAATCATAAGATTTGAGATAAGCTCGACGTTGGCTGGGAAGATGGGAGGACTATTTTAATGCGAGCTCCACACTTGAGATGAGCAACTGTCTCGTCACGACCTCATATGTCAGTCTAAATCAACTATGTTGCCAAGGAACGGGAATAGGCTTTTATCATTTCATAATCTCAGACTTCAAAGGTTGTTTTCATACATACTCTTTTGCCGCAGTTTATCAGCAGCATACGCGATACGCGGCACGTGTTTCCTTGCAGTGGCGGTAACTGACAAGGCTTTTATGTCAACTGCCTGCGTTCAAGTTGTCTCTACTGGGTCACCTCGGTCAAAATTCACATAGTCTCAGTTCCAGTCTACTCCCCGTCTCAAATTCTCTCCTGAAGAACACCACTGACTCATAAAGAGTGTAGTTTTAAGCAAGTCTTCTCTCCCTCTGCAGAATTCTGACCAACGCCTATCCGCAAGACTTAGCAGGGGATAGTGTGCGCAAGTGGTTGCCTTACGCAGACGGGATATCTGGAATGATCGGGGGTCCAGCTTGCCAATTGCCGGAAGCATCCGAATATCCAGAGATCTTAGAATTTAGGTTGGTCCCATGTTACAGACGACCATTTGCAGTCCTAAATCTACTAGTCTGGGGTCGCGTAAGTCTTTGAGTTGCGCCGAAAATCTGCAGCTACTCAATTTAGGGACTGATACCTAGCCAACATAAAGGCCCTGGACATTCCCAGTCTTTCCTTCCTATGCAGTGCGAATGAGAACTTTCCTGTTGTTCTAGACTATCCTCCATGTCTCCCATCTTCCCCCGCTGAATATGGCTATGGCGTCCAACGACGAGATCAAGGCAACAGTCTCTGACTCAAACTTCAAGATCATCACAACATTTGCCTACTCGGCAGACCTCTCACACAACAACGCACCTTTACCGGAATCAAATTGCTACATGCTTAAACATGGAATCAATCGCCTCCAAGCTGCGGCATGCGATCTTTCATGGAGCGCCGTAGCTGAAAGCTTGCATAGCATCGACCGCGTGCATTCACTCTCCTAAGGAATTGATGCCCACATGCTTTCATCCCACGGTGAGGCATGCAAAGACCCTGGAAGGCGCTTCATCGTGCGTTTGGCCTTGAAAAGGGACAGGATCCTCAACATCATGTCGGGCCCGAGACCCAATTCGACGGATCCCCTTTACCCAATGACCCTGTCGAGCAACATGAGTCCTCTCGGTACTTCGGCGATACCCGCATACTTGGGCACGGAGCTGATTACGCCTTCGTTATTCACCAAGCATAAGACCACTCACCAAAAGCCCTACAGCGCTGCTTGGAACCGCGTGGATCTAGACGAGACGAAATCGCCTGCTGAGTGTGACGTGCTATTACAGAACAGGAACGGCAACATCATGGGGGCAGCTTTTAGGAGGTGTTGTGATGGCCGGAGGGCCTATAATGCGATGGAGTTAGTGAAATAGAGTCAATTGGGCTGCCTGGCAAGCTGGGTGAATTCAGTGATGTGTCGATGTTTCTCGCAGGTTCACCCTGGCTCCAGGGCCCAAGGGAAGTGTAGAGGCAGGCGCCCGGAAGCGGGGCCCTCTGTACAAGTGACAAGTGTACTTTTGGAGGAATGGTAGTTGGTTGACTCAATGTGTACTCATTGGGTATGGTGAGATGATATCAATAACTAGATTATAAGGGTGGCTGCATTGTATTGCGCGGCATATTGCATTTGTAGTTGGTTGACTTAGAGTAGTGCCAGTGGTTGTAAGATGGGTGTCTCGAGAGGATGGGCGCGGGAAAATTGCTGGTGTAAAGGACACAATCATCGCTGCAACGGAAGTGAGCGATGGCGAGGTGGTTTGTTTGAGTTCGGCCGTTGGAGGTTTCATACAGGGAAAATGTTACTCTAAAAAGAAAGAGACAAGACACCCAAGAGATGGGCGCCCGTAGACACTAAGAAATCTCCCAATGTATACATTGGATAGGTAAAGTCGGTATGTTAGCTGGGAGGGCTTGAATATGTCTAGGGGTTCATAAACTCTAAATGTGTTGAGTGCTTGGTATTACACTTATATCGCGTTATGTGGAAAGCTTTTCCTCAAAGTATTGCATGATACGAGCGGTTTTTGAAAGGCTTTTTCTCTTTTTTGAAACTCGCGATGACCTCACCTTTTTCTGATAAAGTCGGTATCTAATACGGATAAAAATGGTGTGTTCTTATATCACGCGAATAAAGTTGAAGGACACTACCATCACGTGAGTATGTTTAGTCTCTTGCTTTGGTCAAACCGCATTGAACAACTTCGTTTCGAGTTTCTATCAGCAGTCACACGTTCCGGACGTCCTGCATTTTGCCTCTGGGACGGTCTCTCACACGGTCTAGAGATTTCCAGCCACCAAAAGCTTGGATGTGAGAAGAAAGGCTACTGAGAGGTACGTAGACGCATTGGAGTATCAGCCATCCAAGGCTGGATCTGATTTTAAGGCAATGCTGTACGTCACTGCATCACGCGGTTCAAGCCCCGTCATAGAACGGTAGAACATGTCCAACTGAACGGCAAATGGATTTCCTTTTTCTTTCGATGAGAAGGACGTCAAGACCCACGCTTGAATATGTACGTATGCTGACGCAACACAGCCTGGCTTACACGAACAGCCAAGGATGGACATGCGTACGTGTCATGTCTCACACTAAGACTTCGTGCAGGCTTATTGTATCACTCACAACATTGATCTTACCAAACGTTATGATTATATTGCAACCCAGCTCCAAGTTTGACTGTCGGCTATATATCTATCAAGTTTTCTTACATCATTTGCTGCTTGATTTGAGTTTCCGCTGTAGACTCATTTTTACATCATTTACGTCAGATCAGGATCCTAGGTCTTAAGACCACTACTTGAACATTAAGTCTCAATGGAACTTAACAACACGCCAAAGATACTATTACCTGACGAGTCGAAGATATTAAATTGTAACCGGGCCTGTTTCGATCCACCATCGACCCTCGAGGCGGATTCGGACATTGCGGGGATTGGCGTAAGTGGATTTACATTTGCACACAACTTATTGTCATCGACATGAAAGCCTTGTGATTGACATCATCTTTCTTCAGGTACTAGTTTCATTCTTGGGGACTGCTTGGCTCGTTGTCATTATGGTCATATTTCGATACTGCCTGACGTTCGACCCTGGCGTCAACCCGTTGAACCACTCGAGCCACCGTCTGCAGCCCGGTAGCGACCAGATGTGGAGGCCTAATGTGGTTGACGTCAAGGTTGTCGGTATGCTGAGACGACATCGACAGCGGCTTGGATTCCATCCAAACTGGAGTTTAGTGTCAAACAAGGTATCATCCCCTCCCTGTAGACTGATGGTCTTACCTCTTTGCTAAATTGTATCTAGATTCTCTTGAACATGTGTGATGTTCAAATCCTCACCGGGCTTGGTATATTAACCAGCAGTTTTATCAGCTTAAGCTGCTACATATCAGCGTACCATTGGATGATAAGCAGCTATTTAGCCTGGTTTTCAAATATCACACATGCAGGTTGCTTGTCTGCTCTTCGAGGTTATCTTTACCAACACCAAACCGAACGAAACATCCGAATGGTGCTTGTCACGATTCTTCTAGCTCTTTTGGTAGCATCTATTGTTCCAACAGCGTACTTCAACTGGGCCCGAGACTGGTACCCACCTTCAGCAAGCATCTCCTCATCCAACACCCGCTGCTTCATCATTCCTGGGATGGGCCAGGCCCTCTGGATCAATCGCACTTGCATCAATGATACAATCTCATACGAGCTGCCCGACGGAAGTTTATGTATCGGGCGCGAAAAGCTGCTTCAACAAACTGATGCGTACCAATCGGCTATTCTTTCAATTTCCATTTTGATATTTGGGTTTATATCACGATTCGTCAAACTCTTTCGCAAGCTATCAGACCTTGCGAGAAAGAGAATTAGTAACACCCTAGGGCTCTGGGCAGCGTCATGTCTTCTTACAACAGCTAGGGCCTGTCGCAGCTTTGCCGTTACGCCTATAAGGAAGTGGGCGCTCCGAGTTGTACGACCTTTGGATCTCATGATTGCCTCATATTTATTGGCCAAGTTGTATACAGAACTACTCTTGTCGGAGTTAGTAGATGTAAGTCAAGATACGCAATTGTTGGCTCCGTTATCATTCTTCAACGAGCTATAACACAACCTGACAGATATCATGGCTTCTCGTAGCGTCTTCCTGGGGAACAGCTCGTCTTTTCCGAGCTCGTAACTCCGGCATTACTACTGAATCGGAGGACAAATGGGGTTTTGGCCAAATACTGCCAGTATTCCTCTTTTTGGGGCCTTTGCTGGCCGTTCTGGTGCCCGTCATCGAATTCGCGCGAAGCTAAAAGCAACACGACAAGCACACAGAGAACCAGGAGTCTGCTAGGAAACTCATCAACTTGTTAACCTCATACCAAAGACGTAAGTAGCCATCTTCGTTATGGCTTGGACTGAACGACAGCTGACAAGAAAGGACTCAATATGAATGGGCAAGCCCACGAAGACGCCGGTGCCACACTAGATGAGATCGCTATTATTCTGGAAGAATTATCACATAACGTCAGTGATGGCTTGCCATCTGATCGCGATTTCCCCCAGAACGAAGACGGTACAACACCAAGGCCAACCAGATTCCAGGAAATGTTAATGGACGGCGACAATACGAACATGGGGGAGCCGCAACTAAACAACTCATCATTTACGGGACACGTGGACACGAACGAAAATGTTTTTTCGTACCTAAATCAGGAAGTCGTCATGGAGGCAAGGGGTATAGACATACGCGCATCCATCGCATCCCATTTTTCGGAGTCGCGATGCGTGATGCTCGTCATGTGGTTGCTTTACCTTCAGCTTTCTTCTCTTGCTCCTATGGTATTCGTCTCTCTCTTGACTCCGTCATACGAATCTCCCAGTCAAGTTTTCGCCGAATTTTACTTTACTGTCTTCTATATACAGCCCATGAACTGTTTCTTCGCCATACTTCTTGGTCTTTACATCGACAGTTCTTTGATTTCGAGAAGACGATTAGCTTTCTTCGGGACACTGCTTGCGCTACTCTTGACATGGAGTCTGATCTCGAGGTTTTGGCCAGAGATTTGGATTCTTTTGCCAAGTTTCCTTCCTTGTTGTGCTATCATTGTCTTGTTCTTGTCTTTGAGCTATCAACAGACAGTAGCAAATGGCGGTATATTGGCGATGTGATAGAGTAAGCTACGAGTTGACGAAAGCAAAAAGCCTTGAAGGAGTTGCTGTCTTACAAAATAGATGTCGTTGCTTATGTATATCAACTCATGTCTCTAAGTAATTAGCGCATGCGGTTTGTTGAAGCAGTCGTCCCAGCGCTTCCCAGCCGACGCATAGAACTTCTCAAGTACTTCACGGGCAGCCACCGGAAGCCAAATGCCCAGCTGTCGACTATCCTGATCCAAGCGATCCGTAATAAAATTTCGCATCCATTGCCTCCCGCACTTTGCTTCAAACCCCGCCACGATCATGGGCCACGATGTGCAGATCCTGAGTGCTGGGTCGGCAGCGGATGCTTGAAGGAGAGCGAATAGCCTCTCGAGATGAGTCTTCTTCTTGGACGTCCACGTTCTATTGTGAGTGATAGCGCCAGAGCTCTGGAGCGATGATATCCCAAAGAGAACCACGGCAGAATGGTATATCTTTGCCATCATTAAATGCCCTTCTGGTAGAGTAGTCATTGTGTTGAACCAAGCGTCCGGGGAGAAGCTCAAAATCTTTTCTAGAAGACCATACGCCTCAGAAGAGACAGATCCTGGAGTGTCTTCAGGCCTTCTGCGTGAGGCAAAGAAACGGAGACGGTTGATGTGGATAATGTCGATGAACAAGTCGACGGGACATGGGAATTGAGGATAATATCCGATGCCAAATGCGTCTTCTATCAAATCTCTCATCTTGAAATTAGCAAGCGGCGCCATTTGATCGTCGGCAGGACTCGTGGTGTTGGCGAGATTCTCAATACTGTGAAGGCCATGTCAGCAGCATATAATAAACCACCACACTGTTTGCAAAGCTCCCTGAGCAAAGGAATTATCACGTAGACGGAAAGGTTTGGAGCAACCCGAGGCGCGGTTTCCATGGAATCACTTACATCTTGCAAAAAAGGACGAGAGATCTGAGATGCGGTGATTTTCGACAGAACTCTTCCCAGCCACCACGCAATTCAATCAGCGCTGCAAAGCCATTAATGTGAACTCGCCAGTTTGGCGCTGTTGCCGCCGCCATCAACTATCAGTAGAGAATATTAGCTCAAAGACCATCATTCGGAAGCCAGAAGACGCTGTCGTACATCACCGAAAAGGAAGACAATCACGCCAGCCAGTGTGGCATCTGCAGACCGCGTGTTCTCGTTCTCGATCTCCTTGTTAAGTGCCTGAATTGCTGTGAAACGGTGGTGATAACCCCTGGCTCTGACTTCTGCTGCGTAAGGATCATCCCGTGTCGGCGATAGACGCGACATGCGGTGCTCAATGGCCATGGCGACCAGCCCGTGTCGCCGGTACGGTTTCATGTTGTTGATATTAGATATGGGTACAACCCAAGGGCTTTTGCTGAGTTGGTTTGAGTGAAAGTACGGCCAGACGAACTCATTCCCTGCGAAGTAGACTTCTGTCAGCACTAGTTCCGAACAGTACATCGGGCACGCGAGCCCCATGCTGGTCAAATTCACACGAAGAGGTTTTGACTCACAGTAGTGCGAGGCCTCGCCGATATCACATGTCTCCGTCCGTAGTTCCTGTTGAGGGAAGATGTGAACAATGCGATTCTCAGAAGAGGCTTGTTGGACGGCTTCTTGCTTGTCACCGCCTTTCTTGTCTGCCTCTTTCCCCCTCTTCTTGGCGGCGTCGGACTTGTTCGCTGGCGACCTTTTGCTCCTCCAAGGTTTCGTAGTCACCATGTTGGGGGCTACCCATGTCAACGGCCTGATGTTCTCATAACCCGGACATACGATGCTGTTGAGTTTGCAGTTGGAGCAGACGGGCCGGGCCGAGTCGCATACCTTCCCCCGGCGTTGGCACTCCCAACAGGACTTCTTCCGACCGCGACCGCCGCCGGCAGCGGCCTGGGATGTTTCCATCGGCGTCGAGTCAGTGATGAGCGGCTGTTTCGACATCTCTGTCATCTATCGATTCGCAGAGATGCCGGCACGGCAGCTTGTACTCTTTGGGGCAAGTTTACTATTTGGATGGTGGAATGACGGGATGGAACACAGGATCGATCTCGCGACTGACCAACGACGTGGACGAGACACGGGGTGGCGAAGTGCAGGTCTTGGCCTGTTGGATTTCCCAATCAAGTATCGCTTCGCGTGATTAAGGAAGAAAGTACCGTACAGACCAACGCGTAAGGTACTTCATGCTTGGCTCTGGTACGTACGCAACATTTCTTTTTTTCCGCCGTGTAACACGGTGCTTTGGAAGATCATCCGAGAATTGGAGGTGGCTTGTACGTATATCCTGTCGGCCAATAATTCACTTGTACTCCACTGCGCCAGCTGGCCAGTCGTTGTGGTTCGATCGACTTGGAATCCGGCTGACTCTCCCCGGATCACGGAGTATTCTCCGGTAAAGCGGGGCTCCGCACGGCAGTTCAGTGGGTCAACGGGCCCGAATCTTCGGGATTTGAATGGGCAGGATCGGGCCAAAGCCATATTTGAGGACTTCTGAGAACAACAATTCCTTCATAAACGGTAGTTGTAACTCTCCAGCTGAACGACCACATATCGCAGACTGACGAAGCTCTGTTTCTCCTGCCGTCAAGTGGTGGGCTAGGCAGGAGCAAGCGGGTCGCTACTGCAGAAGCACTTTACGCGTAACGCGCGCGTTCCAAATATCCGTCGCGTCGCCCCTCCCCGCCAGCTGTTTCGCGGCCAGCCATCTCTCAACTACAACCAACCCCTACCTTTTCTGATCACCAACAATACTAAGCCGACAGTTCCTTTCCAATCCTCGTGCAGTTTGCTCTACTATCAATGGAACTCTCCGGTCTAGCTCGGGCATTGGGTACGCCGAACAAAAAGGCTCGAGGAAGGACCTACATGCCGTCTGTGGGGATGATGCGCCAGCTGGGTGCGCGAGCGTTGGGCCTGAGGCCAACCGCTTCTCGTCAACAACTTCCACTTCCAGACTCTGGTATGTCCCTATTTTCTGTGGGGTGTTTTTCAAGGGGTTTATGTGTTGACTAACTGCCTTTTTGGCGAGTAGTCCCTGCGGAAGATGTTGTCACCGACGCGCCCGACAACCAACCACAGCCCGAGACAATCGATCCTTCTCCGAGCAAGGCCACTACGAACACTTCGATCACGAACCCATCGAACGAGCAAGATAGCGGTGGCGAGAATAACGGCCAGAGGAGTAGGATATGCTCGGAAGACCGCACCGTCCAGACCGCCAATACCGCCAACGATAACAGCGAGACAGAGCCGACCGACGCAGCGAATGGCCATGTCGACGATACCATAGATCTTGCTCATATCAAGAAGGAACCAGAGGACGACCACCCACTCCAGGCAAGCTCTACGCCCGCTGACGTCACCGACCAACAATGGGAGCTTCGCGCAATTGTAGGGCATGAGGTAGACCCGGAAGACCCGACTCGTCTCCGGTTGCGCTGCCGCTGGGCGAACACCGATCCCAAAAACAATCTTACATGGGAGCCCGAGTGCATCATTCAAGAGGATGCCCCTGCTATGTGGAAATCTTACGTGACAAAACGAAACCCCCGCAAGGACCTGGGCGAGTATCAGGACTACTGGCATATTCTCGGCATTAAAGGGCATACTAAGGCGAAGGGGGGCAAGTTCAAAATGAAGATCAGCTGGGTAGGCTTTGAGAAGGACGAAACTGTGTCTGAGGACTTCGTCGAGGACAATAATGCCGAGTTGCTCAAGGAGTACTGGCAGAGTGTCGGGGGCCGGGAGTCTGCTGTACAGGCCCGTCCTACTCGCAAGCGAAAGAGAGCAAGGGCTTGAGATATTTCGTATACAAGACGCAGTATGCATTTGGGAGGTTTCATGCCACGGGACGTTTCCTGCATTCAAACTTACAACGTGGGGCGGGTTGGGACGGAGTTTGCATGCTGGAGCGATGGCAATAGTTTTCGAGTATAAGAGATACCCAATCAGTTATGGCATTCAATCTGGCGATAGGTTCGCCCAGGCATCGGCACAACAGGGCGGTCATTTTCCAAAGAAGAATGCTCGTTAGCTGGCCCAGTTAGCGAATGAAAACAAATATGCAGCGTTAGACTAGAAGCATGCCGTGATTGTGGATTTTTAAATCTTATTGTTAACAGACAGAGTGACATCTAGCTTAACTTCCCTTTTCAATGTATTATCCATGTGTTTTCTGGTCAACGAAAGTTATTTTGACAGACACCATCCCAGACATAACCTTACCACCATTCAAAACCCTTCATGTCTTCATCTTTCCTTAATCAGGCCCGCCCGCGTCGAGAGATGTTACCAAGTCTCCGGTCTTGGGAGCTCACGGTTGCTTGTCGTATATTCCAGATGGCGTACATAAGCCGCTGAGAAAATGTGTCAAAGAACCCGCTTGCGTTATGCCTGTCCGAGGTTGCGGTGTCGACGGACGCCTCGCTGAGGTCCTGGTAACATTTCTGCAGTGTCGAAGAAACAAATGCGGCCTTTTGGCGCATCTGCTCGTACTCGGCCATGTTCAATGGTAAATCCAATAGGACAACTTCACCGTCTCTGTCGGAGAATGTCTGGCCATTCGGAGTCCCATGAGCATCGGGACTGGTGTTTAGGGTTCGTTCTAGTCCGTCCCTCTCATCATATATGCGTCTGACAAGAGAATCATACAACTTTGTTGCGTTGTTGGTTTCTCCTCTGGTGGTATCGGGAAGCGCTCTGAAATCTCGCAGAATCTCGCTCAGCCGAGTAAACGAGGCATAAAAGACTTTGAACTCTGACCTGCATTGAACTCTGGCCGAGTTCATCATGCTCATTATCAGCTGAGGCTGTCTGAAGAGCTGTTTGGCCTACACAGATTTCCGATCTCGTTTCCATGCGAGGAGTACTGTTTATGCGCGCATTTGTCGATTCTGCCATGTCAACGTCTCTGGTGGAAGCAAAGTTGAACAGTGTGAGACTACGACGCGAAACTCGGCCTTTGGAGTGCCGGGGAAAAGGAAGTTGAACGACTGTGGGAACCGACGAGATAGGAGAAAACAAGCGGCGGTTGTTGCTTTTTATAACGGCGGCTATCCCTCGTTATGTCGGCTCTATTCACTGCGCCGCATGTTCGGGTCTTTTGCCAATACGATTGGTCTGTGAAGAAGACTGTGGTGTTGGTGGCAACGGACGCCTTATCGCCTGTTGCTGCCTGCGTGTCAGTGCTCATTGGGAGAGCTGTGCATTGCTTGGCTGGCTAGGACTCGATGCGTATTGTTACTCCATCTTGCAGATATCTCGACGCTTTGACGTCCTGTGTCACAAGAAAGCGAGATTTACAAATTAGAGCACCGGAATTCGTGTTTCGCTTCTGAGTTTCTAATTGATGATAATTGTGAAGAAGCAATAGTAGTGGAGGAGTGTGTGTTTCAATAGTCGGGAGTCAACGACGGGACTGCTGTTGCTGCGCGTCGTAATTTACAAGGGGTCTGCGTTGCCCGTGTTCGGAACTTTTTGCAAACGAGGGACCGGGACCTTCGGGATACTACAACGCAATTTCAGAGATCGGTACACAACATACGGCAATCGACGAATGATTTTAGTAATATTCTACTGAACTGGATTAGCATGGCAGTTAGCGACGAAGAATTAGAGTTCCTTAGCACTTTAATTGAGTCTGGATGAACTGCCTGAAAAGGGGGTTTGGAGCAGGTTCCACCAATCATACCTAAAATCGCCAACGTTCCCAGTCCTTGTCATCGCTCTTCACGGACCTAAATAAATGGGAATCCTTGGTGCAACATGTTCAATCTTCTGGTCCAACAGTGATTTCCGTAATCATTGAATACGGCTGGGGGCATGAGAAGGTTTGATTACACCCCGAACTACGCTAGCTCTATGCGGCTGTGTTGCAAAAAGAAATAGGATCTTGGTGAGAGTGTGGTAGATAAATCGATGATTTAAACCCAAGTCCCCTTCCTCATGGTGTGATACTATGGCCCGCACATACCACACACTCTTTCAACTCGCTAGACCCGCGACGTACCATGGCGAAGGGTTCTTGGATTCTCTTCTTGAGCTCCCTCCTCGCGGGGGTAGGTTCTGCCGCTGATCTCAAGAAGACTTACATCGTCCAGTTGAGACAGGCCCACGGCGGGGATAATCTACTCCGAAGGTCATTGGTGGACGCCTCTGTCGAATCCGTGTCTGGGCAGGCCGCCGACGTTCTTTACACGTACGAGAACACCGTCAATGGATATGCTGCAAAGTTCACCGACGAGCAGGCCGATGCCTTGAAGTCTCAGCCCGATGTTTTGTCGGTGAGACTTGACAAGGTCTACCATCTTCACACCAGCAGATCCCCTCAGTTCTTGGGACTGATGGGCAACGACGAACTGCTTGGGCGTTCCCCCATGAGTCCCCAGTCTTCCGGCTTGCATGCGCACCGGAGAGCGGATGATACAGGTGTAGCAGCCGAGTCTGATCTCATCATTGGTATCTTCGACACTGGAGCTTGGCCCGAGAACCCAGGCTACCGGGATGACGGTGTCGGTCCAATCCCGAGTAGATGGAAGGGTGCATGCGAGGAAGGAGATGGGTGGACAGCGAGCAACTGCAACAACAAGTTGATCGGAGCGAGAGCCTTCTACAAAGGCTACGTAGCCGCAGTTACCAACGGCTCGCAGCCTTTCAACTGGACTGGAGAGTACCAATCGCCCAGAGACGACGACGGCCACGGCACTCATACTTCTACGACAGCTGGAGGCTCTGCAGTTCAAGGTGCCAGCCTGTTCGGCCAGGCGTCCGGTACAGCTCGTGGAATGGCCGAACACGCCCGCCTGGCCATGTACAAGGTCTGCTGGAAAGAGGGATGTTTCGATTCTGACATCCTTGCTGCCATGGACAAAGCTATCGAGGATGGCGTCAATGTCATGTCTTTGTCGCTGGGTCCTGACCAGCCAACCTTCAATGAGGACGAAGGAATCGTTGTCGGTAGTTTCGCTGCAATGGAAAAAGGCATTTTCGTCGCCGTCTCCGCGGGAAACTCGGGACCCGGTCCTGGAACAGTGACCAACTTGTCGCCTTGGACACTCAACGTTGCCGCCAGCACTATCGACCGCGACTTCCCAGCCCACGTCACCTTGGGAAATGGGAAGAACTACACCGGCGCCTCTTTGTACAGCAACGGTTCCGTGACCGACATCGAGCCTTTGGCAGAGGGCCAAGTTCTTCCTCTCATCCACGGCAGCCTTGCTGGCAAAGGCAATAGTTCTACTGCTTCCTTTTGCTTGGATGGCAGCCTTGACGCGGAAAAGGTTGCGGGAAAAATCGTTCTCTGTGTGAGAGGCCAGAGCGGTAGAGCTGAGAAGGGTGGAGTGGTCAAAGCTGCAGGTGGCCGCGGCATGATCGTCGTCAATCCGGAAGCCAACGGCGAGGAGCTGATTGCAGATGCGCATGTTCTTCCCGCCCTCCACCTTGGTTTCAAGGACGGCGCTGAGGTGGCGGCGTATGCGAAGACCTATGGCGCTACGGTTGTCTTCGATTTTGAAGGCACGAGAGTAGGCGTCCCGGCCCCGTACATGGCTGCCTTCAGCTCGCGAGGGCCCAATATCCCAATTCCCGGATTGGCCAAGCCGGACATCACAGGGCCTGGCGTTTCGATCCTGGCGGGCTGGGCTGGTCAGGGCCCGGCTGGCATTGCGGCAGACACGAGGAAGGTCGATTACAATGTCATCTCCGGCACATCTATGTCTTGCCCCCATCTGTCCGGCATTGCAGCTTACATCATGGCCCGTCGTCCGGAATGGAGTCCTGCTGCCGTTAGATCAGCGATGATGACCACGGCGTATGTCACTCTCCAGGACAGCACCTCGCCGATCGTGGATTCTTCGAACTTGGAATCCGCCTCTCCCTTAAGTTACGGAAACGGCCATGTCGATCCCATTGCAGCCTTGGATCCGGGTCTCGTCTACGACCTTACTACCAATGACTACCTCGATTTCCTGTGCGCCGTCAACACTAGCACTACTTTTATCTCCGGAATCACCAGGAGTAACTTCACTTGCAACTCATACGAGACAAAGAGCGTGTACGACTTCAACTACCCCTCATTTTCGGCACTATACGAATCTCCGGCGGGCAATGGTACCTATGCTACCAATGGTTCCTACACGGCAACATTCACAAGGACTGTCACCAATGTTGGAGAGCCGGGGACTTACAAGGCCGATGTTTTCCTCAATGATCCCAGTCTGGTCAAGATAGCTGTTAAACCTGATACTCTGACCTTTAGCTCGGTTGGAGAGAAGCAGAGCTACGTGGTGACAGCTACGCTGAGCTCACCAAGAAGTGGGGATGCCAGCTCCTGGGGCAGACTTGTGTGGTCAGACGGAAAGCACGATGTTGGGAGCTCTTTGACCTTCCTGTGGAGCCTTCCATCTGAGGAGTAAGGTATTCCGGGAATTAGATTGGGACAGGCCTTGAATCTCTTTGTAAGGAAATGCTCACACTTCAACATCCGCGAAGTTTTAGGATTAATTCAAATAAGGAAGCTTGTGTCGAACGACAATGTATTGGCTGTACGAAACAGCAGAAGACGTGAAGACCCCTCTAGCTTGGTGCACTACGACTAAATAACGTCGTGTGAGTAGTGCTCTAGATTTAACTGCTTCCACCAGTCTTGTAATACGGTCTCGGTAAGTTGTCGTAATAGGGTACGACGATGACATTTGGGTCGTCGCTTTTCCCAACCTACAGATCTGTCAGATGTGTGTGTAAAACGCGAGCTCAGGGAACTTACCATAGCCTTCGTGGTACCATGATATGGCACATCAGACACCTTAAGATCAAGCAAAGCCGGCCCTCCAGCCTTGGTCATGTCTTCCACCGTCTTACCCAAGAAGTCAAGTGTTTTCTTTCCATCAGCGTCGCCATCCTGAACATCAATCGCGGCAGATTTACAACCAAAGCCCTGGGCGACGATATCATACTTGACTTTGGGGTTCATCGCAACACAAGGCCGCTGTGGCGTTTTCTCGCCGTACATCATGTCTTGCCCAGCTTGGGACATTCCCCAGACAGCGTTGTTCACCACAACTGTCAAGATCTTCAGATCAAACTTGGCGTACGTGTCGAGTTCGCTGAGGTGGAAGCCTGCGCTGCCGTCTCCCTGCAAGTTAATTACAAGCCTGTCGGGATCGGCCAAAGCAGCACCTGTTGCGGGAAACCATCAGTATTTGGTCGAGCTTGAGGAACTCGGATAGCATACCGAGAGAATATCCGAAGCCATTGCCCAAGAAGCCCAAATAGCCAGTCGAGACCATTGAAAGCCCAGCCTTGGCTTCGTTGAGGCATTGGATGGCCCATCCACCAGCTTCGCCACCGTCGATGCAGACGAGGCTGCCTTCAGGAAGAGACTGAAAGAGCGTGCTTACGCCATGATACGGGTGCAACCTCTTGTTTTCGGGGAGAATAACTGGCTCTTTCTTGTTCGCGGCTGAGGCGACTTGTGACTTCTTCAAGCCCAAGGCCTGTTGAACCCAGTCATCCGACGCCTTGATCGACGACTTCTCCACTAGGGTTGACATGGCAGCAGCTGTTTGCCCAACGTCGGCGACGATACCAACCTGTCGAGGTTTTCAGTCACTCTTTTCATGAAGCAGAGAGATATTTGGCTTACATCAATGTTCGTGGACCGCCCGATCTCGCTTCCGTCGAGATCAACCTGAACGACTTTCGACTTGTTGTCATTTGGAATGATAGCGCCGCTTCGGCCACCCATCAGGAAGCCAGACCTGACGCCCAGTAAGAGCACGAAATCCGGAGCTTGACCTCCAGTGAAACGCAAAATAGGCAACTGCGTAGCTGATCCGCCAAAGAGGGGATGGGAATGCAGAATGCCAGTCGAAAACTTTGGAGAATGGAACACTGGCGTGTTAGTTGACTCGGCAAGCTTGATCACCTTCTCCGTAGCTCCCGAAGCACCGGTCGAGACTATGATAACAGGACGTTTAGCGCGCTTCCAGAGGTCCATAGCCTTCTCTACCTCCGTGCCGCTCGGAGCTGGCAAAGAGACGGGCGGAGACATGATGGATCCCCACGATACGCTACTCTGCTCGACGGGCATGAAAAGAATGTCGATCGGAAAGTCGACCAGCACCGGCCCAGGAGCCCCCGCAGTCGTCGCCCGCCATGCCAGACTGACGATCCTCGGGATTTCGGTAACAGTCGTGACTCGATGAGCGAGCTTGGTTACCGCCTTCGCCAGGACGACCTGGTCGTGGAAACCCTGAAGAGAGTTGGTTTCGGCCTCGCGCAGCGGCGGCGAGCTGGTGATGCAGAACACGGGAGACCGGTCTGCATAAGCAGTGGCGAGACCAGGCAGCCCATTACAAAACCCCGAGTTTGCTGTGACGAAGCACACTCCCGGAGTGCTGTTTCCTTTGACCTTTGCCCAGCCCTCCGCGGCTTGGACGGCGACGGTCTCGTGCCGGACGTCAATCAGTTTGATGTCGGCCTCCACTGCGGCGACGAGGAAACTGTCGAGATGACCGCCTGAGATTTGTCAATTGATGAGGACCGGAATATGCGGCCTGTCCTTTACGCACCGTGAATTCCGAAGGCGACAGTGACACCTAGATGGGCGAGGCATTGAGCCAGAAGGTCGCCACCCAGTAGCTCGCGGGTTTTGGGATGCTTAAGAGGAAAGTCCATTGTTTCTTTGTTCACAAGATTGGCACCAAATGCTGTGACATGAATACGATGGTTTGGTCTAAGAGGACATGAGCTATTGGGAGATAAGATCTTCAATTCGTCTATAAATACATTGACGCAGATACATCCGAAAGGCCGTTGCCAGTGTCGTCACATCATCTGATATGTTACACCTTGGATGCACGAATTGTGCGGGGTTCGAAGAGAGTCAGAACGTGCGACGTCGTTCCATGAAATATGGACTTGGCCGGCATGACGGGGCTGATGACCCCGCATGGTTGGTTATTGATATCCGTCGGTATTTCGAGGCGGATACCTCGGTACATCGCGGGTGAACAACGATGTCAGACCAACCTCGAGGTTTGAATCAGGAAATGCTCCGCATTACTAACGTTCTCGAAACCGTCTTGTAGTCCGTACCAGGCAGCACTGTGCACTGGCGGCGGCGGGCATTTGTGAAACTTGAGCTGTATATTCTACTAGTAAGATAATTAAGCATAAAATGGGAGAAAAAACGAAGCAAAAAAAGTGAAATAAAGATTAACGAACTGAAGGCCCATGAAGAATTGTTGCAGTCCGTTCGAGATACGCCCGCAGCAGCCCGCTTCAGGTTGTCCCAGGCTCATAAATGACACTGGGTGGCAGGCCGGTCAAGTATGTCAAGGGCTTTGGACTGTATGATACAATTCGGATTCCGTGGAAGCTTTGGTATTAAGGTGTGGTTCCCGCTGCTGGAACCGTCGAGGTGTCGTATCGACAGGACCACGGCACTTCCGGTCCGGTGTTCGGCCCCGCCATCATAGTCCGGGCCCACTATCGGCCGACCGGTGCCGGACTAGCGGTCATGTGGTGGTGGTGGTTATATTTAATTGCCGGTGCGTCCTTGTATAAGGCAAAGGGCGTCCGCGTCGAGCTACTACCAATATTATGCTGTGGCAAGAGTTCCCATCCAGACCGGTTGCCCACGGAGCTACCCAGGCTTGTATACTTCTCAATGTTAAGAATAACGCGGCAGCAGAGACGGACGATTTGGTGCCAAATCGGCGAACGGTCGTTCACGCGGTCCGAAGACTCTGTGCACCACCACCTTAAGGATTCGCCAGCACACCGTTAGTATGAACGAAGAATATGAAAATTATCCGAGTCCGTCCAAAACTTGCAGTATTTCTAAGCGACCTTGCAAATTCTGCAGTTGTTCTCATTTGGACACTGTTCTTGTGAGCTTGGGTCAAATGAGCATGTCGGCAAGTCCTTGACTGAAAGTTGAGGGCCCAGTGTCGCTGAAGGCTCTGCCGTGAGCCGCTCACGTGGTGAATTTCACAGAGGCCGAAACGCAAATCATGGGTCATTTTGCTTTTGAAGCTCTTGCTTGCACGATGTTGCTATTGAACCAAGATCAAGAATAGTTGATCAGATTCAGTACTACTATTACACTGCTCAATGGCGCAGTATTCAAGTTTGTCGTGGTTTCAAGGGCCACTCGGTAAGAAGACCATGCTGTCGGATGAACCCTTGATCCTTTTGTGGGCGGGGTATTTATCCATCATCATCTTGAACAGTTTCAAGTCATCTAGAGCGTCCTTGGCAGTCGTCTTGATTTCTTTGCCGTTAACGACAGTTTCATACCACTCTTTCAACTCGGCGGTATAGGCATCTTCGTAAGAGGTTTGAAGAGACCTGTGGGACTTTTCCCCGTGCTCATTCAATTCGTCAATCTCGACTGTGATGCCGAGACCTTTAACGAACGGTGTATCGTAACAGATCGTGACCGACTTATTCTCCCCGAAGACAGCGACATGAGAGTCGAATCTCGGTACGGAGTCGATGCCCATCTCGTAGAGACACGTGAAGCGGTCTTCAGGGCCGGTGCCATTTCGGTAGTCGAACATTGCCGTGTACCAGCGCGCGTTATCCGTCGAAGCGAGGACTGATTCCGGGAGACCGCCGAGTGCCTCCCTCATCAGGCTGAGACCATGGCTTCCGAGGCTTCCCAGCATGCAGCAGTAGTCCATCTGCGCGTTGGTAAGAGATTCTGGCGCTTGGCCCCAGGCCTGACCGAGCAAGACTGCCAGTCGTGCCTTTCTGTCCTCTGACGCCCCAGTCGGTATGTCATCGCTGTACTTCTGTGGATGCGCCCCCGACTGCCCGATGAAATAGGCGTTGGGGCCGATGATATCGCGGACACGAGCGTACTTGATCTTGTCAATGGACTCGATCTCGCGTTTAAAGGCTCGAAGACTGGGAGCGTAACGTCGCATGTACCCCACGAAGACGCGGGCGTTGTTGGGGGCCTTGGTCTCAGCATCGATGATCTCCTCAGCGGCCTGCACGCTTAGCGTCATAGGTTTCTCCACCAGGACGCTTTTCCCAGCCTCCAAAGAGGCAATGGCATACGGAGCGTGATACTCGTCGGACGTCAGAATCATGACAACATCAATGGCCGGATCATTAAATATGTCGTCAGGGTTTGTGGTCGCGTAGGGGATGCCGAATTTGGCACGACAATGGTCAGCCGTCTTCTGTGAAACATCGCAGATGGTGGTGACCTTGAAGAGGCTGGACAAAAGCATGAACGTCGGAAGGTGAACGATTTGCGCGACGTCGCCACCGCCAATAACTCCGACATGAAGAATCTTGGGAGACATGTTGGCCGTGGTTTCAGTGATCGCAGATACGATCTAGTGATAGATTTATGTGTGATATTGGGAGATACGGTACTTCGACTGCGACATCGACCATCATGCCAGATATCGACATATTTATAAGACTCTGCATGAGCTCTAGACACCTGTCATTCCATGAGAAATCCACGTGTCATCTCTGCTGAGGTTGGTGCACCCAAGAAACCCCCTCTACGCGTTCATGTCGGGCATCCCCTCATCCAATCTTGCCGCATCGAACTAGTCGTATTTGAGACATTTCTGACCAGCAAAGGAAAGTCAAGGCGGGTTGCTCTTTTTGGCAAAGACTGAAGAAAACGCGGCGCTCATCGCCTGTGCCCAGCCCACAGCCCCTATCTTGTCTGTAATCATCGGAAGACATCAAAAAGCCTGGCTGATGCAGGTCTCTTTTCGACATGCTAGGTAGGTTCAGCTGGTCTTAGTAGGGTTAAGGAACTAGAGAAGCTACTCATTGCTCTATATTTAGCACATTCAAGATACCAAGAGTTTAAAAAGACAAGCTATAAGATTTACCATTGAAAATAAATACCGACAAGCTAAAGCGCTAGGCACTTTCGTTTTGTAGTGGGTGGTACAGGCCACGTCGCGTTCATCAGCTGTTGGCAAACTGATCAGTTGTTTCGGTTCATCAATCGGCAGAACAACACCCTGCCTGATACTCGCGTGGCTTCCGCCTTTACGTGAATTGATTTGGGCCTGGCCATCGCATGATTACCTTTCCGCATCTTTGAGAGAACGTAGATACGTAGGTGTTGGGACGAGGATGTGTTCTATCCACTGGCCTGGAAAGCTACAGCACGTACGAAGCAGTAGGTGAAAGCATCAAAACACCCTCCCAAATGACTTCGTAAGCAGCATGAAGGTCTTCAAAACATTTTTCGACCTTCCCTGGGCTTGAGCCAGCGTTTCGATACCACAAAGACCCTTCGGTCTGGGTTTGGGGACATGAAATCGCAGTGAACGATCACCGATGATCGTATCCCATCGAGTGCCAATGGACTACAGTACAAGCTAGCCGCATATATCCCCACAGTTTCTCCAACTCACCTCAACCACAAAATTTACAATTGGTCAGGAAAAATCAAAGCTAGTCTTCCATTGGGTGACACCCCGCACTCTTTGTACTGTAGTCCATTGGCACTCGATGGGATAAGACCCAACTCGCAATAGCTTTCTCGTCCCCTCTTCGAAACAAGACAGTTCGCTTGTTATTTTCTACAACCCCTGGAAGGCCGCCACCGCCACTGCAGCCACCAATCCCTCGTTGCCGAAGAGAATACTAGACCTGTAATGATACATATATCCTGCCTATCTGCAATCATTATGCTGTGGTTCTAGCAAAGACATCTTGGTTGGCGTGTTTGTCAAGCGTAGATTGGCCGAAGCAATCAAACGAAAGGCATCGCTTAGAGTGTCACGCGTGGAGCCCATGCGCTCTTGCAGCAGACAGTGGGACGATGTCGTGTTACGAAAAGAAAAGAAGCTCGCGTCACGCAACACCTTGAGGAATCACTTTTCCCGTAGAATTGCCGAAGGACCTTAGCCGAGATAAAGGGATCGAGATGAGGCCTGTTCAAACCGAAGTAGCTCTGCGTAATGGCATTTTGTGGAACCATTTGCTTCAAACGATGTTCGGCGGTTTGGTAAGCTACGTGTGCCAAGCCGTCTGGATTCAAGTGTTGCAGCATGTCGTTCATAGTCTTTTGCTTGATCTTGTCGGCGATTTTGAGACTCCTCGTGTCCAAGTCATCTGGATAAGTCTCAGTTGTCAAAACCGGTGGGCCATTTGCAAAGACGATTCATTGACTGACCTGTGCGATGGTTGAGCTGCCAAAGGTTGACAAGATCCCTGTGGAAAACACTGAGATACCTATCTGTCGACGTTGAGGACAGATCTCTTCACCAGAACTGCACCAGTCATTGGTGGATATGTAGCATCAGCAACTGCTGGGACTGCTCTCGGATCTCGACCCCGTGTTAGAGGAACGCCAGATTATCTTTACTGCCTGTAGCCATGCTTTCACGCGCTCGACAGGGTTGCCCAGGATGGCGCAGCACTGCGCACAGATGGAGTTCTCGGTTCGGTCGACCATAAACACGGTTGAACCAGTGGTTATCCCGGCAGGCTTGAGAACTGGTCCGAAGAAAGTCCGCTCTGGCTTGTGCACGCCCAAGCTTGTGGATGTGAAGATAATTATCAAACACATCCCACCCGCCAATCTTTGCGCGGGCCATGTCGTAGCTATCCTTCGACATGTCAACCGCAGCGCACGCCCGGATTCTGTCGTTGGATCCTTCCTGCAGCTTCCCAACGGCATTTGCAGAGCCTTTGTTGAGTATGAAGGTCCTTGATGCCAAGCGAATGGTTTCCTGGTTTGTCGATGTCGACTTGAGACTATGCCACTGGAAAGTTTCGAGAAGATACTTGAACTGCTTTCGGATAACCGGGCCGTCTGGGATCACGGAGACGTTACAGAAAATACCTTACCGCGAAGTTCTAGTATCAAAGGCGGAGCCTGTAGCAGGAAAGCATGGTACACTACCTTAGCTCCGTCTCTACTAACGACGGAAGTGTAAATGCACCCACTGAGTAATTAGGATGTGAATTTCTATCCAATCAGACGATACCGTACAATACGTAAAAGTTCGGTTAAAAATGGAGACGTCTACATGAACCTAACCCTAATTGACTTTACGTAGAGGGTAAGGTAGGTACTGCATGGCATAGGGGTTACGACGGGCAACAGGAGGCCGCCGGTGGCAGAAGGTGCCCGGCATACGATCTCGTTTTGGGTCCCAGACATCTGGTGCTAAATCTTACTGGTAAAGTCAAAGTATCTACCAAGTAAGACAGCTCGAGCTAAATAGATTAAGATGCCTCCAGCCAAAACGATGCCAACATACAGTCCGGAGAGTGCTCTTGCACCAAGAGACTCCAACATCTGTCCACCAATAGGCATCGTGATAAGCAAGGCAAAACTAATGACGAAGTTCATTGTTCCTAGGTACGATGAATGTCAGATGTGTCTGAAAGATACGAGCTGAGTCGACCCACCATAATATCGCCCGTAGTTCTTAGAATCGCATGTCTTGCCCATGCACACTGATATTGGTTACCATATTAGTGGCTTGCATTACAGTCGTCTTAGTTGAGGGGTGACCTCACCTGGTGCAAGTGATAGGAAGGAACCTGTCCCGAAGCCTCCCAGAGCGGCAAAGGCGTAGAGGGCCTCGAGGCGCGTTGACCCAAACGCCGTGATGGTGGCAGCAGTGCAGATCACCGTGAGAATAATCATGGCGAGCAGCACGTTAAAGTGCCCCAAATGGTCACCTATAATCCCAGGAAGGACCCGTCCAAGAGAGGATAAACCATTGAGGATCGCAAGCATATTGTATCCAGCCTCCGGCGGAAAGCCGGCCCAAGTAACTAGCGTTGGGAGGATAGCCGTAGCCCCAAAGATGACGAACTCTAGAGACCCTTGCGCAAAGGTGACGAGGGAGAACGCGGTTGAACGAAAGGCGGAGAAGTCCATGGCAGCACTCTTGCTTTGGATGCTTTCATGCCCGTTGCCATGCATCTTGGCCATCAATCGCGGAAAGGGGGATAGGCAGGCGAGGCCGATTACCATGATGCCCAGCGTGATGAAGCCAATAATCCTCAAAGACCAGATCCATCCGTATGCGGGGAACAGCTGCCGCAGGGCCAGTGGGAAGACAATGCCCCCTGTGGACGAGCCGGCCAGTGCAATGCCCAGAGCGAGTCCGCGATGGCGATGAAACAGCTTGCCAACCACCGCAATGCCGACTGTCGTGGAAATCGCGTTCCCAATTCCGCCAAGAACCCCCAGGCAGAGCATAAACTGCCAGTATTTCTTACATTCAGCCAATAGGAAAAACATGGAAATAAGACATACGGCGGCTATGGGTCCAAGGGGTGCAGGCCCAAACACGTCGACTAACGGGCCGGTCTGAATCCCCAGCATGAAGGTCAAGAACGAGTAGACTCCCGTTATCCAGCCGACGTCTCGCGCCGAGTATCCGCGTAGCTGATTTTCTAGAAGGAATGCCTGAATCGAGCCGGTGGTTTGCATGAACCCTAGTCGCAGAGCTGTCAGCTAAGATTGAGACGGGAAGCAGGCAGGCCCTCAGTCCACGCACCAAATGAAGGCATAAGGTACAAAAACGCCCCGAGAACGCAGAGCCATGCTGATACTTTCTTTTCAACTTCGGGCGTGCCGCAGGCAACGTTTTGGGTACCATCTTCAAGCTCCGGTGGCGGATTGTTCGTCGAGGGCGCATGGCTCTCCTTCTCTTTCTCTGATGAAACTTGAATCATGGTGGTCGACGCATGAAAAGTGAGATTGTTGAATGCAGCATCTAACCGACGCGAAGCTTTTATCCCAAAGTCACACGTATTTATATATACCGACCAGCTCTACATCAATATACGTGGCCTCCAAAACCAATACAGGCCCTGATGTGTCTCGCCTCGGCCAAGAGAGCGCTTCCCACCAAGCCGTCAGTGAGAGCGGAGTTGGCGGAGATGCTGTGGGGAAGTATTCCCGGGCTTCTCGCCCGAGAGGAGAGTGTGAGGACGACGGCGCTGACTCTGCTCCCTGTTGTAGCAACTCTACCAACCGTCAGGTGACTTGCCCAGACCTGCCGGCGTCAGAGCAATGCATCTACAGCGGGATCCCGCGTTCTGAAGCCAGAAGCGAGGAAACTCCGGAAATAAAGACTGGCTGACTGGCTTTTCACCTAGTAACACACCGCATTTCCTTTGCACAGCCATTGTTTACCGCGCTCGACGGGGTCACTCAAGATAGCGTAGTAAAAGGCACTCGACGCATGCTGCAACACTACGTATAGATAGAGCTCTCTATTTAGACAACTATAAATACCTTACTGTCAAATTAATGTTTATCCCAGCATCCTTAAAGACTAGTCCGAAGAAAGTCCGCTCTAGCTTACGCGCACATACCGAAGCTTGCAGTTATGGAAGCCTCATCGGACACATCCCCTCCTCTGAATCTTAGCGCGAACTATACCGCAGCTCTTCTACATATTGATGGGAGCATGCACACTGGTTCTACCATATGGTGCCCCATTCAGCTTCCTGGCGGTAGTGTTAAAGCCTTAGTGGAGAGGACGCGAAGAGAAGTTAGCTTATGAGTTGGCTTCAGGGAAAGAGAGGATGAACTATACGTGTGAGGGACACCCCTGCTTCAGGGTTTCTGTAGCGAAGCCAAGGTGCCGCTACAGATTGAAGTGATTGCCAAATAGCCATCCTCAAAGAGCTTGGTACGGGCTTGGGTTATGGACGCGAACCATGGGACGGATACCCGAGAAACATGCATTTGAATTTGGGCCAAAATACTTCACAAGGATTAGATTTCTTTCGCCCCAAAAACCCCACTTCCGGTCTATTCCGGACCTCTTCTGAAGTCAAAATGGTCTGATGTGAGCACCGGACCCTATTACTCCGTGATCTAATGGTGCGGATGGGCTACGTAACCTGCCTCGCCTGTACAGCCCTAGGTCAGGCACCTAAAGATCTTTCGAAGATTTTGATCCAGAAACATAGTAATAAGAGATGCTGATCAATCTTAATGAAAACCTACTACGGCCAAAGTGCTGAACGCAGCACATCCTGACCACTAGTTACGGTTCAAGGACGCCAAATAAGGATGTGGCAATAGAGACGGCGTGATTGTGAGCTGAGACGATAACTGTTGCTTTTCTTGGAACAATGACATAAATGAAGAAATGCAGTAGTGGTCATTTGACAATGTCTTCAGAGAACCCTTTTCCGCAGAGTGAGTGAGTGATTTCAGGGACTAAAGGAGGCAAGCGGTCGTGGAGTGATGATTCTCATTGCTGCGTGGCTAGCTGATCGACTGTCAACCATCCAGATTCTAAGTATCACAATTCTGTCTTGCTGTATAACAACCCTAGACCAGAATTGCTCTATCTGAGGACTTGACTTTGGTTGTCTGTTATTGAAAACGTCCCCGTAAAGAACAGACATCGTCACGCCCAGGGTTCGCTTTCCACGAACATACTTCGCCCCAGTCGCCCGGAATATTAAATACTGAAATCATGGATTAATGGGCAAAATACCCTTGAGAGTAACTAAGCATCACGCTGGATAATGTCTTCCTGTTTCCCAACTCCGAACAATGGTCCTCCCTCTTTCGTGTATTGCGCGACACCATACTGGATTCGAAAGTCCTTCATCTTCTTCGAGAGCTCCAACCCTTCCAAACGCCCCGTATGCGATGGAAGGTCAATGTGTCTTGAGTCCCTGTACACAGTTGAAACATATCCCAGGATCTCAGGTCCTCGCGCTAAGTGCTTCAGAACGACTCCTAATACGCCACAGATGAGTAAGACGATAGCTGAAAATACGCAGATCGTTGCCCAGGTATTCGATATGTGAAACACGAGCAAAAGCTGACTTGTCTCCCCTGGGACTGTCTGGTTGTACGAAGAGATAACGCCGTCCGGCCCGCTCCTTGTGATGTGCAGAGAGAGCTGACTTAGGGTGAGATATGTGTTGAGCAACTGGGCCAGACGAACCTCCAGATCCTGAGCTGTGAGATTGTTCAAGAATTGATCTTCTCTGGAAAGCATTCCAGCAAGAGAGGGATCCTGAAGATAATAAAGCGAGTAATCGTTTTGCATCGCCACGGCATTGTCGACCACGCGGGGGAGATAATTGGATAGCGAGTTGAAGACCTTTGGGAATGAAAGTTGGGAAATTTCTTCTGGCGCATGATGCTTTTGGGAACGTCGCTGAGCTACGACTCTGCAGCTTGCTTTGGTGTCTTGCAGGGCTCGGTCGCAGGTCACCCTCGACTCGACGTACCTTTGGGTGACGTCGCAATATGACTGAATGGGGGTATACGTGACGGACGCCTTGCTGTAGCCCGATCTCGGCTCTGCTTGAAAGAGAAGAGTCGTTCTGCCGGCTTCAATCCCGGTCTCATTTGTAAAAAGGCAAGGTCGTTCGCGATAACCCGCATGATTGTCCGTCAAGTTGACCAGGGCGGTGTTGTTCATAAGCAACCAGCGAGCGTCAACGAATCTGTTGATCGCCAAGACCCACGTTGTTTCCCCATCGTCTTTGCTGCTGGTGTTGTATCCGTGCCAAGTGCCATTGGGCATTTGAAAAACCACACGCTTTGGGTCGTCGCCACCAATGTTTATTGTGGCTGCTTGCTGCATCATCGAAGGATCCACTGACTCTTCGTAACCCGCGGGGTTCTTGCCAACGGCAGGCCCAACGCTAACGTTGCTGCATTGAAGTCGAAGATAGCTCGACTCCAGATTGAATGTGGTGTTGCCGTCGTGAAAGTTGTCCACGGGAATGCCAGCTAACGACGAGTATACGACGTTACTGCCGGAGATGTTTTCCCATGACGAGTCCGGGTGGCTCAAGAATGGTATCTTAACGTTGCCCCAGAGGTCTACCGTATCTTCTTTGATCGCTACAGGCGTCGTCAAAAGACTCATGTATAGCGACGCCAAAGTCTTCGTGAATGACGAAAACGAATAACTCATCACGCTGAAACGGCCAGTTCGTTCAACCAGGTCGCTTATCGCGTCGGTGTCAAAATATGTGACGCTGGTATCAGTGAGGTCGGGCTCGAAATTTGTCGATTCCATTCGGAGAATAGCTTGCGTGCCAAGAGGAGAAAACGTCCAAATCAGCAGTAGCAGCAGAGTCAGAGCATTTAACGAGCGAAAGCCGATCATCGTAGAGACTGTTGCGCCAACCGTGCGACTACCCATCAGCTGTTCGAGCACGCCTGTCGAGGACCCCCTCTCCAGCTTCCATCGTGACGCCTCAGACAGCAGACGACCAACGATCGCGGCAAACAAGATGGGGAATACGGTGGCAAGCTGGTCAGCATATGTTTTAGCAAAAGTCACGTATGTTTACTGGAAAACCAGACATTACTTACGATGTTGATGGCATTGCGCCACATTTCCTCAGACCCAACAGTCGCCGGCGTTCCATCTAAACGCCATAAAACTATGACTACCCCAAGGAAACCAAGCGGGAGAAGGATAGAGGCAAAGTCTGTCAGGATCGTGAAGATGGTCGCCTTCTGCTTCGGATACTCGGATGGAGTACCAACGTCTTCGTCGTGAGCAACACGCACATATGCTGTATCGTCAACGTGTCTGTCTGGGTGGTTGGCACCCTGGGGCTTGTTGATTTGAATCCTTTGGGGTTCTGCGGAGTCCCCGAAGTCAGTTTCGGCGGTATCGTGCGTGTCCATGACCAACTTTGAGGAGGTTGGAATGTTATTGCCCACGTTCTACATCGGTATCGTTCATAAATTCGATACCTTCATCCAGGATGGATTTATCAGGAGGTCTCGCCATCTTAAGTCGCAAGGTGTTTGAATGGAGTGTAAGGGTTATATTACTCAGATGGTTGGTATGATTATGCGCCGGTGTAGTCGGGCAATGAGCCGGTTCCAGCAAGTGGTCGGTTCAATGTTGCCAAGTCCAGCCTGCTTGAGGTTGCAGCAGTCGAGCCAATTCTGCTGCCACAAAGCGATGTTCATTGGTACATATTTTGGCGCTGAGAACATCCCTGCTAGTAATTACCCTTGAGTTATGTAAATACGAGGAGCGCAATATCATGATACAGAATCAGGCTGGATGCCAATGCACTATAATGAAGAGGCCTCGTATGAGCTTTCCTGTGATGGTGGTTGAACATAATAAGTCTAATTCTGCGGTTGCACTAAAGAACTTCGTGTCTACAATAAACGTTTGAGCCCTTCTCATATCAACAACCCGAATGAAGCGGTTCGCGCACTGCAACAAGACGCTGTGCGCATGAGTCCGTGTTAACCACAAGTAGATTTTGCGTAATAACAACAAAAGCCCCCGGCCCCTGCGCCAGAATCAGGCTGGAAGGCAGAAGGATTCCAGACCCTGATTAAAGGTCTATTCATAGTGACGAGACCCCTGCCTATGTCAGCCCAGTCTTTGGTCCGCTTAAGATTTCACATTATGATGACTGCTTGTGCGATAAAGCCAACCATTTCGTCCACAGCTGCCTGATGTGAAATAAACAGCTGGTCTACGCTGTTGTTGTTAGATAACAAGAGACATGGCGGTGGTAGTCCATCTTCATTGCCAATTGCTGAGATTGTCTGGATAAACAAAATGTTGCTAGTGAGGTGAAGTTTGGCCGAATAGCAGAATTTCCAACCGAACCAGCAAGACCTCTGTTCATTCTAAGTTGCTGCTGACCATATCCCCGACCATCATTCATGCGGCTGCTTCACCTATCAAATCACAATGTCCTCAATACCCGACAAACATTTGCTGCGAAGCTTGGACATGAATCTAAACCCAATCTCCCCAGTCTTGACCTCGTCACAAACCAGTCTGGGCAGTTGCGAGAGACTCGGAGTCGGCAATAAGCCCCGCGTGAGTCCTCTCGGCGGCGTCAAGTGCCTCCGCCTTGCTTCGCACCACGGCGCTGCATTTTTCCAGCTCTTCCTGAACAGATCTCTGCATGTCCCTTGCCTCAGTTACCTCCATCTCAATGGCCGCGATCTTGCTCTCGACACATCTGAACAAGAGATCAAAGGCTCCACCAACAGTGTTTTGCGCGCTTGACGCATCGTCGCCGGTCGATCCTCGAGATACCGCGTACGTGTCGATCTGACCTGGACTCTGGGCCAGCAAGTCGGCATGCCTGCCCTGAATCTCAAGCAGATCGTTCCGGAGATCTTGGTTCCGCTCGAGCTTCGCGAGCAGTTGAGCCTCGCCGGGAAGACTGGCGAGAGCTTCTGCAGCCTTCCTCTGCTGCCCCACGGAAAGATCGAGCTCGAAGCGTCGCATGCTGACGTTGCTGACGGCGATGTTGGTCTCGAGGCAAACCCGCTTTCTCTCACTCTCGAGCTCGCTCTCCAGGTCCTCCAACAACGCGTCTCTCTTTCGCTTCAGACGCTCAAGAATTCCGCCTGCCGCTCTCAGTGAGTATTTGACGGAAACAGGGAACGCGGTGTCGGCGGTGACTCGGTTCGGGACGAAGACGGGCGTTCCTGACATGGAAGTTGGCGTGAGAGGAACTTCAAGCTTGCTGGCCAGAGAAGGCGCTACGGCAGGACGAGGCGTGTGCTCACGAGGAGCCTAGTTCGCAAACGGTAAGCAGGAGTCATTGGACGTCAAACTGTAAGAAAGAATGGCATGTAGAAGATGCTTACCTTAGGCGATGGAGTTCGTGGAGCATTTCCCGTTGAGGCAGACTCCTTCGAAGATACGTTATCATTGCCACGCTTTGGCGCAGGCTTCATGAAGGCCTCCTTGGCCTGTTTGAGGGTCGCTGGGAGCGGAGAAGACGTTCGGGGCCGGCCGGTTCCGGAACGACCTGCGCGTCGAGTTTCCTGGACCATAAACGTGTTAGAAATGGGTAGATTCATGATTATCGCAGATTCTCAGCTGAGGTGAAATATACAAGACAATCGGGAGCAATTTAGATCACGCACCTGGGTTTCAATGAGGTTCTGCACATCCACCGCGGCGAGGAATGCGTGGTGCGAGACGCCATTTACCGGGTCGTTTCCAAGCCGCCGTTTGATCTCGGCCTTGAGAAGACGGCGCGCATCCTTGTGGTCGGTTTTCTGGCGGCACAAGATGGCGAGATTCTTGAGCAAGCTCAGGCTCCAAGTCGTAGGCGACAACTGGGGTCCGACAACGTCCTCAAGAGTCAACAACTCCCAAGCGTCCAGGATCTGCTGAGTGTACTGCGCCTTCTCATATTCGATGGAAGATGAAGACTGCATTGCAGCGGCGATGGAGTTTCCGATCGAAAAGAGCCAAGAAAACGGCACTGGCAGGTCAGCCATGTGGCGATTTGGGAACTGTGATTCTTCGAAAGATGAATGATGATGAAGGCAGGGAATCCACCGCAGCGAACGAGGGGAGGATCAATTGATGAGGCGACTTATCAGTAAGCATCTCTTTTGGATGTCATTTGAGTCATTACGCGGAAACATGCAGCGTTTGTCCCGATGCCTGCAAGGTTGTTGCAGAATTGATAGCCCTCACCGTTTGATGTTGAGCCCTGGCACCCGGAAACACCATCATGCTCTTCATGTAAGACAAAAATTTCTGCTTCTTGGGTGAAACTTCTCAATCATCTACGCTGATGGCTGCTTTCCAGTTGCTTGGGGCTTAGACGAGGATGTGACCCTTCCGTTGCTGAGACTTGTGCACACTGCTTGCTGTCTTTGTCAAAGAGCGTCCTGAATAATTTCGCCTGCTTTGGAACCAGACCAACAGAGCTTGCAGAAACCAATCATGTTGTATCATGCATGTACGTCAACGACACAAAGGCTATGATACGGAACTTCCTAGGTCATGTTGCAGTCGGCTACGGGAGGAGGCAAGTCGTATGACAACCCGGAAGACCAGGACCTGAGGGAGTGTTCTCACCACAATGGGATAATCCAAGAACTTTCATCAGAGTCTTACACTTTGATGTTCTTGCGCATTGTGTTGCTGGCAGCGGTCTCCGGTGACACCAAGCCTCTCCGTCAGCCGGCGGACGTGGCTCCACCTCTCCGGAACGGCCCCACATCGCTGCGTTCCGTGCGCCGTCCCTACCCCCTTCCCGCACTGCTGAGATTTCCGTTGCATTCCCACCCAATAACGCCCCAGCCGACTTCTCTCTGCAAGACACGCTCTTTTACTTTTCAAAAGTGCGTGCTTAGTAAGGTTTCGACGAATCTCTTTGCTCAAGTATTTCGATGCGACACAATTCGGACGTGCTTCAATTCTTCAACAGCTAATCCTGCACATAATAACGACCAGAACTCTACCAGAAAACTTCGCCTCTGATCCATTCTCCGGCCGTATAGAACTCAATCAGCATCTCTGCAAGCCAAAGTACAAGTTATCCTCTAATCCTCCATAGCTGAGCACGTCCCCACAGTGTCGTGATCCACCAACTGCCACGCCATTCAAATGGTCTCGCTGCAGACACCAATGTCGCAGGCTACGCAGCGCCTGTAGGTGACCTTCTTCTGCGTGGGCGACACCTCGGTAGCCGCATGGGGTGTCGAGGAATGAAGGTTCCTCGGGCCGCTGTACATACGGGGTATCTTGGTAGGGGTCGCGTTTCTGATATCCTTGACGATGGCCTTCTCGGCCGCAGGCGGGTTCTCGGTCTCGGAAGTGTTGCTGGCCTCGCCGAAGCTGTCGATGGTCTCAGTGATACCTGCGGTCTTGGAAGTCTCTGCATTGGCGGTGTTCTCGTTGATCATGGCACCCTCCACGACCACCTGCTCCTAATCGGTGGTCTCGTGGTCAAGCGACTCAATCGTCTCGAAGTCTTGGGCCAAAATGGCGTCGTCGAAGGTCAGAGCGTCATCAACGAGGATGGTCTCTGGAGTCGTAGGCTTTAGGGCGTCACTGCCAAACATGTTAGGACCATGCTCGTACCCAGGTTGAAGCGGTGGGTTTAAGGAAGTACCTCTGCTCCGCAGGAGCAACGTGGGCAACGTCGATCCAGTCTCCATCCGAAATGCCGTTCGTTTCAGTGAGAGACAGGGCGTTCTTCTCGTCGGCAGCTTCAGCGGAGATGCTCCGAGACCCGATCAGACGACCGGAGATGGCGAGGGAAAGCGATGAGCGGAACATGATGTCGACGGCTGATTCTGGACCTGGGCAGGCATGTGATCTGAACGTAGACACGATGATATTCTTTGAGTGCGATACGACTGCTGATGATGATTGTGAAGAAAATTTGGCGAAAGGTGAGGGGATAAAAACGCGGCTGCGGAAAGTTGAAAAATGGAAGGAGCAAGGCAGCAACGCACAAAAAGAGCACCTTCCTCGACCTTCGAGCGCGCCGGTTCTCATGTGGTACGTACCTTTCATCTCAGCTCAGGTTTATTTTGCGAATGTTTTGCTGCAGCATTTTGGCGATCTCGGAGTCTAGAGCTGTTGTGCTTCCCCACGAATATGACGACATCTGCAGCCCAATTTCAACCACACTTCTTAATCTTCCCAACACAGCAACCTCTTCGATGTCAAACAAGAGAATCTGAAAAGTTGCAGTAATGGGGTGAGTTGCAGATCGCCTCGAACTTCCTACCCATTGAGTCTAACATACTTGCCAGGACTCCCAATAACGTCACGAGCGAGAACCCGTTGAAGGGCGGCTGCGCCTGTTCTCATGTCCGTTACACCCTCTCGTCATCCCCGCTCATTGTCCACGCATGCCACTGCACGTACTGCCAACGCGAGACGGGTAGCTCTTTTGCTCTCAATGCTTTGTACGAGCCGGATCGTGTTCATACCACCCTGTCGACCGGCGAGAAGGGGGACCAAGCAGAACGACGACTTCTTCGAAAAGGTGTCCCCACGGCGAATTCAGGTGCCGAGGGCCAGGTCATGGTTAGATGTCCTGAGTGTTTCACTGTAGTCTGGAGTCATTACTCCGGTAATCCAGCCAGACGGATGCTGAAGATTGTCCGAGTTGGGACTATCGATGGGATTGAAGACGACAAGGAGCGGTATGCACCTTCTGGTGGATTGAGGCCACACGCCCATATATTTGCCGGGAGGGATAATCAAAGCAGCAAGAGGCACACATGGTTTGAGATTCCAGAGAAGGACATTGTGTTTAAAGAGTACGGGCCTGTGGAAGACTACTGGCCCAAGGAGAGTCTCGATAGATACAAGGCCTTTTCTGAGGCGGTGTCGTCTCCTACGAGCGGTATCAGCACATGATTAGGGAGATGAAATAGTTCAGTATTGTATTGAATTTCAACATCGAGCACATTGTATCTTTACAAAGACATTGCTCTCCCCGATATCCTGGCACCGGGTCCGATGCAGGAAACAAATCTTTCCTAACAATCAAAAAATAAACTGACATTATTTGATGGACGACGGTCGTTTCTGCGCTTTCCCGTCTTGGCTTATTGCTTCGCCTCCACCCCACCACATACGGCTTTCGTTTGTTGTTTGTCAACCACCTCACATTTTCTCCTTCTTCTGATATTGCAAAATTTTCACCACCCTTCTCTGCGGTTCGCTCGCCCACATCTTCTCCTCTGCAGGGCTGCAGTGACTTGCTCTGACATCCTCTGCTTCGTCTGCTTGTCATCGTCTTCTAATCCCCATCAGTCCCTTCCTCTCGACCGCCCACCATGGCGAAGAAGTTATCTGATCGGAAGAATCGTCACGATGATGATCCTCGACCTTACCAGCCAGCCCAAAATATCGAAGTGCTGCGTGAGATTCACGGCGACCTTGCCCACCGATGGCGCAGACATGCAACCACTATCGAGGCCATTTGGTCGGCGCTGACCAAGAACCAGCGGGCCAGATGCCTCTTGGCTGCCTGGACGGACCTCCCTCTCATGTCGAACCACCAGGATCCTACCGTGCGAAAAAAGACTCAACTCTGGATGCCCGAACGGGATCTTCAATCTCTAGCGGCGAACCCGGCCTGTCTCCTTGATCAGCTGAACCACAGGGCTACCACGTCTCTTCAACATCAGTTGTTCTACGGCTGCAGGGAAATCCACGGAGACCGAAAGGTTGTCCAAATTATGACGGAATCGAACCCCAACTTTGTTGAGGGCTTCACGAAGCTGTATCGAACTGCGCCAAACCGATTCACCTTCTTCCCTGACAACAAAACATACGGCGACACTACTGAAGTCATTGGTTGCGAGACGGTCCTGGCTAGTTGGGCTTCAGAAGATCCGAGTAGCATCTGCACCTCTGAGCCGTTCGGATGGCTCCTCACCACCCGACAAATGCAGCTGTATATGGCCCTCAACTCCATGGTCAGAGAGATTCTCGACCAAAAACCGGATGCCGAACATACCGAACTACGAGCCCCTCCTTCCGCTGACGTCCAGCGAGCAATTAAAGTGCTTACGGGTCGCCACGGAGATGTGATCACGAATCTCATAGATTTGTCCAAATTCTACGATGATGCTATCGAAGTTGCTCGAATTCAGGAAGCGGCCATGGATGCCTTCCTGAAGCTGTACTGGACTCGACCTGGAACACTCAAGCACGACGTCGAGAGATGGTTTTGCAGCCAGCCGGGGATGATCAAAGACGAGAAAGACGACCTGGCGCCCGTCCATACCGACAGGTACTCAAGCGCTTCCGTCTTCAACGTGGTCCAGAACCACGTCAAAGGCTCTACAACCTGGAAATATGTGGCCCACCTTCTTCGTCTACTTCAAGGCATGGAGTCCAACAACGTCTGCCGGCCGATCATTCTTCAAGAACTCGTCAACTGTCTCAAGCTGGAATGGGAGCGTACCCGAGGTGTCTTCAGGCGTTACATTCGTCTTGGCCGTGGAAAGGATTTCGTCACTCGCTTGTCCGATGTATTTGACGACGTCGGAAACCCCCAGGTCGTCATGAAACCCACCATCAAGGACATCGTCGACACCGAGTCGGAACGCTATTTTCTTGTTCACCTGGCCGAAACTTCTCAGGTTCCGGAAGATATTACATTTTTCTATGGGTGCTTGATCAGACTTTGGGAGGGGCACCCCGAGACGAACACCTTCTTGTGCGACGCGCGAGATCATGAGAACAGAGCTTTCTGGGAACTTGTGATGACCAGCAATTTCTGTTGCAAGCTGTCCCAAGTCCTTGACTCACCCCCAACTTCAACCACGGAAGGCACCAAGTTCGTTTCCAAGTGCCACACTCTGGAGGTCGATTTCTTGAATAGTCTTAAGAAGGACAAACACATCGACCTGCGAGACTTCTGTGGACCCATCAGTGTTCTTCTACGATCCGGTATGGCTGAGGGCTGCCTCAAGAGGCTTGATACACTTGTCACTGAACGTATGGGCACTACCATTCGCGGTCTATACGACGATGTGCTCAAAGACGCCATCGCAGACCTTTCCAAGTACTGCCAGGAGTTTGAGGCTGCGGAGGCGACGTCCAGGCAGGACAAATCCCCAGCATCGGCACCTGCTCTGGTCACTGGCCCAAAGGAGAAAGCTAGCAACATCAGCAACACTACAAAGGCATCTATGCCTCGTGAGAAGAATTCCAAGCAGGATTTGAGTGAGACCCCTATGAGATACCCCTCGCCGCCTTCCCCGGCCAGAGCCTTCCCCAGAAAGCAGATCCAGGAGAATGAGAAGACAAAGAAGAAGAAAACCCGACCGATCTCGCTCACCACCTCACACTCCGCTGAGAAGTCTCAAGTTGATGAGACTTCCCCCACGAGCCCGTCTACAGCATCTCCTATGGATTGTCCGATGTTCAGAGTCAAGCCTTGCACAGCCGAGTTCTTCTGGTCTTTGTTTGGCAAAGCACGCGCCCGATCCACCATGAGCTGGAAGTCATTCGAGGCAGCCATGGCAGACCTTGGATTCTCCGTCATGCGCAACAAGGGTGGCTCTTCTGTGGCCTTTGTCCCTCCCGACACAATGCCCGAGCTGCGACCTATCTCCATTCACGCGCCTCACCACTTTCAGATTGAGGGATACAGAAGCTTGATCCTCTCTCGCCGGCTGACGAGAGCTTACGGATGGGATGAGAACACTTTTCAGATTGCTTAGCCGCGGGCCTCTCACGATCATCTGCTCAACAGGTGAAGATTGCAGTTATACTGCCGTTTTTGCGGTCTCAATACGCGTTGTTGCTTTGGTATTCTTCCAGAGCGGCTGTGACGTCTCCATGGGCTGGAAAGTTTGGGCTTGAATTTGGTGGTGGTGGTTTGGAGAAAACTTGGTCAAGGGTTGGAGATACCTTCAGAGCATGGTTCTTTGTTTTGCATTTGGAATTCTGAACACTTCTGGAATGTATTCTAGGTTCCTCATCTAGGAATAGACACAAAATGAAGTGTTCTCTTTTACAGCCTTGGAAGCCATAAGGCAACACTAGTGCATGATCAACTTGATCTCAGCATTCTGGAGTGGTTACCTGAGCCGTACTGGTATTAATTATTGCGCTTTTCCTATCCTTCTGCGCAAATGAGCTGTGAAAATGAACATGAATAGACGACCTGGTCTGTCTAGTGACCAGAAGCCACCCTCGATGCACCTTCAGCTTCTCGCGCAGAACCATACTTGAAATGCCAAAGATTCTCGATAATTTGCCGCATGGGATTATCTTTACTTATATGCGGATACTCCCCACGTAGCAGTACGTGCCGAAGTTCCATTCCGTCGATCGAGGCGTCATCCCCGGCGATCAGCACAGGAAACTGCTCAGCAAAAAATGAAAATTAGTAACTATTAACGGGTGACCAACACATGCGGCTTTGTCGTTGCATATTCCACTAACTTCAAATACATTACTACGGTCCGAGCTGGGGAACCTCCCTTCCAACCGCGTCCCGCATCACTTCTTGAACCCAGCTCGGCAGACCTCGGCCGATAGAAGCCCACGACCACGCATCGGGGATGATCAACTGCCCTCCACGACGACTCAGGATCTGACCAACAACACGCCGGGCAACATCCTCCGGTTCCATCATGCGGCCGTAGGACTTCTCCACTTTCTCGGCATGAGCAGCCGTCATGTTGGTCTTCACCCACATCGGATGCACAACCGTAGTCAGGATCCCGTGCGACTTGTAGATATGTTTGATCTCACACGAGAGACCTTCGCTGAACGCCAGTGCGCCTGCCTTGGTAGCGGAATAGTCAACCGCGCTGGGCAAGGCCGCATACGAAGCCATGCTGGCAATCGTAACGACGTGACCTTTGTTCCGCATGATCATGTTTGGGAGAAACTCCTTGGCGGTTGACCAGAGCGAGAGGAGGTTCACCCCGAAGATCCTCTGCAATGACTCCGTGTCCGTGTCGATGATGGAGTGCGTATAGGCGACGCCGGCGTTGTTGACGACGATCGAGGGATGTCCCAGGACAGTTCTTATCTCGTCGGCGACCTCACCGATCGCTGCAGCAGAAGTGATGTCGCACTTCCAGTACTTGACCTTCGGATTCGCCTGGAGGTCGGGCGGGATGGGCTGGACATCGAGTATGGCGACGTTGATGCCCTTTCGCACAAGCCCAAGCACGATCGCCTTGCCGATGCCGTTGCAGCCGCCCGTCACCACCGCGATCTCCTTCTCCCACTGCCAGCCAGAGTGTCCGCTCAGCTTCCAGTTATTCAGAGCCCAGCGATTTGCCGTTCTGTTGAGATATCTCGCGATCCCGGCGACGAGCAGGATTTGCAGCGGAAGTCGGTAGTTCGCGACAATCCTTGAGCCAAGGAATCGGTGGAGTCTCTCGAGACTCTGGGCGCGACGCAGGAGTTCTGGAGGTGCGTAAGCTGCGAAAGCTAGGAGAGACGCGGGAATCGCGGGGTTAAGAGCTATTGAAGTGAGTCCGGTGACTGCTTTGAACGAAGTGCTAATTATGTCCGTCATGTTTGCTGCTCAGAAGTGGTGTAAATAACTTAGGTATGGGATTAGCAACTAAGGAAACCGATCGCGAACTGCTGAGGTTTTATGGACTGGAACGAAACGTCAAGCTGAGCGTCGCACGGTGATTTGATTTGTTTGGTACGGAAAAGTCTCCGTCCTAAGGGATATGGGACGAATGCTCACAAGCTTCTTATTCTAGTTGAACCTTTTGTTCACGATCAGACGACGATGTCATTTCCTGATCGAAAGCTGGCTCCGGCAACTTCTTGCTATGTTAGGCAAGTTTGCTACCTCGGATCCGATGAAATCGTCTCTGGCATGCCGGCTCATCACAAGGCAGAAACGAATACGATTTCGCGTCTTTCATTCACAGCCGTCCATCGCCAGGGTAGCCCTCGGACTCTCAAGTCCCCGATAACCCTGGATCCTTGGACTTGAGTGTCACGGTTCCAATCGTAAGTTGTCAACTGTTTGCCTCCATTCACACTAAAACCATTAATAAGTTACCTAAGCGCATGTACTATGAGACTTGACCTGTTCAAGGTAGTTAAACGCCTTCGTCAACGATAGGTTGAAAATACGGATGGCGTTGAAGCCTATAACAGCTGTGATCCCCGGTACGGATGATCGACGAGTCTAAGACGAAACGGGAAATATGTCTCCGGCTCCTCCACTTCCCCCACATCGGTGTTGGCGCGCGGGGTGCGCCGGGAGGACGCGGGGAACTAGACCCCGATAGGATACGTGCTCTCCAACCTCGCACGAACCCAGATACTCCATCATCCTGGCATCTTAGCCGAACATGTGGTCAAACGAAGCCCACGATGTAGCACTTGGCCTGGAACGCAACAGCGCTATCGTGCCGGGCTTGTAGAAGTCTCCGTGTTTCCGAGCTAATCCGTCACTAATCTCTTCACAGTCGGTTGCTACTCGGTTCCGGCAGAATAATACGGCATGAGGCAATTGTACTTGATTGTACCGAATTATTTGTTGAGAGGACTGCCTTAAACTTAGGGTACAACTGGCATTTGCAAGCCAACGTCGACCAGGTCAAACCACAAGCCTTGGAACCCCCCTTTTCTAGCTACCCAAGCAAGATCGACAAATTTCTCAAGCTCCGTCAAATGTTGAGGATGAGCAGCAAACAAAGCCAGGCCACTTATTATCTCACGAGCTCTCTCTCTCGTCTCGAGCATGGCCACCAAAAGTGGCAGACCAACAGGAAGACCTCTGATTTCTTCCGGCGCCAGCGACACAAATCCCGTCAAATCGGCGCAAATCATGTTTGCGTGCCATCGTGCTGCCTCGTCTTCTACGCCGAGCGGGTAGCGTAGTCTGTGTATTAGAAGCAGAGCCGTGATGCGATACACGCGGGCTTGAGTGAGCATAGCGGCGACCTCGATCCCCGTAAAGTCGTCGAACATTGTTGACGGGGCGGATGGCTCCCAAGTTCGGATTTTCTTCTCTATACAACTCAAATCGTCATCTTCTTCCCCCGTTGCCCTTCTTGCGGTATCTCGGCACGCCTTTGAGGGACATCGCTTCATCCTCTCGCTGACTTCGCATAGTTCTTGCAACAAGCCAAGGAGCGACCAGCAGAGGCCCACGGACCTGTCCACGATGAACCGGTCGGTTTGCGGTAGTCGAATGACCGGGTTTTCCCGTCGCACGAGGGACTCGGCGGTATCGAAGAGAATCGGCGTGATGGAGATAGGGTCGAATATGGGTTGCGCTAAAAGGTCGCCGTACGAACGCGCTGCCGATAGGATTGCGTGTCGGTTGATTGTCCAGGCTGAAGTACACGTTGTGAAGAGATGGTACACAATGAGTACTTGACCCAGCATCAAAATCGCGGCATTATCGATGAGATTCGAGGTGCCGCTGACTTGGCCCAGACTCATCAGACAGTCCCTGCCCTCGGACAAGTCTATTTCTTCGAGCGGTCTGACCCGGTGGCCCTCGTTGTCCCACACGGCCAGCACGGCTCGGTAGGCTTTCAAGAGGCTGCCGGAAGAGCAGGAGAGGATTGCTTGGAGTGACAATCTGAACTGGTCTGAGAAGCTGGGGCCTATCATGAAGTTCCGATGGAAAGCGTAGAATATTTGACGATCGGTTAGTGCTTTGACCAATTCTTGATTCTTTTTAGACGCAAGCGACAGCGGTGAGATGGCCAATATGGCGGGAGGAATAGTTGCAAGCCCACTGATGCCCGCCGACCTCTCAACCTTCTCCAGACTGCTTGATGCGTCCTTCTTTGACGGAGAATTGTGTTGCGTGCCATCTTCCGGGGCAATATCGAGGCGGAGAATGATAGCGCTGTGCCCATACGGAAGCTTCTTGACGACAGGCGGTCGACCCATGCGGCGCTCTCGTCTGGTGAAGAGACATGGCTGCTCATGAGCAGCGCAGAAGCGGCAGCTCTGCGCACTGGCATCGAAGGAACATTTTTCTTTCTTGCTGTAACAGTAGTCGCAAGCTGTCCGTGGCATATCAACGGTTCTCGGTTGTGGAGATACTTGTGGTTATCGGATCAGTCATCTTTTTGAACTGCACGTTGGAAGGCGGGGACGTTTAGACCGTGGCGATGATTTCAGGATTTCAAGGGCGACCGACAAGCGAATGCGACTCATGCGACGTGCAACAAACGGATTGTAACCTACGTACATAATTACATGTAACCCCCGCTTGAGGTGGGTTGGCCGAGGCACATCGGCTCTCTTAGTGCTGCAAGATGACGCTTTGACAGATCTCCCACCGGATGAAAAGCCGGGCGACCCATAGCTGTTCGCAAACAAGTAGGCAATTCTACGTTGCTGATGGCAAACTGACGGGTCTATTTGTTTTTTCGGAAACGGTATTCATCGATCGTTAACGTGTCTTCGGTCTGAGCTCCGATCGTCCGGTGGCTCCGTTCAGTGTACGGCATCCGCGGCTTTCCTCAATACTGTATGTGATTCAACTGATACTTGCGTGGCCCGAATCCGAAGAAAAGACGGAAGGCCGATATACGTATTTCCCGGAGCGGGAACGGTGACCCATCATCGCCAGAGTTGTCTTACTAGACGAAAAGAGCACATATGCGCGGGTCCCGATACATCGCGGACCGCAATACTCCCGCGAGTCCGCTATGCAGTCCACATGATCGCCCGGGATGGTACACTGCGGGATCGCGTAGACGAGGAGAAAGTACCGGTGTTTTCTTATTCTCCTTTAACCTGAAGCACAGAGAGACCCCAATGCCCAGCCAGCCGAGCCCCGCCCTCGGCCTGGCGGTTTCCCGGAGACTATTGTCCCAATGAGGAAGTCGTCCCATCTTGTGTTCACGGAGAAGATGATGAAACCCGAGGCACCGCGATACAACGCACAATACCACATTTCTTCTGCACGTGGTTTGTTTCCTTCTGAGATGTCTCTTCATCAGCCGAGTATTGCCGTGAAAAACGCAGCTGTCATATATAACCGACCTGAAAGAACCGACTCAACCAGCTCTGTTGATAACAAACAGCATCATCTGAACGATTAAGTATCACAACATGGACTTCCCTGCGAATTCAACCCACTCCGATGGCGGAGATATCTTTGACGTCATCATCATTGGAGCTGGAATATCTGGCATCAACACAGCATACTATCTCCAAGCTCATGGTCCCTCAGGAGCTTCTTACACCATTCTAGAAAGCCGTGGGCAGATTGGTGGAACATGGGACCTTTTCCGGTACCCTGGTATTCGATCAGACTCGGACATCTTCACTTTTGGATTCTCTTGGAACCCATGGAAGGGTCTTGAGCCTCTGGCTAGCGGGCCAGCCATCAAGTCTTACCTCCAGGAGTCGATTTCCATGCACGGTATCGATAAGCACATCAACTTCCATCACCAAGTCTCTTCTGCGGACTGGTCATCGGCAGAATCTCTATGGAAAATTCAAGCAACTGTGGGAGGAGAAAAGGTCAAGACTTTCAGGGCTCGCTTCATTGTCTTGGGAACCGGGTACTACGATTATGATCAGCCTCTCGCCGCAGAAATCCCGGGAATTCGCAACTTCTCGGGTCAGGTGGTTCACCCTCAATTTTGGCCTGAAGATCTGGACTACCGCAATAAAAACGTGGTCATCATCGGAAGCGGTGCAACGGCAGTGACGCTGCTGCCCAACATAGCAACGGACGCCAGCCGGACGACCATGCTTCAAAGAAGTCCGACTTATATCACCGGATTGCCCACACAAAAGACTTTTATCAGCAGGTTGATGCTATCTGTGCTTCCACGAAGCATTTCGAGCCGTATCTTCCGGGTTCAGTTCATGTTGCTCGGATACCTTCTTTACTATTACTGCCAGATGTTCCCAAAGTCAGCCCGCCGAGCTTTGCTGGGACGTGCCGCCAAGGAGTTGCCCCCGGGCATGCCTATCGACCCGAACTTCAGTCCACGATACAACCCATGGGACCAGCGTCTTTGCGTGTGCCCCGATGCCGATTTCTTTGCGGCCTTGCGAGCTGGGAAGGCTGACGTCGTCACGGACGTCATTGAGACGGTGACCGACAAGGAGATCAAGCTGAAATCAGGAAAGACTCTCCGGCCAGACATCATCGTCACGGCAACAGGCCTCAAGATTCGATTTGCCGGAGGAATATCGTTGTCCGTCGACGGCAACCCCGTGGACCCGAACCAGAAATATGGATTCAAGGGCTGCATGCTGCAGGATATTCCCAACCTGGCCTACATCTTTGGCTACGCCAACGCTTCGTGGACCTTGGGCGCTGAAGCGACCAGTTCATATCTGGTGCGTCTCTGGCGGGCCATGAGGGCTAACGGCATTCGTTCCGTCACGCCGTACCTCGAAAATCCTGGATCTATGAAGCCGAAGCCAGTGATGGGTCTCACTTCGACCTATGTGAAGAATGCGACGAAGGTGTTCCCCAAAGCTGGAGATGGGCTTTGGGCGGCGAGGAGATTCTATATGGTAGACTTGTGGCGAGCTATGTTTGGAAACCTCTTTGTGGGAATGAAAGTCGCGTAGACATTTTTGTAAGACTGGAAACGGTTGGAAGTCTGTGATGGTGTTCGTATTCTCGAGATTTTGCCCCATTTGACATGATTCATGGATATGACTATTTTTCAATTACGGTTCTTCAATTCTAGTTTTGGGGCTTTGTGAACAAGAGCTCCGGCAATCTATCTGGCATCGAGGTTATCGCTAAGTTGACATCACATTTCTGTTCGTATAGCCGTGAATAGTCCACCTGAGCAAAGCATTCGCGGCACAATCCTGGAGTGAACAAGCTTATGTCAGTACAGTGCGGAGTGTTCGACTCAGTCGGACTCAAGTCGCTAAGGCTTTGGTCCTGCGAGCACTTGCGGGACAAAGAGCGCTTGGCTGATTGGCAAGAATCGCTTGAGTTCTGTATTACCTGAACATTACCGGTGTGGGGGACGGGTCATCTAGTCATGCTAGCGATATGTGACAGTATTAGTCTGGTGAGATCGGTTGAACAGCAGTACCGACTTCTAGTCTGTTGCAGCACAATTCAGGTTGTTGAAGCGAGACAAAAGCATTTGAGAATTACCCCATTTCCAGAACAGCCACAGAAGAACACAAACTTCCCTTCGCCTTCATGTCATGTTGTCTGGGTCTGGCCACGATAACTCGCGTATCACAGAGCCCATCAAGCCAGTTGACAAAAGAAAGGGTGACCCCGCCCAACGTGGTGGTGTTTTGTTGGTTGTTGTTTGACAGCTGCAGGAAGACCGTGGCCAGCACGCTCTCTGATTGGTATTATGGCCTGCATCTTCAGCGGATAAAGGTGGTCTGAGGGACTTTGGATGTTAAGATTCATGCGTGATTGCGTATCACGGTTGATTCTCATGCGATTGAGATGGAGTCGCATACTTGGCGATCTTTTATTAGAAAGCCTGATGCCGGCAGCCCCTGTTTGCATCTTCACATTCTCGTCTCCCGCATGAGGTGTTGCGTATTTCCCCTCAAGTGACCTCTCTGCTCGACGGCTGAAATAGCTTCAAGCAAGACGCCTACACCGCCAGGTACTCTACATAAGTATGACCACCGGCTAATCCCAAATGATTTGATACTAACGTAAGAGTCGATTCACAGAGAACAACCAACTTGCAAATTTCAAGATTTTGCTGCGTCCTTGGCTGTGGCTCAGAAACACTCGTGATGGCTATTGACTACGAAGTGAAAGGCAAGATCGCTTTAGTCACAGGAGCTGGATCTGGTAAGCAGGATCAACTTTTCTTCTTATAGTGATTTCGTCAAAAATATGTCGCTTGTCTTGTAACAGAAAGCTGACAGTCGCTTTTGCGCTCTGTCTCCAGGCATTGGGCTCGCCATAGCTAAACGTCTGCTTAGCAATGGCTGCTCGGTCATGATAGCCGACTTGACTCTGCGCCCTGAGGCTGAAGCAGTCATTTCCGAATTTGCTCATCCATCGGGAGAGATAGAGAAGCCTTCTGCGGCTTTCCATAAGACGGACGTTACCAATTGGTCCGATCTCAGCCTACTGTGGCAGGAAACGCTGAACACATTCGGCCGTGTGGATGTCGTCATCAACAACGCAGGCATCTTCGAACCACCATCGTCCTCCTTCTGGAATCCTCCAGGCATCTCCCAAGAGTCCAAAGACCCAGTTGGTGCCGCAATAGGATCATACCATGTCTTCAACGTCAACACTATTGGGCCTATCCGTCTAGCACAAATTGCAGTGGATTACTGGCTCCAAAACAGAGAGGTCAAAGGCAATTTACTTTGGGTTTCAAGCATGGGAGGCTACGTCCACTCAATCCAGACGCCTTTCTACTTCGCGAGCAAGGCTGCCATACTAAGTGTCGTTAAGTCGCTTCAGGGCTTGAAGAAGCTTGTCGGTATCAGAAACTCAGTCATCTGCCCTGGCCCAACAAGGGTATGAATCCTCCTTGAATATTGGCTTTAAGCAATATGCTCTTCTTCTGCTGCATGAACGTAAACATAACTAACCATTGGCTTTAGACCCCGTTGTTTGAACAAGACTTTTGTAAAGATCGACTTCCACCAGGAGACCTTGCCTTGTCGCCTGAAGATTTGGCGGACGCGATGATGAAGCTGCTCACGGAAGACCGCTATGGCGATGGAAGCATCCTGGAGATTATGCTGGTTGGAAGCAAGGAAAAGCCCGATATTCACCAGAAGGAAGTTCAGTTGGAAGCTCTTTATCCAACAGTTAGCCCCATGGGCGCTGGCACAAAAGCGATGGAGGAGGAGTTGAACTTCATGCAAATGATTGCGGAGAAAGGAATGAGATCCACGTGTTAGTCGTGGCCATTTCGATTGTGGCGGCGAAAGCGTTTGCTCTCTTTTGCATTTTCGATCCAGCCGTAAAGATATGAGAACCGATATCTGAGACTTCGGAGACGTTTTCGATTATCCATCAGTTTAATCAGGATCCGCTTTGAACATCCCTCGCGTTGAGTTCGAGGTAACCACATTACATCTCAACATGCTGGCAGACCTTGCCAGTTGATTCGAATACTGCTTTTGAATCCTGATTCTCAAATTTTATTTCTGTTGGCTCCAGTGCATAAATGAGTGCGTCGAGCCTTTACCTAGACTTCTCCGAATCGTAGTACTCCGGGTATGTATCCCTGTACCCGAGAACCCAGCGCCCCCAGTACGCAACTACGACGAGCAGAACACGGCTCGCCAAACGGCCTAGAAACGGGATAGGAATCGGAACAGCCAACGGCGTGTCAGCGCTGTGCAAAAACACGAATAGCTGAAAGATGCTCGGCTCAGTTCCAGCTCGCTTGCAGTCGTCCAAGTATCCAAAGAAGTTTCGGAAGAACCGTTGCTCGTTCTCATACGACTCCGGGGTGAGGTGGATGTCCACCACCAGATCTTCCGTCTCCGTTGCGTTCTCAAATCGGTGATAGGTTCCAGCTTTGACGGAGGCGGTTGCTTGTCCGTTCGGCTCGTCTGAGAGGGTGGCGAAAGGCTTGGGGTCTGTGTCGCGGAAGAAGTTTCCCTTGCCCGACTTCACTCGGAAGAACTCGTCTTGGTAGATGTGGTAGTGGAAAGGTGGCTGGATGATGGACACCCCGTTTTCCTTGCTTGTCGGCGGGATGCGATGTGTCATGATGTACTCTGACCCGGGCGCCGAGAATGTGACGGACGATCGCCCTTGCTCGTAAGGAATCGGGTTGTTTGCCGCATTATTCGTTCGCACTGGATGTGCTGCTCTGAGAAAGGATAGCATGCTGATGGCGATGATCGAAGATACAGAAGCTTTGATGCGAAGAAAAGAATTTAAGGGTAAGAATTCGAGATTGCGACAACGAACCAGAGGTTGATGTTATTCTTGGAATGTCCTCTGACTCTCGAACGTGATTGGGTGTACCTCAGGAAACTTTATTAATATTGCGGGGAAACATCGGAACGGAAATGCGGAATGACGGAATGACGATCTTTCATGTAGTATTCCCGTCTTACTCTAAACGCAATACCAAATATTAATGCAACAGTTGATTCTTGGAAAATTGACTTTGGTATTAAGACTTCAATAAAGTTCTACAATAAACGCCAGTGGTTGCGTGCGGTCGTCAAAATCGCATGACAAAAGAAAGGTTTGGGATTGACAAGTGTGTGAGCGAGCGACTCATGGGCACAGCGTGCGCTCAAGCTTAGATTGAATTCCAGGGGTTGGGATATCCGGGATCCGTGATGTTAACGTTGATGACGGGGCTCAGCCAGCTGTCATAGCTGCTGGAGTTGTTGATGTCTCCTCCCCATCTCAATGCGCGGACAAGAACACGGTAATCGGCGTTGGGGAGTTGATACAATGTTCCGTTAGCCAACTCAACCTCCGCCCAACTCCATTCTGTGGCGTAGACGCTGTAGCCACGGTACAAAATAGAGGTGGTGTACTTGGGCTTGTCGCCGCCGTACATGGAACCAATGAGACCGTAGCTCTTGACTCCGGCAAAGTCATCGAGGGAGTCAAGATCCAAGGGAGGGCGGGTTGTAGTGGAGTTGGAGAAACCAGTTGAGTTGGAAGTGGCCCCGGGGACGTAGCCAAGAGATAAGGGTGTGAAGCCGTAGGCAGGGTTGGAAGCGAGATCGACGGGTACCGCATCCAAGCGAACATACGCCGAAGGCTGGTCAATGAAAAGCGTGATGACGGGGTTGTTGTCCAGAGGACGAGTCTGGCCCTCAGGAACATCCTTTGCAGGAAAGTTGTAGACCATTCTGTCGTTGTTGCGGACGCCGGTATCGCCTGCGGTGACGAAAGGCAGTGTGGGGACGCCGGCGGGAGGCTTCGGGTCAAGGACAAGATTCTTGACGTCGCCCGTGTAGATGTTGGAGAGGTCACCGCGGGTGTACGGAATGCCGAGATACGGAAGGACGAACTCATTGACGCCCTCGGTCACGGTGATGAAGCCGCTGTAAACAGGCACCAGGCTTGGGTCGATGTTGGGAGGCGTGACAGTGAACTCCACGGTCACCTTGCCACCGGCCGGGACGGTGATTGAGTCTGTGGAGAAGGCAAGTTCGGCGTAGATGGCGTTGAAGTTGAGACTCCAGTAGAACATGTCGTTCACATCAAGGGTCTTGACGTTAGGGAGAGCATCAACTTCAGCGGCGCCCTTGTGTCCAATGGCGTACGTCTTCGACTCTGCGGACTGGTTCTCGATTGTGAAGTTCTGCTTAGCCGGGGTAGCTGTGTCACCAAGGTTGAACTCAGTTGCAGAAAACACTGTTTCGGAAGAGACCGCCTTCAGGATGTTGACCAGGCCAGAACCTTGCTGCGCTGCCGTGGTAAGAATTCCGTTCCCCTCGTACTGCTCAAGAGGAGTAGCGGATGACTGAAGACGTCTTCCGATCTCCTTGGGGCTGAGGTTGGGGAACTTCTGCTTCAGCAGTGCATAGCATCCAGCAATGCTACGGAACGTTAGCAACGATGACAACGCTCAGATTATGGGGAGTTAGGAACTTAGGAACATACTGAGGGGTGGCCATGGAGGTTCCAGAGATGATTGCGTATCCCCAGCCGTTGGAGGTGACCCAAGTGCTGAGAATGGTACCACCAGGTGCTGAGACTTGGGGCTTCAGAGACATTTCCATGGTCGGTCCGAAGGTTGAGAACCAAGATGTGGTGTTTCCAGTAGGCTGCTCAATCTGGTGGACTGCCTGGTCCTTGAAGGTCAACGTGAAGTTCCTGCCCTGCTCGGCAATACCAGCCAAGATCTTGTCCGAGTAAGACTTCTTCAGTCTCACGATATCAACATCTCCGTTGGCCCCTGGAGAGTCGATCTCCATGTCGCTGTTATCAGGCATCCACTCCCAGATGTTCTTGAAACCCGTCGAATTGCTGCGGACGTCCCAGTCAAGAAGACAGCTGCTACCTGAGCCGACCAAGACGATGACATGCTCCTTGTCAGGGAAGGCCGCGACAGCGTCTGTCCATGCCTGATCAACGCAGTTCTGGTTTTCATCATCCGCGTAGAACACGTTGAAGGAAGCCGGATCGTTGATAGGAACAACGCGCGCGTACTCAATGACAGATCCATCCGAGCCAGCAGCGTTGTAGACAGTAGTGAAGACGACGTCACTGACGGAGCCCACAGAGATGACGGCGGGGTCCTGCGCGGGGGCTGAGGAAAGGTAAATACCCTGGTCTCCTTCGTTGCCAGCTGCAATCACAATACCGATACCCTGCGATTGAATCTTGGCAAGGATAGGGATGTAAGGAGAGCCAGACTCCCAGACAGCCGTCTCGCCGATGGACATGCTGATGAGATCAACACCGTCGCTTGCTGCCTTTTCGAAACCCTGCATGAGGATGTCGTCCGTCACACCACCAGTGCAACCGAGGACGCGGTAAGCATACAAGCTGGCATCAGGCGCGACTCCGACAATGCCAAAGCCAACGCCATCTGGGTCCCTTGCGGCAATGATTCCTGTGATGGTTAGTCAGTTTCGCTTTTCTTTAAGGACGAGAGATTCTACATACCGGCAACGTGAGTTCCGTGACCTCCATCAAGACAAGTCGTGAGCGGGTTCTCGTCTGGGACAGGGTCGTTGTATCCGACGAAGTCGTCTCCGACTAGGTCGTAGCCTCCTGCAACCTTGAAGCCCTCGCCGAAACCACCCCCGAGAGCCGGGTGACGCCAGTCAACACCCGTATCCAAGAAACCAACCTTGATGCCCTTGCCAGTCAGTCCCTGAGCATGGACTTTGTCGGCTCCGGTCATCTTCAAGCTGGACAGAACATCGCTGGTTCCGTTGACGGTGGTGACCTTGGCGACATCTCGCAGGTGAATCGGCTGGACGCCAACTGGAACAGAGGCGTTTGGATCTTTCGGGGGCACTCGGCCTGAAACCACAGGAGCAGGGCGTTCGTAGTAACGATTGGGCCAGACTTGCTTGACTTGCGGGAGAGCGAGCAAAGCCGTGATATCCGTGTCGTTCTTGGCGTTGATAGAAAGTCCGTAGAAGTACTCGGCGTTCTTGAACTCGTGACGGACGGTGTAGTCCACAACCTCCTGAGCTCGGCGATGGAAAGCGGAATGAGCATCAACTTCGCCTACAGCGCGGCCGTTGATAGATGCATTGGGTTCAAGCTCGATGATGAAACCGTGGCTAGGAGGTGGCGAGATCTTGGTCGCCGATCCAGGCTTCAGGGCAGCCAGGGTCGGAGTTGCAAGTGCAGCAGCAGCCGCAAGGGCATGAAGTGTGACCTTCATGATGGAGAATTAAAAGAGTGTGGGGGGCGCGAGAGAACGTCCGAAGCGCTCGAGGACGCCATCGTGGGTGCGGAAATCGACTCATGATAAGTAGTGTCCTTCACGATGGTGTTGCAGCATCCGAAAGAGATGGCCGTTGTCGGAAAATCCCTCCGGCACGCAATCAAGACGTGCTGGGCGATAAGAATGGCGATATTAATTAACAATCTGCTCTAATCGTCTCAGAGGACTTTTGTGTCACAGTATCTCGATGTTTATTTGCAGGTAGCCACTCGTCTAGGTAGGATTGGGTAGGTGTTGTAGATTTCCGATCGTCCGGCAATCTCAGCCGTTGAGGCTCGAAAGCTTGATCGAGTCCAGATGGCCGAGTACCAACGAAACATCGAGTCATTTTTATAAGCCCACCAATCGTAGTCTTTCCAGCAGCATCTCGTATTCCGAGAAGGACCGGGGTGGTAATATGCGATGTATCCTCGCGTCTATGTTCGAAATAGGAAGGTAATTTGGTGGAGACGCCTGAAATGAACAAACAGAGGACCCCAATCTTCATCAGCATTGTCACGCCGAACACTTTAATCCTCATGTTGAATTGCCAAATAGATAACAAATGCTCCCCAATGACTGAGCTGTGGTTGAAAGTGATTCCGATTCTTTTCATTTCATTGAGAGATGCTATCGGATGTGGAACTTTCAATGCTATCACCACCGTTGCCGATCAGATCCCGACAACCGCAGAGCGTTTGAGTCAAGTCTTGACCATGAACTCTTGGAGTTGAGGGTTTCTGGCATCAACGGTTGAGAAAGCAAACAAATTACTTGAGGCATCATCACCTATGTCCTCGAAAAGCATGCCACATGAAAACTGGCATGTTAGTTACGTTTGTTTGCGATTCTCGACAAACATGTTCAAGCTTTAATTGTTCGGGTCTGTACATGTTGTGCTGGCCAAGTCTGTCACAAGATGAGCTCCAAGCCTTCTTGGCTTTCAGCGGAATAAACCATAAACTTAGTGAATAAGACCTAAAGCAGACCAGTGAATGTAAGATGACCTTTGGCTGGTCGGTCAGATAAGACTTTTCGAGTCGCATTTAAGGAAGCGTCACACGTGTATACCCTTCCCGGCTTTAAGACTTGGCAAACCTGCACTTAAAACTCAACGGAAATACGATCTCGGCTATTTTGAATTCATTGTGTTTCTTCCGATAGTATTCAATAGCTGGTACGAGGTAGCCATTGTTAGTTCAAGTGTCAGGTCATACGATACGTTTGGAGCAACGTTTTGGGTCTATGCAAGATGCTCTTATCTGATCATCTTTCTCGGCATATTCTATCTAGTACCTTGTTACAGTTGATTTCTTTTCTCCGGTCCAGGGGAACTGAATAGCAGGTTCCATTTTTTGCGTCCAAGCTAACCAGCAAAGCACTTCACGACGCACTACCAGAGATACATATCTATTCAACCGTGGACAATAGCTCAATCGGCGAGTTGGTGACGCAAAACGGCTTGGGGGTCAATTCACTTCAAAGACACTGTGTAGTAAGGGGTAATCTCAAATTTTGGCAGAAACTCCATGTCGTGACAAGGACATGATTGATGAGCAACGAAATGATTGGTTCACAACATAATATACAGTATTTGGCCAATTGTCGGAAACCCATCCCCTGGCCAGAATGTGTGTAATACTTTCTTTTTTGCAATCGATGTGAAACTTGTCTCCTGTGTTAGTCCCTTATGACTCTTGTCCCTGTCGCTCACGACGGTTTTGCTATCGGCATTCGAGTCTCACAACCGCCAGCTTACCAGATTCTGTCTAGTGGGACAAACGACACGTCCTAATACCCAATGACGAAGGATTTAGCGGTACCGGACAACACTAGGAATCGCCGGCATCCCACAAATGGCTGGTTTGCTACGTGTTGGGCCGAGTTGACATTCAAGTGCTTGCATTAGGCTAAGCGTCATCTTAGTCGCCCGGGCGGCGAGATGCCAAGACGACAATGTCTCAATGATCTCACATCAACTTCATTGCAAGGGCAAGACAATTCGGTCTAACCACTCCCGTTCGCACACTTCGGACGTTGAAAATGTCCGGTGGCTTCCTTTTACCGTGCTGGGTTGGAAAGGGAGCTCGGCGGCCGCGGCCGGGGTTAATCGCCGATGCTGATGTGGGTGTCGATCGGCACATGGCCCCGTCAGCACCATCTGGAGGCTCCGTGGATCTATGACGAAAACATCCCGTCTTTCTTATCCCAGATGAGGCTCCTCGATTAAAAATCTGGGAGATCCACCTGGGCACCACCTTTGCTAGAAACAACGTCGAGCTGACGCGACCGACCAGATTCCACTAGCTGCTTGCTAGCTGTTCATCGTCATAGACTTGACTCGGACGGCCCAATGCGAAGACCGAGGCCGTTTCTTGCAGCTTCTATCGTTTGCTCGCGTCGACCGTGGGTAGGACTGACCCAGACATCTGGGCTCTTTAATCTGGCATGCCATACACGTGGAATCACATATGATCGTCCCATAACCGTGCTCTTCATCTCATGCTGTTCCAATTGCACTCAACAACAACGGTGATTTCGTTCAGCTGAAGCATTGTCAGCACCGTGCTACTGGTGTTTTTCCCGGCCACCAAGGGCCGTTTGTTGTAAACGCGCGCGACCATAACACCTTGTTGTTGAAGCCTTTCATCCACCGCGCCCACATCACAGGTACTCGTGATGGATGAGAAGCCCACGCCGCGGGATACCGATATCCCGGGCGGCTTCCCCGAAACACCAAGTCTTGCCCCGGCCAGCAACCTTCGTAGTCCCGAAAATGAAACGGGTTCTAGCGGCCAAGTTACCTCACCTGGCGATCTTGAGGCCAACCGACAGAATCATCCTCCATCCTATTTCCACCTGCCACGAAAATCGAATTGGAATTCGGTAGAAAATTCGGCTGTCCGGCGTACCTCGTCTTCTACCACTACCACAGTCGCAGCTTCTGCAAATGGCAATAGAGACTTCAACGAAGCAGTGCCAGCTGTCACAACTGATCGGAATGAGTCCAATACAACAAGCAGGACTCTCCAGAGTCAGCAAGAAGTCGCAAACGAATCCGGTGCTTCTTCCACCTACTCGCACGAGGCTTCACCTGCCGAGGAAGCCCAGTTCGCGCCCTTGAAGACCAACAACACGAATATGCAGCGTCCCCAAGCCAAGCGACAAGGTACCAGCATGACCGAGGATGATCTCTTCCGGGCTCTTTCACGACGCCGGACTAACGCGACCAATCAATCCGGGGCGGAACAGGAGGAGGAGCAGCAGGAGGTTGAGCGGCTCATGTCAAGAATCTTCGGTCGCGCTCGTCAAGAACAGAGCCAGGAGGAGAAAACCAGGCACAGTGGTGTCGTTTTTCGTGATCTCACTGTCAAAGGCGTCGGTCTTGGTGCGAGCCTCCAGCCAACCGTGGGCGACATTTTTCTTGGACTTCCCAGGAAGCTGAAGATGCTGTTCACCCGAGGTCCCAAGGCCGCGTTCGCCAAACCCCCTGTTCGAGACCTCTTGAGCCATTTCGACGGCTGCGTACGGCCTGGAGAGCTCCTGTTGGTTCTCGGACGTCCAGGATCAGGATGCAGCACTTTCCTCAAGGCATTCTGCAACCAACGAGCAGGGTTCCAGGCAGTTGAAGGCAACGTCACCTATGGCGGCACCGATTCTAAGGAGATGGCGAAGAAGTTCCGCGGAGAGGTCATCTACAACCCCGAAGATGACCTGCACTACCCAACCCTGACAGTGAAGAGGACCCTCAAGTTCGCCCTGCAGACGCGCACTCCCGGGAAAGAGTCGAGACTGGAGGGCGAGAGCCGTGAAGACTACATCCAGGAGTTCATGAGAGTAGCCACGAAGCTTTTCTGGATCGAGCACACCCTCGACACCAAGGTCGGAAATGAGTACGTTCGTGGTGTTTCCGGTGGAGAGAGAAAACGCGTCAGTATCGCAGAGGCCATGGTCGCCCGCGCCTCGGTCCAGGGATGGGACAACTCCAGCAAGGGACTCGACGCCAGCACCGCCGTGGAGTACGTCCGCTCCATCCGAGCAATGACCAACATGGCAGAGACTTCGACTGCTGTTTCTCTGTACCAAGCCGGCGAGTCTCTGTACGACCTAGCCGACAAGGTGTTGCTCATCGATCAAGGCAAATGTCTCTACTACGGTCCGGCTGAGGCCGCGAAGAAATATTTCGTTGACCTTGGATTCAAGTGTCCAGACCGCTGGACGACGGCTGACTTCCTCACCTCGGTTACGGACGAGCATGAGCGTCATATCCGCGACGGATGGGAGGACCGCATCCCCAGGACTCCCGAGGAGTTCGACTCGGCATACAGGAACAGCGACGCTTACCGCAAAAACTTGCAAGACATCGAGGACTTCGAGTCCCAACTCCAGCAGCAGATCGAAGAGCGGCGACAACACGAATCTGAAAAGACAAAGACCAAGAACTATGAGATTTCATTTACAAAGCAAGTCGTCGCTTGCACGAAGCGTCAGTTCATGGTCATGGCAGGAGACCGCGCCTCGCTGTTCGGAAAATGGGGCGGCCTGGTGTTCCAAGGTCTCATCGTCGGAAGTCTGTTCTACAACCTTCCCAACACCGCGGCCGGAGCCTTCCCTCGTGGAGGTACTCTGTTCTTCCTCCTGCTCTTCAACGCCTTGCTTGCTCTCGCGGAACAAACGGCAGCGTTCGAGTCAAAACCCATCCTGCTAAAACACAAGTCCTTCTCCTTCTACCGACCAGGCGCTTTCGCTATCGCTCAGACATTAGTCGACGTGCCGCTGGTCTTCATACAAGTGGTCCTGTTCAACGTCATCATCTACTGGATGTCAAACCTTGCCAGGACGGCCTCTCAGTTCTTCATAGCCACCCTCATTCTCTGGCTCGTCACCATGGTCACTTACGCATTCTTCCGCGCCATTTCGGCCTGGTGCAAGACCCTGGACGATGCGACTCGCTTCACAGGTGTTTCCGTCCAGATCCTGATCGTGTACACCGGCTACCTGATCCCGCCGGACTCGATGCGTGTGTGGTTTTCGTGGTTGAGGTGGTGCAACTGGATCCAGTACGGCTTCGAGTGCTTGATGGCCAACGAGTTCTACAACCTCGACCTGGAGTGTGTCCCGCCTTACCTGATTCCCCAAGGACCAGGCGTGGAACCGCAATACCAAGGCTGTGCCCTCGCCGGCAGTCCTCCGGGCCAGACCATTGTCCCGGGCAGCAGCTACATCGAGGCGTCTTTCACATACACCAGGTCTCACCTTTGGCGCAACTTCGGCTTCCTCTGGGCTTTCTTCATCGCGTTTGTGGTTCTCACCGCCTTGGGAATGGAGCACATGAAGCCGAACACGGGAGGCGGCGCCATCACCGTCTTCAAGCGTGGCCAAGTCCCGAAGAAGGTTGAGAACAATATTGCCTCCGGAGGCCGGGATAAGAAGGGCGACGTCGAGTCCGGCTCGCCCGACAGCTCAAAGACTGTCACGGATGGCGCTACTACCAAGGAGAAGTCTGAGGGTGACACGATGGACCAAGTCGCTCGCAATGAGACAGTATTCACTTTCCGTGATGTCACTTACACAATCCCATGGGAGAAGGGAAGTCGTAAACTGCTCAACGACGTGCAAGGATATGTCCGGCCGGGCAAGCTGACAGCCCTCATGGGCGCCTCTGGTAAGTTTCTCATCATGTCGGTGACGATCAACATCTCCTAACACTTTTCAGGTGCCGGCAAAACGACTTTGCTCAATGCGTTAGCCCAGCGTCTCAACTTCGGCACGGTAACTGGCGAGTTCTTGGTTGACGGACGTCCTCTGCCCAAGTCATTCCAAAGGGCAACAGGCTTCGCAGAACAGATGGATATTCACGAACCCACAGCCACCGTCCGGGAAGCATTGCAGTTTTCGGCACTCCTCAGACAGCCCCGTGAAGTCCCGAAGCAGGAAAAGTTCGACTACTGCGAAACCATCATTGACCTTCTCGAGATGCGTGACATCGCAGGCGCCACTATCGGCAAGGTCGGCGAGGGTCTCAATGCCGAGCAGCGCAAAAGACTGACGATCGGCGTCGAGTTGGCGTCTAAACCCGAGCTCCTCATGTTTTTGGATGAACCGACATCTGGTCTCGACTCAGGCGCTGCTTTCAACATTGTCCGTTTCCTCCGCAAATTGGCCGATGCGGGACAGGCCGTGTTGTGCACCATCCACCAACCGTCCGCAGTCCTGTTTGAGGAATTCGACGAGCTCCTCCTGCTCAAGTCCGGTGGCCGAGTTGCGTATCACGGGCCGCTTGGTAACGACAGCCAGGAGCTCATCCAATACTTCCAATCAAACGGCGCCCATAAGTGTCCTCCCAACACCAACCCGGCCGAGTACATGCTGGAAGCCATCGGCGCCGGTGACCCGAACTACAAGGGCAAGGATTGGGGCGACGTATGGGCGCAGTCGAAGAACAGGGACGCCCGGTCTAGGGAGATCGACGAGATGCTGGCCAAGAGAAGGGACGTCGAGCCCTCCAAGAACCTCAAGGACGACCGCGAGTACGCCATGCCGCTGTCCACGCAGACTATGGCCGTGGTGAAGCGCTCGTTCGTCGCGTACTGGCGCACGCCCAACTACATCGTCGGCAAGTTCATGCTGCACATCCTGACGGGACTCTTCAACTGCTTCACCTTTTACAAGATCGGCTACGCCTCCGTCGACTACCAGAACCGCCTGTTCTCCATCTTCATGACGCTCACGATCAGCCCGCCCCTCATCCAGCAGCTGCAGCCCGTGTTCCTGCACTCCCGCCAGATCTTCCAATCGCGCGAGAACAACGCCAAGATCTACAGCTGGTTCGCCTGGTGCACCGCCGCCGTGCTCGTGGAGATCCCGTACGCCGTCGTCGCCGGCGGCGTCTACTTCAACTGCTGGTGGTGGGGCGTTTTCGGCTGGCGAACCTCCGGCTTCACGTCCGGCTTCGCCTTCCTCCTCGTCATCCTCTTCGAGCTCTACTACGTCAGCTTCGGCCAGGGCATCGCGGCCTTCGCGCCCAACGAGCTCCTCGCCTCCCTCCTGGTCCCCATCTTCTTCCTCTTCGTCGTCAGCTTCTGCGGCGTCGTCGTGCCCCCGATGCAGCTGCCCACCTTCTGGCGCTCCTGGATGTACTGGCTGACGCCCTTCCACTACCTCCTGGAGGCGTTCCTCGGCGCCGCCATCCACGACCAGCCCGTCGAGTGCCAGCCCGGCGAGTTCGCCAGGTTCCAGCCGCCGCCAAACCAGTCTTGCGAGCAGTACGCGCAGCAGTATATTCAGCAGGCCGGCGGTTACGTCCAGACGGGCGAGGGCGGTGTTTGCGAGTTCTGCCAGTACTCTAATGGAGATGAGTTTGGTGCTGGGTTCAGCGTTTACTACAGCAACATCTGGAGAGACTTTGGTATCTTCTGCGGATTCATCTTGTTCAACTATTTTGTTGTCTTTGTTGGGACCTGGTTGAAATTCAAGGGCAAGAACCCTTTCAAGTCGATCATGGCGAAGAGAAAGGGAGGAGGTTAATAAAAGCCGCCAACGTCTTGCAGTAGGCGGACTTCGGTTGTAACGAATTATAATTCTGTAATACATCATGCATCTTATTACAAGATGTGATTATAATGCTACTTCATTGATCATGAGTCTATGGAAAAGAGGGTGGCTGTGTCTAATGATAGGTATCGTGGTATACGGCATGAATCTGAATCTCGGTCCTACTTCTTAAACGCGCCGTTCGACAGCTCATCCTCCAGGTCGTAGTACACCTGAAACTCGCAGTAGCAGATCTCCGGGTCACTCTCGACATCAAAGTTGAACTGCGCCTCCTCGTCCGTAACAAGGACCTTCGGCAGCCCGTTCGCCGCCGCGGCCTCCGCCATCAACTGCACCCGGCACTGGCGCTCCATCGAGGTGTACAAGAACGCCGCCTCGTCCACCGTCTGCCCGACCGTCAGCAACCCGTGGTTGCGCAGGATGCACGCCTTGCCGTTGGGCCCCAGCGCCTCGGCGATCATCTCGCCCTCCTCGGGGCCCAGGACCACGCCGCCGTAGCTGTTGTACACGGAGTGCGCGTCGCCGCGGAACTTGCACGCGTCCTGCGTCAGCATCTCAAGGCGGCGGCCGAAGACGGACCAGGCCTTGCCGTAGAGGCTGTGGCAGTGGCACACGGCGTGGACGTCCGGGCGGGCCTTGTGGACGGCGGCGTGGATGAGGAAGCCGGCGGTGTTGGGGGGCTTGGAGCGGTTGCCGCCGATGACGGCGCCGTCGAGGTTGACGAGGATCATGTCGGAGGCCTTGAGGAGGCCGAAGTGCTTGCCGAGGGGGTTCGTCCAGAAGGCGTCGTGGATCTCCGGGTCGCGGACCGAGATGTGCCCGCTCATGCCCTCGACGTAGCCCTCGCGCGACCAGTGGCGGAAGGCGGCGGCCATGTGCTCGAGCTGCCACTGGCGCTGGGAGGCGAAGTCGGGGAACTTGGGGATGCCGGCCAGCACGACGTCGCCGTGGGACATGGCCTGGAGGGGCGTCTTGTGTTGGAGCTCGTGGCCGTGCTTGGAGTGCGACGCTTCCTTGGGCGCGACGGCGGTGCCGCCCACGGCGGGAGCGGCGGTGTCGATGGTGGCGGACGGAGCCATTGTGGATTCTTTTACTCTGTGTATACACCGGTGTCCTGTCCTGGAATTTGATGAGTGGTTGTTTGTAATGACTGACTGGTTGTTCCGGTGTTGACGCTGGTCCTCGATTTAGTGACGAGTCGGTGAAGTTGTACAGTCCGGATGATGTCTAATGAAAGGTACTTTGAGATTCGCGAGCCTAGATGAAGTCCAGTTCGGAGAAAGAGCGGCGGGAAGGGCCCGATTGATAACGCGCCACTTACGAAGGGCGGAAATGTCAGACGCATGCAACACGGGGATGTGTGGTCGGAGCGGGGTTGCGGGGGGCGAAGATAAGGTACGACCGGGATGTCTTCTCCAGAAGGGAGAACCGGGAACCGGAAACCGGCCCGGTCCAATGTTCGGACGGCCGGCTAAGGACCAGTTCGTGGCACGAGCGGCCTCGGAGAGCAGACCTGGGCTCCGGTGCCGCAGACGAGCGGACGCGAGACGAGGCGAGGCACGCAATAACTTTGGTCAGACATATAATCGACGAAAGAAGAAGTGGTATGATGAAACAAAACGTCGCAAGAGGGTATGTTACAACAGCAAGCCCATGCAGATTCCACCCGCCCGTCATAAACCAAAGGAAATCTCTCTTTTGCAGCGACTGTCCTCGTCGTTGCACGAATACTTTTGTTTACCCATGCTGCGCTGCACCCGGGACCCGAGCAAACGCTACTCGCCGTTACTTTCCTGAACAATCGAGATCACCGCGGTGCTTCGTGACTCGGGCCGAACATGTACCGAATTTTCCCATTACTTCGTCATTAGATAGCAGCCAATCTGCCAATGGTACCAGCAATTTAAAGAGCCCAACATTGAGTCTTCATCGCTTGGCTTGCAAGGCCTTGTCCAAACACTGGATGATCTGTAAAATGGTCAGCAAAGTACTCGGGCTCAGCATATCGCAGGAAGACTGACCTCATCACCCCACACACCCTGGTTGCTGAGGTAGCGACCCATCCCCCTCACCAGCTCGAGTTGCTCCTCGACGGTCAATCCGGTAACAGCCATCTCCATGACGCTACCCAGGCTAACCTTGTTGATGGCGATAAAGGAGTGGTAGTACATGTATGTGAAAAATCCCATGATGAACTGGCAATCCATGCGGTCCGTCATACCGCCGTGGCCCGGGATGGAGTCGCCAAAGTCCTTGATCTTGAAGGTGCGCTTCAGGCCGGACGCGAAGAAACCACCGAAAGGAGCGATGAGGGAGGCGAAGGTTGCCAGGATCAGAGTGTGGAACTGCACGGGGGCCACAGTCAAGGAGAAGCTCTCGTGCATGTTGGGCGGAAGGAAGAACAGCGGCGGCAGGGTGTAGGTCTTGGGGTTGAAGACGGGGTTGCGAGTGCACTCGAGGCCGGAGAAGATGTTTGCGCCGAGGTCCTAAGTTTGTCAGCACTTGGTGCTTGTGGCTAGGTGAAGGGTGACTTACAGTGACAGGGCAAATGAAGAAGGACGAGCGCATCAGGAGGTTTGTCAGGAGCATGCCGAAGAGGATGGTCATGACCCAGGCGCCGACGAAGCCCTCGACGGTCTTCTTTGGGGACAGCTTGATGAGCTGAGTGCGACCAAAGGTAATTCCCACAAGGTAGGCCCAAATGTCGTTGGTAATGACCATGGCGGCGGGGAGGAAGAACCAGATCATGCCCTCGAATACGTTGTTCATGATGAAGTGGGCCTGTACGACGATGAGGTACAAGGCCATGTGCGTCCAGGCGAACTGAGTAAACTGGAACTTGTAGTGGCCAGCTTGGAGAGAGGTGACAAAGAAGACGAAGCCTAATTCATGGTTAAAGAGACGGGTGGTTTGGAAGGGTTTGCGACACGACTGGGGAACGTACCAAAGATGTACAAAATGAAGCTGATGAAGCGGTGGTGAGTGGCCAAGGGAAGCAGGACTTTGTCGACCAGCACGATATGCTTGAAATAGTAGATGACAGTTTCACCATAGAGGAAGTACATGGTGGTGGCGAGCCAGTACCAGTTGAGGCTCTTGGAGGAGCGCAGCTGGCGAGCGCGGCTGGGAACACTGGCGATGGCGATAACCTCCTTGAAGGAGATGATTTGGATGCCGGTCATGATGCAGATGATGTAAATGTGGCCCATGACGAGGGCAGTGAAGAAGCCGGCGAACATGACAAAGGTCCAGAAAGTACGTGTCAAGAAGTTCGCCTTCTTCTTCTCATACTCGGCTCGCTTTTCCTCCTCGGGGGATTGGGGTTGCTGGTGGATAGGTCAGCCATGATCTCATTTGAATGGCAGGATAGTGTCGAAGTGCGCTGGGACGGGCAGAAGAGGGGAGGGCGTCGAGAGCTTACCTCTGCAATGTTTTGAAGGCCCGCGCCTGTCTTGATCCTGGAGGGCGAGCCCTCCTCGCTGACGTCGCTGAAGCTGGAGCGGCGGCCATCAGAGCCAGCATGGCCGTTGGACTTGTGGGGGAACTTGACCCCCCTCCGTGTGCGAGCCATCATGTCTTTGTGTGCGGGATGTCGACTGGGGTAAGGGATTCGACGACTTTCGGCGTTGATGTTGTCGCGCGAGGACTCGAGGGAGGCAACGGCGAGGTTTTTGTCGCAAAGCGTTTGCGGACCAGGTCGGATTTCGTCGTAGGAGTAGAGCGGCTGGTTCGGATGCGGGAAGGGTCAGACGGGAGGCGGAGGGTCGGCGCAAATTGGGCCGTTGGGGCGATGGAGTCGGTCGCGGTCAGGATCGTGGACCACAAAAGGGTCTAGAGAGAATGAGGACCCGAGAAGTCGGCACCTTTAGCGACTGTGACTTGTGGCAGGAGACGGGAACGGGTTGTGCGTCGCGGGCCGAAAGGATGGATTGTCGAGAAGAGCGACTTTGACGACGACGAGCTGCCAGGACTGGACACTGACGACGTGGATGTTTTGTTGAACCGAGCGGACGAAGCGAGGACTCAGACTGGGGGGGTGACACTGACTGGGCAGGGGAGGTGGGTACTTTATTTTCAGTCAACTTTAGGTAGACGGATACCTCTGCTGTCTGGGTCCGGTGGATTTTCTCTTCTTCGTCTTTTTTTCTTCTTTTCTCCGACGCTTGGTGCAAACACCAGATTCCAAAAAATGATGGCGGGACGAAAAGATTTACCAGCAATGCGCTTTTCCCGCCGTCCTTGCTGCCCTGTAGCAAAAAAGAAAAAGTCGACCTTACGATCCACTACGTTTGATGAGCACTGGAGCCAAAGTCCGCGTGGAAGCTACAGCGCAAGGGCACCTGGGTGCCAGCAGCGCAGCTGGCATGATGACGCTGCAATTAGCGCTGCAAAGCTACGTCAGGCGTCCTCCAGCTGGAAGCGGGAGGCTGCGATTGGAGCACAAGCCAGCTGGGCGGATATTATGTAAGCCGGGATAAGATATGGATAATGCATTCTCATTTGGCACCTGCTGGGCTTTCGGCAAATCCGTCCAGGCACCTCAGTCGGGCTGCGGAATGATGGTGGAGTCCGCTCCGAAGAGTGGCTTTTTCCACCCGTGGTCGCCTCCAACCGACTCTCTTTTATTTGCCATGTCATCACTGGCATATCGATACATCTATCTGTCTTCCGTCGTGGAAAAACCACCTTCACAAGTGAGCCTCCCGCGAACATGGGAAATACGCCAGCTGCATGCCCGAGTGCGCATGGGGTACCCCGTGAGCCGTGGCCCCGGCAGGCAGAGTACGAAAGTACGTACGCGTATCGTTCACGGTCCCCTGCTTCCCTCCACTGTGGGAGAGCATCCCTTGCCTACCGAAACTGTTGAGTTGGTCAGCTCTGCCATTTCAGGGACTGATGGGCCGGGGGAAAGCCCCATCGCCGAACAATGCCATAAATAAACCGCTGCAAAAAAACAATCACCGATTGAAATTGTCCGGACCCTCGGGCATGGGGATTGACGAGACTCGTGCTCGATGGGCCTCCAGACATTGGACACTGAGCTGCTTGAGATGCTAGACACTAATAGTAAAGCAGGATTCGCCGCTCAGTCCGAGACAATGCGTGTTGACGCCGGTTGACATCATCACATGCTGCCCGTAGCTTCATTGACCAACTGTCATATGTCAGGTCGCGATGTACGCAGGCTTACCTAAGCTGACACCAGCCACATCCAAAAGGCTCCAGGTAGGTCGTGCTCTGGTGTATATGTGGCTGACAATCGTCAAGGCGCGTCTGGTCAGGTCGCGCCCCGACTTCCATTGTCCCGCGTCGTTGCCCGATAAGATAAGAAAAGTACCTTACCTTCATGTCTGGTGCCTGCCACTATTCACATACTCCGGCAACCCCACCTGTGTCGACAATGCGTTTTCGGACGCTCTCCCGATGCCATGGACGACTTCTCGGATGAGGATTTCGACCAATTGAATGACATTGCTCTCCAAGAGCTCGAGAACAATGCCATTCAATTTACGCAGGCACAGCGCAAGCCCGACGACTCCCAGACTGCCGATGTGTCGATTACCGAAAACTACGACGACCTCGAGTTCGAAGATGACGACCTCGACGATACCGAAGTCACCAACGAACTTCTACCACCCGTCGCTCGTCCCGTGCCCGAGAAGACAGTCCCCCAGCACCAACACCAACCACATCTTGCCCGCCGTCCCTCAGTCCAACTCTCGCAACGATGGAATCCTCCTCCTGCTCCCACGAACCAGCCCGTACTCTCCAATCGACCACGATATCCGCCGCCAGTACCGTCATTCGTCCCCCCGGTAGCCTCTCAGCGTTTTCCTGCTCCCTCCCAGCGCTTCGCTGCCCCTGCCAGACCCCCGTATCGCCCTCCGCCTACACAGTACGGCCGACCTCCTCCTCCCGCTTCGACTCGCTACAACCCACCACAATCCCAGTCACAATCAGCCGCCGCTGGGACCGGAAACAATGTCATCTCCGCTCTGCAGCAACGCCTCAAAACTCTCGAGGCAGAACTCAACGCCGCACGCGGTGAGGCCACCATCATCCGCTCCAATTCGACAAAGGCCCAACAAGATCACGCCGCCGAGATCACACGTCTGAAGAAGCAAAATGCAGAACAGGCCGCCAAGCAGGAGAGGGCCGTCGAAGCCGCCATCGCCGCCGAAAGGCAGGCTACCACCGAGTTGCAGTTCCTGCAGCGCGACATGAAAGATGCGGCAAGCAGGCCGCGGAGAAAGGATACGACACAGGGAGCGGCTGCGCCAGGGACCACCACCCCAAAGAAGACGACCAAGACTTGGGGCATGGCCGACGGCTTCGACGACATGGACATCGCACCAAGCCCTACCAAGACGAGGGGGAAGACGAGGGATGCCGGGCCGGTTGCTGTTCCCATCTCAGAACGGACGCCAACCAAAGGGAAGCGCAAACGGCAAGCCGTTGACAGCCCTGTCATGGCCCTAGACCTAGAGACCCATGCGGAGGATGTGGCCATGGCCGACGATCCCGCCGTTGCGCCCTTGCCCGTCCAATACTCGGTTGCGGGGCCAAATGTGCTCCCGTTCGAGGTAAGTTCGAGTCCTCTGTCTTTCTAGTGACGCTAGTTAACCACTCTTCAGTTCCTCCAAGTCATCCTAGACCATGGCTCGATGCATGGGGATCCGCCAACGTTCGATATCCTGTCTCGCTACACGTTTCCCTCGGATCCGTCGACATCTTTCGCTTCCTACATATTCCGCGAATTGCCTCTGATGGGTAACCCTCTAAACCCGGTCCAGCTGCTGGTCGACTTCGCCCGCCTCATCATCCGCATGTGGACTCAGTGCTTGACTGAAACTTACCTACGGCCGGTTTGGGACCTCACCTCCCTACTCTCCTTCACCATTCAGCTGCAAACTATGTCTGTGGTACCTCAGGTTCTGAGCGAGTTGGTACCCGCTGCACAGAGCTCCGTCTATATGGTTGCTGAGGCGCGGTTTCGGAGTATCGATGGTTCGGATTCCGCCACAGAGGCTCTTGAGCAAAACATCGACACCACCTACATCTTATCACTGCTATACGCGTCCGCCGCTGTTTGCGCCACCACCGTGACGGAAACTGAAAACGGCGCGCAGACTAGGCAGGCCGAATTCTGGCAATTGATTACCGTCGACCTGGTTCTCGCATTGCTGACCCCGAAGCAGCGGCTGGAGGATATCCTGGCCATGCTCGATATGCTTTGCACCTCAACCCTTCCCGATTCGATCGGTCCCATTGTCCCCGGAAAAGAGCCCGAGTTGGTGGCTCGAATGATCATCGACAAGGTGTCTCTGAACCTCGTCGACCTCCCACTGACAGCCGTTACCACCAGCGAAAAGCACGCCGTAAGATTCGCCGTCATGCGAACGCTCACTGCATTTGCACGATCTCCTTTCGCAGCACGGCAGATTGCGGGCCACGTCAGTGTCGTTCCCCGTTTGGTCACGGCGCTAAACGAGCTCATCAACGTCCTGTATGATATTTCGGATCCCGTGGCAGATCTCGGCGGTGGCGGCTCTTCCTCCTCGCGCAAGGACGGGGCCGTGGACGCTACCCCGGATGATCTCCGCGATGGTGCCGACGACTGGGACGACGGTCGCATTGGTCCGTCCTTGCTGATATCGCAAATCATTCTCCTGCTGCACTCGTTGGCGACCGACCCCAACACGGCTAATATTGTGAATATTCTCCAGAAGTTGTCCGTGACACACGGTGGCCCGCAACGATACCTGCTGTCCCTTTCACGACTCAACTTCGCCGAGGAAGACTTGGTCTACGAGGCCGTCATTGACGCGGACACGGTGGACAGAGCTCACGAGTTACTAGAGCTTAGCATCACTCCGGACGAAGGCGATAGCGTAGCAGAATCATTTGGGGTGTGAGCATTTTATCACACCTGTATCGGGATGATAATCAACTACATTGCCTTCGCAAACGAAAGTGAACATCCGATAATGTCGTCTGTTCTTCCGAGCACAGCATCTGAACTACACTACAGCAGAGCACGGGCGGCGCAAGAACCATTACCAGGACATGTCAGTACCAATGAATGCGGACGCGCCACGATTGCCATGATCCCACACGCGGGTTTGCCGCATGGCTCGAGAGTTGTCAAGAGTTGCTGGCTGTTTTTGACAATGCATCGACCTAATGCAGGTATTCAGCGGCTGTAGGTGTGATAGAGGCGCTGGGAGAGGCCGGAGCCAATGAATCATGATGTGGCTGCAAAGCCAGAACCTCATGGGGTGGAAGTATCTGCAGAGTCATGCAGCTCATACTTGCATTCTCACTTCACATTAGTCTCATGACCACCGGTCAGAACAGCATAGAAGATGCGATATTGATACGAGGGACTCGGCCGAAACTTAGGACCAACAAGTTGATGTTGATTTCCCCGTTGGCCGCCCCCCGAAGACTGTGTCACCTTCTTGTCTCCTTGTCGACGACTCACTCAGTGTCTCACCTTACAAAGTTGCACAGACCCATGAGCTAAGGATCAACCAAAGGTCGTTTTCGCTGATCCCCAAGCTCGATTGCGAGGTCGAAACGCACTGCCTAGCCTTGATAATCTGGTCGCGCTGACCGTGGATAGAGCTGGGAGGCACTAATTAGGCAAAGCATACGACCTAGACGTTAGCGCCCACGAGTGATGGCCCCATTCACAGCGCGCCCCTGAGTCAAGGATGAGCTGCTCTGCCGATAGGGCAGCCACTTCCGGTCGTTCGTCCCAAGTCTTCCAGTTCTGATTGGGTTTCTCGAGTCCGAGCCCGGTTCGTCCGGCCTGGTGTGCAAGGGGCTGAGCCGGAGTCAAAGCTACGACGACATCAACACCACGTTGACTTTTGCTGCAGTCGACTCGGGTCAGAACCAACTGCAGCCCAGTCCACAAGCGAGAAAGAGACTGGACATGGCATCTCGTTTGTGGTAAGCACAGGAGTCGGCCGTTAAGCTTTCAGGTCACACACATGGCTGCCCAGGAACCAAGGAGGGCAGCCACTCGTGCAGCCATAGACTGAAGTCTCCGACGGGTGCATGTCTAGCAGAGGGGAGCCGATGTAGTAGAGGCGAATGCATGGCATGCCCAAACCCCTCTCGCCCGGACTTGCATATATCGCCGCCGTTCCCCTCTCTCCTTCTCTTCTAAAGGGACTTGCTGGAATAAGAACAAGAAGACTACCCCCATCTTTGACTTGCTCTATTCTTGTCTTGTTCATGTCCTTCAACACCGCCACCATGAACATCCTCTTCCTCTGCACTGCTCACAACTCCCTCTCACAACGCCTGTACTTGGCATTGTCCAAGACTCACACAATCACAATCGAGTATGCCTTGTCAGATGCCGCAATGATTGAGGCGGCCAAACTGGCCAAGCCCAACCTCATCATCTGCCCTTTCCTCACAGCTCGAGTCCCCCGGGAAGTATACGACAACTACCTCACACTCATCATCCACCCCGGACCCCCAGGTGATGCCGGCCCGAGTGCCCTGGACTGGGTGCTCATGGGTGATGACGGTTCGGTAGAGGACGCTGAGACTCTGGTTCAAACCAACGCATGGAGTGAGTTCGGCAGGCCTTATTGGGGTGTGACCGTCCTGCAGGCCGTCGAGGAATTCGATGCCGGGCCAGTATGGGCTTTTGAGCAATTTCCCCTGCAAATCGATTCGCCCAACATCACCAAGTCGAGTCTCTACCGTGGACCGGTCACGCGGGCCGCCCTCACAGCCACCCTCGCCGCCATCGAGAGGATCCAGACAGCCTCCGTCCAGGCCGCATCTCCCTACACTCCTCCTCCCTCGCCGGGCAAAGACCAATTCTCCCCACAGCTTGTCAACCCGATGCTTCAAGCTAGCCCCGCCTACCGCGACGCCTCGGTGACACTGCAGAAAGCCTTCCTCGGCGGCGTCACACGTCATCGGCCCCTCCTCAAGGCTGCGCAGCGAGATTTCGATATCCAGTCGCACACGGCTCGGGAGATATCGCGAAGGATTCGGTCATCGGACTCCCAGCCCGGCTGTCTGACCAAGCTGTTCGGTCCCAGCCTTTACGTATACGGGGGCACCATCGAGGAGGGCGAGGACCTCACAGCCCAAGCACGACCTGGAGAGATCATCGCCTGCCGCGACGACGCCGTCTGTGTTGCTACCTGCGACGAGAAGGGCATCTGGATCTCGCATGTTCGCCGCATCAAAAAGAAGACGGACTCGATGCTCTGGCCCAAGGTGCCTGCCGTCTCCGGCCTCAACGACCTCGGCGTTCTCGACTTTGAACTTTTCATGGAAAACCGCGTCTCTCGGGCGACCATCGACTGGTCCCAGTCCCCACACAGCACCAAGCAGGATATCTGGGTTGAGTTTCAGACCTTCTCCGGCGCCAGGAGGGTAGCATTCCTCTACTTTGACTTTTACAACGGCGCCATGAGCACAGAGCAGTGCTCCCGCCTGATTGACGCCCTGGACTTCATCGCATCCAGCCATGTCGTGGAACGACCCCTCAGCGCTGTCGTGCTCATGGGCGGCGACTCGTACTTCAGCAACGGAATCGCCCTGAATGTTATCGAGGCCGCAGCGGACCCCTCCCTCGAGTCCTGGCTGAATATCAACCGTATCGATGACGTGGTCCACTACCTTCTGCACGAGTTCCCATCGCGAAACATCCTCACGGTCGCCGGCATCCGAGGCAACTGCGCGGCCGGTGGTGTTGCCCTGGCCGCCGCATGCGACGTCGTTATCGCCGGCAATGATGTTGTGCTCAACCCTGCTTACCGCGCCATTGGCCTGCACGGTTCCGAATACCACTCCCTGTCATACACCGGACGATGTGGCTCGGCGGGCGCCACCAACCTGCTGCGCGACATGACACCGCTGTCGCCGGCTGACGCGCGGGAGATGGGCCTCATCGACCACACGCTTCCGGGCACCGGCGCCCTGCTGGACACACGTATTCGAAAACACGTCAAGTCGCTCGTCGTCGTCCACGCCGCCGCCGGCAACAAGCGGATCCCGGTGCCATGGAAGACCGCCGTCGACGTGTCCCCGGCCGGTCTGGCCTGCGCCCGCGCCCAGGAGCTCGGCGAGATGTCCAAGGACTTTTGGAGCGCGAGGTCGCAGCGCTATCATCTCCGCCGCCGCGACTTCGTCCGCAAGGTCAGGGCCACCAAGACGCCCCTGCGTTTCGCGACGCATCGCCGTGGCATGGGTGAGATGGATGAGGAAGAGGCGGACGAGTTCGACGACGTCGTCATCTTTGAACGCAAGGCCCGGGCGACTCTTCTCGCTGATAAGCTGAAGGAGTACGTCGAGAACATGACGTCGGCGTCTTCTCGCAAGGACACGACATCGCAGGCTAATACCGCGATGCATTCGAGAGCGGCGAGCGAGAGCGTCAGCAAACGGGACTTGAGGCCCGTCTTTTCGTGTTACTACGACGTCACAGCATGATAAGCATGGTCACTTCGTTTGGTTCAGCCTTTTTCCCTTGAAGAATTTCGCAAGCGACACCCAGATACAGTCGCAACATACCCAACCCTTAAGCCCAAGGACAGCTAATTCCTATGTAATTTCTCAGGCGGGCAGCACTTCAGGTTTCATTTAGTACCAATAATACCAAAGTCGTTTATTCACGAACTCCATCCGTGCCTTTCCTCTGTGACATCTGCCCATGTTTCCGTCGAATATTCGAGAAATCGAAAGCACAACGAACAATTTCCCCCCCATAACATACAGTCCAGATGTCACACATGTCAGAGAAGTCCCATGTTGGCTCGGATTGAGCGGGTGAGCGGGACGCGTCAAGCCTCGCGTTCTTTGTCTTCCTCAAGGGGGGGTGGGCGTCTGCCGAACTAGCTTTCATCGCGTCCACCCCGTCAAATCTTAACGATGAGCCGTCGCTAAAGTGTGGCGGCGGCCCTTCCTCCAGGAACCGTTTGTGGCGGCCGCCCACAGGGCTACTACGTACTAGTCAGGGCCTTTTGGACATTTGTCAAGCCTGTCTCGTGAGACCTAAACCGAGGTGCTCAGCAACGAGTTCAAATCACCCAGAGTCATCAGCTTCGTGGACCGATCCAGAACTACGGTTCTGGTACCTCTCGGTCTACCTGGCGGCGGACTTTCCGGGAGACACTGCTCCAGTGTCGGCGGTCCCGTTGTGGATCAGCAATCGGATGCGGTGGGGCCGTGTTCGCGCGGCGGATATCCACAGGAAGGAAGCAACGGTTCTTCTTCGCGTTCATCATAGGGCTCGGCAATCGTACATCTCCCGTCCCTATTTTTGGTTATTCGTTTGTAAGGAAAATCCCGAATCGATCGAGAAATTCTAAATAAAGGGAGCAAGATTGGAGGGGGCTCCACGAGCAGCGTGGCCGCACCGACGATTTCTCTTTCGTGATCTTCAGGGGGGCTTGCGCTAAGAAGCCGAGGTGAGACGCCGGGCCGCCGAGGGGGTTGGCGGGCACCTTGCGGTGCAAGTCTGGCCCTTTTCGTCTCTGTATGATCTGGGGATCATGACGACATCATTGCTGGAATTAGATCTCGTGGATGTGTTTCTTATCACGGGGGAAAGCTCATGGAGATTGTAGCTTGTCGTTTCACCGTATCCAATGATACATGGAATTTCAACTATCCAACGACATGGCTTGAACTCGCCCGTCCATCTGTGACAACATGCCCGGAAAAGGACCGCACATCCACCCCGTATGACTGCCCAGGCTAAATGGCCAACTCACTGTACAACTGTCTCCTGCAATACGGAGAAATGCAAACACGGGGAAAAAATTGATGACGTGTTGATGGGAAAGAAAATTTCCAGGGATCAATGCAGGCTGCCAGGAAGTTTCAACGGTCGAGCGTCTCCTCGTGCCGTCCCGTCCCCTGCCTGATAGGGGTTGTTTGCGTTGGATGGAACCTTGCATCTGCATCGTGGTACCGTTCCACAAAGGGGTTCGAGTTCGAGGCCAGTTATTGACAGTTCCCATGTTGCAGTTATTGAGCATCAAGGAATGGAAAATCATTGGTCGCGGTTCGAGTCCATGGGTGTGAGAAAGCTTCCCATGTCGGCAAGTAGCTGCTGGGTTTTGACCCTGTGAGTCAATCCACCATTGTATTTATGAGTATGGTTTACACACCAAATTATTGGACGAAATCCAAAGAAATATCTAGCAAATGAAAGGACAGTGATAGAAAGGAACAAAAGAAAGAATGAGTGGCATCGAGACATCTGCAGGAGGCCGTCTACCGCACGGGCCACCCCGAAATATGGTTGGCAGGCACCTTGCTGCGTTGAAGCTTCTTGGAGCTTCCTTCCTTGGAAAGTATGAATCTGAGAAAGGTGAAGTGAAATTCAGAAAAGGTGCGAGTCGGAGAAACAGTCTGATATTTCATCACTTCTCTCGGGAGCTGCCGTCATTTCAAGCTTTCAACTTTCATCCCCTCTCGACCTCTCCGCCTCGAGACATCATAAACGCCAACACCAACCGATTACATCGATCGCGAGATCCAAATTGCGGCAAGATGGCGCTCCGCCAGCAACTCACGTTATCCTTCGTCATCGACGACACGAACGACCTGCATACTCACACCGTCATTTTTCTTCATCGCTTCCCAGAGTCCACCACCGATGAGCAGCTCCACGAAAAAGTCCTCTGCCAAAAACTGACCAAGAACCACAAGACCCTGCGCGAGCAGTTCCCCACCATCCGCTGGGTGTTTCCCTTCGCAAAAGCCACGGCTCGCCCGTGGAACAACCTCACGCCGGAAGATAGGGCTGCCGTCGGCATGACCTTGGGCGCCATGCCCTACATCACGCAGGTCATCCTCCACGAGGCCAAGCGCGCGCGCGGCCTCGATCGCATCATTCTCGGCGGCCAGGGCGAGACTGCCGAGGCAGCTCACGAAGCTATGTCCTCCTTCCCCGAGTGCAGGACTGACAATGTCGATGATGTTGCTGTTTTTGTCGAGAAATACTTTCACCCCGCCTGGACCGAACTCACCCAGCTGAAGCTCGCGGGATTCGTCGGTATGCACGCGCAAGACGGTGAGATGACCCGCGACGTCAAGAACCTGGGCATCGTGTCGAAGCAGGCCGATGGTAAGCAGAAGGTGAACACCAACATCGTCGTCAACACGCCTCATCGGTTTATCCATGGCGGCTACAAGCTGCAGACTAAGACCTGGGATGGTAAGCGCATCGACGACTTCGCCAAGTTCCTCGACGATATCGGCGTGTTCCGCATTCCCGACGAGGAGAAGGGCAGCAAAGAGACACTTACACCCAAGGACCGCGAGCCAGTCAAGAAGTGGGATCCCAGGGAGAACCTCAACGATGTGCAGAAGCATGCTCTCGAGGTAGAGGAGCAGAAGAAGGCCAACAACGCGCTGAGGGAGAAGATCCTTGTTCGCATCGAAGCTGACAAGGTTGAACGCAAGCTTCTCCAGGAGAGGCAGAGACAACGACGGATGTTTGCGCAGGAGGCCCAGGAGAACCCACGGTCTCAGTTTACGGGTTCGGTGAACATGCTTGGAGGACCCGTCAACCGGAACGAAAGCCTGTCAGCCTCAGGTCAGTTGCTTGATCTTCCTGACACATACCAGCCGTACTCCGATGAGGAGTCTTCTGACATCTCCATGTCTGATCAGGAGGACGGTTATGATGAGCCCGCCACATCACCCGAGTCTAACGACCCGACTAGTGATCATGAACAGGAGGAGGAGCCCAGCATGAGTCAAAGAGAGAAGGCCAGGCAAGGCAGGAAGGTCGACGATGGCAAACACTGGAGTCCTCGTGTTCATGGAGAAATGACTCCTGGCCAGATGAAGGCATTGGGGCTTCTGGATTTCGAGGATTCGGGGGAAGAACAGTTTTTGTTTGACACTTCTTCGAACTAGGTACTAAGAGTATCTCAGCAAGACTTTAGACAACTTTTAAGACAGGAGTCTAGAGAACTCTGGTTTGGAAAGAACGTGGTTCATCTGGATCAAAAGGTCGTTTTTTTCGAGCCTTCACGAATTATGTTTGGCATTTGGGTTACCTGGAAAGGCCGTCTGTCTCTTTATACATGGAAGCAGATATCAAATTCACGTACATCACAATTCTCAGCAGCCTGTGAGCCCAGTAACAGTTTCCGGCACGGTCCACTGCCCAGTACAGCTCGTCGTCGTGCCACCCGACGTGAGCAGGTCAATGTCCTCGAACCTGATGTTCCCGCAAGGGTGTCGACTACTGCAAGTAAGACTGACTCTGTTCGTCGAGCCCGACAACGAGCCCGTGAAGTTGAGGAACGCAAGGTCCGAGACCTCCATGTTGCTGGTCCCCGCAAACGAGCCGTTGTTGCCGTTGTTCTGGTAGATGGACGGCGCGTTATTGACTCGCTCGTATGAGACGTTGGAGAAGGTGACGTTGCGCACGCGGCCCCAACCTCCGCCGCGTGGTTGCCCGGCGTTCTCGTAGTGGATTTGCGGCGCGAGCTCGCCGATCCAGGTCTTGATGTAGACCCCATAGCGCAGGTCGATCGACGATCGCTTGAGCTTGTGGGAGGTTAGTTGGGTTTCTTGCAGCGAACACCTGACTTGACTGTGCTTACCACGAGGTTGTTCATCACGACATCTTCCACACTTGAGTCTTCGAGGTATTGGCCGAGACTCCCGACGGCAATGCCGTTGCCCCCGTGACAGGTGACGTCCTCGAGATGAATATTGTATGATCGGGGCTTGATGGCAACGCAATCATCCCCGCCGGAATACTCGAACCCTTTGACGGTGATATTGCGCGCGTCCATTGTGTCTGGTTGATCCCTCCATTAATATCGCTTCTTCTGTGTTGGTGAGATGGACCTACCAAAGCCATCCGTGTTTTGAACCCAGTTGTATCGGCTCGGCGCCTTCGTCGCGGTAGCGTTGCTGCTGATGTTCTCGAAGTACATGTTCGTCCCGTTCATGATGTTGTACGCCCAGAACTGCGGCTGTCTGATGTGGAAGTTCTTGACTGTGACGTCGCTGACGTTCCAGAAGACAAAGGGCTGTGTGTAATATCTATCAGAGGGTGTTCTCAGTAGCATGGTTGAGGCCATCTTACCATCGGACGTCCCTCGACGGTCTCGCCCGCTTCGGCTGTATACCAGACGTCGCCGTTTCCGTGGATGCCCCCGGTGCCGGATCCGTTGATGTGGATGCCGTCTCCGGTCAGGACGAAACCCGCGCGGTGGTTCTGGAACTCGATGAAGTACGAGTTGGAACGCCAGTAAGTGAGGTTGTCCGAGAACTATTGAGACAGATATTATCAGTCATGGCCACTTTTGGCAATGTCACTCGTGTGAGAAATGTGTGTTCGTACCGTCCATTCTCCCCGCCATTGGATGTTCACGTCTCTCACGACAGGATTCAACTTTTTGTCGATCCAGTAGTTCTGGTCTTCGGGGAAGATGATGTCCCCGGACTTGCCGCAGCGCTCGAAGGCTTTTAGGATGTTGTCGACGTCGCTCGTCTGGTTACCATTCGCGGTGACGGTGCATTTTGGCCGGTGGCGAGCGGTCGAGACTTGAACGCCGCCGGCTGGAGCGCTGGCAACGAAACAGGGAAGTGTGATAACGGTGGACTTCATCGCGACTGGCTTGAAAATACCGAATGGGCACGTAACTTTACTTGATGTCGACTTGGTCGAGGGCATTTATTGGGTTTTATAAGTTGGCGATGAAAACACCACGGTTGTGAAGTCATCCACCGTCTTCATGTAGGTTATGTTCGTTACAACAGAAGGTGCGCCGGTTGCGGATCCCGGAACATCATGACTGTTTCTCACTGGTGCTTTTTGGTCGGTCTGCTCGTTCGTTAATCCCACGAAGATGGTCGGTAGAATTGGATCAGCGTGAACTAGCCCGTCCAAAAGACAGCCAAGTCTCGTTGTCTTGGCACGAATACATTCTTCTCAGGACGGCGTAATAGAGGAGTCTATCTCGATACAGGAATCGTCTATCTGGACCTATTCGGTCAACGGGAAGCAAATATCGGGTTGCAAACATGATTCGGGCTCAGAGCTAACCCGAAGAGAGTCTATATGCCTAGGATGTGCGGAGACCCCGCATGCCCCCCGCAACTCTGCCGTGATGCAACCTAGATAGGTGATCGGTGTTGATCGTCAGCTCGGGGTAGCTTCTGGCGACACAGTGAGATTCGCCGTCTGGTGAGAGGCTATTGTTTCTCATCCGCAGAGTTGACTGTGTGGGAAAGTATGAGAGATCGAGACTTGTGTCTTAGAAGTCATAAGACTATGAAGCTACCGATGCCCTCATCGACCAATTGTTCAGTACTACGGGTCCATGGACGACAAAGCCACTGTCTATGAGTCGACATGGCCTCTAAAATATTTACAGCTACTCAACAACATGTTCTCCGTTCGAAGTTGAAACATAAACAGATCGACAAACCCACGGAGAATTTAACAGAAAACCCCCCACAGCGGCAAGCGGGAGTGAAGGCGGGAGTGCCGCCGCCTATGAGCAAGGGGGGACGACAACGCACTAAAGCTAGAGGTCGATCACCCCCTCATTCAGAAAGTTCTAAGTGGGAACTCTTACATTATGAGTTCACGGCTTGAAAGACGACTGCGCGGCCAGCGGAGTGATATCTTAAGCGAATGAGGCTGAAGGCGAGCCTAGTGAGTCTGGCCTTTCTGTTCTCATTTGAGTTGAACTGATGATGAGTGTTACCTATGTTCCAAGCCTTGGTCAACGTCAACTCTCGCATCCCGAATATCAGTTTCGTCTTGAAGACAGTTTCGCCTTGAACAAGGCAACTCTCCATACTTCGAAATTCAAGGCCATCAGTTTGACTTATTTGTTTTTGGCTTCTGCGCATATGGCTGGAACGCATGTTACGTTCGTCACGGCGAGGTGACTCGCGAAGCTGCACGCCCGCCGAAGGCATACAGCCCAGAAAAGGCTCTGCGCTTTCAGTAAGAAAAAACACGATGGAGCCATTACGAACAACCGTACTCGTTAAAAGGGGTTGAGCTGACGAAGTTGAGTCTTGGCTGAACGCGTGTCGTGAGCGGGATGTGGAAACCAACTTCCCGTGCCAGGGGCATCAGAGAGCATCTCAATTCCCGAGTAGCACCTTCGAGCCTCTGAGTGTTGATAAAACCTCACGACATCAACAATGTAAACGTTTTGATTTTCTGATCAGTCTACAGACCCGTTTCTCCATCTTCACGCTGTAATCAGGGTGTTGGTCTCGCTTACCTATCTTCTTGAAAGTCACTCGTTCACCATGAAGGCCCCCGTCGCATCCTGGCTCGCCGTCCTGGGACTCACCACAGTCGTTACGGCAGCAACCTGTGATTCCCCAATCCAGCGAAAGAACTTCACCTCTCTCTCCAACGAAGAAAAGCTCGCCTGGATCGACGCTGAAAAGTGTCTCACCACCCACGATGCTGTCTTCGGCCTGTTCGACGCCGCTACCACCCTCTGGGACGAGCAACAATACCTGCACCTGACCATGTCGAACTACATTCACGGAGTGGTGCGTCTCTCAATACCTTCATTGAACATCTCATCATACTAACCGAGAACGAAAGGGGCAATTCCTGCCTTGGCACCGCTACTACGTGAAGCTGCACGAGTATCTGCTGCAGACCTACTGCAACTATACCGGCGGTATGCCCTACTGGGATTTACAAGTCGACGCGGCCAACGTCACGCAGTCCGCCGTTTGGGACACGGTCTACGGTATCGGCGGAGACGGCAACGCTTCCGAGAGCAATGTCGTTACGAAGGGCCCGTTCGCCTACACCGAGTTCCACGTCGGCGCGGAGTCCTTCAATACCGTCATCCCGAAGGCCGCGACGTACTACCTCAACCGCTCCATCAGCGAATCCATCTTCCAGATGGCAAGTCAATCCAGCGTGGACACGTGCAACGAGGCGGAGAAGTATGAGGATTACTGGGACTGTCTGGGACAAGCTCCCCATTCAGCAGGCCACGCGGGCACCGGTGGTGTGGTAAGAGCAAACACCCTTTCCGGTTTCCATGAGATCGACTTGGCTAACTTGGCCCATAGATGCAAGATCCTGTCTTGTCCCCCGGAGACCCCGTCTTCTTCCTGCACCACAACAACCTGGATCGCCTCTGGTGGGAGTGGCAGTCCGTGAACCTGACCGCCCGCCTCGCCGACATCAGCGGCCAGAACACGCCGTCCGATGCGTTCAACCTCCAGAACAACTGGGAGGCGCCGGGCGCCAACTTCACGGACTACAGCGGCGACCCGGCCAACGTCACCACTTTGACCCATGTTCTGTCCTTGTATGAGATGCTCCCGAACGTCACCGTAGGCGACGTGATGGACATTGGCGGCACTGTCATCTGTGCGGAATACGTGTAAACTGAAGGCACAGGAGAAAGGGCAATTGATATGAAGCACTTCCACGTTCAGATACGTAGATTCATAGTTGAGAGAATTTGGTTGAAAACCCTCATCCAATTATCGAGATAGCTGTGTGAGACGTCGCTCTCCTTGCCTTGAAGTTTTGACATACGTCAAAATCCCTGTATCAGCTCGACCGGGACTCCCGGACATCATCAACCGCATTACTTCATACCCCAAGGAGGCCCGTTCCCTCATCTCATCCCCCTCTCCGAGCATCAGCACTTACGCATTGAGCCGGTCACAAACTCATCACGACACACGAGCCAGAGACCAACTAAAATCTCTTCCCATGGATCCCGAAAAGACGCCACTGAAGCAGGAGAACCCTTCCCCCAGCAGTCCGCCGGCGTACGTCTCCTCGCACGACATGAACTGCTTCGGGATGTCCAACAGGCACGAGATCGACCCCGAGGGCGACCTCATCCTCACCCTCAGCCGGGTCCGCCTCGCAGCTGATGACCCCTCAGCCGAGGGCGAAGAACACGAGGAGATTGACGAGGACGAGACGCTCCACAACGACGAGCTCCGCGTCTCCTCCAAAGTCCTACAACTCAACTCCCCCGTGTTCAAAGCGATGCTATCCGGAAAATTCAAAGAAGCCACCGAGCTCGCGGAGAAGAAGGGGACGGCCGACGACAGCCCGTACGACCTGGACCTCCCCGACGACGACGTCGAGGCCATGTCGACGCTCTGCCGGATCCTGCACAACGTGTACGTGCCCGAGAGCCCGCGGCCCGTCGCGCTCGAGAGGCTGGCCTTCGTCTGCGACAAGTACGAGTGCGTCGGCGCGCTCAAGTACTGCGCCATCGTCTGGATCCGCGACTGGCTGGCGCAGTTCGACGACGAGGTGCCCCCCATGAGCGACTTCTGCCACCTCCTCGTCTTCGCGTACGTCATCGACCTGCCCGTCGAGTTCTCCGAGATCTCGTGGCGCATCTTCTTGTATCACGAGGGCCCCTTCTCGACGGCGTCCGAGCAGGTGAGGATGCTGGTCGATCACCCTCTCCTGCGCCACGATTTCATCAGTGAGTGTGCTCTGTCGAGTGAGATGCGTGGCTTGCGCCCTGCTTACGCCGGCTAGGATGTCTGGAGACGAAGAGGCATGAGTCTTGCAACTCGTTCTACCAAGGTGTCGTGTGCCCCATGACGTGGGACTGGGATACGTCCGACAGCGCATGCTCAAGAGCTTCGAAGGCGCTTGGGTACTACGTCGAGACGCTGCACAAGTCTGACCTCTTACCAAGAGACATTGATTTCACAAAACACAAGTTTTGCCATTTACTGGATACGGCAGTCAGCTTGCCGAAAATCACGATGAAGGATTTTCCCTGTATGAGAGAAGTAGGGGTTTGTCAGTGCCGGTCGAATCGGTACATCAACAAGAACTTGGCGTATGAAGTCGCGAAGGAGGCCGGGAAGATCATTCAGCAACGGCGCGTATTCAACTGTCTCGATTGTCTGAAGTCGGAGGGCGCATCCGCAAAGGATGAATCGTGCAGAGTGCCTCACTTATAGTTTTGGAAATGAGATACCACTAAAGACAGTAGGACATTTTGATTCGTAACATCTAATAACACGCTGTCGTACAATCCGTCATAAGCATGAGGCATATGTCTTGAAACCATCAGATATCTGGCGTGCAAGAGTCCAAGTCGCAAGAGTACCTCTCGCTCGCAATGCTGAAAACCGAACGCCTTTCTATGCAAAACCTCTTGTCGCAATGTATTGATACTCTCGCTTCTTTATTCAAGGGTCGGCCGCCTCGTTGATGCTGTGCTCGTACTCGGTCAACTTGAGTGCCTCCTGTACGTCCGTAACGAAGTGAGACTCTCCGCCGACGAGGTCGATGATGCCCGCCTGGCGCATCAGTCTCCAGATGTGGTGACGAGGGTTGGTGGGGCCACGGCTGAAAAACACTCTAACGCCGCGCTCTCTATAACTGCGTACAATCTCTTCAAGGACTTGAGTGCCGGAACCGTCCAGCGAGGTCACGCCGTGGATGTCAAAGATGACGTTCTTGTTGTGGTGCTCGCCGCGCAGTCTTGGAAGCGCGGGGTGAGCCATACTCGTACCGTACAATTCTAGACGTCGCAGGCGAGCCTTCAGCTCGCCCGTGTTGGCAAAAGTCAAGGGCTCGGGGATCTTGACAATTAGGCAGCCCTCGATGAATTCCAAGCGATCGGGATTCAACTCTGCGTTTTCGAACCGGTGTGTTCCGGGAATACGACCGAGAATCTGGATGCGGGGACGAGTCGAGTGCTTGATGACCTGAAGCAGAGAAAGACCGACGCCGATGGCCATGCCGAGTGTGAGGGAGTAGAAGATGGTGGATACGAAAATAATCGTCATCAGACCTAGTTCAACCCAGCCGCGAATGCGCAAGAAGAACGCGATGTCGTGGGGTGCTTCCTCGAGCAGCGAATAAGCGACAACAGTGATCATGGAGGAGAGAACAGGTTTCTGACGCTGTTAGCAAAGGGCAGTCGACGTTTGTGGGGAGGGAACTTACAGGAAGATAGTAAAAGTAGGGCAGCAAGAACGTGATAGCAAGTAGAGTAAAAAGACTGAGAAAGATGGAGCTCATAGGTGTCTTGCCGCCAGTCTGCTTGTTCAACTTGCTTCTTCCGTACCCACCAAAGGCAGGCAAACTCATGAAGCATGCGCCCACGATGTTGGCGGCGCCGAGTGCTACGAGTTCTCGGTTGGGACTAAGCTGGATGCCATGCGGGCTGTCAGAGCTGCTCAAACTCTTGGCCGCAACAGATGACTCGAAGAACCCAAGCAAGGCGATCAAGAACGAAGTTCCCATCGCTTCGCGGATGTGTTCCATGTGAGACGTCTGGAATGGCCATCTGAAGGTGAAGACGTGGCCGGACGCGGCCTTCACTGGCCCCAGGATCTCAACGCCCTTACTCTCCCAGTCGAAGTGCCAAGACAGGATCGCCGCGATAAGAACGACAAAGAACCGGTCGGGAATGTACGCGACGCCGGGATACTTTGGCGTCATGTGTTTCTTGAGCTCGCGCATGACCATCATGATTACAAAGCTGACTCCGGCCACGATGAAGGTAAGCTTGTGGACATGGTCAAAGGAGCTGAAGATGAACTCCAGCTTGTCCATGCTGCTGCCGTGGCCCACACCAGTTTCCGCGGCATACCTGACAAGGCCAAGCTCGGGAATAGCCTGGTCAACCGCAATGACGAAACCAATGGCCGAGATGAAGCCTCGCAGGAATGGGCGACTGAGAACACTGTCGAGGAAGCCCAAGCGCGCTATGCCGGCCAAAAAGACTGTCGCGCCAGCCATGCCTGCAACAACGCCGCAAATCCTGGCCTGCAATTCCGCATTGTATTCCTCGTCCTTGTCGTGGTCGATGCTTCCTCTAACAACGGATCCAACCAGCAACGATCCAGCAGCTTCAGGTCCTACGACCATCTGCGGCGCGCTACCAAAGATGGCATATATGAAAGGGTTGAAGACGAAGGAGTAGAGTCCGTTGATGGGAGGAACGTGGGCGAGGTTGTCGGCGAGCGAAAGGGCCATCGGCAGGTACAGAGACGCGAGGGTCAGCGCCGCGACAAGATCGCCCTTCAAGTACGACCACTGGTATTGGGGCAGCCAGGTAAGGAGTGGGATGTAGTAGGAGAGATACCTGCGACAGTCGCTGTCAGTTTCTTCCCGTCAAGCATAGGGACACTGGGTGATTGCTTACATCCAGACGGTGTCCTTGAAACCGGCTTGTTCCGCCAGTGTCCTCGAACTCGTCATCTTCTTGCTCTTGATGCTTCTGACGAAGCGCTTTCTCCAGTGATCATCGCCAGTGATTGTGGTAAGCATGGAGTCGAGGATCGGAATAGAAGACGCAGAGGACGAGGGTCTGTCGAGTTCGGCGCTCCTAGCACTGCCGGTAGGACTCGCAGGCCGCGGCGAAAAGGTGCCATTGGTATAGGGCGGGTTGTCGATGAGGACATTTTGCAACAGCGACGTGGACTCGGTCGGGGGAAAGGTATGCGGTCGATTGAGGGCGAGGCCGGCGCGCGGGGTATCTCGACCACCATTATCGTCCGGGAGCGGCGTGGCCAGCGGTGTCGCATCTTCGCGGGTGCTCAAGTACTCGGACTCGCCGCCAACAGAACCAGCAAAGGAGGCAGCGCCAGGAGACTGGACGGGCGGTGAAGCCATGGTGTAGCTTTGTCGCAGTCCGCTTGGGTTCGTAGGCAGATGCTGCTGTGAAGACGGGCTGCGACTCGGCTGAGGTCGACCTCCCGACATTTTTCGTAAGCGAGACAGGGAAAAGAAACGATTCGCTATGGAAAGGCGGCGGCGGCAGACATGCGAATGACGACAGTCAGATTGGCGGGGTGACGAGGTCCAAGTCTCACGTCGAAAGGTATTCCGAGATGGGATTTTGGGAGTTGTCAACCAAACGCCTTGGTATTGTTTCCAAGAGGTTGCAATAGACGTCTCAGGGTCCAAAGGAAAGGAAACGCCACGACCGGTGAGAGAAATGACGAGGGACCGAGTTGGCGGGCGACGGGTACAGACGGACGAGGGGAGTTTGGCGCTGGACCACACTAACACCAGACCAGACGGAAGACGTGACGGGAAAGACGGTGATACGGACGGTTGACGAATGGCTTGTATCAGTTGGGCGGTGGAAAGCCAGGCAGAACCATGGTAAGAGAATTTGTCACGGCGGCGTCGCTGAGTCGCTGACTCGTCCCTTGTTCAAGGCGATGGCGACAGCGGCAGCGACAGAGATTGAAAATCTGTTATGGCATGGATTGACGAGTTGGGATCTGATCCGAACCGAACCAGGAAGGCCGACGGCCAAGGGACCTTGACATGCGGCTGCAACTGCGGCTGCGACTGGGAAAGCAGGCAGGCAGGCGAGGCAGGCTAAAGCTAAGAAGCCGAAGCCCAGGCGCAACGAGAGCGGTCGGTGAATGTTTTTTTTCTGCAAGGATAATCATTCCGTAGTCGCAGTTCACATTGTTGTTGGCGTGTGACATCAATGCTGCTTGGACCACATAATTATGTGTCAGCGGAACTCGATTCGACGACATGGCGAAGGAAGGACCTTCCTGCGGTTACGTACTGATTGCCATGGCCCTTCCCGGTTAGGCTCGACTTCAGTTCGACCGGGGTGTCGGCAAAATCCTTCCGCGCCGAACACGAACGCTAATCCTAAAGAGGCACACCGCCTTCGCAATCTGTTAGATAATGCACGTGAACCCCGCTTCCCGGCCCCTCTCCGACCCCTCCACACCCATGATCCACCTCCACCTCCTCCTGCCTTCCATTCCCGTCGGATGGCCGTCCACGGATATCGCAATCGCAGACTGCCGCACTTGCCCACGGGAAACTTTTACTTTGGCTATCTCCAGGTAGAAATTTCGATACGCAAGATCGTACCTTATGCTCTGGCCACCTCCTTCCTAGCCGTCAAAGCTTGAGGCTTTTAGGAAGAAGATCACAATTGCCATGATTTACAGTTTGGTTCCTCGCGCTATTGCCAAAGTTACGGTTAGATGAACGTCCAAGATCTACAAAATCATGTCTTTCAACGGCGGGCTAAAATGGCTTAGCAGCATATCAACGTTGAGCTAGGTACTTTAGTCCATGATCACCAGAGAATGGTGGTAACGCACCCAAACGTTGGAAGATCCTCTATCCGCACACTGATTCGTCTCGTTCAACAAGCATAACCTGCATCACGTGATCCTCCCCATTCCTCAATGTTTCCTCTTCTCGAGGAAATCTCTTGGCGCAACCAACAGCTACGGGACGTTTGTAGATCTCGAGGCCCACCGCCAAGATCTCGAATCAGATGGCAGAATACCACCCACCGTGCCACCCTATCGCACCCCGCCTCGTCTGGTTTATCCCATGATGGACGCCACAGTCGCACCCAGGCACATCATCCGATTTCTCAACTTCATCGCCGCCAAGCTCATTACTTTCATCCATTGGGGGCCTGGCTAGACTTGCGAATGGAATTTTCAGGCCGCTGACATAGGAACACCAACACCAGAAGCCCCCGCACAGAGACATGTCCTCACTGGCACTGCGTGGCGCCCGCCGCTTGACAAAGTCCAAGTATGTCTACGCCACTCACAAAATACCGATCGAATGCGACGTCTACACGGCCGACGACTTTCCAGCTACCTCTCCGGCCTTCTTGTACTTCCACTCGGGAGGGCTAGTCACCGGCTCCAGATCCTGCGTTCCTCCGTGGCTCGTACAGGCGAGTATGCCTTTTTCGCTGTATCTCAGTATGGCCTCACCCTAACAGCATTCAAGGTCTGCTTCAGGAACAAATGGCCTCTCGTTAGTGCCAGCTACCGTCTGCTTCCCCAGGCGAGAGCTTTGGGGTTGTTCCAAGACGCCGGGGCGGCTTATAGGTTCGCGGCGCGATTGCCAGCTCCCGATGGTACTCCCATTGAACGCAAGGTTATCGTCGGCGGAGGAAGTGCCGGTGAGTTCGGTCGCTGAGACATGTCTTCACCGGCTGGAATGCTGAACACCCAAACAGGTTTCTTCATGGCGTCTCTGACGGCCCATTGGCTCACACCACCTCCCATCGCCCTACTGTCCGTCACAGGCATCACCACTTTCCGACATCGCTTCTTCAACTGTTCCGTTTCGCTTACACCGGAGCCGATTACTCTGCCACAAATAGGCCATTATCTTGAGGACCCGGTATCCGTCGGTACCGTACCCGCCGACAATCCCCAAGTCTTCCACCTCGACAAGTTACTTCCCGACGGGTCCAAAAACATCAACTTCAAGGCCCCCGAAGTGCCAATCTCGGAAGACGAGAAGGCCGACAAGTTTCCACGGGGAGGTCTCTACGATTATTATCTGCATAACAATGCCTTCACCCTTCTCGTCAGTCCCTACGACGCGGGTTATGAGTGGGCCAAGGCCAAAGACGATGATTCGGAAGCGAAACTGAGGGCTTGGCCACCCACAACAATCATCCAAGGCGATGCAGATCACCACGTCGACCTCGCAGTCAGCACACACATGGTCGACTGCCTGGGCGAACACAAAGTAAAGCTGTTCCTCGCAAGAGGCCAGCCGCACCGTTACGAAGCGACCAGGTTCCTCGAGGATGATGTCGACGGCATGGACGCTGTCAGACAAGCTGTTGCCAATCTCGAAGCCGATGTTGCTCTCGCCCTTGGCCAGTAGCACTGTGTCATTTGACTCGGGCGAAGCCGAGCCTGATGCATCTGCACTCTGAAGGCGCAGTTGATCCAGGAGGGAGGGTCGGATAGGTACGTAACCGTCCACGAGCCAAAACCATCTTCGAGGCCACTTGCGAGTAACTTGGTGCATCATCTTTCAAGGCCGCACTCCATCATAGGGATGTTTGCTCTGAAATGGTTTCTGCCTCTTCCCGACGTCTGTACAACTGCGGGCTGAGAGCATGACGCGCCCTGTATTCCTCCGGGAAGATCTGACACAAAGAACCCCGCCGTACAGCCTTGCCTATTGACTGCGAAAGGGTCAGCCCGAGTGGAACACTGCGAGTGAAGAGGAAAACATCACACGTTGCACGAGAAGCCCCCATCACGAGGGCCGCCATCTAGCGCAGGAACTTCGCGAGATCGAGCAGCTGAATCGCCCAGCCCGCCCCCACGGCCACCAACCAACGCCAAAAACATCGTCGTCGACCTTCGATCACAAAACACCCCCAAATCCGCAGGGACGTGATGTGACTGACGATGCATCAAAGTTGCCATTCGTCACTGATGAAGAAAGTGGGACGCGCGCCGCAGATCCCAAAACCAAACCAACAAGCCCGCCAAGCGCCGTGATTGGGCGCCGTCCAAGTGCCGCATTGATGTCACCTCCGAGCTGGGCGCTTCCGGTGCCAATCCCGCCCGTTTTCGGGGGTGCGGGGGCATCCCAATCTCATCACATCACATCACATCCAGACCATCACCTAAACTCTCCGGGAGAAGAGAAAGAGGGGGGCCAAACAACATCGCGAGATGCCCTCACCGACATCACAATGTGTGTGATTCCGCTATTCAACAGCGTGTCGAAGGAGGGACCGTGGCGTGCGTTTTGACGAATCAGTTTGTTGGTCCCTGGAATCCGTGTGTTTCTGCAGGAGTCGGCACACACACACCACACTTGTCAGCCCGGGCGAGGGATTGCAGATGGAACAACCATTGGCGAAAATGGACCCCAATGCCGGGAATGGCATGCACAGCGATTCCCGCGGCAGTCTTACCTTACATGGCTCCTTGTGTCCACTCGATCATCACCCTCGTCGGTTGCCATAGGTATATAACAGACGCTTTCCGTCCGGCATCTCATGTCTTCGGCCTGCTCACCGTCAGACTCCGGCAGTCCAAGATACCCACCATACCCAAAGTACTCATTCTCATAAACCTTCCACTCGTTTCTACATCACAACATGGCTATTCACCAACTCAAAGGACTTCTCTGCTGGGTCACAGCTCTAAGCTTTGCCGCACTCGCAGCTGGATCACCGCTCCCAGACATAGTCCCGCGCGCACTTACAAACTCAGACGGCACACCATCCACCCTCCTCATCAACCGCAACCTCCAATTCACCCAAGACTCAGAAGCCCACCTCGCAAAACGCTTCCCCTTCTCCGCCGGCCGGGACGAGTGGTGCGGCGAAGTAGCCGAGGACCCAGCGACCGACTTCTCCGCCTCGGCGCCCCTGGCCGCGGACTGCGCGGCCCTCGTGAGCTCTTTGAACAACCAGAACGGGTTCTGGACGCTGCAGCCGGGCGATTTCGGGACCGGAGGCGAGTGGGCGCGCGTCGCGGGGAGCGGCACGTGTAGTTTCGCGGCGCGGTACGCGGACGCGGGGAGCGCCGCGAGTCCGGTGAGGATCGGGACGAACGATATCCGGTTCTACGCGAACCGGTACGCCGTGCTGGAGCGGGATGGCAAGTTGGGGTTGCAGGGGACCGTGCAGTGTAATAACGACGAGAGGATGGTGTTTGTGACTTGGGGGTTTATACGGAGTTAGTTGAAGGGAGACTAATCTATGAATAATCTGGGGCAGGTTCGATGCCCCAATACCATCGTCGTTGTTCATTATCCTTCATGGCAGTCTGCCGCTTGTTGTCGTCCGTCGTCCTCGTTATTGCTGGTTATTAGCAGACGACCATCATTAATAAAATCTACCTGAGTTCTAGGCAGTCTGGCTAATACGATCATTAACTATCACTGTGAGTGTCCAGGTTGACACGCTCACCACACCTTCGCATTCGCATTCAGGAGACGAGCCGGCATTCGTGATAACTCGATGGTCGGCAATGAGGAGATCACTAATCACATCACAACCCTGGGGTTTGTAGTCCATCAAAGACCCTGACCTAACATTGAGATGACGTAGGAGCTTCATCTTTTCCAGGGATTCAGTACGAAGTAGGCCCCTTAATCAAGGACGTGAGGAAGTCGAGCCAAGGACAGATGATTCTCAGCTTCTTCAATGAAACGGACGATCAAAACAGTCATTAGATGTGGTAGTCGTACACTCGTTTTCATTCTGTTCTTGCTTCTTGTACATTATCCAAACTACGCCATCCATTATACAACCTCGTTGACAAACAAACCAGCCATGCCCTGGCCCGTGCCGATACACATGCTAGTCAAGAGGATCTTCTTCTTCGTCCTGCGCAGCTCGCTCAGACCAGTGACGATCTGTCTCGCGCCGGTGGCGCCGAGAGGGTGGCCCAGGGCGACGGCGCCGCCGCGGGGGTTCATCTTGGCCCAGTCCAGGGCCAGCTTGTCGCGGCAGTAGACGGCCATGCTGGAGAAGGCCTCGTTGATCTCGACAACGTCGATGTCGGCGAGGGTGAGGTTGTGCTGGGCGAGCAGCTTGGGGATCGCGACGGACGGGCCGATGCCCATGATGCGCGGGGCCAGGCCGGCGACGGTGGAGCCGACGTACTTGGCCAGGATCGGCTGGCCGATCTTGACGGCGGTGGAGCGCTTCATCAGGAGGACAGCGGCAGCTGGTGTTTTGTCAGTGATTTGTACTTTGTTACGTCGGACCACAGTGTAGACAGAAAACTCACCTCCGTCAGTGACCTGACTGGCGTTGCCTCCGGTGGTAGTAGGACCCCACTGCGGGAACGCGGCGCGGATCTTGCCCAGGCTCTCGGCGGTGGTGCCGGGCCGGATGCCCTCGTCCCTGGTGAGCGTGACCTCCTTCGTCTCGCCGTCGGGGCCGACGATCTTTGTCTTGATGGGCACGATCTCGTCGTCGAAGAGACCCTCCTTCTGCGCCTTCTCGGCCCTCTGGAAGCTCTCGGCGGCGTACTTGTCCATCTCCTCGCGGGAGATGCCGAAGTCGCTCGAGACGTTCTCCGAGGTCCAGCCCATGGGCTGCATGCAGTCGGCGGCCTCCTGGGACTGGCTGACGACGGCCTCGTCGAAGGGCTGGTCGAGGGCGTCGCCGCCGATGCTCATGCTCTCGGCGCCGAGGGCGACGCCGACCTCGATGGAGCCGGTGGTGATGGCGTGCGCGATGTCGGCGGTGGCCTTGAGGCCCGAGGAGCAGAAGCGGTTCACGGAGGAGGCGCCGGCGGTGTTGGGGAAGCCGGCCGCGAGGGCGGCGGCGCGGAGCTTGTAGGCGGCCTTACCGTCGGAGACCTGGCACGCACGAGAGATGTCAGCAAGACTTGTGTAGGTTGTGATGGGGGTTTGGAGGATACGTTGTTACGCACATTTCCCATGCAAATGTCCTCTACCAGGGCAGGGTCGATCTTGGATCGCTCGCGGACCTCCTTGAGGAGGGCGTAGATCATGTACTCGAGGGTCGTGTCCTTGAAGCCGCCCTTCTTGGCCTTGGCCAGCGGGGTGCGGATGGCTAACGTGATGACGATGTCGTCGGGGTTCTTGGACTGGCTGTGAGAGGAATTGGTGTCAGCGCGTGTGGCCGGAGACATTGTGGTGCAGAAGCCGAGCATTATCCGAGCCGTGCTTGACGGCAGATCACATGTAGGCATCGACGTACATTTGGTTGATGGCGCTACCTGGGGCCAGGTGCTTCACGATGGAGCCAATTCGCTCGAGAGCCATGATTGCTGCTGGTATCGGTCGGAGAGTACGATTCGGAGAGGACGACGACGGGCAGAGGTAGACACGGCGACTTTGGCGAGGACGAAGAGAGGAGAGGAGGTTGTGGACGGTGGTAAATAAGCTCGAGAGTTTCGTCGTCCTGTCATGAAAGGAGGGGGGACCGGCAAAGTAATGTAGGCCGCCCGGTAGACATGGTTGGCGTCGGGGTTGCCCTGAGCTGCCGGCAATCGCGTCGGGTTCGGGCCTCCTGGGTTCCAGTGTCTGTTCCAAACCCCAAGACCCAGCGCTCAAAGTGGCTGTGGGGGAGGCAATTGGGCCGAGGCATCTCGGCCAGCGAACCGGCCAGTCAGAGTCGAGCGCACTGAGTAATGGGGATGCCGTGGAGTCTGGGGTGCAGTAGCGTCTGTGATAAATTATGTTAGTAACTTGGTGTAAGATCTATGTCGCATGCTAACATTTACTATCTCTATTCTTCCCCAAGGTCCCCTCTTTGTGCCGTCCGTCGGCCCATCTGCCGCAACGATTCCCGGTCTTGCCGAATGACAGGTCTGTCATCCGTAACCTTGGGCCGGCCGGAATTAGTGAACAAGGGTGTTGACCTTGGAGTCGATAACATGGACGTCGGCGTTGGCTTCTTGTGATCTGAAAACACACCCAAAAGTGTCTTGGAAACGGGCGACACTCTTGATGTCAGCTTATCGAAATCCAGGGCTGCTGAGATTAGGCAAGGCTTGTACAAAGCTTCCATCGGATCTTGAACTGACCTGGCTCAGGAGCGTCCCAATATTCCCCATTTGTTTGATTCCACGAATACGCACAGAAACGTCCGCTCTTTGCAGGATCATGACGGTGTCCTCCATCAGAAGACATATCCGGCCACCGGAAGAACCAAACAACCCTTTCAAAACCACGAGCCCGTCTCCGCCTACTGAGGCTCGTCCGTTCAAGCTAACAACATCGACCGCATGCCTAGCTTCACCCACATGTTAGCTGTTGCGAAGATCAATTTCGCCAGCGGGCTCGTCATGTGAGGTTTGTTGGCTGCTCACCACTCATCGGATGACATTTCATATCACGCGGATTTGAGTTCACCAAGATGATGATTATTAACTCTCGGCTTAAGCTTCCATCAGATACCTTGGTCCTCGGTTCTGGAGCCGGGTAAGAACAGCGTAGAGGCAGTTTTGTTGTCATGTCTATCCAATCCCTATGAAACCCGCCACTTGTTCTTGTTCCCTTCGCTTGGGTTATGTACCCATTCCAGTCTATAACCATAACCCAGTAGTAAGACATTAGCAATATGTAATGCGTATTGGGTTATAATCCCATATATCCGTCTATATCGCGTGCGAATATGTTCTCAGAGATGGGGCTGGTCCCCATCTAACTCTCCAGAAATATCCATCGTCAGCTCAAAATCCTCGTGTGAGTGAATCGTAAACACCATGTACATAATAACATTCATGATCAGAGCGAGAAGGCCATCGCCGCGGATACGATGGTCGCCACCATAGCCACAAAAACAGGCGCCCCTGGCCTCCTTCCACTTCCGGACTGAGGGTTGACTCCAGTGGCGCTGAGGCCCAGGTACCACGATCCAATGTCGGTCAGTTTGCCGTCGTTGTTGAGGAAGGACGCATTGGGGCCAACATTGCTGGTCTTGGAACGGAAGGCGCCGAAGTAGGTGTACCGTTCGATGTAGTCGATGCGGTCGAAGTACTCGGCGCTCATGTTGTAGAAATCTTGCGTGGCAGCGAGGTCCTGATGGGCGTAGGCATACTCGGTAACCCAGATCTTGGCGTCCGGGAAGCTGAAGCTTGTTAGAAACGGCAGTTCGGAGTTTGCTGGAAGTACGGGCAACGGAAAGGAACATACTTGGCTCTGCGTTCACCAATGTGGCTGGCCAGTCCACCAAAGTTGTCATACCAGTGAACAGGAAGAAAGTCGTAGGTGCAGTTCTTCTTGTCCCCTCCGCTGCTGATCAGATCGGAACAGTTGCCCAAGAACTGATGCAGCCACGGCAGGCCGGCCGGGGCACCGGTGCAGGCAGGCAGACCGAGCTTGATGCCCATCTCGCCCAGAGGAACGAAGTTGGCGACCCAGGCCTTGGCGGCGATGGCAGGCGCGATATCGCTGCCGCCGTACATTGAGGGGCCATCTGGTTCGTTGAAGCCCAGGACGTGGGTGATGTTGATGCCCTTATCCTGGATCAAGCTCTTGACTGACTTCAAAAAGGTGGTGTCTTCGGGGTTGGATGAGACACCCCACATCATGGGAACGAACTCGAAGTCGGACTGGGGCTTCGAGGCGAAGGCGGGGCTAGGAATCTCTTGGTAGTTGTAGTACCATGTCAAGTCGGAGCCGGTCTGAACCCAGACCTGGTTATCTTGAGGCCAACTGGCGTTGGGTGTGAAGACGAGACCGCGTTTTGATGACCTCGTCTGGGCGGCCACGAGGGGCAAGAGGGCGAGGAGGAATGTGGGGAGCATCGTGGGCGGAAACCAGAGACTGGGGCGAACCGGGTCGGATCGATGCGAGGGTCTTCGGGACGAATGTGACGACGTCGATCACGGCGACGTGACCTGGGGCGGTCGATCCACGGAGTTCGTGGGGCTGCGTGTTTCGCGATTCTCGACGGTGAGATGAGTGGCCTGGTTGAATGAGTACCGTATTCACCAGCGTCAATTGAATGAGCGTGGGATGATTGCTGATTGTTGTCGAGGCACGAAGACGATTCGACAATGGCTAGGTAAACGAATGAAGGGAGGAAATGAAAACCTCAAATGAGCATGACCAGGTGGTGAGATGAAAACGGATGAGATTGAGAAGCTCAGAACTCCAGGAAGAGAGGGGAGAAGGAGGAAACAAAAGTTCGTTCTTGTTCACTGTCTCGGGCGACCGACAGGCACCGCAGCGCACTGCGGCAAGCCAGGAGAAGAAAGCGCCTACTGAACTGCTAGGGGCCCATCCCGTTGGTTCTGGCTGGCGGCCATGTCGGTGTTGGCGTCTGATGGCGTTGCCGGCGCAGGCGAAAGACGGGGGTCACGGTCGCGACGGGGTGGTGGTGATTTCCAGCTGGACCTGATTCCGTGAGAGAAAAAAATAAAAAATAAAAAAAAAATCGGTAGCGTGGCTCTCGATAAGGGAGGTGCAGGTGCGGCAGCCATCATTCCCGGGTTGGGTGGTGGGTGGCAGGCACCTTCAGCTCGAATTACTGCAGTGAGCAAAGTCCAGCCAATAATGCCAATTAATGCCATCCACCCGCCAAGCACAGCGAGTCTTACAATTGGCCTTGGTCATTACGAGAAACGAGGTACGAAATGCAGCCTTTGTCCATTGGACTTGGCAATGAGACCTGGATTCATCGGTCCTTTGATGGTGTCCTCCCAAGCCTGGGCATGGGCAGATGGACTTGGCGAAGCCGGCGTGTCTGATCAACGAGGCAAGGGATATCTCATGACGAGTGCTTTCTTTCCTTCAATTAGTGTCTTGATGTGTGTCACGACATAAGAAATGCTATTATTCATGGAACCCGATGAGTTGATCAGAATACAGCGATGGACAAACCGCGATTGTTCCTGCCTCGTGGTTGTGGAATACGGCGTACAAGGTGGGTACAAGGTGGGACGGGAAATGGCCCCTGCGCGCCCCGAGCGCCACTCAATCAAAAGGACTTACGGGTCCAGGTCCACCGGACCCGCAGCTTAAACTCAATTAAGCATGGTCTTCCCTTGCGCTTCCCGGATCGGGTCCCGTCGCTCCTCCTTCCACTCCAAGCACAGTCCAATGGATCTTTCCTGCTTTGTTTGGTCCCTCAAACACCAAAACACCAAAACACCGACCGGGCTGCGCTATCGACAACGGCTGCGCCAGGAACGCGCAGTCAGTACGTACTCCTTGCCGTCTTTCCCTTTCATCATCTCAGTCACAGCGGCCATCAATCATCAATCATGTTTCCGCTTGATCCGCCGCACGTCATTCTTCCTTCCAAGGGGTCTCATCCTCCCTTCTGCCCCTGAGAGCCGCATACACCAAGACGTTGGAACGGACCCCTTGCTTACCAGACCTGTGCCGGCCACATCGCAACGGCTTTTCTTCAACGTCAACACCAGACACGAGCCATTCTGAGACTCGTCGACTGAGAACTCAAGACATCGAAATACTTGCACGGAATGTTTCTAGCGGCATCAAGACGTCAACTACCACCCCCAATCATCAAATTGCTTACTCCTCCGGCAATGGTAACGGTGAAGCCACCGATCAATTGCCTGACACCTCGATAAGGAACGTCCATTCGGAACACCAACGTGCGGAGCGACGCTTGAAGTCAAGATGGATTCGCATGCGCGACAGCAAACCAATCTCGAAACCTGCTTGAACTATCGGCCAGCGTTCCCTGCTTCTTTCGATCCATCCATTTCACGACCGGTTCTCTGTCAGCCAACAATGTAGCTCGTGGGCCTGCTCAAGTCGACAGGAATAGCTACCACACTCGCCTGCCTTTGACTGGCCAACGTTATTGTTCCCATTATGGACCATCTCTTCTTTCTTCGAAGCCCTCCCTACGTACATTGTCGAGTCTACTATGGGAGCTGCTCGTCAAGATAAGACAGGCTTCTCTCAAAGTGCCGGCTCACCATCTTGACAGTCTCTTCTTTCTGTTATCGTTCTCTCGGCCTTATCCCTTGCTCGTCTCCCAAATTCTGAACCGTCCATTCGTCATCTCCTACCAAGCGCCACCGCGACATCGTAGTTCCAGCGCCAAGCCAACCTTCCAAGGCACACGCGAATCGCTTCTTCTCGCCACTTGTCGATGGATATTGGTTCGTCCACTGCTGAACCACCATGGGCAGCTCGGGAGAGGCCCCAGGGCAGAGGTCCTTGGAACCCGCTTACATGGACCGTTCCTACACGTCCATGCACTGGTTCAAGGGCGAACCATGGACGCGGCCTGGTCAAGACCTTCCCTACCAGCATCGGAATCAAAGGCAACAACTTCTTCGCCTTGATGTCGGGCATCCTGACTTGATACCCATCGATAAGAAGAGCGAGGCGCAGAGCCTGACCGCATCCATGGCGCAACGGGTCCAGGAGGCTTGGGATGATGCTCAAAATCTCATCGCGTCCAATTTCAATGTCAATTTCATCACTGCCCCGCTTGATTGGTTCACACCAGACGAGCTGAAGGAGTTTGTGGAGGCTTCATGGATGGAAGTGACGAACGGAGGTCAGCTTCCGAACGTCCGTAACATCGATGTCCGCGAATTCATTCGACTTTATAAGACATCCGACGTATTCACAGAAGCCGTCGAGGCTCCAAATTCATTGGCGGACGAGGATTGCGACGACTACAAAATCGATTACTGGCATTTATTATTTAGGAAAGATCGCCTTCCTGACGAGGAGCATCGACGAAGATTCTTCATGTTCCAATTTTTGAACAAAGAAGACTTGAGTACGCCAGAACTCTTGCGCTGTCTCATTCTCAACCGCATCACAAATCATCCACGAAACTTCGCTCGCGCTGATTGGGAGGGTTGCCATCTGGGGTTCGCCAGCAAAATCTCACTAAACCAGCAATGCGACAACTGGTTCATGGGGTTCCCAACCGAAGAAGAACGAAACATCGGGTCAAACGCGAGCCGAAGCGAATATTACAGTGGCTATCCCATTGTCTTCAAAGACCCGACCGAACACGACACCGGGTCTGGGTTATTCGACCACCTACGCAAAACCGGCCGTATCGTCAGTTGGGGTGAGGGCATGGTGGTACTAGAGGTCCAAGCATTGACTCTCAAGTTCGTTGTCGCCATAGCCAAAAGGATAAGAGACGATGTGGAACGCCGCCGACGGAATGCCTTGGACCTCAATGGTAACGGGGTGTCCAGGCATCTCCTAATATGGCGTGCCCATACTTGGAAGACTATTCCCAAAGAAATGCTCACGTTCGATGTTAGGGGGACGGATCTGGTCGCTTGTCATCAATTCTTCCCGCCTGCCGCCGCCATTGTGCCATGGGACGAAGAGTTCACCACTATTCTGAAGGAACGAGTCGAGCTAGCCGAGCAAACCATATTCAATCTCTGGCATGACCCATTCTTCTTCCAAAGATGTATTCACGACCAGTTGCGCCAACATTATGGTCATGTGGTTGAAGATCAGATACGCGGTCACGGAAATCCTTTGTTGCATATCACAAACTCCGATATCGATGCGAAGAAAGCTCTAGTCAATGATCTCATCAGACGGGTAGTCAGATGGGCAGCATTCAACCTTGAGATGTGGAGATGCCTTGCAGAAAAGCTTCAGGCCTTGCGCGAGATGGCTAAGAGTCACGGAGTCAGGCTTGACAAATGGAATCCAGACCTCAGCCAGCCAGGGGGTATTCGGGACTCGTGGATCGACTTGGGATTTCACGCCCGCTGGTTCGCTGAACGCCATGCTATCCACGCAGCTGACCACGGCGGCTTCCTCTCTGCGGGATCTCTCAGGTCATATTTCAAGCGTATCAGCTCGTGGGAGATCATGAAGCCGCCAGTCCCCGGGGACGATTGGGCTCTTCCGAAGGACTTTTTTATGAAGATTGGCTTTGTCGTCGATGGAACCCGTAACGATACTGTTGATGTGAAGGATCCTGAGCACACCAACAACGGGGCAGATCAAACGGCAGTGTCAGCTTTGCTCATGCATGTCGGACTCAAGAACGCGAACACGATGGGCTGCATCGGCCTGCACAAGTTGATACAGGCAATGCGCTTCGATCGTCACAATGCACACTCAAGTCTAAGGATCCCGCCGATGGTCAGCGATGACTACGATAATCTGTTTTGGACCGGGTTACTATCTCTGCGGATGGAGGCTATTCGGCCCTTCAGTGACTCCATCGCAAAACAAACATTCAGAACCAACAAGCACAACGTTGGCAACATCGGAGCCTTCTTCAAAGAGTACGATCAATTCCCCTTCGAGCAGCATGTCGACGAGAACACGCTCAGACTGGTTCACTGGTCTCTTGGGGTTACCTACTCCCCGTTTTCGGCCCTGAAGCTAAATCGACCTGCCGGACTTGTTCAGAATTGGCTCCAGGACTTCTGGGTTCAGATCATATGCTGGCTCGAGTCTGGAAGTGCCAAATCCTGTACACCTCCAGCCCGCTCATATCGAGACAGCGGCGTGTCTATGGAAGTTGAGGGCGACGACGCGGAAGATTTGGATATTGTCACCCAGCGTACCCGAGATATGAACATTGCTGCACTCAATAATTTCCATCCTTCCATGGGTCGCATCAACCAGTGTCTTGGCGAGCTTGTCAAGGAGCTAGGTTTGGAGGACAAGGAGATTCCTGACAATCAGATGTCGGAAATAAGATCTTTTGCGGCCGTCTTCCTCTGCAAATTCCTCCAACCATACATGATGGGTGAAGGTGATATCAGCGCCGACGACGTTTTGAAGGAAACGGACTCCGCTCCCAAAGCCGTCTGGGGTCTTCTCTTGCAACAGGGGATCGGGCCGGACGAGGTGCTTGACATGTCGACACACGAAGCGCAGATACTCTTTGCCCTGCAGGCTTTTTCCGCATCTCTTTTGGAACGGGATGTACTCGATATACACGCTGTCCACGATAATCAAGACGGTCGGCCAAAACTAATCAACATGATCCGGCGTGCGGACGCCCGAGGAGTGGAAAAGAAGCGCTCAAAGAAAACAAAAAAGCGCAGCAGCGAGCGACTGGCAAAAGCTAGACCGAGGAAGCTTCTAGAATACCTCGACACCCTAAAAAGAAAAGAATTTCGTCCAGGACACGAAACGTTTGGCATTAAGAGAATATGCGGCAATATCTCATCGATGCAGCCGGCAGGCTACGCGGAACCCACCGAGGAATACCGTCCTCCGCCTGGCTTCGAACGCCGCACCGAGGTGGAGCATGCACCAGTCAACGTCAGCATCAAAGCAAAGACCCTCGAGCTGTGTCGCCAATGGTGGCAAAGTGCCTACACCGTCGAGCAGAGAGCACTGAAAGAGCGCTGCGTGCTCAGGGGCAAGGACTGGGAGACGGCGGACATTATCTTGGGAGATTTCCCGGGCGAGGTCAACTACATGGGCTACATGTCTTTCTGCCTCCGCCTCGGTTTCAACATCGAGAACCGCGAAGGTTCTCGGCTCGTCATGACATGGGCGGAGCGTTGCCGTTTCCCGAAGCCGGCCAAGCCGACGATTGTCATCCACATACGACATCCAGGCGGGGTGACCCGCAGACTCGACGTCGACATCATCGCAAGCTGCAGGAGGACCTTTAGGAAAGATTTCGGTGTCACTGTCGAATTGATTGAGAGGTTGTATGGGCCACGGCAGTAGCGGACTTTGTCAGTATCGACTTGGATGGGAAGGTTCGCGACTGGAGCAGGGTGTTTGGGAGATGGAAGATAGGCTTGGGTCATCAGTTGCACGGCGTATAGGTGTCTGTTCGGAAAAGATGTGAAGGACGACATGGTCGATGACATGGGAAAGATGGGAACGACATTTACATTGGTCACGGAAAGGCGCTTTACCGGAGTTTGGATGGACTTGTTTTCTTAACTAATGAGCTTTCTACCAACTTTGACGTTCGATCTCTGACTTCCCTCTGCCACCGCCTCCTCTGCTTTCTTACGTATCAAGACCGCCCGCCAGCCTGTCTCTCCACATCCCCCGCCCCCTCCGCCGGCCTCTGAGCCAACTCCTCGGCAGTGACCCGTTCCTGCTGACGCGCAAGCCGCCTCCAGGCCATCGTCTTCTTGACGTCGTACGCAAAGTACGCGATGAAGGAGACGAGTAGGATGACCGTCGCGACGAGGATCCAGATTAGTAGAGCCTGTGTGTAGCCCATGGTTGCTGCGATTATGAGGTTTCGTGGTCTCGGGTGGAGTAGTTAAACTGTGATTGGTTGCTAAGGCTGGGGTTTGAGATGGTTTTGATTGCTCAGGAGTTGTATGGAGTGTTGAATATCGGAATTGGGTGTGTTGCAGATGACCTGGAGGTTGGATATATATCTCATGTCTCGCTGCGGTGATTCAGAGTCACCGGGAAATGTCGTTCTCAAGGCGTGGTGATTCAGATACGATTTCTGCGTTTTCGTGAAGAACCCATCAGAACAGCACAATACTTGTGAAGTGTATCGCGATTCACTAGGAGGAGATACCACGGCGGGCATGAAGCAGTATCAGAAGTCATGGGGAGGAGATATCGAGAGTGGATCGGAACCGGACTGTGCCGGATGCTGATGTTTCTGTGCTCCCGGGGAGTTCGTCTAAGGACAATCTAGAACGAAGTTCATAGGTAGTGACAGACCGGGTTCGCAGTTGGTTTGGACGTCAGTCGTTGGGCTTCGCATAAATCATGGATCTGGGTTGGGGGTCTTATCTCCAATACGAGGCAAGCAGTGGGATCATAGAAGAAGCCAGGTATATCGATGACATCTCTTTCCCGGGCTGCTCAGACGAAACTGTAATCTCTTTATCAAGCCCTTACACTATAGCTTCAACCATCTTCGTTGTATACAACGCTACCAAAACAGCACCTCGTTGCCCAAAAGACAATGTCACATAATCTACGTCAGGACGCTGACACGCTGAGTGTTCATGAAAGAAAGAGCATAGACTTCATGGTGTGTTGTTGAAATCACGGCTGGTTCGGCGCGTGTACCACGACACGTCTACCAGAAGTACATCACTGTCATCGCACAAGAGACCCAGAGGTTCTTAAATATGTCAAGCGATTATGATTATCAGGAAGACTATCCCATATGTGACAAGACCAAAACCCAGATCCCCCAAGCCGATAAAAGCAAAGCGAAGGGTATAATGCTATGTGCAATCCCACACCAAAATGTTGTATCCCCGTTATTCCGTTGGCCCCCCGTCCCCCGCCCCCCAAAAGACGGCCGGTGTCCCCGTACCGTGCCGTTGTCCCCGTACCTGTATCCGTGTTTCCTTGTACCCCCGGGGGGGAAGTTGAGCTTCCCCCCACCGTCTTACAATGAAGAACCGTGTCCGAAGCCCCGCCTCTATCACCCAGTCCCCGAAACACGCCGGCCGGGGTTGCTCTCCGGAGCAGCCACCATGTTAAAATCAAAACCAAGATAAATGCAAGAGTGTAAAGAAATGTATGAGATTGAATGAGAGAGGGGTGGAGAGATGTGTGTGTGTGTATGAGAAGATCGCTGTATGGGGCGGGTGGTGTGGTTGTCGAGGGTAGGAAAAGCGAGCGATGTGATATAGTTAGCAGTGATAGTTGAGAGCAGTTATGAGATTGCCGAGTTGTATTGTCGATAAGCGGTTCCGGTGGAGACGAAATGCCGATAACCAGACGCCCGCGGGATTGGAGGATGGCGAGAGGTCGTAATGGCGAGAGGAGTGTCGAGTCAGCATTCGAGGTTGTAGCGAGCGATCGTGTAAGGAAAAGATTCGCGCCAATGTAGCCAAGTCTATCACCGAATGATCCGTACAGAAACGCCAGTGTATCCTTCTATATGACGGAGAAATCTGGTTCCAGGCTGCGTCAAGTTCTGAAACGAGGACGGAGGTGCATGTAGTTGATGGAAAAAGAGGGGTGGATGGTGTGAGAAGTCGACGCCAAGAACGACGAGCCATCGCAGTACGCGTCGCTAGTGAGGTCGTTGTCGGAGGTGCATCAGCCCGCGCGCCCGTGTTGCCGATCTCGGGGTCGAGAACGCCGCTCTAGCATGGTCGTAGCCGTCGAGATGGAGGGTCGGAACGGCTGTGTGAGAATAAAGTGAACCGCGCCACCCGCGGTCGTAAGGCAACAGCATGCCAAGCAAGGGTCGAATCCGGTGGTGGGGTGGTTTGTTTGTCCAGGTCGCGTCGTTGATGCTGGCTGTTTGGAAGTATCTTGCTTGATTCTGGTCGCGTCGAGGATTTTCGACACCTACTGGGCTGAGGGTGTCAACAACAAGTGATATGGCTCATGTGAATGGTCCGGGTGAGCCCTTCAACCCATGTAGGAACATCGCGGGTACGCCAATGCACGGCCGAAGAGGTATAGCGGGAAGGCAAGCGAGTGGTCGGTAACAAGTTGAATCGGAGGCTTGTGGTGCGATTCCATGGTGCTAGAGACAGGCGGATTCGGCGCGCTGTTGTTTGAAAGGTCCTTGACGCAGATGATGTACGTCATGCAGGCCGGACGGATGCAAGCTGCCCCTCCATAAGACGATCACCAGATACACCCCCAACCCATCATGCACGAGGAGTGCGGCCAATGAGGGGTCGGTATGGCGACTCGAGGCTGGAATGTGTTATCGAGGTGCAGATGGTAAGAGGTCGGTCGCGATAAGCTGCGTCGAAACGAGCATCTCCCCAACGCCAAGTCGCTTGTCTGCAGCCGAAGAAGGCGGTGAATATAACCAAGGATTGTCGAGAGTGCAGAAGAAACATCGAGACCCCGCCTCTGCCATAACTTGCAGTGAAAATAGAGAAGAGCAGCGAGAGGGATGATGCATCGGAGAAAGTAGCCTGTCCCATGTCCATGTCACCCAAGGTCTCCACTTCTTGTCCGTCGATGTCGGGGAGTGGGGCTGGCGCATCGGCCGGCCAGAGCGGGGCGTTGGCCGTCTATTTCGGGAATGGTGGAGGCCGTTCGGGAGAAGTCGATTGGTCTGCGCCACAGCAGCTGACAGCCCTCCGGGTTCCACCCATCCACACCGTCGAGACCGCAGGTGGACGAGACCGGGGGGGAGCAACCCGTGGACCCCTACACCACCACCACATCCAGTCGTCTTTCTCCTTCGTCTCCCCTCTTTGCGTAGCAGTCCATGCCGTCCGATGCTCCAAGTACCGTCCCCAATCAAATCAACGACGTCCCTTCAGGCCTCCTCTTGATCTTTCGTTTCCAGACTGTCCTCCTCTTGTCTTGTCCCCATGCCTCGTTCACGCGGCTGCCATCAGTATGTCACCCCCCGGTGATGGCAGTGACTCACTTCCAGCACCCTGACAAGGCTCTCTCGTGCTGCTTGCTCTTCACGCTTGCGCCTCACCAGACGCGAAGCACACCACCCCTTATCCCCAGCTCGTCGCGCACCTGGACCGTAGGCATGCGCCCTCACGCCCGCCGGGGTGCCTCGCGGCTTCATGCCCGTTGCGCCCCGTCTCCATAGCCGCCACCACCGTACACTTGATGGCTCGGGGCGTGGTGTGCCGTCATGGACTGATACTGCTCGGCGTAGGTTGTAGGAGCGTGCATTGCTGGTATCGTAGTGTCCCATCTGCTAGGTGCCGGCGGAGGCGTGTGCTGGTGTCCGATCGGCGTGTGCAATCCGTTCCCGTACGAGCCAGACGGCATCGAGCGACTGTCATAGCCTGTAACAGCTGGCAGAGGTGCCGCCAGGCGCAGACCAGATTGTCGTGGAGACACGGCTGTGAGCGCGGGTGAGAGTGTTCGCGGGGGCGCGGTCGAATACGCGGGCCAACTGTGCGTGCTGCCCGCGATGGATCGGGGCGACGTCAATCCTTCGTGGTGGACCTGAGACGGAACACCGTAGGCACTGACATGGTCCGACGCAATCGTCGGGGCCGGTGGCGTCGGCAGAGGCGGGTAGACGCCGACGGGCGTGGGTGTCAAAAGGTGAGATGCGGGAAGCGTCGATGAAGGGCTGGCGCTGTACTTGCCAATGATCTTCTTGAGTGCCGACTCGAGTATTTTCCACGGGAACACCTTGACGTCCTTCTCGATGTTCCTCGGCTTGGGGTTGGGGAAAGCCATGATAATCTTGAAGAACTCCTCCGAGTCCGCCTTGGCCTTGCTGACAGTCAGAGGACGGAAACCTTCAAGGTTGCGCCGGATGCGGTTCTTCTCCTCAACTGTGAACCTGGCCGGGGCCACAACAAGCTGTTCAAGCAGGTAAATGGTGTCGACAGACGTGACGTAGCACTCGTTCTTCTCCGCCCACCAAATGCAGCTGATGCAGATACTGTTGGGCGGTCGCTCGTTGACGTTGACGGCCCTGAATGTCGACGTAAGTGTTGAACCCGTTTGCTTCTTGTTGAACATGACGATACGTCTCCGGTTGGACCATTCCTCGGGTGACCAGTCTACCGCCATGGTGTCGAGCTTGCCAACAATCTTCAAAACAGCCTTGTTGGAGTAGGATCCCCAGTGGCTGTATCCTGAACTTTGGCCCCCGCCAGGTGAGCTGGGGATGGAGCTGGTCCTGACAAGCTGGGGAGTTGTGGCCGATGGCATGGGCAAGGGGGTCAAGCTTGGGCGTGAGATTTGCGTGTGCGTGATGGGCGGACCCGGGTTTCGGTATGCCTGCCAACCAGCCATCGGCGGTCGCAACGGCGGCGGCACGGCGCGGGGGTAGTGCTGCTCCGTAAAGGAGTTGGTTCGGTAGGCGCTGAGCATGCTGTTGTTCTGGTCTTGCGAAAAGCTGCTTCCATAGGGAGCCTGCGCCGACTGTTGCGGAGCGGTTGCGAAGTCGTAGGTATTTGTACTGGGTTCGTTACCCAGCTGAGTGCTTGCTGACCTGGGTGACTGATGTTGTTGTTCAGGTGACTTGGATACCTTCCTCGTGATGTCGTCCGAGCTAGCACCTGGGCCGCCCAAGGGTGCTTCGTGATATACAAACAGGCCCACCGCCGTCCTCGAGACTTCGTCCCCGTTTTCCGTCTCAATCAGGAGCGAAACGGGCACGTTCTCGCTGGGGCAGCTGGTGATCACGAAAGGAGGCGCATCCGCCGAGACAGTCAACATCGTGGAGCTGTCGTCCTTGATAGTTTCTGCCGGGACCTTATTGGCTCCAAAGACGAGGGAAAAGTACGGCGCCACTGTAAGGAGATCGTACGGCGACGAGACCTTCACAAGCACCTTCGTGCCGGCGATCCCAGAGCTTGGCTGAAAGGAAACCACCGATAGGCCGACATTGCCAACAGACATGTACGGTGCCACCGCACTGTTGGCCGCGAACGCGCTCTGGTTCATCTGGGCCGCCGTGAGTTGAGATGCCCCGCCATGCTGGGCGGGATAAGCTTGCGCGCCATACTGTTGATAGGCGGCATCCTCATACCCGCGGGTCGAGTCGTACCCTGTGATGGCCATGCAGTGTCAGCGAGCTGAACCATGAGACTGTGAGTCTTTGCTCGAAGAAAACGTACCGTGGATTGGGCCTGGCTGGTGTTTCCCGTAATGGGACATGGGGAGGAGACCACCTGGCGGGGAGTCACCCCGAAGGTCTCCGTTTGCCCTTGCGACCGCCTCTTCGTACTTGAGGGTCACCGTCTCTGGTGAGTCGAGGCCTTCCTCGCCGATGATTATTGGCCTTTGAGGATGGAAGTCGGGCTGCTTTCAGGGAGAAACAACTGGTTAGCCTTACAAGACTCCGATCTGAGATTGAGATGGGGCAAGCCCTCTTGAGTTGTTGACAGTATCAACGTCTCGGGAGTGGCTCAGCCCGGTGCTCCGGCGATGACTTGACTCACTTCAAAATGCTTGTAGGAAGCACACTCAAACTTCGCAGCAGACATTCAAGCTGTTGGGAAGGGTGCACTTGGGGAAGGATGTCTGTTCTGTTGCCGGAGAAAATGCAAACCACTGTTTCGGGAGCGGCGTTGCGACGACAGGAAGAGACTATGGCCTTGTGGGACCGTCGAAGAACAAAGGGGGAAAGGGAGAGATATGTCTTGAGATTACTGTGATTAGAGTGAAATCCACAGGTGGTTGCGAGATCAAGGCCGTGCAAGTGCGAGGAAAGGGAGGATCCCTAAGAGAGGCGAATTAGTCCCAGTAGATTCTCCCGCCAGGTGTGGTTTGAGACACCGTACTCAGGTATGTAGATGGCGTTACCGAGCCTGCCAGTGGCGCTAGGAAGCTGGTAGATCGGCTGGCTTGACTCTCGAAGAGCTGATACGACAGGAATTAGGGAGCTGAATGTCGACGCGGCTGATTCTGCGAGGTCAGGAAAGTCGAAGAATGCGTGTTGGAGGAAGCCGGGAAAACTTTGGAAGGCTGAGAGAATATCCAGGAGCGGCGATCTTAAACCAAGACCGACGTCTTTGAAGGTGAACGTCGCGGGAGAAGGACTCAGACCGATGCACCTGTCATTGGTCGCTGAGCTGCTGGCAAACCGAAATCTGAAATGGAGTTTCGGGAGGATCCAAAGATTCCAGCGCGGTGGTTACCGACTGAAAGGCGTTCGTGCCAGAGCGGGTTCGCTGGAATGCAAGTCAGCCAGAAACCCAAAGATTGAATGGTCGGTGCTGCTTCGCAGGAACTGCTGGCCGGACGGCAGGTTGCAGCGCGAACCATATCGGCTTCCTGCTGGAGTTCGTGGCCCTGCAACTGGCGCGGGCAGAGGAAGGGGATCACGTACTCAACCGTTGGGACCAGGATGCTCGCGAGAGCCGGGTCCAATCACGGCTCGGAGTTGTCGACAAACGGATAGACGTGGTTCGCGATGCCGAACCAGTGCAGCTGGACCGTGCTTCGTTCGTTCGTTCTGCAGACCGACGGCGGACCTGTTCGCACGACCAACAAGCAGCTGTTAGAAACAGACGTCAATGGGAAATAAGCCCAAGGTCCCGCAGCACTCTTGCGCTTCCTTTGGCATGAAAGGAGGAGGCGGACTTGCGAGGCCTACCAGAGCCGGGATATTAGACGGGCATGGGCAGAAGCGGCGGGCAAGGTCGGTGATGTGAAAGGAAGACAACAGAATGAGAGAAAGAGATGGGAGGCGAGAGGGAGAAACGTGGACTCAGAAAGTCAGACTGTGTCGCTGATTTTGTTGCGGGGTGAGGCAGGTAGAAGAGGAATGCTGATGAGGCGCGAAGAAGTGGTGTTGCATTTCTCGGAGAGGTCGACAGATAGATAGCAAGGCGCTCCAGTCTCCTTGCAGGCCACGGTACGTTGTTATGAACGTGAAGTAGAGCTTCGACGACGACGAGTCTGTGGCGACACAAGGTCCGGCTGGGCAGATCCACACGGAAGGAACAGGGACCTTGCGAAGATGATATTGCTTTTCCTCTGCTTGCCGCACTAACAGCGAGCTCACGCACCAATAGCTCCGTCCTGGGGTTCCCGACGGCCCTCCCTTACAGTAGCACCCCTCGTCGTTTCTTTTTGAGGAGGGCTCTGTTTTCTGCCCTGGCAAGTGCAGGCCGTCTAGCCTGCGAGTGACTTCTCGGTGGTGAAGGAAGAAGAACGACCAAGCAAGGCTCCCAGGCCGGGTGACATTTGTGGGGATGAGGGGAGAGGAGGGGGAGGGGGGTACGGATACAGAGCGTGGAGTACGATATCGAGAGGAAGAGTAGTACGTAGTATAGAGCGTGAGGAAGTTGGAATGACAGGGCCGGGCATGGATAGGGGCGCCGTTGAGATGCGAGATTCCAATTGTCTTATGAGCTGCAAGGTTCCATTGATCTGAAGAGAAAGGGTGGGGGAGAAAAAGTCAGTCGTTCATTGGGGGCGTACTACGCGCGTGTGTGTGGCTGTAGCCGTCGACGATGATGATGAACGTGGGACCTCTTCAGCTGGCAGAGTTGTGAAGTTCGGGGATACTTTGGTGAGAGGCGGCAGAGAAGGCCGGGGGTAGACAGGGGAACACGGCTGTCAGTCTGCTCATGTGTCCGTCTGGCATGCTACTCGGACACCGCAAAAGAGCTTGGCCATTCTGTATCCTTGACGGATGGGACACGGGGTGGTCGTTCTAGGAGGCGAAAGAAGCAATGGAGGCCCCCCCCCCATGCAAGGAGACTGGAGAAGAACCAGTCGTTCGTGCCAGAAAAGAAGGAAACGGCCGACAAGAAGGCGGGAATGACAAATGACGGGAGCCACAGGGACCCGGGAAGAGGACCAGGTATCGTTTGGGGGACGAAGAGAGGACAGAAAAGGAGAGAAAGAGTGAGAATGAGAGGAGAAAAAAAAAGGAATGATTGATGGCACTTACTCAAGATCGGCCGTGATGGGCAACGCAGTGCAGCAAAAGCAGAAGAAGCAGTGCCGGGGCAATGCTGGTCGTCTCTCGGTACGTATACTTCGAGATGGCACACACGCAACACACACATTCGCACCCACCCACACACACTCACACACACACACACACACAAAATATTGCTGGTGCAAGATTGCCGTGTAAGTCGATGGACGGAGTGGAGAATGGCGTGTGGCTGTTGGTTGTTGCTCCTTCTCTCGGCAGCTTCAGCTAGGCCCAGTACAGCGGGAAGAGAGCTTGAGCTCGAGCTTGAACTGAGAGCAGGAGCTACAACGAACGAGAGCGATAGTAAGGGAAATGGAGTACAGCAAAAGGGTGTACACAGCCGAGAAACAGGTGTGGCTCGAATGACGATATCTGTCGGTGTCGACGCTGCGAACCATGGATTAGCGTGATTGGCCATAGCTCCTGTGAAGCAGCTGCAGCAAGCCCAATGAGATGACGGGATGGGATGAACAAGAGGAATGGGAATGGCCGTATGGCATGTGGCCAGGATTAGGACGAGCCGGGGACCGTCTAACGGCAGGGAGGGAGCGTGGGTAGCCTGTGCAATCGGGACTCAAGCGGCGCGCTCCAGTGTCACTGGATCTGGCTTGGATACTACCGACCGGCTGAACCCTTGCATGCGTCCGTCCGCCTCTAAACCTTGCACCAGACGGTCCTGTCAACCCATGTACATGACCGCAGACAGCCTATCATAACGAGGATATGCTGAGGATGAACGAGATGCGCCGTGTGCCTGTGTCTGTGCCTGTGCCATTTCAGGACGTGGGATGAACGGGGGTGGTGGGTATGGAGATGAGATGAGATTGAAAATCTGAGGGGAAATGGAAGATGCGGATACAAAGTGAAGGTGCAGTAAACGAAACAAGCATGGAAGCCAAGAAAGTTTCCCAAGGCATGTAATGTAAGTAAAGTAGTTGATGGGGGAAAAAAGGGTACCCTGGACACAGGTATGGAGACCGGTGGAAGTAAAAAAGAGGAGACCGGGAGATCCGCGCCAAGGGAGGTCTGGGTACGTTGCGGTACAGGAAGAGATGATGAGACGTACATCTGATGTGACCACTGCCAGACAGCAACGGTACGTAGAGACGGCCTCTCAAGTCCGTATCTTCTATGTCCTTATACCCTTTTTCGTTGGTTTGCCTGATTTCCCTCTCTCTTCTTGTTTCTCGGTCCTGCTCGTGTTGGGAAGATGAAGGCGAGATACCGCAAAACAGCAACCAAAAGAATTGGCCGGAGAGCGTTGGTTTCGTCCGGCGTCGTTCGCGGACGAGATCGGAAGCCCAAGGAGATCTCAAGCCCAAAAGGCCAAGTTATGTAGACGGGCAAAAAGAGACGTTGGGGTCAAATCCAATCAATGGCCAGTGTCCTCTCGGCTGCTTAAGCTCCCGGGGCGCATCTGCCAAATGAAGATCTCTGATACTGGTGTGGAGTGGCCGCAAATTATCCCGACGGGAAGAAGGGCTGTCAAGATGTTAGATTCGTTACTCTCTGTACGTCAGGGCTGGTCGCGGTGCTCTGTACCGGTTCTGCTTATTTTCTTCCGTATTCTTATGCCTGTTTTGGGCCATGATCAGCAACAACAAGTGCTCATGGGATGCGGCACGCACCGACCTGCAGCACCAGAAAAATAACAGAGACTGAAATCAATAGAGAACAGCCAAGGACGAGTTGGCGCCGTTGCTCTCCCAGGGTCCTGCTCTTTCGGTCTGCGTCTGATGTCTCTGCACGCGTGCGTGTTTCTTCCTGTCTCTGTTATCTGTCCGGGGTTGATCTCGGAGCTTTCCCTGGCCTGTTCGTTCCCCTGGTCTTCTGGATTGCCCGACCCCGGTCTTGTTTGGTTGGTTTTCTCTTGATGTGCCTGTCAATACTAATTGGTCAGCCCAACATGTAAATAGTGCAGGTGAGGCACTCGGTCCTGGTGACGATCAGTGGGTTCATCCTCCCGCTGGAGAATAGCGCGAGTGCAACCTCGCCGGTGAATGAGAGCGTCGTTGGGTCAGGTCATTGATTTGACGTGAGCGCAGAAGCAGCAGATCAAGGTTGCAGGAGATGATGAACCGACTGGGAGGCAGAATGAGCGAGCCAGAGAGAGATGTCATCGTCTTGCTGCATCTGCCTCTATCGCCAGTCAGATGGCCGACCAACCAACTCGGCCAAGCTAGCGTGCCCAGAATGCTTGTAGAGCCAAGACCTAAGCCGGCTTTTCGCTGCCTTCAGTGGTCTGTTGACACTCACACTGCTTCTCTCAACGGGCCACCCCTCTTGCAGCCAACAGGACGAAGCAATTTGCTGCACCCAGAGACGGGATGATCGACGGGAATGTAGCCAGGCGGCGACGCCTGTGAGATGGGCTGGAATAAAGCTTGGCGTCTTTCCGACCCGGGAAATTGATTGAGATCGAATCCCCGTCATTTCTGCCCGAGCAGGGTCCCTGGCGCAGCTGAACAGCCTAGCCTCAATGACCACGGTGCAGAGGAGCCCATGTTGGATGTTGGGGGTCGGTAGTGGCGTCACCGAGGCGAGTGTAAGGCG